CCGAGTGGGTGTGTTCTATCTTGCGGTGAAGAGAGGAGGTGCGAGAAGGGAAGGGAATTTATTTCCGGCTATGTTGCTTGTTGCAATGGGGAGTCTAGATCGTTATGAGTTCGGTTTGAGGGTCGGCATTACAGTATTGTTATTAGTACGTTGAGGAGGTTTATTCGGTTCTTTATGATGCTCTTTTTCTTGTGAGGATGTTGGCATCTACTTGTCGTTGATTGTATTGTCTGATTGCGTTCTGATGGATTGAAGGAGCGAGGCACTCGGTAGTGTAGATTCTGATTAACTACACTAACTAGATAGTAGTTGGGTCATTACTTCTCTTTGCTTTGCTTGAGACTTCTATTGTTGCAATGTTTTCTATTAGAAAGCGCAAGTCTGTATCGGAAATTTTGAGTAAAGGATCGAATTAATTCATTATGTCTATATGAGCAGAAGACCCCAGGTACTTTCCTCAAGATGAACGCCACCCATAGTCATGAAAATGGTCGAGTACAGTTCGTGATAGCAAATTGGGCATGTATGCTCTATCGTGGTGCTGTTGCGCGAGGCATCCAATCAGGACAAAGCAGTCAGGACAGTCCAGCCAATCGAGTGCGGTTTCGCTACACATCCAACAAGATGTAATGTTGTCCCTTAACCTGGCGGATTTCCATTGCCCGCCCTGTTCATTCTGTCGGCCCAACCGTTCATACTGCGCCGAATCCCAAGTGTCTTTCGACCGGTTGTGGACCCTTGTTGATGGACCATGGACATCGTGGTCGTGTGGTACGTGGTCGCAGGCCGTACGCGGGCGATGGACTCGGAAGAGTTCTTAATGCCATCACTCACCCACCCTGTCTGATTCTCGACGGCGATCTCATTCTCTCTCTGATGTTTGCCCTCCGTCACCTTTGTGCCTGTTGAGGGCCCGGTGAGCCACGTGTACCGGTTGGATTCGGATGCCCCAAGAGCTGGGCGTGAAGGTGGCCAAGTTCGTGGCTGTATGCGATGCTTGGTCATGGCGGGCGGAATGGTGTACTTTGGGTGTGCACCTTGGCCCCCAGCGAGATTTGTCGACCTCTCGGTGCTGGGATCGGGCATTTCCAGTGACTGGTGGCTGGCTGAGACTCGCTGACTGGACGCTTCATTCTTCGACGATGGCTGGCCAAAGAAATTCGATATGCTGCCTTGTGTCAAACCCGTCTTACGCCCAGCAGAGCGAATCCCGGTCGCTTTGTTCTCAGGGCGGTTCTCGGAAGCTGGTTGAACGACATTTTGCGTCGCTAAGTGCTCCCTTGCTGTTGAGAAGCCGCCGGAGAGGGTGGTAGGGATAGAGAAGCTGGAAGAATTGTTCATTGTGTATGTGGAAGCCGACACGAAATTCGAAGTTTGTATAGCCTGATTCTGGTCGGAACGACGTTTCTTTGAGGGAGGCTCACCATCTAGAACCGACGTACGCGAGCCGTCCCATCTGGTAACTGTGTCAGGATGTTCCTCGCCTTCAGGTGTCCAGAGGTTGTCCTCTACACTCGGCAGGCCGTCTATTCCTTTCAGCATAGCCTCTTGTGACGGTCGGTCCCGGCGCAGGATGTCTGCGATACCATAAACAGTCTTGTCGTGGAACTTTGGTCCAGTGGTTCGAAACTGAAATTCTACTATACGCTGCGTCAAAAAGGGTGTCTGAGTCGTCTCTTCACCAGTTGTGGAACTTCGACGAGGAAAGCTGAGGTAAAGGAGCGCCTGCGCTCTTGTCATGGCGACGTATAGCAGCCGCCTTTCTTCGTCGCTATCTTCCGCTCGCGAGTGTGGAATGATACCCTCATATACAGCTGGCACGAAAACAACAGGCCATTCGAGACCCTTTGCCGCATGTATGGTCGAAATAGTAACTTTCTCCTGCGGCTGATCACCCTCTTCTGCAGTGACCTCTGTGGATAAAGCGACGTTAGCGAGAAACCGAGCCAAGGCCTCTTCGCCTGGATGAGCGTGTTGTTGTTCAAGGCCTTCGATTTCAGGAAGATTATCGTCCTGCTCAGATGCCATTGGAGAGCCCGAATCATCTCCAGCTTGGGCTAGGAGCTCTTCCACGTTTGCCCATCTGTTCTCTTCATCCAAGGGATATGTGACTTTGAGATATTCCCTCATGGACAGTTTCTTCATGACGAATTCTAAGAGCTTCCTAGGTGCCGACTCATCGTTGCATTCGAGCAGTTTTCTTTTTGCGGTCTCTATGAGCCCTACGAAAGAACTGAGGCCCTGGTCGGCCGCCTTGGATAGACTCTTCTTCGTTGATCTGCGACCCTGTGCCACGTCCTTCACGAAATTCCATAGAGGTATGCCAGCCTCTTCCGCGCCTGCAGTTAGTATTTTGACTGTCTCATCCCCTATCTTCCGAGAGGGAACGTTGATGATGCGTAAGAGCGCATCTCCGTTCCCAGTGTGGCTCACTACTCGCAGGTAATCCAGGAGGAGCTTTATCTCGACTCTGTCGAAGAATCGCGATCCGCCAACCATTCGATAAGGGATACCGTTCTTTCCCAGCTCCGACTCAATTTGGCGTGATAGGGACGCTGAGCGGAGGAGAATAGCAAAGTCAGAATGGTTCAAAAGGTTTCCCGTCAACGCAACAGATCTCTTGATCTCCATGACTATCCATTGGGCTTCAGCAGCTGCAGTCGGGAGTCTCCTCAACACCGGCATTGATCCAACGCAATGTGTTGGGTGCAGCTTCTTCGCTGGCCTCGCGGTATCTTGTTCAATGACCTCCTGTGCGGAAGATAAGATAGACGCCGATGAACGATAGTTCTCTTCCAAAAGAGCCACTGAAGTATCCTTATATAACTTCTGCATGCGCGTGAGGTTCTTGATCTCCGCGGAGCGGAAACCGTAGATACTCTGGTCGGGATCACCGACAATCGTGATACGTCTGTTTCTAGCAGCGAAAAGATTCATGAGTTCGAACTGTATGAGATTAGTATCTTGAAACTCATCCACGAGGACTGCTTGCACGTTAGACACGCAATGCGGATGCTGTCTGAGTAGATCAGCGCATCGCAGTAGCAAATCATCGTAGTCAAGAAGGTTGGAGCTCGCCAACGCCAGCTCGTATTCGCGATAAACCTGCACGAACTCCTGCTGGTCAACACCCTTTGTCTGCTTGGCTGCCAACTCCTCATGGCTGACACCGTGCGCTTTTTGAGTCGAGATCCTCGACCGCGCCGTGTTGGGCTGGATGTTTAGTCGTAACCGCTTCACGATTCTCTGCCATTGAAAACAAAATAAGCAACACTCCTCAACCAACGCTCCAAAAAAAAATTTATCTTCAAAGACGCCTCCATACTTTAATAATCGCCAAACTGTCATTACTATCAGCGATACCGAATCCCTTCTGCAGCCCAATCAGATGTCCATAAGCCATCAGATATCGGCGACATATCGAGTGGAAAGTGCCCAGGATCAGCTTCGATTCGAGCTGGTCTCCAATCAACTTCGCGATTCGCTCCCGCATCTCGCGGCTTGCCTTGATGGTGAACGTGCAGCAGATGACGTCCTGCGGTCGGTATCCATAGTGAGAGAGCAAGTACGCTACACGGGCAGTGAGCGTCTTGGTCTTTCCGGAGCCCGGAGGAGCAAGGACCTGAAGGATCGATGCGGGTGAGGTCACGGCGGCTCGCTGGGCAGCATTGAGCCCGTCGAGAACCGGATCCATGTGGTTTCTTCTTTGGATGTCGAGGAATCCGATCGTTTGTTGGTATTCGGTAGGCGTATCGAATCGTGTTGGCGGGTGACGCGCTGGAAACGCGGTGTCATGTGACCGGGAATGTACAGTACATACATACTTGGTCTCTTGAGTTTCCAACCGAGATATCTCAGTTTCAAGTTTATACTACTGTTGGGCATTATGCTATTTCTGAGATGGTCTAGGGGAATGTCCGTGGTAGTGAGTACTTGTCGAATCACCCAGCGCCTTTGACTAGTCCCAGAATCAGAGCGGTTCAATTCCCAATATAATCAATCGACTGCGACTATATCCTCTGTTTAACGAGGGACAAAGGCATCTTAGATCTTGGAAAAGTTCAGCAGTATTCTACTTTATGGGACTATTTGTCGAAGATTGAATAGCACAGAAGCATAGTCTGACCTGAACACTTTGAATTGCTTGCTTGAATCTAGTTCTAGGGGTGGGGGGAGTTGAACCCATATTCATCTCTATAGGTACGCAAAGAATCTAGTAATCTAGTGCATCCTATATCTAGGATTCAAAAAACCTGCTGCAAATAGATAATTGACAGATCACCTGGCGTTCGCTTTGTGTGCAGAAACTATTTCACCAACATCTCGCTTAATATACATATGCATGCGTTGAAGTGCAGTAGATAGTTCTTATATAATAGGGGCCTTTCGCTAGTAGCTGTTTATACCTTATAAGTGTGACCTGCAATAAAAGGAAAAGACGAGATATTTCAGTTAACCAGAATAATGATTTACAGTCTGTGGGTTATTAATGTAGACAATGCTATTTATTCTTCTTCTTAGCTTGCCAGTCAACTCCATGTGACTTCATATAAAGCACTATATTTTTTATAGAAACATCCTCCTCCTTTAACAGCGGAGTCCAGATAGTGCAGTGGCTGTTGAATAGTCACTGCTTCATCTAGCTAGAGGCTTCCTGTTCCCAGTGACGCTGTAGTAATATGGTAGCAATATAAATTTGTCCACCTGTCCCAGAGACTGTAAATATTCCCCAGAAAAATAGAACCGTGCTCGCCAAAAGCAAGTGGGATTTCCTGACACATCGGCTTCTCCCTCGTACATGAGATAGGTCGATAGGTCGATATGTTGGTATTTTTGTATATTGTTTTAATTCCCGTAGCATGCTTGATCATAGCCCTTTCCGTAGTCCGTAACCATATACTTCGACGCTGACGTTCCCGCGAGACCCCCAGCAGAGATCCTGCGTCAGGACGTCATGAGCTGGTAACGAAGCATTTCCTTCGATAAAGAAATGACGAGGGTTAGGCACCATTTTGTTCAGAATCGAAGATATTTAACGGCAGACTCATCGTGACCGCATTATTCAGATCCACTACTTCAGCTATCTGGAGATCCCCTGCTACACTCGCGAGCATATATGCTTCAGATCGACTCAGCCCTTTCGTTGCCGTCAGCCATTGTATCGTGTTCCGAACTGCCTTCTTTGCAGCCTCCAACAAGTCTGCGTCGATACCCATCACCGAATATCTGCCTTTGTCTGTTACAGATGGCGTTGCTGCGGCCTGCGGGGCTGTCTGGAAATGAGGCGAAGTTACCCATGAATGATCCTTGCAGACGGTAAATCGAAGAGTAGCTCTCATGGGAGTCTCAATCGCTGTGCCACAGACTTCACCATGACCCTGGGCAGCGTGACCGTCGCCACAGCTGAATAGGGCACCAGGCGTCTGCACAGGGAGGTAAAGTGTGGTGCCGGCCGTGAGTTCGCGACAGTCCATATTTCCACCGACGTCTGTTGGAGGGATTGTTGAGAATTCACCTTCCACGCCTGCTGCAAGTCCCATGGTCCCTAAAAAAGGTCGAAGAGGTATACGTATATTGTCGTTAAACTTCGCGAAGCCGGTGTCTTGATCCAACTTCCATATCTTCAAGTGGGCATCTGGGAATTCGTTGGCGAGCAGTCCGAATCCTGGCATAATGGCCGTCCAACCCCAGTTCGCTGTTTGGAGATCCAAGATTTCGATTTTCAGAGCATCCCCCGGTTCCGCATCACGAATGAAGACTGGTCCAAAGACGGGATCTGCAAGGCTGATATCGAAGGAATCTATGGCAGAAATGGCAGAGTCTTCCACTATCTGGCCATTACTCCCGTCGATAGTGTCAAAGGTAACAGTGTCACCGGAGGAAATAGTCAAGACTGGGGGTTCATCTTTTGACCATTTCTGATGCTTCTGATGACGGCCCACGTGGACCGTCTTGCACGCTGAGGTCAACCCCATGGTGCACGGCTAGCAGTTCTGCCAAAAGGAAAGTAGAGAAAGTAAAGCAGGCTTCACGAGGACGGCATCTCTGTGAGCATGAAAATCCGCGAGGCCAGCCTCAAATAAAACGCGAGACCGGCCGCGTGAAGAGCTTTTTGCCTGCCAGTTGCGGGATGCTAGGAACATGATAGCGCATGGCGAGGAATTGAGCTTCCTAAAGAAGTATGATCAGTTCCGCAGTTTGGGATTCGGGAGCTTATTTTCTCTGTTAGTTTCTGCCTGGGCTTATCCATCAGGATAAGGATTCGATTTTCCCCTCGGACGAGGGGTTAGCCCGGGCCAATCGTCGGGCGGAAAATAAATCCTGATGTTTCCCGTTCAAGTAGGTAGTTACACAGCAGTCAGACGATGATGATGATGATTATTATTAGTAGTAGTATTGTTGCCATCACCATTGGTATTTATGTATTGTGCGCTACCGGTCCGTAAAGCTCGAGAAATTTGATTCATCTTCCTGAAGCGGGCGCCACCTCTCCGCACCAGATCCACATCAATATGACCACAAAGGACTCTTTGTCGTCGTTAGCGAGCCAATAGCGGTCACTGCTCACAGTAAGTATTGGTATTATTGCTGCCTCTTCCCGCCATTAGGACGGCTTATTCGAACTGGCTAAATGATCATGGATAACCTGTGCTCATAGAAACCAGGGTACATTATTATTATTACGTGATGGACGCATCCTCAAAGCGAGAATATATCAAATCTGCACCCCCATTGTTCCCAATTAGCTGGAAATTGTCCAAATACGGCTGTTAACATGGCCAAGCCTTGTGGCACCTTGGCCGGATTATTATGGTGGGACTATCGAGGACTGTGCCCCAGATCAGATGAAGGTGGGAGTCAGTTAGAACCTTATCTGCCTTTTTTATCGACAGTGGATGATCTCAAAGAGCAGTGAGGAATGACGGAACCTGTAAGGTTAGAACTACTGCAAGGCAAGAAAGCAGTAGAAGTCTACCCATAGCCAACCGCGATTGACTGACCATATCTGTCGCTGCGATTTCATTATCTAGTAATGATCGACATCGTGACCAAGCCTTGGGCAGCGCAGACGATCCTTATCTAGATACAGGACGAGCACTGATTACTCTGCTGACCCAACTCTGTACTGGTAACTAAGCACTGACTCCTGAGTAACGAACGGGCCATAGTTATGTAGCAGAAGGTTTGCGACCCCGAAAAGATCTACAACACCCTCAATGCAAGGTTAGTGGTAGTATCGAGTGATGCCTACACCGGTCTTCGTGTAAGAACCCTTTGCTATGATAGGCTCGTTAAAATGAAATTCGAGGAAAGAGGTCATTTGCTTTTCGATTACGGCAATTAGTTAGATACTTTGCTTACGTGTTCTCATCACAACACCTCTGTTACAACAGCCTTGACGCCCTGCGATCCCGGTTCTGGGACACCGACAAAGTAGTCTCGTGCGATGCGGACGTCTTCAACGGTGGTCTCATAGTTCTCAAGCTCGAATCGGCGCAATATGGTTGCGAGGGTTAAGCGCATCTCAGCATATGCGAGGCTGTTCAGGCAGCAAATCAGTTCTCCGGAGGACTTCAAAATGCTAGGGAATTGAGGATACGTACTTGATCCCGACGCACTGGCGACTGCCTCTGGAGAAGGAAACCATATACTTCTCCAGTCGGTTACCTTTGTCCTTCGCTTCGATCCAACGCTCGGGTTGGAATTCGAACGGGTTGGGGAAGATGGTCGGATCCATATGGACGAAATAGTTGCATTGACTGACCGGTGTCTAACGTTTGGGTAAGCATGAATGGCCCACAGGAAAAGACTGAGAATATCAAGGCAGACTGACGTTTGGCGGAATTTGCCATTCCTTGTACTTGATGACTTCATGGGCGACTCGTGGAAGGCGAGTCGTGACACCATGCATGAGACGGAGACCTTCACTGATCACTGCATTCTATACGTGCGAATAATAATTAGCACCGTGGAAGCAATGGTGTGACCCAAGATATCGTCCTTACCAGATATGGAAGTTGGTCCAGCTGTGTCAGGAGTTCTTCGTCTGGTCCTGGCTGCATTGGAATCGTGGATAATTCATCTCGCAATCTTTGAAGCTTCTTCTTGTCCTGGAGCAGATAGAAGGTGACGATTGTCAATGTCTTCGCGGTTGTTTCGCTTCCAGCACCAACCATGGTCTGCGCCTCATCCTGCAGACGGTCTGCTTCCTTTTCCACCGGCGGCAGGTCGCTGTCTAGCAAAGCTTGGAAGATCGTCCCAGGGGCCTTCTTCCCTTCACGGTTATTGGCAATAATTGAGTCCACCTGTCGACGGACCATTTGTTGCCATTGCAACAATAAAGCAGCCTCGGGAGCAGCCTTGCTCAGAATCGGCATGGGGAGAGACTTCATGACGGGAAACGCCCAGGGGAATTGTCGGATCAATGCACCGCTAGCTGACCCCCCAATGACCGTATCTTTCCATTCGAGCTTGAAATCATCTTCGTAAAGATAGTTGTAGCTTTCTCCATAAGCGTAGTCGGTGATTATATCCATCGTTAAGGCCATGTAAGCGGCATCGAGTCGCAGCACTTGCTTACTCTGGCAAGCGGCCGCCAATCGCTGGCATATGATCTCGATCTTCTCCCAAATGAGTTTCTCGGCATTGGATACAGCACGTTTCGAAAAGAAGGGGTTGATGGCCGATCGTCTGAGGCGATGATGGTTGTGGGAGACGGTAGCAAAGGTCGATGCCGGTGCGCCCGCGCCTATCGTCCAGTTCCCATATTTATCTCGCTGCTTGGAAGCAGGTGCGTATATTTCATCATAGAAGTCCGGGTCCTTGATATGGATTTCCTCTGGAGTGATCCGCACGATTGGGCCTTTGTGTCACAGAAGTTAGAATCCGTTCAACACAATTCTAATGTCGTGCAATTCATTGGCTCTTTCTCCATCGCAAGCCATCGACAACGATATCTGCATCTGAAAGCACAGTGGACGTGAGATCGAGATACGTACCATATCTTTTATGCATACGCTCAATTTCCCATATGAATTGGCCTGGTTTGATCACATCATAGTAGAATTCGTACCATCGCGTCAATGCAGCAAGCTTGGGACCTGGGAAGCGGGCCAGCGGATGGAAATACAAACGGTAAACTGTTCCGCAGATGAGATAGCCCACCAAGGCAGCGGCTGCGGTCCAGGCTAAGGAAAGCATTGTTGCGGACTGACCCTTAACGTGTCCGTCGCAGAATTGCCACCCAGCTCTCTTTCGGAATACGAGGGACTGCGAAAAAGAGAAAGGATTGGGGTTATAGCTGGAGGAATCGGCTGTTATCACCAGAGAACCCTTAGGGGACGCTAAAACAATCATAACACGCCATGTTAACTGGGGCAGCACCTATAAGGCTATAGCTGACAGTCAGACCAACCGTCAACGGTCACCAACCTGGCAAGCCGAGGTGCAGATAGCGGGGGATATCTTGATGGAGCATTGATGATGGCTACAAAGGCTTGGTCGATTATCGACACCCGTTGTGGCTGGAAACTAGAGCTACAATGGCCAATCTTACGACCAGTGAACTCTCTGTTTGCCAACCACAAACTGCGTTCACGATCTTGGAAGCCCCCTCGGTGACTCGGGGAGTCGGGGATACAGACGTTCAACAAACTAAATAACAACGTTCCACACGGCCCGAAGCGGACTGTTTCCGAGCCTACCGTACTCGCTAGAGTAGAGTATCCAGGCTGTGGGGCTCCACGCGATTCAGCTGAAGGTTCGACCGTCCTCTGCGGCGTTTGGCTTGCTTGCTGTCGTGAAAAAAAAAAAAACGTGGAAGGGCTAAGTAAACGCCGATTCAGCCACGAGACGATGAGCCCCCAGACAAGATGGCAGCCTTAAGGACTGAGCACTCCCCTTCCGGGGATGAAACATCTGAATCACGTTGAGAATCGCGCCAATTTCCCGGGGTTTAAAGATCCCAGCGTCGTTTCGGTCCCCCTCCTTACTGTGATTGCGGGTGACATGGCAGAATCAGGGGATGTTCGCGCAGGCGCGCCTCTAGAAGTTGATGTAAGCCACAAGAGAGTCGGCCAGATGCCTTGACCCCACAGGTAATTGATTTTGGTTGCTATAGTCAGACAGCGGCGACTGGCAGAGTATCGATGACGGTTTGACATCGGTCTCCTCGTCCATCTACAACTATGAGTACGAGAACGGTCGGACATATCACTCGTTCCACTCTGGTTCCTATGTAAGTGGTTGGGCGACAGAATCAATCGCATGATCGGCGGTAAGACGCGAGGCCTGACCGTCGCTGCCAGATACTTCCGAACGATGAGAAGGAGCAAGACCGGCTGGATGTCCTTCACCATGTATTCCGCCTCTGTTTGCACGGGGACTTGGCATGGACGAGACTGGACAATCCCCAGAAGATTCTCGACGTCGGGACAGGAACTGGCATCTGGGCCATTCAAGGTGAGCACCAAGTGTTTAATTTAAATCGTAACTTGAGTGTAGATGGCTGACACCGCTGGCAGTGGCCGACGAATTCCCATCGGCAGAAGTGATTGGAGTGGACCTCTCTCCCATTCAACCCAGCTGGTCCGTATGTCTTTCACATTGCTATAAGAGAATTGAATCTAAGCTGGACAGCTAGGACACCACCCAATCTGCGCTTCATTGTCGACGACGTGAGCGAGGATTGGGCTTTCCCTGAGGAATCGTTTGACTTCATCCACGTCCGGGGTCTCGCTGGCAGTTTGACGGATTGGCCAAAATTTCTAAAGCGCTGTTATAAGTACGTGAAGCACGATCGCATTTACTGAGGGCATCACTCATTAACAAATCCAACGCAACAGGCATCTGAAACCAGGCGGCAAGATCGAGCTTTCTGAAGGTCGTACGCATATGGAATGCGACGACGACTCCTATCCCAAAGAAAGCTATACATACAAGTGGATCGTAAGACTGACCTTCGGCTGATTTTAATTCTGGACGAGAATGCTGAATCTTCCGTACAGGAAGCATTCAACCAGATCTCGCATGACCTGGGCAGGATATTTGACTTGTTCCCAGAGTACAAGAACCTTTTAGCAGACGCAAAGTTCGAAAATATCCAATGCCACGAGGAAATCTGTCCCATTGGAACATGGCCCAAGGACCGAAGATTGAAAGAGATTGGATGGTTCTTCCGTGCCCAGTTTCTCGAGAGCGCAATCGATAGCTATTCATTGGCTCTGTTTATGCGCTACGGAGGTTGGTCCAGGGAGGAAGCCGAGGTGCTCTTTGCACGTGTGCGGCAGGAGATCAAGACGAACGAAATGCACGTTTACACACACTGGTAAGTCAAATCCTGGTAGTGACGCAGTTGAAACGACCTGGCTCACCTCTCAATCCTAGCTCTTTTGCAACTGCTCAGAAACCTTTTGAGACGAGGTCAGTATAGAAATATATACAATAGTATCTGTGCGTAATGTTCTGCATACTTTAAGGACTGTGCTTCATTTAGCGCAGAACAAACCCATAAACAAGCTAGTTAGCATGTTCTTTGATCCATGCAACTAACTAAAAATATACGGAAGTTCAAACAAACATTCTCACATGGTCAGTTGCTTCGAATCTTAATTCTAGGTGAGAGTATCTGTGTTGCAGTTAGGGGTTCTCGTAAGCACGTATATACGAAAGTACATACATCCATCCTCCCAGAAGGTGACAATAACGATAGTCTACTAGTAGCGTATATCTAGTTTATGCAGTGGAAAGGAGCGAACCCAATGAAATGGTGACTAAGCGACCAGATATCGCTCCGCGATAAGAGCGGGCATGATTTCAATCCCCCGCAATGCATCCAAGGCAAAAGTCTCAACAGGCCTAGACGCCTTCCCCATCTCGCGAGATGGCTGCTTCATCCCACAGGGGACCCGATGCACCCGGGTCTGGGCGAACCGTCGAGGAAAAGGACGATGCATTCGTCCCTGCTCTTATCGTCGTTGATATGCAAGAGGACTTCTGCCCACCGGTACGTCCATCTAGACCTTCAATAGACCCCATATTCTAAAAGCGCAATCATCACAACTCCCAGAACGGATCTCTCGCCGTCCAAGAAGGTCGATCCATCGCCCCCTTAATCAACTCCCTCCTCTCCCTCCCTACCTTCGCCATACGCGTCGCGACCCAAGACTTCCACCCCCTCGAACACATCTCCTTCGCGACCAACCACCCACCACCCAACAACCGCCCATTCGAATCCTTCATCGAGATGAGAAACCCCGCACCGGGAAAAGAATCCGAAACCAAACCCCAACAACTATGGCCTGAGCACTGCGTTGCAGACACACCCGGCGCGGCGCTCATTCCTGAGATCGAAACCGATCGCATCGATCTATACGTCAAAAAGGGTATGGATCCTCGCGTGGAGATGTATTCTGCGTTCGGGGATGCGTTTAGGAATATTGATGATGAATTCTTGATGAGGAAGTCGGTGAATGTGGATTTGAAGGCTGCGTTGAAGGAGAGGGGTGTTACGGATGTGTTTGTTGTTGGGCTGGCGGGGGATTATTGTGTGAAGTTTACGGCGATGGATGCGGTCAAGGCGGGGTTTAGGAGTTGGCTTGTTGAGGAGGGGACGAAGTGTGTGGTGCCTGGTGAGGGGTGGGAGAGGACGAAGGAGGAGTTGAGGAAGGAGGGTGTTTCTATTGTTTCTGTGGATGGTCCTGAGGTGCAGAAGCTCAGGTCTGGAAGGTAGAGAAATTGAGTTGAGAGAATGGGAGGGAAAAAGAGGAAGAAGAAGAAGAAAAGAAGAAGGGATATAAAAATGCTATAGAAGCATGAATGGTGGATATCTTGGAGGGAGATCACTGGAGTCTTGACCGTCTTGACCGTCTACGAGAACTTTCTCCATAACAAGAAGAATAATAATAATATCATCAGTTCAACCTACTCCAACAGATGAATGTCGCAACGGCTGCGATGTTCTGATAGGCCAGATGGACCGAGAGGCTATACCTGAGATTGAGCATGACAAGAGGACATGTGAGATTGCAAGGTCCGAGAAGGAGATTCGTTCGCTGGGGGTCCTGCACCAGGACCTCCGGCTGGCCAATATTCTGTGGAATGCTGAGCTGGGACGGGCCCTGATTATTGACTTTCATTGCTCGAAACTGATTTACCAACCTACGAAAAGGCGGGCGGAGTCACGTCGAAAGCATCCGTGTAGAGGAGAATTGCACAGGCGAAAACGATCTTGTATCGTCTAATAACGTAGATAAGAGATACTGCATGCGTGTGCAGAAATGAGCAATGATATGGACTGGTAGTAATATAAGACTTAATCGAGAAACTCTCAAGTAAACGTAGGGTTGATGTTTACACAGTTAGCTGTCTTCATTACCTGAGATCCTTCATGAACAGCCAGTCGAGTTTGTCATCAGCAAGAAATGGTTGAGGGTCTCCAAAGATATCAGTGAGCGTCGCTGTCGTTTGTTCAACAAAGCTCAGAAGAGTGGACGGTCTCTTTCACTTCTGAACTTCCTGAAGGGAAGCGGTGAGAAGCTTGCTTACTAGAACTATCTAATGCCTGGGCGTGCCCTACCTAGTATTATTTATTATTTACCAGGAAGTCGAACTACACTACAAAATAATGCAAGGGTCCCTGGGCAGCAATCATTTTTTGGTAGAAACCAATCGACAAACAGTACTACATGTGGCCCGTGCTCATGTTCCCGCGGATCTGAACTGAACTGAACTGAACCGCCCCAAGAACCGTTGCGACCACCCGTGAGAGCGAACATTCTAACCTAACTTACGGATTACCTTATTCAAACTACCTGGTCGGCTGGATCCTATCTCTGGCCGACTCCCCCCGGTCCTCAATTCTCCCCGTGGATTGCTTGCACGGTGTCGCTCCGGGTAGTGAGCGTTATTCTTGCGAAGAGCCAAACACAAAAAGCTGCATATGATGCCACACTACAATGAATCTTCTACGCCGGCGGTGACTATAGCGGATATCGATCAGAAAGTAACAGATGCTGATCCGAGAGATGTGGACAATAATATTCCTACAGTTAACGATGATAGCTCACCAGGATCGCTCCCATATTGGCTTGTGAATGTCCCCCGTTCCGAATGGCCTGCTGAATGCCCTGAGTATCTGCGCGACTTGGTTCCTAAATCGATCAAGTGTCTATCGACGCCGGATGAAGCGTACAAGAGGCAGGACTGGGAATTGGTGAAGGAGATAGTAGGTCAGTGACCATTGAAGTAGCCATCATGGGGGAGAGTTCTACGGGTGCAGCATTAGGACCAGCTGCTGACGCAGGATGTCTGGCTCATATAGGAACAAACCATATCGAACGTTTCCAGCGCGTGCCGTCCGATCTCCGTAGGTACCTAGAGTATACCGCTCAGATCAAAAAGAAATATGGATCTGTTATGGACTTCATTGTCAAAAAGAGGCTGCACTGGGGCGAGGGGAGACCGCAGGATCTCAAACCAAAAGGGCGCCCGTTCGAGTGCGATGGTGAGACTGTTACGTTGTTCGTGCATAGGTCGTTTAGGCTGTCTAGCTGACCAGTCCCGAATTGCCATGCAGAGGATATTAAGATTTTATATAACGACTGGCCTTATGGGGTCGAGACGGACATCATTCACCTAGTTGTTTGGGTCAAATTCGATCTCGAGGACGACCCCGCAACCGACGACCTCACCCCGAAAGCGCGACAAGAGATCGAGGAGTACGTGCAGAGGACTTTCTGCTCGCGCATACCACGTGAAGAGGTCAGTTACCAGCATCACCGATGTGACCATCTGATTCGATAAGCTGAATTATGATGCGTGAAATTTAGATTGTTTGGTTCAAGAATTGGAAGTCCCTGAAATCGGTCCACGCCATCGAGCATTTCCATGTCATGATCCACAATCCTGACATGGATTTTGTGAGGGAGCTCACCCACGGGGATATGCCTCTTATTGAGAGAGTAAAGAACGGCGAATCGGGGTTCTGACGGCGGAAGGGAAGGCTTGGTGAGAATCATGACCATCGGTCTACCAGCTTTTGACTTTGGGTAACGGGGCCTCGTATTGCGGCAGCACAATATCTGATGTTTTGCTGCGCATTGATCGTATAGTAGAGACACCTAGAAAAAGAGTTGTTTCCGACAATAGAGAAGAATACAGACATGCTCTTCGAGCGCTGAGAGTAGGATCGCATCTAAATCTGTTTTGAGTGACGGGAGGGCGCTACCTAAAAAACCCGATGACCCCTCCGTCTGAAAAATTGCAGGGAGCCAGGGTGAGTATCCGACCCCCCACCGCCAAGCCCTGCGGCAGTGCCGGTCGCGGTACCTTGATGCTTGATAATACGGTAATCTAGTTACTTGAAAAGCTTCGCGGCAGCATGGGCTCAAGAGAAGACAGAAGAACGGATTATTGTTGGCAAGTATTGGGAAATGACGCTTGCGGAGATGGAGACAGACGGATAAACCGTGCGCGTCCAAGAAATTGAGATGAAGATGAAGATAAGAGAGGAGAAGAGAGGAAAGTAATAGAGTAGTTATCCGGCGATCTGCCTCGTTCGTCCGTGGTAACAAGTAGACTAGTAATACTAATACAGCCGTCGTCATCTCGCCCAACAAACGTCACCGCCTGCCCGCCAGCTAAAATGTTGCCCTTGCTGGCCCGCTTCTTTTTTGTGATAATTAATACTTCTGCCTCGACAGCGTAGCCGCACTGGATAATAATCGATCGCCCATATAGACACCTGGTTTGCCTGGGAAACAACTCCCTGCACGACTTGCTGGCTTCTTCTCATCTCGACTCATCCCCTTAACCCGTCAACGTCCGGATCCTGTGGACTGCGGACGGAGCGTCTTTGACAAGGGAACTTTTTTCTTCGTCACCTGGTGCGCATAAGAGCTCTCGTTGGTCCCTAGAAAACTGCAAGTACAGGGTCCTTTTTTTCCACATCGAATGTCCGGCGTCTAGAATCGATCCCTTTTGTCGTCCAGAAGATCTAGAGATCCGGAAGGTTGACCCTAGCCAATATGCCTGTTTCCGTCCCCCACATCCATAGCCGCCGCCGCTCCTCTCTAAACAGTGAGTTCCGCCAAACTTTTTGCGTCATGCCTTCTCAGCAACCGACAACGTCCCTTCGATCTTACACGTACACTGATACTTGAGGGCGCGAGACGTGTGATGGTCATGATGGCTGACAACTGGACCTCGCGTTTCCTTCACACTACAGGCAACAGGTCATCTGTCGATGAGTCCAAAGCTGAAGCGTCAGGCGCGGAAGATGAGACGGTCGTGGAGCCCGATCAGGGAAATGGTTAGTGCGAATACTGTGCTCAGTAGGATGCTGCGAAAACGACGGAGCATGGAAGCTGATCTTTGTGTGTGATCCCAGTCCTTTCACACATCATTTCACAGCTCCGTCCCGGAGCAGACTTGAGTCGTGTTGTCCTTCCTACGTTCATTCTAGAGCCCAGATCAATGCTGGAGCGGATCACAAAGTGCGTGCTAGCAGCTCGCCGCCCGAATTTCCTGGAAGCAGAAAGTATACTGATATGGTTTGCGATTCTTGCAGCTTCATGGCACATCCGGAGACGCTACTGCCCATCTCCACCATCGATGACCCCCTCGAGCGGTTTGTCGCCGTTGTCAAGTTCTACTTGAGCGGCTGGCATATCAAGCCTCCGTACGGAAACCTACATATAATCCCGGAAGAAGTGGCTGGCTGACTGGTTTATCTGTAGTGGTGTCAAAAAGCCCCTGAATCCTGTCCTTGGAGAGACCTTCACTTGCTGGTGGGATTATCCCGATGGCACGCGGGGATACTACGTCTCCGAGCAGACTTCTCATCATCCTCCCAAGTCGAGCTACTTCTTTATGGCGCCAGAGCACCATATCCGGATAGACGGCACTCTGAAGCCCAGAAGCAAGTTCCTGGGGAACTCCGCTGCCAGTATGATGGAGGGTATCGCTTTCCTGCGTCTACTGAACAGGGGCAGCGACAAGACGAAAGGAGAAAAATAGTATGTGCACAATTGCTGCGATTTGGTTATCGTCTGCGCGGTTTCTAACGAGGAACAGCACATTGACGCAGCCAAACATGTATGCCCGTGGAATACTCTTCGGCAAGATGAAGTATGAGCTGGGAGATCACAGCTTCGTTCGATGCCCAGAGAACAACCTGGTCGCAGACATCGAATTCAAAACGAAAGGATACTTCTCGGGTACCTACAACGCGCTTGGCGGAACCATCAAGAATGAGAAGACTGGGCAGGTTTACTACGAGCTTTCCGGTTTGTGGAACGGGGAAATGCATATCAAGAACGTCTCGGTAAGTAATCCTGTGGGCATAGCCAAGACATTCTGCTGACATGCTGCACAAGACTGGCAAGAAGGAATTGCTCTTCAATGCCACCAACGCAAAATACACACCACCAAAGACTAGGCCACTCGAGGAGCAGACTGAGCGAGAATCTCAAAAATTGTGGTACAACACAGTAAAAGCTCTGATTGCAAGGAACCACGATCTGGCAACAACAGAAAAATCCAAAGTTGAGGATCGCCAGCGAGAGGAGGCCGCCAAAAGAGTAGACGAAGGAGTTGAATGGAAGCCTAGACTTTTCCGCCCCGTTAAGGGAGGCCCGGGAGGTCCCGATGAAGGCGAGGAAGATCTGGACTGGATCATTAACGCACAAGTGTAAGCCTTCTTTCAATGTCCGTTATATCCAAGTGCTAACAAACCGCAGTGATTCTCAAAACCCTGAGCTTGCTGTGAAACAGATTCTTGCTATCGCGCCGATTCTCCAGGGGCAAAAGGTTTCCCATGAGTTCGAGATACCGCCACGATCTGCTGGCAAGGATAAAGCGACGGACGACAGTGGCAATCCTATAGACTCTGCAGGCGAGAACGCCGCTCCGGGTCCAGGCGGCCTTTCGCAGGCTCCGAATGCTGCGTCTCAGGATCAAGGTGCGTCCAGCAGCAGCTCCGGTCTCGTGGAACTACCGCAGCCCTCCCAAAGTCAACAGCCCGGCAATCCATTACAGAGACGGGACACCAACACTAAGGAAGTGGACGAATTTGTAGATGCGAAGGAACAATAGTAGAGAAACGATTTCTCCCCGATGCGCATGATTTGGTGCCTGATTGCGCTATACTGCTTTGTGATTCGCCGTTTTATGACTGGTCCTTTTGATGAGTGACGTCCCTAAAGCTGTCCTAGAACAGATCCAGCACTTCCTCCGTGCAAATCTGGCTGAAAGTTGCCATTTTCAACCTCTTGATTTGGACAGCTTCCGTTCATCCCTCATCCAAAACGTTCCTATGCTGGATACCCGTTAATGATTTTCTCGTTGGGCCCTAAGAGAAGAAGGATTCAAGAATCAAAAAGGGCCGAAATACTAGCCGGAGCCTCGATGAAGAAGGCTAGGAGACGGGATGGCAAAGGTCTCATGCGGCATTCTCATTTTTGATGACAAAGCGCTGTAGGTCCAACGCTAGAAAGAGCGCTGATTAGTCGATTTTAAGATAATGAACAAATCTAACATGATTGTAAGTATTCTGCAGAAATGATGCTGTCGAGCTCAGACAGCCGATTAGTCAAAATGATTATTATAATCGGACTGGCGTTGATTCGACTTGACCACCCGAGCACTGCCAGCTGTTTCTAGTAACGCCCGTCCAATTGTGCTGCACTGGTGGACGCGAGACACTACCTAGTTAGGTAGTCTTGACATCTTATACAGGCAATACGAGACTGGCATTTGCCTAGTTCCATCTTTTGGTAGCCAGTCAAGACTATGGTAATATTCGTGAATCTCAACCCGAACTATGACTATGATATCCAAAATGAAGCCGCCCATTATGCATTCCACAGATCAATCCCTCAAAATCCACCTTCCTGGGTATTTTCCTTCTACTCAGCCATCTTTTGCCGTTTTCCCAGTATCAATCCAAGTGTTCCCCGTATGTTCATGTTGTACGCGCCATTTTCGGTCAAGGTGCTCGTAGACTCTGTAGGCTGTGAATAATGAGTTGAAGAATAGGAAGCCCAGGATCAGAAATGGATTGGCTGTCAGAGAGCGGCGTTTGTCATTGTGGATTAAGAAGTAGAGTAACTAGGCCAGCGCTTGCTAAGTATGTGGGATTGATTTCCTGTGATTGTCGGTTGGGACAATGGAGCGTTTTGATTTTGAAATTCCGGATGTGGTTTCCTCCTTTGGATGTGCGGCCATGTTGATGTTGGTGAGCTTTGGAGAGGAGACGGCTCTTGGGGATCTGTTGCTATGCAAGCATTACGCATGTTGCTGTTCAAATAGGAAAGCACGTATACAAAATGATATATCAAGTTTCCGATGGAAAGGCCATGTAGTTGCTGCCAGGATATGCCCGCAATGTTCCAGCCATGGAAGGAGCCATGTCTCTTCTGTTTACCCTATATGAAGAGGGGGCCCGCATGCCCGTCTCTGTTTTCTTTTCTCCTCCTTTCACACAACAGGTATTCGATCGTTTACAGAATTACTCGTTTAGATTATTCCATGTTGGCTCAGCTTCGTTACTAGTCAACCTCCAAGATAGTATATATACTCCCGCCAATCATTATGCGGGCTTTCACGAGTGCCGTCGCCCTTCTGGGTGCTGCATCCCTTGTCTCGACTGCTTCAGTCAACTTCAAGAGAGATGACATGCTCAGTGAGCGTAGCGTTCCTCCTTTGCCAGATGGAATGCCCAATCCGAGCGAGGAGCAAATCGAAGACATCGAACGCAGAGCGCGCGGCACTCTCCCCAACACTCCTCCGCCTTCCACAATCAGTCCGGAGGGAATTGTCAGTTTGCAGCTGATTGCGTTCAACGAGCTCTTTGAAGTGGCTTACTTCAATGAGCTTCTGCTGAACGTGACCAACAACGTTCCAGGATATGAGATCTCGGATCCCGATGAACGTGAGTTCGTCATAAAGATTTTGACGGCCGTCGAAGCTGTATGCCATTCCTGTCCCTCACTTTCTTACTCGTAGGGCATCAAGGCTGACTATACCAATAGCAAGAGTCACTCCATGCTTTAAGCGCGAACGGTGCCCTCAAAAGTGTCGGTGTTGACCCGATCCAACCATGCGAGTACATGTTTCCGGTGACAGACTTCAAGTCCGCCATTGTTCTTGCGGCGACCTTTACCGCTGTTGTTCTGGGCACGCTCCAAGATGCAGTGGATAACTTTGCCAAAGGCGGGGACAACGGTGTGGCTCGTGAGATTGCGTCCGTTATCGGTAACGAGGGAGAGCAGGAGGGTTGGTACCGACTTCTCCAGAAGAAGATCCCTAACGAGCTGCCATTCCTGACTACCAGCGTCTTGGACTTCGCTTTCACTGCCGTTCAGGGCTTCACGATACCTGGGACGTGTCCGAACATCGATGAGATCCCACTGGAGACATTTGAGCCATTGACTATTGTAACTCCACCCGGACCACAGACTCAGGAGATTACTGTGGCTTTCAATGCGGAGGACGTTGAGAGCTTGAAAGCTGAGATTGATGGAGACGATGATGATGACAAGGATGACGGGGAACACTGGTGGATAACTTATATCAACCAACTCAACAAGCCGATTGTGGAATCGCTGGAGTTCGTATCACTTGAAGGGGATACGATTTTGGCCAACGCACTTTTCCCGTACGATGAGCATTTGATGAATGGGTTGACCATTGCCGCTATCACCGATAGCCCAGGACCATTTGCAAACGCGGATGAGGTTGTCAATTCAACCGTATTTGGACCGGGGCTGATTATAGTGAAGTAAGGGGGATATGACTTGGAGTTCTTCCACATGGTGTCCATCAAAAGAACACTGGTATATTCATAGCAAAAGTGCCTCTCCATAGTCCACTTATAATTATCCTCCCGCTTAGCCTATAGCGTACCAATCAAAAGGATCATTCTCTTCCGGACTGTCCCATCACTGTAGAGCCTGTTTTCTCCGGTTGTTCTTCGAAGGGGTGCGTAGTTGCCATTCCACAAGACGACAGAATATGAACGATAGAAAATTTCAAATTCCACGACGCATATAGGTATCAGTGTCTAGAATATAATATGCAGCGCACGTATGTATGTACAGTATATGACAATAGCCCCACTACTCAAAAGAGATATCGACAGGCCATGCTTCAAGGAATAATCGCCAAGCAAAAAAAGTAAGAATCTTTCAGACAAGTGAACGCCGTGGCTCGAATGTACCAAAACGCCAGTTTTTTGTGACACCAAGACGAAGAAGAGCGTATTATGCAGATAACCAAAACCAGACCCATAATTTTGCAATAGGGTTTATTCTCTTCTCAAGAGTACAATTCACCTCTTGTGCCAGCACCGCGCTCGAGATCTCGCCGTCGACGACCAGAATTCGTTGTGGTTGTGCGGGTGCCGCCTCCTTCGCGGTCTTCGAGCTCGTCCTCCAGCATTCGTTGTTCTTCTTTGATCTCCTCTTCCATGTCTTCCCGGATCCCGAGGATATCGGGTGGGATGAAGCTCATTTGCACGCTGGGGGCGCCTTGGATGTAACGGAGTTTCTCCTTGATGGTTCGAACGAGATTGGCGAGGTAGGCGCGAGAGTTCTTATTTTCGATCCGACGCATGTCGGAGAGAGGGGGAAAGAGGCTGTAGTCTGGACCGAAGTGGTTGCGGAAAGTGACTGCTTCGGGGATGTTGGGGTCGATGATGTTGGCGGCGTCGATGAGGATGGAGGTCTCGTGGGCCCAGGCTCGAGAGACGTTACGGGGGGTGTAGCCACCGCCGCCGACGACGAGGAGAGGGATACCGAATGTCTTGACGTACGCGACGCAGGCGCCGTGGGCTTGGACGTTCAGGCTGAAGCAGCCGAGACGGTCGCAGCCCAGACTGTCGGCGCCGCATTGCAGGACGATGGCGCCTGGTTTGAAAGTCGAGATGCATGATCCGATGATCTCTTTGAAGAGCGCGATGTAGTCGTCATCCTCGATCCCGTCGTTGAGGGGTACATTCAGCGCGTGATGCGCGCCTGGGTTCAGAGGATGCGCGGGACCATTACTGTCGAGGGCGCCTGTTCCTGGGAAGAAATTGTCCTTGTCGTATTTGTGGAAGGAGACGGTGAGGACGCGATCTGTTGACCAGAAGGCCTGTTCGACGCCATCGCCATGGTGGACGTCGATGTCGATGTACATGACGCGCGGATGATGGCGTAGCAGCTGTAGGATGCCCAGGACGATGTCATTGACGTAGCAGAAGCCACTGGCTTCAGCCTTCTTCGCATGATGAAGACCTCCCGACCAATTAATCGCGATATCAGACTGATTATTGCATAGCTTGCGCGCCGCGTCGATAGTGCCGCCGGCATAGAGCGAGGCGTAGTTATACAAGCCATCGAAGACGGGACAATCGTCTCCGAAATTGAACCGGGCGAGGTTATCGCTCTGCTCAGCAGACTGCATGTCCGACGGGATGATGGTCTTGAGGAAGTCGAGGTAGTCGGGATTATGGAAATCGGCCATCTCTTCGTAGGTCGCTGCTCGGGTTAGATACAGGTCCATCGCATGGTGCATGCCGTAGGCCATGACCAGCTGCTTTGTGAGGGTCAGTCGAAACGGTTTCATCGGATGCGACTGGCCGAAATGATGCGGTTCGACGGCCGGGTTGGCGTGCCATGATACTCGATACCCCTTGGGGCGCGGGATCGCAGTGTGCTGGCGTTCATGGGCGACTTTGCTGTCGACGGTCAAGGTGGTTGAGCGCGGAGGTGGTGCGTATTCCTGGACGACAGATGAGCGCGCCATGGCGGGCGCGAGAGGTTGGAGGGAGGATAGTATCGATACGTAGATAGATAGAAGAGAGAAATCGAGATCTCGTCCAAATCATCGCCGGACTTCACGATCGGCGGAGACTCGGCCAGTGGCGGGGCGAAACGCCACGTGAGGCTGGCTAGCCGTTTGGGGACTGTGGCTGGAGAATGCTATGGATTATTAATAATGGGTTATTGGATATTATTTTGATTATTATTGTTGTTATTTTATATTTTTGGTTATCATTACTCGTTCACTGAAGAGAGCATCCTAATAAGGTCATCTTTCTTTACTACTATAGTTAGTACATACATACCTTCATAGTTAACTAACAAGACAAGACCCGCGCCGTTCGAGGATCCTCCGCGTCGGCCCGTATAAATGAATGAATCATCGAATATCACAGCAGAACCAAACACGACAGTATCTAGTCCCTGAAAATGATCTGTCTTTTCCTATTTAAAGTATTATTATTCCCACCAATCGTTTGATCGACAAATGAACCTGTTGCTCTCGGTAATTTTGTTGTTGGCTGCTTACATATCCGGCCTCCGATACCGGCCCCGGTTGGCATCGGCGTTCCATCGGGAAAAAGATGTATAAAAGTTGCTGTACCACCTCTTCTTGAGTGCAGCTTCGAGAGCTGACAATAATAAAGCAATTTATTCATTATAGATAGGATAATACCTATCAGACTCTTTCCCTAGACCATTGAAAGACTTCAAGTCTTCCCCTCAAATCCTATTCCATCATGGCAGCAACAGCACCGCCCTCTGCAGCGACCACTCTCCGCCGCACCCTGGAAGATCCCAATTCCTTCATCGTAGCACCGGGTGTTTATGATGGATTCTCTGCCAGAATTGCCCTTCAGACCGGATTCGATGCTCTATACATGGTCAGTTCAACTCTTTCCTCTCTTTTCCGTTTCGAATCTTGATCTTTCAATCGTTACATCACATTCTCCATTTTCAAGGTCAATATGTGAGCAATGAATATATGAAGCTAATATCTCTACAGACCGGAGCAGGCACAACAGCCTCCGTCCACGGACAGGCAGATCTAGGCATCTGCACATTGAACGACATGCGCACCAATGCCGAAATGATCGCCAACCTGTCCCCCTCCACCCCGCTGATCGCCGACGCAGACACAGGCTACGGCGGTCCCATCATGGTTGCCCGTACGACGCAGCAATACGCCCGTTCCGGCGTCGCCGGCTTCCACATCGAGGACCAGATCCAGACCAAGCGATGCGGACATCTAGGCGGCAAGATCCTCGTTGACGTCGAGACATTCGTCTCGCGCATCCGAGCAGCAGTGCAAGCTCGCCAGCGTATCGGCAGCGACATCGTCGTGATTGCACGCACAGATGCGCTCCAGAAACATGGCTACGAGGAATCTCTCCGACGACTGAAGGCTGCGCGGGACGCAGGTGCGGATGTCGGTTTCCTCGAGGGCGTCACGTCGAAGGAGATGGCTCGTCAGATCATTCGTGATGTGGCGCCGTGGCCGATGCTGTTGAATATGGTTGAGCACGGTGCGACGCCCAGTATTTCTGCTCCCGAGGCCCGCGAGATGGGGTTCAAGATTATCATTTTCCCTTTCGCGGCGCTGGCGCCTGCGTATACTGCTATTAAGGCCGGTATGGAGCGGTTGAAGGAGACTGGGTTGACTGGTGCTGGCAAGGAGTTGTCGCCGGCGATGCTCTTCCGCGTGTGTGGGCTCGATGAGAGCGTTGAGATTGATGAGGCAGCTGGTGGTGCCACTTTTACTGATGGAGTTGATTTGCCGAAATAGAGTAGATACGTGGATTTTTCTTTCTGTGTCTTGTGTTTTCTGCATTGGAAGGGATAACTACTGTACGTATGGTCCCGGAAATAGAACATAAATCAGCGGCCAACATACTCAAATTCATAATCAAGACATGTTGTTGCGCACTTTCATTATCGTAATTAGTTTTTAATGGCCTATACACCTCTCCCGATCTCGCGCCTAGCGTAAAGTATACTGTAGCTGCGCTGTTTCCGAGTGATGGTGCTTCGCCACTCGCCACCATCACCACTAAACAGAACTCAGTATGACTTTCAAGGAAGACGAGATCATAAAATAAAGACTAATGACTCAGTTAGTCCCAGTCTTTAAATTAAAGGTAACTAGTATACCCGCGGAGAGATGTAAAATGAAATAAAAGGATCCCAGGACCTTATCAGTATAAACGATACGTGATAGCCAACCACTTCCTCCGACTAACTTGTCGGGAAACTCGTCACTAATGTCATTTATCAGACAAATTGATCTCCGGACAAGGGATGGTTTTAACTCTAGATTAAGTTTAAATGAAAAAGCTTATATCTTTTCGTAGCTAAGTTCTTATAATTATTATCTAAACAAATTAGTGATAGCATCTAAATGAATCAAGGCTAGCAGGTCATCCTCAAGGAGAGCGTCCGTTCTATATCCGATGAATTACCCTCGCATAAAAACTATTATTTGTAGTCAGATTCTCTAGCCCAGTGCTCCTATAGCAGCGGCAGAGATGCCTGGATAGCACTAATTGAAACTAGCATGCTCTGGATACGAGAATACATTGCTGGTTTCATCGAGACCCTACGGGCGATGTAAGATACTATGTATATCCAGCGATATTTACCAAGAAGAATAGTAGATCGAACCCAGTCATGATTGAGGCCACTCGTGACTGCAGAGCTGAACCTGCACTTGGTTGAAGACTCTAGAGTATGTAGATCCTTGATCGCTGGCCAGAATCACCTCCATATCTGCCGTCCTTTCGGTTCAGGACACACACCGTACAACCAAACCACCTAGGCGTCCTGCTGAAGACGTTAACTATATGGATCGTGCTATACGACTGTAGTCTGTTTTTAAAAAGTCAATGGATTCTAGGTCGCAGCTGTGTGACTGACCCGTCTGCATCGAAGAGTTATCGTTTGACCACATTGACTATACGACACCCAAGAGAGCTAAAGAGTTTTACTTGGCGGTTAAAGATTTCCATTAGCCAATGATGAAACAAGAGAGAATTAGTCTACTGGTGTCTGTTCCGCTTGACTTTCCCCAGACCTTGACTCTGAGCGTTTCTTTGCGTCCTTGTATTTGACTCGATAATGTTTCATACAACTATCCCATTCCAGTAAACCAGAAAACAGGTCAAATATGGTATCAATGTGAAACTTCATGATCGATTTCAGGAAGACCCTTACAATGTGCGTATAGAATTATGAAGATATGCTTCCTTATTCTCCCTCTACGCTATATACCCTCTATCTGCATTTGTTTTCCTGAATCTTCCGTTTACGCTGCCCCTGGTTCGAAAAATTCCAAGCTGTGGCTCTTTGAAGTTTGTCCCTTCTCCTCTGCAAGTCCATATCGAGTGATCGTTGACATTTTCTTCTCAACTTTCGAACTCCCAACGTGATAATAAGAGACCGCCAATGAACAGGCTGGAATTGTTCACAGTATTGTATCTTCGATCATTCTGTGGCTTACTAAAACTTCATAACCAGATGACTGACAGCCTCGATCTAGAAAACATGGATTGCGATTTTCCAATACCCGGCTGCTTCGCTTTTTGGTAGCAACCGTGACAGATATCGATAGATCAAGATAAGATAGCCTCGCCACCTCAGCCCTGGCTTGTTGAACTTCTTGTCTCTAGCACCTACTCTTGTTGATTCGATGGAAGCTTGCTGACAATAAATATGAATAAGATATACTCCCGTATCTGGTAACTAACTACGTAGCTAGTTGGTCCCGCAAAGACCCACCAGTAAGTACTCTAGGGTGAAGCTAGACTGCCGCGCTACGGGCGAAAGACTTGCAGTTCAGCTCAAGGGAGCTGATAACTGCATCCACTACGGAGTATATACTCTAAGCACTTACAGTATACAGTTAGCTATAATTATGCGCCACAATGATCGTTACATGAGAGAATCCAATGAAACCACTGCCTCTATCCCCACACCGGTCGCAATCTTCAATTAACTTGTGATAGAGCACAGCTGCTCCCCTGCCTAAGTAATGTTGTCCTGCCGATTCCATTCTTAAGAGGGGGACTGCTTTTTTTTCACTTCTCTCTCGTTGCTGACTTTAATTCTGCTATATCCAGCAAAATTGCAATCTCTCCCTTTCGATAGACACATACCAATTTTCGTCTGATCCATCTATACAAAATGCGCCTCTCAATTCTCCTCCCTGTCTTCATCTCCTCCAGCCTAGCCGCAGCCAACACCCTCAACGTCACTGTTCTCGGCGCCCGCAACAACCGCTCCACGCTGGAATGCTGGGCCCTCGAGCCGGGCTTCAAGACTTCCACGGAGTCCGGCACCGCTGGCTCTATGAGTTTGAATCTGGGTCCTCTGGGCGGCAAGAGTGCGGGGAACTCCACATATGCTGTTATCCCGGCGAAATTTGATGGTGGAAGACATAATGCACCGACTCCGCAGTACGTTACTTGATGTTTTGGCTTGGTTTTTTTTTCTTTACATATATGTTTTCCTTGTGTATTTCTTTCTTCTTTGTCCAGTTCACATAAATCAGGGAGAAAAAAAGATGGGGATTATGGCGTAGCATATCACTGTATACAGCTATGTTCTCATTCCCTCGAGCTAGATTCTCCTTCACCCTACTTTTCTTTGTTATCACCATTAGCTCTATGTATATTTCTCCATCATTGATTTACTTATTCCTCCCCACACCACTAACACCTCCACCAACCAGATGGGTCGTCTTCCTCTCCGGCTTAGCCCACATCACCCTCCCCAACTCAACACTCGAAGCCTACATCCCCGGCGGGAAGAACGGAGCCATTCTGGCCCTCGACACAGCGGACGTGAGTACTCTGGGCCATATCACCACGTACCCGTCTCAGGAGACGACGGTTGCGTTGGAAATCCCCCTCGGCGATGAGGGTGTCCCTGGACATCGAGTCTTGCATGTGGGAGCTTGTCGAGATGGGGAGATGTTGGTTTGATTTACTGTATGAGATCTTGTTCTCCTCTCCACCCTTCCCTGGAGATATATCGGGAATGTAAAGCTGTGTGGGGTTCAAGTGTGTGGGATTATTTATATGCAGGAATGAAGAATCGATTATAGATGGATGGAGGTGTTAATGCATTTTATAGGTATTGCAGACCGTTAGGTAAGGGATTCAAAATGGCGTTCTCGCTCTTACATACGGCTGTTTGGTTGGTGGTTTATACGTACGGAAAGCTGGATTGCTGCTAGGAGGTCATAGAATTCATTGAAAATGGAATTACTGGTCCGGAGGGTCTAAGCGTCCTCGTTAGAGTGAAACTGGACAATGGATATGTTGCTTTTCTACCAGTACGAAAAGACCATGCCGCTTGCGGTGTCCAGAAAAGTCGATGTCTATTGTTCTAGCCTATAGACCATGATAGTATCCTAGCCGAAATGATGTAGATATGATCCCCTACTTTTTCAATCTATGTATAGTTGTTCTCTTTCTTTCGTCTCGTTGAGCCACGGTACCCACTGCTAGTTTGATACTCCTAAAAAAACACCGTCGTTGAGACACCGCCAATCTTTCTTTTTCAGCAGCCTGTCATAATCTAGGCTAACAGATAGCCCTATAGCAACGCGCGTCACCGCTCCTCGAACAACGCCACAAGACCCCGAAAACCACCAGTCATGATCGTAGATACCAAACACTGAATCGTCGGCCTCCTTTTGAGGGCCAGAAAAGCAGCTCAAAGAGTTAACGGAGAACGCTCGCGAAAAAAAAAAGAAACAGCCCACAAGTAGTTAGAAAGGCAAAGACAAGCAGAGCTATTTCTCTGCATCCCGAATCTAACGACGCAAGATCATTCGTGAGCGCACAGACACTAGCACCTCTTTAGATAGATACTGTATAGCCATAGACAGCTCTGAAATTCTACGTCTAATGCTCGTTGCAGCCTCGTGAGATTCCCTCTATATCTTTTCGACACCCTTCTGCTCGTCAATGTTGAGTTTGGCCTCGAGCTCGGCTGCGGCTGCGGCAGCTGCGGCGGCCTGCTTCTTGAGCCTCTTCTTCTCCTTCTCTCTCTCCTTTGCAGCCTTCTTCGCCGCAGCCTTCTCGGCCTCGAGAGCCTTCAGCTTCTTCAACTCCTCACCACCGTATGCCAGGCGCCACTCCTCTATCTTCGAAGTCGGGATCTGGGAGAACAAGAGCTTAGGCTCTCCAATGACGTGGCCTGGCTTGAGGATATCGACCTCCCAGGTGTCAGGGATGAGAGGCTCAGGCACGACTCCAATCTGCCGGAAGATGGACTCCGAAGTACCGGGCATGAAAGGAGACAGGATGCTTGCGAGGAGGTGAAGGTGGTTGAGCGCCAGACCGATGACGGCAGCACAGCGATCGGGCTCTTCCGTGAATAGTCTGTTGTCGAGTTTGTTGTCCTGAAGAAGCTTGTTGCCGAGGGCGGAGATGTGGAGGACGTCTGACAGACCCTGTCGCTGCTTCATCGCCTCCATATGCTCAAGATACTCCTTCAGGTGAGCGTTGACCTGCTTCTTGTGTTCCTCGAGAACCTCATCCGAATACTTGGTGAAGTCGGGAACCTTGCTTTCCATCTTGGCCTGGGTGAACTTGACCACTCTCTGGACCAGGTTGCCAACGTTCTTCAGCAGGTGATCGTTGTTGGCACTGACGAACTCATCCCACTTGAATTCCGAGTCGTTGGTCTCAGGACGTCTAGACAGCAGATAGAATCGCCAGATGTCCGGGTCGATACCCGTATCCTTGGCATTGGTACCAAACACACCCACTCCCTTCGACTTACTGAACTTTCCACCCTCGTAATTCAGATACTCTGTAGCTGAGAGCTTGTGTACTTGGGTCCATTTCCCGCCCGTGCCGAGCTGGGAACCGGGGAAGATGATGGTGTGGAATGGCACGTTATCCTTACCCATGAACTGGTACAAGGACACCTGCTCCGGGTTCTTCCACCACTTCTCCCAGTTCGTACCCGAGAGATTATCTCCGTCGGTATAGTTCTTCGTGATGGACATGTAGCCGATGCAAGCATCGAACCAGACATAGAAGACCTTGTTCTTGTACTCCTCCTCGTCCAAGCCCTCCACATCAGTTGGGATCGGAACACCCCATCGGAGGTCACGAGTGATTCCACGGGGCTTCAGTCCCTTATCTATCCATGACTGCGTGATGGAAATGCAATTGGCACTCCACTCGCCCTCTTTGCTCGCTTTCTCAAACCAGGAAACGATCTGGTCACGAAGCGCGTCCAAGCGCAGGTAGAGATGCTTAGTCTTACGCTTCTCGGGGGTTGCACCATCCAGCTTGCAGCGAGGGTTGATCAACCAGCCGGTGGCCTTCGTGACCACATCCTCGTCGTCCTGACCACTGGTCTTCGCTTGGGCATCTTCCGTTGATTCCGGCTCCAGGGGATCGAGCAGATTGCCACACTTGTCGCACTGGTCTCCACGGGCACCCAGATCATGACAGATGCTGCACTCTCCCTCGACAAAACGGTCTGCCAGGAACTTCGAATGAGTGGGCACAGGACAGAACGGCTGCGTGGTTTCCTGCTCCTCGATATAGCCGTTCTTCCAGAGACCCCGAAAAACGTCCTGGACAATTTGTGTCTGCTGGGCAGTAGGTGTCCGGCCAAAGATATCAAAGTTGATTCGGAACCAGTCGTAGATACCCTTGTGAATGGCATGGTACTTAGCACAGAGCTCCGCGGGCTCTACGCCTTCCTCGAGTGCCTTTGTCTCTGTGGCGGTTCCATATTCATCCTAAGACAGTATCAGTATTCTGCATCTAATTTTGAGATGGGACGAATGACGAACCGAACCGCAAATAAACAGCGTCTGGTAGCCTCGTGCCTTGCAGAAGCGAGCAAAAGTGTCTGCCGGCAGGACACTCCCCACCACATTTCCGAGATGCGGGACATTATTCACGTATGGCAGAGCACTAGTGATGAGAATATTGCGCTTACCCTCTACGGGGAGAATGGGATTGCTGTTCGCCATGATCAACGCAGTCAGATCGGCCTCTCGCTGATATCTCGACAACGATGACCAGCCCTCCAGCACAATAATCGAGTCATCGCGATATGGCGGGTTCGACGCTTTTTTGCCGCCTGGTACCGCCTTTCACGTGACCTACCCCGCCATAGCCGGTCGAGTGCAGAAGAGATCAATCATGGGTTTCTAGTATTTACGGGCATAATTATAGCATAGCACTTATTTCTGGTCTTATCCTGACAATCTCCCATCGGTGTCAAGGTGACTCTGGAATGCCCAGCCAGTCAGTTGCTTCTAGTGGAAGGCGGGGTTCGCATAACGAGTTATGTCAACATCTGTAAGCTGCCCGCTCGCTCATACGTAGTTCCGATCCAGAATTCATGATCCAAGGACCAGTCGAGTCATTCATTTGGGAATTGGGAGATGGGCCGTTCCGAAAGGCTATTAGCACCGACCAGATATGAACGCTGGTTGGCAGGTCAAAGTCCCCTTGAAATGGATAGAAATTTGCTGGGATTTGGCGCAGGGTTAGCAGCCTTGCGAAGGCAGTTTCAAACAAATAAAGACGGCCTCATTCTCTGGCGGCAGTTCTGCACGGTTCTAGGTGGCTAGCTTGTCAGGCTAGTGATGGCTTCCGTCAGCCAGCGGACACTTCCGCGCAAAGGATTTCAAGGGCTGAGTATAATAATAATAATAAGTAGACTGTAGAACATATCTGCATAGCAAGGGGCCCGCGTATAGAGCGAACATCCTGGGCGAGGGACAAGCTGCCCACGGGCTCATCAAGTGTAAGGGATATACAGTCCAGGGAATGAAATAAGTCTCGACCAAAACTGCACTTAACTGCGACATGTGATGCCATTTCGAGCTCAGCTTCAGCTGCGTGCACGCACAGCGCTAGATCTCAGAGCGCAACAACTAAAGACTTGGTTAACTATTATACGGTCTATATGACGAGTCAAATGGCGGGAACAACTCATCATTGCGAAAATCTTTGACCGCCATAAATTAGGTTGCTCGCGAATGAGCAGGGCAATGGACATCGCTAACGCAGGCACCAATCCTGCAGCGAGGAATTGCACAGCGATTACGGACAGGTGCATGAGGGAATAATACTTTAATTGTGTCGTTACATGTGCCTTACATACGTCCAACCTGCATCGGAGATCTTGGTCGTGAAAGGGTCGGTGAGGACAGAAGAATGAGGCTGACGATGGCGCAGCAGCCTATGAGTAAGGGCTTCGTTTTCTCTCAGCCCTACATTGGGGCTGTCTGTAGACTCTGTAGTCTGTACAGAGAGTAGGACACTGTTCATGACCAGTCAATTTTCTGTCTAGACACAGATTCCCAGACGGCCTTTCTTCTCTCGCGCGCCGAGGATGAAAATTCTTCTTTCTGCCCTTGGCAATTCCAAAGACGAAGTGGGCGAAAGATCTAGACGTCGAGCGCGCCAAGATATTTGTCTTTTTTACACCATCACCGGTGAGAAAAGCAGAACAGGATGGTGGGTAGAAAAACTTAGACAGCAACAGCAACAGCTTCTGCGTGGTAGGCGGAAATTCAGAAATGAACCATGATCCAGTGTGTGTCACTCGGACACGTGGGTCATGACAGGTGGCGAGAACAAACATCATGAAGTTTTCATTCGGACCAGAAGCAGACACGAATCAGCGATCTTCTCGAGTAGATTTTCGGGCGTTCAACAGAGTGAGAAATGCCAGAGTGCCGTCAGGTTGCGGAGAGCCCTCAGAGGATTCTTTTTGTCGTCATTGGCTTGTTTCCCAGGGGCCCTATCGGAATGTTGCACCGCCATGCTATCTCATGGACGATGATGAAGAGTTCAAAGGGCACTAGCAGAGTGCAATGGATCTCCCCGCCCTCCATGGTGGACCACGTAGAATCGCCGGGTTGTTCGGATGGTGTGGGACAGTGGGAGACAGCAGAGTTGAGCCATGAGCCTGCCGTGTATTACCCGATCGCCGTGGGTTTTGTTTACTGTCTGTGCCCATCTTGCCTGACGCCTTCGTTAAGGGCAGCTAGAGTAAGAAGCGACTGGTCACAGAGCACATCTAGGGCTGAAGAACAATTAAAGATGGCAGCAGTCCGGACCATATACTCCGTAGATAGATAGACAGATAGTTAGATAGCGTTGATACTCGTCGACTGCTGATCCCGATCGCCGGAGTCACTTGCAGCGCTGGACTGGGGCAAAGTTTGGTCGCATCAATTTACCACGGTTGGCCACGGGCGCAACCGACTTCTGCCAGCCAGACGAGAGGCGAAAGATCCAGGAACCTGACGCCGTTCCCCTGACTAGCGGGGAGAGGTGCGATGATCTGACAGGCCGGCAGGACTGCTGGCTGGCACTGCGACCCTGGGATGGGGATATTGGGAACTGGTGGTTGTTCTTTCTTGTCCTTCCCCTGGCCAGCAACAGCAAATTCTCTCCGATCCACGCGGCATCTCCAGGCTCTCGAGGGGAAGCGACTGCTTGCTGCCCCTGGCACGAGCTATAGAGTAGTGTATCCGTAATAATATACTCTAGACGCTCAGCGCGATGGGCAGTCACCACAGGGAGCAAACGACTAGTCTGGCAGCGAGTCAGCGAGGTCCAGCCAGCAAGTCATCAATCTCATTAATACTTAGACGGACTAGATCATAGAAGAGACACACGTATACAATATGGCCGCTAAGATTGCATCTCCACTGTTCCTGGCGCTAGAAGGTCAATCCTTTCCTGTTTGTTGGTCTGGCCCTTGTTTGGCGTCAACGGCACGAAGTCTAAGCGGGCAAACACAGCAGTATAATACCACAGCCGTCCCCCTTTGTGCGCGCTGCCGGCTCATCTCGTCTTGCTTCGTCTTCTGTGCTTCTCTCCTTCTTGTCAGCCCAGGCTTCGCATTCACTCTTTTCGTGAGCTCTTTTGCTCGCTGTCACTCATTCAACACAATTCGCACTCTTTTCCAAAGAAACACACCCCGACTTCTGGGCTGTTTTTGCAGATCCCCTTCCAACAGCCAGTCGATACATAACAGATCCTCCCATTGAACATATATCGCAACAATGCAGCTCAAGAACTCCCTCCTTCTTCTCACTGCAGTGAGCGCTGGCTCTGCCATGGGCCGCCTCCACGGCCACGAGCGCCGTCACGCCCAGCTCCACGAGAAGCGTGACGTTGGCGACTGGGTCTACGCTGAGATCGACGGTGTCTGGGAGTCCTGGAAGAACAACTGGAGCGGCACTCCCACCACTGCTGCCTCTGTTTCCTCTGCTGCTGCCACCACTGCTGCCAGCACCAGCGCTGAGGCGACCCCCGCCGTCACCAGCGCCTCCGCCTCCGCCAGCGCTTCCAGCTCTTCTTCCTCGTCCTCATCCTCGTCCAGCTCCGACTGGTCTGCCACTCCCGCGGACGGCGTCTTTTCCTGGGAGGGCTTCGGTGGCCGCACTACCCAGTCCGGCAGCGGAGTCGAATACAAGGGCAATGTCGGTAGCCCCTACGGATCCAACATTCTAGAGGTCTCTGAGGCCGATGCCCCCAACTACAAATACGTCGTCCGCTTCGTTGGCGACAACACCGACCCCTGGACCGTCGGTATCTGGAACAAGATTGGTCCCGATGGACAGATGACCGGCTGGTACGGCAACGCCGTCAAGCAGTTCACCCTCCAGCCCGGTGAGGTCAAGTTCGTCGCTTTCGACGAGGACTCCCAGGGTGGCTGGGGTGCCGCCAAGGGCACCTCGCTCCCCACGGACGAGTACGGTGGCTATGCCTGCACCTGGGGTGAGTTCGACTTCGGTAACTCTCAGAACGACGGTTTCTCCGGCTGGGACGTTTCTGCCATCCAGGCTGAGGCTGCCAACCTCACTGTTCAGGGTATGCAGATCTGCGAGGCTGCCGGCACTGGCTGCTCTGCTATCGCCGATGCTCTGGCTGAGGTGATCGCTGCCTACACCTACGCTCTCAAGGAGGTCAACGGTATTGGTGGCAACACGCCCGCTGGTCCTGTCCGTCTCAACACCATCCTCAACTGGTCCAAGAACTAAGGCGGCACGTCTGTCTTGTCTTGTTTACGTCCACGAGATACTTTTCTGTTTCTTTCATTCTTCGGGGGATGGAACTTTGTTTGAAAAACCAGCGCGGTGTTGGGCCTCATGACCTCACCTTCCCGGTGGGAAGGGAAAAGAACGCTGCCACCTCTAAAGATACCACCAGCTCGCGGCTGCCGCTTTTTATTATTTGATATTTGGTTTACGGGTACATTACACTATTTCTTCTACCTTTAACGCTTCGTGGAAAGCAGTTCGTTCTCCTTTGAACTGTGTACATACTTGAAACGTGGATCTGGCTAGTTCAAATGTGTTTCCAATTGAGTCTTGCATGTTCTATCTATTTTCGTCGCAGACCCTTGTAATAACATACGGAGCGCGGACATAGCCACCCCGACGTGGGCCTCGACCATAGGATTCGTCAAAGCGCGTAACTACTCCAGGACCAAAATATCTCCCCAACGAGAGCACACCGTAGCAGAGCCCGGAATAACTTCACCGCCACGACTCACTCTGAAACCGCTGTCCATCTAGCAATTGGTTCTGGAAGCATCGCGCTCAGACCCAAAGTCCAGCGCCAGAGCAAAAAATAGCTAGATACTATGTACCACTACCACTACTAAATCACTCCACCCCGGATCCCGCGTCAAGTGGAACCCCTGAATCTGGACAAGAAGCAGGGACACTTCTTGATCTTCTCTTTGAACTTTCTAAGACAAGATCTGGTCGTCGATAGTCGTGCAGATCGCTAGAGGGGTGATCGTTTGAGGGGGCGATGGATGATCGGTGATCAGCGGTGCGCTAGAATTCTTCTATTTTCGAAATTTACGGGGACTATTCTTGGCGGGTGGTCTAGACTTGGGAGTCTGGATGAGACATTGGTGATATCTTTAGATGGGATGGGATATAGTTAGAATGGATGTTGTTTGTCTTGGGAAAGGAGGCTATGTTTTGGGGTAAGGTAACAAGCTGCTGGGTAGCTGTACTGTACGGTCGGCGAAGGGAGACGAAACTTGGGCTGGGAAAGAGGTCAGTATTCTTTGAATGTACATATGTACAATTATGGTTATAAGTATAGGATAGTATAGATACTGATATTGCTATTTAATTGGTTTATTCGTTGAATACGGAGAATCTATTGTTGTCATCGCGCTGTTGTATTGAGGTTCTTGTAAACATGGGGAGTAATGTGGTGTTGGTTATGCGAGTCCTTTGCTACGTGAACTTTTACTTCGAGTACATAATTTGACAATATTAGATTAACTTGGATATTCATATCCACCTACCGCTCCGTGATTGAATATGTTGGGCTTCTGGTTTTGTTAATGGCCAGTGTATAGAATAGGTCAAGTACCGTACATATTATACTGTCCTTTATCTATCGTACTGTGTTGCCTTTTCTTTCTGTGTTCTCCCTCCAGCTAACCCCCCCCCTCCCCCCCCCCCCCCCCCCCCCCCCCCCGATCCTAACGGATTCAGATATTGTCAATGAAATGTCCTTGCCAAAATAGCCACTATTTATAACCCTGTTGCTATTAACTACACACTTACACACAATAATAATAGAGAATACCCATCCACACCACATCCAACAACAGAAAAGCACACACATTCAAAATGCATACCTATCTAAAGAGATCTGTCTAGACTCTACCGGCATGTGAATGACATTTGCATAATCTAGACAATGTAAACAAACAACAACAATCCCGACCCAGAGGCCCGGGAATGTGGTGTGGGGAAAGGACAGACAGGGAAGTCAGCCGTATCTATGGTATTTACTTTCCCGGCTTCCTCTAGATCTAGACTCGAACTTCCCCAGACCCAGAATTATTTAGGTACATATGTCAGGTTCTGTGGAATGTGGAATGTGGCTGTGTGTCTGCGTGTGGCGGAGGAATTAGAGAGTGTCTGGAGTATATCTGGTGTAATATATGTGGTGGGTATATTTTTGAGTAGGCATTGGAATGTGGGACTGGGCTTGGGGGATATTTTAATTGGTGTGTATACAGTGCCAGAGTCTGAAGTTAATGGTTGCTTATGGTACAGGCGGAGGGAAAGCATACAGCGATTTACTTAATTGGGTCGTTAAAGGGATATAGACTAGATGGCTGGGTACTTATACAGGCAAACTCCAGGCACTGATGAGATAAATTATATTACGGTGATCCAAGAAACACTACGTAGCTCGGATGTTCGTTTAGGTGCTAAATGAATGGGAGCTCAACCCCTCGATTCTACCGAAACAAGCAACTAGCTACTACTAGGTAGTTAACCGGCTCAATATAACTGTTTACTTCTGTGCCTTCGAGATTCGAGAATGAATGCATGCAGCCCATAACTACAGCTAGTTGTGTTGATCCTGAAAACCATCCGTATAACTAACGTATAGTAAACCCGCAAAATATAAAATTGTTGGTTTACCTTCTAATTGCCCCAGTCTCAGATTCCTCCGATACACAGCAGGATATTTCCTATTACCACTCGGCATGAAGATTTTTATATATGCCTGAACTTAATACGAGACCTTCGCCTTTTCTTTCTGATCCTTTGAGGTTTTTCGGAGACCCCCTTCCCCTAGGCTGCTCCGCCGGGGATTCTCCCACACCCGAGCTCCAAATATAGTCTGACATAGAACGAACAAATCAATCATCCTTCACCAGTCGACATGCCGAGGAACCTGTCGGCATGACAAATCCACGACTTATCCGGGAAATGCCGGTTCTGAGGTGGCGGTTCCGACTGTCTTGTTCATCTACTAACTACCTACTTTCCGACAGCTCCATGGGGAGTCGTGCTCCATCAACTTCGACGTTCAAGGGTTTTTTCCTCTTCGATGATAGAAGGGAGTCGACCGTTACTATTTATCAGCCCGCATCGGCACCTACCAAAGTATTATTATATACTACAGTTCGTCTATGGTAGTATGCCATTCACCGCCAAGACTTCACTCACTACCATAGATTCACGACCGCAGACTGGCCGAACAGAACCCCAACCCCCGGAAACCCACATTTAATACTCTTTTTCCACCCTGAAAGGAAAGGAAAATTGAATCGCTTTAGTGATCGACAATATCAACTTGCAAGGGTTGATAGCTCAGCGGTAGAGCAGGAGATTGCAGATCTCAAGGTCGGGAGTTCGATCCTCCCTCAACCCTCTTTTTTGTTGTCCTAGAAAATTTAGGGGTGGTATCTTTTTTATCGTTTCTTTTTTAGACTTCGGCTTTCTGGGCCGGCATGTGGGAAACCAACTCGGGTGCGGTTAATCATAGTGTCAGCGCCTGGACACGTATTCCAGGTAATTAGCATGGCTGTTAACTATATGCAGCAGACTTTCTTTTTGGTTGTTGTGGATTTACTAGATCTTCAGATCTGGCATCTTGAGTGTAGTAACGTTGTTGATTGTGGGTTTAGACACATCTGGTTGTTTGATGTGATGACTTTTCACCTCCGTGCATTCAATCTCGGTGATATTATATCTAGATGAAACAAGAGCATCCCATCTCATGTCAAACACCATGTACGAGACGATGAGATTCTCAGGTTTAAAACTGCCGGGGGTGGATTATACCTAGCGTTATCAACGCTTTGCTAGCTAGATATATGTATATTGCATAATTGTATAGTATGCAAGCATGATAATTGACAACCTTATATACACTAGTACATTATTATCTCCGAGTATTCTATACTTACAGACTTCCGACAGCGCGATAGTTGTGATGGGTTAGCCAGAATAGTATAGACCCAATGCTCTAACGTGCGGGTTGAGCAGCGTGAGATTATACGGTGTGACATAGAGGTCCGTATCCGTGACCGCAATGAATGCCGTGCCATTCAAGGCCGGGTCAGCGTCAAACACGTTGGCCGCAGGCTGGAAGGTAGTTCCAGAGTTAGGCCCAGTGACATTGAGCGGAGTGTAGGTGAGGTTCAGCTGGGATAGCCACGCGACAAATGCCGGTTGACCTGCCGTGGTCGAAGTGATGTAGCTATTGTTAGGTCCCACGGCCTTGCCAGGGTCATCCCACTCCAAGAAGACCTCGCGGCCGGGGAAACTCAGTGGCTGGTTTCTAACTCGCGAGATAGCAGGGCCGCAGTCGTAACCAGTGACATTGACGTGGACGCAAGATTGGTCTTCGGCGATGTTCGATTTGCTCGGGTCACCAGTACGGTTACCGACGACTTCGAAGTCTGCGGTGTTGTTGGGAGAGATTCTGGATGCGTGATAAGCAGGCGAACAGATGCGATCGTATGTGCATTATATACGTACCTATTCGCATTTGGCTGGTTGACAACGTGGAGACTGGGGAAATTTTGCCATACCAGACGAGTGTTGTTCTCCGGACAAGAGCTGATGTACTGAGAAAGCAGAGTCCAATGCCAGGATTGAGGGATGCCTTCGATTACCAGTCAGTCCGTGGCACAAGAATGTAATCACCATATAAATCTCACCTGGGGCAAACCAGATTGGCATAGGGTGGAGACCTAGCCACTGGCGGAACACAGACTGTTGACGGGCCTCGATTGCCTCAGCTTGCACCAGGAGCGTCGCAACCTCCTTCGAGTCAAGATGGCTCAGGAAACCCCAGTTCCCAGACTCACCCCAGCGAGTGAGCCGGACATTAAAGTCGATATATTCGCGGACCGTCTTGAAAGGGTAGTTGTACGTGCATTGCTTAGGCGCAGACTCGCCCAACATGTCCGCCAGTAGTGATGCATGGCCTGCTTCCTGTAGAGCCATGTACTGGAGCAGGGCGCGATCCTCAGCTGTAAGACCAGCTTCGATGAAGTCCTGCTCGCTGAAGACTTGCGCACCATAATGGAAGAGGTCCAGTTCGATGAACTCTTGGTGGATGCCTAGAGCGATTGACTGATAGTCATAGTCGCTCTGGACCATGTATACCGGGAGAGTCCCGTTGGTCCCAACGCCACCTGTTTTAGGTCAGTATGTATTACACCGGAGAAAACTCATGGGGTCTTCTTACCCGCTGGCATGTACGGCATGGGCTGCGGTTGAGTTAGTTTGCCATTGGGATTATAGTATGTTGCCCACGGGTTTGGCTGAGACGGGATGGTTGCACTGATAGTGGCCGGTCCCTGCTCTGCCCCAGTCGTCGTGGGAGTCCCTGAATAAGGGCCATGGGTTGTGATGACTGTCGTAGCGCTGGTAACTAAGGGAGCACCAGCACCAGACGCCGTTCCGTTAGGGGCCTGCGTCTCAATGGCTGGTATCTGGGTCACGGATGGAAGGGACAACGTTTCTGCACCACCAGATGCTGGCGCACCAGCTGCCACAGAGGCAATTGCCAGAAACAGGTACCGGTAACCAACCATTCTGGCTGAAAACTCGCTTTCGGATCCGAGCCGCAAAGTGGACACTGGAAAAGGTTCAGTTGTCAGGAGTCGGTGTTCGTGAGGATGTTCTTATATCAAAAATCTCTGCAACATACGAAGAAGAGCACTCGGTAGAATCCTATTATGAAAGGCACAATGACGTCCATAATTGGGATCCTACGTAACAATCGCAACCAGACAATGTACTAAGTAGGCCTTGGATAGTCGCCGTCTCCAGTGTCGGAATCGAAGTATTTGCGAATATTTACGTAGGACAAGGACGCACAAAGAATCGGCATTGGACTTGACGAGATCTAGCCAGGTCTAGATGACCAAGGCCATCCTGAGATGGGATTTTGTATAGCTTCCATGTAATTAGAACGGCCACCTGATAATCGTACACAAGGGAAGATCAAGAGATCTGACGTAATGAGATAAGATCTTCGCTGTATAAAAGCTTGGTTCGTTTATTGCCAATCTAGATGCTCATTGCTTCGGATACGACAGCCGGCATTGAGCTAAGGTGCTGTTCCTTTCCCCGGGGTTGCGACGTCGTCTGTATGGACGGAGATATTAACCGCTGGCCCTTGATCTTTGCTTGAGGCGACGGTTGCGGTTAGCTATCGACATCCTTGCGGCAACTTCCAAGCAGGAAACTCAAGCAGGAAACTAGGTAGGTACTGGTAGTGCTAACATGTTCCAAGTTTCGGTCGAGAATTGCTGTAGACTACCTAGGTAGATACCAAAAATCCAAGGTTGAAGCGGAAGCTCCTCCCAGGGCTTAGTCAGGCGGGACTCCGCGCCAAGTCTCCCCTCCGCCTTGCGTTACTCTTGGCTTCATTATTCTAGGTTGGAGAATCACCGAAAATCAGTTGCGCAAAGATGGCGCCTATTCGACGCTATCTCAGAATCAGCAAGTACTCAGTTCTCGAGTGCCGCATCTATCTGGAGAACCCAGCAGACACAAGGTGGCTGCTGGACTCGCGTGAACCGGTGCTCCCTCGAATCTTTACTGCCATCAAACCACATGTTCTACCGAAGCTGCGCGAAGAGAATGAGAGAGCTCTGGGAAAGAAGAAGAAAAAGCCCGTCAAGGATGTTATTGTCGAAGGTATGACGGCCAATTGTGTATAGAGATCCGCGCTTACGAATTTCTGGCCGCGTGCCAGCTTCACAGACGACTTCGAGGTCGCAATCTTCCTTCGCCAATCTGGGACACGTCATTCACTTCTCACACGACAGAAGACGTTTGCAGAACCTAAGAAGATAGAAAGCAACTCTAATAAGCTAACGGGGACGGAGGATTCTCCTATCAAAGTCAGGGACGAGTCTGACGCAGCCCGTCACGTTATAGCGGACAGCGACGGTGAACCGGAACTGGATTTGCATGATATCCCGGAGGCTTCTCAGGCAGAAGAAGAAAACCGCAGTAAACGGCGTCGAACATTGACAGTCTCTGACGACCCGTCCGATGTACAACAGCCTGCAGTAAAGAGGAAAAGGAGACAGGATGACGATGATGCCGGTTCCGAAGACGAGAAGAAGCTGGGCATGATAACGACGTACGAAGGCTTCAACATCTGGGGCTGGGTATTGTGTCTTCTGGTCACACGTAAGGGGGAGAGAGCCAGGACCAACAATCTTGCACCTGAAACGACCGGGCAGCTGCTGCTGGAGGAATGGATATCTTCGCAGGCGCCAGGCGGTGTTGATGACGAAGATTGAGCAGCACTGCCACTCTGCAATGTGTGCCGAGTAAAAGGAGACCCGAGCTTGCGACAGTCGAGATTTGTTCCGGACGGTGATCTGACAGTTCTGACTGGCGACGGTAGATGTTACCGAGACAAAAGCAGCCAAGGTTCTCAAGCAGGATCTGCTAGACGTACAGTGGCTCTCTCAGATGAATGTCTGATCACCAATCATAAAACGCCTTTGTCTCCTGAGCGACTAGGGGTGGAAGCTCATCTCAGCAGCGGCGGCTCTGGTATCGAACGTTTGCTTTTCGATGCCAGCATCCTGAGACACGCGAGGCATAAACCTGTTGTACGCAATAATGACTCTACCGTCTGTCCCGTCTGCATGGATTTGCCAAGGGCACGGAACCTACCATGTCTTCCAGAGGTTTACGAAGACGAATGACAGCGCATCTCACTCGCTTGCTGTTTCATCCATAATAAGAAGCTTGCAGTCCCGTTAAAGAAACAGGGTTAATAGCATGCTTGGGGCTAACCTTCATCAATTCCGTTCGACAGTCCCAGAACTCCGGTTTCCCGCGCAAGAATCGTTAGACTGGGGATCCTAGCGAACCTTTGTTTTTCTCGCCACCATGATCGCCATGTACCTGCAGCCTGCAGGACGGCGGAAGGCTGGGGACGGAATATGCCCACGTGGCGATCAGGAATTTTCAACTTCATGAATCATGCTGAAGACCTTGATTGGCCGGTATACACGGGCCAAAGCGTCCATTTTTCCGTCAAAGATGCGCGATGCAACTTTCGCGGCAGCAAGTGTCCCACGGCACAGCAAAAGAGCTTCCCTGATCCACCAATTATTCCATTCGATCCTTTGTGATCTGTCCAGTCTCCTAGTATCCCGGACCCGTCAGTGATAAAATGATGATAGATAAGAGAAATTTCAAAGAAGATACAGTAATGGCGGAGAGAGCAACATCCCGCGACCTAAGGTCTGTCCTACCTCGGGGTTTGTCTCTATCCTGCCGCTGATTTCTGCGGTACCCGAATCGATCCACTGTTGTTACACATGTCTTGACCTTGCAACCGGGGATGCCCTTGGGATGTTTCAGAACTAAGAGCTCCGCTCGGTCAATGAACGGGCTTCTAGAAGACGATATGGAAAGCCTTTGAGCCTTCTTAGCGGAGAAGTATGATATTTCTGGCAAGCGGCTCGGAGATCCCACGGCAGACGAGGCCGCTAGAGAAAAACTTCCATTGTTCCCGAAGCCTGCCTTTTCTGGCAAGTTGACCGGCGATCTCGGCCGTCCTCAGTACTACTAAATAATACCATACTCTAAAGACGGGAAAGGAGCTAAGAGTATGGAGACACCACAACGATGGTAACTAGCGGGAAACAGGACGAATAATTTTTTATGAGATGCTTGTCACACACCGCCGGTCCAGGGTCTTCGAGCTGCGAACATGGTTTGCACACTCTTTGCTGGTAAAACGTGATGAAATAAGTTACGGATCAGCCATTATGAACACCCCTTGTTAGAGCATGTTTCAAAGATTGTCTACCAACGGAATAAGCGGCTGGTAAGCAGGGATGTGACTCGGATCCAGAGTAACACTGCCAGGATTGTTGTCGCCTAGATGATTTACGCGCCGGCTCGATGTCATCAACCTCGGGATATTTTCATAGTGGAGACTACACTGCACTTTACACATCTGCCGACTCTGGCCGTCTCCAGCCTTACGCGGTGAAAGAGAGAGCTCTAACGAAAAGCTTGATAATGATAATTAGCCCAAGCCGTGATTAGTAGTCAACTCATGCGGTGAGGCCTTGTCGACTGACCGCCAAAATCTCATCGTTTGTCATAGACGGACTAGGAAAATCTGTTGTGTTTCGATAGCTACGATCATGGAGCGCTAGCCGCCGATAGCACGCCAAAAATTTTGCAGGTCTGAACCATGGCGTCACGGTGGCTCCTGCTCGGAGATCCTAAGACACGAAAAAATATCTGTGAATACGAAATGGAATTCCTGCAGCAGTCTGTTGCAGATTGACCTGTTGATCAGAAGGGACGGTGGCCTCGTTCCCGGACCTGTATCATATTCTGCAGTCATAGTCATAGTTGAACATGGTATTACGGGGGACAAGCCCCTGTTGCACCTGGCTTTGTCACCTTTGTCTGATTCCCAGTCTTGTTTTTGTTGGAGATTATTATTATCCACTGCGATGGGACTGCTCCGGGCACCCACACTCTTGTGTCTGAGCCACTTTCTGGGGGCTTCTACAAGCGAGGTGTCGCTAACGGTTAAACGGTGTGGCACAGGCTCCATTTTGATTCTGTTAATTGATCGGCCTACGGAAGCCTCTGTGGGGACATTAATCTCAACAATTCCCGTGCCATGTGCTCGGATCATCCCATGGTTCTTGCAAGGCGCTGAGCAGAAGGTAGGAAAACTATCCAGGTTGGGGATCTAATTAGAAAACGTTTGGGGTTCATTCTACTCCGTACAGCAGTTTTCTTTGGAGGCTTAAACGGTGTAGCCTCGGCTTGTCTATTCCCTGCTGCCATAGGTAATCCAGTGGCAAGAATCGGGAAGACGACAAGAAGCCCCCTGTCTGTGACATTATGACCGGCGCGCGGGTCAAGGCTCAGGAGACAACTATCGACAGCTGTATCATGACTCGTCAATCGAAGCATTATTATTCTGCACAGCGGCTCTCTATGCATCGGCGCTACGAATAATAGCCAGATGATAACCCTGCCGCAGAGGCCCGATGAGCATAATTAATCGTCTAATGAGGCTGACTGTCCTTGATAACTAAATCTGTCTAGTTGGTAAATTAGCTGGAGTGATTGGACAGGGGCCAGGGAGTGAACTGACAGAGCAACTAACGTTGTTGACTTGATCCAGCCCCAAGCAAAGCAGTGGCCTTGTTCGTCCTACTCGACTCCACGACTTGCTTCGCTGGCGATGATCGTGTTCTCGAAAACCTCTAGGGGTCCGAAAATCACCACGCACAAAACCGGCTAGATCGGGTGAGCTTTGTACCTACCTAGTCTACTCCAGACTTGTGCTTCGTTCAGAAAAGCCACGATCGACGATCGATGCAGGGGCTTGCTGTTCTCAGAATACCAGCAAGTAATATTCATTGGCCTTTGTATGTCCGAGAATGAACCCTGTCCGCATGTGCAGGTCCCCCTATCTGGGATGATTATTGATTATCATTATTACTATTATTATTATTTTATATTTTTTTGGCCTCCAGAAGAGCTCATAGATAGGAAGGTAACTCGGACAAATTGCAATTTCTGACAAAGCATTGGCTAGGAAGCTAAGCAGACTGAAAACAGAATAGCCGATGAGGCCGTCAGAGAAGTGACTGAACCGTTCGTTATCCCGACCCACCCCCTGGGGAAAAGCGATGATTTTACTCCGGCGTATTATTCTTCTAACCTCTTGGCCATGACCCTAACTATCTGACCCCTGAAATCTGAAGAGGCTACCAGGCTGAAACCTGACCGGCCCAGTCCGAATTGATCCCGGCTCTCGGGATTGAGCCAGCATGGAAAGTTTTGGTCTCTCAGCCGCCCCCCGGTTTGATTAGGTTTTGGCGTTTTACTCTAGATACACTGGCAGGTCGTTGTCGTCACAACTTTCCCCTGGCACCGGAGAAGACCGATCAGGGCCAGATTTCCATTGATTTTGTGTGTCGGGGGCTGTTTGTGTCTGTGTGTGTGTGTGGCATGGTCCAGAAGTCGATTACGGCTATTCTTCCATGGGTTGAGGGCTAGTCGATGGTATTCCATGCCGGTCATCGAGGGCGTTCCCCCAGCGAGGTCATGCGTTGCGGACTGTGTATCTATTCTAGCCATTCTAGGATGCGCTGGAGCCGCGGCGTCCGTGTCCGTTCTTTCAGGGTTCTTCCTTTTCGATCTAGTCGGACGGTGCGGTGAAGTGAATCAACTGCTGGCCCAGCGGGTCGCCTTCTAGATTTTTCGTTTGGCCTTGCCGTCAAGGAGAGAGACCAAATGGGGAATAAGGCAGCTAATCACAATTTGGAGATATCCGGCGCTTCTACTCCTTCAACTACGTCACGAGCACTGGCTGGGATCCGCCGTCGCCTGGGCTGTCGTTCACGCCGTTCCCCTTGGGTGGAGCATAGCGCCATTCTCATGGAGGACAAGGATGTACACGGGTGGTAGCTTGGATTTCCTGGCCAGCTCCAACGGTGGGAAGGGGTTCGGACCATAAATATCCTTTCAGCCTCTTGCTCGCAGTGACTTTTCGATTTTCTCAAACACGAGTTTATTATTATTACTCTACAAAGCTGAAGAAGACCAACTCGCTTCTCCCGAACCAGCACTCATCATCCAAGCTCTATATATCTTAATACCTACAATCATCTACCCATCCATCAACCTATACCTCTTCCGTTGAGAGGAAGCATACAGAGAGCTCTTTTTGAATCCAACCAGATTCCGCATCACACAACAACAACAACCATGCCTTCAGTCGGAAACTCCAACTCTCAGTTCCCTCCCTGCCCGGGACCCCCTCCCAAGGGACCTCTCCCGCCTCTCCCCAAGTGAAGGGTCAATGTCCTTTGACGAATTCTACGAACCGTGCCCCATGGAAGCATACATACGAATTGTGGATAACGGTATCGACTCGATCTTAGCAGGCTAAGTATCGTACGTCGATATCGAAGTGAGCTCTACTTCGAGCATGGATATACGACGCCATTTTCCATCATCAATTTTCGCAATGCTGCTATACATCTTATAATCCATATCGTCGCTCATCCTGGGAATAAACGACACTCTTCTCGTTCACATCAGGCTCCACCTTTGCGCAGATTCTTGGGGAGATAGCCGGTGCCCTCATGGGGGAGGGCATCCGGCATCAGACTTTCAGATGGGCCTCAGTAGGGACGCCATTCGAACATGCAACACCTGTGGCTGTCCTCAACCTCGGTTGGGCTGAAATGCCTTGATCGCGCGCTTTCGACTCGCTTGGCCGTTTTGGAATCCCAAGTCCTTCAAATGGTGTTTCACGTCTCCGACACAATCCAGCAAAATGACTATTATTGCATCATCGGAAGGCTCTATCACGCGCCAATGCAGGACCGCTGCGATAGTATAGCTCCATGACCACAGACGAAGCACCCAGTGCATCTCTCGTCATCAATCAGTTGAGTCAGTCATGCGGAACTCAGCCGGCAGAGCGCGTCAACGCGACAAGCCACGCCATTGGACAGAAAAATCACCGCTACTGTTGGAGATCAAGATACTCCCGAGGGCGAGTCGACGATGGGCATTATTATCGTCAATGCACTATCGCGACCCCTCCTCCAGGAACCACGGCCCTTTCCCGCCTGACAATAATCATTGCTGTGGTTCAGGATTCCATTTCCGACCGTTCTTGCTCCCCCTCATCTGGTGTCTGAGCGCGATCGTGAGCCTGAAACCCCCACTTTTTTTTGGATACAATTTTTTTATAATCATTTCCTTGATCTCATGTTCATCATCATCGTCATACCACATATGCATCATCCGGCGTTGTATCTAGGGCATTGGTTATCATCTACACTACATACATCTACAACATACTATAATGTATTATTCACAAGACCTTTACTTCGGTTTTCAATAACCTCGCTCATCCTTGAATTGTATACCTAGTAACTCCACGTAGATATCCGTAATATTCGATGAAAGGTAAATCATCATCACAGTCCCCAATACAAATTGAAGCAGAAAAACATCCGGATCCCAACCAAATAACCTCTTGACCTTGACCCCGCTAACCCCGCCCCGCAAAGGTGCATCGCATCGCCATGTCATGCAGACCATGTCGGGCTGAGCCGCTTAGTGTATTTAATTATCAACTAGATTCCTAGAGAGACTCCGAGCGAGAGAGAGACTCAGAGAGAGCTGTGCGCACCCGCTCTACCTCCCCGGACCTAACCACAACCACCATCCATCACCGCCCGGGTTTTGGTCAAAAATCGACGATTCGCACTCGATTGGACAGGACAGATAGACGGTCTAGTAGACTATTTCCATACTAAGTTCCAAAACAGCTCGCGGCACTGACACTAATGATCTGACCGTTCAACGCACTATTGGATAGGCTTAACCTGGTTTCAGATAGATTATTATTATTTTCTCCCAAGCGAGAGAGAAAGAGAAAGAAATTCATGCGAGGCGGTGAGGGGAGTAAGCAAGTAGTAAGTAAGTATAACTAACTACCTAAGTTAGTTACAAGATAAGATAACTATTATTAGTTAGATGGGATGGTATCATTATTGAGCTATATTAATCAATGATTAATACCCCGTGCTCACCCCTCCATCTCGGGTTGGCTAATTTGATAGGTTGGATAAGGGTGCTAGTTAACTAGAGGTGGTGATGATAAGCCCTTGCTTGCTTGCTTGCTTGCTTGCTTAGGCTCCAGATACTTAGTTATGGAGTAGTTAGTGAATGACCAAGTGAGTGAGTGCCTTTAATCCATCGAGTATCTACGTGGGCTCATCATGCTTTAAGTACTGGGCTTTGATACCATGGTGATGTATTAGGTATAGCGGGCTCGCTTAGCAGAGGTCATTCATAGGTATATATTGCATAGTTATGCTGAGTACTTAGAGTCTTAGTTAATGTCGGAGTCTGCCTACAGGCAGACCTCCTGTCGGGTTTCTCCCACGCCTTTCTAGCTCCAGAGATAAATAGGCTGAACGAGTTGCTAGAGAATCCAAGCTCAGCGAGCTTCGCTCCAGAGTCAATATATTCTATTTGTTTATAACTTTTTATCATATATACTTAACTAAACAGATAATAGAATAGTACAAGTCCCTCAAGACGCGTGGGAAAATTTGCCACAGATACATGTTGCTGTCCTTATGGAAGTTGGCAGCGAATATAAGAGGCAGGAAGATATATCAAGCCGGAACTCGCCAGATGAACTTTACGATCCGAGCTATGGCACCCTGTCTGGTTACAATTTTGAGACGAAGCAGATGTTCACTCGATACCTGAAGCAGTCCTACCAGAGATTCGAGAACGATTCTGGACCACAGTATGTCATGGTGCGAGGAGTCGACAAGGAGGTCCTCGCTTGGATGGATAATCGTCGGCGCACGCTTCCTCCCATGCGGGTTTTCTACGATGAGATTTTTAAAAATCTCATCGTCAAATTGGTTTCCAGTTATCATGAGATCCTGCATCAAAATTTGATGAACGCTATTACCGCAGAACTTCAAAACATGGGCATCACCATGCAGTATTACGCTGTTCAAGGTGCTGGTCGCGTTCGCGGCCAGAACTCACGAGAGAAGGAACCAGACAACTCCTTCCGGCCTATCAACACGCGTCCCAAGTTCAGTGACCTTCCAACCTTCGTTATTGAGGTTGGAGTTAGCAAAACTCTTAACAACCCCCGGAACGACGCATTCTTTTGGCTAACTCAGACCAACGACCGTGTTAAGATCGTCCTACTTATTCATAGTTCTAGAGACCACAGTATCGCCACCAGGCCTCTAGTCATCACTATGGAGGTATGGCAAACCATCAACAATCCACGACCGCATCGAGCAAACTCTGCAGCTCGACCCAGAATACCTGTTAGAACGCAGACTGTGACGATTACGAGGCAAGGCAATGGACCGCCAGTTACAACTGGCGCACCGCTTCTACTTCCAGTCAATGTTCTCTTCGAGTCCGTCCCTCCTTTTGTCACTCAGAGCGACGTCTCGCTTCCTGCTGTGGTGCTTGAAATGTATGCAAATATTATTTTCAACTCCCTGCCATAGCTTGTCGACGGTTCAGTTTGCCCTACCGGTCTTTGAGATACGTTTCGAACCCTTTCAGGATTCCGATCTTCTTTCCTCCTCAATCTGGGAACATATGTCCGTTTGTCCAAAGAATAGTCGGGGATTCAGGACATCTTTCGGCTGGAATGCCAGCCTGCTCGTGGCTGTGAGCGCCACATTTGCCGTTGTGGGCTTAATATTCCTGCTGGTATGGATAGGGAAGAAAATAGTGTAGATCTGGAGGTTATGTGTAATAATGGCTTTACATTTATTAGTGTCTCTCGGTCTCTCGTTCTTTGTGGACGAATGGCTTTTATCACAGAAAACACTACATGTCACTTTCCATATCTACCTACTTACGCAAAACAATACTGTCTTTAGACTAGACCGAATAGGAATAAGATATGGACTGTCCATGATTAGGTGACTTTCTACGATATTTAGGCCGCCTGCATTAAGTAGTAGATAATTAGCAAAGGACTCTTTGTCTTTTTCATCACTTAAGTTTTCTTTATTAGTCTCGAACTTACCAACAGTAAATAGAGGATCAATTTGAACCTGTTCAGAAATGTAAGTCCTTCGATGTATTGCGGGGTAAGAATAAACTTGATTTACCTGAATGGCGAAGGCAGGCTTCAGAGTCGGGAGTCTGCAAATAAGGTATCAATTATATCGATTGGTCCGAAATAGAAAAAGAGATACGATGCTTCTTTTGTATTGCTTTTTGTTTCTTACATATCGTCCACAGGTAGCTTTATGCATGATCCCATGGATTTATCAAGTTCCTTCGCATTGAATATGCTGGACTGGATTTATAAATTTCGTTAAGAAGACTCGTGGTTCTACGTATCCAAACCAAGCATCAGAAAGATTCAAGAACTTCTCGATGGGATCAGAATCTGGCCGAAACCCGTCTAACTAGTTGATACCTGATGCTGGAGGCTATACTGAAGAAAGTAACAGAAATGGTTAACTGCCATCCAACCATCTCATACCATAACCGGAGGTATAATCCGGGAGGAAACGAATGATTGGTGATGATTTCTCCTTGCATAGGGAGTCGAAAGTCTACCGAGTGGAGTAGTAAGGTATGTACTGTACATACATACTTCCTCAGCTTGTTTTCATGTCTTCTTGGTTGAACTTCATCCGTAAACTTGATTCTCTCATGGCGAAGTGGGGCACGGGATTGCACTTATTATAGAATAGAATTCAACATCAAGTTTTCGTGACAGGGGGAAAAAAAAGCGCTTCTGTGTGGTAAGCTAGATAGATAGTTAACCAGAACGGGGTAAGAGATAGATAGATAGGTAAGGAGTTTTCCCTTGAAAAGTCCGCAAATAATGAACTTCAGCTTCAGGGATCGGTTATTGCAATTACCGAAGAGAAAGCAGGTATTATTATCCCCTCGCTTGGTCTTTCCTTGGTCTGCCGCATGGCTGACGAGTACACGTAACGAAGTTGATAGTCAACTCTTGTTCCTGGGCGTTTAGCTTGAACAAAACCAAGTCGAGGATGTGACTGGTCTCTTTTTCTCTTTTTGCCGGACATGTTGGAAGCCCGCCCACGTGCGCTGCGGCGCGCATTCATCCGACGATCGACATGGAGGGATCACGATGATGATGATGATGATTGTTTTTCCATTTAAGTTATTATTACATTGTCCTATCACCTTCTGATCGAAGCCACACCTTTTCTTGTTCTATATTATTATATCCATACGGTTCCGGAACCAGGCTGGGTTTGAGTTTCTGACTCATATCCCATCACATCCGATCACACTGTTGCTTGATAACGAGATGGCGCAAGAAAGAACCCAAGCGCTATAATCTCTAGTCCTTTGAGAGGTTAGCGCAAAGTCTCTTATCTGTGAGGTATATGGTACTCGGCACTGGACGTACAGTACAATAATACTGGACAGGAAGAACAGAAGCGGGAGAGCATAATGCGGAGTATCTAGTCTATACGCATCGATGCGATCGCCTCGCCTCCATCGACTTAATCAACGAGTCGTCAGCTTGCAGCTCTCCCACAATTTACGCACTCGATAAGGTGATCGTCTCAGGGCCCGCAAGAGACTGCGGAGTGTCCCTCTGCGCACGCGTCCGCAGGGGTCCGTATGAATTTCCGCTCCACACTTAACTAACTAGCTGCTTTAACTAACTGTGAAAGTATCATGTGCATCTGGCCGCTCTTCAGAGCTTCAGGTAGTGAGCAGTGATCTCGAATCCTTTCTTCGGATGTTCATCCTTACTACCTAATACTTTTTCTCACAAGATCACCGAGGGAATGTCCCTTTTCCATTCATAGAGAAACAAGCGTTGACAAAAGTGGTTACATTATCCAACAATAACGACCAGTCAAGAAAGAATAGCAAAAAAGGCACAGCACCCGACAATCCAGAAGGATTTGCCTCCGTCTCGCATGGCAAAGTAAATCGCTAACCTTATCTTCCCGCACCTTGGGCAAGAAAGCGAAAAGAAAAGATCGATGACGTTTGTGGACAGTTGCTCTCCTCCCCGCTGTATCTTCCAAGAGGTTAACTAGTTGTCTGTGCGCTAGTGTTTCAGAACGACGATAGTCAATGATACATCAGCATGTGATCAGTTATTCTCTGGTTATCTTCTATTCATTGAGTTTCTGAGCGGAGACAGACAAGACTAAGATCTTCCTTAATGACTAGGAAAGGGTTTGCAGATAAGGACCGAAGGAAATCGCTTATATCGGTTACATAAATATGGATTTTCTGACGCATCATCATCAGTAATCAACTAAAGCACGGTATACCCTGAGTAGATCTTAGTTCACTCACCTAACAAGAGAGTAGATAACTAGTTAAGTTAACTAGTTAGTTAAGTACCGAGTAAGTAATCACCTAGCTAGGCAATGCGGGAGCTAAGTTTGACCTACATGGAATGACCTACATGGAACGGTATCGTCTGTCGATCACCACATGCCTTTTCATTTCCACTTATCAGTACGTATCGTATCGAGTGGGTAATGATAAACCCGATAACCCCAAGGAGGTAAGCAGTGCAAAAAGATAGTGAGGCTATCTAGTCTAGACTAGAGTAATTCATGCCGATATACTCCGTACGGTTTAGTAGTCATTTGATTCGGAAAGGTAATAGACCGAAACAGGAAAATCTCACGCGATCTTCAGCAGGAGTAGAGTAGTCTATAGGTAGTTTCTGAATGGAGTAATTGCATTACCTTTTTCGAGCATTGGAATGGTAGTAGCCCTAATCTATCCCCTATTCGAATTTCGCGTATGCTTTGCCCTATGCGCGACAAGACAACATCTCTAGTTGGTCAGGGGGATGTTAATTAATGTGGGCTCTTTTTGTTCCTTACTCGTAGGGCTCAATTAATCAATTGAAGGCTACGTGTAGATAGTATTGGTTTAAACGTTTCTTATCCGAGATATGTTGGTTGCCATGATAGAGAAGACTCGGACGCTCCTGTTAAGTTAGAATACGATCTCTATTGCCATGTCCCAGGAATTACCCCCTCTTCATTGAACAATATGTATCTCAGCATATAGAACATAGCGCTTTCTTACTTCGATTTTAAATGTCCATAATAATACTTACGAATTTCCTTTTCCGATGTTACTAATGGGTGCTGGTTGAAACATCGCAATAAAATGAATTCATCAAACCTACGCAGCATCCGTATAGAGCGAAGGTGTCTACTGCTCTTAAAGTATAGAATTTCAATTGCAGAAGACTGTATACGCCGTATATGAATCCGTACCTCTTATTCGAGAATCCTTTATATTCTCTCTTATCCAAACAGAAAAGTTCAAGTAATTCATACTCAGACCACCTGACTGTTGTTTTTCTTCTCCCTTCCTTTGAGCTCCTCACGCACTAGTTAAAGGAAGAATGTAGCGTCCATAGTCAATGGCATCATTGAGGTTGTCATAGCCTCGAATAGAGATGAGTTCCGCTTCCAGATCCACGTAATCTAGAATGGAATCGGCCAGAATGTGCGGCGATCCAACCAAGGCTGTTGACGCACCGCGCGCATTCGTCGCTGTAACAGTTGGATACCATAATGCGCGATCCTGGACTTCTCCCCGAGCCGCGATCTCGAGCAGACGCTGAGATCCCACATTCTGCGGCGGTGGTGCATCGGCAGGAACCTTGCCCTGTCCATTTGCGCGATGCGTCTTCAAAGCGTCGAGAATACGATGTGCTTTGGCCCAGGCCAGTTCGTCCGTTTCTGCAACTATGCCGGAACGTGACCCAGATCCGGGGCCGGTCAGTTCGACCAGCTTTCTGTGCCGCTGCGTAAATGCGATCGATCTGTTCCTTCGTCTCTTTCAACGGCTCGCCCCAAAGTCCGAATATATCTGCCAAAACAGCACCGAGGCGATATGCGTTCTCTGAGGATCCACCCACAGATACTGGGATCGTGCCGTTGACAGGACGCACGCGGTTGCTGAACTGTTTGAATTGGTAGTATTTGCCGTCCCAGTCGAACGGGTCTGCGGACTCCCATGCGCGACGTAAGATTCGGATATACTCTTCAAGCCGGGCATATCGCTGCTCCTTCGTTAGGAAATCTCCCTCTTTAGCCTGTTCCGCATCACTACCACCAGCGATGAAGTGCACGACAACACGACCGGAACTGAGCTGGTCTAGAGTCGCGAGAGCCTTTGCAGCAACGGTGGGGTACAACGTATTTGGACGCAACGCAATAATAACCTTGATCTTCTTCGTCACTGCTGCAATGGTAGCACCGATAGTGAAGGGGTCGTATGACGACGAATCATACGGGACCAGCGTGTAGTTGAACCCATAGTCATCGAGAGTGCGGGCGTAGCGGACTAGGAAGTCCGGATCGACCGAGGCGTTTGGTATCGGCTTCAGCTCTGTCGAGGCATTGGGAAATGTCAAGCTGATGAATTCTGTCGGTATGGTTGCGGAGGTGTCTTGAATTATGTCGGCGCTCACAACTTATTTGGAGGCGAGCTGCAAACGGCTTATACGACTCTGCTGAAAGAGAGGTAGGATAAGCAATATGAAGCCACCTAAAGCCACCAATATAGATTTAAAGGAGACACGCTGGAATAAGTAATTGCTTATAATCAGTAGCGGAGGGAGTGCTTTAGCCAATGGGGAATTAAGATAAAGTCTATGGGCATAAATAGCTAATAGATTCTAGTATCTTTTAGTTTTCTAAGCAATTCAATATTCATTCCTGTATTATAGTTATATTGACGGAAGTCGACTAGACGACTAGACCAAAAAGGAGAACTCCTCAGAGGTCTGGTCCTAGCTGGATCTAACATATATTTTTTCTAAGTCTTTGCTTCTATAATCCTAGATCTCTATAAGTTATAAGCCCGGAGTCTTATTCGAGCTTTAGATCTTACTCTATTTAATGATGTGATGGTTAGCAGGTAGCTGAAAATGGCGACTTCTACGGCCATTTTACAAGTCTTGTTAACCAATATCCATCTTGGCCTCATGTGAGCGAACACCCATGGCCACGGCTCACCTCAGCATCCTCAATGTCCTAAGTATCCTCCCTACCCAGACGCCTACACTGCGGGAGGGGAGTCGTTTTTGGCTCCCCCCTTGACCATTATGTTTTCTTCAGTTCTAAGTCCCCATCATGCCAACTATGTCCTTTTCCTGCTCTCTTATCCTTCCTTCCACCGGCATCTCTTGCAACACATCTCATCCTTCCCCAAACTCTCCTCATCCACAAAAACTCTATTCTCTTTACACCCTGAACTTTTCACTCTGGATCTCTGCTTTGCTGCCAGTTCCCCATGGTTCCGCCCAATTATGGCGCCTCGTTCCCGACCAGTTAGACGACGACAGCAAGAGCGAGAGTGATGCCAGCTCTAACATTAGCGAGATCTTTTCGGACAACAGATCTGGTAGTGGATCCGATCTTGCCCTCCTGAGCTTCGCCCCCAAGTCTCAATTCTTATATCTATGTCGACTGGCCAGCGGCCAGCATTCTACCGCATGTTGCGCCCTGTATATCGCCTCCGAGTTCCGTATCACTGCTCCTATCTTCAGTGTGGGGATTCTGGGTCCTTCGTCAGATTGATATTGCAATGTATATCATGTTGTCAGGGTGACGATCAGAAGGAAGGATGTCGGGCAGTCAGAAATTATTCAGGTTGGCGATTTGCCAGATAGAAAGAAGCCTTTATGCCAGTAAGTAGATAGAGTAGGGTAGGTGACGGAGTCAAAATTGAACGGATCGCTGAGCTCTAAGATAGTAGAGTAGGTCGAATTAATCATGGTGTATATATCTAGATGCCAAACCAATTATATCTTTTAAATTAAAGCAGTTACATAGTTGTCTCTAGAAATTTTACTATTGGAAAAACTATCAATAAAGGAAAGGAAAAGAAAAGAAAAGAAAATCCCAGGTCTGGGATTCGAACGCCAGAGCTGCGGCCCCCGAAGGGCTCAGGTTTCCCTGAGTGTCAATCGCGATGTTAACCATTACACCAACCTGGGGATTGTTGATCTACTCAAGGGGGATCTCTTTTTTTCCCTGTCCTTCCAGTGATGGAAACGCACAGTTGTTCGACTTCAGCTGATTAATTATGTGACCTATCAGTCGCACGCTAGGAGGATTAGTTTTCTGTCCTTTTTTTCGGTCCCCTTTTTCTTCTCTCTCTTCTATACCAGTGTCAGCAGTAAGGTAGATATAAAATTTATACTGCATTAGTACTAGTAGGAGCGAGGGGATAAAGCTTTATTTATATGCATGCCACTATCCTTAGTGCTGTAAGGGTTTGACCTATAAGCTATCTAGGTTCCGTTGGTATTCCCACATCGTCAAAGCCGGCGGGCGCCGCCTGCGGGTAACTATTTCAACTACATGTACCTACCTAATCTTAACTCTTAAAATAATAGCAGCCGGTAGCGCAAAAGGCTACAGTTTCTGATCCAAAGGCTACGCGCAACTGGTATCCTATACCTCACGACCGCTTACATTCAGCCAGCGGATAATTAAGATGAAGTCTATGGGCAATAAATAGCTGATAGATTCCGGTATCCTTTAGTTCTCTAAGCAATCCAATATTCATTCCCGTGTCATATGTTTTTTTCTAAGTCTTTGCTTCCGTGATCCTAGATCTCTACAAATTACTTGTCTGGTGGGATCTTGATGGGCGATCATTGAGGACTTCTATTGCTGTCTTTTATTAAACGGACCCCGCATCATGCGGGGCGAATGCTGCGAACTGTCCTTGATGTAGAATACTCTAAGACCAGAGTAACATGCTATCGGCTGAGAACCGGAGAGTTGTCTTTTGTTATTGACTGATGATGACGCGAACAGCCGGGAGATGAAGCCTTCAATCTTGCAGCACTGCGCCATCTATATAAGCAGGACTTACCAATCAGTTGACTGTCTGGAATTAAAGAAGTGAGAAGAGTTCAAGGAAATTCAGGCTCTATATTTAATGTGTAATATGGCAGTTGTGCGTATAGGTCATATTAGATCTGCCTCCAGAAGGAGTAGCGAGTAGTCTGGGATTGTTTGAAGAAGCCTACATACAGTAACAGAGACATGAAGGGGCATGATCGAAGTAGTGGTATTTCCATGTTTATCTGATCGATATAATTCGGGCGGAAGAGGGCCCATTGATATCCGTCGGATACTTCCAAACTTTTGTTTCTACTTCTAGGTAAGAAACTAGAATGGGTAGTCTACTACTTAAGAGACTTCCTATCTAATTACACTAAAAGTAACGAGGGCTTTTAACGAGTATATCTTTAATGTCTATTAGAAGGGTTACACATGCTATTCCTTCTAGCAGTGGCCTTAGCTCATCCACTACTGTCTTCACTCTTCTCCAATAAAATAACCCCAAGGCCTAGCTTGCCAGGACTCATATCGAAGCCCCACAGCCCGACCATTTCGCAGTATGGGATACTGGTCGGTCCTCTATGGTCCCAAGAGCTGTGGACCTTATCGATGATGCATGTTCTCAGCCAATGAGTAGAAAAGTCCACACGGTCGTGACGAACAGACTCATATTCTGGTATCTCAATCGGTTTTCCTGCGAATGATTGAGACTTTCTAGCCTGCCCGGGCCCCACACGATCACTGTGAAGCTGCAAAAGATAAGTATGTACCGGAGAGAGTACGGTTGGCTTGGTTGCTTACAACGATGTCCAAGGTACCATGGTAATCTGAAAGCACCTCCAGGATCACAAGCCTCTCACCATCCTCAAAATATGCTTCACTACAAGGCCTACCATCCGTGCAGCCAATGGTACTAGTATAGCCGGTCTGGTAGCTGAATTTCAAACCAGTGAGATATTCATTTCCTCGATCACGGATCCGATAGGCTGAAATGGCAATGACCTGGTCGAATCGTCCATCAGAATTTATCTGCCAGAAAGCTTTCTCTGGCACGGTCCATCGCAATTGCCTCATGCAAGAACGTGCGTCCCAAAGAATAATCCGCTCTGACTCAGTTACTGGCGATGATAGAACGCGAGGGTGGTCGAAGCCGGCATTAAATATCCAACAGAAAGAAACCTAGATGATCAGAACCAGCATCTCGGCGACGGTGTCGAGAAATTAACAGATATTCACCTACCAGCTTCTCAAATTGGTTCCCTGGAAATCTCAGTACCGTGAAATCACCGGCGGAGAGAAATTCTGACACATGTACGTCCTTCGACTGCATATGAGACGTTCTAACAACTATTCGGACCACCCGACCAAGATGCTGGAAGAGCCAAGACGAGTTGTCTTTAGTTAACCATATGGAGACTTCCGTAATCTTTTCGTTCGGCTCGATATCCATACAGTCTATGTCAGAAATCCACTGCCCCACAATCTCCGAAGGCCGAGAGTCGAAATAGTCCAGCCACAGTCCAGATACTTCGTCTGCTCGTCGAGTACGTGACGGAGAACCGCAGGAGAACCGGATACGCCTGGCACCCTCCAGGGAAGCAGCTGTAGAGGCAGTGCATCCTGTTTCAGCCATGACATAGGAGCCTACTGAATAACATAGTTTGTCATTGAGAGGATCGTTGTAAGCTCTGTTTTGACCATAGGTACTCTGAATAGGCTGACCGTTCGTATAGCTGCATTGTAAACCAAAGGTCTGAAAGACACTGTTACTGGCCTAGAGTCCGAATTGTGAGTAAATCATAAACTCTGATTGAGGGACACTTTACAGACCCCAAGCGTAGTTGCAAATCCGGTTATAACCTGGCCATAGGGTGCTGTAAGCACATCCGTACCGTACGATATCTCGTCCAACGTTGATACATATTGGCGGTTGTAAGGGCTAAAAGTAACACTCCTCCCAAAGTTGGTGTAAAGCTAGTCACAATTCATGGATCCATGTTAGCTTCGGTTGTAGTTTCTGGTAAGCGGGATGGGGCCGACGGACACTAAGAGACCAGATTCCTAAAGAGGTTGTAGCTCGCTCATATAGCACTTCTACAATCCTCTCGCCACCTGATCCATCGATAATGAAAGAGACCTCGGTTGCGCCTTGTTTTCCATACATTGCAGGATCTTTCCCGTTGAAATAGAACATCAATCCAACCAATGGTGCTGCATTGTCTTGCATATGTGCAACTATTCGTATTAGTTTCTGCAGGTGTTCCCCATACTCGCCTCCGAAGTCCATATTCAAAATGGGATTGTAGGTCTGGTATTCGAGGATCTCGGGCACCTGGATGATGGGTTTTGGTTTGGGATAGCTCGGTGTCCAGAGTGGCAGTTGAATAAGCTGCTTTCGAGTGAAATTCTTTGGGGATTTCGATTCGCGAGGAGCATCAAAGCCATCAACTATTGCAACTGAAATCATCTTAAAGGCCTTTAAGAATAAGTTAGACCGAGATCATACAGAGAAGCGGCGTTTCTTACGTCAAAACTGACAACAAGGTTGAAAACGGCCAATTCTCTCTGCACGCAGATTGTTCCGAATGCAAAATTCGATTCTCTGCCCTCGACGTCTCCTAACCATTCCGAAGAGGATACACCAGAATCACTTGATGAGATAGTCCTTATCGCAGAGATACCATTCTGGCGCGTTACAAGCTCCACTCCAATAAAATGCTCGTTCGGTGGGATCCACAGGAAGGTCTCTGTACTGGTGTCAACATAGCCCAGAGAATGACTAGCATATCCGGTATTATTGCAATCCTTAGTGAGTAGTCGAAGAGCTGATATAAACATTTGCGAGTTGAAGATAACGGTAGAGACACCAATTGCACGTATATATTGATTTCCCAAGGGATCAGGAAGGCTCCTGATGAAGATTTCCCTGCTTCCAACCTGCAGATAGTCACAGTTACCAGATCTTAGCTCAGTTGTGATTATTCTACCTTGTGTGGGCGTTTGCAGACTTATCTCCTGGCGGCTGCTCATGGAAAGATTGTCCCAAGAAATAGGGAAACCTTGTAACTGGACAACGGGTGAGTATAGATCAAACAAGGAAATATTCCAGTTGATAATTTGCCATATCCTCTTGCGATTACGCAGGCGTGGAGATCCTTGCGGAAGTTGCATTTCATGCTTCACAGAGAAGTATAGAGATCTCCAATCCACAGGACTGTGCGCTTGAGTGGGTCGAACAAAACCCATCTCGAAGTCAAGCGAAAAGCGGCTTCTCCAGAAGAACTGTGGCAGTAGATTAGGATGTGACCCGCTGGCGATAGACCTGGAGGATAAGCGAAAGTGTTGAATATCGCGGGATGGAAGCCACATTATGATGCTATTGGTATATTAGGGCATTTTATGGTTTTGGAAAGAGTCCCCAAGCAATCATTGATACCGTCCGCAGAGTCAAACATCGAAGGCTTGACTATGAATGGGGAACTCCAAGGCTCCATGGAGGGTCTCTGGAAACTCAACGCACCACCAAAATCATGCCCCATATCTGGATTCTGGTATCGTTTCCACACAGTACAGTATAGGATATTCCACAGTATTGTGCCGAGACGATGGTTTTTAGTGGTGTCGCAGGATGTTCTTTCACACAGAACCTCCCAGCATGCTGCATGAAATATAAAGGTCCAACCATATGTTTCGTAATTACAAAATGGTGGATAATGATCAAAGGAGGCACCTGAGCTCTGGTAAGAATGACTTGGATCCCTGGGAGTGACAGTGTTCCCTCTGGAGCTAAGATATCCAACACCGGTGAGCCAGACAGGCTTGTCTGGACCTTGACACCTCACTAAAATGACAAGTCAGTTTGAATATAGGAGAACCCATGGCAAAAATGAATTATGCTAACAGGATCTCAGTTCCTGGCACCACTCCAAGGGCGGCACTCCGGAAAGTGGCTCAACCGTATATTGAATATGGACGCCACATATAACGCAGTGGATATCCCACATTTTCAAATATCTCTTCACTTCAGTATTTCATGAGCTACTGGCCTGGAAACTGAAACGATGCATTCGATATGGACTTCAATGGTTAAACTTATACAGTTTTGGCGATTTTTTCTTGTTCTAATGGCGCACCGCAGTTTGTAATAAGGATCTTGTTCAGACTCGGGTGGTGAGGGTACTTAGAATTTTGAGACCGGGTACAACTTTAGCCAGAGTTGTCACGGGACCAGATATCATTGCTGCCTGGTTCAATATTCACCTGGAATATTAAATCCAGTCACATCACCAAACTACATTCCCTGTTTCATTGTAAGAAGGTAGATGCCATGAGGCTTGAGAACCAAGCGATATCTTAGTCCAAAATAGGCAAGTACAGGAGCTCCGCAATCGCGGGTGATTGCACGTGATCCGTCGCGAGCTCTCATTTCACCCAGCTACATACGCCCCGGAGCCACAAGCGCAACAATGGTTCTGGAACTCCATGTCTGGGGACCAGCCTTTTCGCTGCCCTCAATTGAGGCGCAATCGTTGGCTACTATCGCATACTTTGTTCTAGCCGTCCCGAAGGATGAGTGGGTACTTGTCCCAAGCAGTGACCCTTCCGTGTCACCGACAAGTAAGTGTCTGGAGTTTGACTGCTTATTGGATTTCTAGCGCAGTAGGATATCCTCATGATAACGGTGGAGTGCTGACGTGAAAGTAATAAGATGAATTGCCTGCCTTGAGGGATGGGACTACATGGGTAAGCCGGTTTCGCAACATCGTCGACTACCTGCGGCAATACTCGGACGGAGAATGGGATCTGGATGGGTGGTTAACGGGGTTGGAGAAGGCGGATAATATCGCGTATGTTCCTTTGTCTTCTACTATGGATAACATTCTGGGTGGCTCTTCGTGTGGTGCTAACTGGACGACCGGCAGCTTTGCCTCCTTCATCGAATCGCGTGGACAAACCCTCCTCGATCTATCGCTCTACGTCTCGAGCCAGAATTATTACGGAAGCACATCACCAGCTTATGGCACCATCTTAACATGGCCCAATATGTGGATCCTCCCACCGAAACTACGTGATGGCGCAAAGACACGAACAGAGCATTTGGGACTATCATCCCTAGATCTAGATGCGATAGAAGAACAAAGGAACCGGGATCAGTCTTCTGCGACGGCAACAGCAAAGATCCCCAAGAGCCTGATAAAGAGACCCCGGGATACCGTCTCTAGTCTGTTAGGAAGAACTCCGCAGCAGAATCAGTTCAAACTGGAAGCACTCACGGCGGAGTTCTTTGAGCCGTTCGAGGAACTCCTGGGCAACAAGTCATATTTGCTGTCTGATGAGCATCCTTCGAGTTTGGACTGCCTCGCAATTGGGTATCTATCGTTAGCTTTGGTCCCGGAGCTCCCATATCCCTGGCTCCGCGAATCGCTACAGGCGAAGGCACCAAGGCTAGCCGAATACACGGAGAGGATGCGCCGACGGTGTTTTGGCATGGTCGATGTCTCTTCCGTCTTCGAGCCAAACGGTGCGGTTTCGTCGCTTCCATGGAGGGTCCCTGAGCGTGTTACTGTAGGCAAGATCGGTTCCACATTGATCAACACGCTTGCCGACTCTACTCCCATTGTCAAGGAGCTCCGCGCGAACGACCGTCTGCGGGATGCTGCAAAGGCGCCAGAATCTGGCTTCACACCCGAGGAAAGCAAGGCCATATCCGAAGTCTCGCAGGCGCAAAAACGGGATGTGTACGTGACCATCGCAACAGTTGCAGCCGGTATCACAGCCTTTGTGGGCTACTTGTTCCACGTGGGACTGATCCAAGTGAGCCTCGGCGGTGGTTCCGAATTGGAGGGGGAAGATGAAGGCGAGGAAGTCGATTTCGAAATGGGGGCGCTGGGTGACGCTTTATCTGGACTGTGAACACAGTCTGCGTTCAAAAATTCCAATATAGCTTTCCTGTCTTGTTTGAATACTACCTTTTTTCTATGGACCTTTCTCCTTATTCCCATCTGTCCCATCTCCAAGCTGCATTAGAGGCTGCTTATCCCCTCTGAATCTGCAATCATTTTCATATGCCAGAGCATTTGTTCGAGTGTACCCCATGATAGACTGTACTACTAGACAATAGCACAGAATATAGCGGAAGTGTGAATCATTATTACCGAGAGGACTTCTTTCCCGATGATCTGACATATAAAATATACCCAGAAAACTCGATATATAGATATAGAGTATCCTACCCATGAGCAAGGAAAGAGAACCCATTACCTCAATGCTAACTACTTTTACACTAACACGTCCCGAACACACCCAGTCCCCTTCCCCTGTACGACGACGACGCGATGATAATCACCTGACGACCAACGTCCGGAAGCCGAAAAGACATGAGGATACATGCACGACCATCCAAGCAGTGGATACGTTCAGGGCACGAGTAATCTATACATTATGCTTGGGAGTATATGTATAATAGAAACTATAGTATATGCTCTTTCTTCAGCAGTAGTGATTCTCGGTTCTCCACAACTATATATGGCCATACATATGCCTCCCTAAGAGTATAGGTGAACTGATTTCTCATTCAAGTACGAGAAAATATCAATCACATACGACCATAGGGTGTGGAAAACAGGGCTTCCCGTCCGCTCAGCCGTACTTAAGCCACACGCCGGCAGGTTAGTAGTTGGGTGGGTGACCACCAGCGAATCCCTGCTGTTGTATGTATTTTTTTATCTTTATTTTTGAACCTCCCTTGAGCCTATACTGCTAGTTTTTGTTTCATCGTCAGACCGATCACAAGTACGCAGTAGTGGTCGTCGTCTGTTCAATCGATCCTACACTATGAGTACGTCGAGCGTCATGATAGAACCAGTCCTAAACAGTTCATCGGTTTCGGAATGCATCCCCGGCCATCCAAAACGTGTTATTCTACGACTTCGTGTCAGCGATTTCGATAATCATGGTCCAGCAGAGCTTGACCGTGCCATTATGGCATACCTATCGTCCGCCGGTCGCTCTGTTCGGTAACGAACTAAGCCAAAGAATACATCACTCGCATATTGAACCACTCCCAATCCCCGGAGATGAAGCAGAAATCATTCCATATAGTTCTCGATATTGAGAAAGATATGCTCAAAGACCCAGACTTCGAGCAGCTTGAGCATGAGGTTCATCGTGTTCGTCGTGCTAGGGACGGAACACTGTATGGATGCTACGCCCCAGTTTTGGTTATTTTACTACTAATTCTTGAATAGCATTGTTAACAGGATCCAAAATCCAATAGAGGAGCAGAATTTTGTGAAAAAAATGCGACAATTCACTGACATCTTTTATCCATGGGCAAGATAATATCCATCTTGGAGGCCTGGTTCAAAAAAATCTGGTTCATGAATAATCAAATCTGAATCTCACATCTCTCCTTTATAAACAAACCTCCGTTTCCTTTTCGCAGCTATGTAGCTATATTTTGGAGATTACTTAGTTGGGCTTCAAAACATTGATTTTTGACATCTTTTCTAGGAAGACGGATGTTTAAATCTAGGTCTTGCTCAGTGTCTCTTGTCAGAACTCGGCTATTAAGTGTGACTTTCTACTCGATCAAACAACGCAGAGCACACGCTCATCGTTTACATCTTCCATTGTCCCTTTCCGCCTCGTCTAAGAAACACGGCCTACCAGTTCCGAGACTGGGGCAACGGGGTAGAATGTTCGCGAAGGGATACGATAGTGGGAGAATGCAAAGACAGAAGATGGCGTTCTATCGCGGTCGAAATCACCAGGAGTAGGTGCATACGCTAGTTGGTCCCATATGCCAACTTGGGAGTCGTCATCATTGTTGCTGTGTAGGAGCTGGTTGTTATGTTCCCAAGGCGCAAAAAAAAAAAAAAAAAAAAAAAAAAAAAAAAAAAAAAAAAAAAAAAAAAAAGCTACCGAGGAGCCTAATAACAGAGCCATCTGGTGTTAACCTTTACACAAAGAAAGGGCCTAGCATAAGATAATGATAATGCTGACAAGCCGGGAAGAACGATAACCGTGGGTCATGAAGATTAAGTTACTCCGCTCAGATGCTGCCTGTATAATAGTTAGCTCCAGTCTGAATGCTAGGATAGTAGAATACGAACAAGAAGGCGAATGTTGCCATATTGCTATAGTTGCTAGGTGTCGTAGCGCATGATATCTGCTCCTTATTGAAAAGTTATGATCCTTTGGCTAGCTAGTTGCATATAGATCTATATTGTATCAATGTTTCTTCGCTATAAGAGGTAGAGACGATTCCTATATGGACCCTAATAAGTCCAAAACTGCGGTACAGACGAAGCAAGTCTTGTATACATACAATGGCTGTTGTATGTTTTTTGCTTGCGTTTGGCTTTTTTTTGTGTTTCTGATGGATGTTCGTCTTGATTTCTTTTGTTGATTCACGAGCGCATTGTGCTATGTACTATGTATATGGTATTGTATATTCTACTCGAATAATGAAAGGTTCTTTTTCTCTCGATTAACAGTAAGAAATTTATTTGAACTCAATTTCCATTCTTCTAGTTGATATTATTATTATTGCGGCTTTGGTCTTTCAGAAGAGTTGAGTCGGTATTATTTCATCGATAGATCATCATCGCATGAAGAGCGGGATGGAAATCAAGAAACTAGATATCTATGGGTTGACGGGCCTTCGTCTTCGCTGGTTAAGAGAGGCGTATGGATGAAATGGGTAGATATTTAAAGTAGGTGAGACCCGGATGATCTTTAAACATCAAGTGTAGTGCATTATTTATGCAGGAATAGGGGTCCCTGGTTTAAGTATTGCTCATCATCATCCATCTCTCAATTCAGCTTAATGTGAAATTTAGAGTAGTTACAGCTACGTTCATGGAAGGTCTCGACAGATTCTGCTATGTACTCTTACCTGAAACCAGCTTCTCCGGAAATGGCAAGGTTGGTTGATTCGAGCCCTCCACTTTTATATCTAGAATGGATTTATTCTCCGAACCGAAACCGTTCTGTTATTAACTTCCACTTTGTGATCTCATTGCGGCTCTCTATGGTATCAGATTCAGAGCTCAAAACAGTTTGTTTGGGAAAACCAAGAGCTACATAGATAGCCAAAACTGTCAGACCAGTATTATTAATAATTGGCCCAGTGGGGCAAGGGAGGCTTCCATCATGCGTGCGGCGTGCCGGTCTGACGGACGTCGTGCCATTCCTCTTCCTCAGTCCGCTTCGACCGTGCGGCCGAGAATAATTGGCTGCCTACCATATGCCGGCACCGATCCGTTGGATGCTTGTCAATAATATCGAAAGGGTCCTGCCGTCCTGGTACTCGCGGTGGGGACGTTTTGGATATGATGGGAAACCGAGGGTTTTGTATGCGTTGGGAAAGTAGGTAAAAAAAGTGACGACAGTAGTATATGGTAATTGTTGGGTCTCTAGGAATTGAGTTATGATGACGCTGTTATTCGTGGGAATGGGTCTGGCGTAACAGACAACATAATACTTAAATCAGTAGGTATCGGAACCTGCAACCTTGGCTTGGTTCACCGAATCGTTTGTTCTGCGTCATGATTTGTTCTCTGTATCCACTCCATCTCGCTACCTTTGGTCGAAGTATTCCGTACCTGCGTGGGCGGGTTTCAGTGACTGTGGCTGAGGATAAGCTAATGAAATAATAGAAAAAAAAAATTTTCTTTCTTCCCTCCAGCTGTTTCAAAATGTCTCTTTTTGTTCCTGCATATCTGCTAAAAACAGGCGGTAAGAGACGTTGACGGTTGAGAGCGGTATCTGCTACAATGGTTGCCTGAACGGGTCAGCCTCTAAGACTTGCCACGTCCACGCCTTTGAGCTGCAGAACCGTTTGGATGACCGGTCCTTATTTAAAATCCAACCGTCACAGTAATAATGCTGAAGTGGAAGGTGGTGCGATAATAAGCAGTTGATCTTTCCGCAAGAAGATGTGCTGGGCCCGTTGTTCCCGAGCCAAGCTGGAGGAAGATCCAGATTTCTTGCCGATCAGATACCAAGCCAAGTAATCGGTGGCACGACTAGTGAGCTTATCGCTGCACTGATAGCTGAGATGGCCCTGGGATAAGACCATGGCATGGGATAAAATCCTGGGGCCCGGCCTGACAACCTCGACGCGTCCAGTTCTCTCGCATGAGCGGAGTGTATCTATCTTTGCCGGGATGTGCCAACGCAGGCCAAGTAATCACTACTACTGCTCACTGGAAGAAATGACCCACATTGTGATGAGTATCAATCAAGGCACGGGGAATGTGTCCGGACTGCGCACAGATTAGATAGAGTAAGTATAAGTGAGTGTCGGTAAAGAACTTCCCCGGATCAGTAGGTTTTCTCTTTCTCTCCTCATCGTGGCTTCGGGGCCTCGGGCTGAATTAATAAATGAGCGAGCCATTTGATCCAGCCCATCGTAGACGACGGAACGGGCCCATCGAGGTGTTCATACAGCGCCGAGCTGCTACCAAAGCTGGAAGGTTGCATTAGTTCCCAAAGTAGGCCAGTATTTGCGCTTGGCTGTGGATTAATTATGTGACTGGATGCCTGTCACGAGATCGCTGGAGCGGAGAAGTCCGTCGGACGACGACAGCGATAATTGTGGTGGGCTCTCCCTGGATAGCTAGACTCTAGAGTATGGAGATGGTGCTAAAAGAGACGGGGGGGCTGTGTGCAATGAAGTCATTGCTGGTTGGACTACGCGGATACCTCGAGGAATCGAGACTGTCCTGGAAGACGGCATTATTATTAAAAGGCGTCCTTACCCCGCAACTGAGGCACAGCGACGGAACCCAGGACAGTAATCAGACACGCACCCCAAAGCCCACGATGCCAGCGATATACACGGAGACAAAGCGGTTTTCTTATACGAAAAGCCCGAACTATCGCCGTATCCTGAAGGCGCCCGATCGACCAATCGCCATCCGCAATGAGTATGTGACCGAGTCGAAGGTATCCCTAATTCTGAGGCCGCTGGGCGACGCTCAATCGCAGACGGCGTACAGAATCGAGGATGAAGATGGGGTGACTATGTTCACGGTGACCGGTCGCAAGTCCAGCGACCGCTCGTGCCGGGAGTTTCGTGATGCCTCAGGGTTGCCATTGTTCGAGCTTCACCGAAAGATGTCCTTTAAGAATGTTTGGTCCGTGACGCTGCCCGGAAGTAGTATCTCCAAGATCGCTACCGGTGCCCCGCGACTGATCTTCAGCCGTGGCGGCTCGGCTTACGGAAGCTTCAATATCACGTTCAAGAACGTAGCTGCCATGGAATCGAAGCCGGATGAAGAGAAGAGGCTCACATTGAACATCGAAAGGCATGGCAACGCCCTAGCGCTGTTCGATGTGGTGGATGGGGACCGGAAAGTGGCGGAAGTGCGCGAGAGTCTCGCCCATAATAAGAAACTGGCCCTCTTCCCGGAATCGCGGCGCGGTTATCGCCCGGTTCTTGAAGTGATGGTCACTCCTGGTGTGGACTTGTCCTTGGTAAGAGTTTCCAGCTAGTTAACTAGTTAACGATTTCTGTTATTGTTGCAAGCGTTTACACAGAAACTAACCCGACCCTAGATTGTTGCAATTGCTGTTATGGCGTCGGACTGGGTTTTCAGCGCGAACTATTAAATCATCTCTTCAGCCTTCTCTTTATGGATCGACTTCTCGCTTCAACAGCCGTTCACAAAAAATGGTGTTCGAAGGTGCTGGGCACGAGCCGCAGGCATGAACCAGCGGCACGGAGTTATGAATGAATGACACGAAGCGAGGCATCCAACGAACGGATCTTCTGTTTTGAGCGTGTTTGCCGGATGTTTGGGATGCTTTTTTCTTTTTCAAAAATAACGTCGTCCTTTTCCGAGCGTTATTCCTCTGATGTGTCGGTCTTAATTGCGCAGGCGCTAATTTCCTCTCAACTAAGTATCTTTATGGCCAGGAAGACTGAATGTACCACGATCTTAGATATCGTCCTCACTGATTCAATAATCCCACAAGATATGACTATCCTGGGACCGTTAAGCGTGTCAAGTCGGTGCGTTGTGCTTTTAGTAGATGCCATTTCAGGAAAGAAGTCTTGAACATAAGCCTCTTGGTCCATCTTTTGATATTCCTGTTACCCAAGAGCCATTCGAGAACTGGCGATAAGGCAATTTCGAAGCGACGGACGTCCACCAACGTTATAGATCTCAAAGGCACCGCGCAGCTTCTTGATCCACACCTGACGGATTAGCTACCGTGGGAACACATATAATCATTCACTTTCAACCTGAGTCGATTTCATGCTTGGAGTGGTTGCCCTATGGTGGAGATCGACACATCTATATCAGCAGATATGATGACAGCTTGATAGTCCCAGTGTGAAACCTAACTAAGGAGTCATAACGTTGATCGCATCGATCCTAGGAAGACAGGCTAGCATAAGTCATTCAGTAATAGCTTTTCTTTCTTCTCACATGGGGTGGACTGGCACCTGATCAAGGAGGGTCCGTATCCTATGCGCATTATATTTTAGCTCGTAAAATGTAGGCCAGACATGGCGCTCTGGGCTGATACTGCCCTGAGAGAAGGGGTTGAACTGTGATCCTTTGCATTGAAAAGAGATGCATAGTGGTATGTCCTATTCTTGCACGTATATGGGCGTGTCCGGGGCCCGGTTTTTATATGCTCTATTTGAATCTGAGGCCAGCCTTCGAACTCTGGAGTTGACGTGGTCCTGCACATGACTTGCAGCTGTGGGAGAAAAGAAGGCGTAGATAATTATCTCAATCCTTTCTGTCAGCTTCTTGCTTAGACCCTGAGCTAGAGAAGAATGAAGGGCATAGTATCGACAGGTGATTCAATAATTGCTCAGAAGAAGAAGAAGAAGAGGAAGGGAAAATTCATTTCTACACTATGAGGTATTCTGCCAAGGAGACCCAAGAAAAAGGAAGAAAAAAAGCAACGAAAACAATGACAAATAGTGTAGTCGCTTCTGCTGTCCTTCTGCCGTTCTAGCAGAGATGGAGATTATAACCTTGCAGGACGCCTTTAGTGAGGTTAACATCGACGTCGACTCTCATGGCCGTTTTGCCTGTCGATCAACAGTGAAGACGGAATACACGACAGATTCGCAGTCTATGGTAATCTCGCTCTTTGTATGGTTATGTTGGTGATGAACCGCCGTTCGTGACGAGGGTGTGAGTGACATAAACGCCAAGAACCTAAAACGAGGACCTTGGGGGTTGAGGACGGCTGCGGCACTGTCTGCCACTTGATTGAGAACACAGCGAGAGGGAAAGAGAGAGAGAGAGAGAGAGAGAGAAAGAGACAGAGGTATGGGGAAAATCCATCCCCACGTGGAATTTAAGCGTAGAGGAGAATTAGCATCACGCTGGTCCGATCTGGAATGCTGGATCGATCGTCGCCACGCGAGATCGAGTGTTTAAGTCTTTGAGTGTTGACTCGTCGAAATGGTCGAGGATAGGAAATGCTGAGGTAAGCGCGGGAGCGAACAAGTTCAACAAACGGGCCAATGAAACACGCGGGAAATGCGCTTGCGGAGAGCCCGACGGCGCCTTCCTTTCCTGGGTCGGACTCAAGCTTTCTCAGCCTCCAAGGTCCTCAAAAGTAAACTGTACCTGTTCTTCCCCTCCCTCGCACGGCTTTTTTTCTTCTTACGCCATGACTTCCTTTCCCTCGTCCAGCGTCTGCCATCCAATGCGGATTGTCTTCTTCTTGGCCATTGCAGTCTTCCTCTCAGATTGGCCCTGACTACCCATTGTCTTGGACTTGGCTGCTTGGCTGCTTGGCGTGGGATAAAAACACTGTCTGCTTCTCCCAAGGTCCCCAGAGTATCGATCTTAAAAAGGATCCGACTTGTCTGCGGCTCCTTCATCTATCCAATCGTGCGCCTGCAGCGAGACTACAGGGAAAGACTATCGATTCAGGCACTGGCAAATCGAGCTTGAGCTAGACTGCAGCCCTAAGATCAGCCAACGATCATGGATATGAGCCTCATCAGCACCCTGATCGCTCGCGACGGCGACCAGGCTGTCCCACAATGTGACACGGGCAACGAATACGATGGCCGCATGGGTCTGCGGATATCATCCATCTTCGTCATCATGGTCGGATCGATGTTTGGTGCAGTCTTCCCGGTCCTTGCACGGAACTTGGGTGGCTCAGGCATTCCCGGATGGGTCTTTTTCATTGCAAAGTATTTTGGCTCCGGGGTCATCGTCGCAACGGCCTTCATTCATCTACTAGCGCCGGCGGAAGAGGCGTTGACAAACGAGTGTCTGACTGGCCCGATCACAGAATACAGCTGGGTGGAGGGAATCATTCTCATGACAATCGTTGTCCTATTCTTCGTCGAATTGATGGTGATGCGCTATGGTAATTTTGGTCACGGCCATGCTCACGAGCATGACGATGATCAACCCCGCCAGGATCTGGAAGCCGCAAGTGAGCCTCATCTGAGTGTGGTGAATGACCCCAAAGGCAATGTACCGGGTGAGGATCACTTGAGCCATTCGCGGGAGCACCACGATGCAGAGATGAACGAGAAGGGTCCGACTGCATTGGAAGACTATGTGGCGCAAATGACCGCCATCTTCATCCTGGAGTTCGGTATCATCTTCCATTCGGTATTCATTGGCCTGACGCTGGCTGTCTCGGGCGAAGAATTCACGACACTGTACATCGTCCTGGTCTTTCACCAGACTTTCGAGGGTCTGGGTCTGGGTTCCCGCCTCGCAACGATCCCTTGGCCGAAGTCGAAGAGATTTACCCCGTACATCATGGGTATCGCGTTCGGCTTGACAACCCCCATCGCCATTGCCGTTGGCCTGGGCGTGCGCAACGCTTATCCACCAGAGGGCCGCACGACCCTGATCGTTAACGGTGTCTTCGATTCCATCTCAGCAGGGATCCTCATCTATACCGCGCTCGTGGAGCTTATGGCACACGAATTCATGTTCAGCACGGCCATGCGGAAAGCCCCAATCACCACCGTTTTATCCGCGTTCGGTTTGCTCTGCTTGGGTGCATTGCTTATGGCGTTGCTCGGAAAATGGGCTTAAAAATATATATCGCATTTAAGGCGTTCTAGGTTATTACAGGATTTGCCGGGTTTGCTACATACAGGTCCGCATCATACTGAGACTTTTATGATCATGTTTTGAAACGTCTCGGAAGTTCTACTCTTATGTCGTCCTTTATCTTGATATCCCATCCACAAGCATATAGCCTTCTATATAGACGTGGAGTTTCAGCAATGAATCACAGCAGGCGTTTCTTCTTTCTTCTTCTTTCAAAGTCTTGGAGTAACATATGAGCCTCGAGTGGTGGGGCGTACGTACAGGGAGAGTATCCTCGCCTATGGTCACCACGGATATCGCCCAACCCTTACCCCGTAGCTCAGACCATCACGTCTTCGTAAGTGATTCAAACGGTCTTGCACTTCAGGGAAAGGATTCATAACAAATCTCTATCCACAATCGAACTAAACGTATCATTATCAAATCATATCATCATGCCTTCTCGTTGGCATTGGCAGGAATCCTCCCACCCCCCTCCGTCACAGCTGGAGGAATCCCCTGATCTGCAATCGCCTTCAAATCATCCTCACCCATCTCCCCATCCCAACCATGCGCGACCAAATACGCTCTGAACTGCTCATCGCGATACTTGAGATCCTCACCCGAGATATCCGGCACGAAGAACCACGTCACCAGCACTCCCACCACCCCACAAATCGCAGCGATGATAAACGTCCATTTCTTTCCCAGATTATCCTGAATCGGCGTGAACGCCTCCGTACCAATAGCCGCACCAGCCTTCCCCACCGCAGCAGAAAGACCATACTGCACAAGGGGCATGCAAATAGTCTCACCCTTGCGTATATGAGCGGAGGTCGAAGGCTCATTTGGAACTGACTGACGAAGGGAGTTCCAGAAACCATGGTGGCGAACGGAAAAGAGGATATACCAAAACAGTTATATATATATTGGCGCTCAGCACTCCCAAGACGAGTTCCCCCCCCCCCCCCCCAATCAGATGATGGGAGCGCACTTAATCACAACATTGTCAAAGTTTAATCCTGAAACCGACATCCAGCAGGGAGATGATGCAAGAACTTTCCAGCTACATATATCCTCCAGATTTTGCCGCGTCAATCATTTTCTTTTTCACATCTTCATCAGTATCGTCCTTCTTCATAGGAAATGCGAAGAGTTTCTTGTCTGGATTTTTTTCTGCGAATCTTCTGACAGAGGTATTTGAGGCGTTCGCGTTTGCTTGCACGTTGACCGAGAAGGTGTTTGTATACTCAAGGTGTTAGGGTCATTTATATACAGAGACCCTTAGTCGGCTCGAAAATTGGATGCTGCATCGTTTTCAGTATTTCTCGACGGAAAGAGCCTTCCTCCAGCATTTTCGGCGGAGAGTTTCGATTTTGCTTTAGGTATGTTGAAATTCTGAATGAATTTCTCTAACACCTGTTTCGGAATCGACGTGATATTGGAATGGACTTCCTGTAAGGTTTAGGGCCGACGTCTATTGGTTTGTAGACTTACTGTTTTGGGGTTTGACAATCAGATAGCAACAGGACCTGACTACAACAGTCCTAAAGTGCCACGGGAGACGCCTTTCCAGTAAGCCTGACTGAAAATTGCCTACATCACCTGATAGAAGCAGGATACGGTGCGGGGTAACGTGCATGACCAGTGTCCAGCATGAAGAGGACAATGAAACTGATGCACTTCAGGAAACGCCCTCTAGATATCCATCAGATTACCCGATAGGCTGGCAGGCCCCGACTCCGACAGTTTCCAAGCTCTTAGTGCGTCTTTTACGCCATCCTTGTCATCCGCGGCGTCTATGATCGAACTCACTAGATTACGCATTGTTTCCACCTTTTCCTCGAAGTCTTCAAGATGAACCCAGCCGTCAATGGGGACTCCAAGGGTACCGAATAGCTCCCTGCGATCTTCCCAGCTCTTCCCTTCGGCAACATGAGACGCAAGCTCATCGGTGTCGAATGTCACAGGACAAGAGGACTGGGGCTGGCCAGTTAATTCCATCCATTCGCGCAATGTCCGAAGCATCATCTCTCGAAACAAAAACAATCCATCGTCATCCCATGTGTATCCTGAAAAATCGATGAGCTGCTGTCGCGTTAAAGCTTGAGGAAACGACAGAGCAGAGAAGACGTCATTGTCAATTTCGCAGAATTTGGAAATATAGAGCCTCTGTAGTTGTGTAAGATGGTATCTCCGTAGATTTTCCTCTTTTTCTTGTGGCGTGAGGCCCGTGGCTGATGGAAGGTCGAAAAGCAAGGGCCCATGAATTTTCAGGAATTTCGGTATCCTGCTGGCATGAAAAACGGGAAGACTTGAGCAGCCTTGCCAATCAATGATGCTGACAATCTGATTTTCCTTTACAAATATATTCCCAAAGTGTAAATCAGAGTGCCAAAGTACAGACCGATTTTGACCTGGATGTGATGGTATCAAATGAGGCACAACTTTCAGATACTTGTCGAGGAGTTTAATGTGACAATCGGGAGACTCTTGGCTATCTGACTGTCTCAACGGGTCTGCCGGATGACGAGGATTTGCAAACCGGGCAATCCATTCTTTCTCTCGCCTGGCGATATCTATCGCATACGCCTCAGACGACGACCCTAATTTTGCTCGGTCACTCATTAGTTGGATCCCTGAAATTATGGTTAGGTGGTTGGTCGGCTTACAAGGGCCCCTAAACGCGCTCATGAATCTCCTCTCCTCTTCCCAAAATCGTATATCACAGCTGGGGCCGATGCAAAACTGATCAGCTATTCCAGGGACATTAATGCCACCCTCAATATCCTCTCTATAGAACAAGCTTCCATAATGACCGAAGTCGACAGCGGCTATTTTGGCTTGAATATTGGCCAACTGAGACACAATGTCCACCTTATCCGATATATCCATAGTGGACCAACTTTTGCTTAACTCATTGCCAGCAGCTTTTTCCATGATGATATATTCGACTCCCACAGGCTGGTCTTCCTTGCTGCTCCAAGCAAAGACTCGCGGGACAGGTATACCTAGCTCGTTACGAAGAAAGTCAAGCGTGGCAACTTCGCTGGCTGTAACGAATTTTTGAGGGATGTAAGGGTTGGGAATTTTCGCAATGACCTGGACGCCATTATCCATTGTCAATAGAAAGGTTTTGTTGTATGAGCCTTCCGGTAATTTCGTTATTTCGACGCAGAATTCCGCATTGACTGATCTGGCGGCTGTTTGTTTGAGTTCTTCGACATTGAAGGGCTGGTACCGTTTACGAAGCTGAGCTGCCTCGTCCCATAGCCAGCGTCCAGAGGTATAAGAAAAGAGAGTGTCGAGTCTATCTTGATCTGAGTGGATTGTAACTTGAGAAAACAAACTCAGTAAAAACCAACCGAGTTTATCTTGACGAACTTACCGGGATGGGGAGGTTTGGAGGTTCTCGAGGGGGAAGCGGAAAGGAGCATGCGATGAAATCGGGGTAGTGTCGCCCTTGTAACTCTTCTCAGAGTTTTCAGAGGCGCCATGGAAAAGGCTCGAATAATCTATGATGATGTTATATTAGTGTATTGTTGAGTATGTGGTGACTGCCTCAATAATCACCCTGCACGTGAAGGACTGCTGAGACCTCCCCCAGCCACACCGTTGCTTACAAACCGGCACCAGCCACATGCCCGTTCACCTGGTTTTGCGACTGGAACAAAGGTCCACCAAAGTGGGGGATTACTGTAAGGCACTTGAGGTAGAAAAGTTGTCGGAGAAAATGGCATCTCATCAGCAGAAAGTTAGATTCATCAGTAGGTAGGCTTCTCACTACTATGGTTGGGAAGTTCAACCAACATCTGACGCTAGGCGAAGTTTGTCAGCCTTGGAGGTTAACTAGTTAAAGCATCTGGGGTTGTGCTTGGACTGCGGAACACCTGTTCCACACTGGAAACACCTCTGGGCTAAAATTTAAAGCAATAACTACTGATTGGTTTACGCTTAGATCTACGGTTGATACCCCGCTTCAGGGCATTTGTTAGTTAACTCTATAGAGATAAGTCACAGCCTAGGTAGTTTTCCAGTAATACCTACCTAGGTATTTAATAACGAGACTATAAGGAACATGTTTACGAATAGCTCCTCTCCGATACAGAACTGAATCCAGCATGCGGATTCGAAAGTAGAACACGCTCAGGGGCCAGATGCAGCCAATTCCAAAGCATACTCGCCAGACGGTGCTGAAATGCGACTGACGACATGCGGAGAGAACGATGAGGAAGACGCACACCGCAAAGGGACTACCGAATGAGAGCGGGAAGTTGGTTACCATGATGAAAGTAGGTCCTCTCCTCTTCAGGCTGAGTTCGTTGGCTGCTTCGGATGCGGACGTCGATGAGGCGGGATATTCGCCTCCGGTGCCTTTTGCATTTTGATGATAATACGTGTTAGTTGTTGTACAGTAAGTATATTTGTGATTAGAGTAGTAATTCTCGGGAATGGAATGGATTGTATCGTACCGAATCCGATAATTCCACGCGCGATCGTCATCATCCAGAACATGCCATTGATAGTGACTCCGTGAGCTGCAGTGGCCAGGATACCTCCGATCACGATCATTGCGGTTGTGAAGATGATAGCTGTCTTTCGACTCATGTAGTCACAGGTAAGACTGTTCGGTAGAAATGCCTCAGTTAGCAGGCTTTTCTTTTCTTCATGCAATATAATAATGTATAGAAAGTTGACGATGGACCTAATGATAACCTGCCCGATAATCTCGCCCACCAGCAGTGCATTGGAAACGCGGGTGCTGACTGCGGATGTATATTCCTTTGGATATTCCTTTTTGAGCAAGACATTTGACATAGTCCTATTTTATTTTTTATTAGAAAATGCATAATTATTATTAGTAGAAGCAAGATATCATGAGGATGACGAACATCAAGGGCAAACCCCGATGCGAACTGTTATGGGAACATACAGTCCGTCAGCTTAACCCGTTTCAATTGCAACGATTCGCATGTTGGGATATTATAGAGCAAACTTACGATTGTAAAGTGATCCGACAAGCGGGCTGTATTCGCGCACCTGCTCCCCGAGTTACCTATTCGGGTAACCAAACAGGTACGTTTACCAGTCCCTATTTTTTTTTCACCCAGCAATCAATCCGCTACGATGGACAATATCAGATTGAACAATGAGATTGATATAATTATAGTTTTCACTATCGACTCCTGTGCTGGCGTCTCGTTTGTTTACCCACGTGCTGCTATAGCACACCGTGCTTGGCGATGGCTTGCCAAGCGGAGCCTACGTCGCTTATCTGAATGACCACCATCACCGGCTAGATCTTAGCGGACATCTAGAAGAGTCGTGGACCGAGAACATTTATTACTCTTTCTTCCATCGTATCAGTCTTTGAAGTTCTAGACGGCGGGCAGTTCCGACAGGTACTGGAAAAGTCGGGTCAATCTTGCCACGACCGGGTCGCTTCTCCAACACAGCTTGTGGTTAGTTAGTTATGCTTTCAGTTCTGCGATAGCTCTTGGAACTGATGGTATTCGACGTGATTACGGTTGCCATTTCTGACGCGTCTGCTATTTCTCGACTGCTGACAGAAAAAGTACTACAAAATTCCTAGAGAGAAATTATGAGACCATTGGAATATCAGCTTTTTCGATCTTTTCACATCATGGCATTTCGTGTGCTTAAGATATCCAAATGCTGTCTAATATATAGGGGTTCCAGTTTCCGTGAGAAGAGGCATCGATATGAAGCATACACTCGAATTTGAGCCCGATAACGCCACCAAGAGGTTCCATCTCTATCATGTTTTCGTGCCGTCCAACAGCGCCACTATACACGTGCTATTGTCGCTGCCATAACGAGCCGCCGTTACGTTGACAATTTCTTGCGCAATATCCCTCGCTCGCTCGCCGGTTGAAGATGATCTCATAACATGCTCTAGCAGTGCCTTCTCATCTGTCGAGTCGGATACTCCATCACTGCTGCACACCAACGCGTAGCGTTTCTCGGGGGAGAGATTGACCCTCGAAAGATGTGCCTTGTTGGATAGAAAGTCGCCACGGTTCCCTGGTGGTACGACGGCAGCAGTTCTTGATTTGGCACTCATCTCGTCGTCCATGGTGTTCACAGGATTCTTATACTGGAGGTCGCCCAGGGCTCGCGACATATTTAAGGAACCTACGACGATCAGCCAAGAACCTCCCTGCGATCGAGTTTGCTGGCAACTTACCCACGCGCGTAGTTCCTGTGCTATTGTTTACGCTCCCTCCGGCTTCTCTGATTCGCGCTTTTTCATCGGCGTGGCCCGGTTTATGGGCCTTGGTGAGACGTTGCTAGCACCAGAACCGTTAATAAAGCTCATCTCTCAAGCAGATGAATATGGTCCACCTACCACATTGATCGGCTTGCCTCCCGAAAGATCTCGTTCCGCTAGCACTATATGCGAGTCCCCTAGGTTTCCTACTACCAATATCCCCTTTGTTAAATTGGCAAAGCACAGAGCTACCGTAGATCCTGAGACGGCAGGCTCTGTACTATGCGACATAAACTTGTTTAGCAGAGCTTCATCCTCGTCAACAAATGCCTCGGCGATAGCGGTATCGTAATCACCAGCTTCGAATTCTGGACGCTTCACCAGCAGCTGAGGAAGGTTCTTCCTGGCATGTTCTGCCACCGATGCGGAGCCACTGCGATAAAACGTCAGATACTGGTCCAAGAACAAACAGCTTCTTGAAAATGGTCCTTACTGTCCGTCAAATATAGCAAAAAGGGCCAATTTATCTACTGTATCAGCAGGGAACTGGTCTGGCAGAATAAACACGTAACGATCCTCTTGGTCCGGCCGGCTTCCTTGTGCCTATTGAGCTCCCGATAACTATAAGTTAGCCTCCTCAATCATGCGGTACATAGCCAAGGAGAATGGTATTCACCATGCCTGCGCCGGTGTCAATGAGAAAGACCGTCTCTGATGAAGACATGATGGTTGTACGAAGCATTTGGCGGCGCGGAGCTGATTGCGCGCAACACCTGACTCGGTCTAATATAGATTGATTGATCGAATCCAAGTCACTTGGATCTCACGATCTGTATATGTTTGTTTAGAATGACTAGTGATGATGGGCTGACATCACATCACTTATAATAATTGCCCCAAGCGCCACGCTCGAAACCTTCAGAAAATAAAGGTTCGAACGGCTTAAACGGCCCGGACGGAGGCCATTTTCTTACAGTCGTCACTGGGTTGTGCCTTACGGAGATTCATCCAAGGAGTAGTAGTTATGGCCGCCGATGTCGTTTACATCACGTACTGGGATCTTGGTATCCCTGCGCGAGATGCAGCGAAGAATTGCATTCGCCTTGAAAAGAGGAAAGGTTAGGACCGTTCCTGGCCTTGCTTGAATGTGGGACGGATCAGCCCTGCTTAGTGACGCACCTGGTGAACCGTGAATATCTTGTCCTTCCAACAATGACGATCCATCTTCGAGAAGCAGCTAAACAGCCTTGTTGCGCACGGTCCAGTTTCCCCGGACCAGCGCGAACACTTCGCTTTCGATCTGTCAGCATGATTCGGGTTTCCCCATAACGCTTCGTAACTCCTACCTTATTTCTCTCCACAGAATCATTCGGATTTTTAAGCCTGGCATGGGCTGGGTAGGAGTGGGTGCGATTATCGTCACGGCATGCTTTCTGCTTTATCGATGTCCACCTTCTACCTGGGCATCCGGGCCTGGGACGAGCCTGCCGGAGTCGAAACCCGCCGGCCATAATCTTCCTCCTGTTCTCGAGAATGATAACGAGAAAACGCCTTCTGAGTCTGGAGAGAAGGTAGTGGAAGAAGACAAAGATGGTGGAGCGGCTCAAGAAACACCTAAAGCCAGCGCGACAGTCGCGCCGGCTATGGATATCCCGAGTCTGAGTCTCGACAGCGAACACGCGACTGCAAAGCCAGGAGGATCTAAACCGCCTGAATATAACAAGCCGGCAGAGCATCTGATGCCCCCGCCATCTACGAAGCCTCCAGCATTCGCAGCTGCTACCCCTACGTTGAGCGCAAGCAGTTCCTCCTTGATGGCCCCTCCCCCACCTCGACTCCGAACGGCTCCCCAACAGCCTCAGCAAAACACACGACCGAAGACTGATGGGCTCCTTTCGGTGCCACGTGTGAAGTCAAGTACTCCTTTGCGCCCTCCCCCCTCTGCGGCGTCTTCTCTGCGCGCTCCGCCATCCAGCCGCCTCTCAAGCAGCACCCTCGCTCCAAAGCCGTCCCCTGCGAACGCGCGACACTCCAGGAAAGTGATTCTGGAACCGGGCCACTCGCCACTGGATTGGGCTGCGTTGACATCCAATCCGAATAGCAACCTACGGGGCGCCGGTCTCCCTCCTACGCTTATCAGGGTCACGCCGTCGATGCTGAAGGTAATGAACGGACGGAAAGGGACAGATGCGTGGACTTCCTACCAAGGAAAGGTGTACAACATTACTCCGTACCTCCCTTTTCATCCTGGAGGCAAAGGGGAACTGCTGCGAGGCGCAGGCAAGGATTCAGGGAAGCTTTTTGCAGAAGTCCATCCCTGGGTGAACTGGGACGGGTTGCTGGGGGAGTGCCTTGTAGGAATACTGGTTTCGGAGCATGACGCCCAGGCGCAGGAGAATTCTTTGGATGCTATGGACTGAGAGGGCAGCGATACCGGCATTTTGGGATGAGTTGATTTCACCCCAAGTCATTGCGATAGATTTTGGATACCCTATAGACAACATGTATATTACATATCCTGGACATAATAGACCATTGTTTTTGTTCGTTTTCTATGACCGTCCGCGGTGTCAGCGGCGCCAGAATCCCCCGATATTAAAGTCCTCTTCATGCGTTGGAAACAGCCGTCTTTCACAGCTCATCCTTGTTGACACCGTCAATGCCCACGAGCTCCGTCTCGAAGATAAGCGTCGAGCCACCGGGGATCGGGCCAATGCCGCGATCACCATAGCCATACTCCGGAGGAATGGTGAGGGTCCGCTTCTCGCCAATACACATGTCGAGCAGACCTTGGTCCCATCTAAATCAATGTAATACCTGTCAGCAAGTCTGCACATAACCGCAGAAAGCAATCAATAAACAGCGACAGAGCCGGACAACTGCAGAGATCCCGCCCAATGAGACATTATACACATCTACACCAAGCCGCTGCACCCACAACCCCATACAATATACCCCCTAATGATATCTAGCACTGTCCACTCACCCTTTAATAACCCTCCCTGTTCCAAGCTTGAATGTCAGCGGCGTGCCGCGATCATAGCTAGCATCAAACTGCGATCCATCCGACGCGAGCGTTCCACGATAATGCATGTGGACCGTATCTCCCTGGACAGTCTTGCGTTTGCACTCGACTTCCTTGGTCGTCTTGATGCCGAGCTCAGCGGCAAACACGGCTGTTACGGAGAGAAAAGCGGAAGTTAGGATGGAGAGACGCATTGTTGCAGTGTAGTTAGACTAAGTGGTGCTTGGTTTTTTTCAATTGGTTTTGGAAAATGGATGAGGCGAGGAGAGTCTCGGTTTGAATGCTGCAATGGGTTTAAGATTAGGAGTATGGTAGGGTCGCTTGTTAAGTGGTGAAGCTGTTGCGGACAATCTGGGGGACAGATTGTTCCTTTTCCCTTTCTGGAATAGTGGGACTTGATGATAAGATAAGCTTAGATGAGAATAAGTAGATGCATCTTAGAGTTGAGGGGAATATAGGTAAGTACCATAGTCTGTACTGGATCTAGGCAAGTTCTGGGATCTTCAAGTTTACGGAAAACAGTCACTGATTGAGTAGATATTTGATTTTCTCCTACATTTGTTTCCAGGCTTCCAGTTGCGGCCCACCATGGAGCAGAATCAGCAATGTTCCATTTCGACCGACCGGATATTGTGAATCAATTTGGTCTAGACCTCATAGTACAGACTTACTTAGTCTTCGGATACATTTCCTGTTTGCGTCTATTTGAGATGCACCATCCCGTCCCCCTGAGAAAGGATGCAGGCAACCTGTCAACACCTAGTCGCTATGCTAGAAGCCGAGCTGCATCTTAACTCAGCTACAGGTATGCGGTTTTACACACAGCGATCCATTTGAATCAGACATTCATCAAAGAAGACATTCTGCATGGAAGATACAGTCTCGGATAGTCGTGGGAGTTGTATCTGGACCCTCCGTAGGTCCTGGGGCATAAGTACCTAGGTAGGTGATGGATTTTCTTGAATTTAGTTCTTCGAGCGATCTATAAAGAATTCTCCATCCTAGACCTATATTCTGCTTCAGTCGTTGCTTCAGGTGTTCCAGGATCTGACGCTTTCTCAGAATATCTATATCTATATATATATATATATGCCGCGGAGAATCTCGCTTCTCACCTTATATATGGTAGTAGAGACATCTAGTGGGCGAGAGACAGATACCACAAATGGCTCGTGTCTTCTATAGAGAAGAAATGAAAACGTTATAACTTGCCGAGGATAGAATGCAAAGAAGAGAGGAAAGAAGAGAGGAAAGAAGAGAGGAAAGAAGAGAGGAAAGAGAGGGAAGAGGAAAAAGGTACTTACCGGCATGGCCCCTCAAGAGTTGTTCTTAAATAGCTTATCTCTTGACTTGGCATACCTCCTTTTCTTTTCTTTCCTTTTCTCTTCGATTCAACTAACATCCTATTAGACGCGGCCACCTCGACAAGCCTCTGATTCACTGCCCCGAAATGAGAAACAGGGATATCTCAGGCTCATGGCTCCCCAAAGAAGCAATGACTAGGAAAATGACTCCGAACACATTCCACTCGCGCTAACTGTTGCCATAGCCCTCGACTATATTCCCTTCGTCTATACATACACCTGGGCAGTTGCATCTATTCGGATTAACTCATGCGCGCCAACCTTCTATTAATGCCCATTGATGCCGTGAGGGGACGGATCGTGCTACCTGACGACATATTTCGTGTGGAATTAGCAGCGTCATGCGACATGGAACAAAGACCACGGAGTGGTGGAGAATAATACTTGGGTCCCTTCTATAAGGAATTTCTCGGGAACTCCCTACCTAGGGAGTCCCTGGCGGAGTTCTCCCACATCTTCTCAGCGAGCTCCACCCAGGGGGATAAATAGCCTGAGCCTGCTAGAGAATCCAAGCATCAGGCGGCTTCAACCTGCGAAGAATACTGGAGAAAGGCTGGCTGTTGCGGTCAGCAATCTCAGACCAACTGATGTGTTTTAGAGAAGCGCAGGTCTTCCTCCATGTTGATGACTTCTGATTGGAAGCAGAAGAGGACGGGTTTGGGATGTGGACAGGGTGACTCATGTTGAGAGCTCGTTTTCTGTATATAGCACAGCACAAGGACGAACTGTAATAGCATAAACTCATTGCATCGCTATATGCATGACGTACAAGGATAGTAACTAGCATTTGTCCACAAAGGATGACAATACCTACGAAACTTGAGGAGTTCATTTCAAGAGTACCTGTTATTCCTCAACTCCGTTTACTGATCATGGCACACTAACATAAGAAGGCACTGATTCTATCAGAGATTCCTCAATATAACTGCTCTAATATGTGACGCTTTCAGTGCTAAAGAGAAAGGATAACATATACCAGTCGTCTGGTTTCGAGTAGAAGCAGTCTTGTTTTCTTTATCTTTAGTGTTCCAGTCTGGCCGGGACAGAAGCAGCATGACTAAGCAATGCACGGACCACATTTAGCTGGTTGTCGACATCGCGCGAAAACTCGCACAGCAATTCATTCTTCTTGACAAGGCGACAATCCTTCCACTACTTCCATTCTTGCCTGGCTTGGAGCTCTACCAGGACAATAATAGTGTAACTTAAGGTATGTGACACTATTCCAGCTATAACCCTTCCTCGAGTACCATGATGAGCACTTTTATTGGAGCTGTCCTACCTTTTCCATGAGGACAAACTCATAAATACGCAACTTTAACTACCTGACTTTCCTCTTCTCTCTACACTCAGCCATCCGCAGTTCCTCTAGTGAATACTGCTAACATTATCCAGGGCCTTCCAGAAGCTAGTTTAAATATCCTCCCTGTCACCAACACTACCTCATTCTTTTCTTAGAGCACTCTGGATTCCTTCTCGTAATATAGTCATAAAACACTCTAATAGCAAAATAAATATGGCTTCTGATCCTAGACTGGCAAGAAATGAGTCGGCCACTCCCACCTCAGTTCCTCCTCCACCTCCGCCCCCTCCGCCAGAGTCTGCCTCGTCCAATCTTCCCTCTACCATGGACGGCCAGGCAGACGTTGGAGCCGCGGTGACACCGTCAGAATCTGGTTCATACAAACTGAAGTTCTGCACAGTCTGTGCCTCAAATCAGAACAGATCGATGGAGGCTCATATGCGTCTCTCGACTGCACCGACTCCTTATCCGGTAATATCTTTCGGTACCGGTTCGTTGGTACGACTACCTGGCCCGTCTATTACTCAGCCCAATGTCTACAACTTCAACACCGTTTCTTACGCCCAAATATACGATGAGTTGTATCAGAAGGACCCAAGGCTATATCGAAACAATGGGCTCCTGAATATGCTCGAGCGGAACAAGAACGTGAAGTGGGGTCCCGAAAGATTTCAAGATTGGGTACCAGGTCTGCCACGGTTAGATCATGTATCCAAGGGCGATAAAGGCGCCTTGGGAACAGAAGGTGGTATTGTCGACGTGATTATCACCTGCGAAGAGCGATGCTGGGACGCTGTTGTCGACGATCTTATGAACAAAGGATCACCCCTCAATCGCCCAGTGCACGTCTTCAATGTTGACATCAAAGATAATCATGAAGAGGCCCTCGTGGGAGGTAAAGCCATACTCGACCTTGCCGACAGATTGAACGAGGCTGCCAACCAAGAGCGCCAGGCGAACGGTACTATCGGCTGGGGAAACGGTACTGGCGAGGCAAGACGAAATTTCGACGAACGAGTCCCAGAAATATTGGCTGAGTGGCAGGAAAAATGGCCCAACTTTCCGTCGTTATGGACGTTGGCTTGGCTTTGAATCGACAACACGAGGCATTTGCATGATGGGTGTATTAATAGCATGGCGTTTGAGGATATCATGGATGGATTTATGGGCCCCCATCTTCATTTCTGGGTTCGACATGGCATAGTGAAAACCATATCTGCGAGCGGAGCTGATCACTGCAAACGAATAGTCATAATAAACGCAAGAAACATCATGTTGATTTCTTTCTATCTCCGAAATAACCGGTATGCATATCGGTTCCTCCAAGCTTACCAGGCAAAAGATCGTTCGAGTGGTTTATGAGCCTCTTTAGATCTTTGTCATTCGAGACATGCCCCGCATAGCTCTTGGTTGGAATCGGGATAACTCCAACAGTTGTGGGATCAGATAGGCCCGTCCCGCGCGTTTCCGCGTCTTCCCTAAGCGGGAAATAATAACAGGACAAACATACAGAAGGTCCCATGCAATGGCTAACCATGACAATCCGGCAGTAGCTGTCCAGCTGTGTTTCCAGTGAATAACCCCCATGCCAGGTTTAGTCTAGGGGGTTGCTGCATTTGGAAGCATGCGCTGTTGCCCTCCTGACATTAACTGCACCCATTTTCACGTGGAACCTTGCAGACTACTTTCAACTTCCTGAATAATCATACCTCTTGAGACTCACAAACAAATATTATCTAAATTTATGCTCACTTATTGAAACCATCATTATTCAAGATGGCTGATGATAACGAAGACCATTACTTTGGGTTGACACCCATCGACCAGATCATGCCGCGTGGATATACACGTATGGCTTTCTGTTTTCCGTTCGTTTCTGATAACCCTGTTCCAGCAATCGAGGCTCTTCAACAGGCGTACAAAGCTACAATCGCTCGTTTCCCTTTCATGGCTGGTACTGTCGCTCTCGAGAGAGATGGAGGGGAGCACACCGGTAGACTCGAGGTGCGCTACAATAACCACGATGTCGAAGAAGCGCACGTTTTCATCAAGAGACTCGAACCCCCCGAGTTTCCTCACACCTACGAAGAGCTGAAGAGCATGGGAATGCCTCCTAGCAAGCTTCCAGGTCCACTCATCTCACCACTCTCTGATTTTCCAGATGCTACCAGGCCTTGTCCGGTCATGGCACTGCAGGCCAACTTCTTACCAGGCGGACTCATTCTGGCCGTCTACACCCACCGCAATGTCACCGATGCTACTGGCACTGCTGTCTTTCTCTATGCACTACGACAGAGCCTGGAGACCCATGGAGATACCCCGATAAACTTACCTGAGTTTGCTGATGACAAGCTGCGACTTCTTCTCACCCCAGGTTTACCACATACTAGTCCGCTGCATGAGCATCCAGAATACACGCTGGATACGGACCTAGTTGCAGTCTCTTCCCCTGGAGCAAGCCCTGGGAAAGGTTCTGACCGCAGAGAGGACGACCCTAGAGTCGAAGAGACGCAGCATTTAAACCAGGGGAAGATATTTGTCCTCTCTGAAGAAAAAGTTGAAGATCTCAAGAGATACTTGGTAAGTCGCGCCTCAGAGGAACAGAGCATGGATCAGGCAGGGAGTAGGACCCAAAGGCCCGTGGTCATGACAAAAGACGACACTCTGTGTGCTCTTATTTGGGTTTTTGTTACTCGTGCTCGTGCTCGTGCTCTGTGGCACACTACCCCTCAGAGCGAATCTCCAGACGACGAGTTATCAAGCTCGCTTAACATGTCTATCAGCATTCGGGGTCATATAGAACCACCAATACCCGCCTTCTATGTTGGCACAAGTGTGGTTTACTCCCAAGCAACGCTTCCAGTGAAGACACTTCTTGGCGCAGACGGTGCAGGCCTCTTCATAGATGCCCAGTCATATTCAGTTCCTCCTAGTGCAGCATCTGCTCTTGCCCAGTCTGCCATCCAAATCCGTCATGCCGTTGACAGAGTGACTCCCTCACATGTCAGATCCCTCATATCCCTCTGCCATTCCACTGCAGATATCCGGCATCTACAAGCGAACGTGCGTTGTGCGGGTGGCCCAGATGTTCTCATAACCAGCTGGAGTGATTTGAATCTCTCAGAGGGCGTGTGGGTTATTCCTGGATTAGGGAATAATGGCAACGTCGAGTTCATTCGCAAGCCATGGAGTCGCCAGGATGGAGCAATGATCTTGATGCCGAGAATTGACTTTGCGAACTACCACGGTAGTGATGATGACGATGCAGATGGCCTGGAGGTCCTTATCCAACTGCGTAAAGAGGCTATGCGTTGTCTGGAGCAAGATACAGGCTTTATGTCCTACGTTACGAGAGTCATTGAGTAATAGTACCGTTTCCGAGAGAAAAGTCGACTATACAACCAATGTCCTGCTGGAAGGAACCAGGAATCAAAAAGAAAAGAAAGGAAAAAAAAGAACGATGGGCAATGAGGTCACTTGAAGTGTTAAAGTGGTAGTTGCATGGCGAACCTGGTCTTGATGTTTGCAACTATGTATGAGATACCACACTGCCTAGAGCGGTAGAAGCGTGTTTATTAAACAAAGAAACGCGTTCATTGCTTTTATGTTTATTTCCATGAATGAAACGCTTGATAGCTATATCAATTCCTCAGTGCACATATAGTGGGGTATCTAAGAACTCCAGTAAAAACTATATAGGCCCACATGCCAAAAACTCCGAACCCAATTACTATATCTTCGAATGCCTTCTGTCTCCAAAGGGTGATTACGCCTCTTCAGAACCGCCATCTTTCATGAGTATTTCTCTTCTCTCCCTATACCACTTCTCAAGACACGCCCGTCTCTGCGACTGCGTCATACCCTCCACAACAAGTGCAAACTCAGTAGCGTTCTTGAATCCGTATTGTTTCGCCATACTGCAGAACTGCCGTTTCATCACATCCTTGGGTGGATGATATTTGAATTTCACAGGTTCGCCATCCTTACGGACGACTAGATCGTCTTGCGAGTCGCGAAACACTTGCACTTCACCGAGCGTCTCCCCGGCAAGTTCAGCGCGTCGACTGAGACGTTCTTCGGTCTTGGACGGACCAATGACTTCGTTATTGAGATGGGTGTATTCGACGCCTGCGCCGGCGAGGATCGCTTGTACGGGGTCGTGCTTTTTGGGGGTCACGCTGGACTTGTTCTTGTTGTTGTTGGGGATCCCGTCTGTGTCGCCGGCGATGAGAGCGGCGAGTTGGCTCATGGCTCCATCTTCATCTTCGTCGTTTGTAGAAGAAGTGAAAGGGAAGTTTTCGTTAGCGGTTTCCTCTTGGTCGATGTCGATACCAATAACTTGTACGCCGGCTTTGCTTTCCGCGATGTTCGTCTTGTTGACGATTTCACGCAGGACAATGTTGTCGTTTTGGTATTCGAAGAGGTTGGATAATCCGAAAATCTCGCCCTTTTGGTCTTTCTTCTCTTGTACGCCTTTGAAGTATCTGCGTTCAGAGCTTGCGTTGTAGCCGATATTAGCCTGTTGCTGTTTGTAGATCTGTCGAGCGTAGACGATTTCCTCGATTGTTCCGGCTGAGATGAGTCGAAAGACCTCCACGTCACGATGTTGACCGATACGGTACGCTCGATCTTGAGCTTGCAGGTCGTGTGATGGGTTCCAGTTTGGATCAACCACAACTACTTTATTGGCGGAGGTGATGTTTAAGCCGACGCCTCCGGCTCGTGTGGAGATAAGAAATACGAACTGCTGGGGATCGGAGTTGAAATCGTCGACGATCTTTGCTCTGTCCTCATAACTCATTGCGCCGTCCAGGTAACTGACATTGTAGCTGGTATGGTTGAAGAGCATCTGCAGCATTTTCAGCAACCGGACGCTATGAGAAAAGATGAGCACCTTGTCTCCGTTTGAGTGCCACCATTTCAACAGCTTTCTTAAAACTTTCCACTTGCCGCAGAATTCGGGGTTGGAGAAGTTCATGATCGATCCTCTGGAACGATAGAGCTCTCGCCATTGATCTGGCACGGCAATCTGCAGCATCTCTAAATCCTTCCCTTGCTTCTCCTGCGGATCTGTGGGCTGGGGGATGAGGATTGCAAGATGATTGCTGAGCTTTTGAAGATTCGCTATTGCGGGAAACACATAGCTTTGCCATTTCTCGCCCGACGGGAGGCGCGTACGGCAGCACCAGCCAGACTTTTTGCGCGATCCACAAGCACACGGCTCAGCCGAGGTTTTGATATATTCAACGATGTCATGGCTGAGGAAATTCTCATAGGCCTCAGCCTGGGTGTCGGTAAGAGGACAAAAGACAACTCGGTCGCTTTTCTTCGGAAGTTGATCCGCTATGAGAGTCTTCATACGGCGAAGGAAGAAGGCAGGCAGCAGGTTTTCGACCAGCTTCTTGGCTGTCTTTCGAGCTTTACTCAGCTGGTATAGTGTTGCATCATGAGATTGCCCGATCTTGAGCGGATCTGATATACTGGTCTTCCAGGTGGTGACCGGCCCCAGCTTCCCGGGGTTCGCCCAATTTAATAGAGTCCACAGTTCTTCGTACTTGTTTTGGATCGCAGTGCCAGTCAAGCCAATCCTGCAGAGAGCATTAACTTCGTTCATGGCATTTGTAGTTTCCGACTTGCGTTCTTTGATGATGTGGCACTCATCTGCAACTACGCAGTCCCATTCAACCATGTTGACGGAGTCCTTGTTCAAGCGGTAGGTTGAGTATGTTGTAATAAGTATCTCCAGACGGCCGGACTTGGCAGCTTGGAGAGCTTCCTCCTTCCTATCACCGTGGAAGACTTCCACATGCCACCATCCCCATCTGTTGAATTCGGACTTCCAGTTTTCAATCAACGTTCCGGGACACACGATCAGTGTCCTGGGATACCATTTGTTTACTGTGCTTCTTCTCATCTTCCGCATCCTCTTCGCATCTCGCTCGTCGCCAGTTTTGCCATAAGCAGCAGCCAAAAAGGCGATGACCTGCACGGTCTTCCCAAGGCCCATGTCATCTCCGAGTATGCCACCTTTCTGGTAGACGAAGAGCTCATGCAAGAAGGCGGCACCTTCGACTTGATACTCTCGTAGCCACTGGGCAATAGGTGCTGGGATCAGACCAAGGGAATATGGCAGTGTTATATCTTTGTATTTGCCACAAGGTCGAATGCTTTTGAACTCCGGTTTCTCCTTCAACGATTCCAGCCGCTCATCGTCAGAGAATGCGACGTCGTCGAAGTCAGGTGGCAACTTCAATCCTGACTGTTTGAGATGCTCCAATCTTTCATCAAACTGCGCACGCCGTTTCTGCAAATAACCCGGCAGGGTGTATTCCATCAACTCATCATCTGATGAGACCTCTTTATACTCTCTTGCCAGCTGCTGCCGTTTGCGAGACGGTCCAGCGTCATTGCTTCTGGGGCGCAAGCCGACGAGAGAATTCTTTCCTGTAGTTCGAGCTTTTCGCGACCCTGCTGCGGCACGTTTACGTTTTAAGCTCTTGCGATTCTTAAATTGCTCGTATGCGGCCGCTCCCTCGTTGAAATCGGAGTCGTCGCTACCACTGTCTGACAAGATCACAGTGGTCTTCTCTGGTGGTGGTTTTATGCGCACTCGTTCTGGGGTGATCCTTTCTTCATCGCCAGTCTCAGAATGGGTATATCGTCTTTCACGCCCTTTGTTTTCACCCAGTTAGTACTGATCTCTCCTAAGGTAACAACACATCGTGAAGGCATACGGGTAGAGACGGTATCGCGGCTCTCCGACAAGTTGCTACGCTCGAGGTCATCATCATCAGTGCTCACTGTGAGGGGATCATAATCTTGCAACCCCCGATCTGATCCCATACTTGTCTGTGTAACACCATGTGCGGGATGTCGCGCCTGAACGTCGCGGGGCAAAGTCGCCGTCGCGTCTCCGAGCTCTTAAATTTCCGAACTGGGAAAAGAGCTTCTGGTTTGATTTTTTGACCGCCCGCACCGGCGAACCAAGATATCCCCGCCGGATTTGCGCCCTCGCTCCCATTGCCCGTTACAACCACAACGTGCGATTATATCTGCTCTAGTGCGCTCTTACGCAGCTAGCTGATTCACTGGACTCCGTTGTTACGGACCATTTGCGATATCTTCGCGGTCAGCGCAACTTTTTCATCCTCCTAGTGCGGTGCCGCCAAAGCCTACGACCCCAAGATTAGACTACTATATCTGCGTTGGTAGACCAGATAGTCTCGCAAGATGCCATTGGATACGTCGACGACATATCCTCTTACGAAGCTCCGCCTCGATGGCCGTCGCTGGAATGAGCTTCGACTGCTCCAGGCTCAGATATCGACCAACCCAGCCAGCTCCGGGTCCTCATATCTGGCCATGGGAAACACTTCGATCATATGCACTGTCCATGGTCCTGCTGAAAAGCTCCGAGGAGAAGCTGGAGGAGCTGGTGGAGGCAACGCTGCTGGAGCGACAGTCGAGGTGGACGTGAATGTTGCCGGATTCGCAAGCATAGATCGGAGACGAAGGGCTGGAGGAAACGATAGGTAAATCCATCGATTGATCCCCTTTATTCTGACCTAGTCTTTCTATACAGGGTCTAACGTGTTCTATAGACAGTCTCTACAGCTCTCCAGTGTCCTTCGTTCCGCCTTCCAATCCCACATTCACACATATCTTTACCCACACAGTACCATAAGCATCCACATCTCTGTCCTATCGGCAGATGGGTCGCTTCTCGCCGCAGCGATTAACGCCGCCAGCCTTGCGCTCGTGGATGCCGGTATCCCAATGCCTGGACTCCTTTGCGGTTGCACTGCCGGTATGAGTGGCAGTGCTTCTACCGCCCGTGATCTGAAAAACGATACCCTTGACCCTCTTCTAGATTTGTCCCTACCAGAGGAGCAAGAGTTGCCATTCATGACGGTCGGGACTACTACGCCAATCCCAGGCGGAGCGGATGCCATGGAGGACGATGACGAGGAGATGAAGGTCTCGGTTATTCAGATGGATTCGAAAGCCCATCTCTCGTACATGGAGACCATGCTCGCCGTGGGGATCGATGGTTGCAAGCAGATCAGAGAGATCTTGCAGGGCGTTATCAAGCGATCAAAGGTGGTCGGTGTCCCAGAGCACGGCAGAGACGACGTATGATTTTGGGATTACGCCAGTGACACCAACGTGAAAAGCGTCTGCTGCATCAAAACCATAATGAAAACCGACCTGGTGGGCGAGCCGTCCGATTGAAAAGCGACGGACGAGGGAGAATGTCGGGGAAAGCCAAAATTCGTCGCGTATGCTTTATCTCACTGTCCTCGAAAGAGCTGCCAGAGCGCTTGAAGCATCGACGACTTTCGAGATCGTCCGACGGTGCCCGCTCTACATGCTCCTCTTGGCAACAAGAAGAGGCCTGCAGATATCCCTCATTTTGCGAGATAGCAATGTGAAGGATCCTCATGCTAAGGCACAAATAATGGCAGGGCGTATACTCCCGCCCACTGTCATGACCGGGGCTCAGTCCGAACCCGATTCTAACAGGGATCATCGGGGCCATTTTATGTATTCATACCGCAATTTGTCGTTCACTATTTCTGCCGTGATGACTACGTGATACGAAAATGAAGAGAGCACTTTGCAATATATAGGAGAAACCGATTGAGCCGGATTGTACTACTACGGACTTTCCGTATAAAACAGAGTGGAGCTAGAAAAGAGAAACAGATCTCTCGCTTACATAACCTGCTCATTACGTTGTAGTCAAGTTAGCTGAACCAGATATAGATAGAGTACGGACTATATCATCGAGGAAAGAACTGCTCGTCGTGAGATAAATAATAGAGTAGTAGTATCATATTATTACTCGCAGTCTTTGGTGTCGTTCGCACGCTATAGCAACTCAACCCAGATGATCCAATCACAGAGCACGGAACCAATTAATCTGCTCAATTGCCCGCAACACTTGTTGTTGGTGTCTTTCTTTGGTCATCAAATCACGAGAATAATCATAACTAATATGCTCAATAATTGCTCACCTCCAGCTTCGTCACTGTGGGTCATACAGACGATGAAGGCCACGAGGTTCTCCGCATACGTTCTACAGACGGAGGATTCCTCTCAGCAGAGCTTGAATTGCCTGTCTCTTTCTCTGTCAGGTTGGTATTGTATGGAATTGAAGGAGGTTAGTTGGTTATAGTACAGTAGTTTCTTCAATTCTGTCAGAACATAGGGAGATAGGAATTGAAGCGTTGCTTGCGTTCGATTTCAATATCCTACCTAGTTCCGCTCTGCATCCCCCCATACCAGGGAAAACAGCAACCACAACCACAACCATAAGCATAATAATAAGATCATAATAATGTTTCAAAACTACTCTAAACACTCACCCATCCATGAAAACCCCCAACGTATGCACGGACTGGCCTACCACTCCCACGCGGCATCGGCCCGGGTGTGAGCAAGTAAGTAAGTTGAAAAGTGGAACTAAAACCACTCACGCGGCCTGATCAAATACTAATTACACTCAATCACACGCTTAGAGCACATCTCGGACCACCCAGCTTATCTTAGTTAAGAAAAGAAAAAAAAAGAAAAGGAAAGGAAAGGAAAGGAAAGGAAAAGTCTGCTGTGTCTTGGCCCTCGTATATATGTACCCACCAGTGCCACTGCGTCTAGGTTAGGTTATTACATATAAGGTCGTACCTGTGCTGTACTACTTACTGCTGCTGCTGCGTATACTCACACGGGCTTATTCTCTGTCCCTCTTTGGTGGGGTTTTGCTTGGAGGTGAGAAGATTGAGGGTTTCGTCGTCTTTAGCCTTTTCGTGTCCAGAGGTAGGACGAGTGACGACTTCGTGTCACGGTCCAAGTGGTTGTCTGTGTACTTGGTTGGAATCATCTTTGCCATTTCGACATTGTTCTGGATACTGCCATTCGGCTATCCTATCAGTGCTAGAGTGGAAGGAATTCACACAAATCGCAATCGAATCGAATGCGCAAGTGAAACGACTATCGAGTGAATAATCGAGATATTCACGATCTAGTCTTTCGAAAAAGAGGAGACGAAACTGGAGCCATTCACCTTTGCTATACTGCTATCCAAGACCCGATATCTCTGGAGAAAAAGAAGACGACTATCGATATAAATAATCGACTATCGAGCTTGAAAACCAGACGATTCCATCAATAATCGACCATTATGGATAACATGACTGGTATGACCATGAGCAGCACGTCAACGGGGATGGCGATGGGATCGATGACTTCAACTGCATCTGCTGCTATGAGCAGCAGTACCGGCATGAATATGGGTAGTATGAGCATGGATATGGGCGGTGATTGCAAGGTTTCGGTGAGTTGTGGTTTCCAGATCCCATAAAATAGTTCACTTCCACGATATGACAAGACTGACATGAATCAGATGCTTTGGAACTGGGATACTATCGATGCATGTAAGTTCCGTCACAGTTATCTCTCCTATTGAATTCTTTCTCTCTATCTTCTTCTATCCAGAGAACTTCATATCCCCTATACTTACTAAAGAAATCCGCACCATTAACCACCCTACGCACCCCAGGCTTCCTCTCCAAATCATGGCACATCACATCCCACGGCATGTTCGGCGGCTCCTGCATCGGTGTAATCTGCCTCGTTCTCGTTCTTGAACTCCTCCGGCGCATAGGCCGCGAATACGACGCCTACATCGTCCGCCGAACCACTATCCAACGATACCATCTCGCTACCACCACCACCACCACAACTCCATCATCTCATAACGCCAGCTGCTGTGGTCCCGAATCCTCATCAGACGAAACCAACGCACTCACAAAACATTCAACCCCCAACGCAAACGCAAACATCATACCTCCCATGGCCCCGATAGGGAAAACAGGCCCGATTCGCCCGACGTTCTTTGAACAATTAGTTCGTGCTACATTGCACATGCTCCAGTTCGCAGTGGCGTATTTCATTATGTTGCTCGCGATGTATTTTAATGGATATATCATTATTTGTATTTTCATCGGGGCGTTTTTGGGTGCGTTTTTCTTCTCCTGGGAGCCGTTGGGGGGTGCGCGTGGGGAGTAAGTATATTCCTTCTTTTCTCTTCGTTTGTTTGTTTGTTTTGTTCTTTTCCCCATCATCAATGATGGAGTGTCTGATAATAATAATGATGATGATGATGATCGCTGGCTAACTGATTCATTAATCGATCTAGGAACGACGCAACTAGCGTAACTGCATGTTGTGGATGAAATGAAAAAGAAAAGAACTTATACCCAGAACACATCCGGGATATTTCCTTTTCTTCATTTCCTTTCTCCCCCTTCTCTGTATACATCTCTCTCTCTCTAATTACCTTCCTTCCTTCTATTCCCCTCCCCTTCTCGGATTACAATCAATACAATACAACCATTTCCTAATAGAAGATAACATGCCTAAATAACCGATCTGATGAAAGATAAAGATCTCAACTTATGAATTTCCAGTTTCAAGACTAGAGCGGAACTGTGCTGTGCTGTACTGTACCTTGCATGGATGATTTAAGAATAGTTTTTTTATTATTAGTATTATTTGATCATTTCAATTATGTGATTGAAGAGAAAGGGATTCGGATCAGGACAATATTGAAGTTCAGTCTAGATCCGTAGTCTTTTCTATTGTAATGAAGGGAATGTGATCTTTACGGGTTTCTGCCTTTCTTGAATCTTCATTCTTGTCTGGAACCTGTGCCATGCTGGATAAGTTTGTGTAGGCGATAGAATACATTAGGTATCTAGATGTATTATAGTGGTGTCTGATAGTAATGAGTTCCACCTGTGTGGATAATGTAATAGACAATCGGAATCATATCTGTTAAGAGGAGTGATAACCGTGTAGAATTTCAATTATAGGGCTGCAGCTGTTACACAGCTGCTGGAAATATGCCATTAATAAGCATATGGTCGGCTACTTATACCAAGCATCAATAACGATTATAGCTGTCGCGTTGAACCATTTCGGCATAAATATCCGAATAGCCTTGGATGCTATACCCCACGCCTTAGCATGCGTCAGGATTACGCATACGAGAATTAATGGAATAGATGATGCCAGATATGCAACTTGTTGCTAAGCTAAGGTAGATGGTATAATCTGCAACTATCGAGTCTCCAAGAGACCCGCCGAAGACTTAGCTTCACAAGAAAGCGTCCGGTGATTTTAACCCATTATTCAGCATTGGCAAAGGCCGACGCCTGCTACCTCAGAGAGCGGACCGTCGTCTGGTCATTTACAGCTCACCAGAGTCAACGATGGTGGGCTTGACAGCAGAGCGGACAGCGCCGGAGGAGCTGCCAAGAGCCTCGATCTCCTTGACAACCTTGAAGGACTCGTCGTCAGCGACCTTGCCGAAGACGACGTGCTTGCCGTCGAGCCACGAGGTGGGGACAGTGGTGATGAAGAACTGGGAGCCGTTGCTGCAGAGAAGAAGTCAGCCATCAAAATGTCACCAGTGTGGTGTATGTATCTGAGCAAGGCCAACTTACGTGTTGGGACCAGCGTTGGCCATGGAGAGAAGACCGGGACGGTCGTGCTTGTAGATGAAGTTCTCATCGGCGAACTTCTCGCCGTAGATGGACTTGCCACCAGTGCCCTGTATTCAAAGAAGAAGAGTTAGTCAGAGCACAGCGCTCAATACAAGATCCGATGGCCAGGGTGGGCTGGACGCCAGCAAACGGCGACGAGACAAGGAACAGACAGCTATGACGAGGAGGAACTCACGTTGCCACGGGTGAAGTCACCACCCTGGAGCATGAACTGGGGGATGATACGGTGGAAGGAAGAGCCCTTGTAACCCTCGGGCTTCTCGCGCTTGCAGAGCTCACGGAAGTTGCGAGCGGTCTTGGGGACGTCCTTCTCGTAGAGCTCGAAGACGATGCGGCCCGTCTTGGCTGTAGAATCGAAGAAACAGCAGCAGTTAGCTTACGATGGCCAATTGAATGATGGCAGACGATGATCCCGAAGCACAAGGCCGATGGGGGATGCCACCACGGTGAGAGAAGCACCAGATGGCGGGGTAATCTCATCGGTTTTTTTTTTTCCTTCATCCGCGGGACGAGGGGAATAGAGCAACAGAGGGGGGGGTTGACTTACGCTCAGAAGAGCCGACGGGGGCGTACTGGATGTCGAAGAAAGCCTTGGTGTTGGACATGATGGGCGAGGATTGATGGAAAGCACGGAAAGGCTGGAGATGGCTCTTGTTGCAATTGAGGATGGAGGAGAGGGGACGAAAGGAGGAGGAAGAGCAAGGTGGGGTTATTGTTGACCTGAGGCTTCGGGAGAACATTGTTGCTTTTGCGCGTTCGGGAGGGGCACGGAGGCTGTGGACGAGACGGCGCGAAGGCTAGAGAAGCGTGCGAGAGTCCGTCAGCCTGTACGGGCCAGACACGAAGCTTGGCTGCTGTCCTGATGCTGCCGCCATCATGATTCTTCCAGCTTCATCGTCTGAGATCTTCCCAACACGTCCGGCTGGTTGGCCCTCAGCTGCTGCAGCACACTGGAGAATGCATTACACGGCTCATTGCCTCGCAGTGGCGGTGGCAGGGACATTGCTCAGCTGCAATAGCCGGACGGAGCTGGACGAAGGGCAAGGGCCCCAATTGATGGCAACGACTGGCAGGGGGGAACTCACTCACCGGATGATTATTCCAGAAGAATTGGATTGAATTGAATTGAATTACACAAGATTCCACACAGCCGGTGAGAGGAACGGCGGAGACAGGCAGACAGCAAAGAAAAATAATAATACAGAAAGCTTTCTACTTGGACTGCTGGTAGAGCTGGCAGCGAGCAGGAAAAACACGTCCATCTAGACTGCCGGAGCTAACCCAATCCTGCACGGGCCTCGGTACGGTCCTGTCACGTGATCTACACCGCCTGCGATCGCTCGGGTGATCTCCCCGGAGACGGACTGATCTCATACATCTCATCAGCCCTTGCCAAGTATCTAGCTGTTGTTGATCGGTCAGATTACACCTCTGGAAGCGACTAGGTATGATCAATCATCACTGAGACCGGAAATACGGTACTAGGGATCGACAGCATATGGCGTGCTCGCCGTCTGCTTAGCCTTTCAATCGTATTGGCTCTACTTTCTCCCAAGGCCACGTAACTTAAATACTTGCTGCGACTCCAAAAACGACAAGATATCGACGGGGAAATGCGCGAGATGGAATATCTTTCTGGTTACCAATCATCCCGCAAATAGTCTGGGGGACACGACACGAATATACCGGAGAAAGGATCAAACAGTCAGCCGCTTGCTGCCGGATCAAAATGACAAGAAATACCTAGGAACAAACACCTAGAACAGGTCTGTATGCCGGCCAGTCAAAAAATAAGAAGAAAAAGAAAAAAGGATCACGCTGAATAGAACACGACATAGGCCATGGGCCCGGTGATGCGAAGAGCCATGTGCGGAAAGCCAAGATTATAAGTCCAGCCCTCCAAAAAGTAGTGGTAGAATAAAACAGTAATAAAATCAGAAGTAGAGATGGAACGGGAATGGATAAAAGGGGATATACAATAATACCTGGATCGCCAGGGACACAGAAGCAAGAATAAGAGATTATATACTCCATATACGCAATTGGATTCGTGCACGTCATTTGCATTCTCGTCCATTCTCGTTGGGTATATGTGGAGAGAAAAAAGTAAAGGCGGGCGAAGGAAAATCGGAGAAGGGGGTATGATTAACCCAGGGTAGATCCCGTGAGTGGTTGGCCAGCGCAAAAGAAGCTGACGCGCTCATCGAAAGTCGTCCTCATCGCTAGCACTGAGGTCGATTTGGTCGACCCGTTGCACAAGCTCCTTGGTCTCCCGCGCGATCTCGAATGCAATGGGCGGCAGCTTGCTAGTGATTTCGCGCAGTTGGTCGGCGTTGGTGACATCCTCGCCTTCAGCGCCAGTACGAGAAAGGCGGTTGCGGCACTCGGCAAGAGTCTGGACGATTGGACCGGCGCGCTCTTGAAGGACTGGGTTGGCGCCGGGCTTGCGAGCGGCATCATCCGTCGAGGTAACCACGTTGTTGACGACGTTGGAAATGGCTGAGATGTGACTGCGGATGGTACCAATGCTGTCTTCACCACGAATACTGGCCACTAGAGCCTGAATGGACTGCACGAGGCCTTCGGTCTGATCCTCGAGATGCAGTTTAAGCTCCTCTAGATCAGTATCTTGAGCTCTCATGCCATACGAAAGCTTCGCTGGGAAACCTTGTCCGTTCAGGATGCCATTGCGTGACCCGGGCCGGCGAGAAGCAGCGTTTCTGACGGACCGCACAGAAGGCGAGCTGATGGCGCTGTAGACGGAATCATTGTTGCTGAGCCGGTTCTGGCTGGGCGCGACACTGAAATAGCCTGGAGATTGCATCGGAGCGATATTGTCATCGTCAGCTTCCTCCAGCTCGTCCGCAGGTGTCGGTCGAATCTTGGCAGCTCGAACAAGCTCTACGACTGCAGCACAGAGATGAGATGCCGCTGCGTCGAGCAAGGAGACCGGCGAAAGGCCATTAGCATGAGCATAGTTCTTCGAGGCGGTAATCAGGTTGTTTGCCGTCGCAGAGACCTTCGTCTTGAGCCTTCCACGCAGCTGACTCGGTTCATTACCTTGGCCGGCTGCCATGTCCTGCGTGATATGACGGACAGCAACAACAACACTCTTCATCTGATCAAGAACCAGTGCAGGCTCCCCAGACCGAGCGATACGGAGGAGCTCGTCAATGGACATCTGAAACCTCGTCACATGGATGTCCTTGACCAGGCCATCTTCCTGGATAAGCTCATTCTGCTTGGTCAGGACCCCAGCATCCGGACGCATGCCTGAGATCACAACCGACGAAGCTCGTAGCTGCCGTAATTGGGTCTTGGCCTTCGCATAGCGGTTCTTCCACTCCTTGACTTCCTCCTCAAGCCGGTGCACATCCCGCGACAGTTGTTCCTCTTTCTCCCAGTTCATATTGCTGCGCTCTGACATCGCCTTCATCTCCTTCAAGAAGTTGGATGCCTCCTGTCTGACCTCCTCCGTAACTTGCTGCTGCTCCTGCATATCAGCTTGGAGAGCCTGATGTTTTCTTTGGAGTTCCTCGAACTGCGCACGCAGCTCACTGTCCCCTGAGCCTCCACGGGAGGCCTCATCCAGTTGCAGCTGGAAGTCTCGCTCTCTGCTCTCGTGTTCCATGCGCATCCTATCAAGCTCCGATTGCAGAGATGTATTAAGCGACTCTGCCTGTGAGACTTTGCTCTCCAGATTCGCTCTGACATCCTCCCACTCCTGCTTTGCAGTGTCGTTTATCTACGGGATACCGTTAGCTAACCACATGCCGTGCCTAATGCCATGTTATTCCGACTTACCTGAGACCTGTCCTGGTCGTCCCGTAACTTGGCAATTTCCTCGTCCTTTTCTTTGACCAACGCTTCCAGCTCATCGACTTTTTCCTGCAGCGACGACACTTGAGACTGGCTGTCCGCCAAAAGCTTCTTGTCTTTCTCTGCAAATGTTGTGCCAGTGCCTGGCCTGCTGCTCTGGAGAACGCCATCCAATCCGAATGCTTCACTGCGTGCGTCATAATCATCTTCTAAGCCACCAATATCGTCGTCACTTTCGACCAACGTGCTCTTGTTAGGAACAATGGTGTTACTCTGGAAGGACTTGGCAAGCGGCCCGTCAGGACTGTCGCCGTTCACGCTAGCAGGACCCAGAGAACCTTGGCGAGGGGGGAAACGACCAGGGGGAGGACCTCCTGATGGATAACCCCTTCCAGGACCTGGACCACGAGACGGTGCTCGCGGTCCGCCTGGGTAGCCGTTGGGAGGATAACCGTTAGAACCAGGCCGGGAGGGAGGATAACCGCGTCCCGCGCCCCGGACACTCGGGGCTGGACTGCCCATACGAGGCATGTCGGCTCCCGCGAACTGAGGAAATCTCCGCTCTAGTTCACAGAAAACGTCCGTGGCCAGGTCCTTGAACCGCTGCTGTTGAAGTGAAGCCAGTTTCTGACGCGCTTGGTTTCGCTTTTCGTGGAATTCCTGCCTGGGTAGTAGATAGGGAGGGATGTCCGGCCTGGGTGACCGTCCAGGCGGAGGCATGGCCTGCTGTCGTCGAACCAGCTCATCGTAGACATCTGTACTGAGTTCGTGGAATTGAGTGGGGGAGAGTCGCAACAACTTGTCTCGAGCCTTGTTGGGCTTCAGGCTCCTGTCGTCTCGATAGGGCGCCTGAAGAAACCGCCTCAGAGTGTTGTAGTGCTGCGCCAGGGACTCCTCCATCTTTCTGTATCGTCTGCTCTGCTGATCTGCCAACGTTCCATCGCTCGATCGTGCAGCCACTGAACTCGGCGGAGATGGATTCCCTCGTGGAGGTCCATTGAGGCTTGGGGGTCCCGGAAGACCACCAGATACTGGAGGTGTCGACAGATTTCCGCGACTCGATAAAGTTGGAGAGAAAGGCGGGTCTATCTTATTGTACTGCCCGATCCCAGACCATTCGCTGCCATCCACTGAAACAGGTGACATGGCTCCGGCGCGGATGCTCATGACGCACCGTCCAATTCCAATCCTTTCCTTCCGTTATGCGATCCCGCAACAGGTGTTGTTATATCCAATCCAATCCAAGATTGTCGCAAAGAAGAAACGTATCAAAACCTCCCAGGCTCCATTCAAACAATGACGTGCTGTCAAGGAGACTCCAGAGTCGGTCCTTGAACGGTACGAACGGTATCGCAAGATATGAGTACACTGCGGTCGTGAGCACGTCGACGTAAATCAGGTCTGATCCGAATTGGCCGAACTACTAAATCAAGGGACCGAGAAGCGCTCCGCGATAAAAGGGAAGGGAACGTGTTTCTTTATGCTTTTGGTTTTTCGCAATGTAGCCACTGCCGTACGAACAAAACGACCGGAGACAAGCTGTTGGCGTCGAAAGTCCAAAAGAGTGGAGGACTAGCAGACAATGAAGGACAAGGTCAAAAAAAAAAAAACAAAACAGCGGCCGCGCTGCAAAGGACATGCGACAAAGAAACAACCAGCATGAACCACAAGCCTGTCGAGGATCGAGAACTGCCAGATACTCCGTAGAAGAGAGAACCCCGTAGGCCTTCAAGCGGTGGTGACAAGTCGGAGACGGGGGAAGGTCAATCATTCCCCTTTTCTGAGAGGGTCTGGGGCTGTTTCGCGTGGTGTAGCGCTGCCACCGTCGAACTTGACTCCCGAAGCGTAGCGCCGCAAGGGATTCGCCCGATCCCTCGTCAGCTCCAACCCCCTAACTAAACCTTGCCAGTTCTTAACCGTCTTTTGCTGTTGAGCAAAGCGAAAAGAGATGCTCGCGAGACGCTCAGTGTCTCTCGCCTCGCGCAGGGGTTCAAGAAGAACAACAATAATAATCCCTTTAGACTACCCGTCAGTTCAGTCCTTTCCGTTCGAGCATCTGATCTAACTTAACCTAACCTCTCCCCTTCTTCAGGGATCGGGACAGTTAGTTAACCTAGATACCTCAGCTCTGCTCAGATTAAGATGTTCCTTTTTTTTTTTCTTTCCTCTCCCTGATCGCTACTCTGCCGGCTTTGACCCGCAGCGGAAAGTTGCCCACGGCCGTTTGCTGAAGTGCACAAACCCCAGCACACTTGCGTACTCTGGAAAAGTCCAGACCGTTCCTCGAAGTCACTAAGTAGGTACTAGGGGCGGACGCTGGTCCGCCCCGTCAGGGCCAGTCTGACTTTGTCGTCTAGAGTATCGCCCAAAGAGAAGAAATAGAACGATCAAGCCCAAGGTGATAGATAGTATCTTAACCCGAGACGAGTTTCCTGGGGAACTTGAATTCAATGCAATACTTTATCTAATCTAGGCAATTAATTCTAATCGTATGGTTGTTGTTTTTTCTCCTCTGAAATAGCAAGGAACTTGTTCAGGTACAGTACAATACGCCAAGAAACGGATTCTTAACGGATTTGATTCTTTCGAAACTCTCATCCTATATAATATGTAATAATAATTATCCATCTAGGTTTAGCATCTATGCATAAACGTTGTGCTCTCTCTCTCTCTCTCTCTCCTCCTCTGCATATTATTTTTCTATCCGTGACCGTACTACGTACGACAGGCAAAAAGAGTTATATTAATCAATACCACGTGTATATTCCCCTGAAATGAAACGAAATCGTTATTTATTTTCCTCTTTCAAACAAATAGATTCAAAACACTCCTAGGAAGAAGACAACATTCTTACCTACCTAGCTAGCTGCAGAGGGCGCGCGCGTGCGGGTAAGGCGTAAAGCGTCGGGGCAGTGGACAGTCACGTAACACGTTCAAGTCAAGGGATACTAGATAGTACTGTAGTTCTCTTTGTTTTTGGCAATTGCAGTCAGTTAGGTACTTAGGATAGTAACTAGGGGTAAAGGGGACGGAAGGATGGAGGGAAATATTCAATTATTGTTAAATATCAGTTCTCCTCTCCTTACTGTGAAATCCAGGTAATGTATATCTGTACGCTAAATATTACTACCATACTGGATTACTGTACACATTAGGTACGCCTTTTATTTGTGTTCCATATGCCCATACATGGTCGACTGATCCTGGGTATCTTTTTTTTTCTTCTCATTTCTCTGCTTTCTCTGCTTTCTTCAGCGGGTTCTTCATTAACTTCTAGCTCTATGCGGAAAACGCAAACAAAAAACAAAGGCACTGGCATTGTACATACATATGGCGCGGCATATGGATGAGGATGGCATATCAAGTCGATCCAGACAGTTCAAGTAAAAAGGAAGACATGATATAAAATAAAAGACGATAAAATCTCTTGCTGGTCATGCAGATTGGGGACAGGCCCGGAGAAGTGGCGGAATAACAAGTAACCGCGACAGATCTTTAAGGGGGAGGAGGGCATCGACGCGTTGATGATACCAGCCCATTTTATATGTACAAGTGAGCGCGCATCAAGACGCAACCCTTTTTTTGTTCTTTTTCATTACTTCGACGAGGTCATCGTCAGGGTCTGTGCGCTCTTCGCAGCACCGACGGCCGCGGACACGGGAGTTGACACTCGCGTGGGAGCTTGGCTGCGGTTGTGCGCCATATGCGCCTTGACCAGGTGGCCGGCAGCCAGGGCTGAGCAGAGACTCAGCTCTCCGGCAAGAACAGCAGCGGCGACAATACGAGCAAGCTGGCGCGCGTTGTCACCAGGAGTCGTAGGGTGAGAGCCGCGGACACCCAAAAGCTCAAGCATAGCAGACTGTCCCTCAAGGATGGTACCGCCGCCGATAGTTCCAACCTCGACCGATGGCATCGAAACGGAAATCTGGAGATTACCGCCCACACTACAACTATTGTTAGCATCTATTGGCTGCCAGTGAGATCTAAATCCATGAGTGACTTACTTCTTCATGATGGTAATGCAGTTGCTACTCTCGACGTTCTGCGCTGGATCCTGACCAGTAGCGAGGAAAAGCGCCGTGACGATGTTGGATGCGTGCGCATTGAAACCACCAATGCTTCCTGCGACGGCACTACCAATAAAGTTCTTGCTGGTATTGAGTTCGACCAGAGATTCCACGTCAGTCTTCAAGACGCTCTTGACAACGTCACCCGGGATGATAGCCTCTGCCACGACAGACTTGCCACGGCCGTCGATCCAGTTCACAGCAGCGGGCTTCTTGTCTGCACAGAAATTACCAGATACGGAGATCGTGATCATATCGTCGAAGCCGCATTCGGTAGCCATGACATGGAGCGCCTTTTCGACACCCTTCGAGATCATGTTCATACCCATGGCATCACCAGTGGTAGTCTTGAATCGAATGTAAAGGTAAGTGCCTGCCAGGACGGTCTTCATAGTCTGGAGACGAGCAAATCGACTGGTGCTGTTGAAAGCGGCAGTCATGACGCTTCTTCCCTCCTCAGAGTCGAGCCAGATCTTTGCAGCACCGGCTCGTGAAAGTGTGGGGAAGGAAACACAAGGGCCACGAGTCATACCATCGCCGGTGATCACAGTAACAGCACCACCGCCTGCATTGATGGCCTTACAACCTCGACTTGTACTGGCGACCAGAACTCCCTCAGTCGTAGCCATTGGAATAAAGTAACTCTGACCGTCAATGACCATAGGGCCAGCAACTCCCAGAGGCAGGGGCAGATATCCGATAACATTCTCACAGCATGCACCGTGCACAAGACCGTAATTGTAATCCTTGTATGGAAGCTTGGATGATTCCAGAGAGCTGGTAATAGCAGCAGTAGCTGGAGTCCTGGACACAACAGCGCGACGAATTTTGACGGCCCTCGTAAAAGCATCAACGCGGCTCATGATGTTCTGATCTTCCATGGTCTTCTCCAGGGCGTAGCCAGGGATTTTGCCGCGCAGAGAGAGGTCGATCAGCTCCTCGTCCGTCAACAGTGACGCACGCTTTTCCTTCAGCATGGCCTCACACTCTTCCCGAGTTCTCGTCGAGCCGTCTTGTTTGATCTCAACCTTTTGGAACTCGACCTTGCGTTCCACACGAGGCTCTTGTGGGGTGACTCGGGAAGTCTCCGGTTCCTTGATACTCCATCTGGCAGCGTTGAAGAGGTATCCGTTCAGTACAATACTCAAGGTCAGAGCGGCAATTATCCATTTGCTGATAACGGGATCTTCGAGGCTCTTAAGCATACTTCCGATCACCTTTCCACTCACAGCATCCAGGAACTGATCGGTGTACTCGATATCAAACGCGCGACTCTCACCAGCTTGGCCATAGTGAACCGAGGGAGCCTCCAATTTGTATTTGATCGGAGGTAGCACAGTCACTAGAGTCTCCAATTTCTTACTCTTCGCAGAGACGTAGATCGAATCCAAACCGTTCTCAGCGACCTTGAAGGGGTCAATCGGAGTAGGGGCCAGAACGTTGGAGATTCGCGAGAGAACAGGGAGACTCGCGCCCTGGTCAGGGTTCCGGAAGGGGATGGTAGAGAGGTTCACAATGTTGACCAGGATAAAACCGCTAACCATCAGGATCTTGAATTTCGGCACACTGCTCGCCCTGATCTTCTTCCCAAAGACACCAGCCTCCTTCGCCTTGTTGTCGTCGGAACCCACTTGAGTCCAGTCACTGTTTGAAGCGACATTCTCAGCAACACGTTGACTGACACCATCTTCCTCCAGGGCCTTCCGGAGAGCAACATGACGCTTGATTCTCGTGATCTCAAGCTTGATACAGAGGATAGTAGCATAGAAGGTGAACAGCAGGACGCAGTCGAAGAACAGGATCCAAGCCGCCAGGAAGCAGAACTGTCGCAAGCCTCCCTGCACGCCAGACGCGGCTCCAGCTGTAAGGAGCGCGATCTCGATGCAGTAGTCTCGGACAATGGCGAATCCTTCTTCTTTGACAGCCAGTTGGATCGACTCTTGAATAGATTTCGGCGAGTTGGGGCGTCCAGCAGCACCGGGTGCTTGGCGTCTGGTATCAGTCGAAGCAGAAAGGACAGCTCTCGTGAGGATAATAGACTTCTCGAATCCGACAGTCACGACGAGGAAGGGAAGTCCCTCAGAGAGTAGGAGCACGTTGATGGGAACACCCAGCTTGGTCGTCACAAGCAGACCGAACAAAAAAGCGAATGCGCCATTGAAGAGAACCGCTGTGGCGAGCCAAAACTTTGATCCTAGGCGTCTCATTGACAGGAAAAGAGAAACGAAGGTCAGATGCATCGCCAGGTATCCCAACGTCATGATCACGATGTCAATCGTCTCAGCATGCTTGATCAAGTCGACGAAGGAACCCCACGCGTCAGAAAACCAAGCCTTCAGCGGTTTCCGGAATCCAAGTCGCGAGTCACGAGCGGCTTTCATAACCCACTTCTTTCCTTGCACCTCATCTTCACCAGTGGCGGAATCCGGGATCTCTTGAACCGCCTTCAGGAAATCAGAGATGTGATCGAAGGGAACCGTAAACGCAAGTGAGGAATCGTGAGAGAAAGGAGCAAACAGGTTGGGAGTATGCGGGACCGGCTGAGCAGATGCATTGGCCGGCAGAGGGATCTCCTCAGCCAAAGGTGCCGTCGATTCGGTTTTAGAGCTGGTGTCCGGAAAAATAAACGTAGCCAGGGCAAGATGCTGAGAGATCTAGAATAATGCTGCATTAGAATCCAGTCGATCCCTGCGACACTGTCTCCGGCACATACCTCATTGCCTTCCAACGTCTTGCCGTCCTCGACCTGCCATCTCCATGCAGTGCGCTCTCCCAAGCGAAGATTTCTACCACCCGCAAGTAACGAGTCCACATCCAATTGACCGTTGTTGCGCGAAGTTGCCTCGAATAGACTTCCTTCGAGGAGACCAACGTAGGTAGTACTGGCCAGCAGGGCGACCACCACGATCGTGTGGATGGGGTGTCTACAAGCGTGGCCAGATACAGCTTGCAGAATGGGGGTCACTCGATGCTTCAGCCAACTAGGTTCCTGGGCATCTTCCGTACTGCTTGCTCGAAGCTTCCTTGGCAGGAAATTTGTCGCCATGTTGACGGGTTGAGGAGAATCGCGGCAGTGTGCGCCGCGTCCCTCAGGTTAAGCGGACGATAGCGAAAAGCCGTGAATCGCGCCCCGTCGAGACTTATTCAGGGACTCGACGTGATGATCTGTAGGAGAGAAGGGACTTTCTTCACTCGTGGGAAACAAGCATGGGCGCTCGGAGGAAGAAGTCACGGCCTAGAAGAGAGAGCACGCCGTCAGCACATCATCATCATCATCCCATGAGGCGAATTTCAAAGGTGTTCCCTACACGGGAAACATACCGGATACAGCGTAGGCAGAGTGGTATAGGGACCACGATATGACACGAAGGTCAATTCCACTCCCTCGTGCGGCGCGTCTCCCCTGAGAGTCGAAGAGAGAAGCTCCGGGATTGTGGGCGGTGGAGGATTTCGGGGGCCAACAGCAGCAGACCGCCGGAGAGCCAGCTTGCAGAAACTACAAAACCCCGAGTGGAGACGGGGCGAAAAAGGGACTCCTTAGCGATACGATATTAACTAGGCGATGATACTAATGGCAATAATAGTGAGAATAGCATCAACGAAGACGCTGGTAATAATCGATAACTACTACTGGAACGCTGGGAACTCGTGGGCGTGGGCGAGAGTGTGCCTGGAAAAAAAGCCGGAGAGAGCCGTCAACCTGGATACCGAACTGGGGATTATTCCCCTTCAGCCGTACTCTTACTCTCAGCTCAGCTCAGGCAATCCATCTTACTACGTTCTGTCTTCCCAAGGTTCCCGGTTTCTTGGCTAGCCTAGGTACGCGCACTTGCTTTTTATTAGGCAGACAAGATAATAATATCAACCAACTATGGTATGCGCGCAATCTCGCCCGTATTGTGCAACGCAAGTTGATATGCTCATAGGCTGTGTCCTCGTGCAATTTCTGGCGCTATCTGGTATGCAAAATGGCCCCCATATGAGTACATATCGATGTTGCTCGATCTCTCTGTCAGCACTCGGCAGGGTTATTCGTCCCATGCTCCACTTCCAGCCTGTGTAACCTTGTCCGATACATCACATCTGCCAGGGAAGATAGTCTACCATACTCGCTCACCGAGCCTACCCCGGATCAAGAGATCTTGTATCTTCCCAGTTGCCAGATGACTCCCACATCTCTTGAGGTTCTGCTCTACAGAATAATTCTTCCCCAACTGTCGTAACAGCCGCCACCACGTGTGTGGCGTCTCTGCCACCTCCTTTCACGCGGTCAGGAGTCGGGATGCTTTTTCTTCTGCCTGGGAAATTAGTTAACCCATTTTTTGACCGCCGGTTCTCTAAGCCTGATTAGGTATGGATGGAGATCTTATCCCCTTGGCAGCCCGTCAGCCACGTTCGTACTTGTAAGTCGAGGTTCCCCTCCAATCGAGTATGGTGCAAAATCCTGTCGGGTCTCGTAAATTTGAGATATTGCGATTCAGATGGTGCTGCGTGGTCGTGTGTTACGCACAGAAGACGCAGGTACGGGTTACAGAACAGATACGATCTGCGTTGATGTGGTTGCCGATAAATCACTAGCAGAGAACTTCAGAAAGCCCCACAGAACATCCCAGTGTTGCTTCTCGAATAACACTCTGTTAGGTAATTATCCCCGTGGGAGTCGAGGGTCGTGGACTGTGATTCCTTTTGCTCAGTCAAATATTAATAAAGATGAATCCTTAAATTGGCATTATTAGACAGTGATTTGTCAAAAGTGGGATGTCGCACGAGACTATCCGCGGTGTGTAAGAATATATAGATGTATAATGGTGAATAGCGGTATATAGATGGAGTGTTCCCAAGTATCCATTTCAATAACTTACAAGGATAGAGCAGCTAAAATTATAGCTACACCGCAGAAGAACAATCCTTACCATAACAGATCATCTAGAAGCAAGAGCATTAAAGTAACCGGGAGGATCGAATGGTCCGGAATTGCTTTCTTACAAACTCGGATATCGACCAATCCATAATCCCCAGTGTAGGTAAAGGACCACGTGCTCCGATCATCATGGCGCTATTATTGACCTACTTAATCAAGGCAGCTAGTAACGTATAGTTATCCTCCAGACACAAGACGACATAGATCAATAAGATCTCCAGATCCGATCTTTCGAGTATGCGAAGGAGCTTTATGGTAAACATTTCCCGCGTAGAGTTGACACTGACAACATATCCCATTTCCCCAACTAGGTTATAGGTCAAAAGAGCCCGAGCACGCAATATCTAAGCGTGATTTGACAGGACGAGTGGAGCCACAGGGAGTGAACTTTATAATGCATTAGAAGGCTTGGAATCTGTAACTTTGACCTGGTAACCTAAGTATAACGACAGACTTTATGAAAAGCTTAATTCATTGGGATAAAGGGAGGCACTACTAGACTCCAGAGAGCAGATTGAGTCTACGATATGAGAATGTGCATAAAGTGGCGATTGATAGATCACATGCAGGACAGCGTTACGCATTGACGCATTGATAACGGGGCTGCATGGTTGAAGCAAAACGTCGATGCAGCCAAAACCTTCGAGAGGAAATGGCCTCGTGTGCATGCGCAGGGGGCACACGCGCCGCAGAAATAAGCCTTTCTCTCGACCATAGTCGAATTACCTCGCAACATGGTTACGCTTAATTTGTACAGTACTATCCGCTTGTCATGGTCTAGACGGCAGTGTTACGATGTAGGGTCCTTGGTTACTAGAAGAAAAGCGACAGTCTTATCGAAGAAAACAGAAGATACATCGATCGAATCACGGTAAGTTCCGCGATATCATTGATCTATTCATCAATTGGCTTGACTTGGGCGTTTGTCGCACGCCAAATATTCCTTAAATACACTCAAGGTATCACACATCAGACTTGGAAGTCCGAGCACAACATAATCAATAGCCATTATCATCATCAATCATCCTACAGCCAACGCTTAGTTGGCGTAGTCCTCAGTGTATCCCTGCTCAATGTTCTCGCGAGCATGGCGCTTGGCCCTCTCACGGTCAACGTAGTCAAGGCCTCTGGTCTCGACCTCACGGTCAATGAAGGCACCAGCGAGACCGGCAAGGATCTCCTTGGCCTTCTCGTGGCTAGGGGGCTGGCCTATACGCGGATTATTAGCAATCGTGATGGAAAAAGTATACGGGCGAAGCACAATGCGTACCGTTCTCAGCGACGTGCTTCTCGTAGGCCTTAGCAGCCTCGTAGGAGGCAGCACCGGCAATCAGCTCGTGGGAGAGCTCGGCCTTGTGCTCAGAGCCGGTAAACTCGGCATGGTTGTCGGAGAACTGGTCTTGGGGTTGGTTAGCAATGCTGCTCATCATGTAACATGGGGAAATAAAAGAGAAAGGGGAGGCCTACCGAAGAAACCCATTGTGATAGATGTGGTGAAGAGTGAAAAAGTGTGTAGATTTGTTTGTAGTGTGCTGATGATGGTAAAGAGAGATACTCTTGGAGGGGCAGAGGAGGGGTATTTATGCCCTCCCACCGACACTCAGCACCATGTATGCCACGTACCATGACAGCAACACCTTTCCCGATTCCGTGATCGTTCTGCCTCATCCGACGTTTCAAATCTAAGACGCCCTAGGAACCCCTGTGGTAGAAGCCATAATGACCCTCGTGCTTGGAGTCCCTCATCATCCACATAGGCTGGGTGCGCATCTATCTTCGCCCTATCGAAGCGCGGATCACAGGCACGGTCCCCACTTCTCACCCGCGAAGCTTTTTAGCTGTCTCGAGTGATCGGCTCGGCGTATTATCGAGATGGATGAGGCGCGGGGCTCAGATATCTAGCTTCCGATTGATCGTGACGGGAAGGACGTGGAGTCTGAACTCCATGAACAGATCTTCGGGATTGCCACGGGGAACACCGTCATTGAGCTTCAGCGGTGGAGAGTATTTGCCAACTGTGGATGAGTGCGGGCTGGATATCACTAGAGATAGTCCCCGAATCCAGCTTGGCGAATATGCCTATCAGAGCTCGCAACAGTGAGGAGAGCACGCTTACGCAGTCGAGTAATCTGCCCTACCTACCTAGGTAGGTAGTACATACATCCATCCATATGTTGCTCAACCACTGTACTTAGGGTGGGAAAATCAGTGCGTCATTGGGAGAGCTCGCAAAGTCTATGCTAATACTGATATACATTAGCAGTTTCTCAACATATAAGTCAAGTTAGTTAACTAGTTAGTTAGTTAGCTGTAGATACAGTTGTTATTAATAATTAGTTGCCACTTTTTCTGAGGCTGAGACTGCTGAACCCGCTTCAGTTACTTATTGGAAGTGGAACAAAGCGAGTGGGCTGTGGCGCGGCTCGCAACCCAGCCTCAATCATGGCTTAGCTCTTCTGAATAGGTAATTACTTCTCATCACGAAAGACCGCCACTGCGCTAATCCAGCCCATCGATGGCTTCATTATTATCTTCTACTTGTCCTTTTTGCGTTCAAGACTTCAGTGTCGAGTGTGGAAGGTGCCATTGACGCAAGCTGTAGCTGATCTCTCGCAATTTCAATGAGGGGAGTGGGATAACGCAAAGCATTCCGTCGAGTTGAGAGACGCATCTAAGAGCTGCCTTATACTGTTTGTTTCAGACTGCGAGATCGTCGAATATTGTCTCTTCACCAAAACTAGCGGTGAGAGACGAAAGTGGAACTCGTCTGGTAGCATATGGATCGGAAACGAGCCTGTGATAGGACTTCCTGGCGCCGATTTACATGCAATTCGCAAGCGTCTAATCCAGATGAACCTCCTGCAGGAGCCATTTCTTCCCATCCATGGCTTAAGATCAACACTATCAGCCCGCAGTGTATGTCTATGGCGAAGTACTCGTCTAGTGCTGAAAAGTTGAGTTCGGCCAGCGGGCTTAGCTTTATTTGTGTCTGTCCGAGCTCCACCGTCCTACGTATCGTCGTATTGGGACTTTAGTAAAATCTCTCAACAGCTCTCCACATGTATGTACGTCTAGAGTAGAGTAGAGTACTGGAGGGGCCAGGAGGGCAGACGAGGAGGGGCTCTCAAGGTACTTTACCCCTCCAGGGAAATCGGTAACGCAGTCCAGAGGGATAATGTTGATGATTCTCAAACGCTCATTAGGCACGCATCCTCTTGGCACCTCTCTATGGTCATAGGGAGCTTGGTTAGCTCAGAATGAGAGACAATAGGACATAATATAAATATTATCAAGGTTGCGCTGGGATGGGAACAATGCGTTTCTTGACCGGGAGAGGAGGTTAAAAGAAGCAGCTCTCTGAGCAAAGAAAATAACGGCTTTTATATGCGCATATGATTTATCAGATTGACCTTATTTCCTTTGCAGGCCCACGTGGTATATGCTCACTCTCATGCAGCTTTCTTGAGTATTGAGTTTTTCAACGTTACTGTCCTTATTCCTATTATCCTCATGCTGCTGTTCAGCTTCTGGACACGATGGCATCAGCAGCCCCGCGGGGGCTGCGCAAGGAAAGCTTATCAAGCACAGCTGCTCTCTGATAGGCTCTCTCTTACCTGAAACGGGCATTTAGCCGGTGTTTCCCCTTCCGTTATCCGACACGATTTGTTGGTCCTCAGGCGCCGAAATCGCGCTCCGATTCAGCCAATCCACTTCGTCTCTTAGCCACCCATTGAGCAACTTCGCAACAATCAACCCACCACAGCGCCTTTTGAATCTCATCACTGCGAAAGCGTGCAATATCTGCCAGACTTTGTAGATTTCTCTAGGATTCCTCAGACAGCTAGTGGAGATGAGGGAATACCAAATTTGTTTGCTTTTCGCGTCGGTAGTACTTACAGCCCTGTATTTCGTATGGAAGAGCTGGCTTGTACTGCACCGCGAACAATATGCCTTGTCTAACATTGTCCTCCTATTAGGTCTCGAGATGAGAGTTATCGCGTTCGATTGATTCAGGTACGGTGGAAAGCTGCATATAAATGGGATAGAGCCTTTATGCTTGGGCTCATGGATATTTCGCGCCCAGTCACCTCATCCTATTGATTCAGATGCGGCGTCAGCTGGTGAGCAGGGTAAACATATGGCCACAGATGCAACCTCTGCATTAGACCCTGAAACGTGCCTTGGTGTGGTGGACTACACTGTTCCAATAGTAGATCTAAGGCTACGATTAATTGGACGAGAACTATCATGTTGGCGCCCTGCTAGATCTGTCTCCTCCAGATTCTATGCAACGCTGCAACATCAATCAGCAATCTATAGCCTTGATACCAGGTTCCATCTTGTCGCATTCTTCTGGATCTCCACGTTTGATCCTTATTGTTGGTGTCGTATAAAACTTGATCTCATCAATTTGCAGGAGCAGACTAGAAAGATTACAAGCACTGTGTCTCACGGGTGAATATGCACTTGTTCTTCCATCTACCAACACAAGTGTGACTGAGGTTCAAGAGCTCGATTCACTCCCAATGAATAGAGTATTGTTGGATTAGTCCTGCGTAGGACATGTTTCCCGTGAGTATATCCTTATCCATTCAGCCGTCATTCATTGCTTCTCGTTTGTCTGTCTCAGAATCCATATAATAGTCATTGTTCAACACCCCTTGCAGTGAAGGCTCTCAATCGAAATCACTATGTCATTGTCATGCTGACTCAAATAAAGATTTCTATATCCTCCAGGGTCTCATCATTCGCTCTCTAGATACTATATACTTGCCACTCATTTTTTTCAGTTCTTCAGCAAAAATATTGCCCAACATGAGCGCTGTCAGCAAGCTGGTCTTGACGGCAGTCCTCAGCCTTAGCCTCATAGCTACCACGATCGATGCTCACAGCTGGGTTGAGCAACTCATGGTTATTGCACCGAATGGCACCTTTATCGGTTCTCCAGGATATGCAAGAGGAAACGTGCTGCGTACTGCTCCTGGATTCAGTGACCCTACGATGGTATACCTGCTACCTCCAGACGACCGGGCGAATGTGATCTATCCGACCGACCCGATGTGCAAAGACACACAGCGGACGAGAAATCAAACAGTCGGCAGCCCCAGACTACGAGCTGCGCCTGGTGCTGCTATTGCGCTTCGTTACCAAGAAAACGGCCATGTCACTCTCCCATGGAATCAACCGGGAAAGCCCGAGAATCGAGGCACTCTATACGTGTACGGAACGACACAACCACGGGAAAACGACACTTTCTTGGGAATTCATAAGGTATGGAACCAAAACGGAACTGGGGGTGACAGGCGAGGAGTTCTGCTCTCTGTCCAGAATTTCGACGATTCGCGTTGTTACCAAATCAACAACGGCAACATCTCGACCCACCGCCAAGCTGTATTTCCTCACCAAGCGAACCAGCTTATGGGGGCGGACCTCTGGTGTCAACAAGACATTGCCTTGCCCAGTGATGCACCCACTGGGAAGCCATATACTCTCTATTGGGTTTGGGATTGGCCGACCTTGCCCAATATTGACCCCAACCTGCCAAAGGGAAAGCTTGAGATGTATACCACCTGCATGGATATTGACGTTGTGGAGAGTCCCAAGGTCCATAACAAGTTGGTCGCAAATTATGATAAGGACCAGTCCCTCAACGAAGCCGCCATCCCTGGTCAATTTTCAGAAATCTTTGATGCCCAGCGGTCTGAGAGACCTACAAGTCCTCCCGACTGCAACTCGACTGTACCTTCTGCGACAGTTCCGCCTGCGAAGCAATCACCAGCGACAACATCGATGTCTACGAATGCAGGAACTCCACACCTGTCGTTCGTCACTGTCACAAAGACAGTTACAGAAAGTCGCTGTGTCCAGACTTCTGAGACCAACGACAAACGTGACGTTGGGGAGGGGGAGGTTGAGATGACCGTTCCATTCTATAAATCTCCACGTCTACCTCCAAGAGTTGGTGGTAGACCAGTTCTTTGAAAGCTCATGAATCTAGAATTGGGACTCATGGCGGATACTGTCGATTTACTTAACGCGCATAGAAGCAACTCTCCTTTATGATACGACTTGATATCTCCATCTTTGTCATGACGGCGTACCCGGTTTTGCACATACATGTCCATTGTCATTCGTTCAAAGCATTCCTCTCGTTTTATGTTTACGAAGACGGCTACAATTCGAGGGTTGCAGGACTACCCTATGTGTGTACTTCTTTGTCTTCCTTGAACAAGGATTTTCGAGACAGGCTCTCGAATAAATCCTCTGCCAACACTTTACTTGGGGCGTTTAGACGTTGTGGTTTGTACTTTGACTCATGTATAGATGATTTTACCTAGGTGATGAATGAATGAAGATACGCTCTGAGCATGTATGAACTGAACCTTCTTTTTACATCTCATAGAAAGCAGGCGAAGTCCCAGTTCAAAGTGACTCTATACATTACTAATAGACCCGAATGCTACGGCATCACTGACATGTAGCACTTTGGTGAGATGATAACGTTCTGGCTAGGAGATGCGAAGTACTTCTGGGTCGTTCTGCCATAGCGCAGATATTATCTATTCCGATGGATCCTGCATAACTGGGCAGATCGGTACGCGATACAGATTATCAAAAATCAAGTAGCGGTGATGAAACCCGGAGCAAAGATCATAGTGTAGAAGAAGATGTCTGGGCTACAGCAGACACGCGCTGGAGTATGTCCTCGATAGAATAACCGTCTCAACAGAGACATTCTCTCCAGAAGTCTAGATTCAATCCTGCATGATCAGATTCAATACTCTGCTCTGTATATGTATCTCACGTCGTGTCGTCCTGGTTAGGATATGATAGATGCTCTACCGACTGTACCCTAGATACCATAAGTAGTATCTCAAGAGCATCAGACTTGCGCTAATCCATTCTGGGAAACCCACATGAAACACACTAAAATGAGATCCGTCTCACGTGGAAAGTCACATGAGCACGCCCTGCTGGACAGAAAGAGACAAAAAGACTGAACGGAGTTTTGAGTGTGGATCTTTTTTTTTAATCAGAGGGGCTGAGGAGTTCCTGTGGGACTGCAAGTTCATTGATTGTCATTCGGTATACTTCGAAGCGCTCTGATTCTGGATCTCTCGTTGAAGGCTGATATTAATAGCCAGCGAAGGACCAACCTTTACCCTGGACTGAAGTTACTGAACCAACCCTGACTCGAACCACTCGCCGAGAACCGAGAACGGTCTCCAGGTAATCTCCGCTGCTCCTGAGATCCCTCTCTCATCCATCCATCGTCTCCCATTCGTGACGCTCCTTGCCTCCGTCTTCGACCTACGATCCTTTCCCGGGTCCTTTCTGACTTCGACAGTCCCTTCTCGCGTGCTCCAGTGGTGCGGCGCTGTTATTCGCTCTCGTCTATGCATCCCAGGACGACCTTGCTATATTTAGAATAGGGCCTTTGACTGTCCCTCGAAACCGCGGGACGAACGAAGGGAACGACTGTCCACCCACAAGCCATCTCACAGTCGACCACTGCACAAGGCCGCGCGCATCTGCACTTCAGACAGTTGTCTTCCATCTTCTCCTTCCAGAAAACGCCGCTTTCGAGACGGTGCCATCCCACAGCGCACGGCGCACACCGCTCCCCCCCTGCCGCTCTCTAGATTATCAGACTGCCCACTCCATTCAGCAAGAGCATTTCTTTGCTCGTCCACCCTACTGGGTCCTCTGAAGTCGCTATATCGGGCTGGGCTACTTGAAATTGGTTCGCGACAGAAACTCGACCGTCCAGCACGCGTTATACTTCTCCCTCAGGTAGAAGCAGACGGAGCGAACAGACCCGTACCCATTGACGGTCGTCATCCTACACTAGACCACTTCGCACGAAGCTTGCGTGGAAGACACAAGCATTGCGCCTTTCTACAGTGCTGTCTGTTTATTCTGTTTGAAGGTGATAAGTCCAGTTTAGCACAGTGTTAGAACTGTTTCGATTCTTAACAGCTGGACTGTCTTACTCTGCTCATAAGGGCTAGGCCTGAGTATCCGCGCGACTTGGGTTCCTCCCCTTTTATCTAGCAGAAACACAATTTGTCGGTGTTGCGTGGCTACGAAGAAATACCGGAGATCGCGATGCAAATATAGGGTGCAATCTTTGCGGTGCATTTCGAATCGGGTTATTAGGAATTTCAACGCGCGATATTGAAGCGAAATCCTTTTTTCGTGTTTTAGTGATCTGACTCTCATGGCAGCAACCATGTCATCTCCTCCGACCTCTCAACCGGAGCATGTCGCATCCCCAAATCTCGCTCCGCTTTCTGCTCCTCTAGGCGCAGATAAGCCAGTCAAGCGGGGAAGCCTGCAGCGCCCGAACTCATACACCAGAGATCGGTTATCTACATACTCAACTGCTTCATTAGCTTCCCAGAATAAATCGCGTCCGGTATCTTATGTCATTCCGGCATTCCATTCGAGCTTGCCTTATACTCTTGTCCGGGACTTTGCGTACCCGCCAGTGCATCCTCTCCATTACGGCCCGCCTCCTGTGCCCTCTGGGGTCACGACTCCCATGAGTGAGAATCGGCGACTTTCCGATCCACCGCCATCAACGTGGGATAGCTCGAGGGGGCAGTGGTCAGCGGGACCTTGGACCACCGAAAATATCTACGGACATCAGCAATTACCTGCTATGTCTTTTGGTGACGGTCCCCCATACAGTGAAGATGAGGACCTGCATAGTCCGGTGGTGACGACCTCGCGTCACCGGAAAAACAGGTCTGGAGCAGGCTACGATGGGAGAAGGGGACGGAGCCCGGGGGACAGTGGTCGAGAATATTCTGGGGATGACCGTGGGCAGTTTATCAGCATGAACGGTGATGGCAGTGAGACATACTATGTGCGCGAAGAAGGCGCCACTGAGGATGGCCCTGGGGGCGAATTTGTGACCTATCCAGCAAGCGAAGGCAGATATTCACACTTGACTCCTGGGGCTTATGGCAGCACGGGTGTCGCAGACTATGTCAAAGGAGATCAATATTTCGATCCTGATATGCTCGATTCAGACGATGAAATTTCGGACACAGACGGCTACTCTCGAGACTACGAATTCTCAATAGCCTCACCAGACGAAGAGATGCACGGGAAGGCTGTGGCGCTTTTTGATTTCACCAGAGAACATGAGAACGAGCTTCCACTGAAGGAAGGCCAAGTTATTCTTGTCTCGTACAGACATGGACAAGGCTGGTTAGTGGCGGAAGACCCCAAGACAGGCGAAAGCGGTCTTGTTCCAGAGGAGTTTGTTCGACTTCTACGACATATCGAGGGTGGCTTGACATCACTCAACGGGGAGATCAACAATGCAGTGGCCGAGAACAATTTGGATATCAACGCTTCAGATGCAGGCGCAGATGAATTTCAGAGCCAGAACAGTTTGATGCCCGGGAATGGGCAGAGCAACGGTGGCAGTGGAAGCATCAGTGAGAAACATCCCTCTGTGATATCAAGATTTTCTACCAGCAGCAAAGATCTGGATCCTTACCCATCTCACCTTCTAGGTGGCAGTCAGGGGAAGACATCTCCCCAGCCAGTCGAAGAGTCTGATGGCGATCGGACCGAGAATGGCAATCCCGCCAGCGCGACGACCTGAATTCGTGTTGCTGCAGATAACGGAAAGCCATGAATATTGGTAGAACTATCACTGTTCAGTTCCCATTTACTGTCCGCCATCTCCCTCACGTTTGGGGACTCCGGATCCACAAATGCTTGCGTTGTCCGCGCAAGCGCATTGCGGGCCCCTGGAAACAGCGTGTCGTTGCCCGTCTGGTCCTCTGAGATCGATCACTTCTGCTGGCTGGAAGAAGACATGCAAGTTGGCGGTGCTACGTTCGATTTCGAATACGAGCACCCGGGAAGCCATACAAAAACATCTCCCGCCCCTTGATCTCCATTAACCCTATCTATCCCCTCTTCTCTTTGCACAATGCTCATCTGCTGATGAACATAATTGAAACTTATGAAGTCACCTGTAGGAACTCCTCCCTGAACCTCCCTTCAGATTGGCTCGATACCCCTCGGTTCGACTAATTTAGAAGACGAAAATTCCAAATTTAGCGTTGCGTATCGGTGCCGTGCACTTAGCCCCATGTGTTGGAGAAAGAGAAAACGTCTACATTGGACCCTGTTGTGTTTGTATAGAAATTTGTCATGGATCTAATTCTTATCTGAAATCATTCTGCCTGTTGCTTTTTCATATCTTCTTTTGCATGTGATCTCGGGGGAAGTTTCTTGTCTGACATTGAAAAGAAAGCCATCGCTCATCCCAGGCTATGTTGAAAAAACTATGTATTACCTTGGATGTATGGAGTCTGGAACTGCAACACGTGACCGGTTCACTTCCTTCGCTTCACTCGGGGGGTGAATTAATACGTTACTCAACAAATCCCGTATATCTTCTTACTCCGTACTTCGCACAAAAGCTACTATCTGCTATTGCCCATTTGTGGTCCGAAGCATTGCATGTAATACTGAATCTACTCATAGTGCAGACATTCTCGCTCAACGCTAGATCTCTCTATCGATATCTCACTTCCCCTCATAAAATGACCCCTCTCTCTGAATAATTCTTAACATTATCAAAAAGTCATGGCTGCTGAAGAGAATCGAGAGTCTGAAATCATGCGTGTTGACATGCCTACATGGGATAGGTATGATAAGCTCTGGTGCTTACGGGCCCTTTGGGACCCTGCAGAATACCAAAGGTAAGAGCAAGGCGCGATTGTCGTCCAGCAGCAAAAATTAGGAGCTGACATCATTTCATTTACTACTACTTAGCTTTCGTGAAAGCCAATTGAAAATTCCGCGTGATATTATGGCGAGATGGCCCAATTGGCCGGAGGCGATACAGGATAACCAGGAGAGAATTGACTGGATACTGATGCACACGCCCGACGGCCCTACGTACGTGAATTTTTGGACCTCTTCTCTTTCCTCGTCAGGGGCCTTACAGAGGCACTCTGGTACAATTGTCCCCCCTTCCCAGTATAACTGGAGAAACAATCACAGCATTAGACGCTCTGACATAGCTATTCCTCTGTCTAGTGTACCGGAGACAGAACCCACTGGCCTGTCGAGACTGGCATATCATTGCATCGAAACTTTGAAGCACATCTTGGAGCACCATTCCATGCTAGCAGACTCGCAGAAGGTAAACATTCTTGCAGCCCTAGAAGCCTATCGAAGCGGGAGGTTAGATCCGAAGCCGGGAGATGTAACATATTGGTATGCCGGAGTCCTTAAGGAGGACCCTGGACCCCAGGGTAGCCAAAGCTATGCAGAAGCCATGGACCGGTGGGGACAAGAGCACGGAGAAACCACTCTTTGGATCGAGCCGGTATATATTATTTCGATTTTGATTGATCTCCTTTTTTCTTTCTTTACTCCATCTGTCGCTGTCGTGCCTACATCTTGTCAATCCCGTGTTGGAGAGTTCGAGAGTGATTAATATGATGATGGCTTTCTGCCAGTCGACCAAAAAGGAGAACTCCTTGTCGGCCTACCTGGATCTCTAACATGATTAATGCTCACCAAAATAGGTCGAACCAGTGTGGGGTGGCGGTAGATACATGCCACAATGACCCAGCGCGTCATGAAGTTACCGCTCCCCATGAGGTAAGTCTGGATTATTTTCCTCGATAATGAAATTGTTTTCCTAACTAGGGATCGGGACAACAAAGGGACCACCATGCATCATCTGCAAGAGTAGTGGACTGCAACATGCTCGTGACGTACAATAGCTCGGAATCCAATACCGGCATATATTCATGTTTTCCATAACTACTAGATACGTCTATTAGTTAGAGTTCCTGGCATTGATATCGCTCATGAGATCAGTATTCCTTGATTATACTGGGTCCTCATACCTAGAACTCTTTCAGGATGCCTAGGTTTCCAGCCCAACAGAATACCAAGAAGTGTCTTTGGTTATCGTGACAACCTTATAACGGTAAATGGTACTCGATAAAGTTCTCATGCAAGTCCAATTTATGACAACTGATCACACCCCTATCGATCCACTTACTACGGTGAAAGGAACTATCACCAATCAACGTCCCGGTACCCGTCAAAGATGCTCTGGCCAGGCGCTTAGAAGGCACTTGTTTAACTACAGCAACTTCACCTGCAATAAGCGGCGCTGGGAATCTATATGTTAGTACCAACAATACCCATCTCATGAGCAGCCTCCCAACCCGCTAACAGCAGTCAGGACCCCGGGGGTGCAGACCTGGTAACAGCCCAGCAGCATCTGGCGGGCTCCGTGGACTTCCAAGCATACCTACAGAATGTTCACAACAATGGCGGAGTTGCGTTGCAAGGGCAGCAACAAAGTGTCCACCTGGGAGTTTTTGAACTCCCACGGGAGGCCCAGAGGAATGTCGAAGACTTCAGCCTGTCCCTTGGGCAAGCAGGATCAGCCCCTGCAGTGCTTCCAAAGACGGATGGGATACATCGAAAGGCTTGGCCCAGGAAACGAGTGTACAAAGAGCAACGGCCCTATGGATTCTATGATCGTAAGCGCGATCTTTATAGCCAACGGTGTCGCAATCAGGCTCGACAGCTAAGGGAGCTATCAATGGGAATAGATCAGTAATTTCCTGGTAGGAATATTCTGTTGTTGACTAAGGGCTGTATTCAGAGGAATAACTAACTATGATAACCGACAATGAAGTCACGTTCGGTCTTACAGCATACATAACGGGATTATCTCTGGGCTAGTTATCATATTGTCGAATATTGAATGGCGGTCTGACTCGAATAACTTGAATTGCTTGCTTGGTTCTAGTTCTAGGGGGGGGGGGGGTTGAACCCATATTTATCTCTATAGATATACAAAGGCTCCAATAATCAAGCAATTTAGTATGTTCTTATAATTAGGATTCAAAGAACCTGCCGAAAACGGATAATTGATAGATCACCTAGCGTTCCCTTTTGCGCTGACACGCATCACAGGGCAGGGTGTCTACATGTACATAGTTTTATTACGTTTAAGTTTACTGATAATTCTCATCCGCCAGCTAAGATAGCACCGAGCATTAATCACTATTCTTGACCCAAGCTCTAATAATCGCATCCTCTTACTCTCCTTTTTCTGTCTATGAGCAAAAAGATAAGAGAAGAATAAAACAAATAGCTTTTTACACTTTACATACCCCTGTTCCTATCAACAGCTTGCAGCCTTGTAGTCAATGAAAGAAACAGCATATTAACCCAATCCCTCTCGAAGAGAGAAGGATGGAGCAGAAAAAAACAAGATAGAAAAAAAAAAAAAGAAGAAAAAAAGGTAAACCCTTCTTAGATATATCCTGATGGTGGGAAATAGAGTACCATAATAATGAGATTTCTTTTTCATGGCCATGAATAAAAGATGGCACTCGAGAGGGAAAATAGATACAACTAGTTTTTACTTACTTAATGGTGAATCATGGTGGGATAGTTTCAAAAAGAAAACGCAAAGAAATAAAAGAAAGAAAAAAAAAAAAAAGAGGAAAGGAAAGCAAATTCGGAACAACCGCTGAGTTTGGGACCAGAATCACGGTACTTAAAGCAGAAGGAACAGGGAATAAGGCTCTCATCTTTCTCTGTATGTTCTTGCAAAGTCAGGAAGAAGGGCCGTTTGCTGCGCAAGAGATAGGTAAGAATCTATGTATGTACCTATTCGCGGTTCTCCCTTTTTCTTTTTCTCGCTCGCGATGCACGCAGCCTGCTGGTGACTGGGTAAGATGACTGTGCTAGTATGGTTCGAAGAATGTTTTATTACGAGGAAAGGGCTCAATCGAAATATATGCTCGTCTATCCTAGTAGGTCATCCAGAGCAGAACCACTGGGTTTGTGTCCTTGCTGCGGTTGCTTGGACTGACCAAAAGCTGGCGTCGACGACGTCGAGGTAGGAGTAGATGCGGACGGAGCGGGGGTTCCCCAGATGCCGGCGCTGGCCTTCTCCTTGGAGAGGCTGGCCAGGTTGGGGCCCTTGTTCTGCGAGGGAGAATTCTTCTGGATACCTGCACTGGCGCTGGCAGCAGACCAGAGCGAGCCGAAAGCATCACCTCCAGCCTTGGAAGTCGAGGCTGACGGCTTGTGGGATGATGCAGGGGAGGCGATAGAGGATACACTGGCTCTGGCGCTCGTAGGCTGGCCTGTGGTGGCAGCGGAAACAGAGGTGAAATAGTTGGGCGCTGGTGCCTGGAAGCCTGTCGGCCTTGGTTGTTGTCTTGATTGCAGAGACGCCAGGGAACCTTGAGGCGACATAGGAGAAGTCAAACTGCCGCCGGTTGGTGTGGGAGTAATGGAAGAAATGCCAACGAGGTTGGTCAAGTTAGCATTCTGTGTGCCCGACACAGGCTTGGGCGCAGCGAACTGAGTAGTCGACGCAGTGGAGGATGGAGGAGCAATAGAGAACTGATTAGACGAAGTAGGCTGAGGAGCGGCCGGAGCAGCAGGTGCTGGAGTTGCGGACTGGAAATCGTCGAATTCGTCATCATCCGCGGTGTCGTCGAGCAAGCCGTTGCCAGCGTTGCTAGCAGGTTGCTTGCCGGCAGCAGTCGAAGACGACGTCGTGACAGGCTCGTCTCCAAAATCGAATAGATCCGGCACCTCCTCCTTGGGCTTCTCAGGCTGCTTCGTCGCACGCGGTTGGCTTGCTACACGGCGCTGGCTGGGGGCCGCATCCGCTTCATCGTATTCATCATATTCCTCAAAGCGATTCCCTCTCCGTCCCGTATCCTCGAATTCGCTCGTGTTGCCTCCATAGCCACCGCCATCGCCGTAGACGCCTCCACTGTAACCTCCATAGCCAAGGGATTCGCTACCAAAGCCTCCATATCTACTAGTCGATCCAGAAAGACCGCCCCGGACACCAAGACCACCTTCAATCCCACCGAATTTGTTCCGGTTTGCCCGCGCTTTCTTTCTCTCTGTGCGAATCAGGTCGACGTCGCTCAAAAGCTTCGCCAGCTCCTGCGCCCTGTTACGGACGTTGATTCCCTGGTCTTTTCCGTTCTGGTCGATGTAGTGGAATTGGCGCAGCATGCGCAGGAGAGATAGATGCGATCGCGCATCATCGACAACTCGTTCTGAACCGTTCTTGACGAGGAATTCGAGAAGTTGGAGTGCCTATCAACAATCAATCAGTATTCACATGATTGAATTTGGACCTGTATCCACGCCAGGAAAGTGGCTCGGGCTCGTACTTTGTATATCTGTCTCCACTCCTCCGCGCTCTTCTCCGTAAATCGCTTGTAAATCATAGGCATAATCTCGTTCAACAGCTGGCTATAATCGAACAAGTATAAATGTCAGTTAAACACCTCCTACAATGCCATTACCGAATAAACCGATATCGGAAAGGGGGGGACCGGTGCGACTAACTAGCTATGTGTTCCATTCGCGATCTCCTGCATCAACGTAGACGAAGCACCCCATGGCTCATTATTAGTAGCCTCTCGGACCTGTCAAAATGCGCGTAAGTCGTACGTTTCGATTTATCCGGCCGCAGTGTTCGCGTGGCGACCAACCTTCGACTCCATCTCCGTGTAGTTCATGACAGCTAAAGACTCCCAAGTTAGTACCTATTATCCAGGGACGATTCCCCTCCCTCCAGCTACTGTTTCCCGCTCCTATCATGCAAAACGTACCATTCTGGACTTTCCGGACTCCGGCCTTGATGTCGTACAGGGTCAGGTTGCTGACCTGCTCCTTGAGAGAGGCGAAATCCATGGCGCCGACCGGGAACAGATCTCCCCTATGATGTGATGATGCACTATAGTACAATCGAGGAGAAAAGGCCCTCGCAAAAGCTGTCAACACAGAAAAACGGGGCGCGAAAGAAAGGCAGACGGGGAGAAGGAAAGGGAGATGCTAGACTAAGCTCGTCCGGAGGATGCGGAGGCTCAGCTGGTTCGGGCATCTCCCGACTCTCGAGAGGCCAACAAAGCCGCGCCGGCAACGTCACGTGCGGAGCTCCGATTGTTCTCCGCCGTCTCTATATTTCTACTAGTTAACTACAGATCAGCACATTGAAGTATGACTACCTAGGCAAGAGGACTCTCCCAAGAGAAATCGTCGTTCAAATACTATTGGATATCACATGGAATATAATACTACCAGTTCAAGTACGTACATAAAAGGTAAGAGGAAATTCGTGAAACCTAACTGTAAAATCCAGCATCGTCTCGGGGCCTGACAGCCTTGCCCGAGCAGGGCAAAGGTTGGCTTCGCCCGTAGTCTTTAAACAAAAAATAACAGAAAACAAAATCCCAACATGCAATACAAGCGGTATCTTCAAACAAATCCCGGCCCCGGAGCTTCCGAACCACCTTCCTCTCTAGTCCAGATAACACCGTTCATGAGATCTAACCGAAACGTCTTTCACTGGGTGGTTGGGGTATCACGGAAGCGTAATATGTTCGTGAAGAGGGAGATACGGACTCCCCCGGGGCATCAAGTTCATCATGTTCCACACAAAAAAAAAAGTAACCCATAAGCTGCTCATTCGTTATAGAATTTCCTCATGATCAGGTGCAAGAAAAGATTGACGTTAACTCGTAGGTGTCCCTCGAAGAAGTCGAGGAACTGGGTGTTGTTAAACTGCGCCTGCAACAGATCGTCCAGCGGTACCTGGGCGTTTGCACCAGGAATCATCATATTGCCGCTGCTTCCGTCGAGTGTGAACACTCCAACTTCGTTACTCGATATTGTCAGGTCGACACGGTCCCATTGGCGTTCGGTATAGCCCTTCCAGTGGACCAAGACACCTTTATCAGCAAGATTGCGAGCCGAGTACTTGAAAGAGCCGAATTTAAAGACGCGTCCCGATTTCTGCAGTTCACGTTCATGATCCCATTGTTTGGTAAACGGCATCAAGAATCGCTTCTTCCCCTTCTTGTTCTGCAGGGTGACCATTGCCTGCTCAATATAGTCGTTGTAGGTCTTGAGCTGCTGGTCCAGGTAGATGGCCTGGTCGTTCAGCCGCGCCAGCGTCATGCGAACACCGTCCAGTTCACGCTGTCGTTGGATTCTCCGCCGATGTTTAGTCCTGATGTCGACTGCAATCGCGTTCAGCAGGTCTTGGTAGTTGTTATGACGGCTAATCTTGCCTGCGTGTTCAAGTTGCACGATATTCTCAAGTGCCGTTCGCTTCAGCTCAGGGTAGGTCATGGCTCCAATATCGATCAAGGTATTTGCTTCGGAATAGGCACCCTTGCGTCTATTGTTGGTGGACAACTCATCGCGAACAATGGTCTGCCATCGTTCTTCGTCCTCTATAGTTGGTGGCTTGATCATGATATCCCAGAGATTGTCACCCGATTGAACTCGGATGATATAGAGGATGCAGCGTTTAGTTTCCATAAGAAGGGCCTTCACTTCAGCCTCGGGATCTACGCATAGTCAGCTACAGTTCGTGTGGGATTATGGAGGATGTATTACCTTCAACATTGTGAAGTTTAGGCAGTAGAGTCAAACTGATCTCAGAACTGCTGACACTCATCAACTCGTTTTCGTTTGTCTTGACGTTTCCGAGATCGCGAATGACCTCTTTCAGGATATCATCAGAATGGGAGCAGATGGCATTGACTTCTGAAGCCACGAGCTGATGGATAGAAAATATGTCAGACATCTTGATATATAGAGTTGGCTTCGTCTTGGCGTAAAGGTCGTTGAACTCGTCAATATCGAAATATGACTCGGCGTCTTGAACGGAGATCACTGGGATGCAGTCAGATATCTTGCACAAAACAAAACTTGGATCCGGATACTTACTGTTGCCCCACAACTGGCCTAAACGTTGAATTGACTCGCCAACATATGAGTTAAGCGGTTGCAGGTAGACATTCTCTCCCCCAAATAGTCTACCAGAGGCGATCTGAGAAAGGACTTTCGAAACCTCTCCGAGATTTCTCTTCTGCCCCTGGGTCAAGCCGCGGTCGACAATTCCATGCTTTTCTGGTTCGAGTATCGCCGGTTGGAAGTAGTTCTTCCAGACCCAGTATCCTGCGACTTGGAGAATGAAGCCAGGATCCTCATCGCTAAACTGTTTCAACAGAGAATCGTACATCTGCTGTGTTATGTATCGAATACCAAAGGGCATTCGGATCAGTAAATCTTCGAATGAACTGAAGAATTGGTCGGCGATGTCCCGGAGGTCCTGCAAATGCCTGATAAATGTCGCTCTCGTCTCTGGGTCCCTGATTGCTTCCTCTCTCCGCACGTCAGGACGACGTCGACTTCGCCTACCGGTACGAAGTTCCTCGTCGCTGATCGCAGAGCGATATATCTGCATCGGATCACTCTCCAAGTCCAGATCCGGATTGTCGATCACAGTCTCCTTCACCAGCTGGCTTAACACATCCCGCATGAATTTGCGGTCCCTCGGCGACTTGACGTAGGCTCCAAAGAGCTTGTTCCAGAAGAAATTACAGCGCATATACTCCTGAAGCGAGTCAAATCCCTCAATTTCTTCCTTGACGGAGCGGACAATCAGCTTCATCAGGTAGTATTCCTCCCTTCTCTTCTGAGAGTATCCAAACAGACCCATTATCAGGTGCTTAATCCGCTCAAACTCCTTCTCCGCCGTGTTTTGTTCCCGCAATCTACGGAAAAGTTTGGCCAGGTATTGTGGCTGGGTCTGAAGCAAGAAGAACAGTACCTGGTACTGCTCTAACTTCTTTCTGGATGTCTTGTTTAGCGCCTTGAGATCGAAAGGATCCTTCGACGAGATGTCTGTGTTGGACAAGAGACTTCCAACGTGGCCACCGAAGTGCTTCTGGTGCTTAACAACCTCATCAAGGGTGATTTTGTTCTTGACGAGAAGCGCGATTTTGATATCCAGCTGAGTGATGTACTGGTCGGCCATCTCATTTTGACGAACTTGCTGAACAACAGTCTTTCTCAATCGCTCAAATTCAATTTCTTCGTCGAAGTCAAAGTCGCTATCGTTAAGAAGATGTACGAACCCCTTGATCGTTCCAACAGGGGGATTCTTGCCGCTGGTGAGGCTCTTGTACGCTTGGCCCTGAATCTTGCCTCTCACAAAGCTTTGGACTTTGATGACCTTTTCCATATTCTCACGGTAGAACCGGCGTTTTTCTTCAAACCGTGAGCGGACGAGACTGCCCCTGATCCACGCCTGAAGCTCAAGGACAGCATCTTCTTGAATATAGAGATCAGTAAGCATCCGCTCCAGCTGAAAGCGGTAAAGCATGGCTCTGGCAGAAGACTGAATCTCAATGATTTCTTCGGTACAGTCTTCCAGCTGAGATTGTATGTCAAGGATGTTCTGCCTTACGATGGCTGCCCGGGCGCATGCCTGGAGTTCTGTCAAGAGAGACGTCTCCTGCTGTAGTGCGCAGCGATCAGCCTCGATACGTCTGCGCAGTAGGAATCCCCGGGCTGAAGACTGAAAGTCCAACACTGAAGCTTCATTTTCAGCCAACGACCTTTTCTGAGATTCGATATCATATCGAAGTGCCTTTGCTCTTATGGCACTCTGGAGAGATATGACCGAGGGTTCTTCATTGTGCAAGAGATTCCGGAGATGTCGAAGGCTCTCTCTCACGGCAGAACCACGGGAGGTAGATTGCAAAGTAAGCCACTTGTCACTAAATCCGACTAATGCATCTCTTTGTTCAGCCAAACTAGCTCGAGTGGCCATTGCCCGTGCGCTCGCTTGTATAAAAGCAATAAGGGAGCTTTCTGCCTGGAGCGCTGACTTAGAGCCGGAGATCGATTGGCGGGCAAGCATTCCTCGGATTGCTGCTTGTATAAAAGCAATAAGGGAGCTTTCTGCCTTGAGCGCTGACTTAGAGCCGGAGATCGATTGGCGAGCAAGCATTCCTCGGATTGCCGCTTGTAAACTCTGGACTTGGTCTTCGGAGTCTCTTGTCTCCTCGATCTGCTCGTGCGCCTGCTTCCTTTGTAGGGCACCTCTTATAGCTGCCTGGAAAGACTTGATGCCGGACTCTTGTCGTCGCATTTGTGTTCTGATATAGTTGACTTCAGTTCGAGCTTTGGCTGCCCGCACTAGACTCTGCAGTTTGAGAATGTCAGGTTCCTTTGTCTTCCACCAATCCTCATTCTTTCGCTGCCTCGATCGCACGATAAACCCTCGGCAGCTTGCTTGAAGGTTGGTTGCAAATCGGCGCATGCTCAGCCTGTACTCCATGATCTGCCGTGTGAAGTCGCCACGGATCCTAGATTGAAGATCGATGATTAGATGTTCGATATCCCACAGGTCGTTCATGACATCGCCGAGTTTTACTCGCAACAATGCACCCCTTATCTGAGACTGAAAGTCGATAATAGACAGTTCGTTTTCCCGCAGTTCCCTGTCTATCCTTTCTTCCTCTGACTCCACTGGCTCTGGTTCAGGCTCCGGTTCAGGTTCCGCACCAAAGCTAGCACCCATGCCGGAGAAACTAGGCATACTGACGCCTGACTTGTCGAGGCCCTTTTGCATCTGCTCCAGCTCATGGTGTTCAAACTCAAGCTGACCAACCAGGTTTCCAATGCGGAAGTCGACGATCCCTTTTTTGTACAGCAGCCAGGACAATGCGTGAATGCAGTGGATGACTTTGGGGATATTCTTCTTCTCGTAGAGATCGATCAATTCGAACCGGAAGAGGTCAGGCAGTTCTACCTCTTCAAGGAATCGGAAGAACAGTGCAATATTGTCGGAGTGCCGGTATTGTAGTTTCGGGTGGCGAAAGATTCGGAACGTGCGATTTGGACATAGTGCCTGCACAACTTCGGCCAGCGTCACTCCATCACGAAGCGCTTCTTCCAGTTGAACGATAGGTGGAACTGGTTTTTGGATCACATCTTCTATCCACTCCTTGGCCTCTCCAATGTGACATAGATACTCGTAGGCCTGAAGAAATTGCCGCTGTTTATCCATCCAGTTGCCTGCGGCCCACGAAGAAGTATTCTTTCTCCTGGTTCCATTTCCACTGCCGCTTCCATTTCCAGAATCCGCACGCTTGAGGCGCCGTCTGCCCTGCAGACCTACCACCGAAGGCGAATTATTGATGGAAAATTCTCCGCCCTCCCCTGACTGAGCAATTTTGGAAAGGGTGCGGAGATGACCGGTCGAAGACTTCTGAAATGTCTCGAGCTCGGGGGCAGTAAGAGCAGTGGTCAATGGAGGCGGGTGTGGAGTGGATACAGAGTAAGAATGATTCACCCTGGTGCGAGGAGATATGCTATGAGGAGATGCCGGAGGGCTGTACGCAGCGGCGTCCACGCTCCTCAGAGGCTCATTTTCTTGTCTGGACGCAGGGCGGGCTTCTGGAGTGATTGGTCTGTAGTCTTTAGGGAAAAGCCTTTCATCCAAGGTTTGGCTTCTGTTATGACCAGGCGGGCGGTAGGGTATATATTTTGTCGGAGGCGGCACAGCATTAGGAACTTGTGGTAACGGTCTCAGTGAGCGGCGTATATTTCCATATGTCTCCCCAGCGCTCGGTGGCCTGTCCGCCGCTGGTGTTTGCCCGATTGTCGCAGACACCATATTGGTCAATTCGCTCTTCCCTCTCGGGTGCACGAAGCTACCAAAGACTGACCCAACGGACGCATTTGAGGATATCGTGCTGGTGCGGCTGGGTGCAAAAGAATTGGAATAGATAGAGTAGATTGATGAGCTAGTTGAGGCCGTCGACCCATGGCGAAAAGGACTGGGCGTCGAGGCCGAAACGTCCGTCTGCGATCTTCTGGCAGATGGCAAGTGGTCGGACATCACGCACGCAACTGGCCAGACAGGAATGCAAGGATCGATGAAAAGGCGAAGATCCTGTCCTCCAAACGCATACCTGCTTCCTCGCAGGAACAGTGGAAAGCAGGAGGGGATGTTTGGGCGAAGGGTGCGCGGAGGTGTAAGTGCGCAGGAATGCTGAATCAAGGGCGGCGTCGCCCGGTCCAATGATAGCAGAAACGCAAGGGCAGGGTATTATTCTTTTGAGCCTCGTTTTTCTAATTGCGGAATCAACAGAACAGTGAGTGCAAGCTCGAGTGTCAAACCGGATGCACAATCCCCAGAGAAAGAACAAAAGGAAAAGGGTATCACGAACCAGCCGTCCTGATGGTTCGAATAATAATGTAAGGTCGGCGATTTGATTCTCTCGATCGGGTCGGCCAGCTGTTGATGGCGGGGAAGGAGCCGGGCGACCTCAGGCGATAAACAAATCTCCCGAAGCGGCATAGCTCAGCCGGCGTCGAGCTTTCCCATGTTTACTTTTATGGCACATCGCGTCAATGCGTTTTGCCTCTTCCCGGCGACAACCGGCGAGGCTAGGACTGTTGATGGTTATTAATGTTTCCATATGGTAGGTATTCCTCATGATTCCAATAATATTCATGATTCGTTAGTGGTCTCACTCGGTGCCTCGACAAGTCATCTAAGCCGCCGTCATCTGTGTCCCCTCCGTCGCTAGCTAGTCCAAGGCGGTCTGGAATTCTCATCTGTGATGTTGGCCTGTGCTTGATCTTCCTACTTGGTGCTAACTACTGCCCGTCAGTATCTAGGTACAGTAGTAGTAATACGTGCCGGGCTCCATATGGAGAATGTGGATTGATCGCGACGGGGTCCGAGTCGGTGCGGCGGTGGTTACGGAGTACATAATTAGTACAGCCACAGGATCCGAACTTTGGAGGAATCCACTACTGTAACCTCACAATGGGAATTATTGTCAATTTGTCATGACTCATGGTAAGGTATCAAAATCAGAAGCGAGAAAGGAACGCAGTGTCGCTGAGATTGCGCTCCAGCAGCATAGTTACTTAGCTTGTTAGCAAAACAATGGAATGACTCCAACTCCTGGACGTCGAGCAGTATCTGAAACCGATGACATCGTATATACTAGATGCATCAAGCATTATGCCAGTATCTATTCTTATAAACCCCGTTCTCCTGGTGCAGCTGGAGGCTATACCGGGCAGATTTGTTCCGAGCCATGACAAGCTTGCGATATCTGGTCAACAGAGGGGTGGTCACGCAGAACAGAGTAATGTGGCTAAGGCTGCAAGGACAGAAACAGCTCCATTCGCTTCCAGTTGATTCAACATCCCCGTAGCGAACACAGTGGAACAGACAAGTGATAAGGCGGCAAACCCACGGGCAGCATACATAGCTAAGATAGCCCTCGGCCAGGTGGCCAGCAAGAACTGAGTCACATTCATTCAAAGCATATCCAATTAGTACTAAGGGCACGAGTGAGGCAATCCAAATTATTTCTACCATATCTTTTATCATATGTTGATTCTAGACATGCCCCGCAAACATGTGCTATGCTCTGATCTTGCTGGCACTAGACGAATAGTATATACGTACAAAAACGCTGGCGAGTCAGTGCTGGAAGGTTCGTTCATAGTACAGCAGGGTCCATTGCAGGCAAGGTTATCAAACTGCAGTCCTCTAACAGAAGTTAGAAAATTCATTCTAATGCGACTATAGTTCAACAATGACATGTCTAGAGTAACTCTGCTGCTACGTAGCTACATACCTTACCAGACGCAGCAACGTTCTTCGCGGCGCTAAGACCGATCGGCAGTATGTATAGATCTGGCATCGAGAACACTGAGGCTTGACTACGAGATGGACTCTCGTTAAAATAGGCATACGATAGCCCACGCCCTACGTCGTCTATTGGCAATTTGACATCCAGGCGCGATAGTCTTAAAACGGCCCTGGCAACAATCACCTAAGATGAGCAGCAGATCTTCGGTTCCATTCGATAGCGTCGATAAGCGCGTGGAGTGGAACTTGTCTACTTATTCTACTCCGTACTAGTGGAATCGAAGCGCTCCATTTTTGTATTGAGCTGGCAGCTTCTAGGCCCTCGTCTTAGGAATCAGACTCTATTTGGCATGGAATAATAGAATAGATCCCAATGGCATTATTACTATTACTATTATTATTTATTATCTTTACAGATTTCCGACTGTGGGATAGATGGTTATTATGGAACATGAGCCGGATGTGGGCGTCGCTCATTGGTCAATACGGCCATCTACGGAGATCCCCACCCAATCGCGACTTCAAGTTGTCATCATCGGTCACTTTTTTGATTTTTGGCGCTGACCTTGCCCCAGCGCCGATCAGATGGGGAACTGACGCAGACCCAGTGAAGGACCAAAAAGAACATTCGCTCGCTTTCCCTAGATCAAATCATCCGGAAAAGTCTTTTTTGTTTTTCTTTCTTCAAATAAAGACTACCTACAAAGGAGAACCGCTGGAAGAACAGGTTGAAGAGAGAGATAACGTATATCGGGATAGGAAAGGAACGCAGAGAGAAGAGGAACAAAGCTATGGACGTTCTTCCACCGCCACGATATCTCTATAAGATAGTCCCCTCTTCTAGTCGGGTCCCCGAGCCTCTTCCGGAACGCCTTCCCGTCAGCCTCATGGACCAGCGCTCGGGATTTATCCATCTGTCGACGGCGCACCAGATTCCCAATACGCTCAAGTATTTTTTCAGGGACGAACCGCTCGTGTATATCCTACGGATCGAATATGACCGTGTAGAGCAGGATATCCGATGGGAGGACCCCGATGGCCAGGTGTGCGGACCACGAGCTGGAGAGGGCCAGTTTCCAGTAAGTTATAGCTGTCCAACCACTAATTTACTTCACGATATTTGGAACGGTTCTTTATCTCGGAAGGGAGTGGCTTTCATAACCAGAAGGTTGTTCGTACTAACTTGGTGTATCCAGCATCTATACAACGGGTTGAAGTTGGGTCGGAGTGAAGTCGAAAGTGTCGCCATATGGAAGAACCAGGACGGATGGGACGAAGTCATAAAGAAGGCCAAGCCTTGGCTTCTTTACTGATAAAATCACCTCTGGCGGACTTATCGTTCTAGTTGGACGTCACCCTCGTGATCGAAAGCGTATCTTAGGCTTGCGTTCACATGATTATAGCGGCCTCCCAAGGTCTTCAGACTGCTTGCTCAGGAAGTTACGATGATAATGTATTATTATACAATTTCGAGACGATCAATTGGATACGATGTATCTATCATTTTGGCTATCCGTCGTCCTTTCCCTTCAAGCATCTGCTGCTGCTGGCCCTTTAATCGCCAATCGGGTAGGGGTGCAGGATCTGTCCATCTGTTGAGAAATTGGTGGTCAATATACGATCCGGTATAGTGGGGAGCATGAGAGCTTGATATTCGATGAGAACTCACAATAAGTCGATGCCTCCTTGCTAGCAAGGAAGACAAAAGAGGTGGCGACTTCGCTTGGCTGGGCTGGCCGTCCCAGGGGGCTCTTGGAGTGGAAACCCTTCATCTGCTCAGGAGGTCTTGTATCCGCCTGGATAGGAGTGTAGACCGCTCCAGGACTAATATAACAGAGTGTCAGCCCGATCTATTCCCATCTGCAACAGAAGTCGTTCGCAGACTTACGCAACAGCATTGACGCGGATACCCTTAGGGACCAGCTGAACAGCCAGCGACCGTGTGAAACCCACAATTGCACCCTTCGTGGCTGAGTAATCTACCATACTTTTGGAGCCGCGGAAAGTCGTTACTGATGTATTGTTTATGATCCTGCAGGGTCCTTTTAGCTCGAAGCTCCAAATCAAGGATAGAAGTACAACGTACGAGTCACCCTTGTGTAAGTGAGGAAGGGCAAACTTCGTCACAGCGAACATCTGAAGAATGTTAGTCCTGAAGATCTTCGCGACTTCGTCTAGATCAATTTGTGCGAAGTCGCTGCACAGGAGCTGTTGTGAGGCGTTGTTCACGAGGACGTTGAGCTTCCCGAAACTTATTTGGAGACAGAATCAGTAATAAGAACTATACTATAAGATGTTGTCAATATCTAATTTATGATAACTCACTTCTTGATATGTTCGTCAACCGCCCTCTTGCACGTCTCATTATCCATCAAATTTCCAGCGAAGAGATGGCATGTCCGCTTCTCTAATTCGACCAACCTCTTGGTCTCTATGGCATCTTCCTGCTCTTCGGGAAGGTATACGATCGTGATATCAGCACCTTCCCGCGCCATCAATGCGGCTATGGAACGGCCGATTCCGGAACTATATCAGCAGTTAGCATATAACCAAACGCACCGGTCATATTAAATCACAGCCTATTGCTCCAACGCAACGGCCACGTTTTCCCTCTGAGACATACTCTCCGCCAGTGATAAGAACCTTCTTATCCTTCAGCTTTCCAGATCCAACATATTCTACAAAATCACCACAATCCTCCAGTTTGGTCGGTTCGCTCGGCGGCATCATATTCTTCTCCAACCTAGAAATCAGTTAATTAATTAATACAAAAGAAAACATCTCTTCAATGCCTATAACACAGGATCCGGAAACCTTACCCTGGCTTTTGCTGACTCTGAGCAGTCTGCGGGGCCTTGAAAGCCCCGTGTTCTCCCATTTGCGACATCTTGTATTTGCGATTGGATCCTCTTCCTCTTTTCACAATTTAGGATATTGTGTGCCTGCTCCAAGCACGATTGGTAAAAGGCGAATTTGTTTAATGGAATAGATGATAATCTGAAGTTAGGTATCTCTGTTCTTAATATTGGAAACACTGGGATATTGTTCTTCAAGTATAATGTAGACTCTGCGGTCAGCTTGTCGTCATGTTGCTGTAATGTTTCGCAACCCATAGGCTTTTTTGGGTTGTTCTTAACCACGAGATCGAGAAAAGTCAGAAATTCCAATCTAGATTAAGTTAGTGGCGATCATGGCTTCCTTTCTATTGTTCTGTTAGTATCTGCGAACCGAGGTGGAGGGGGGTAGAGAACGCGCTAAGTAGTGTACATACATGTACACATAAGTAGCGCCATTCGTTCGCCTCTCAACAGGGCCGGTATATGTCTACTTTAAATATTGACATCTAAATTCACGTTTGAGATACATATCGCCAATCGAAATTTATATTTATATTACTGTAAGATATACATCATGTTATCATAAGACATAGATAATACTCCACAGCCGGCCGAGAAGGCTATACATAGATCACTGTATTCTCCGCCCAAACAGCCGTGAGAGTACCCAATAGATCAGAATGAGGAAACAGTTCCTCCAACTAAGGACCAAGCTCAAGTATGCACCTCTCCATATCAGCCAAGCAGTTCTACCCGTCAGGCCTTCGGGAACCATTTTGCTTCTCTGAGTCGCCTCCGTATGCGGCATCTGCATCAACCCCTTGTCATCGCCAATATACGCCAGGAGACCCATATCCCGGAAACTGAATCTTGGAGCACTGTCGAAATCATTCTTGTTCAATCTCTGAGCTAGGTATTTCGCCTCTTGGTTTGCGGCAATCGCTGTTGCGGGTGGAGTCCCGTGTTCCAGCATAGCGTTGTCGCCAATTGCGAAGACATCTTTCATAACTGCGGTAGTCCCATCCTTTGCCTCCAGTTGAAGACGGAAATAACCGTCCACAAGCAAAGCCTTGGGGTTTTTCTTCACTTTCCAGCCTGTTGGCTTGGCGTCTTGGGTTAGGCCACTGGGGCTCTTCAGGACAGATGCCTCTGGGAACTCATCGAGGTCGGACAGCGCTTGCTTGATGAAGGGGTTTATCGCATTTCCAGTGGCCCAGACGCACATGCCCACACCTGTCTCTCCGTCTTCCTTGGTCTTCAACGTCAAGCAAGTCTTGGGATCCATATCTATTCTAGGCTTGTATGGCTCACCCCATCGCAGCTCCTCAATGTGGTGGGAGGTTTTGATGTCGACGCCTTGCAGTTTCATCGTCTCCATAGCATATGTGGAAAGAGACTCATCGAACATGCCCAATATCTTTGGAGCGACATCGTACAGAGTGATGCGCACACGATCCTTCACCTGCGGGTAGTATTTCAACAGATCCCTCCGGATATAGTCCGCCATAAGCCCGACGAACTCGATACCCGTGGGTCCTCCTCCTACGACAGCAAAGTGAAGCAGATGTGTACGCAGTTCCTCAGGCTTGTTTGGCAGCACTGCCAGCTCGAAGCACTCTCTGATTCGCCTCTGCACTTTACGTGCATCCTCAATGTCTCTATACAGCAGAGCGTTTTCCTGCACTCCGGGCGTGTTGAATGTGTTTGTGATAGAGCCGGTTGCGATCACGAGTTTATCGTAGTCGAGTTCAAACTTGGTGCCTTGACGCCATCTTTGAACGTCTAGTTCCTTTCCTCTCATCTCTCGAGTGCTCTCCACCTTCTCCGGTTCCGATCTGACCACAATGTCTGTCGCTTGTCCCTGCACGATACTAGCTTCGCAAGATACCCTCTTGTTCACGAAGTCGACGCTCCGGGCCACTGCCGGTGCGAAATTGATACGGTGTTTCCGGTCACGAACGGGTTCGACGACGTGGGAGAACTCAAGAGTACCGACTGTCGCCTCCGACAGCAGAGGAGTGAAAACGAAGTTCTGCCTCGGTGATACAACCGTTATGTCGTACTTCGCCGCCGAGAGATGGCGCGAGAGGACAAATCCTCCCCAGCCGCCTCCCAGGATTAGAACGCGTTCCTTTTGACGAGCCATTGATGGATTAAAGAATTAAAAGATCATCGATTTCAGTACAAGATGTAGAGCGCAGACAACGACCGTCTCGTCTCGTTTAATTAATTCAGGTATATGCGGATAATTGCAATCTGCCGCCAAGACAACATCTGCCCCACAGGAAGAGATCCAATTGTTATATAGGATGCTCTTCACCTATCTCTAACATTGTTCTGGGGCACCATTCGCCCACAGAATGACGAACGCGTCAATGTAGTTGTAAGTGATGACAGAACTGGCATCAGTCTACGGGAACGTTCGGAAAGTTCTATGCGCAACGCAAGCATGAAGTCATTGAATGTTTGGGAAGCCAGACAGCGGTTTCTGGGCCGCGACAGCAGGATATTAAAAACGATTCGCGTTATGACGACAGTCCATATCAGATCGATCCATATTATACTGATGAGGGGTAGATGAGGGGAGGAGAGATTGTTGGTTCTTTGGTCTTTCCGCTTCAGGTTACACATGAGGGGAAAGCCCTGCTTATATAAAATTTACCCCTCATGGCTGGCAAGTTGAGAGCGAAATGCAGGAAACAATCAAGATAGATACTTATGGTAACATGGATGATTTACTATTATTATTTCTATCACTGGGCTTATCTTGTTCTAGAAAATTCATGGTCTGGAGTTCGTCGTGAATATACATACCCCTTGCGCCAAGGCGGGACTTTCAGTACTACAGTACCTATCATACTTCTTGCCGAAGAGCCTTCTCACACGACAATCCACCTCTCTGAAATCTCGAAGGATTAATGACTAGAACTTTCATGCTTCGCCACGGTTTTGCCTTCTTTGACAACATCCTTCCACACGACGAAAACAGGATGCCCAACGAGGGTGTGAGTTGATGCGTAACGCATCCTACCCTGCTTGTGGAGCGCGTCGAATTTCTTGATCGGTCATGGCTCAATGATTTTGTCCCCTGGGGCGAAGTAGATAGCTTTATGATGTTTATCATAAATTCTCTTGGCGTCGCGTGCGTCGAGCCGAACCGTCAAATCCTGAAGCTCCTATAACCTGCTATGCAGATTGCTGGCGTTGCCTAAGATAATGCTATATATATCATAAACTCGTGCGGCGTTTTCGATGTTGTTGCTGAGGGATTTGAGTCGAAGGCGGCTTGCATAGGTGGTAAGACCTTACTTAGGTCAGTAGGTATCTAACGTTGTTGAGCGCGACTTATGTAGTAGCGCAACGCAATTTTGGCTGTCTGGTTCGTTTGCTTAGATTGACCGTCATTCTGTGGATGATAAGCCGTGGAGTACAGCAATTTCGTTCTCTAGACCAAATTTCCGACAAGAATTTAGCATCTCGGTCTGATAAGATTACCGATGGAAGTCCCCAGTCACCAAGCTATAGCCGTTCAAGAAGTGCTAGCGCCCAGTCTCCAGCAGTGTAAATATTATGGCCTGCAATAAAGGTGACATGTTTTATGATCGGTGGCTCTAGTTACTGGGAAAAGGAAAACACAGGATCATAGTCAGAAAACCAATAGAGCAGCATAATTCCATATATGCAAAGAAGATCTATCTAAAAGACGAATCCCTTTGTCGCCACCACCAAGAATCAATTAGCTTCATCACCATAGATGTAGATTACCATAAGATTTAACTCAGTACATAGGACACCAGACGTACAGCGCCAAGAATGCCTCGCTTCTCTATACGTACCTAGGTATGTACATACATAGTCAAAAGCACCGCATTACGAAATTATTTTCTCCCTAGCAGCCTCAGCATTTCCATTTTCGCGTTTCGGCATTTTCTCTGATTGTCTATTACATACGGAGTAAATAAAGATATGAGGATATTAAGAGAAAAACAATGCAGCACAACAAAGTCACCGAAGAAAAAAAGAGAAAAAAGGAGAAGAAATAAGAAGAAAAGAGAAGAAAAGAACAGAAAAAAAGAAAAAGGAAGCACACGCACACACACACACACACACACGCCAGACAGCAAGTGAGTGAGCGAAAGGGAGAAAGAGGGAAGGGGAGCTATTCAATTGCCATCTCCGACGTTCAAGGTAAACGCCAAGATAATCTCCGCAAGCGCTTCCATATCGTGGGCGTTGGTGATAACCCATGGGCCATATCGATGCAATTCTAGGAATTTTGAAGTCCGCCGGTCATGCGCCAGATACCTCCAGTACCGTCTGTCAAGGGTACCCAGTGTCAGGTATATCTCAATCCCATTCTGGGAGACAAGGAAGACTCTGAGACAACGGTTGTTATATTAGTATATAACTTCTATTTCTTTGCTATGTTCCACGTACCTTCCAGTATCACCACTTGCAGGGCGATGCTCCTGCTTCAGCCATGCGACTATCTGAGAAGCCTCCTGGAGCTGTACCGACGGTAGAGCATCACGTCTATTAGGAGCTTTACACTCAATCAGAGCGTGTATGTTTTCGGGCTCCCCCCAGATGGAGAGGCCTCCGTCTGTAATGGCTGTATAGTTATCTTGGCTGAAATTGGCTCTCATACAGAACCTGGTGGGAACCCAGCGGGAATACACGCCTGGGAACTTTAGGCAGATTGCCTGCAGAAAATCTACGAGAGCAAAGTTTACCGTCTCCTCGTCAGCGGTCGGAAGCACATTAAGGGCTGTAGACCCTGGGGTTATCGCTCTTTGGCCCAAGTATATTCTGAGATCCTGTACGTGTCGTTGTTGTTCTCGCGGAAGCTCGAATATTCCCAGCTGGAGAACCTGGGGCTGGCCTTGCTGCGCAACTCCGGCATCAAGGGCGACGTTTTGGAGGTATGCCTGAAACTCGGGGCAGCCTTGTAGATGTTGGCGGGCTGTTGTGCGATGTGCACCAAGCCCCCAGTCTGCTGCATTGAAACGGGAAGCGCGTTTAGTCTGGTACAGGATCCTCAGCGACAAGAATTGCGCAATTGTTGTTCGAGACGCTGATTGCATAGGCCGCAGGGTTTGGATCGTATTTGTCACTCTGTAACGTCGGATTTGGTCTTCCCATTCCTCCATCGTTTCTGGAAATTGGAATATGCGTGGCATTTTGAAGAGATGAAGAGTAGCTATATGAGTTTAGGTTTTGAAGAGTCTAACAGAAGTTCCAGAAGAGTTGTGATACATATAGGTACTTTGGAGTGTTGCGGTATTGGATAGAAGAGACACCGTTTCAGCTAAAAGAGGAAGATATGGTAGTTGCAATCACAAAGAAACTTCAGTCTAGACAAAAGAAGAATCGTGAAGGTTGAAATTTCAAAGATGTAGACAAAGAAAACATCCCGTCACCTGTAACCAACCGTGGGTCCTGAACACAACATATCACTCCCAATCTGGTGCGGTCTTGGTCTTGGTTTTGACGGTTCTATACCAATAGGCCGACCCAAGAACCAGCGGTAGAACAATGGAAAAGGCGCTGTTGAGTTATGCTCAAAACTATATAGACGACTACATGCTACCTTAACCCTGCACTGGTCCTCAATGTAGGCTTCCAAGATTCGACCATTCTGAGGAGCAACGAACGATACCATTAATACCTGAGTTACTCCCGATTAGCTTTTGCCGACTAATATATTCTAAGCAATATGACTAGAGGAGAACTCCAAACTTACCGGCTGCGGTTGTTTCTTAGCAAATAGACCTTCATGCAGACGGGTTCTCATCACATGGAGAATGTAAGCCAACTCATGGCGCAGTATCAGGTCATCGTTCACGATATCTTTGGTGTTATGTTGAACAACCATGGTAACATGTGGGTATACATAGTCTACCGCCTCGAACATGATCTTGACTGGGTGCATATCGTCTCGAAGATACTTCCGCGACGGCAGATAATATGCTTGGGATAATGTGACCGTGTGACTGTAAAACCAAGAGCTATTAGCATATTATACAATTTGTCATCGGAAAGAGTATAATATAATAAAACTCACTTGACCTCAGACCAGTCGACAAGGTCCGTCAGGCAGTCCCCAACAAAGCCCTCGCGGCTCAGTCGCGGAACACGGGAGATATGTTGCTCAAAAACAGCAACAACCTCTTCAAGACATTCCTTCGGACCCCAGTACCTCTGGCCAAATTCCTTTATCCTATCTTCAGCTATAGCAGCTGAGGAATCGTAGTCCCTCAAAACAAGAAATTCCGGGTCCCGTTTCAACAACTTTTCTAGCCGCTGTGAGTCAATAGGATGTACAGACATAAAAGCGTCGGTCAGTGGTTCGAAGTAAGAGCCAGCGACTGGTCTGTTCTCTCTTCCAGAATCAGGGCTAGTTTCGAGTTCGAGACGGGTAATTTGTATTCCCATCTTGTTACATTGAGAATGAGTAAGTAGCTCATCCTTGCAGTCGCAAATTCTGTTCCAGCGAGTTTCAACGGTTTGCTGAGAGCGAGTTTGCGGGCCCTGAAGGGTAGGAGGCATATTCGGGCAATTTGAAATAAAATGTGGTGCTGTATAAAAATTCACCGTCTCCTGCAGTTGTATGCACAGTACAAGTAAGGACAGCTATTCGCATAAGAGTTAGAAAACTGAAAATAAATCCAGTCAATATTGAATAAGGAGTGGAGTTGACATTTCTTTGTTGTATTCTATGACTACCTTTACATAGCCGGCGTCATCATGTGACTTACCGTAATGTTTGCAGCCGCCTACAACCGTCATCTATGTATTACACTGTCTTTGTTGGTGCCTAGTTATCTACCCACTGCGCCGCTAGCAAGAGTGGTAACAAAAATAACGAATAGCTATTTCTTTGAACTATGCATTGGTCTATGATAGGAGATATCGCTTGAGATCTGCGGAGTAATAGGTGGTGAAGATCTAAAGCCACGAAAGTCTAAGGTGAAAGCCAATGTACGATGCTGATAGGATCCTTTCATTCTATTTTAGTCTAGAAATTGATATAGGAGAATCAGGGCCATGGTCTCCATTCTTTCTGGTTACCAATTGGAAAGCTCCTAGAAGATAAACTTGATATTTCCCTTTTCAAGGGCTCACTCCAAACACAGATCAAAGCAGTCTCCCGCTTGTCCGCGAGTTAAAGAACCGATATCAAATCTACATACTGTGGATGCATGAGCTGATTTCCAGTGGTAGAGATTATGCCTTGCCAGAACGATGGCGGTGGGATATGGCGGGGTAGTGAGTAGATGGACACAGGCGTTGTCTGCGACGCTTTACAATTTACCAGATCGCTGGGAAACTTCTTTACTGTCCACTATGAGATTTGGAGTAATATTGCCCTGGAAAGCAGCTTTATTATTCCAGAAAGTTATAGCAACAGCCTGAGCCCGTGTTAATAGCTGATAACTAATGCTTACTATAGCTATCTTATCACACCATCAGCAGAATCCTCACCGCCTTTCAGGCCGTTTCCTGAGTGGCGCATTAGCAACAGCCTTGATTGGTGATGACCCCACCCGGCAGAGGCAGAGAAAAAAAAAACCATCAGTACTTCCCGTGAGAACTTTTTCTTCTTTTCTTTTCTTTTCTTGGGAAAGGAATCTTTTCCCCGTCAACAGAACGTTTTCACCGTCGCTCTGTTGGTCGTGATCTCATAAAATCTCTTTTTTCTTATCTTTTCTTTCTCTCTTTTCTAACGAATAACGACTTTTTTCTCGGAAAAAAGCGAGTTCACGATGCCTATTGTCAACGGTGATGCTCGTGGACTCCTCTCCACTGAAGGGGAGATTCAGGACTATACCAAGGCTTTGGAGGTCCTGAAGGAGTACCCTGACCGTGATGGATTGGATGTCGATACCCTGCTTGACTCGGACAAGCACGGTGCTTTGACCTACAATGACTTCTTGATCCTGCCGGGCTACATTGGTGCGACCAATTCCTCTGAGAAGGGATATGTAACTCGGTATTAACCTTCATGACAGGTTTCCCTGCCTCTGATGTCACCCTGGACACCCCGGTTACGAAGCGCATCTCTCTGAAGGCGCCGCTTCTCTCCTCCCCCATGGATACTGTCACCGAGCACAACATGGCCATTCACATGGCACTCCTGGGCGGTCTCGGTGTCATCCACCACAACTGCTCTCCTGAGGACCAGGCCGAGATGGTCCGCAAGGTGAAGCGTTATGAGAACGGCTTCATTTCCGAGCCTGTTGTGCTTTCTCCCAAGACCACCGTCAAGGAAGCTAAGGAGCTCAAGGCCAAGTGGGGATTTGGCGGATTCCCTGTCACTGGTAAGTAGAGGCCTAATTCTATCCTTATCCGCCCAGCTTCTATGATGCTTTCCATCTATTTCAAAATAACTTTCGTTCCACCGTAGCGGCGAGAGCCGCGATGTGGAGAAAAAGATTCTTATCTGATGAAGAAAAATCATTTTCGCGCATTCTGTACAGTTCTTTTCCAGAGTGAAAATGCTGACAAATAAGAATAGAAACCGGTGAGCTCCGCTCCAAGCTTATTGGTATTGTCACCACTCGTGACATCCAGTTCCACGATGATCTCAACCAGCCGGTTACGGCTGTGATGTCGACCGACCTGGTAACGGCACCTGCCGGAACCACCCTCCCCGAGGCAAACGAGGTCCTTCGCTCCTCCAAGAAGGGCAAGCTTCCTATTGTCGACTCTGAGGGTAGACTGGTCTCTCTCCTTTCCCGCTCCGACTTGATGAAGAACCTCCACTACCCTCTGGCCTCCAAGCTGCCCGACTCTAAGCAGCTCATCTGTGCTGCCGCCATTGGTACCCGTGACGCGGACAAGGAGAGACTGAAGCTCTTGGTTGAGGCTGGTCTGGACATTGTCGTCCTCGACAGCAGCCAGGGCAACAGTATGTACCAGATCGAGATGATCAAGTACGTCAAGCAGACCTATCCTGAGATTGATGTTATTGCCGGTAATGTGGTGACGCGGGAGCAAGCCGCTGCACTGATTGCCGCCGGTGCCGATGGCCTGAGAATTGGCATGGGTAGCGGAAGTGCTTGTATCACTCAGGAGGTCATGGCGGTTGGAAGACCGCAGGCTCTTTCTGTGCGCCGCGTTGCGTCCTTTGCCGCCCGCTTCGGTGTGCCTTGCATCGCCGACGGTGGTATCCAGAACGTTGGTCACATCGTCAAGGGTCTTGCCATGGGTGCTAGCACCGTCATGATGGGCGGTCTCCTTGCCGGTACTACTGAGTCTCCCGGAGAGTACTTTGTCAGCAACGAGGGACAGCTGGTCAAGGCTTACCGTGGTATGGGCAGTATCGCTGCTATGGAGGACTCCAAGGCCGGCAAGGGCGGCAAGGACAGCAAGGCTGCCAATGCCGGAACTGCCAGATACTTCTCCGAGAAGGACCGCGTTCTGGTTGCGCAGGGTGTCTCTGGATCCGTCCTTGACCGTGGCTCTGTCACCAAGTTCGTGCCCTACCTGATTGCTGGTATCCAGCACTCTCTGCAGGACATTGGTGTCAAGAGTCTTAAGGCGCTCCACGACGGCGTCAACAACGGAAGCGTCCGCTTCGAAGTCCGTAGTGGCAGCGCTCAGGCCGAGGGTAATGTTCACGGCCTGCACAGCTTTGACAAGAAGCTGTACTCTTAGATTCGAAACATGAGATGACACCGTATGGAATTTTTACCGTACTCTGATACCATTGATTCTCATTCGACGACGTGTAGCTACGTCGCAAAAAGAAAAAAACGGGGTTCAGGTTCTGGAGTTTTATTGAGGAGAGATTGTGGTTTCCATGTTCATGTTATGCTTGGTTCAAGTTAAGTACTGGACGCCTCGGTCCACGGGCGGCTAATCCTTCCCCGCATCCCGGAGCGCATTCCAGTCGGTAGATAGTCCGTACCTGAGGTACCTTAACGCAATTAAAATGAATCTTATGCAGTTCCTATGACACTACTCCTGCCCTCAGTAGAGATGGTTTCTTTTCTTGGTGTATCTATAAGCCTCCTTCGCCAGCCACTGCATCGATCCGTAAAGATCCTACCTCAGCGCAATCCCTTGTGTTGCCTGAAGTGCTACCCAGTTCCAACGGCTCGACGTTCATATTCCCTTCATTACTCTACAGTGGCCAGTCGGGATAAGACCATCTCATCCCAGGGCATGTCACAGAAGACTGCACGCCCTGCCAAAGGCAAGCCTTCGCCTCCAAGACCCAGTTCAAGGTTAGAATAATGTCCAATCATCGTACCTGTCTGCCAAGTTTCACAAGAGCATACACGTAATGGCAATATGAACACATATTGACCATAGATATATCCACCCCTTTTGATACTATGTTCAATGCATAAAGAAGCTGACAGTAGTGTAGTGTAATCCTGGTCTCGCCAAAGAATGAGATCCTTTTGCTACACCGCGTCAAGAGCTCCTCGTCATTTGCGTCCGCGCATGTCTTCCCAGGAGGAAACATCTCGCTGCAAGACGGAGAATATCCGCCGCCAGAGCATCCCAAGAGACACGACGAAGCAATTTACTACCGGAAGGCAGCAATCAGAGAGCTATTCGAAGAGAGCGGAATTCTCCTTGCCAAGGACAAGTCTACCGGTCGGATGATCACTGTTGATCCCGCGGAGAAAGAGAATGGCAGACATGCCATCCATAGACGGGAGACGACCTTCCCTGAATGGCTCAAGAAGCAGAACGAGAATGCCGAGCCTGATACAGGTAGGCATTACGGGGGTGTTCTCAACGTGAAGATAAACTACTGCTAATTCCGTATCTTTACAGAGCCTCTGATCCCTTTTACGCATTGGATCACACCCATAAATGCCCCTAAGCGGTTCACTACGCAAATGTACCTCTATTTCCTGCCTCTTCCGCAGGAGTCGGAGAAGCAGCTTCTGCGGGATATCCCGGCGGAGGGTGGACGTGAAGAGGTCCAAGTGCCTACTACTGATGGAGGTGTTGAGATCATGGAAGCACGGTTCCTGCCGGCTTCGGAATGGCTACGGTTAGCAGGTGCAGGAGAGATCATCCTGTTCCCACCGCAGTATATGTTGCTACATATCGTCTCTGGGTTCCTGGATAAGGAACCTCGAGACACTGCCTCGCCCGAGGAGCTGAAGAGGCGCCGATCGGAGCTAGTCGAGTTCGTGCATTCTGGCAGTCCTCCTTGGACGGAAAAATATATTTCACCCAAGATGCTGAAGATGCTGCCAGACGGAAGAGTTGTCCTGGCGCTGGACAGCCCGGGACCTGAGCTTAGGGGCTCAGATAAGAAGGGTGAAAGTGATCGAGTGGTGATTGTACGCTTCAATAAAGAGGGTCCTCGTGAGGTTGAGGTACGGTGGAAGAAGGACATGTTTGAGGATGAGGGGAATGGAAAGAGTAATTTGTGATCGTATCTACCTATATCATATATCCTAGATATCCTAGATAATTACACACTGTCCTCTACAGGATCCATATTTTGTACTGTACGAAGACTTCTGCGGAGAATGTTAGGTTCGACTACTTAATACCACGCACGCTAGCACTCCGGACACGCCACTTTGGGCGAACCCTCGATAAGGTCACATGACCCACAATGGCTCGGCTGCGGAACAAGTGCAGCGCACCGCGGATTTTCACACGACCGTCAACGCCAGCAGCATCACTCCGCCAGCGCACCGTCCGTCTTCCCACCGTCAACCTCAAGACCTTTACAGACCGCCAAAATGGAGAACGAGAAGGGAGAGATCGTCGATCTGTACGTATGCCCGGAATCCTGCAGTTTTGATCCATGGAGGGGAAGACAGTCGCGGCCCGTACACAGCAATACGGACTTCCAAATTGCTTGCCAATTCGGCACGGAAACTGGGAGGACTCATCATACGCAGATATCTGCTATGACGGAAGTGCGATGACGGGGACTGTCGGTTTTCCGGCGACATTTCTACCTTGGAATTTCAGATCTAGTGAAGATGGGATCAGTTTTTGTCTAACGTGACTCTTTTTCATCAAACAGCTACGTCCCCCGCAAGTGCAGCGCCACCAACCGCATCATCAAGGCCGACGACCACGCCTCCGTCCAGATCTCCATCGGCAAGGTTGACGAGAACGGCCGTCTCACCGATGAGCGCCAGGTCTACGCCCTGTGCGGTTTCATCCGCGCCCGTGGCGAGAGCGACGACTCTCTGAACCGCCTCGCTCAGCGTGACGGTCTCCTCAAGAACGTCTGGTCCGCCCAGCGATAAACGCAAGTCGTTTTTTGTTCGGGGTGTTGACGGATATGGTGTTTATGGTGAGCACCGTCGAAATCGAATGGAAAGAGAGGACGACCTGCTGACGACCGCGCAACGACAGATACCGTGACATGAGGAAAAAAAGAAAAGTCTGCGGGAATTGGGGCGGTAGCTTCGAGAAAACCATTCTATTATCGATGCGGGGGAGAAAACAGGGGAAGTGAATGAGGGAAAAGACAACCACAGAAAATCTGATCGGTTTCTTTTCGCATTGCGCGCAGAACTATCCCTGACAGAAAGTTCATTTTCTTTTTAAGAATGCTACGCTAGATAATAAGGCTTTCTTCGAATGTCACGGCTTCCCTGGACATGAACGGCCTCGAAGTCTACGACTCTGTTTTTTGATCAAAAAATGGAAATTCCGCTTCAAAAATTCATTCTTTCTTTTCTTCCTTGTTTCACACTTCCTCCCCTTCAACCCCCCAAACACCAAAAACCACTCACTCCCTTCCCTAAATTTCTTAAAAAAACAAGACCAAGAAATCGGCACATCAAGGCCTCCTCACTCGTTCTTTTTTGCTTTCCTCCTTTTTCCTTGGAAGAAAAGCAAAAAGAACAATTTCTCTCCCATGAGCGAGGAGGTAGACAAGTAAATCATCCATCCAAAGCCGAACATCATGTTCCAATTTCCCCCGCCTACTGAAGAGCCGTGGTGACAGAGATTCCGCGCCGGGGCACAGATACGGGCGGGACATTCATATACATATACATATACATATACATACACATACACATACACATACACATACACATACATATACACATACATATACACATACAATATTAGATATCTATCTATTCTTCGTGTTGGTCTTATTGTTGCGTAGGGACTGGTTAGTTACTTATGTGCTGTTCTATGTATTGTTATGTGTGGTTTGGTTCATGGTAGGAGGAATTGTACGGTATGTACTGTATGTACAGTATATATGTAGTTAGTGATATGTATGATCGGAGTTAGGAGAATAGAGACGAGTCTCAGGATTATTTTATAAAAATTTCCCCTGTGCTTGGTAATGTATCACCGTCTACTGTCTGTAGGGTATGGTTATTTTGCCGTCTCTCGAATATTGGCTGGATATCTGGTGAATTCTTTTTTGCTAGGTGAGGATTTGTCTATTGGAGTGGGATATGTATGCTCAAGGGAATTGAAAGCTGCGACTTAATGGTCCCTGAAGTATGTAAATATAGATCCAACTGGCTTCATCCGATATATTCGTCGAATCGTAGCTTAAATAGGAAATATGTCCATGAGTGTAATATGATCTTTTTTTTTTCTTTGTCTTTCGCCATTCATTCGTGATGCTCATTCTACCCTTTTTGGTTTCTTTTTACTCTAGTTTCGTTTCTATGTCTGTGTGCAACTACATAGAATATTTAAAAACGGGTATGTAGTCCTTTTTTCTGTTTTTCTTCTCTCTCTCTGTTTTTTTTTTGATCGTCTTATTCCTTCTCGAGGCGCACGGCAGGGTTCGTCGCGATGAAGTTGAGGTCGACCTTGTGTCCGAGCAGTTCTCGGATATTGCTGACACCGTACCTAATCGGGAGTGGTTAGTGACTGGTAAGACAACTTGGCAGGGAGATGTAGCTTGGAAGGAACTTACTTGATCATGGTCGGTCGTTCCAAACTCAGACCCCATCCGTAGACTCTCATGTCCTTGGGAATACCCATGGGTTCCAGCATCTCTGGTCGGAACATACCACTATTACCGATCTCGACCCATTTTCCGAGACCATCGTGGTAACCGAAGATCTCCATACTGGGTTCTGTGTACGGGTTGTATGCGGGCTTGAAGCGCAGCCGATGGATGCCCATCTTGGCGAAGAAGACCTCCATGAAGCCAATCAGGCCACCCAGGGCGAGACCAAAGTCAGCAATGACACCCTCGATCTGGTGGAATTCCGCCAAATGGGTAGCATCGACAGCCTCGTTACGGAACACCCGGTCGATACTGAAGTATCTGGCTGGCCGGGGGTTAGCCGCCAATTTGTGCAGCATGTATGTCGAGACGGATGTAGTGTGAGTTCGCAGAACCAGGCGGAGAGACTCGTCTGCGCTCCATGGATAACGGTAACCGATGGAGCCGTACTTTCCATTCTCATGCACAGCACGAACATTCTCCCAGTACTCCTTGTAGTCCAGCGGCTTCTCGGTAGCTTTCGTCGAAGTCAGCTGCGAAGAAGGCTTGGGGACGTGAGGGTCATTCGGGGGATCTTCGCGAGGAGGATCAGCCTTGGCGGGGTCTGCAATGTAGAAAGTATCCTGGAGATCACGGGCAGGGTGCTGCTGGGGCACGAAAAGAGCGTCGAAGTTCCAGAAGCCGGTCTCGACGAAGCGGTTCGTGGGCATCTCCTCGAAACCCATCTCGAAGAAGATATTCCTGAACTCCTGTCGCACCTTGTTCAAGGGGTGCAGTGCACCGCTAGGGGTCGGGGCACCCTTTGCCTTGAAGTTGTAAGGCTTCAGGTGTGCGGTCTTCCAAGAGCCGTTGGCCAGCATCTCGGCTGTCAGGTCGGTCTCCTCCTTGACGAACTCTCGGGCATACTTGGGACCTTTCGAAATCTTGAAGTGGATGACCTTTGTGGGCGTCACAAGCTTCCTCTTCTTCAGGTCCGTAACGACCTTCGCGTCCGGATGTGTGTGGGTATCCTTGATAATCTGCAACTGCTCGCGGGTCTCGTCGCGGATGGAATCGGTGTTGGCCCGCAGCACATCCTTGTCCTTCTTGATCCATCCTCTCTTGAAGGCGTTGCCCTGTCCGATCTTTGCATTCTCCTTTCCCACGATACCAGGCAGATCTCCGATCTTCAAGCCGTCCAAGGCGGCGACGACAGCCTCGAAAACTCTTGCTTCGTGACTGCCATTGGTCACAACAGACTCTCCTTCATCCGTCAGCGCGATGACCTCTTTGTCAAAGGTGGTATATTCGACCATCTGCCTCGAGGCGAGGCGGTCGAGGGCGGCCTTGATCGTCAATGAGGGGGTGGAGGGGAAAGCTTCTGTCGAGAGAATCGGACCGTCGGCCGAGGACAGGGCGTCCAAGATGGGCGCCGTCATATCGGACGCCATGGCTGCAGTGGTCGGAGCAGCAGGAAAGGGCGACAGTAAAAGGCAGGAGTCCAACCAGGTGCTGGTGAGGGTCTTTGGTCGATTATCGTCAAGTCTCCGCTGCCCGTCACTTTCTGTGACTCTTTCGGATGCGCTTAATTTCGATACGGCGGGGTGGAGGGGCCACGCACGCTGCCCGCGCTGTCCCGTGACTCTATCATATCGCTCACCTCGTCCATGGAGTAAGACTGCATCTTTCATATAATTACATACTGTCTGTATGGATTTTGACTGTTATGGGATGGGACGCTAGTAGCTGTTTTCTTTTTTAGATGTCGAAATAACAATATTCGTTCCGGACATTCCTCTCATCAAGCTTACTTACTCATCGATATATTTTTTACCCGCAGTAAGTACTTAACTCCCTCGCATATACATCAACGTTCGTCCCCTGGCCTTCGAACCCATATAAATAGACAACTAAGTCCTGCAAGATGGCAAGATGATATTATCGAATACTACAGAGGTTCTTGCCCACCAGGAATGTATCATCTGAACTGACTTCTACAACTGACGCTATTTTGTCATGGCACAGGAACCCCTCTAGATACCATATCCAGCTAGGCCGTAGTGACCTTCAAACTTAACTAACAGCCCGCCGGCTCCAAAGCGAAACCGCGATTTCAATATATCTTACTGCCGGCGTCATTATTATTGACGATTGTTGCTATTTCGATTTTCGAAGCAGGGCTGCGGCCCTGAGCACTGTTACACCGGAAGATGCTCCAACGGACCCGCGGATAGCACGTGTAACAACAGATCGTAAGGACCAGTCGGATAGCGTAGTTTGAGAAACATGGACGAACTGTTGTGTTCGTCAGGGATCTTATTATTTTCCACTGTACCGAGACCAGAAAGGTGCCCCCCCCCCCCCCCCCCCCCCCCCCCAGACCGCCAAATTGGCGAAAGGATCTGTACCTGGATGATGTAGTCATGCTGATCTAGCACCCTTCACCTCCTTAATATTGGAGCGGATGGGAGTCGCGAGGACTGGTCCTTTCAATTATGGTAGAGTACTTTGTTAGTAGTGCTGGCGAATAGAGTGATCAGCAGGCGGGTGGCGTATACAGGATATTCGAAGCAGCAGAGTGGCCATCATCATACGGGCTATGCTTCATTGTACTGTACTCAGGAATCCAGTCTGAAGGACATCAAATCCCGACATGATAGTTCAAGTGATCCCCGGCACGAAATGCCGCACTGGTCACGAGATCAACTATCGATCCATGTGGACGCGCCTGAGCTTGACTCGAGTCTAGCAGAGCCTAGACCTGGAAGGGCGCTGGCGATTCATGCCGGCTATCCAAGATGTTGTTGTCCATCAATCAATATTTCTTGGACAGCCAGTTTTGAAGAATGAACGCCAGTGGATATGAGGTTGGCACACGACGCGACGGGGGCAACGATGGAGGCGAAAATGAGCACGCAGTAAAACATTCGGAACGGGACGAAGCACAGGCACACCCGGGAAGGGGGGCAATAATTTCTGACCCTGTTTCTATGCGATCTCTCCATCTCAGGGATAGAGTATTGCGTTCTGTTGACCAGCTTGACCTTGAATAACGGTCAATTCGAGGGTGGCCGACCACTGGATTGGACGCATGTCATGTCCTTGGGCCTTTGTTTCCGAGAGGCTGGTCGAGGCCGTCGAGGCCATAGCGTGTTTCCCCCCGCGTCCATCAACTTCATGGCGTGCATGCTTTGGAATTGGACCTGTCGCATCAACGACACTCCCTGTCGTCGTCTTTTGTCGGTGGAAGCGCAATCTAGTTATTCGGGGGGATCGCCTAGTTATGGGCTGTCGCGTGGAAAGGGCCACGTGAAAAGGATAGCTATGGCTCATACAGTGACTATCTCTTTCGCCCCATACGTTAATCTAACACCAAGGATGGGATAACTTATCGATAGCAGTGTTGACTCTACTACTACTGGAGTTCATAATAATAATTATTATTAATACCTATAGGTTCTGGAAAGAACGCTTCTTCGACCCGGCCAGGTTTCTGTTACAATGCACGAGGGACAAAAATAATAACCTATAGAAAAGCTCTTCACAGCTTGGTGCTCCGGGACTGGAGAAAGGAACGTTCTGCCCAGAATAGGATGGCTGTTTGCGCCACGACATCCGACGATTGGGGAGAGAACGGTGGGGGTTCCACTTGGGATGATCGGGACCGGAGAAAGAATACTATTCCGTGTGTGAAGTTTTGAACTGTGAACGAGTGCAGAGCATGGTTGGTGGAGTTCTTGGGAGTTCTTCGCTGGTTGCGGTTCCAAGAGACGAAGACCTAAAAAAAAAAAAAAAAAGAGGAAAAGAGGAAAAAACAAGGTCTGCGCTTGGTTAAGTAATAATAATCCATCCAGTGCGATCCGAACTCTCTGGTCTGGTCCAGAATTCATTAAGCTGCAGGCAGAGAGAGATAGCAATGGCATATATCCGGGGTTGAGCAACAGAGCAACGATATCGATCTACAATACATTACATACAACAACTCTACAGCCGAAAGTGCCTCCCGGATTCGCAGCTGGCTCGTTGACGGTTGACCAGATTCGAAGCGGTGGACTTCGATGGGCTACCGGTTCGACAAGCGCAAAGCCACCTCTGCGCGAGACTAAAACCCTCTCCCCACCACGACGAAGGTGGCGTCCAGACAGAGCGAGACGAAACTTTGCGATGGGCTAATCAGCGCGACAGCTGGCCGGCTCTCCGTTTGTCGTTCACAACAGCAAGAAGCTCGGGGGATCAAAAGAGAAAAAAAGGTCGTGTCCACCATCTAGCGGCTCGGGGGTACAGCCCCAGTTTGGCCCATCGGATCCCGAGAAGGAGATTCTCTTGGAGCCGTGGTATCGCCGGTCGTTCTCTCTTCTCTGCGCGCGTGTCTCACCAGAGAGAGGGGATCCATAGACGCACCGTGTCCAAGGGAGGCTCTTTCTCCGGCGCCGGCGCATTGCGACGGTTGTAACTTTGTCGTTCTTGTGTCTTGAACTTTTTTTTTTTCTTTCTGTTTTTTTTGGTATGATCCTAGGTCTTTTCTGTAATAATAATAGTAATGTATTATTTTGATTTTATTCTTGTTTGCTGGTGGATTATTATTGCCTGCAGACGGGAATGAACAGCTGGACGGGAGATACGCGTAACCGTGAACAGAGATCAGAGGGAACCAGGTAATACGTAGTTGATTATTATTACATGACCGACGAGCCAGGAGCAAATCAAATCAAACTACTGGTGTGTTTCTTGGGGAGGAAGCTTGCCTGTTTAAGAGTAATAATATTAAATTGATGGGTTTTTTAGGGGGGTCAAGAAGGAGAAGTTGGCAGACCGCCAGGATCATGATCGCCCCTAAGGTGAAGGGGAAAGAAAGGATGATAAATAATAATGAAGAGAAGATAACTAGAGGCTAATAGTTAGAGACATAGATAGTGCGCAAGAAAGAAAAAGCGAGATCATAGTTAGTTAGTTAGTTCTTTTTTTTTTTTCTCCTGCTTGCTTGCTTGCTTTGCCCGGTTGGAATAATAATAAATTATTATTATTACAGTACTTGGGATCATTATTATTGGGAAAGCTGAACGTTCGCCCAGGAACCACCCAAGAACCCGCGAACCACAAAAATCCATCCCATCCCATCCCATCCCATCCCATCCCATCGCATTCGCATCGCAGCCTCTTTCTTCTTCTTCTCTTCTCGTTTCTCTTTTCTCCCTCTTCGAGAACAACAACAAAGAAAAAGCACCAGTTGAAAACTTGACTTGACTTGGTGCAATCCGGCGCAGGCTGACCACTGGCCGACAACTCTGCCTTCGTCCCACCCCTAAAAGGTCAACCACCTTCTCGCTTCACTCTCTCCGCTCGGGTTTAGCACAACTGCCTCTCCCCGACATCCTTTCCCTCAACCCCCAAACCAAACTCATCTCCATCTCTACCATCAATCCGCATTCCCCTCCTTTCCGTCGCATCTCGCCTCTTCCTCCTCTCTCTCCCCCCCGTCGACGACTGGCCGTCAATCTCTCTCTCGATTAACCGCCTGCTCTCTCGCCGCCCGTCCGTCCCCTTCCTGTCGTTCCCCCACTAACCGCCCCCTTGTCGCCCACTCGGACCCCCCGTTCGCCAAGCGATCCGCTCTGAACTTCCACTTCAACAGACGCCCCATGTCGTTTCAGCGGAATTAAACGCTTTCTCGCGTCGATAACACGGCTACCCGTCGGGTAAGGACTCTTTTCGTGGGAGATCGCGGTCGCCCTGGTCGTTGGGAGCGACGGCTGCTGGGCTATCTGCTCGTCTATCTCGCTCCCTCTCCCTTGGTTCTCCGGGGCTCTGGCTAACTCGCTGCCTCTCTCGTGACAGGGCACCATGGCTGGCGGGGACGAGACGCTCGTGGCTGCGGCCGCATTCATCCAAGGTCTGGCCAGAGATGTCCCTGGCACCAGTACCGTCAATCCTTTCGAGATCAAATCCAACGGCTTCGATGCGAAGAAGGTCAAGTTGCCGGGCGTTGCGGGCCCGGGCAAGCAGGCTCTCGAGAGGGAACTGGAGGCCTTGCTAAGCCGTGTAACCACGTTGCAGAACAGAGCGGTTAGTGTTCCCCATATCCTGTGAAATGGATCCTCCTGGAGGAATCAATCAGCCGTTATTCTCGATGGCCCTGGGCCATCGATCGATGACGACCGCAATGGCTAGTCGACTTATCATTGCTGACCATATCAACAGCGAAAGCCACGTCGGTCGCGACGCTTGTCGAAAATTCTCGCCAAAAAAGAAGAGCAGGATGAAGATGAGGATGACGATGAGGACGATGACAGCGATGACGAGGAGCTCGATCCAAGGACGCGAATTGTGCGGGAAGAAGACATCAGTTATCTGAGGAACCACGTACAAAAACAAGCGGAGGAAATCAGTTTTCAGAAGGACGTCATTGCTCGGGTACGAGACGAATTGCAGCAGCAAGAGGAACACACGAGACGGGCTTTGGTGAAGGTGGAGCACGAAGATGTTGGAGTATTGGAACGGGAGCTTCGTAAGCACCAACAAGCCAACGAAGCTTTCCAGAAAGCGTTGAGGGAGATTGGGGGAATCATCACCCAGGTCGCCAACGGTGATCTCTCCATGAAGGTCCAGATTCATCCGTTGGAGATGGACCCCGAAATCGCCACTTTCAAACGTACGATCAACACCATGATGGACCAGCTCCAGGTCTTTGGAAGCGAAGTGTCTCGAGTGGCCAGAGAGGTCGGAACGGAAGGTATCCTTGGGGGACAAGCGCAGATCACCGGGGTACATGGTATCTGGAAGGAACTCACGGAAAACGTCAACATTATGGCTACGAATCTCACCGACCAGGTGCGCGAGATCGCTACGGTCACAACCGCCGTCGCTCATGGTGATCTGAGCCAGAAGATTGAGAGTCGAGCCAAGGGTGAGATCCTGGAACTACAGCAGACGATCAACACCATGGTGGACCAACTACGCACTTTTGCTACCGAAGTCACCCGGGTCGCGCGTGATGTCGGCACAGAGGGTGTTCTCGGTGGGCAGGCTCAGATCGAAGGGGTACAAGGCATGTGGAATGAGCTTACGGTTAATGTCAACGCTATGGCCATGAATTTGACAACCCAGGTGCGGGATATCGCCACGGTCACCAAGGCTGTCGCCAAGGGTGACTTGACGCAGAAGGTCCAGGCCAACTGCAAGGGAGAAATCCTTGAGCTGAAGAACATCATCAACTCCATGGTGGACCAACTGAAGCAGTTTGCGCAGGAAGTGACCAAGATCGCCAAGGAGGTCGGCACTGATGGTGTCCTGGGCGGTCAAGCAACGGTTCATGATGTCGAAGGCACCTGGAAAGATCTGACGGAGAACGTGAATAGGATGGCCAATAATCTCACGACACAAGTGCGCGAAATCGCAGACGTTACAACGGCAGTGGCCAAGGGTGACCTGACCAAGAAAGTAACGGCCAACGTCAAGGGTGAGATACTAGATCTCAAGAACACTATAAACGGGATGGTGGACCGTCTGAATACATTCGCATTTGAAGTGAGCAAGGTCGCTCGTGAAGTCGGTACCGATGGAACACTGGGTGGTCAAGCCAAGGTGGATAATGTGGAAGGAAAATGGAAAGATCTCACCGACAATGTGAACACGATGGCGCAGAACCTGACCTCTCAGGTCAGGGGAATCTCCGACGTTACACAGGCCATTGCCAAGGGCGACCTTAGCAAGAAGATTGAGGTCCATGCCCAGGGAGAAATACTCACCCTCAAGGTCACCATCAATAACATGGTGGACCGCCTGGCGAAATTCGCACACGAGCTCAAGCGTGTCGCCCGCGATGTGGGTGTGGATGGCAAGATGGGCGGACAAGCCAACGTGGAAGGAATTGCTGGTAGATGGAAGGAGATCACAGAGGACGTCAATACGATGGCAGAAAACCTGACGTCCCAAGTGCGCGCCTTTGGCGAAATCACAGATGCGGCGACGGACGGCGACTTCACGAAGCTGATTACGGTCAACGCATCGGGCGAGATGGATGAGCTGAAGCGCAAGATCAACAAGATGGTTTCCAACCTTCGAGACAGTATCCAGCGTAACACCGCTGCTAGGGAAGCTGCCGAGTTGGCCAACCGTACGAAATCAGAATTCCTCGCCAACATGAGTCACGAGATCCGGACGCCCATGAACGGCATTATCGGTATGACGCAGTTGACGCTCGACACGGATGATCTGAAGCCATATCCCCGAGAGATGTTGAATGTCGTGCACAACCTGGCCAACAGTTTACTAACGATCATCGACGACATACTCGATATCTCGAAGATCGAAGCAAACCGTATGGTGATTGAGAGTATCCCCTTCACCGTAAGGGGCACGGTCTTCAATGCATTGAAGACGTTGGCAGTGAAAGCAAACGAGAAGTTCCTCAGCCTAGCCTACCAGGTTGACAGTTCGGTCCCTGACTATGTTATTGGTGATCCCTTCCGTCTACGACAGATCATTCTCAACTTGGTGGGCAATGCCATCAAGTTCACGGAACATGGTGAGGTCAAGCTCACGATTAGCAAATCTGAGCGAGAACAATGTGCGGCGGACGAATACGCATTTGAATTCTCCGTATCAGATACTGGTATCGGTATCGAGGAGGATAAGCTCGACCTAATTTTCGATACCTTCCAGCAAGCTGATGGCTCCACGACTCGCAGATTCGGTGGTACCGGACTGGGTCTATCCATCTCTAAGCGTCTGGTAAACCTTATGGGCGGTGACGTCTGGGTCACTTCGGAATATGGCCACGGCAGCACTTTCCACTTCACCTGTGTCGTGAAGCTGGCTAACCAGTCTCTGAGCGTCATCGGCTCCCAGCTGCTGCCCTACAAGAACCATCGGGTATTGTTTATCGACAAAGGGCACACCGGTCCCCATGCGGATGATATCACCCGTATGCTCAAGCAGATTGAGCTGGAGCCCTTGGTGGTCAACAGCGAAGAGGAGGTCCCGCCGCCGGAGATCCAGGATCCATCCGGAAAGGAGTCGGGCCATGCGTACGACGTTATCATCGTCGACACCGTGGAGACAGCTCAGAACCTACGTACGTTTGACGAATTCAAATACATTCCTATCGTTTTGGTGTGCCCTATCGTGTCGGTCAGCCTGAAGTCGGCGCTCGATTTGGGTATCACTTCCTACATGACGACGCCATGCCAGCCCATCGACCTGGGTAACGGAATGCTACCTGCTCTGGAGGGTCGTTCCACTCCGATCACCACGGACCACTCGCGATCTTTCGACATCCTACTCGCCGAAGATAACGACGTTAACCAAAAACTGGCTGTCAAGATCTTAGAGAAACACAACCACAATGTGACCGTTGTCAGCAACGGTGCAGAGGCATTGGAGGCCATCAAGAACCGGCGGTTCGACGTGATTCTCATGGACGTGCAGATGCCAGTTATGGGAGGATTTGAAGCCACGGGCAAGATCCGAGAATACGAGAGGGAGAAGGGTCTCTCTCGAACTCCTATCATTGCCCTCACAGCACACGCCATGTTGGGTGACCGCGAGAAGTGTATCCAAGCCCAGATGGACGAGTACTTATCGAAGCCGCTTAAGCAGAACCAGATGATGCAGACTATCCTGAAGTGCGCAACGCTCGGGGGATCCCTGCTCGAGAAGAGCAAAGAGCCACGGTTAGGGAGCAGTGGCGAGATGCATCCTTCTATCAACAATCCTAATCGTCCTTCATCGGATGGGAAAGGCAGACCTAGCCTTGAGTCCCGGTCCATCACTACTTCGGGACCCATCAATCGTGGTAGCTTGGAGAGTCCAACCACGGAGAAGGACCAAGATGAACAGACGGAACGAGTAAGCTCTCGCCGAGTTCAACGTTAATACATGGAACCGCTGCTGACGAAGGAAAACAATTGTATAATAGCAGGTATTACTGCGGTCTCATAGCAGCTGAAGCATCTAATGTTCATTCTTCTGGGTTGGATATATGACATCTATTGATGTTCTGGATTGGTTACGATGTAATTTCTATTGCCCTCTTTTCATGCGTGTGCCTATGCCACTCCCATCATCGATGCCTTCTTCCGGGGGAAAATGACCTTATTCTTTACGTCTCGTGGAATGTCCCCACCTCTCCTCCCTGAAAACTCTTTCCGCCTACATATTCCCCCGTTTGCTGGTATCATGCCGAACGTGTTGGTATTACCCCTTGATGTTTTCGTTTCCACTTACTGTTTAAACCCCCCTATTGCCTCTTTGCTGAGTTTCCTATCTTGACGGCGACTTTACTGAAAGCCGTTTTCCTCGGCTGGCGTCTGGCGTGCGGGAGATTTTGGAGGGCTTGCATACCCTTTGACGGCCTGGGAAACGAAGACGATGCGGTCGAGTTGAGGCAATACTGGGCGAAGCCGGGAATTATTATATATATCGGAGGCGTTTGCGTTCCCATAAAGGCACATGTTCTCCTAACCACAACTAAACAATCGTCTACTCCCGCAATTTTGCCCCCCTCTTAACTCATATCTCCTTTTTCTTCTTCTCCTTTTTCTATTTCCCTTTTCGGTTTCCCCATTTCGTCCTGGTTTCCTTTTTTCTCGATTTTTTTTATAGTCACTTTCGCTTACTCGTGAGAAATGTTTTGGGCAAGTGCTTCACTTTCTTCTTTTTTTAAAGTGTTGATATTACTACTATAGCCGCCACGCCGTATGGCCGCAAAGAACAGCGAAAAATTCTTCGCTTTTCCCTCCCCGCAGATCCATATTCCTCTTCTTGATGCCGGCTGAGAAATATAAACTTGCAAATCTCTTGTTGAAAAGGGGTCGTATAGCCAAGCAGGTGAATCTTTCTTCTTTTTCCTTTCGATATTTCTTTTTCTCCATTTTTTCATTCCACATCTCTTTCCTATTCCGGAATAGGTATGGCTGTAGAGAACTCCCTTAGTAAACCGTAACGGGATGTTTTGTTTTGTTTTTTCTTCTGTTTCATGCGTATTTCATACTGAGATTGAGATTTAAGTTGTTTGTAGTATAGTGAGATAAACCGAGCTATTAATGCATTCTATCATACTGCAACGCAGTAAGTAGTATATGCAGTAAGTAGTAGGCAAGCGCTCACTTAGGTAGAAGAATCACATCAAAAACTAACATCCAAGCCGTCGCATAAGTTAGTTACTTCTTTCTCATAATCTCTACTTAGCCAGCCATGCCACGTCAGTGCCATTTGAATTTTAAACCCCCAGAGCTGGGTCCAGTCTATTAGAGGCCGCACCTCCTAGGAAACCAACCGGGTTCTACCCACGAGGAAGAAAGTATGTACAGTATTTCGAGAAAACCGACGAGTGATTTATTTGATAAGTTATATTCTGGCTTGTCTTCTTAGGCAAGGGAATGAATGAATGGTTGGTTGGTTTGAAAATGGCGGCTTTATGCTATAAGGAAGGAGAGAACTTCTTCACTGCGATGTATGTAAAATCTTGTTAGATAATAATATTGGATCTTGTACTATGTATGTATGTTTGATTAGAATCTTGTATGTACTTATTACGGTAGTGGGACTGGTCTTGGGACCGATTAGTTAGTGTAGTCTGAGCTAGCCGATGTACTTACTCATTGCTGTGGCTTAGGAAATGATGTTGTTACAATAAAGTAGCAAGATGAGCTGAGTGAGGTATGTTGGAGAAAAGGAAACTTTCTCAATTTCATTTTTGAAGAGATCCTATTCTATATTCATTTCTTCTGTATTTGTACTCAATGGATATTCAGAGCTCGAACTCAAAAATCAGAACGCTTTTTCGCTTTTAATTTCCTCCAGAATATTATCATGGAAGACTTAACTTCCGAAGGGTTTTCTGTTTTTCTCATTCATAAATAATTGGCGTGGCAGAAATATACCTCTTGTAGTTAGGATTCTAGGCTCCAAAAAAATAGAAAGATGGATAATGGTTGAAAATGAAGAGGGGAGGCCGTGGAGAACTCAAATGGCTAGTAGAAAATGCTCTCTGTCCTCTTATGAGGGGATGGAAAAGATGATGATTTTAACATTGATGCTAGAGTTGAGGCACTTTTCTCTTTTAGAATCGCAGATCCCAGCCGATCTTGGGTCCCAGACGGGGCAGCTCCTCCGCGACATGTTGGACGTCCTTGTCTCCACGACCACTGAGGTTCAGGACAATGTTCTCGCCCTTCTTCATGGTCTTGGCTAGTTCGATGGCACCCCAGACGGCGTGGGAAGACTCCAGGGCGGGGATGATACCTTCCAGCTCGGACAGCAGACGGAAGCCGGTGAATGCCTGAGCGTCGGTGGCAGCGATGAAGCGGGCACGCTCACTGTCCTTCCAGGAGCTGAGCTCAGGGCCAACACCTGGGTAGTCGAGACCGGCAGACACGGAGTGGGTTTCCGTGATCTGGCCGTGCTCGTTCTGCAGAACGTAGGTGCGAACACCGTGGAAGACACCCTTGGTACCGCCGCTGAGAGTTGCAGAGTGCCGGTTCGTCTCGATACCGTCACCACCCGCCTCAACACCAAGCAGCTTGACGCTGAGATCCTGGGAGAACGGGTAGAACATGCCAACGGCGTTACTTCCTCCACCGACGCAGGCGACGACAGCGTCCGGGAGCTTTCCAATAGCCTCCTGGAGCTGCTGCTTGGTCTCGTTACCGATGACAGACTGGAAGGTACGGACAATGGTCGGGAAAGGGTGAGGTCCAATGGCGGAACCGATCACGTAGTGAGTAGTGTCGAGATCGGTAACCCAGGCACGGAACGCCTCGTTGACGGCGTCACGGAGGGTTCGGCTACCCGCCTCAACGGCGACGACAGAGGCACCGAGCAGCTTCATGCGGAAAACGTTCAAAGCCTGGCGGCGGACATCTTCTGCACCCATGTAGATGGTGCACTTCATTCCAAACTTGGCACATACAGTTGCGGTAGCCACACCGTGCTGACCGGCACCCGTCTCTGCGATGATCCTCGTCTTACCCAGTCTCCGGGCAATGAGAACCTGACCGATGGCGTTGTTAATCTTGTGGCTACCAGTGTGGTTGAGGTCTTCACGCTTGAGCCAGATGTTGGCGCCTCCAACGTGATCGGTCAATCGTTGAGCGATATGGAGACTGCTGGGACGGCCCATGTAGGGGTAGTATGAACGGTATTCCTCCCAGAACTTAGGGTCGTTCTTTGCCTCATCGAAACCCCTCTCGAGCTCCGCCAGGCAGTCCATGAGCGCTTCGGGAACATACTGTCCACCGAACTCGCCAAATCGCGATGGCTGTGCCGATGCATCACCTGTTCCATTGAGAGCGTCTAGCTGATCCGCAAGTCCTGGACCAGAACCTGCTTCACCCTCGGTGATGACGTGTGTCGGCTGTGCCTGGGTGTCGGGCAGAGCTTTTTCAACCGCCTCCAGAATGTTCACCTCCCGAGTCAATGCTCCCTGCTGGTCTCTCTCGAGACGTCGTCCCGTCACACTCGACAGGTAGTCTTCACCGGCCTTGGCTGCCTGACCAGCAGGCGCCTGGCCCAAGACGGTGATGAGCTGACTGCCAATGACAACACCTTCGGCGATATCCTGCACGCTCAAAAAATGCTCACGAGTACTAACACCGAAACCGACAGCGGCCGGGACATTTCCGGAGTAGGCGTGCACTCGGCTCAGCAGATCGGGGAGGTTCGAGTTCAGTTTTCCCGTTGCACCTGTGACACCCATACGGGACACAACATAGATGAACGAGTCGGCAATCTTGCACAGCAGCTTCATACGAGACTCCGAAGTGGACGGGGCGATAAGGGGCACATATGAAAGGCTAGGAAATGATCAGCAGAAGCTCTTTGTGTGTCCGTTGTGTCGTATGGAGCCGGTCGCGAACTCACCCCTCCTTTGTGCACAGGTTCCTGAATCTCACTGCCTCCTCCGGAGGAAGGTCAACCATGATGAATCCATTGACTCCAGCCTCCCTGGCATCCTTCAACATCCGCTCATCTCCGTAACGCAGCAGCGGGTTGTAGTATCCCATGAAGAGCACGGGGGCCTTGAGACCCCTCTTGCGGGCGGTGCGGACCATGTCCAGCACCATCGTGACTGTGACACCATTCTCCAAGGCCTTGGTATTGGCCTTCTGGATGGTCGGGCCATCTGCAATTGGGTCTGTGAATGGGATACCAAGTTCGATGATATCTAATACGAGTCATTAGCATGGCTCCGTAAAACCAGCGGGACAAGACGAAAATGAGGGGTCAATTGCCGCGGGGCTGGAGCATCAGGGATCAATTGCGTACCAGCACCTCCATTCTCCATTCCCAGCATAATATCGATCGTCTCCTCGGCCGTAGGATAGCCTGCAGTAACATAGGCCACCAAAGCGGCGCGCCTCGCCTGCTTGGCCTTAGCAAATGTCTGCTTGATTGCCTCCATGATGGGCGAAATTGGACCACAACTGTAAGGGTGGGAAAGGAGAAGCGCAAAGGCCCAACTGCGCAGAACAGAGACAAAAGGGACAAGGGAGGAAAGGAGAGGAGCGTTCAAGAACGGGGGATAGAGAGGAGTGGCGACAGTGAAAGATCGTCCTTGGACACTTTCATCGCTTCCTTGGCTGACTCACTTTTTGCTCCGATCCGGAGATGCCCCGCCACGTGACCCAGATAAGATAAGCGGGCGGTGAGCGGAAGTATGTACGTATATTTAAAAGGTCAGTTTACTTCAAGAAACACGGATTATTATTGTAAGTCTATGAAAAGACTCGACTAGAAGATCAACTTGGACATACAAAACAGATGGTATTGCTCCCGATCTTATGGATATTATTATTTCCCAGTGAACAATGGTTCGGCTCCACATGCCTGCCAGACCTCTCAAGATAGACAAAAAAAAAGACATGCTAGGATCACAAGAGATCAAAAAACGAACTGACGATTTGCCCATCCTCAAATACTCCGGAACGATGCATCTGCACTATCTATCCATCAAATCAAATTTCCAACCCATGCAAAAGCAAAGTGAAATGAGCAGAACAATTTTGTTTTTCCCGTCGCCCGAATTTCAAAAGACCGATTCTGTCAAAAACTCAAAAATATTTTCCCAAAATGCCCCCCAGGACCCGCTATATGAAGGAATGTCGGTAAGCGCCTCGCCCACGCTATGCAATGTATGATGATGATGTAGAAAATGAAGACGCTGTGATGCCCAAGATGTTGAATACAACGCAAGGAAGGAATGGATGGCAGCCGCCCAGTGGAGGGCATATGCAAGAGAGAGAACACAGGAGAGACTAAAGTAGACAGTCTGATGCGACAGTGGGCATGCACGCATGATGACAACGCAAAGGGAGAGACATGGACTATGGAAATGGAGATGGTGACCAAGGATTTGATGATCAGCGGCGCGTGCTCAGCGGGGTCAGCAGCGAAATGATGAAACGCCCTCGCTTTTTTCGGATGCTAGAAGTTGGAAGGAAACTCGTGGTCACTATGCAGGATAGCAGGTCGCAGATATAGAACACTTTAGGCGTCAAAAGGATAGACTAGCGAGAGACGTATTCTGGGGGTCGAGAGAAATGCAAGATGGAAGGATGCCAATAACAAAGACAAGGAAACAAGGGAAGCACCCGCTATGCAAGTGATTAAAAATAGAGATGAGAAGTTCGCGACGGACCGCAGCTCCCGCATAACAGTCCGTCATCGGATGAAGGATCAAGGCGAGCTGTAGCGATGAAAGGACGTCAAGCGAAGAGCAAGGACGACTGCCCAGCACGACAAGATGATCGAACGGAAAAAGGAGCTGACCAGTTCAACATGTCGATTGTCCCGTGGTCGGAATCAAGTAGTCCATTAGTCACCAGGACGTCTCGGAAGACGATGTCCAGGTTTGACCGATTATGGGGGGACCTCCTGTGTCCCAGAAATGAGACTAGTGCAAGTTCCTTATGAAGAGCTCCCACCCGAAAACAAAAACAAAGGTGTATCCATCTTATGCCCCAGGAGCGGAGTGTGCCATCGGGTATGAAGGGGGTGTGATATAGGTGTAGAGCTCCGTGTTCGAGACATTGGCAGCGGCAGGACCTGGACCGATAGCGCCCGGGAAATCCCAAGATGTGCGATTCATGGGAGCCAGTGGCATCCCGTGACCATGCTGATATGTATATGAGGCAGACATAGCGGCGTACGGATGACTGCTCGGTGACATCGTGACACGTAGATCGGGAGCAGATAATGAGGGCTTTGCCTGGTGTATGTGCGGCGAGAAGACTGCTGAGGTCATGCCGGTGGAGTATGTGCTAGAGGTGACCGAGTCCGAGACGGACTGAGGCGAGCCCGCATGCTGAACATCCGTTCTAGAATCTGAAGCTGAGCTGTTGCCGGGGTAGGATGAACATATCGGGGTGGGAAGCGCTCCGGCTGTCGAAGAGTAGCTGGCAGACTGTGCGCAGAGACCGAGGTCAGACATCATTACAACGTGGAAGGTGGCAGAAGGTGGTTTCAAAGAGGAACTCACGTATTTCCCAATGATCTTCTTAAGTGCATGCGACAGGATCTTCCAGGGGAAGACTTTCACATCCTTCTCGATGTTGCGAGGTTTAGGTGCCGGGAATCCCATGATGACCTTGAAAAAGTCCTCGCTGTCTGGCTTAGCCTTCGAGACGGTGAGAGGCCGGAATCCTTCCAGATTCCTGCGGATTCGATTCTTTTCCTCGACAGTAAATCGCACTCCAACCAGAGATTCAAGCAAATAGATGGTGTCCACACTGGTCACGAAACATTCCTTCTTGCCGTCCCAGTATATGCAGCTGATGCATATGCTGTTTGGGGTTCTGTCCTCTGGTGAAACGGGCTGAAAGTCCGCCTGGATGGTACTGCCGCTCTGCACCCGAGTGAACTGGACAAGGCGCCGCCTGGCCTCCTTCTCTTCACCGGTCCAATTCTCAGCCATTGAGTCCAGATCGCCGTTCAGTTTTAGGACAGCTTTGGAGGGGTACATGGCGTAGGGGTTGAATGCCGGTGGTCCAACAGAGCCACTTCCCTGCTGTATAGTCGATGTCCTAATGAGTGTAGGGTTTTGAGGTCGGGCAGGAGAGAGCATTGTCTTCTGGCTCGGGGCCGAGGCTGCCGCTAGATGAGGACTGCGCGAGACATGACTGACCATGCCGAATGAAGGGCTCCAAGAAGAGGTCAAAGGCGACGGCGTATGGATTGCCGGTTGTGGCGCACTAGAGCCTCGTGAATGATGGATAAATGAAGCTTTCGGGGAAGACGCTGTCCGATACGGGGCCGGGAAGACACTCATTGTTGTCGGAGTCTGTAAAAAGGAGGAATATGACGGAGACGAAGCACTGTCATTATACGAATATGCATCAGCATCTTCTTTGATCCGCAGTTGTTGAGCAGAAGGTCTCTTGGTTGGTCTCGGAGCGGCATTGTCAGAAATTGAGACTCTCCTTTTCCGTGAATCATCTGAAGGGGAATCATGATCGACCGTTTCGTAAGTATAAACGCCCACCTGAAGCGTCAAAGGGCTGTATCCTGGCTGGTTCTCGATCACTACCTGCAGTGGAACCGCAGCTGATGGGCTCCCTGAAAGTGCGAATGCAGGTGCATCAACTGAGAGGGCATACTGAAAAACGGAATTCGAGAAGCCCAGGAAGTGCGGTAAACATTCACATTTCTTCGAGCCAAATATCACGTAGGTGGCACAAAGCCGGTTGTGGAGGTCATATGGTGATTGTATCTGTACGAAGACCTTGGTGCCTTCGCCGCCTCTCTGAGGAGAGTAAGATGTGACTTCAGGGATCTGAAGAGTCGCACGATCAAGACCGGGGGAGCCAGATCCATCGAAGGAGATACGTCCTGCATAGTCGTGTTCCGTCATATAATGGAGGCTCTCTGTGTTCTGGCTGGCGTGGTCATCGGAGGAAGAGGGGAAGAGCTCGTTCACATATTGTCCCTGAGAATATGCTGGATAGACAGAGCCATCATAATCTGCCAGGACGTTATATGTTGTTAGCTGTCACGACTGCCAAATGCCCGTGAGCTGGTTCCACAGGTCACTTACCGACTAAGCCAGCATCAGAAGGCCTTTGAAAGGCAGACATAGGCAACACGGGTTCAGACTTGGCCAAAAGGCCGTCTGAGAACGCCCCCGCGAACCGTGACTCTTCAGGGTCTGAGAAATCCAATGACTCGTCAATGACCAGAGGAGTCTGGAATTCTGGATCGAACTATATAGCAAGACAATGATTAGCTGTATTTTTATATGCTGGCGAGAAGAGCCAACGGCTTTTCTGATTCCTGTCGGATCCATTGGAGTTCCCCTGAATCGAACACCCTCGCAAGAAAGAGCAGTAGAATGGTTCTCTCTTACCAGAACACCTTGCGTCTTTGAGTACGCCACCTTGAATAGCGTTGCAGTAATTGCAACGAGCGATTAAATCGACAAGCGAATGACTGCGAACTCAAATATTCAACTACCGTGTCTACGGAAAGACACAATGGCTTCCCGAGACAGAAACGAGCGACGACACGTAGTTGCCACAGGACTTCAACGAAAAAGTAGAAACCAGAGCTCCGGATATTGTTGGATGTAGACGAGGCTAGATCCACTGTCGAAGGGCTTCATGTAAAGATTATCAGCATCAGAGAAGCGAAAGAAACGAGGAACACGCCCAAAGAGGCGATCGTCCAGTACCAGGCAATCTTCTCAATATGTGAGAAGAGATGTTTTGCTTGTTTTGCTCTCTGGTCCACTAATTGCAGCGAGTTTCGGAAAGCGGATGTAGGTTAAGCACCAGTAACGAAAGTGAATGGGGGTATATGTCGTGGTCAAATTGTCCACTGGTTGTGTACGGCGATATCAGCCCCATTCGTTCGGCCGACTGCATAAAGTAGAAAGTAGCACTTACCAAGTAGATACCAAGAGGCAGAGCCGAGAAAGCAACAGTTCTGAGAGAAAGACGAAGAAGGGAAATAACTGAAGGTAGGAAGATCCTGAACAGTAGAGTCAGTTATCCTGGACAATTCATGCCGTGCACGACCATCCCACGAGTGCCTGCAAGATAAAGGAAGGTATCGCATGGCTGCTGTGCTGTGACGGGCGGGGATAGCCTTTTCGGGAAGCAAGGAGGGCCCATCAAGGATCGTGAATAACAACGCAAGGTACAGGGAGAAATAGGCAACCGGGAGAGAAAGGAGGTCTGTACTAACCTAAGCGGAGCTATTCAGAATCCCAGAGGACCCGTACTCTTCCAAAACGTTCAAATCCGTCTCCTGCTCTCTCCTACCCAAAGAGGATGCCTCCGAAACAAGAAGAGCTGGGATTTCCAAAAATCTGACCCTCAGCCAAAGCAAAATACAAGGTTTACAAGCTCAAATCCGCCTGTAAATGAATACCAGATGCTTCCTCCGTAAAGATATTGGCGTCGAATTTGGCCCAAGACGATGGCGGGCTAGGCCAGATGGGAGCAGCTCGATGGGCACAACGCTGAACCAGATCCCACGTCTGTTCTGTCCACGACGACAATAACAAACGGCCAATCTGAACAGGATTCTACAACAGGAACGTTCTCGACACAGCAAACGGGTGGTTCGGGATGAGGCGTTGAAAGACGGCTATTAACCTCTCGGATTCCGTCTTGTAGATCCTCTCTCGGGTCCTTGTAGATTTCCCCAGAGGCAAGACCGCAACGAATGTCGTCCCAGGATCAACCAAAAATGATATGCAAGATAAATTAGCGATTAATCTCTCCTTTCCGTTCTCCGGTCTCTCTCTCTCTCTCTTTCCGTGGTCCCCAGCAGTCAAAGTAGCGAACGTGATGTGATGCAGCCCCAAGCGAGTGGAGGAGCGAGTGTAAGTGGAAGCGGAAGAAAGAAGGAAAACTTCACGACGTCATCCAAGATACTGATGGGAAGGAAGCAGAAGAAGGGGGAGAAATGAAGCGAGTTAAGAATAGGACGAGGAGGACAATAATAATGTTTTGTTCCCTTGCACTAGGGCCGACGGAGGATGTGCTCGTAGCAGACCACTAGTGACAGCAGTGGCGGGGGATGCACGCAGCACGAGAGCACCGGCGTCGAGTGACTAGGAGCGACAGGGCTCAGTAGGCTGCTCGTCGAGAGTATTAGGCAGTGGGAGATCCTCCTCACGCAGCCGGAGCAGAGAGAACAGAACACGCTCACTACTGCCCATGCCAGCAACCATCCTATCCATGGGCAGGGTGGATGCGCTCACCGTCCATCGACTCCATCGGTATCCGGGAGACCCTGTCGGGTCCCATCCAGAGCCAAACAGAACTGCTACGCATCTCACGGCCGTTGGGAGGGGGGAGAAAGCAGGGGCCAAGCAGACGAAGAGCAAAGAATAGCAATCGAACAGCCGGAAGGGCGCCATCTGGTCGCCAGCGCTTCTCCTGAGTGGGTAAGAGGATGGGGTGGTGCGGAACGGCGTCGAAGCTCTTCAGGCTGACGGAGTTTGTGTCAGTCGGTTTGGTTGGAAGCTCTTCCAGCACCGCCTCGTTTCTCCCATCGCCAGATGGGTCATCCCTCGGTGCAGAGGCTTCGCTTCGGTCCAGGGATGTGCTTGACTGCTGAGCCTGACCCTACGGGAAGATTCCCTTGGCAGATACTAACATAGCTCCCCGGATCCAAAGATCCCATCGTTCGCGATCTTTGCCCTCCTGGGTTTGGTGCCACCCGTAGTCGTGGCTTCAGAGAGAAAAGAGAGGAGCCCGCCCAGGAGATGGGGACTGTATTACTATTATTCTAAGGAAAAGTAGGTCTATTTCCTTTTTCCCGCATCGTGGGTGATTATCGCTAACACCATCTCAGCTAACTACCTACTTAACCGAGAGACCACTACATGACTCCTCTCTGACGGCCGTAGCCCATCGCTAATAATAATAATAATAATAATAATGAGGGACTAGTTATAGTTACTCGACAGAAAAAGGGTCCTCTTTCGCTCTCGAGCTCTCTCCAGCGTCCAACTCCGCATCCCAAACACCGGCGGAGGTCCTCCACCGACGGCGTGGATACGTTCAAATGGTGTCGCCGGCTCAATGTCATACCGTGTGGCGGCCTCTGGTGGTTGGACGAAAGGAGGGGGCTATCTGATCGGACAACTGTAGGACAATGGAGACGCCCTCTTACTGCTCAGCTGCCTCAGCATGACCCTTGGCAAGGTTGGCAGTGGACAACACGGAGAAAGGACGATAGTGATGATGATGGCTTGCTCTAAACATAGCAACATGCAAGGGCCGGGGCGTCTGGTTTGGGAATAGGCTGAGATGGGGCCCATCGTTCGCTACTTTAGAGTCCTCCAGCCCTGACAGGACTTTGCTCCAGTTAGACCCGTTTAGAAGCCTTCTGGCGTCTCGCTTCCATTGGACAGGATGACCGCAAATCAAAAAGCAGAACGAGACTCGACAGCAAACAGTCAGCGTCGCACAGGAGATCATTGCGACGGTGTAAGAAGATGGGCATCTCACTGGGCAAGGCCGCCACAGATCCCAGGGAGCCGGCGAACACCCTAACCAAAGCCTTGAACACGTTGGAACCGCGGTTAAGCGTCTGCCTTTGGACGGTTGACAGCTCAGGCTGTGGCTCAGGGAAAACCCCCACTCAGGAAACGCATTCCGTGGCATCCCTATACGGATGACGGAACATGATCCATCGCACAATGAAAATAATCCATCATTGTCGCTCCGTCTCGTAACTAGATATGATAGAATCACGCCAAGTGACGGAAGGCCATCCCCCGGCCAGCCTATCCTACCTTTACTGTCAGACGGAACAGCTGGCAGCCGGAATCGCTGCTGAAGCTAGGATGTCCGGTCAAAATAATTACGCCTAAGGCCATAGGATAACTAACTCCTTCCACGCAGTTAATAATCATCTGCGAGACGATTAACCGCTAGTTATAGCACACGGAGCATTCCCACCTATCGGGATTCGATACCGGTCCGAGATGCATTATCATAATACTCGTGCTTTCTTGTTTGCATTCTCTATGATCGCTTAGCCAAAATACGCATAGAAAGGCTGATGACCCGATGGTCATTTCTACTTCTGCCTCAGGCCTCGAACCATTGCATCTTACGATCTTCAGGGTACGGTTCAATGGAAGGCACCAGGGCACGGTCCGATCTAAATAGAACCTTAAAAGTTCATTCTTCAAAGTTCACCGTGTATCAACCTTGCGATGTTTTCGTGGATGAGCAAGGGGGGTTTCTTTGGCGGGCAGGGAATGGAAAGCCAGGAAACGAGACCACAGAGGTGGGAGAACACTTCCTCGCTCCTCATTCTGCTGGAGACTCGAAGAGGTACTATTGCAAAGAAGGAAAGCAAGGGAGAATCGCACGGCAACTCATCAAGGAACAAACTCCCTCGATCAAAAGCACCTTCCAGGGTGCTCCACTGAACTTCCTAAGTCTGATATCCCTGTCTTTATGATCCAGGGAGATTTCTGATTATTACAGAAGCCTATATTATTATCATTATTATTGCTGTCCGGCTTTGTTGCAAACACACTTCCCGTGGCCTGTGGCGCGCGGAGCCTTCTCCAGCCCACTAATGCCGGGATCCCGATATAGCACAGACGCTGCCGCCACGACTCACCTGCAGCCTGCAGATGCCAGATGCCCTCTGGCTATGCCTTATGCCTTAGCGATCGACTGGCTCACCAGGAACGCCTGAACTGGCACAGCTGGACGCTGTGCGCCAACTGCATCAGACGTCCATCGACGTTGCAACGTCGCTGCTGTTACCCTGGCATTCCCCAGAATCCGACCCTATGTCCTTAGTTTAGAGTCTTCCATGGCGTGCACCGACAGCTGGCGCTACTCCCAACCTGCCACGGTGAATGTTATTGTCGCTTGTGCATACGCCATGCTTACCTCTCTGAAGAGATTGAGCAAACTCCGTCATGGGATGCTTCCGGCTCACTAGAGAGAGCTTACAGAATTAGTCTATCTATAGAGCTTCCCTCGTGTCTGCAATATTTCGAGGCTCTCGAGGTCAGGTGGCCCTCTTGAAATTCGAATTCCTTATCTGTACGGCGTACGGAGTAACTGCAGGACAAATACATTAGTCCCGCAGCCTGATTCGCCCGTGGGACGATTCGAGTATCATTCGTTCTCCGTATATCTCATACACGGAGTTCTATTCATAGCACGAGTTGTTCTATTCTTTCTTGCCTTTGCTGTTGGATAATTATCGCTGCTCAGCTTCAGCTGCTGTACTCTTCTGCCTGAGGGCAGTATTGTCGGTTCCCCACAGTGCCACCAAGCCGGCTCCTCGAAGGTGCTTGCAGATCAAAGTAATAGGCGGCTGCTACGCCAGAAGCCAAGAGAAGCTTTTATCGACAAACTCGTGCTAACGCTCTAACGCTCAAGGCTTGTTAGAGACGGCTCCATAGCCACTTGAGTCAATAGTCTGTCGACCATTCTGTGTCTATAACTATCGCACGGGGTATACGCGCCATAAATGACAAGCTTACTATCTTTGCAGCTATAAAAGGAGATAGTTGGCTGTTGGAGATATGTCGACAAGAAAGGTGGGAGAAACCTCCACCTTGGATGAGTGTGGACGTCGAAAGATCACAATTTCTGGATTCTGTTCCTTGATGATATCCTTAGGTGACCATGGCAAGGCAATCCTTTCACACAATAGACAAAGAATTCTTCCGTGATTGAGAATTGTTATTCCAGTGGCCCACGAAGACCCCCTTTCGAACATCAAAAAAAAGATTTGGCGACCGGGATGTTCCGTCCGGGGATGATTTCCTCCGTCCGTGCAACTTCTGGATTTCATTATTAGGTCGACGATCAACATTGACGCCTATCCGTCAATTCAGATCATCGTTCTTGGAGGCCCAAAAATGAAACCATTTAAAGGCCCATCTGAGTGGACTTCGGTCGTAAGTACTCTCCATTGTTATTTACTCTATTATTGAGTCCAAATCCGGACTATTACTAGCGACCAACAGCTGCGAACTACTACCACATAAAGTTAACAATAATGGCCGGGGCCCAAAGTAAAGCTTCCGCCACAGATTATGTCGGAGCTCAACAATACTCGAAGAACAAAAGGGGTGAGCGGCAGACGCGACGTGGCTTGGCAATGGCATCGTTCATGTCAGAATTCCAGTAGTCACTTATCGTTTAACTTAAAACGAGGCGCAACACGGGTGAACAGGACACGATGCGATCTTACGACCCTACCTTAACTGGATATAGCTTGACCTACCAGAAATCTGCCGTAGGCAAACCTGCCATCTTTTTCCAGAACAACGAATGGATTCTTCTTCGCTTCAACCGTCCGTTAGGGCTGTCCGGCATTCGTTGCAGCTCGCCCATGCCCGCTTTCCTGGTCAGACAATCAGACCGACGATCTCAGGCTTGCTCCCGAACCTTAAAAAAAACAGTATAGCGTCCTTGTCGCTAACTACTCCGTAGTTAGCTATCAGTGCTGTACTCCGTATTCTACGCAATGCACCTTTGGGGAGTCCAAGAGAAAATTTCCTCGTGAAATCTACCAGAACAACTCCCAGATAATAATACGTCAGCAAGTCCCCGTGAAGACAAAATCTCCAGCACATGTGTTGACAGACTAATTCGGTGATACCCCAGGAAAACAGTTCTACTAAACCATATTAGGTATTAGACATGATGCAAGCCCGCGGGTGAGGTACTCTCAATTATTGCATCCATGAGACCAGCTATCTAATGATAATTGGCTGTAGACCGGCTGTTGGTTTTGATATACCTATGTGACGAGACGGTTTGAGTTTACTCGAGTGACGCAGGTCGTTTCCTGGCCAATATCTGAGGAGTAGCTATTATCTACCATAGCGGCCCGAACTGCACGTTATATTGAACAGGTTTCAGTCGATCTCGGCACGAAGCCTGTGGTGTCAAACTCTCAACCTCGCGGACCTGATAAGGCTTGCATGATCGCACGAGGGGCCTATGAATGATCAGTATCCCCTCGCTGGCCCATCTGCTCAACTCGAAGGTTCAGCCTTCACCCAAGGATAACGACGCGTGATGAGAGGGCAGAGATCAACCACTTGTGGCGTCCGCCGTTCTCCTGCCTAGATACCTGTTCTGGCTGTGATATCTCTCCCTATGGCTACAGCTGCTAATTATAAAAAGTACATGCTGATCCACTTTGATTCAGGCTTTCTCCAACATCACGACAACGTTGCACTCTGAAATAAAAAATCTGTCGGCGCAAACCCAAAAGCTGAACGGCGTCACTACATGATCGGCCGAACCGTTCAACAGACCGCCTCTCTCTGAATTGCGGTCAGGACTAGCTGTCGAGTCGGGAACCCTGACTGTAGTGCGCTATTCACTCAAGGGTAGCTTTGCCAATTGATCTAACTATATTAACTATACCCATCGATCTTGGTATTGTTTCTACCTTTGTGCACTGTAAGTCTGTCATGGCAGACGTCGCTGTCAGATTCCGACTGCGCTCATGCTTCTGACGAAAGCGAGATCTTGGCTCGGATGATTATCATTTTCTCATTAATGACGGCTTCAATTGCCACCTCATGAGTGAGAAAGGGAACCAGGAGGATAATCTATGTGATTTCATGATTGACTATCCTGACCGCTTCTTCCAGGGACGAAGATTTTCACATCCGAGAAGGTGGAGATAGGTAAGCGCCTCGGTCAAGGTATCATACCATCTTCGCCTTGATCTCATATTCTACTCTCCAACATCGCCGCTCATGCGTATTGGCGTGATCGAGAAAACACCGAGACTTCTACATATAGAAAGCAAGATTCAGGATGTCTACAAGTCCCGACTATTAATAATATTTACTTGCTATTCGATTGCCCAGAGAGAGAACCACGGTACAAAACCGATTCCAATCTCTCCGCCCGGATGAAAGACCATGGAACGCGTTCTTTCGTCCTCCACAGAAGGGATACGATGATACATTGATTATCCCCCAGGAATGCCTGCTTTCGATCAATGCCATCGTCGTCTCTGAGTCTCCAGCTTCCTCTTTTAATGCCAAGGCATTAAGTATTAGCTAATAAGCAAACTTGGCATCCCACCGTGGAATGGCGTTTCCGATGTTTGAAGCTCCCATTTTCGGCCTTCGCCGTCGGCTTATCCGTCATCATTTCCTATCCAGGGCATTGTACAGTACAACAGTTAATAATAATGGGTCTCCGTGAAACTGTTTTCTTCAGCCCTTTCAACGGCCGAGCATTTAAACGGTTCATCCCATCCCCACATTAAGTACCGTCGGGTCAACCGTCAAACTGAGTAAATTGTTCAGCTCTCCTCGAGTCGATTAATAATAAAAATAAATTGCATAACTAACTAACAGATAAACTATAATCCCACCACGACCCGAAAAAGACCGGTTAGTTATTTACTAGAGAAAAAAACAAAAGGACATATCATTCGTTTCGAAAAGTCTCAGTTCTAAACCCGGAGCTTTTTAGCCTCGGAGCTCCGACCTTGACTCTGGAGACATTTCCAAAGATAGTATATGCTGCTAAATTTAAAAAAAGGTTCCTATGGTATAGATTTGGCCTGTCTTCCCAGTTAGTCTAGTTCAACCCGGCAAACTTTAAATTTCTTTTTTTTACCCTTTCCTTTTTCCTTCATTGTCCCGAATCCCGCGTTTTGCAAATGCAATAATAATAATGCGCGGTTACACTACTAGTTAGCTTTTTCTCTCTCTTCCTATTTTTTATACGAGAACTACGAGAAATAATAATAACTTGATATAATTGGTCAATTAATATACCTCTATCATCATCTACTTAGTGGAGCGGACAAGGATGTTTTATAATTAGCCAAACTCGATATTCGCCCTTAACTAACTGTGGGAAAACATCCGGTTGTTGTTTATAACTTTTTTTTTTGTTCTCTTTCTCTGTCCTTTTTTTATCTTCTTTTTTGACTTCCGTCTGTGCGGTTTTTCGCGGATCCCGCGCAAGAGTAAATAGCCGAGGTAAACTGTAATAATAATAATAATTTATCTTCGGAATGCATTATTCTTTACGAAGGTTATAAGCTAAATTCTAAGCGAGGTGGGTGAGCGGGCAAAGTAAGATCGGTCATTATTCTTTTCATGTGCTTGCTTTGCCTTGAACAGGTGTAGTGGGGGTGTACTGTGTTCTCTGCGGCTATTCGCGGGGAAGGCAATATAACGTAGGGAAGATACTATTACATGCACAAAATGGACATAGGATTAAGTAGTCGGTTATACGGTATATGTTAGACGTGCTTTCTTGAATTGTATTCATAGAAGAAAACTGGGGATGAGTTAGATTATGTAAAGTATTAGATATCCAGGACATTCATCTAGTGATTGTAGAAATGAGACTTCTCGGGGGTGTACATATAGAAAGAAAAAAAAAAGTACGACACCAGTACGACACATAACAGCTACTACTACTTTACCTGGAGATTCAGATTCCGAGAACAGGCTATAACCCTCGTAATTGCTAGATATTGTTGCGTTATATTGTCTCCCTTTTATCTGTTACCATTGACTTATTCCGCTGTTAATATATTCGATACAAATTCGAGCCTACACTTTTCTACTAACTAACTAGTTTTTACACTGAACCCGAGGACCTGGCGAGTAAAACTTAGAGATTTCGATTTGGATAATAGGATGATATTCTTCCACTGATAGGTCAATAGTCTTTCGTAGTATCTGGAGTTCGATTAAGTTCTGTGTATATGGTATATGGAAAGCAAGCATAGTTAAACAACAAGCTACGACCACTTTCCACGAGCTCATGAGAGCAGGATAGAATATATATCATTTTCGTAAGCACTAGAGGTCGTCATCCGGGGAGACTGGGTTAATGCGTTACTGTTTATATTAAAAAGAAGACCTCGCCAGTAGCCATGAATTTTCTCTATCAATGAACGAACCCGTGAGAGGAGCGGCTAGATAGAGTCGTCGTTAACGACAGATCTCATATATTAAAATCTAGAAGTAGAATGGCGCTGACATTCAAAATAGCAGCTGTAGTGTCGCTTTGTGGTTTTTCTGGCATAGCGATCGAAGGGATTCATGCTTTTCTTCTTGACTTGTTCATTGCTATGATGGAGGTGATCGAAGACAAGAGACTTGTCTTCAGTAAGCTCTTACCCATTAATTGTGTCTAGTCAAACAAACTCCTCTTCCTGACTATGGTTTTCGCATTGTGTATAATCTTTTATAGGCTTATTGGTTTGTTCTCTTCGTTGCAGTCCGACAACAGAGAACCAACATAGGTACCTATAGAAGGTAAAAATTAGCATGATTGATATCCGAATAATGACAGTTCTATTTATCTAGTTGCCAGGCGATGACTGAGTATAGCTTCTTCCTGTCACTCCTCCGATTCATATGCAAGGATAAGGGCTACAAGCGTGGTCGATAAATCTATATAACAGTAAACTGTAGCGTCAACGATTGGTATATTCCTAATGATAACTCGACTAGACTAATAACCACCTCAAAGCATGTATGTGCACCTAACCTCAAAATCAGAAACCTGTACAATGCAGATTATCCCTTACCCCAGGGATGTATCAAAGCATATCAGTTCAGCCTCCGACCCACGACTACCCTTCCTGCGCAATCTCATCAACACCTCTCTCATAGCAGACGAGGAATAACTTTGCCCAGAACTCATACATCCGAGGCTTGTTCTCCTTTTCCGATACTAGCCATTCTGCGAATGCCTTTTCGGTTCTGCGTGGGTCAGCGCTTCGAAAGTCAACCACCTGTATTGAGATAACATGCATTATTAGCAAATATACTTTTCGGATACACCGCCGGTTCCAGTCAGGTCTCTCTTGTATGAATTCGGAATTGCTTACCTGCGGATATTTCCCTAGTGCTTCCCAGTATCGTGTATGGAGGCCTAATTTCGTTCTCAACGTCGCCTTGTCGATCCTTCTTGCAGCGATGAGATACGCTCTGGAGGCGAGCTCTATATCAGTCTCCTCTCTCCACGGTATAGTCCTCCCCAACCGTTCGTAGACGACTTCAATGAGTCTTGTAAGGATATCCGCCTGCCACGTTATCAGGCGGTCATGCTGAAAGCATAGTAGATGCGTCCGTAGAGTCGAGATCTCATCGCGGAGGGTGCCCGTGTTGATGCGCAGCTTGGCCATCTTGTTTTCAAGATGATAATTGGTAGTGTGGAGAGCATCAACGGCGACATCATGATCCTGTTTATATTATGTGAGATGATTATGCGCTTAGTATTTGATGGCGGATTGTGTTCCTGGTTCTTGGAAGGATTACATACGTGGAGTGCTGTTTGGACTGTCAGAGTGTATGCATTCGGTGAATATAGCGCAGGGGCTGCAAGCAGACCCATGGCGAGAGATATTAGCCAGTCACCGATATTCTTGATAAGGAATGATAGTTTCAGCACGCTGCCAGTGATCTGGAGAAAGCGTGATAAGATTGTGCAAAGAGTGGGATATGATAATGGCGGATCAACGGCACACGATGATTGTACGATGAGCTTGAAGATCCGGACTGAAGTACGGTATTGAAGATATAAGCGAATCTGTGGAAGTAACCATCGACTGAAGCCAACAGAATGGAGGTTATGGTGGCAGGAACGACCCTCCAGAGTCGGCAAACTGAAGTGACATGAGACGTGAGAAAGGTCTAGTAATTTCGCATTCAATCCATTTCTGTATATATTTGGCGTTGTAAGAACTCTCAGCAATTATTATTCATCACGAACATAGATACCCAATGTGCAATGTAAGGACACAGAAATATCGCCAAGCGCGCGAGCGGAGCATTACAGCCTGCTTTCCACACCGGCCTTTCCAAACTCGATGACCAGTTTTCCAAACTGCTTTCCATGCTTCATATCTTCGAATAGAGAGTCGAGACCAGCGATATCGTCTAAGCTGGTGTTCAGAACACGCGAAACGATGGGCTTGATCTTCTGTTGCTTAACGAACTCCACCATATCCTTGAACTCCTTACGAGAGCCCATAGTGGATCCACGGACGTCGATGTTCTTGAGGACTGCCTGCATCAGGAACGGCATCTTTGGAGAGACCGTCATGCCGTATACGGAGATAACACCACCAGCCTATGCTGGTTAGATGACTTCGTCAGATCAATTCACGGTTATAGATCGCTTACCTTGAGCAGTTTTGCACCCTTCTCAACTACATCCCCGCCAGCACCGTCAATAATGGCATCGAAGAAAGACTTTCCAGGTGGTAATTGTGAAAGAAGCTTCTTCTCCCAGCCCTCATCCCTGTAGTTCACACCACCCTTGGCTCCCAGCTCAATTGCTTTCTTGATTTTCTCTTCACTCGAGCTGGTGACGAAGACACTGGCACCTCGAGCCACAGCAAAACGGAGAACCATCAATGCCACACCGCCACCAATACCAGTGATAAGCACTACAGCACCATTGGCAGAGTTCCTCTCACCGCACTTTGTGATCAGGGCTCTCCATCCCGTCAGTCCAGTTAACGGCAGGGCGGCGGCTTCCGCATCAGTCAGGTGCTCAGGAGCCTCTTCCAGCTCACTCTCATCAATAGTAACGTATTCTTGCAAAGTTCCTTTATTATAGAACTTTGTACCACCCATAATCTTGTACCCAGATGGGTCTTCTGGCCCATCAAGGCTGTCTTTCCATCCTATGCCAGGATTCAAAATAACCCTCTTGCCCTTCCATTCGCTCTTAGCTCCAGGGCCAGTTGACACGACGATTCCCACACCATCTGCACCAAGAGGCACGTCAAAAGTTGCTCCAGGATACAGGTGCTGACGCAGGAAAAGATCTCGGTGATTCAGAGATGCGGCGCTGATCTTAACCAGCACTTCACGACCCTGCGGGGTCGGTTGCGGCGCCGTGCGCACAACGAGAGGGTAGTAGACCTGGCCAGGCTTCCCCGGCTTGCCATCGACGGAAGTGATGAAGAGTGCCTTGGACATGCTGGATCAATGGGTCAAGTAAAGCGGGATGAATAATGTTCGTGGACCGTTCAATGTCCCGTGCGGGGTTGATTATCGTTATCGATAACACGGAAAATAGCAGACCGTCGGAAACGAAACGGGACTGTTTGCGGAGGTGCGTCGAATTTTAGATGTTTGGTATAGAGTTAGAAGCTCCAGGCAGTTTCCTGCGAATTCTCAAGGCGATATTAGCCCACCGTGACATGTACATCGAAGAGGAAAAGTTGGTAGCGCATCTCGGGTTGTAGCAACAACTAACCTTAGCCCGAAAAGCCTTAATCAATTGAGAAACAGAACCTGGAATATCTGTGTCGTGAGCCGTGTACCTTAACTGATTTCGAAGCTTATCGTTCAATTCCTCGTTCTTCCAGCCTGCCTTGCTGCGATACAATCAGTCCACGTCGGAAAGTCAAACAGGTAGCGGGGGAGGCGACTCCCCCACACATTTATATCCCCAGTGACAAGTCGAACTAAACCAACTAGTAATAATAGTAAATAAACGTTGGTCTGGACACCTCAGATTTCGACCGAGCTAGCTTGTCGATCTCATGTCCCTGTTCTCTCTATCATTATCAATCAAATCACCCAATGTAGTTAACTAAATGCACGTCCTACGATGGAAGCCAAACTGCCGAATGTAGCTAACTATTCCATATTTTACCGCACGGAACGGGGGGAAATCAAACCGGGATGCCGAAAGACCGAGGTTATTTTCGGTTGTTGCGGGAGCTGGCTAACATAACTAAGTCTTCGTTACGCCCACGAAGATCCGTATAATATGGTGTTTTCTTTATTTTTATTTTTGATCTAGAAAGGGCTAATGGCGAATTTACGAACTGTCTCGAAGGACGGACGACCTTGCTTTTGTCACTTACGCAACAACTATGTGCTTGACGATTTCATAAAGAACCGGAGTTTATTAGTCGGGCGAAATCAGGCAAAGGGAATGGCTCAATACGGAACTATGCCCATGGTCATCATACCGTCACCAATAGCGTGGTCCCAGCCAGCAGGATATGATACCGAGAATAGCACGATGAAAAGAAATTTGATTGGAGGCGTTCACTGAGAAGCAGTACTGAAAGGATGCGGACAGTTTTACTAGATACATCCCAGGACTAGAACCTCCTGAGACCAATATCATCTCCATAGTGGGCTCGACGAGGAACTCTGCTCTCACCCCTCTCACCATACGGTGCCATGAATCTCCTCCCAGGCGAGGGGGAACAAGGAGATAAGTCCCGAGCATAAGCTTGGCCATTAAGAGGTACCTCCCTGGAAGGATGTATCATTTGGGGCGTTGAATGATTCCGATTCGGGCGACGGCGGCGATAAGAGCCTCCTCCCATACTCCCCATCTCGTCACTTCGGCACGATTCATCGCCGTCAGATGAACAGTCACACTCATATTCGACGGCGTCTTCGCAACCTTCGCAGCCATCTTGTTCGTCCGGAGGCCAAGTACACGGCGATCGAGGCGACCTGTAGCTGCCATGGGGGAATCTTGAGCCACGGTCAAATGGTGGGCGCGGGGGATAGGATGATGTCCCACACCATGGGTGTGCAGGACCGGGACCCCGTGGTGGTTCGAATCCCGCAAACGGAGGAGGTTCCCACGGCTCAAAAGGATGCGCAGAACGCAGACCCCTTCCACTCCGCCTTGTCTCTAACAGATTCTCTCCGCTGAAGAAGCCAGGGCCCATCTGTCCTAGAGGGCGAGCTGAAACGCGCTGTCGACGGGTAGGAATAATGGAAGCCAAAGACAAACGCCCAAGCCAGGGACGCGGCGCATAATCGCAAGCTGCTGTGCCCCTGCGTGGACCAGTATCTAGGGGCATGATTGGCTCTCTCTCGAGCCTGTGTCTTGATAAAGGATCTCCTTTCCAATACCAGGCGTAAGGGAGGTCACGATTCCTGTCCTTCCCAGACAAAGAGGGCATTCCCTCAGGCCTGATTGAAGGAATCGAAAATGAAAAGATGAGATCAGTTAATCAGGTAGTATGCAAAAAAAAACATCTGAATTGGGTTCAGGAGGGAAAACAACATTGTAAATTCTAGAAACAGCAGCAAATGTGAAGAACACTCGAATATATATGCTCTTCTCTTCCAGAGTGGTCGCACAGAAACCCAGTGATGCCTATCTTTTTCAATCTGATGACCACAGATTGCTCTGCCATAGACAAAGGACGCCCCGGGCGTCCCCATATAGAGAATGTGTACTAGAAGTCAGTCGTGACATAGTAGAATGCCTGGGAAGCAAACATCTGTGGCGGAATCGAAATTTGTTTGCTGCAGCGGTTGCTTTGATCACTTGACAAATCTCAGGTTATTTGAAGGGAGGCTGCAGCTCCTCCTGAATGACCAGGAGGAGTAGTTGACATCTCATATCATTTAGCTGCTAGACGACCGCAATGACTGAAGGATTAGTTTGCAGACGGGGTCTATAGGGTTTTGCCCTGGACGAATGTCAGTCTCAAATGGCGTTTGCTTGAGCCAGCCCTCTATACTCTAGGAGCGCACAGTGGGGTTCCTGGAATGGACGGTGCAAGAGAAGTTGTTTTCTTTTTGTTCGTGAGAATGAATGAATGAAGGACAACGCGCTGGAGGTCGCGGGAGGCGACACGTCGGAAGGCTGGTGGCCCAATCCGGTGCAGGACGTGGCGATAGTACACGTACAGCTGAACTGTGGCTATTTCCACAGCCGGCAGCCCACCGGAGCTGCTGCAGTGACGGATATCGACAAGCTAACTGTACAGAGAATTTACAGTGTATATCCAGAGAGTTTCCCCTTTGCGTGGAGCGTTTACAACTAGAAAATGTGAAGACGGCGAGGATAGACAGCTAGGCCATAGCTATATCTGATCTGGCAGATCCCACAACCGCCCAGCCGCCCATCGTTGATGAATCAAACCCACGCGACCGTAGTGAGCATCGCTGAAAAAGCTGCGGGTGGCTGGGCGGTGTCACGACAGCTGCGGCGCCCGTTTATGTGCGTTGTGCGTGTGGTAATTCCACGGCCGCCGTTCATTCGCCGTGGCCTTTTTCTGACCTACCAGCAACTTTCAGACTCGATCCTCTGATCTCGACTTTGCTCGTTCTCGATCCACGACTTCTCTCGCTCCCCTCGACGCCTGCACACGTTGACTATTTGAATTCTTTTGACGGTAGCTGCTAATCTCAGCTGCGTCCACCCGGCTCACTGAATCACTACCCGTCCTGTCTTCAGGATCTCGTGTCGTTCTCGACATCCACCGAATTTAATCCTTCCTTCCCTAGGCTCGTTAGCCACCACAACAATCTCGCGACTCTGTGTCCCTCCATCGGTTCTATTACCTTCCTGGACAGGTGACATCGTCTGCGAGTAGATAAACCCATAATGCCTTCGCCGCTTCCCTCGAGTTTTGCTTCTGCCGCAGCAGGCAATATCCCAGACTCCGGTAGGAGAGGGGATGGCAGTGGAGAATGGTAGGGCAATCCTCTCTGATCGCCATGCGACTTCCCCGATCATTTCTTCTATATTTGCAAAAGAGGGCCTGCGTTTATTATACTTCTGTTCTAGCCTTACTGATCGATCACTCTATGCGCAGGTCTCGACCGCGAATGAACGGAGCAACACAGACCTTCCGCCGCCCGTCGGTTGCTACGAACCCTTCTCATAATCGAGAGAGCGGACAGTCGACATCAGCTGCGACAACTCCGACAGTGGGGACATATGTTCCTCCTCACCTGAACTCGAATTCTCAGTCTAGCGGCCTGCGGAATGGCACACCTGGCGAAAGCCGTTATTCAAAGGACCAGCTTTTAAACCTTTATAAGAGCCAGCGGGAGACGGGGAATCTGGGCAAGAATGTGTCGGATTATTTTGTGGCAGACTGGAACCCACACCAGGAGACTCCATCGGCGAATGGTGCTTGGGGAAAGCGGGATGACCATAAGGATACGCCGTCTGGTCCTGAGATATGCTGGGACCATGGCGGCCATGTTGAGCCCTTGGGATTGGTGGATCTGACTGATGATGAAAAAGAGGTTGGTATTGTCTCCACCGTCTACTGAAGAAGCGGTCACTGAGAGATGCGTAGCTTTTTTCGACTACCGTCAACTCTCCTCTGAAGCCCCCGCCATCGAGTGCCTCTAAGGATAACGCCGGTGTGGTAGGCGGACGCAAGACTTCCGTCTCTAATCCGCAGAGCCACATCAACACGTTTAATACGTCCTCTCCTAGCGCTGGTCGTCCCGGGACCAGACGTCGCGAGACAGGTGATTCCATAGGGAACCCGATATCACCGACTGCCGGTTCTCGCTTCTTCCGCGACGAGCCCAATACGTCTACTCCTCCGCCTGCTCTGCTCCGACGGAAGACAGATTTCCGCGACTCAGTCTCTAATAGCAAGTTGGAGGAGAAAGAAAAGGAGAATGCAGCTCGAGACGGGGCCGCGGACCTGGCATCTCCCTTTGGTTCTCTGAAACGTAGCGCTACCAATCCCTTAAGTGCTGGGCTTCCAACTTCCCCTTGGCCGTCGTCTGCCTCGCAGAATGCCAGCTTCTCACCAATGGGAGCTTTCGGCGCTTTCTCCCTGGGATCCGCTGGTGGCCAAGAGAGAAGACCTGGCCTTGGGAGTCTTCGTGGAGAAAGCAGGTTTAAGGGTCTGTTATCCAAGGACAGTTCTGAGGACATCGGGGCCTCTGTGAAGGAGAATACTTCATTGAGTGGCTTGGAAAGACTGCCAGAAAACGAGAGTGACGAACGATCCCAATCGACTTGGGGCGAAGCCCCGAAGACACGTGCCACCCGCAGTGATACGAACCCGTTCGGTAGCGATGAACCTCGCAGTGGAAGTGCCGCCCTTGGAGGCTCTCGGGAGGTTAGCACTCCGTCGCAAGGTATCGACCAGCTTGGATTTGGGGCCTTTGGAATGACGTCTAGTGTTCCTGGATTCCGCGAATTGATGCAGAGTCATGCCAACTCCCCTAGCCAAGCCTCCAGTCATCTCCCTGGCCAGGAGCCCACAAGCCCTACAAATACGAACCCTTATCAAAGCCCTCACGGCGACAAGTCGACTGACGCCGAAGATGTCGACACGGATGGCTCAGACGTCCAGAACACTCATCTTCCAGGCTTGAGCAGTCTTCGCGATGAAGCAGGGCCGTTTGCTTCCATTCGTAGGGTTGGGTCGGGTATGGGAGATGTGTCCGTCGGAGACCGCAGCCAGACATCGAGCGCTGGGCCTACTCGCAGTTTCTCCGGTCTGGGAGGTCTTGGTGGTCTTTCCGGTCTCGGGGGCGCTGGTGGATGGCCGCCTAGTGCCGGTGTTGGCACTCCTACTAGGGAGAGATCGGCCTTCACTGGTTTTGGCGACCCGATCTTTGGCTCTATGGCTGATCTTCAGTCTCCTAGTCTGTCTACTCTGGGCGGAGGAGGCTTTTTTGGTTCTCATGGAGCACTCGGCACTTCAGGTAGTATTGGCAGAGCTAGTAAATTGGGTTCCTTGTTTCCTCCTGCAATGCAGGAGCAGATGCAGGGCGATCTGTCTAGACAGGATTCGGCAGGATTGGAGGGTCTGAATAGGCAAACAGGTGAGGCTACCACTCGAAGTGTCATAGGAGGCAGCCCTGGGAAGGCTAGCTCCCAGACGCGGAATGAGGACCAGTCTTTACGAGGAAATTACTCTGGGCTGGATGGTCTTGACATTGGAAGCCGGCTGATACGTGGAGAAGATCCTTTATCTGCAGAGAAGCAAAGTACACCCGCCACCACTGCTTCTCAGGCCCCTGCGGGATCTACGCCTGGCATGGCGTCTTCCCATGATGGATCTCAATCAGGTCAAAACATCGGTCAGCCCGGTTCAGCCTCTGGGCTTGGCTCTGTCCCGACCGCTCAGCAGCGCACCATGGTAATGCCCGATCGCATGCGGTGGATCTATCGGGATCCGCAGGGAAACATCCAGGGTCCGTGGTCGGGTCTTGAGATGCACGACTGGTTCAAGGCTGGTTTCTTCACGGCGGAGTTGCAGGTCAAGAAACTCGAGGATACGGAATTCGAACCATTGGCGCAGCTGGTTCGACGTATCGGCAACTCTCGTGAGCCATTCCTGGTGCCGCAGATTGGAATTCCTCATGGTCCTGATCCTACCCCTAGCCCATGGGGTACGGGACCAGCGACACAGCCCGGAGCTGCTCAACCACCGTTCGCAAACAGTTTCCCCAGTTTCGGTACTACTTTGACCGCTGAGCAGCAGAACGCCTTGGAGAGGAGGAAGCAAGAGGAGCAGTATTTGATGGCCAGGCAAAAGGAGCATTTGGCACAGCAACAGCAGCTGATGAAGCAGATGCATCTTCAGCCTGGACCTCATACCATCCACCCGCAGCTGCAGCATCATTCGAGTGCGCACAGCCTACACAGTCAGCCCAGCTACGGAAGCATTACTTCTCCTGGAGGCTATCAACCATCGCCGCTCCAAGGTCCGATTCAACCGCCCCAGGCTGTTCCGGGCTTCTTCGATGCAGCAATTAGACAGAATCCGGTGCCCAGCATGGGTCCGCAATTGCTAGGAAGCGACCCTATGAACTCTAGGGACGATCTTCCTGCCCTCCTCGAGCGTCTCAACGTCGGACGGCCGGGTCCCTTCCAATTCAATAACGCACCTTCAGCGTTTGGCCCTCGCCAGCCGGATGATTTCCTACATTCCCAACAGGTTGCCTCGATGCTTCAGGACCGTGCTCGCTTGCAGCAAGAACAAGAGCAATTCGATCGCCAGCAGGCCGAGAATATCTTTGACCAGCAGGCCCGTGATGAGCGACTGCGACAATTCCATGCTATGCGCTCGCAAGAAGATGAACTTGGCATGAGGATCGGAGATGGTCTCCCCACTCACCCGCCCTCTGTAGCCCCTCAGGAGGCTAGCACCGACCAGCAAAAGAATGCTCCTGAGGAATCTTTCTCTGCCGCCGCGGCGGACGAGCAGTCTGTTCAAGCTCCAAGCGAACCACTCTCCCTCTCCCAGCAGGTGCAGAAGGCTGCCTCCGCCCAGAGACAGCAGCAGCAGCAAGAACGACAACAGCAGCAGCAGCAGCAGCAGCAGCACCAAAAGCAGTCTCACGGTGATTCGGCATGGACCTCTAAGGCGGACAATGGAATGCCTCAGCCTTTCCCACCCCCTCCTTCCGCATCACCACTCCCTGCTCCCGCCGCGCAGCGTAACCGTCAGAATGTCGCGGAGTCACTCGCGGCAACTTCCAGGTCGCAGAACCAGACACCTATTGAGACGCCAACGACTTCGATTGCGCCATGGGCCAAGGAACCGATCGAGCCTCCTAAGGGCCCATCGCTGAAGGAGATCCAGGAAGCGGAGGAGCGTAGCGCCGCTCAGCGGGAGGAGCAGGCTGCTGCTGCCCGTCGTGCTCAGATGCTTGCTGAACAAGAGCGTCTCAGCCAGCAGACCCAGGCGGACACCCCTGGCCTCCCATCAACCGCCAACTGGGCCAGTGCAGGATCTCCTGCTACTCCGGGATCGACTGGCTCCGTGTGGAACAAGAATGCTGCCAGCAAGACCCAGACTGCGCCCGCTAATGCTCCAGTCAAGAAGACTCTTGCTCAGATCCAGAAGGAAGAAGAAGCTCGTAAGCAGCGTCTGGCAGCGGCTAATGCTGCACAAGCTGCCGCAGCCGCCGCAACTACTCCTACTGTTTCTTCCACCGGTAAACGCTACGCTGATCTTGCCAGCAAGCCTGCTAGTGCAACGCCGCCTCCCTCGACCGGTGCCTGGACCACTGTGGGCGCTGGCGGAAAAGCCAAGGCGCCTCCTGCGGCTCCTCTCGGACCCCGTTCGGCCAGCGGTACTGTGCCAGTTGCACCCGCTGCTAAGCCCAGACCTGCCGCTGCTCCTCGTACCGTGACAGTTAGCACTACACCTGCGTCGAACCCAAACCGTGCTACTGAAGAACTGGCGAAGTGGGCAAATCTGTCTCTTAGCAAGGGACTTAACAGCAGCATCAATGGTAAGCTCTCTCTCTGTATTCCCGTGTGCTATGGGCGAAGACTAACATGAACTCCAGTCGATGACTTTGTCCAACAGCTACTTCTGCTGCCGGCGGAAGCTGAGATTATTTCCGACTCTATCTACGCCAACTCGCAGACCCTGGATGGACGCCGCTTCGCGGAAGAGTTCATTCGCCGCCGCAAATTGGCCGACAAGGGCATTGTCGATCCCGTTTCCACTAGTGCCTTTGCTGACAAGGGCTCCTCGGGTGGCTGGAGTGAAGTTGCGAAGAAGGGTTCCTCCAACGCGCACCGTGAGGAGGATAATGGTAATGCTGCTTTCAAGGTCGTTGCCGCCAAGAAGAAGGGCAAGAGGTGAAGGATTGCAGGTGAAGTTGTTCACTTTGGATAGTGGTGTTCTACTGCTTGATATGGGTACATGGTCTGATGGAGGAGCTGTTCGATGAGTGACAGACCATCTCTGCATATGATATCGTTCTGGCCCAATGTTGCAGTAACACCACGCCTGTTGGCTCTACCACTTTTAGCATAGTAGCATTGTGATAACTTATCGTGTTTTTGATACTGCGACGAATACAAACGACTTGATTGATAGTGAATCCCGAGCGTAACCTTCCCATACCCATGTCCACGCCGTAACCCAAATGTATCCTATAGCTAGTTATGGTCTAGATGTATTAACTATTTCTCTCTTGAAATATTCTTGTTGCTTTGATCTGCAGTCGATCTTGTAGTCGCAGGGCGTGTGTGCTCGGGCCCTCCAATCAGATCTGACGAAGCGGAGTCATTCCGGAATCCGCCGCGATACTTGCGATACGAAGGCATTTCGATGGAGTTCAGTCAGTCATTGAGAGTTATCTGTCGTCCGGAGATACAGATATCAATATTATCTGCATGAAACATATCCGTCCATCTTTGGTATATCAACCTAGACAGGGAGGGGGTCTACTCATGTGAGAGGGGCTATTTATTCGTCATACTGCACCAATTAGTCTGACGCATCTCAACGTCTTACAACCTCCCAGTATTTGAATCCACGTCGCTTTCTACAGTCAATTTCACAAAAGGAAAAGAAGGAATCCCTACAGGATATTCATATTCATCATGTCTTCAACCGATCAGCTCACGCCCTTTGGCCGTCCCATGTTGAAGCATTTCCTCTTCGATCCGAAGTACAAGAACCTTAACCATGGTATAATATCCCATCTCCTGGTATCCAATTCCTCCACTGAAGAGGACCTGAATGTGGAAAGTATGGCTCACATCCTTCAGGCTCCTTCGGGACATACCCCGTCCAGGTACGTGCGGCACTTCGGAAATTCCAACAAGACGCCGAAGCTCGACCGGACGCCTTCATCCGCTGGGAACAACCCAGAGCCCTGGACGAAGCTCGCGTAGCAGTAGCCAAGGTCCTGAATGTGCCGACGAATGAATGTGTATTCGTCAAGAATGCCTCGACAGGTGTCAACACCGTGCTCCGCAACCTGGTCTTCAACGAAGGTGACGTGATCGTCTACTTCGCAACTATCTACGGAGCCATGGAGAAGACGATCATCTCTATATCGGAGACGACGCCCGTTCGAGGTCTGAAGGTCGAGTATCAATTTCCAATCAGTCATGATGAGCTCGTGAAGAGGTTTCGTGATGTCGTGGTTGGGGCCAAGCAGAAAGGGCTTAATGTCCGTCTGGCGGTGTTTGATACTATCGTTAGTATGCCTGGTGTGAGGTTTCCGTTTGAGAAGCTCGTCGAGGCGTGTAGAGAGGAAGGTATTCTCAGTCTCATCGATGGTGCCCATGCAATCGGACAGATCCAGTTGAATCTGGCTCAGCTGGATCCGGATTTCTTCGTTAGTAATTGCCATAAGTAGGATCCCTATCCACCTACCTTCATCTTAGATATATGATGAAGAAGCAGACGAATTTATGCTAACTATACCTCTCCCAGATGGCTCTACACTCCCCGCGGCTGCGCCGTTCTCTACGTCCCCATCCGCAACCAGCACCTCTTGCGCACCACACTCCCCACATCCTGGGGTTTCATTCCAAGACCAGATTCCCTACCAACCGTCCGCTCCGTGCTCCCTAGCCCTGAATCACCCAAGAGTCCATTCGAACTCCTCTTCCAATTCGTCGCTTCAACCGACGACTCTCCGTACCTATGTACCCCAACCGCAATCAAATTCCGCCAGGAAGTCTGCGGCGGCGAAGAGCGCATCTACAACTATCTCGAACAACTCGCCAATCAAGCTGGAGATATCGTCGCCGCCGCCCTTGGCACGGAGGTCTTGCAAGAGCCAGATCTCCTACCAGGCCAGGTCAGTCAGATCCGTCGCTGCGCGATGGTTACGGTCCGACTACCTCTGGCTGTGGGCAATAACAACAACAACAACGTTTCCAACAACAAAAGCTCACACACCACACTACTCAGTCCCACAGTCGTCCCTGACGTGATTGACTGGATGCAGAAAACCATGGTTGATAAATACGGGACTTTTGTGCCCGTGTTCCAGCATGGAAGTTGGCTGTGGACACGGCTCAGCGCGCAGATATATTTGGAAAAGAGCGATTTCGAATGGCTGGCTGGTGTGCTGAAAGAACTCTGTGAGAAAGTTGCCAGGGGAGAGGTGAGCGGCGAAGAGAAGGCGAAGTTGTAGAGGTCGGAGAATACAGATTTAGTGACACTCAAGACTAGTTAAGTACTCTAGACAATACTTATATCAATGGATGTTTTTTTTTTTTCGAGAATACATACATACTATAGTCCCTCACCCGCAGTTATCTCTTGTACTCCAGCTATACTACCTTAATCTTACCTATTCTGTAAAATACAAGGATAATTACCTTCTAGATTCATACATGCACTCTCTAAGTTAATGAAATGTGAAGTCAAAATAAACACTGCCGGCGCTAGAATACGAACTAGTCTATTAGGGCCGAAGATTATTGATGTTAACAGGTATGTTTGGTCTTCAAACTTGAGTAAATTGCTTTTTCTGACTAGCGTATACTCTCTGAGTGAGTTCAATGAGGTCTTCTTTTGAACGGTTTGCTAGTCTTTAATTTGGGTTTGGGTGAGGCCCAGATATAAGTTACTCTCCGTGAATCACATGATTCCTTGCTGTCTAGTGTTACGCGATTTAATTCATGAAGAAAGGCATGTGATGATTTATTCGGGTATTATTAGCCACAAAGTAGAATAGAAAACAGACTAGAAAACCACCTGGATCTTAATGAAATGACAACATCATGGATAGGTGAACTGTTCATCCTCATATACTAAGAGAGTCATGGACCATAATCATGATGGTCGGAGCAGAAAGAAAGAGTCATACATCTCCTTTATAGTGCATATTCCCATCTATCCAAACATTCCTGCATGTGATGGTAAGCAATATTAGGGGAGAGGAAGAGAGAGATGGGCTATTTCTCGATGAATAAAAATAGCCAAAGGTACCTAAATGCCTAAAGTCCATCAATAGCTTATGTTAAAGCAATCTCTGAAGTGAACCCTTTCATAGAAAAATAATTTAGGATATTTCATGGAATCATACATTCATGATGAGCTTCCACCACCGAAATGGCTGCGTACCCAGCCGGTGATGCCTGAGGCAATACCTCCGCCGTGTCCTTCACTCCGACCCGATCGTCTCCTTTCCGGAGTGGGCGGGTTACCAGAGTGATCCTGCGATGAGGACTGACGGCGGGGAGGCGTTCTGCGGGTATAGGAACTTGTTGTAGACTGCCGTCGACTCCTGGGAGAAGACGGCTCAGGGCTACTGTTGACAACTACCGGGTTATCCCGTGAACCCTCAGTGCCCGTCCTATGGTTTCAAGTCGCCATCAGCATCATCCCCATGGATGGCATGACACGGCTGGAAGGTGGTCCTGCTTACTGTCCTGGGGTATTTATTCCACGTCGGCAATGAGGGCAGGTGTTGTGTTGATTGAGCCACGCCTCAATGCAATTATAGTGGAACCAATGTTTACATGGGAGCTCGGCAACTTCTGTACCTAACTCCACGTTATCCATGCAGATAGAACACTCTGCTTTGCCGTCGCTTCCTAGCATGTCCCGGTCAACTGGCTTCTTTGGTAGGGATTTGATAGCGCTCTCCGCGGCTGGCGGTGGCGCATTTCCGTTCGCATTTTGGTCAATCAGCTGGGATATTACACGGTCTAGCTCTTCCTGAGAGTAGACAGCATCTCCGTGGCGATCTCCCATACTGAGGAGGTTGGCAAGAATCGAAAGAGGATTAGGACCGGTCATCACGCGGACACCGCCTCTACCGCTAACACCGCCAGGGCCGCGGGGTCCGAAATCTGTGCGGAAGAGCTCGAGAATACTGTTTCAACCATGTAAGCTAGCTGTACTTCGAATAATGATATGCGATATAATCCAAATCAGGGAGGGTCCACGGTGTTGTACGCATGCCGTAACCGATCTACTCGACAACTGTCATCGCCACGAGTGTAGCTGAAGACAATAACCGCGAAGACACAGGCCCACAGGCACGGGACAACCGAGGCACTGAGACTGCAGTCTCAAATGCATATGGAGTTCAGGGAAAGAAAGGGAAAACAGGGTTATGGGGCCATACTCATTTATGTTTCCAAGCGGATGCTGCATAGGTTGCGGGTGGTCCGCGTCTCGGGGCCACAATCCTTCAGGAGGCGGGTATACATTTCTGCTACCGGGATAGTCCTCTTCAGGATCCGGGAAATCGTGGATTTCGGATTCCCGTCGTGGATAGTCTCTTGCAGGCTGAGGAGGACTCTGGCCCGGCCGTGGGCTCTGATTCACATACGTATCGGTGAGACCACGGAAGATCGTGTCGAAGCTGCGCAAGACGGGCATCAACGGATCGAAAGGAGGTGCTGCTTCATAAGGGTTCTGCGGCCGCCGCGGGGAGCCACCCCCAGAGGAGAATGTCGTACTCGTAAACGTGAACCGTCCATCAGGGGACCGGTAGGACCGACGAGTCATCCCAGGCCCATTTCCAAACCCATGCTCTTCTGCATCGTCCATGTCTCTCCATGGATTATGATCAGAAAACGGGTTAAATGGCGATTGAGATCGCTCCTCGTGTCGTGGCGGTGGTGTGCGTCCATATGGGAAAGAGGGGCGTTCGGCCGCGGGGCTTTCTGGCGGCGTCTCGATCTACACAGCAGAACAGACTCTCGTCAGTATCGCACGCGGTAGCTGCCTCGTAGCTGGGTACATGGAATACCATACGATTTCTGTAAATTCCGACTCGCAGTGTGGACACTGTAATCCAAACTCGTTCCTCAGCCAAACGCCGCCACATTGATGGCAAAACATCCGATCCCCTCTGTCAGCCATGGTTGATTTCTCAAGACTCTTGCGGAGAGAGGGGTCGTAAAGGTGACTAGATCGGGGGCTGAAAGAGAGAAGATAGAGTGATAATAATATGGTCGGATCGATGAGTCGCTGTGATTAGCGAAAGAGTGACGGAGGGAAGGTTCTTTTGTAGCAGATCAGGAGTTGTGGTCGGGAAGTTGCGTGTACTGTACACTCAGGCAGACAACAGTCATTGTATGGTCGGGACAAAGATTTAATGTCAGCATCGCATGGAGCGCGCAGTGGGGACAGCGCAGATAAGGCGACACCGACAGAGGTAATAACGACAAGAGAATAGCTCAGTAAGCTGATGGACTTCTAACCTGCTCGCCAGCTTGTCGAGATGTGCAGGAAGACAGTCTGGAGATGATGTGGTTAGCGGCCTTGCCCGGATGACGTTTGCAGCCCTGACAGCTTGTTGGCCACTCGCCTTGTCACTAGCAAGTTAGTTATTAGTTACTAGTTATTAGTTATTCTCCGAAACAGAGGGAATGCACTTCAGTTTCAGGGAGCTTCTGCATGCCAGAGCCTTGTCTCTGTCATTACCTTTCATCCTATCTTAATAGTGCTGGCAGTATTAATTACCCCTCAGAGCGGGCTTCTTCCGTAACCCGAAGCGGTCAACGGCCACGAGGCTACTAGGAGGAATGGCTGCTCCCAAGCCAGTCCGACACATTAAGGGCCTTTCTCACTGGATCCTTCTACTAATGTTCCGGGAAATAGAGTGTTTCATCTTCATCTGAGGCCACCCTCAAATAGACTACTCTCTACGCACGGTACCAGCTGTGGCTTGTTTTCAGGTGGAGTGAAGACAACATACCACAGGCCAAGAAACAAGTGAGGTATCAAGGCAAAGAAGACTAATCAAACATATCATTCATTGGCTTAGCAGACGGCTCGTGATACTATTTAGACAGATCATGACTATGCCAACAAACATCAGGCTGTCGCAAACGGGAACATTCATGGAAATAAGAAACGCCATTCAATGCCATAACAGCAGCCAACAGGACGAGCATTATTATGTACGGGTGAGAAGGGAATCGACACGCTGCACAGTAGATCCATCAATAGGCAATAGGCAAGGAGGTCGCATCAGCGTCTCCGGGCGCCCTTGAAGAGCATACCGCCAACCAGACCGGCGGCGAGCGCAACGCCTCCTACGATGGCGATGCCCATCAGCCCCTCCTTTGCGACTTTATCATCGATCAGAGTCCGTAGACTCGCCGCTTGCAGGTTTTGCGGCTCGTGTTCGATGAGGAGGTCGTTGTAGCGACGCGCTTCCGCGTAGTTTGCAAGCTTATAGTTGCCGAGTGCCAGGTAGTAGAGACACTCGCGTCGTCGTTCGGGAGAAGTGCGGAAGATTTCAGAGAGCAAACGCACACCTTCCTGCTGTTCTGATCGGATATTCGATTTGATAAGACCCTATAGAGTGTCATCACCTCCGCAAAGGCGGAGAAAGCCTGTTAGCGGTCTGCTCCACAACCACAACCACAGAGCGTAGCAAAACGCATCTACATCGCGCAACATACCCATGCGAAGTTGAACTTGGTCTGCACGCCTACGTAGTCTCCCTCTTTCTCGTATTGCGCACGCAGGACCTGCAACTCAGCAGGCTTCAGCGGGCTGTACGGAGTCAGCCTCGAGTTATTCCCGGTTGTTCCCTCGAAAAGTCTCTTGAAGACCGCCGCTCTCGATAAACGAACCTTTCAGCATCCGCAGCATCTGGAAGAAAACGAGCGTTAGCTGATAGATCTTCAATAACCCTCGGGCAGTCTCCCCTTAAACTCAAATATCCGGGGTACGCGGGGAGACACCTACATGGTAGTGGTAGATTGGAGCCCATAGCGACAAGGTATGGCGATGGAACACGGCAGAACAAAGACTGTAAAAGGGTCCCGGCAAGACGATCGATAGCAGCAACAGGGCCTGACAATGTAATTCTCCCAGATGATCGCGTGGTCGGATGACAGCGGGAAGACAACAGAGACTCTTCTTTGAGCTGCCAGACTTATCGAGACCGCAAACCGGAAAGACCAACATGTGGCGGTGCAGCCAGTGACGGACGCCAAGAACTGTGGCGGTTGCTCCCGCAACGGTTAAGGCGTCAACACCAGAGGCGATCGAGATAATAGCATCTTTGCGATTCTACTAGGCTGATCGATTACACCCCGCGCTCTCTTCTCCACTGAACGAGAACACTATTTGATTCCCGTCACAAGGTCACCATATCTCAGCAAACAAATTGAAAAAATCCGCCAAAATGTTGCTCGACGAGGATCCCGCGACAGTATGTTATGCCCTACAAGATTCAGTATCAAAGAAGAGACCATAGCGGTATCCGAAATGGGGACTCGCATCAGGGAATTATCAATGATGATGCTGATATGCTTCCCAGCTAATTCACCACACGATCGGCAACTTCAACATCCAGCCGGATAAGCTTGCCGTGACGCGCATCACCGACTCTCTCTCGACGATGCAGCAGTCGCGTGAGCTACGAATCCGTGAAGCCGAATCAGCACTGCGCAAGCTCTCTCGGAATCTGAATGCGATGGCCGCACACCACGAGGAAACAGTTGCTGCTCATGACTCCGCCAAACATGCCGCGCAGATTGTCGAGTTAGATACGAAGAAGTTCCGCATCGCGAAAGCCGCTTCCGAGCTGGAGATCGAGAGCGAGAGACTCGAGGGTGAACTGGAGATGTTGAAGGATCGATTGGCAGAGTTGGAGTCTCAGGGACTCGAGGGTGATGAGGCCGCCAGGAGAGAGAGGGAGGCTGAAGACGCGACATTGTACGTGTTATACCATCAACACTACGCGCGTGGTGTTATTGTTCTGCAACTTTGGACTAACTGTATTCTGTGTTGCAGACTCCGTCTCAAAATCTACCGATCGCTTGGTATTGATGTCGAGGCCGACGAGGCAGGCAACTATAACAAGGCCATCATCCGGAACAGCCGCAAAGGCGACGTACATGTCGTCAATATCGACTCAAAATTCTCACGGTTCTTCTACGCGAATTACTTCTGGTCTACGATGCAAGGATGAATTGGGACATCGTGTTTCTGCTCGGCGTTTTGTCTTCAAGGAGTATCTAGGATATCTGGCAGGATACCACTTTGTGCATGGGAGTGCTTGTTCATGGCGTTAGGGCGCTCGCATTGAAATGATTCTATGAAATATACCTTAATGTCGCTTCTGCTGTTATCTTGCATTAATGGTTGAAGAGAATATATGATGTGATTACATAAATACAATTATCTTATCCAGCTGTACATACACTGTCAATCAAGAGGTCACTAAAATCCATATTTCAGACTTTCAGACCTTAAAACGAACCACAACGAAAGACGAACATGTGAATACATATTAACCCGAGGCTTGAAATCGAGTCCTATACATCTTCCCTTTCACATCATTGATACAACATCTCCATCTCCCCCGACTTCAGCTCAAACAAAAAGAATAATCACACCGACATCAACAAGATAATTTACTCCCTCGCGACAAACGCCGCATAAGCCTGAAGCAGACCACTAACCCCGACCGCTACAGTTGCCTGCTTGATTCCATTCTTCTTATACCACACCGCACTCGCCCAGAGCAGCAGGATATTCAACGCCGCGATAGCCTTGTCAATCGGATCGGTCAGACGGCCCGTGTTAGTTTTGGACCAGCGGTAATTGACCAACGCTAGGAGGGGGGGGAACATAGTTAGTATGGTTATAGGCCTTGATGGCGATGATGATGATGATAAAGGGAGGGGGGGGGGAGGATATTTAAGAGGACATACACATGATGAGGAAGAAGACACTTCCCTGATACCAGCCAGCTCGAGCATACGCCTGGATAGTTTTAGGAAGGTTCTTGAATTGTACATTGGAGGTCCATTCTCGAGCTAGGTGCTATTTATTTGTTTCGTTTCCATCGTCAATTAATTGATGCGTTATATATATGAATGTGCTCGTTATTGGACGTACAGTATGCCCTGCCGACAGGAGAGCGAAGACGGCCGTGTTGATTTGATAGCCTCGCACAGCGGACACCATAGTTCAGAGATGATTTTCTAGGATATCTAGGGCGGATGGTATGTGAGAAGTAGAAATGATCGATTAGGCAGCGTGTTATATACCTGGTAGTTGGGTTACTGGGGCCTCGATAAGATATTGAGCTGGGACTGGAAAGACTAGATAGTAGTATTTGTAGGCGATCCGGTCGTACTGGTAGAAAGCTACATTATTAGGTTCGCGACCTCTGCGGGGCGATGATCGTCTAATTATACCGGGTGATATTGGCAGACCGGATACCTAAAGTTCCACCGCCGCAGTAAATTAAGTTGATGGGGATTGTCAATCTAACGGTGACAAGCGCCTGGGTCTTCATCAGGAGTTATACATTCGACCCCGGGGCTTGTATTTGCGGAGAGTAGTGTCTTCTGAAACAGCGGATGGAAAATGGACAAGCAAATCAGGAACCTTTAAGGATGGTTCAATATGGGGTAGATGCATGTCCAGTGCGGGGAAGAGCTTCTTTCCCCGGATTCACCCCTATTGTAGAGTGATCGCCGCATGGCGCATTAAAAAGTGCTAGCTTAATACGCTGCCACACACAGCAGAACAGGCATATTTCATATAGAGGGTGAATTGCCGCTGTCAGAACATTGGATAGGGCTATCTCATAACGAAGCCGTGTCAGATTGAAGGAGCCCTCCCGCAGCTTAGATGAATAGCGTCATAAAAGCTGACTCTTCATAACGACAGGAGACAGTTGACTACAGTAGGACGAGGATTTTCACAATTCTCGCTTACCGTATGACGATTCCACCTTGTGGTGCAGTTGTTCGGGAACTGTGACAAGCTGTGGAGCAGCGCGGGGTCCAATATCTCGTATAACTGTTGGCACAGGTCTCGATTAACAAGCTTCCAGATCCCAGCAACGGCGGTGAGTTATACCACTGCATCATTTGGAGGACCATGCGGGGTATAAATCCTTGGTCCTGGATAAGCTGGATAAGATGAGGCTTGCAGACAATCGGCACGGTTCCGATCTTGTATGCAGAAAGAAGCGGGTTGGGCCTCTCCTAGAGTCTGAACGCTCTCGCCATTCCATAGCGCTACCCACACTTAGCATGGGGCATTGGGAAGGCGTCATTGCAGCTGATAGAGCATCAAGATTTTAACTGTAGTAGTTACGCAGCGTGATAGTGACGCCAATCAACACGCGCGAAGGCACGTATATCTGATCTCAAACGAGATCAAGGGACTGATTCCAGGGGCGGGCGGGAAGTTGGAGATTGTAGCTCTCAGTCAACTGCTCATTTCTCAGCCCTTCTGGCTCGAACTGCCAGAGACATCCCACCAACGGCCTCGGGGAACATAGCTTGCACTTTCTCCAGCAGCTTCACCTTTCCATTCTCGGATGTATCCTGGCACTCCCAAGTAGCCAGCCATTGCGCTTCGATCCTTGACATTTCCCCCTCAACGCTGTCCATATCAGGCAACGGCTCACCATCCCATGTCAAGCTTATCTCTTTCAGAACCGGCTGAGCGGAGTGCCCTCCGTATTGAGTTTCAACCCCCAATGCCGCCAGCCCGATGTCCTCTGCCTTGCCATTCCACAAAGCTTGCCGAAGAACCCCATCACGCTCAATCATCATCCAGAGAAGCGGATAGCTGCTCTTTGATATGGCGTCTCTGACACCCTTGGTTGCCTCCCGTGGGCTAATCAAAATCCCCAATTTATCGCTCGTCCTCCAGCCCACCGGCGAGTGTCGAAACGCCCCGTCTAACTCGCGGACGAGGTTCGGGCCCAGTTTTGTCTTGAGCGCTTTGCACTGAACGATAACACGGAGTGCCTGATCCCTCTCCGGGAGGTGCCAGGTCCCAACTAGGTCAGTGCCTGCATCATCGCGTCCGCCTACGCGGTGGAGGTCGAATGCGAAGCGGCGGAGGCTTTGGAGAACAGTGTATTCATAGTGTGTCCCGACATAGGTTGTGCTGTCTTCCGGCAGGCCAGTTCTTTGGGCATAGGAGACGAATGAATCGAGGCTATCGTGCCTCTGCGATGATGCTCGAGGTGGTGTTGGCAGATTGAAGAGTCGACGTGTGAACGGACTAAGTTGGAAACGAGCGGAGCATCGTGAGAAGGATCGGTACTGAAATGGCGGGAAGATAATGCGGACACGACCAGGTCCCAGCGTCATATTACTATAAATCTGAAAGTATCGCAGCATGCATTTCCGTAGTTGACTCAAAGGCAGAAAGTTCGCAGACAAGACAGCGGACAACGGAGCTGGTAGACCGCGGCAGTTAAAAGTTAGCCTCCAAGCTCCTCCGCGCCGGAGCTCCAGTTCATCTCCGTCTAATATCAAATCTCTCCTACCACACCTTGCTAGAGCTATCGTTGGTCACTTTCTAGACCAAGTTCCAAAAGGAGGAGTATTTATCCTCTTACTCTCCTACCGCGCTTGATCCCTACAGAGCATCATACATCTAGTCCATTACTCTCGATTCCTAACCTCCATCATGGCGGACATCCTAACGCAGCTCCAGACCTGTCTGGACCAAGTACGTAACCTCCTCAGCCTAATTACTTTTCTTCTTCCTCACAAACCCAGCTAACACCATCCTCTACTTCTCCCAGCTCGCAACCCAATTCTACGCTACCATCGGCTACCTCAACACCTACCACGACCACTCACCCGCAATCCCCCCATCCAACGTCCCCGACGCAGCACCCCAACTCGCCAAAATCCCCAAAAACCAACACGCGGCCCCCGTCCCCGCTACAGCCGCAGCACAAGCAAAAGCCGCTGAACAAGCCTCCCCTCCTCCAGCAAACGCCTCCGCGGCCAACGACCCCAACGCGCCCCCACCCCCCGATTCTCCACGCACGTTCGCGGCGCGACAGCGCGAACTGGCCCGCGATCTGATCATCAAGGAGCAGCAGATCGAGTATCTGATCAAGGAGTTACCGGGTATTGGGTCGTCGGAGGAAGAGCAGGAGAGAAGGATACAGGAGTTAGGGAGGGAGTTGAGGGGTGTAGAGGAGGAGAGGGAGAGGAAGGCGCAGGAGTTGAAGGCGTTGGGACGGAGGTTGGAGAAGGTCCTGGGGGCGATTGAGAAAGGGATCTATGGGGATGAGATTCCTGGGAGGTGAATCATATCACAGAGCCAGGGCATACGAGGATAATCTCTGCACGTTGTGGACTTTTGGGGACTTTGAGCCTTGGCTGGACGGTGATTTGGTTGTTATTTGCTTAACGTCTCGTAATGATTCAATGAGACAATACATGATACCCTATGTGGAGTTACGATAGATGCCTCCTTGCTAGTGGCTTCTTCGGGGCGTTCAGGAAATGACCCCCTCACTGCTGCTACATCTATATCTTGATCTCGAAGGAAGCCTACACCAAAAGAAAGACAAAAGCCATAGGCACCAATTTCATTCAAAGATCTAACCATAATGCTGTCGTTAAGTCAAGAATCGATTCAACATGCAAGCGTGAGTTTAAAATCTCTCTGTCTAGGTACGGGCCTGTTTCCCGTCCTGTTTTGCGGACTCGCGTCCGATGTTCTGTCTTTAGATATGAGATGTCGAAAGTCGGGATTATAAAAAGAAACAACGAGATCTCTGTGGAGAAGGAAATTAGAAAGGCCGTAAATCGGCGAAAAGGAATCACAGGTCGATAGTGCGTCACGATCCGTGTCATCAGACTTGCGTCCTGCTGATATGGCAGTGCTGCAAGAGAAACGGCATAAAGGACATAAATATGCTCCAAATCAAAAGTCTAATAAAGTATAGAAGGAAATGCAATTGTATATGGAAAATCAAACCAACCCAATAAATATCATGGGCCCCTGGGTATCTCTAAAATGTGCCGCCCACACCCGTTTCCTCCGGTAAACGCCATGGCCAATGTCCGGAAAGGATTGTAGATCAGAAAATGGGTATCATATGCAGGAATATGGTTCCCTGCCGGTGAATGAGACTAATATAGAATGCTCATCACTTGAACAAGCTTCTATATTCCCTCATGCGTTGTTCTTGAACCTCCTTTTTGTCTATCTTGCCCCGATTCATGCTCATATCCGCCAGCTGCTGTTTTCTCTTTGCCAGCTCGGCGATCTTCTCTTCGATACTATCCTTCATGAGAAACTGGACGGTGGTCACTTCGCGCGTCTGGCCAAGTCGGTGTACACGATCCACAGCTTGAGCAACAGCAGCTGGATTGTACTGTGGTTCCATGATGTATACCTTCGAAGCCGAAGTCAGATTCAGACCAACGCCACCAGCACCGATGGTTGCTAGCAAAACAGTGATACGATCGTCATCTCTGAAGGTGTTGAGAGCTTTGTTGCGTGCCGCCAGAGACATTGTACCATCCAGGCGAGTGTATCCAGTTATGCCGTTGTCGTTCAAAGCAATCTCAATCAAGTCTAGATGCGAAGTCCACGCAGAGAAAATAACGCTTTTTATAGGACGCTCGTTCTCTCCGAGCGTCTTATTCTCTTCCACCGTATCGAGCAGATGCGAAATTAAAGCCTTCGTTTTTGTATGCGGACCCTCGTATTCACCAAGACTCTTGGCATGCTTGCGACTCTGCTTCGCCTGCGCCTGTGTCTCCCAGTATTCCTGGAATCCGAGGGGCGTGATAGTGGAATACGCAGAAAGGATCCAGCCCTCGCAAACTGGACACCGGATTTGGTTGACGGAAGAGGAATCAGACTGGCCATGGAGGAATTCCTCCCACGAGGAGAAACAGTCCGTGCAGACGACGTCGAAGCAAGGAAGCACCACTGCTATAGGTGCCGTCTTGTCAATAGCACCTGTCTCGGTGTATTTCTCTTCCAGATGTTTCCCGCAGCTCGCACATATGTCTGCTGATGAGTCTTGCATCAGAGCGAACATCTCGTAAGCCTTTCTATCCATTGCAGCGGGAGGGTCATTGGTCCCTTCTTCCAAATCGATAGCATCATGGGCACTCAATCCTTTGATCCTCTCGCGGTCCTCCTTATCAAGCAGCTCCTTTCCATGGGCACTGACCTGACGCAGGATCATCATTGCCTTCAGCACGTGGTGATACATGCGCCCGCCCATCTTCGTCTTGCTCTCGCCGGCAATAACGTTCATCATCACGTTGGACTCCCTCTTGAAAAAATCATGGAGTTCTTTCTCCTTGTCAGAGAATGTTAGAGTAACGATCTTATCGTGCCTAGGTGGAATGTCAATCTTGTCCTTCACCCGACGAAGAGTAAATGAGTCCACAAGCACGCGCAGACTGGCTAACACGTTCGCATCCCCAGACTTGAATTTGCTTAGAATAGCAGCAGAGAAGGTGCTCCTATCATCATAAGGAAAGAGACGAAGGAACTTAGTGACTGATACGAGATCCTCCAGTCTGTTCTGAATAGGCGTTCCAGTAACGGACCAACGACGCTCGGCGTTCAATCGAAGTATAGCTTGTGTCTGCGCAGCGTTTTGCTCACGGATCGTGTGTGCCTCATCGAGAACAATGCGGAACATATTCATCTTAGTCAGTGGACTCACCCCTCTCCTAGAACCCCTCCGAGAAAGCTCGCTGAGAACAATGCTGTAAGTTGTAATGACAAGATCATACTTGGCAAGTTCCTCGACATCAGTGGTCCTCGAAGGCCCATGAAAGACGTAATATGAAATCGCGCCTTCTGTAAGATGCTCCTTTATTTGGGCTACCCAGTTGTTGACAGCACTCAGAGGAGAGACCAGAAGCGTTGTGCGAGTATTGCGAATACCTGGTGAGCCGCGCACGAGATCCGCACTGGGTATCATTTGTTCCCAATTACGGGATTCTGGGAGTGTCGCTATCACTAGCGATAGGATACTCAGTGTCTTTCCCAGACCCATCATGTCAGCAAGAAGACCCCCCAATGTCTGCGGTGGTTCCTCGCTAAGGATCATCCCACTGATTATTTCGCGGTACCGTTTGACGCCGTTCCCCCGATATTCCAACCTCCACAGAGAGTTGTTGTCTTCTTCATTTGGCCCGAACCTGCGGGGCTTCTCCTTCTCAGTCATATACCATAAGGCCTGTTTCTGGTGGCGAAGAAGAGGAGTTGCAATTAGGGGCGACGGCTCCATCTCCGGTATGTTGTCTGCACTTTTGAGCTGATCGAACATCTTCATAACGGCGTTATTTACTTCCTCTGCTGTGCGGACTTCGTAGCTGACGCCCGGGCGGCCGCGCGCAGTTGTCGGCGTATGGGAGATCTGAGCACGTCTCCTTTCTGCGTGGGGGTTGAAAACAGGGACACCTTGTTCCACCAAACTAGGAGTCCCCAGCCATACATTGTGCTGGCCAAGGTGCCTGCCAACTAGTTCCGCGTTCCTTCTGAGGCCATAGAGATTGATCGACACCCGGTAAAGGGCTGAGCATTGCTGCCACGGCCATTCATCTGGGGACCTCTTCCGAACATCCAGACGCGCGGAGATATCCACCTTCAATGCAGGAGTATCTAATAGAGGCACAATGGCCGCAGCCGTCTTGGCATCGACTGCGCCGAAAACATGGTTGTAAGGGTCAGAAACTTCTATCCGATTTCCCATACTAGGTTGGTGGTGAATGCTCAGTTTTATAGAGGGCCAATCATGGAGTGAATCACCAAAGATACTCTTCGCACTAGGTTTAGGAACCATATGTGCTTGGATCATGGCACTCTCGATTTTGCCATAACAGACCCTCTGATTGCTGAGATCATTTGACCCGGTGACCTCCAAGTCATCATCCGCAGCTTGAGCGGGAGCAAAATCTATACGAGTAATCGTCAGACAATGAAACACGAAAATCAGTGCGATGGATAACGTCTTTGATGACTTACCCAGCGTCAGATCCACCACATTGGGCGTCACTGCAGTAGACGTATCCGACGTTCCTTTGTCCTCTTTCATCCACTCCCCGAGACCAACATTCCCCGACATTGAGAAATCCGATTTCTTATTTGCCACAGGCTTCTCCTCCCGTTCTTTCAGGACTTTTACGCGCTTCTGGGGTTGATCTGCGCGTCTCTCCACGCCGTACATATCCTCGATCAAGTTTCTATGACCTGTAGCCAGGTTATTTTCCACTTGATCAAAGTTCCGTTTCCCGTCGCTATCATCTCCACTCTGATTCTGCTCAGCAGTTGTAAACTGGAACTGCATCTCAGGCTTGACCTGCGCCGGCTTCGTCGCAAGAAGGTTAGACTCGGTGGCGCTCTTCAAGGGATTCGAATTCGATCGCGCTCTCGGCCGTGATTTTGCGTTGCCTCTTGGATTGAGAAGTTGGTGCGCAGTAGAAGCCGTCCCCGCCGGCGCTGCGGGGTTAGCGGACGAACTCGTATCCTGTTGGGTTTTGCCTTCCAAGAGTAAGTCAGACTGTTTTATTCCTTGGGTGGGAGTCTTCTGGTGGGAGAATGGGTTGCAAGATAAGAGAGCTGCAGGAGGCTCGCTGCTCGCTCTCATAGTGTCCACGCCACGGGTTAAAGGTATTGAAGGAAATTCTGCGTTGTTACCATTTGCGATCTGTTGTTTCCTGTATGCTCGTGGGTCAAGGAGCATAGCCGCGCGAGACGCCATGGCTCAAAAGATGCTAGAAGACAGTAATCACAGAGGCGACCACTCTGATAGATATGGAGGAAGAGTTGCAAGTCGCGACCTCGAGAGGACGCGCGATTTTAATTGTATGGTTAGACGAGGAACGGTCCTCGAGGATACAGTGAGGAGACCTTCAAACGAGACGAAGGGTCCCAACGAGTCGACGGAAAGTAGACTGGGCCTGCCAGCTGCAGCGACTGGAGTTGACAATGAAAGCGCACTGAGGCAGCGTTGAGATCAAAGCAGCCCACCAGCGCCTCACATCGTGTCGGGGAAAAACGAGCAATGGAGCGCGGAGATCCGATGGAGTTGGAGAGAAGCCGCCATGACGCATCGCCGATCAGATAACCGATAAGGGCACGTGACCGCATCCAACCTATGCTGCTCTTAAGATACCCAAGAGGATGGGGCAACAAGTTGGAGCAATTAAGATATTTAGTGAATGACCAACTGGAATCGTCAAGCTGCATTTCGATATTTGGACTATCATCTCTGCCATTTCCATTTGATACATTCTGATACCTAAATATAGTCTAACTGAAGGCTCAGTTTGTATCATACCGTACTCATCTATCGAGCTAGAAATCCACCATCAATTGGGAGGCAGACGCCTGTGACATAAGAGGCAGCATCTGAAGCCAACCACAATAATCCCTGGGCAACTTCTTGTGTTTCGCCGAACCGCCCCAGGAGGCTAACCACAGATGCGATTTGCTGATGTGTTGCGCCAACAATCTTCAGTGACTCGGCTGACATCTGAGTCTAGACGCGATCTATTTGTTAGGACAGCGCTACACCAAGTGAGACAAAAGACCTACATGGATTGCTCCAGGCGCAACAAGATTGACCCTGATTCCGTGATGAGCACCTTCCATCGCAGCGTGTTTAGTCAGGCCAACCAAGGCATGCTTTGTTGCCGTGTATGCTGGCATCTTAGGCTGTGGTCGAAATGCATTAATAGAGGCAATGTTGATAATCGACGCATTATTTGTCTTCTGCTTGATCATCTGCTGCATTTCATATTTGCAGCAGAGTGCTGTTCCCGTGAGGTTGATGTCAACAACTCGCCGCCAGTAATCTTCGTCGAACTCGAAAAGAGATGTACGGTCTGGAGTAATTGCCGCGTTGTTGATTGCAACATCTAGCTTGCCAAACTTTTGCACGGTCTGTTGGACGGCACGCTGCACCTCAGCGGACTTTGAGATATCTGTATGCACAAAATAGGCTTCGGCAGATTCGATATCCTTTGCTATCTCTTGCAACGCAGAGACCGTAGTTTGCCCTTCAATATCATTGATGTCTGCGATGACAACTTTGGCGCCGGCTTGTGCGAATAGTTCAGCTGTCGCACGACCAATACCTTGAGCGGCACCTGTTATGAGAGCACATTTGTTGTGTAGCATGTGCGAAGCCATAGTGCTGGCGATATTGACGGTGTGAATGGGACGAAAAGGTCTACCTAATGAGATATTCCGCTTAGAAATCTAGGTCTAGCAAAGATATATCAGAGTGGAGAAGCGAAACCAACATATAGCACTTGATATTGGTTTCTGATAACCATCAATGGTGGATGGTGCTCACAGTCCCAGCTGTCTTATTACTGGAACCTGACGTGCGACGTCATAGAACGATCGAGATCCTTCACGGCATAGATAGTTATCCATATTGCCGTCTCTATCTGGCCGATTGACTGGATACTGCGACTCGCTCAATTTAGATCATAGCAGGGACAGCTGGACTCGGTATCTCTTCCCCATGACAAGGATGATCATCCTAACAGGAAAAAGATAATTGGCTGATTTTCAACCGTATTAAGATTGCAAACAAGTAAGCAGTCTGTGAAACTAAGCAGGCACAATTGCGAATCAAAGTTATTGTTCCCATTGCGACTAACCCTGAAGTTGGCTCGCTACTGGTGCTCGTAGATCTACTAATCCACGAGCTATAGTCCTAGAGAATGGTAGCGTCTACGGTTGCATGTAAGCTGGCGAGGTGTTTCCGCTTCGATTATTAACAGTGCAGTGCCAAAAGTTTAGTTCGATCCAATCCAATCGTGCAACTCTGAGTGTGAGTATGTAGTCACAGGCTAACTAATGGATGCTCTAGCTAACATGGCGGACGGTTTCTCCGGTTTTTGCCAGGTTTTATATGACCGTGACACCCAACTACTTAGCGAGCTCCCTTTTGAGGGATCATATGTTGTATATTTTATCAAGTACGAGAGAAGCTAAGCGATTTTTGAATCTTCTTCAGGCTACTAGGATTGGTTGTATTTTGATGGCTTTCTGCCACTCGACCAAAAAGGAGAACTCCTAGTTGGCGAGACTCTACCTGGACCTCTAACATATTTCACACAACGCTGACACTTGTTCTGTCCTTATGTCGACCGTGGATAAGATTTTCCCCTTTATAGCACATAAGTACTGATGTTTAGATTGTAGGATTCTTCTTGCTTGGAAAACTAAAATGAACTGGGCCAGTTATTTTTCGCTAATAAATACCTATACTGAACAAATAGCTGTACGCAGGTTCGTAGATCGCCAGAAGAGTGTAGAACTGACTTCCGTTTAGTGTTATTTGCCTTTAGCCATCAGTAGCAGTCACCGGCCATAGGATCCTCTCGAAGTATTATTGGCAAGGGTAGAACTACATATTCCAGGGGTCTCTCGAAACATTGTCAGATGAGATACTTAGTGCTTATTTCTCTACTAACATGTGTGGCAGCTAATCAAGATCCGCCAAAAAAAAAGGCCTTATCGTTAAGAGCGTTATCTTCCGCGCTCAAAATATATCACATTGTATACGGACAAGATGGCATTCATAGTTTTCCTCGCGCCTCTCAGTATACGAGGATCCGGGATCACTCCCTCCGTCGAAGGTCATATCTATGACGGGTCACACGTTGCACGTCCAAATAACGAAACAAATGGGTGAATCCCCACCTGCTATACTTCACTCCACTCTCACTCTTTTGGGTGTTTCCCCAGTCAGCTATTGAATGTACTGCTAATGCAGTGGCAACCCCACGATTTCCAATGTGGACGTTGGCTTTCCCTGTCCGGCACAGCCAGCTTACGGGCCACCCCCCATCTCTTTCCTGCAGGTTCAACAGTTTCATCTTGTCCATCTCTGAGGACTTTTCGATTGCAAGCATTCTGCAGGCGATGATTCGCATCGATAATTCAATAGCGTTACCTTCCGTGTTGCAGCGCTCTTTCAAACGGTCAGTCAACAAACTCTGCGTAGACCGCTGAATTTCCGTATCTGGATTCTCCCACAGTAAACGAGACAGATAGAAGAGAAAAACATCAGGCGATGAATAATATCTTGTTCCATCGAGATAGGCACGGTGAAGTAGGGTCCCGTATATCCAATCTTTTGTTGGCAACAAAACTTTGTCCTCGCCGTGACCATAACGATAAAAAAACCGGAGAACGTTGACGCAGACAGCTGGGTCGGTTCGAGGCCTAGAACTATCAAAGTATGTCTGCCGTAGATGATTAGAATAGATTAAGGGCAATTTCTTTTCTTCAAGGTCAGCTTGAAAATACCATGAAGATTCCATCAGAAGTGGTGAAGTCAAGAATCTCAGACATAACAGCTTGTGCTGCTGGAGGATTTCTTGGTAAAACTACTAACGCAAGACACGTTGTGTCCAGATCATCAGGGTAATGGCCAGAAATAAGATTCTGGCTTCCTGTTGACGATGCTTAGCCCTCTTGAAACGTGACGGCATGACGCTAGTCGATATGGATTCCATATACCTATGAAGTAATTCCATGTCTTTTCGTGCCATTCAAGGTCAAGCATATCACTATCATTGATATCAGTATCTTTGCTAGTAGCTTCACGGGTCGAAGCATGAATACGTACAGTACTCCCGTTGCCTCGTATATCAAAAGCTGTGAAAAGTTATCGCGAATCTCCATTCCATTGCTGGTTACTGAATGTAGACGCTTCGAGTTCGATGTGAGAAACGACAGTCCTCTCTTCTCCGGGTCCGACAAGAGATTTAGCAGCGCCTGATCCAGAGAACTTAAGCTATCAAAGATGATTCCATGTATTCCAAGGGACCGAGCGGCCAGGATATTCTCTGTTTTGTTGTCAATTAGAACCGCTCGCGAGGGATCGACTCGAGTCTTTTGAAGTAGGTATTTGTATGACTTCAATTCCGGTTTGCACGCCCCCATTGCACAAGAGACGAATATGTCGTCGAAAACATCACATGCAAAGCCCCGTACATTCTGGAGATAGCCCCAGTCAACAACAGAAACATTAGACATGATGTAGATGTGAGAAATTCCCGGATATTGCTTTTTAAGTGATTTGACAAAATTATAGACGTCCATGTTCAGCGAAATCGTCTGTCGAGCTTTGTCAAAGATCTCAGCAACCTCTGTAGGGGTGATCGCAAATCGAGATGCAATTTGTCTGTAGCATTCCACTTCTTGGACCAGGCCACATATGTATTGTCGCCAGATTTCGGTCGACTGAACCTCCTTCAATAAGTGAATGGAAAGGTCAGATTGACCCACTTTTGGAGACCAGTTGAAGATCACATCCCCCAGATCAAATATGAGTGACCAATTCCCGGTATCGTTCATCTTAATGACGAAGGATAGGATGTCTAGATAACAAAGCCAAGATGCAAAAGTTTATTCAAGTATGAAGGGATTATCGTTATTCAGAGAGGTGTGAAAAAGCATCTTAATATACGTACTACGCGACGTTATTCCAGTAAGAACTATTATCTCCATCAACAGGGAGATAAACCTGAATTTTGGACTAGCCAGTACTTCTGATCACTTGGACGTTCTTACAAATGGTGTACCATGCATGCAATGTCAGATTTAAGTAGAAACTATCGATCAGTTGTCCCATACGCTTGCCTACCTCCAGGGCTATGGGCATGGCTCATGGTGGTGTCCTGACCGTGGGATGCACTAATGAACATTATCACACACCACCATTTATTTCCGAGTATTATTACCCAGGTTCTATGTTATACGATGCATCTGCACAGTAAGATTACCAATCTCACAGCTTTCTAATGGACATTGGCGCACTCTTCTATGCTCGGTGACGACTTTTCGATTATCTCATAGAGATAGGATGCACCTGTGTATTCATCCGGTAAGACATTAATGACCAGACGAGCTCACCTGGCATAATCTAGATTGGAATCTAAGTTTTTTTGTTGGAAGAGGGGGGTTACATTGCAGACTCCTCAGTTTCAAAGAATTGTATCTCCTATTTGAAGGAACAGCTAACTGCGCAACGTAAATTTACTTTTATATTGTTCACATACCCTAACTGAGTTACATATATTCTATTGAAGTGGCCTATTTTCGCCAAAAAAAGTTGTCTGTTATCAAGGAAGATGTATCAGCTCGAAAAGCTCACCGATCCAGGTGAACGTTTGCCTCTTACCTTCTGCTATGACTACCTCTCACTATTGTCGTCACCTATGGTCCCTAGCACCTGGGACTTTGAAAATCCCTGCAAGGACTGGGAGAGATCTCTAGAGTATCAGAAAAATTCATTTGTCCTACACCCACAAGCGGCTAATTTACCATTTCATTCGGGTCTTCCCGCGCGAGCCAATCGTTTCCTTGGATCCGTGATCGAATATAGCGAGATATTATTGGGAACTTTTGCAGAAGATCAGGATCTCCAGAAGGTTCGACTCCTCAATGGGATGTCACTAGCAGATGTTGCATGTCGGCAGCTGCAAAAGCCACCAATGGAAAGATTCATCGTACCAGCAACACAACTCTTCCCTTATGCAAATCAAGAGAGGTTGAAATTGATTGCAGCGTCAACGCTATTAATTGTATTACTTGACGGTGAGTCACACTTAGCAAGCTGAAGAACGTGAAAACGCAGGGGAAATAACCGAGCTTACGATACTATAATAGATGCTCAACAAGAGATCAAAACGGATATGGTAAGGTTTCCCGCTGGACTTTGGGACTGTTTGTTCACTGATACTTATTCGGTCATTTTCTATCAGCTCGAACATGCCCTGGAAGATTTCAGCAAGCGGCTGGCAAATAGGCCTGTGGAAAATTCCTCGCGGTCAAGTCGATTTCAGAATTTCATCGACGAGTTTACCCGAGACGTACTCTCAGCAGACGCTATCACGGATACTGGAGGACACGATGTCATCGAGACAATGTGCAAGTGGATCACACATGAACAGTATAAAGAACAGTTTGGCTCTGTAACAGAATATATGGAATACAGGTGGCACGATTCAGCTTTCCTGTATGAGATATATGTTGTTGCTTAATGTTTATCTATGGATGCTGACCTCGCACAGATGGACATGCGCCTGTGTCAAATTTTCAATAGCATCCAATGTCGATCTTAGTGACCCGAAGTTAGCGACATTTATGCGAGAAGCAGGGAACCATCTCTCATTGGTAAACGACTTGGCATCTTTTGAGAAGGAGGTACGAGAATTCGAATCAGGAAAGGCCTCTTCAGTGATCAATGTCGTGGACGTGCTCCAACGTGAAAACAAAATCGATGCATTGGAAGCAAAGCGAAGAGCATATTCGATGCAACTTGAGTCAGAGAGTCTCATAAAGGAAGAACTGGAGCGCTTGAAATCGCAGGGGTCATTATCCCTGGAGCAATGGCTATTTGTTGATGCGGTTATAGCGATGCTTGGTGGAAATGTCTTTTTCTGCATGACTACATCCCGATATGGTGGAGAATCATCACGAATCGGTGGTTATGATTAGATCTGATCTTATATGCAGGGAAGGACCAGCTTTTACCCTTCTAGGAAATATGGTGCGCAACGGCTGGACATCTAGCAGAGATCTAGATATCGTATGATACGGGTAATCTAATTCGAAGATCTTCACCCTTCAGCAGTGGCATAGAAGTAAAATCGAAGTAGGTCCGTAGAGTTACGTGAGGAGGATGCCGGAAGTTACAGTAAGACGGTGGCTAAACTGGCACTTTGAAATTTATGTAAGTTGGTTTATCTGCTATCGTGTCTCTTAAGCCATGAAAACATGTGTATGAGTTGTTGGAAATGATGGTTCTACCGGGACATAGCCGCTTTGGCGTCTCTAACAGGAGTGTATAACACCATTCAGATACATACAGGCCGGGTATTATTCGTAATCTGAGATATTTACACCGAAGTGAAACAAATCATTACTTGGACTCGTAAAGATAAGTAAAAGCGATCTCAAGACGTGACTAGCACCCGGACACCCTTGCTTTCTTTCTTGGGGAACGGAAGGAATAACTCATGTGCAAGCGTGACATCTTCTCGCGTCGTCTCGAATAGCTTGAAGTTAATGTTGCGGAAGACCTTAGCCATGACGATAAGCATTTCAGCTCGTGCGAGACTATAATCACATGTTAGTAGGTGCTCCAGGTGGTGTCTGTATGAGAAGGCATTACTTCATTCCAATGCACTGTCGCGATCCTTTAGTGAAGGCGACTAGATACTTTTCGAGGTGCTTGCGCTGTTCAGGATCCAACCACCGCTCAGGGACGAAGCTGTATGAGTCAGGGAAGATTTTCTCGTTATGGTGCATGAAGACACTGGTCATTCCCACTGGGGTCTGGAGTCTTGTTAATCCATATACAAAGTATCTTCCTATCGAAGGAAACTTACTCCAGCTGGAATCGACCATTCTTTATACTGAAGAGTACGGTCGGGGGCAATTCTTGCTAAGCGTGTGGAAACTCCATATGAGAGTCTAGAAGAGCAGGTTAGCATGGGATGGTAGCTGCGTGCAAAAACTACATATACATACCTGAGTCCTTCAAGCATAACCGACGTCTGATACAAATTACAATTAGCTTAGGAATGGTCTCAGTCGATCACAGAGGCTAGAAACTCACCAGATAGGGCATCTTTTCAAGGTCCACCAGCGAAGCGGTGTGCTCAGGGTCAAGACGATCTAACTCTTCTCTCAATTTCTGCAACTTTTCCGGATTCTCAAGCAGATAGTATGTGGTCCAACTCAGCATTTTAGCGACCGTTTCGCCGCCAGCACCTATCACGACTTGGATTTCTTGCGCTAGACGTTCAGCACTTTTCTCCTCTGGGGGTAAGTTGCTCTCGAGGACGTCGTGGAAGAAAGTAGGGTGCGCATATTTCTTTTTCTCCTCTTCGTCCCCCTGGGATGCAATAATAGAATCGATGAGCACTCCGCAGCGACGCTGGAACTTGAACATCAGCCCCATTCCTGGATCGAGTCGAGCGACTATATCTTCGGGGAAGGCTTTCAGCAAAGATAGCAGCCATGGAAAAGGCTTGAAGAATGCACTGCTCTTCGCGATTCCACTCAGAGTTTCACTCCACTGTGGAACGAAATCAGGGGCATCCAGATAATGAAAGCCAGCTCCCATTGTATAGTCGGATATGACGTCGGTCGCCAGACAGCTATAAGCGTGCTGGGCATTGATGGCGACGCCTGTATTCTCATACTCTTTCAAGCGATCGCAGAGTTTATCCGCTAGGGCCTGGATTTCCGGTTCCAACTGACGGACCCGCGACATTGAGAAATACGGGTTCATATTCGACCTCAATAGACGATGATGCGAATGGTCTAGGATAGCGATTGCCGCCTTCGGATTGCCGAACATGTTCGCATAGAACTTATACTTGTTGCGGGGGCTGTCGCGTGAATAGAGGACTTCATAGAAGTCCGGATCGTCTACATGGAGCTCCCAGGGACTGATACGCACAATCGGTCCTATCATACGATTCCATCGTCAGTATTCGAATTCATGAAACTTTCTCTTCTCGGCAGTGATTGTTGCACGGACCATATTTTTTGTGCATCCGGGCAATTTCGAATGTATACTTTCCATGCAGGATAGCATCGTAATAGAACTCATACCATGCCGTCATGGCAGCCAGTTTTGGCCCCGGAAACTTCGCTAATGGCGAGAACCATAGTCGATAGACAGCCAGCCCGACGGCATACAGTGTGTATGCAATGACTGCTGTCCAGATAGGATGCGAGAGCAGTGGCTGAAACGCCTCCATGGTGTCCGGGACGGACATCGAATCTCGGTAGATCAGTATATCACACGGATGACAACCATCAATTGACGGTTGAGGAATGTTATGCACGGAAAAGCGAGGATATGAATGGCAAAGCAGTGGGTTCTTGTCGGGATCTATCACATCAAACTAAATACTTTCTAGGTTAGATAGGCACGGCCCGTGGCGCTTCTAGTAGAGCACTATAAGCCAACTGCAGTAAGTATAAGGCCCAATCCTACTCACAAGCCCGGGAACATAGCCCGAGAAGCCGGACAAGGAGGTGCTTCGATCGAAGGAACACCATGCTGTGCACTATCGATTGGTTATCTTTCAATTATGGTTTGCTGGTTTCGGGGAGATGTTGCCGCGGGTGGGCGTAGTTTAGATCATGAAAAGGGTCCCCGACAGTCAATCAGCCGTTAGGATGTCCAGATTTCTCGTGGGGAACACGAGGTTACCGCGCCGTTCAAACCCCCCATACGGAATGGTATCCATGGTGGCTGAAGCTAATTATTATCTGTTATGATTCGACAGCGGACCCTACATAAGCGCACAGATATCCTCCTCCTCGTGGCGGCTGAACTGAAGGATCTTGGGTTGACTGTCAGTTAACGACCGTCGGCTTTACCGGCCAACAAAGATGTCCCAAACGCAGGATATTGATGCTGAAAGAGCTGCAAGCTTCCACCCACAGAATCCCATTGTTCCCGAAGTGAGTGTCAGTTTCAGACCCACCGCGTCGTGACGTTATATACTAAGGAGTGATGCAGGACGAGTCGGCACTTTATGATGACTCCGAAGACTTCATATCGTAAGCCATAGCCGGGTTCTACAGACGGATGAATTAGAGCTAATGGTATTCGATTTATCAGTGACGGAGGAAGCACCACGGATTCATTGACCTCGAGCGTGTTCAGTTACCAGTAAGTGTCAATCTAAACCTCCTTCACTTCCACTGCCGCAGCGTTGAAAGGGGTCAGATCTTTTGACACTAGAGTGTTGACAATGACTATAGATACGAGGTCAGTAGGCAATGATAATATAGTACCAGAGTTGACGAATTGACACGCAATGGTTTCAGAATGGACGTCGATACCACGCATACAGGCAAGGAGAATACGTGATTGTATGTCACCATTAGCATCAGCATCTCGATGTTCCTGAGCATCAAATACTAATTCTAAACTCAATACAGCCAAATGACGAAAAGGAACAAGAGCGTCTCAACCTGGTATGTGGACTTGTCCCGAGGAAGACACCAACGTAGCTTTCTAAACGCCAGAAAGCATCATCACATCTTCAGCATGGTTCTTGGCGGCGCGTTGTACCGCGCCCCTATACCCAAACACGTGGGCAATATTCTAGATCTAGGGACCGGGACAGGAGCTTGGGCGATAGATATAGCAGAGTATGAGTGCCACTTCTGAAAAACTGCGAAACGCAACAACTAACGCTGAAATAAAGTGAACATCCCCAAGCCGTCGTTACTGGTATGGCACTATCCACTTACCCTCTCGACACCCTTACGAGTTGCGATCTGAAACTTTATAAAACCAGGAACCGATCTGAGTCCCATCCAACCTTCGTGGTATGTAATACCAAAATAAAGAAACAACCGGAAACCGCCGTTCAAACTATCTTGTCACAGGGTCCCACCAAACTGCCGCTTCATAATCGACGATTTCGAACTCGAGTGGAACTTCTCGCAACCGTTCGATTTCATTCACGCGCGGAGCATCGAAGGGTCAGTGAAAGATTATCAGAGACTTTTCCGCCAAGCATACGAGAATCTGAAACCGGGTGGATGGTTCGAAGTTGCGGACGCCACAGTGGGAGTTTTCTGCGATGACGAGAGTATTGAACGAGCGCCAAACTTGCTCGAATGGCGCGATCGACTCATCGAAGCGAGTGGGAAGTTCGGGAAACAAATGGGCGTGTCGCCCAGATATAAGCATTGGATGATCAATGCTGGGTTCACTGAGGTTACGGAGGAAGTTTATAAGGTGAGTTTCTATCTACCCATAATCATTCCACTCTCCGCTCTGGCAACAATAACTCATATAACCCTCCCCCCTCCGTGCATCAGGTCCCATACTCCCCCTGGCCAAAGGATCCCAAATTGAAAGAACTCGGCCGATATCAGCAAGTCCTGATGCTAGAAGCTCTCGAAGCTTATTCGTTTGCCCTGTTCACAAGAGTGCTGGGCTGGACGAGTGCCCAGATACAGCTTTTGCTGGTCGGGGTGAGAAGAGAGCTATTGGATCGTCGATTTCACGGATATTCAAAACTCTATTTCGTGTATGGGAAGAAGCCGGAATGACTACCGATTGACTGATACCCGATGGTGATATATATATATATATATATATATATATATATATGTATATCTTCGCCATATTTATGATTGCATGTGGGGTTGGAACAGGGGTTTTATTAAACGAGGGGAAATATACAAAATCTAGAGCATAGAAAAGGAAAATCGTAATACTGAATACAAGATCTGATTTAGCAGTAACTCTATTTGATATGAAGTTATAAGCATAACGATGATTCTATAACTCCCAAACATGAACGGAAATTGATCACAAATAAGCATGTTCTGTCGTGCTTAGTTCATTATAAATCCAACTAGTCGAGTCCAAATCGACATCCTGACGAGATATAATGCATCGGTTTATGCACGCTAAGTGGCATACCTAGATAAGTCTGACTCTGTACGAACTGCAGAAGTGGGGCTTAGTATGGGTTAGAAGCGACTTGACTTATTATGAGAGCTTGATTCCTGTTGATAGATCTTCGTGGTCTTGATACATGCCAACGATATACGAAAGATGAGTTGCTCAACAAGATATTACGCAGTATCGAAACTAGACGTATATATATGTATGTATATCCAGTGTTTTTGAGCGGTTGGCGTATTCAGGAACTGGCTGCTGTGGTCGTGAAGAGTAGGTAAAGGAGAGGCCGACGGTCATGAGTCTGCTTCCTCAGTTCAGAGCGAGTGAGATGATACTAACCTTAGAGCTGCCTGCTAGCCTCACGATTCGTGACGATGAACTGCAATCGATGGGTACGATGCGACTGACTCAAGGCTTATAGGAACAATTTATCCCCTATTGTAAGTCACGATCTGATACAAAAAAAGAAAGTCAAAGTATGGATATGTTCGCAATGCATTAGTTCTCATAATATATTACATGGTTCAGAATATGCCCTTCTCCCAATTAGATATGAAAAGTAACCGGACATCTATATACAACATCTAGGTGAAGAAGGAAACATTTTTCCCAACCGGTTTGTATCGTAAAACTCAAAGTCAAAAGGATGATAGTAGAGAACCAGCAGCAAACTCCACATGCTCCAGGCTTTTCATGCCCTGCAGGGACTGCCTGTCACCAATGACTCGCTAAAACATAAAATGGGAAAAAAGATAGGGAGGAGGCTCTGAAAGAGTCCGAGTCTAGCACCAGGTGAAAACCGGGTTCTTGCTCTTCACGGCTTCCAGACGCTCAACAATCACTTTGCGCTGGTTACCTTCCATCCCTTCAGCGGCTGCATATCCGAGGTCGCCCTCGAGATCATCTCCGTTGAACGTGTAGCCGTTGCTGCTACGTTGTGAAAAAGAGCCCTGTTTCACGTGGCCATGAGAGGTTCGTCGCTTATGGCCTGGATCGGCATGGCCGTTGGTAGGCGCTCCCCAGCTCCGGGCCAGGTTTCGTTCACCAACCGTACGGTCAAAACTGTCGTATCCGGCTTCGCTCGAAGGACTCATATAACCCTCGTCGATTCGTCGGAGGTCACCGGATTGTCGGTTGCGAGAGAGTTCGAATCGGTTGGGATTTGGGAGCTCGCTAGACGGAGACCCGAGACCCAACAGATCCTGATTCGAACCTGGAGGGGGTGACATCGCAGCACTGATGTCCATCTCTTCTTCTTCTTCATCTTGATAATTTCTTGCTTTGCGCATCTGCATATCTGTCGACGGGCCGCGAAGGGGGATAGCCACGGGGACATCCACCAAGTCGTCCCAGACACAGACTCTCGTTCTCCGCGTGAGCTCCAGAGGTCCATGGTCAGGCTGTTTGAGTGTCTCCACCACATTCCATGCTTGACCCTTCATCACTGCAATCTGTCGCGCAAACATGCTCTCTTTGAAGTCATCGTCCTGCGCAAATACGCGCCGCAGCGCCGTCTGTGTGCCGCTCCACCACGCCGTCGATGTAAGAAGTGGGAGGAAATGATCTCTCGTCTTCTGAGAGAATGGTTGACCGATAAGGGAAACCGGAAGGAACAGCCAACCGAAGGGGAAACTTCGCCACTGCCAGAGAATTCTTGTTAGCTGCAGTCATAATAAGTTTTGACAGAAAGTGGTTTACTTACAGCATCAGGGTGTTTCCACGGCCACGACAGGCTGTTGTCAATAGCCCCAACCTTAATCGTAGCCGTAGCTTGCTGGGCCCGTGTGCTCAACGGTGTCCCTGTCCTGCTTATGGCTTGCATACCTTCCTGTCGTCGATAGGGATAAGGAGATGTGGGAGTTAGCTCCGAGTTGGTGGGAACGAGTCGAGCGGGCGGCGTCTGGTCATCGTCCTCATCGTCATTCGTGGCGCCATTGGTCTTGGGAGGCTCTGCAACGATGGAGACTTCTTCATTTTTCCAGTCGACCTTGATCATCCAGTTATCCAGACCTCGATCAGTGTTTCGCATGATGTAGTCCAAGATCACCAATTTCTCAAGCTCTTCTCGGAAAGCCTGCTTCAAAGTCTCAGTCCAGTGGAACTTTCGCTGAGGAATCTCATCGCGAGGAGATGAAGCGGCTGAAGGCCCGCTCTCCTCGTCGTCTTCGTCGTCGGACTGTATCCCAGAAGGTCGACAAGCCTCGTTCCACGGGCGTTTCTTCCTCTTTGGCGCATCCTCGGCGCGGAAGCCTGAATTCACCTGGTCAGGCCAGGGATGTTCGCGTAGGAAGACGTTTGCATCTTTGAAACCTTTCAAAAAGACCTGGAAACTCCCGACTTTGGCAGGAAGCGATTTCTTGCCTCTCCAGGCCTTTCTTCGGTCCCAGAAATCATAGTAGAATGATTTGGAGGAGAGCCACACAATATCGGTGTAAGGAACGAGGTTTGTGCGTAAACGAGCGTCGAGAACGTATGCGGCCGCCTCTGAAACGTAGGACAGATTGGGAATCAAACAAGCGCGACCAAAGAAGCAAGGAAACAGGTTCCGATGTATCCATTTGGTCCACTTTGGATTGCGCGATGCGTAGGGCTCCTCATCCTTGGGCTTGAAGACGCCCACGACCTTGCCTTCGCTGTTGCGTGCAAAATAACTGCCTGAACTGCCCTGAGAGATCATCTTCGGATGCACGCCCAGTTCGATGGCGTTGCGGACACTCTCCACAACCGTCTCGAACTCCTGACGAGCCCTCCGCTGTTCACGCTCGAAGTCATCCGACTCCAGCTGTTCTGCCGTGACGGGTCTCACCCCTTCCGGTGCCTGGAAGACGGAGTGGTGGATCTCAAGCTTCTCCTCATCCGACGTCTTGCCCCGAACCTTGTGGATTTTGAACTTGGACGCAATCTCCTCCGCCCATCTTTCGAGGCGCGCATTGATCGCTTTGATGTCGACTCCTGAATTGCTGCGTACTCGACGCTGGTGGTAGCCTGCGTGTTGGCGGCGATATTCGGGGGGCGACGAGGGGCCCGATGCGTGCATCTGGGCACGGGACGAAACAGGAGCATATCGTGGAGCAGAACTGGATATTGGTGCCGGTACGTCGTAAAGGTCATCTTCATCGAAGTCATCATCGAAATCATGGCCTCGCTCTTCCTCCGCCTGAGCAAGACGGGCGTAGCCCGAGGTGGCCGGGCGCTGTTTAGACATAATGGTTACGGAAGAGGAAAAGGCAAGGCCGTCCCATCGAAAAGGGAGAAGGGGGCAAAATTAAAATAGAAGATAGATGGGAATAGAACAGATAGTTAGTCAGTTAGTAGTAGCGAAGGACTCGACGTTCACGGCATTGCGGAGTAGTGGAAATTAGGAAGAGGAAAAGGCTAAGAGCCGGCAGGACAACACAATAATAATATTAGTGTCCTTTGCCCCTTGGGAGATGAAATCTGGAGACTCTTCGGGGCGTTGAAGCTTGTCTGGGACTCTGCACCAGCCACACCCAGGAGAATCTCACTTGGCCACCACACTCACAGCGAAAAGGACATCTATGGGAATTACTTGATGCTCAAGCCACAAGGATCTTTGAGCACCGTTTGGTTCAGCTTCTTCCGTCCTACAGAGACAGCCATGATGATTGCTTCTCCACCCGCGGAATCCACCTGAAAAGCTGCTAGCAATGGATCTTACCCCTTATTTCTTAACCTGTGCTTCCAGAATGCCCCTTAGTCTAGGCTGATGCCTCTCGTCGAATGGCTTTGGGTTCGAAAGACTGAGTTATTCATCTATCTGGCTCTCGATCTCCCTAGCAGATAGACTACGCTCTCATGCTTTCAAGTTTCATCTCAACAATGAGCTTATCCTCAGGGTCCTCCAGAGCGGCAAGACGAAACACGATGTCTGTTTCATTCTGGACACGCGTGTCCAAAAAGTCCCACCAAGCAGCGGGACAACATCTTTAGTCCCCGTGCGGCCACGTCCAAGGGATGAGCGTTGCTGGCCTGAGAGGTCGCTATCGGCACCGATAAGCGGAGGCTGACATGATAACCAGAGAGGGAAAAAAAATTATACATATATCATAACTATCGTGAGGACAAAGATGGGAGAAACCCTACTCTCGTCTCTGTGCCAATAATGGAGTCTCTGGCCGCTCCATGCAACAGAACAGGTCAGACTGTACGACGAGATCCAAGAGGAATTCTGGCTGGACGGCAGCAGCATACCGCCAAGTAGGCTGGTTAGGATCAGATTTTGACACGTTATCAACGTCCATGCTGTGGCACGATGTTGGCTGGTTGTGCCTTGGAAGTTGGAGCTGTTATGCATCGACTGATATGGCCCGGCACGCAGCTTGTTAACCGCGAGGACTACATATCCTAACGTGTACATACTGCTATTTCTAGTAGTATACGTACTCCGTTATTAGTTACTATTATGACTAGCTACATAGTACACGCCTTGTTGTTGTACTGATAAGACGCCAATCTGACGATTGTCATTATTGGCCGTCTCCTGGAGAGCCACTACTGCGTGTGGCTCGGCTTATCCGGCTCCAGGAGATGAATTTTTAGAAATGATCCTCTATCAGGAAGCATGTTCAATAAAGGGGCACGCAGGGATGTAATGATAACTGCCCCGGATTCTCCTACTAGCCGCGTCCTGGTAAAGCGTGCCGGGCAGAAATCTCCAGCATGCACAGCATTGCGGTCCCCGAACGACGCGATAACCAGTCATTTGTAGCGAAGGCGAACCGGCCAAGCAGCCGATTATCAATAACAGCCTAGAGCAGACGTTGCGCCCCCGGCCATGGCGTATCGTGGCGGTCGAGTGATCGAATCTGATGGTTCTCAGCGGGCTGGAAGTTCCTGAACTCTCCGCCGACGATCGCGCCCACTGTCGAATCGATACCGATAGTCAGTCACCGTCATCCACCGTCGCGCTGCTTCTTCTCCTGTCTTGCTTTCTGAGGCTTCTGCTTTTTTTTTTTTTTTTTAGTTCCCAACTCCAACCTGGTGATAAACAACTCTCCCAACTTCCCTGCTCCCGACGTGTATCTGTGCAAGATTTCCCTGTGCAGTTTCCAACAGCAGTCGCTCCTTGTTCTCTCTGGCTTTCTCTCTCAATTTTCTCCCCAATTGAGACCACCTTCCTTTGGACGGACCACCATCCGATCTGCGTGACAGTGTACGATAATATACTGTATTCTTATCCCTGTAGTACCAAGGGATCTAATCTTTAATCCATCTTCCGGCGCTGACCAGGCCCGTCTCCCGCCCAATACGCAATCTTGGATCTTACGACGGCTAGGTTGCTACGAGTCTCGAAGCAGGTTCATTCTTCCTCCACTCCCACCTCTCTAGTCGACCATCGAGACCTCCGAGGCCTCGATATAATCACCTTCACCACGGCTTCTACAGTGGCTCCTCTTATTTTCCGGGCGTCGCCCATCGACCCGACCTTGCATCCGCCGTCGTCGTCGCCCGCCCAATCTCGCGATCTGTCTGCGTACAGCACCAAGCCCGCATCGATTGACGAACGTTCGTCGCCTCGTGCCTCGACCGCGGCAGCTGCTGGAATCTCGCGCCCTTCTTCTACCTCTCCGTCGTCGAACGCGTTACAACCAGGTGAGGACAACAGCAGCAGCTTTGGCAGTGGCAGTGGGAGTGACCTCAATACTCCGTATCATCTGTCCATCTCTCCATCGCTTCCGGGGCTGTCAGCACTGGCATCCGTTGCCTCTGCTCCGACTTCCCAGCTACGGTACGTATCAGGCTCCATTTTTGGTCCTTTTCCCCCGGAAATAGACGTCAATATACGCATCAGTCTTATAGCGCGCCCTAGAGCCCTCTCCCGGGCTCTCGTGCGTCTAGAAGGGTGACCAAAGAGTTAGATGAAAAAACAAGAAAAGAAAAGAAAAGAAACAGACTCGAGAGAGCGTGATGATTATCGATCTACTACTCTAGCGTGTGCAAGATCGGACGAGCTGACCTGATCTACGTGTACCTCCAGAGCCTCGAGCCATGTCAACGCGAACCTGAGCAGCAGCAGCAACATGACCTACGCAACCTCGTCGCCTGCAGCAACAACGGGCGGACAGGGCAACACTCCGGTAAGATCTCTTTCTTTCTTTCTGTCTGTCTGTCTGTCTTATCTGTTCCCCTGGGCTCTCTGCGACGCTGTGTTGGGCTCTCGTTATCAGCCGGGGGTCCTGGCGTCGACGCGGTCTTGGCGCCGGCTGCCCCCCTTCGCACCCGCGAACGGCGTGCACCACCCGCTTTTCGTTTCCTTATCGCGCCAGACCATCAAATCTCTCCAGATCTTATCAACACCGCACATCCACCGGTTGCCCTACTATCAGTCCCCCTGCACCTCTCCCTTCTCGACGCCCACCCTCTTCTCATCCTCTTCTCTGTTTTCCACGACATGGCGACCACATTGACTGACCAGAAGCGACCGCAATTACAGCCCGTCTGCCAGAATTGCGGCACATCGACCACGCCTCTCTGGCGTCGGGACGAACTCGGTTCGGTTCTGTGCAATGCCTGTGGTCTCTTTCTCAAACTCCATGGAAGGCCCCGTCCGATAAGCCTGAAGACCGATGTGATCAAGAGTCGCAACCGAGTCAAGACGGCCGGTCAGGGACCCAAGCGCAAGGTGAGTTGCGGCCCGAAAAGAGTTTTTTTCCTGCCTCCATTTTCCGACCCTACCGTCGCACACATGCTGATATCGCGTTGCATGTCCAGTCTGCTGGAGGTCTCGATGCGAACGGCCTGAATGCTTCAAGATCGGAGGCTGGCACGCCTCCCTTGGGGTCGCATGGCTACCGTCGCGCCTCGCGAAAGACGTCACCCGGCCCTTCGGATCGTTCCAATTCTCCCGTGTCACGGACCAACACACCTGGGATCCCTTCCCTGCAACATCATAACTCCAACATTGCTCCGCAACACATGTTCGATAGTGTTACTCTGGGAGAAAATGGGTTCCACCAATCGAACACCCTGCCGGCCCTGCAGCTGAGGCAGCCGTCTCCAGGCTCAACCTCTTCTGTCGTCGACCGCCATATGGAAGCACCACAGACGTATGAGAGTCTCCTTGCTGCCAACACGTCGCTAAAGACGCGCGTGAGCGAGTTGGAGGTCATCAACGAGCTCTTCCGTGGTCGCGTCGCGGAACTCGAACAGAGTGATGCGACGGCGCGGCGGTCAGAGATGATCGTGCGCGACTCTGAAGTGCGCCTCCGACAATCGTTGGAAGATGCGCAGCGACGGGAAGATGACCTCAAGCGCCGTATAAGCGAACTGGAACACCAGTTGCATGAGCGTGCCAGTTTCATGGCCGCTCCAAACAGTTACAGCACTAGCAATGGCTCTGGTGAGCCGATGACCAAGAAGATCAGACTGTCAGATGTAGTGGACTACCCTTCTGCTTCCCCAACCAGGTCTCCGAAGACTGTGTAGCTCCTTTTCAGAGGATGATTGATCGACTTGACTGGGTATCAAGTCCTCATCCTTACGACAACGAAACACATCCTTTTTCTGTCTCACTTCGTCTGATCTTTTGATACCCCTTACGACTCTTGCCGCTGGCTGGAAACAAAGTTTACTTAATAGCTTATGCTTCTCTTACCTCACTATTCCTCAATCTTTATTTTCGTTCGGTCTTCTCTGTTTCTCTGGACCTCTCCACGTGCGGGTTCTCTGAATCACGCGTGTCTTCCACCGTATTGAGCTATGGACCATCACACGAGCGAAAGATAAGGAAACGAAAAAGAAAAAAAAGCGAATCGATCGAGGAAGAAACAAAAAAGGGGTGAAAGTTTCATCGTGTGTCATTTCTGTTATTGTCTTGGATTGCTTAACAATCTCTTGTTAAGTCGGTGCCGGAAACCTTGGGGACCGTGGAATATATAGAAGGATATGGGAGGCAGGGGTTGTTACGGGCATTGGACGAATTGGTAATCTTACTTCTTTTCTTCTTGGCCCCTCGATCGGGCATTGAGTCCCTTTTTTTATTACGACTTTGCAGCTCCTCGCGGGGCTTTTGGCAAAAAAAGAAAACTTTTTTTTCATCCTCATCTCACGACCTTAAAAGCCGAAAACACAAAATACCAATTAACACTTATCACCTTTACCGCAATCAAACAAAAATCATATTGTACCTTCTTCTAACATGTTAATAGGTAGAATCTACCGAATCTACCGACTTCTTCTACATCAAATTATATATTATTATCTTTTGTCTATCTTCTCTACTACCCCATCAATTTAGCTATATCGACCCCATCCCCTTAGTTACTCTCCTCTTATGCTAAAATAGCTGCTCCTCCCACTGCCACTGCTGACCCTATAGTTATAAATGTAATATTACTTCATGAATCTGCCTGTATAACAAGGAGCAAAAACACAAATAGACTCTAGAACATTATCTGAAGGAAGAAAACGTGTAGATTTCACTTCGTATTATCCTCCTCCGCCCCCCTTCCGCAGAGAACATAACAAGGTTATTGTTATCCACTGCTGTGGATTTTGACTAGGATTTGTTGATGTACAGATTAGACACAAGGACGAAAGAGCGAGTACTATGTATGCATTACGCCAACTCGAACTACAAAAAAAAAGGAGAAGAAAGAAAAGAAAAGAAAAAAACCCGAAAAGGGACCAGATTCTATGACCTAAAGCAAGCAAGCTAGTTCGGGTTGTGTATCCCGCTGATACGAAGCGACGCAAAACCGAGAACGGCACAAAAGGCTAGGTAGAAAGATAAGGGAAAGAAAGGATGACGATGGCTATAAGGAAATGCAGCGCCATGATAGATATTGATTGGAAGGACCAGCCCCAAAAAAAGATGGTTTTGATGTGGTTTTTTGTCCGAGGACTTGGGTTTCTCTCTCTCTTTTATTTTGTATTGACTCTCGAGGGGTTAATGAGAGGGAATGAATGAGTACGAGGATAATGATGTGATAATGATGAGGAGGTGCATGCGGTGAGGTGAGAGCTATACAGGCTCTGTTCTGAAATAACCGTACGGTAGTTTATGTTAGGGGTGGTAAAGATAGCAATCATGAGATGTAAGGAAATTTCCGCCCGGATAATGTATGATTCGATTTATGGGATGGGTGCGGAGGATAAGGGTGAGGCCTAGAATCATAGCCGTTGGCACTGCCGACTATTGATGGCTCCTGCGACGAGCTCAAGCAATACGGTCATGGCTGGGCTTTGCAAGGCGTGCTCCGTGCACACGCCTCTCCTGCCAGATACTCCAAAGGGTGACTCCGATTCCGGCAAGGCCAGAGAAGAAGGTCGTGTAGTATGCGGCTTTGTAGCAGCTCAGACCTTCGCGACAGTCGCGCTCGCCATCGGGAGAGACTACCGAGTGGCGGTCATAAATGGCACCATAGAGGAGGTTGAAGATGTTGCCGCTGAAAACAGGAGCAAGCGTCATGATCCCCCAGTTCTGAGTAAGGCCATTGATACCGAAGGTATGTGCGACGAGGGATGGATAAACGCCGAAGAGAAAGCCGTACGCCAATCCCGTAGCCCCGGAGATGAGGACCAGCTCATGGGGTTCGGAGATTGATGAGCCAGCCAATTGCGTCACGGTGAAGAGAACTGCGGAGAAGAAGAGGCACCAGAAGCGAGACATGTTCAACTTCTTCACCAGTAGGTCAGAACCGATGCCTGGAGTTTATATATGTTAGTACAGAGGGGGTTATAACTTCGCGTTTTGCAGAGCTTGCTTACCGCTAAGGAGACGCCCAAGGAAACTACAGATAGATAACACAGACACGTGCATGACCTGTCGTTGCATGATAAACTTGGAGTCGACGCTATCATCGTAGTACTTCCACAGAGCCCTGACCTACACGGATATTAGTATTATGAGATATACTCCACTGATATACTCCGGACTATCTGCTTACGCTGTTGCCAATGTTGCTAATAACGATCAGTTAGAAATGCTGCATCAAGGTTACGGACAGAGGTGGAACATACTTGATAGTCATTAGCCCAATACCGGACAGAAGACCCATAATAAGGAACAATTGCCAGAATTCAACTTTGGGAAGCAAAGCAAGACCTCTGACGTCTGGATGCGGCGTGTCAAATTCAGGACCAGATGTCAGTACTTCCTCCTCGTCCAACTCATTTTCTGGATGTGACGCAAGCTTGGAAACTAGGGACGAGGTCTCTTCCGTCTCTGCGTTTTGAGCAAGGCCCAGAACGGATGATCTTGACTGAGATCGGGCGCGACCCGAAGTCGATGGTTCAAAAGCGGAACTCTGCATACCTGCTTCAGCCGGCGCATCATAAAGTACTCGGCTCTCGGTCGACTTGGTTCGACGCAATGGTCTCGCCTCGGGCTCGTGGCTTGGTAGTGAGGAATAAGAGCCCGGGATCGGGTATATGCGGATAAAGAAGGACGAAAGAAGGATCATCAAGGAGGTTCCAAGGGCCAAAAGGAGCAGGAACCGGCCCGTATCATCCTTGAAAGTAATAGTCGACACCGTGGACCAGAAAAATGCGCTGAGCCCAAAAGCCGACAGAGGAAAAGCGGTGGCCGTTCCACGATGATCGGGAAAGTTAGAGGCAACTGGACTGCATGAGTACTCTGCGCGCCTTACTTGTGTCCCTGAACTCACCTGTCTTTATGGCCGCTGAGAAACCGGAACAACTGCCGAGGCCGGTAAGGAAGGCAAAGATGAGCAGTAGAGGCATTGCGATGGACCCTTGGCCCTTTTCGTACGCTACTCGCAGTTGCGATCTTAGCACAGTTCCTCAAACCACCACGTGCGGGTATACTGACCTACGTGGAGCGGGTAGTATCCGACTCCAACTGCCAATGCCCCCAAGAAGATGGCAAGACGCGGGCCTCTACCGTCAATCATGACACCCAATGGCACACCAGATGCGTACATTCCCAGATTTCCAGCAGCGCCCTGAGCACAGGTATTGTATTAGCTGTCACGTTCGTGAAGGATATCAGGCGTCGAAATGCTCACAATAAGATTGCTTTGCGTCGAAGATAGCTTCATTCGGGATGCGAATTGGGGCGCCCATGCTGAATATGCATACTGATGAATGTAAGTGACCGTCCTGCATCACGATGTTATATAGGTACGCTGATTCCCATACATTTGTTCCACATGCCAGAGCAACCAGAGTTCCAGCTACCACGGAGATAATTCTCTTGTTTTTATGCGTTGAACCAGCCATAATGAATTGAACTGGTGCTGCTGCACCTTCCACCTTGTGTTTTCCCAGTGATCATAAAGCAACGCTGTCCAATTTCAATAATCTAGCCAGGACGCGCGTATCAAACAGTATCGGCTCCACCGATACCTCTGGCCCGGAGTGATGCTGCGGATGCGGATACGGAGCGGGATTAGGTTGGGATATGGAAAGTATGGAATCGAAAAACACAATCGAAGGAAGGACAACAATGTAAGATGATAGGAATCAAGAGAAAGGACAGCACTGAGTGACCAGAAAGCAGATCATCCCCAGGCGGCGTTATCTCCGACGACGTCGACATCCCGTCTGGGCAGGCTTATCTAAGCGTCTCGGTGATATCACGGGATGCTGGAAGCTGGAACGTTCGCCTTCTCCTCTTCGTATCAAACAACAAACACAGCGTAAGTCGTCCGAGAGACGTTCCAAGATGGGCGCTTTACTATCTCTTCCGTTTATGGCGCTTCCCGGCGTCGGCACGGTAGGTTTTTCTCTCCATCGTTACAATCCAGCAGTTACTGACCTCGCGCGCATCCAATAGCTGCTCGGTTTCGGAGCTTCGTGCTGCGGCGCTGCGACCTGCTCAGCAGTATGCAGTTCATGCGGGAAGTTCCAGAGCAGGTATGTTCTATCCTATAGCCAGATACAGTATGACTACGCTAACGTCTAGCTAGTATGGCGACGAGAATCGCCTATGCGTTCATCCTCCTCGTCAACTCTATCCTGTCATGGATCATGCTCACACCTTGGGCGTTGAAGAAACTGCAGCATATGACCCTTGATTATATGGAGATTAGATGTGATGGTAAAGAGTGCTATGGTTGGGTGGCTGTTCATCGGATCAACTTCGCTCTGGGGCTGTTTCATCTCATCATGGCGCTCTTGCTTCTCGGTGTCCGGACATCTAGAGATAGCCGAGCAGCCCTACAGAACGGATACTGGGGCCCGAAAGTGATCGTCTGGATCGGATTTCTGGTCATGTCGTTCTTCATTCCCGAATCTTTCTTCTTCGTCTACGGCAACTACATCGCTTTCATCTGCGCGATGCTCTTCCTGCTGCTTGGTCTCGTCCTCCTCGTGGATCTCGCGCACAGCTGGGCGGAGATGTGCCTGGAGAATATCGAAGACAACGAGTCCAGGGTTTGGCGTGGCCTGCTGATTGGATCGACCCTTGGCATGTATATCGCATCCATCGCCATGACGGTCCTGATGTACGTCTTTTTTGCATCGAGTGGATGCTCGATGAACCAGGCAGCGATCACGGTAAGTCCCCAGCGAAAGTGCTATCACAGAGTTCACAAACTAATTGCAGCAGGTCAACCTTATTGTTTTCCTGATTATTTCCGTGGTTTCCATTCAGCCTGTTGTCCAGGAATACAATCCGCGAGCCGGGTTGGCGCAGGCGGCCATGGTCACGGTTTACTGCACCTATCTCACTATGTCAGCAGTTTCAATGGAGCCTGATGACCGACACTGCAACCCACTCATTCGTGCTCGGGGAACGAGGACTGCAACTATTGTCCTTGGTGCGATTGTCACCATGGCGACAATCGCTTACACTACCACGCGCGCGGCCACTCAAGGCATTGCTCTCGGATCCAAAGGTGGTCACAGCTACACTCGTGTCGGTACTGACGATAACGAGCATGGGCTAGTGACTCAGCAGCCCGTTTCGCGACGTGAGATGAGAGCCGAAGCTCTTCGTGCCGCTGTTGAGAGTGGTAGTCTGCCTGCCAGTGCTCTAGATGACGACGATGACGAGTCTGACGACGGCTACGATTCCAGAGATGACGAAAGAGGATCAACCCAGTACAACTACTCTCTCTTCCATGTCATTTTCTTCCTTGCGACCACCTGGGTTGCCACTCTCCTTACCCAGAACCTGGACCCGGAGGCGAACGATGACTTCGCCCCAGTTGGTCGGACTTACTGGGCCAGCTGGGTCAAAATTATCAGTGCCTGGGTCTGCTATGCGATTTACTTGTGGACATTGATTGCACCTGTCTTAATGCCCGACCGTTTCGGTTACTAATGCCTCTTGCGCGGGTTTGGATCAAATTGTCTTTGTTTTATGGAGTCATGTGTGTATGTATACCAACTAGCCTGCGACGGATCATTGCATCATCAGGATACCACTCGTTAACTACTGCTTGCAATCGAATATGAGGAGTTCTATCATTAAATATATGTTTTTTTTGGGATAGGTAATATCATCGACCTAAGTAGATCAAAACTCTAGGCTTTTGTAGCTGAGCATGCTCGCCGGAGAGGTATGCAGTTCAGACCGGCACGAGCCATCCAAAGCGGGTAAATTGGATTACACACTTAAGGCGCGAGACACGCGTTTGCGCCGACGATCCACCACGACATCCAGCGCGATGGAACGAATATGGCCACTATCAAGGCCATCGAAGCCCGTTCGGTAGGGTTCACTCGCGCAGTCATCTCTCAGGTCCTCATCTAACACCATGTGAAATTACAGATCCATCAAATCCAATCTGGTCAAGTAATAGTCGACCTCTGTTCCGTTGTCAAGGAGCTTGTTGAGAACAGCCTAGATGCAGGCGCAACATCTGTGGGTACGATATGGAATCGCTTAAATCATTCAGTCTCTCGATGAAGTGATAACTAACGATGATCCTTTCCCCGGTCACAGAGGTTCGTTTCAAGAACAACGGTCTCGACCTGATCGAGGTACAGGATAATGGAAGCGGAATTTCGCCCAACAACTACGAAAATGTCGGTACGTACTGGGACTTCCATTTCGAAGGGCGCGCTTTTAGGTGCTGGTTTATTGATTGGAGTTACTAGCTCTCAAACACTACACTTCGAAGCTGTCGAGCTACGATGACCTGTCCTCCCTCCAGACATTCGGGTTCCGGGGCGAAGCGCTATCGTCACTGTGTGCACTCTCCGATTTCCACATCGTCACTGCCCAGGCAGATGAAGCACCAAAGGCGAAACGCCTCGATTTTGAGTTTTCGGGGAAGTTGAAGAAGACACAGGTCGTTGCGGGGCAGAAGGGCACCACAGTGTCGGTGGAGAATCTATTTCAGAAGCTACCTGTACGGCGACGGGAGCTGGAGAAGAATATCAAGCGAGAATATGGAAAGGTTCTGGGATTGCTGCACGCATATGCGTGTATCAGCACTGGGGTGCGATTCTCTGTCAAGAATACGGTGGGCAAGAATAAAAACGTTGTAGTTTTCACCACCAAGGCGAACCCGACCACGAAGGAAAACATCGCCAATGTTTATGGCGCAAAAACTCTCTTGGCTCTGATTCCGCTGGAGCTTGAGCTCGAGTTTGAGCCCTCCGCAGCAGGAAGACGGAAAGCTGGACAGGACGTCAACAAGATCCTTGTCCGCGGACATATCTCACGCCCAGTCTTTGGGGAAGGCAGACAGACACCGGATCGGCAGATGTTCTTCGTCAATTCTCGGCCATGCGGACTGCCCCAGATAGCAAAGGCATTCAACGAAGTCTACAAATCGTTCAATGTCTCCCAATCGCCGTTCATATTTGCCGACTTTCGAATGGACACGAATGCCTACGACGTGAATGTGTCTCCTGACAAACGGACGATCTTGCTGCACGATTCAGGAGCTCTTATTGAAGCGCTGAAAGAGTCTCTGGTACGCTTGTTCGAAGAAGCTGACCAGACCGTTCCTCAGGCACGGTTCCAAACTGCAAAGCAGGTAGCACTAGATCAACATCTCCATGTTGGGACTCAAGGCAGTAGAGACCCTACAGGATCGTCGGAGGCAGAAGCTCCTCTCAATGAGGAGTCGACTGATGTTTCCTCAGAGGACGACCAGACAAGGCATGATAGAGCAAAGGCTAAGATGAAGAGCTTCCTGGGTGCTTTAGCAGACCGCCGTGTGAGCGTGCCGGAGCAAGTCCCAGCCGATTCACCGTCGCGTGAGGCTGTCAAGGCTACACAGGAGACAATGCATGAGCATTCTATTTCTCTAGAACCGCAAGATGAGGAGGAGGAGATCCCATCTACCGGCACAGGCACTGAGGGCAATGAAACCCAGCAGAACGTTCCACGGGCAACCAACGAACTGTTTGTGGAGGACGGACCTCCCTCGGGTCCCCCATCGCCAAACGAACAGCATATTCCGGCACTTCGAGCGAGCTCTCAACAGGAGACGCCAAATGTGATCCAGAATGCATTCGATCGAATGCGGCGTCGGCGGCAACCTGCTGAGATTGCTACTATCACCGTGGGCGACAAGACAGTCACCTCTGTTATCGGCAGCGGTATACCTAGAAAGAGATATCTGGAGGCCACTGGTTCTCCATCAGGTGCCTCTGCTTCAAGGACTAAACGGCGGGTTCATACTCCGTCGCGGCCGAATATATTCAGCCAAAGTCTGAAGGCCTTCGCTGCACCTGGCACACAGGTTGGACCATCATCGGATGGTGAGGAGGAGGAAGAGGAGGAGGATGTAGAAGACATCCAGGAAGAGGAAGAAGAGGAATATGAAGAAGAGGAACAAGAGGGAGGAGCGGAAGATACTAGATCATCTCCTGAACCAGATCGGTCCATTCCTGATGAAACCGAAGAGCAAGCGGAACAAACACAGTTGGATGAATCTGCTGTTGATGAAGCTGAAATAGAAATCGGCGGTGTGTCCGCTGAATCAGATGAGGACTATGTCGATGAAAAGGAAAAGAAAGCGCAGGACGAAGCGCGGGTCCAGGATCTCATTCGCGAAGCCGAAGAAAACGCGGCCTTGCCTTCACAAAGCAACATCAACCGTGCCGACAAATTGACCAAGGGCCTCACGCGGAGAGACTCCACCGTCCATCTCATGGGTATGATCAATTGTTCAATCTCGAGGATTGAATCTCAAATAAATGCCATCCGGCAAAGCCTCAAAGCATATACCTCGACCACTCTGTCGTCCGTCGAAGACCAAGAAACGCCACGCACTGCTGAAGAACGGCTGTCACTAACGGTGTCGAAAGATGACTTTGCTCAAATGCGCATCGCCGGCCAATTTAACCTTGGCTTTATCCTCGCGACACGTTCCTCTGTGGCTAGCCCGTCTAAAGATGAGCTCTTCATTATCGACCAGCATGCCTCCGACGAGAAGTATAACTTTGAGCGACTCCAGGCAGAGACGGTCGTACAAAACCAGCGTCTTGTCCGTCCGAAGACGCTTGATCTTACTGCGGTCGAAGAAGAAATCATCATCGAGAACCAGAGGGCTCTGGAGAAGAACGGGTTCATAATCGAGGTCGACGACAGTGGCGATGAGCCAATCGGCCGTCGTTGCAAGCTCGTCTCCTTGCCCCTCAGCAAAGAAGTTGTCTTTGATGTCCACGACTTGGAAGAACTGCTAGTGCTGCTCTCTGAAACTCCCGCGTCTGATATCTACACTCCACGTCCCAGCAAAGTGCGGAAGATGTTTGCGATGCGCGCCTGTCGGTCAAGTATCATGATTGGAAAACCACTCACGCCCAAGCAGATGGAGAAGGTCGTCCAGCACATGGGCACGATCGACAAGCCGTGGAACTGTCCCCACGGACGACCAACCATGCGACATCTGATGACTTTAGGCCAGTGGAATGAGTGGGATGAGAACAGAGCTGATGAGGACGATGACCGGGAGAGCGATGATCTTGATGTATGGAAGAGGTATTTCGAAGAGCACGGAGAACAGGAGGATATCGAAGAGGAGCGGGAAGACGAAGAACTGTGATAGATACGATGTGATATTATGGATTGGATACTGTGACTTGGGGCACAAAATTTGGGACAGGATTGGATTTATGGTGTCTCGCCATTTTTGGATAGTACAGTACAAATAATCATGAAGCAAGCCATTCTTGGTTGTCGTTGTTTCTGAATAGCTGTATCTTTTATACGTCAGGCTGTAAATAGTCTCATTTCCATATGGTTGGCTACTCTACTGATTTCCTGTTCACCTGCTCGAGTGCCTATATTTCGAGGACTTTGAAACAAATCATAAATAAGGCGTGGTGAACACAAAAGACTTTACCTAGTAGCCAATGCCTTAGCAGCCAGTATATAGACGTTGGCTTGAAGGGGGAACAGCTCATATATCCCGAACAAGGTACGAAAAGAAAGCCAAAAAAAGAGGAATATAATCCCACCCAAACATCATCATGAAACCCTTCATCTTGTTCGGCTTTTCCCCATCTACCACCACCTCCATCTGCCCTGCTTGGCCGACGGTTCTTCCTGCGGCTTCGCATTATCACTCATCACAACATCCCCATCATCTTCATTCTCAACATGAGTACCCCTCTCATGACCCTCCTCACGCTCTTCTCCATCCTCACCAACCACCATCCTCGCCTTTCCCTTCCCTTTCCCTTTCCCCTTCCCCTTCTTGCTTGAATAAACCCCATCTCCATAACTACCATTCTCCCCTCCATCATCATCATCATACCTCCCTCCTCCCCCCTCCTCTTCTTCCACCAACCTCAACGTCTCCTCCACAACCAACAAATCCCTCTCAATCAACTCCGCCCAATTCTGCACGTCCCCAATCTCCTTCAGTCCCTCGCGCGCCTGATCAGCCACTTTCTGCCACTGATCATTCTGCTTTGCCAGATTCGCTGTCGCGCGCTGGAGTTCGTTTTCCTGCTTCGTCAGCGCCGCGGCGTTCGAGTGGAGGGTTGCGGCGCGAGAGCGTAGTTCGGCGTCGAGGTTCGATCCGACGCTGTTGAGAGAGGCGGTGAATGCGGTGCGGGCTTCGGCGGTGCGTTGTGCGGGGGATGGTTGCGGGTTGTCGGGGAGGGGTTGAGGGGGCATTTTGCTGTAGAACAGTGATTGGGTTGGCCCTTTTTTCTTGTTTGAGGCGTGGATGTTTTGTGATGTTTCCTTTGGAGATTGTGTGGGATGGGATGAAGTTGGATGGGAATTCGATTCGATCCGGATATGTTTATATATATAGGTTCGGGAATTCGTAATTTGAGATGCGTGTTGAGATGTATTGAGCCGATGTAAATAAGTAGATAAGTAATGGGTAATGTATATGTATAGGTAAAGGAATATAAATCTCAATTTCGCGTTATCATTTCCGATCGTCTCCGAATATAAAAACCTAGAATAAACAATTATATATCAACAGGTAGGTAAGTATCATCAAGTATCAATATACCATTAAAATTCAAAGCCTCTGCTCAGAGAGATAGATAGATATAAACGTTATCTAGCATAACTGCACAAGCATAGCATGGAACGAGGGGTTATTATCGCCTTTTTATATCGATAAGGATAACTAGCTAGCGCTAGTTAAGACTAAGAAACAAATCAAGATATTCTGGACATTGGGTCAACTACTTATATTGGATGGACCTGTGTATGAAAGGTGGGGAGGGGGGAAGGGAGAAATGAGAGGGTGTCTGCCATGCATAGTTAGCTAAACTACTGTACCATATGGTACAGTACTTAGAGTGCAAGCATCTTCTTCCCTTCTCTTCCCCGCCCATCCCATGTGACATGCGCTAGAGCTTTAGACACATCTGCGTAGTGGGAAGAGGAGGCAAATGAGAGGTCGCTAGACTAGTTGGAAATTGGAAGGGACTTGAATGCAGTCTATTCTCTATAGGTTTTCTGTGGAGGTTTACCGCTAAGAGTGAGTGATCTTCAGGTGTGACATGACACTCGCATTAGTATGCTAGTCATTGGAGTATCTGACTACAAATTCTTCGACTGCTTTTTGCAAATCTGTTTAACCTATACGGTCAAAGAGGATCATTGATGCACGCTAGATATATTTCGAAGTCTGAGTCAACCTAATAATAACACAAGGTCTCCCGCTCCTCCCGTCAAACGCCAATTATCCAGGATGATCAGAACATGCACGCCGAGAATACGTGCGTGACATGAGAAATGCGATTAAACTTTGTGTTAGAAAAAGAAAGCGATATCATCAATCGACACATAACAGGACAGATGCTCGCTCTTGTACAGCGTCAATAGAACCATTTCCGAAACGAAAAGAACGCATGAAATAAAAGTTAGACATTATGTGGAAAACTGCGCATGGGATTGACCATGCATTGTTTCTCGTCCATGGCAATCTCACATATTGGCAAGTTCATGATCAATCTGGCGATCTAGGAATGCCTTTCGCTCGCCAGTCAACTCGGTCTGGAGTCGTTGTTCGACAAGTGCGCGCACTGCAGAAGAACACTGTTAGCACCCAATATATTATACTATTGACGATCACCGATCGTAGCACGTACCTTGCTTCTTGGTCACACTGTCCAAATCAACCTCGGCCAAGCAGTTCTGGATGGCCTCGGTGATGGTAGCGTCGTCGGGTCCAGCACCTGGTCCACCTCGGAAATCAGGAACCGTGCTGACAGGCCTGGAATTGAAACCGGCAGTAAGAGGGCTCCGTGAACCCTGTCTTAGCAGATTCTCGGAGCTCTGCATCATTCCCATGCTATATCGGCTGGTATTCATGGGATTATCCTGGTAATGGCTCAGGTTGCCCATGGACATTTGCCGCGAGTGGTTACCTCCCATTTGCGGGTGGTCGGTATACCTCGTAAAGCTGGAGAGGTGTGAGCTGCGGTTACCCGCAACGTTACCGGCGAATGGCGCAGGGGAATGCGGCGGCATATAAGGACCCGCCTGCCGACCATGACCGCCAAAACCGGTCAGGATGGTGGACGCTGGTTTGACCGAGGAGTACGTGGACTGCATATCGTCCAGCTCCATAGCCACATCATCAGTGTATCCGCCGTTGATGAACTTCTCCTGGCTCATGTCCGGGTTTCCGCGACGGCCTGGGAGGCCATTGGCAAGAGCATAGTCGTCCCATCGTTGCAAAGGAATGCTTCTGGGATCGAACACCTCATCCTCGACAGCGACCACACGCTTGTCTCCCTTCTCACCGATGACGACACGGGTGTTACCCCAACTGAAGTCGTCCTGTTTCCAGAATGAGTAGAGAGGCAGGATAACACTGTAAACCGGGTACGCGCAAAGATAGATAATCATCCAACCGACGTGCTGCCACTGTCGTTTGATAATGAAGATAACAGCTTGCAAACCGTAGACACAGGCAAGAAGGATGATCGTAATCAAAGGGAACTGGCCCTGGTGGGTAGCGGCCAGAACAATCATATAGATCAGGTAGGCGCAGGTTGCCGGGAGGATAATAGTTCCCAGGAGATCGACGAGCACGACAAAACGCATACTAAAGCAGCAGAAACCACACAGATCCTTCAGCACAGCCAACTCGACCAGGTTGTGGACTGTCGAGTTGATCCACCGACGTCTCTGGGAAAGCAAGACACTCCATGTTTCAGGTGCTGCAGTACTGGCGAAGGCATCCGGAATGAACTTGTACGACATGGAAGGGAAATGCTTGGTCATGAGTGTAGTCAAATAACGATCTTCACCCAAGGACAGAAGATTCTTCTTGTGAAGGGTGTCGACGTCGTTATCGGAATACTCCTTAACAATCTGATCCGAAATGATCAGCGGACGGCCTTTATCCGCAGTTCGAAGACGGTACATGCAGAAACTGCTCTAGGGTCAGCCACCAGCTCAAACAGTCTGAAAAGGAAAGAAGTAGAAACTTACCATCCGGGAAGACAAGTGACACTGCCGAAAAGGGACTCGAATGCTTTGGTCAGGTGGTGCGAAATATAGTATTCGTACACCTGAATCATGGTCCACCAACTCCGCTCTTCGTTTTGCAAACTGGTCTCACCGCAGATACCTGCAATCTTGGTATTATTGGCGCACGCTGCAACAAGCCGGTTGAGAGCATCTTCTTTGACACTAGTATCCGCATCCACCATGAGAAGGAATTCATAGAGTTCAGGGTCGACACCAATGATGTTGTTGATCTGATGGAAGATTTCCAGCTCGAGAGGTGACATGGGGGCGCGATGATGGACCCGGTTAAGGAAGTTGAGTAGTAGAATCTGAGAGTCACGTTTGCCTCGGTTTCCAGGCTTCGACTTGGTCTGTTCCGACTCCTTTCCAACCTTGACGATCACAATGTACGGCACAACATTACCTTCGAATTCATAGAGACCGGAGTAGACCTTTCCATAGTTTAGCTGATCGCTGCCCTGGCCAACGGATTTGAATGGTAAAGCGGGAGGATCAATTTTCGGGTCCACCCCGAGAATGTCGAGAACAATCTTAGGAGTTGGACGGTCGTTACCGGCACCAACAATCATTCCGTCACAAATGACACAGATCAACTTCCGCTTGTTGTCGTACTGAAGCGCCGTCAAAGAATCGAGACCTTTACGGAGTGCGTCTTCTCCTTCCGTGTATGCCGGGACTTGGCAAATAACGAACTTGTCTTGGGGAGCGGGCCGGCGCTTCGAGCCCAGCTGCAGTGCAGCAAGGAATTTGATCAAAATGACGGAGCAGATGAGAATAGTGAAGGCCAACAGGATATAGTTATTGACCTGACACCTTGGTGAGTCTCTAAAATCGACCTCGCCAACGTAAAACACATTGTTAAGACAGTTGAGAGCATTCTCGAATTGAACCGAATCCTGCCACTTGTCGGAGATATCCTGGCCCGGATTATTTTTGAAGAGGTCGGTGACCCCCGAAGGAAGGAAGTCGTAGGTGTCCAGGTTGTCCATCATTTTCAGCGTATAGAAGTAATTGGTCAGGTCGTATATCTTCTTATTGAGTATGACCCAGTATCGCTCATCCGTATTGGCTTGAGACTGAACAGTGTTCTTGGTCCAGACCAGCTCTCCCTTGTAGTATTCCTTGATCTTTGGAAGAAACACATCTTCATACCAGGTGATTTTGTGTAAGGCAGTGTCCGGGTTGGGCTGATTGAGAGGACCACAGTCATGGAGAGCTTGAGAATACAGAACCGCGTTCGTGTTGTTGTTCTGCATTGTGATGGATTGACTCGTGACGAAAGGCTGACAGGCCCTGGTAAGCGGAGGAGGAAAGTAGGCGTCCAGGTTCTCGCCAGCGAACGGCTGCATGTTCGTCGAAGTTGTCTCGATAGCAGTATCACTGTGCTGAAGCCTCCAGAATTTGCTGATATCATACACTTTTCCATGGATGCTAACCCAAAAGTCGTTGTCACCCGTGTGATAGCCTACTTCTTTGCTGTTCCAGACCTTGTCTTTATTGGGACAAATGAGGTTGCCAAACGCAATGATGTAGAACAAGACAATGAAGTTGAACAGCAAGATGAGGAATACGAGAACGACCTTTTCTCGCCACGCCATACGAACATCCGGACGTTTCATGCGGCCCACGTAGCGAAGAACGAAGGATGGAATCCAGAAGGTCATGGCCCAGACAAAGCCACTCCAGATCCGTCGTACTGGGGTAATTTGTTTCTTCTCGATATGTTTCGGATCGCCGAATTCTGGATCAAGTTCGCCCGTATAGCGACCGACGTCGCCATCGTAAAGCACATCATCGTACTTCTTTTGGTCTCCCTTGGTGCCCAGACCGTAGTCACCCCCTTGGGTATGGATTGAATGAGGCACGGTGGGAGCTATCGATCGTGATCCCCCGGCGATACTCTGTGGCTGTAGAAGGTTATCTCGGCTACCTTGCATGCCTATCGGTTCCACCGGAGGAAAGAATCCGGAGGCATTGGGATTGGGAGCATTAGAGGAGTAGCCGCTCGCGAAGGGATCTGCCATCATGAAGGGGTTACCCTCGGGTTCGTCGGCCTTGAGATCGAGCATCGTCTCGGCTTCCCACCACGGGGTCTCTCGCATCCATATCCTTTCATGACCCAGTACCACCTCACCGTTGCTCCATCCCCTCTCCACGATCCAATTCTCGACTCCATCCCTACCTTCCATGCATCCCAGAGGCATGTAACGATTATAGAACTCGTCAATATCAAAGTCTGCGGTGAAGTCGAGGTTCTTGTGCCGGCGATTGGCCCATTCTGGGAGCCTCCATTCACGGAGTTGCCGGGATACAGTACCCGCGGACCACGCAGATGTTATCGATGGCAGAGAAGTCAAGCTCGCGGGGGCGTCATCTGTCGGATGAAGAGCAAGATGGTACCAAACTCTGCTGCTACCCAGGGTAGTAGCAAGGTCGAAACGACCTCGTTTGCCCAGAGTAATCCCTTCATTCTCCACAGGGAACAAGACCTGTTGCAGGAAAGCACCTGTCTCGATTTCGGCAGCCACCTTTTCCAGTACATTCTGCCTTTTATCATTCGCACGCTCTCTGTCACGGCTGGTAAGATTGTTCGTGATACCCAGATCAGGTCCAACTGCAGCCACTGCATTTCTCATTTCATTGAGGACAGACTGGCCGGCAGGTATGATGTCAAGACCGTCTTCTTTCATCTCTGCATTGATCCCTAGGCTATCATCGAAGATGCCCCTCATAGCGACCGCTTTGCCTAGAGCAGGATCTGGGATGTCGACGATGGTGATGCCGACAGTATCGGCACTATCATCGTCTGAGAATGGGCTCCTGGCCCCTTGCCCACCTTGACTGGACCCATTTTCCTGCGCATTCTGCAGTTCGCTCGCAATGGCTTCATTTGCCTTGCTGATGATCCAATCGACTAATGCTTCGTAGATTCCAGCAATCAAGACTTCCCTCTCGTCTGTGGAGCACTTCTCCATGAGAACCTCAGGTTCGATATCCAGAAGGGCCCCGACATCCTCACAGGTCTCTTCGAGTTCTTCCTGGTCAACCATGAAACCGACCGCGTTGCCCAACTTCAGCAGACCGGCCAGGACAGAGAGCAAACCTCTCAGAGAGGCACCCTTGATACCGATAGCTTTCAGGGACGCTCTGAGGTCCTCTGCAGACGCTGCATCATCCGCTGTGGGCACATAGGATGGAGCATCATAAGTGTTGGACCTGTTGAGCAGAGCGTATGCGGAGGGATCCTTCAAGCTGAGGAACTCTCTCTCTGCTGGGGTGGACGCCGATGTGACGAGGTAGTAGAAGACATCGAAGGCACGGAATCCAGACTGCGCAGGTATGTTCAGGAGGCCTTCTGTCGTGTCGATACCAGAGGTTGCTAGGGCGAGAGATAGACCAGTCACCGCTCCTCGAAGGGTAAATGTGTAGGACACTGCGAGAGACGAGTGACGGCCGTAGGACGGGTTAAATGGAGTTACCGTATACAGGAACGGACGAAGGGCAGACAGAGCCGTAAATGCGATCGGGGGAGTCGATAGCGGGAGGGAAGAGAGAAATGGCACCAACAAGGAAGGTGTCGAATGATGCATGGAGCTGTTTTCCTGTCAGCGTGTGCTCTGCGCCTCTTTCTGCATCTTGGTCTGTGGAAGCCAAATTCATCGTGACGCTTACCATAGAACGACACAGCCATCTTCTGCTCGTCGTCTGGCATGTTCCCATGCCTTTGTTGCCAGCTCTGGGTCGACCACACCTCCCGTCGAGCCATCAGGACCGGTCTGAGAAGCGGTTAACCATGTATTTACCACCACACTGGACCCCGAATCTAGCTGGTACGGTCGCCCGGTAGCGTAGAAAGTGTGAAGTGTATTCAGCAAGGTGGTCGTGGACACCTGCGCTCCTTGCTGCGCCGCGGAGCGCAGTCCAGGAGCTGGAGCTGGAGGAGGGGCCGAGGAGTTCGAGTATATCGAGTAGCGAGTGGACATGCCGGCCATTTTGATCTATTCAGCTAGTGATGTGAAAGAAAAACAGTCTCTCTGCAGCGATGCCGCGATATAGCCGCCAAATCGGGGCAGTTGAACGAGCGTGATGGGACGTGTGCCGTCAAAACATCTGCCGTCGAGGGTTGCTGTACAGCCGACAGCAATGGCGGCGCAAGAGACAAAGCGACCAACGAACCGATATTCAACCTTTCTGGCCTGATCACGAAATCAAGGACCTGTCCACATCAACAAGATGTTAGTGAGCCTCAGATTAAAGAGTGTCTTATTATTCATGTACCCTGTGTGACCTCGAGCGTGGAACGAAAGAAGCGGGAAAACGAAGGTAACTAGAACGAACGGTGAGAGTGCAAGAATCGCTGCGTCAAACTGACAGCGCAAAAAACAAAACACACACACGTCCTGCAACGACGTCGTTCTGGAGAAGAAGATCGTACGGCAAAAGATCGAAGCTGGCCGGGTCGTCTGGATTGTTGATCTAGAGTAGGATAGTTTAGTTAATTACCCCGTTCTGGCAGCGTATCGAAAGATTACCGGGTGCTTTGTAATTCTGGAGCATGGGCATGGGCGCACTATTAATTACAAGATCGACCGCGTACAGTACATACATGTACAGACGTAGTGAGTTAGTTCGTTACGGCTACTTAGTTTAGCAACCTCCTAACCCTTCACGGTGGATTGCAGTGCGATCCGGGCGATGAGCTAGCGGGATCGTCTGCCTGTCTCCGACTCGAGCAGATCCCAGCGTCCAGACATGTCCAATCAGTATGCCGACAATCTCAGACACTCTACCACACGAGGGAGGGCAGTCGAAATGCCAGCGTTATTTGGAGACCACACAAATAACGAGAATAATCCCCTGCCAATATCTGGCTCAACTAACGAATGATAGCCAAAACGTGTAACGATCCGTACGGAGAGAGGTGTGCCTGGAGAGCCAGGCAGCCAATCAACAACAGGCGGATCCCCGGCGCATCTGAGACGCCGTCGCTATATTTGGCTGTCTTTTGTTGCGCTTAGCTGTCTAGACTCCCAGAGTGCCAATAATCCTGGAGAGTACTCTTCTAGAGGATTACTCCAAGCATTTCTCTGCGCTGCTGCCATCTTCCATCGTGCTGATGTCTCCTATTTCTGACCCACACCCTGAATTTGATATCTGGATCTGATGGAGTGGATTGGCTTTAAGCCTTTAACAGACGTCAATAATTCTCGCGTCGAGCAGGTTCCGTCGCGTCCCACAGTTGACCCGGTAACTAAATACTCTAGAGTAGAGATCTGTCAGAACCGCGGGAAAAGACATGCTCAGGGAACAACCAACGAGAGCTTCACTGCGTTGGCAACTCTGCTTCCACCGCCTTCCGTCTTCTTCCTAGTGTGCTGATGTGATCACTGATCACCGACGGCAATCCTCAGGGTCTCAACCTTCTTGCGAAGTTACCACGGTTTCTCAGTCCCGATCCACCTCTCCTGAACATGACCGTCTGCAACTCTGCCAGTGTTGGTTGATTCGATGCTTCGACCTGCCCTCCTGAGAGCCGTGTGTTCTTGACGGTATCCGCCCAGATCAGAGCGTCTCCATAATTGGTATTGCCCCTCATCCCATACGGGATCCGTCAATAATAATAATAGTATACTCGAACCGCCGGGAAGCTGGAATATGATCTCATCATCCTCTTCAGATGTGGTTGGTACTCTCGACCAGATATGTTCATAGTGTGCTTTCTATCCTCACCATCCCAGTTCCAGTTCACCACGACAGAGCACACTTCTCTCGATCCGCTTAGTCAGGAGAACAGGAGAGGCGCCACCAATAACTAAGTAAAGAACCGAGAGTGACAGTCACACCCATACGGCCAGAACTTCAGAGAAGCGATTACCGCGGGCTTATCCGATGGCAACCATCATGAGACCTGAATAATACATAATGGCATGGGCGATGAATATGTGCGGCGCTGATGATACCTCTAGAAGGCACTAGTGTCGGAAGACCGATGGGGCATTGGACTGGTCTCAAACCGGAGGGCGAACGGCTAGAAGCCTTCTTGACGGCTTGTTCTTGTTGGCAGCATGGAGCCCGGACGGCGACTAGACTACTGCGATCTGGTCTCTGCCGGACGCTCGATGGGGCTAACAAGGTCTTGTCGAGCTAGATCGCCTGAGTTAGCCACTCTCTAGTATCCCAGAATAGGAACCACTTTCTCCAGACGATATCGCGAGCATCGCGACTGGTTGTGAGAGAGTTAGTTGGTCTTGTTGCTTGTGTATGCGTATCAATACCAAATTTACGCGGGCGGTGTTTGGGCCCTTCCCTGCCACCCCGCCCAAACACCCAGTCACCCACATCCCAGCATTCTGTAGCGTATCGTATCGTATCGTATCATAACCGTACAGTGACCCCAGACGTCCCAGTCCAGCGGTTTCGACAAAGCAAAACACTCGGCCGGTCGAAGGCTTGCGAAACAACATTCCACGGCCCTTGCCTTGGGATACCCTTTGTGCTTGATTCTTCGTGTGTTTTTTTTTTTCTTTGCTTCCTCGGTCCTCTCCGTTCGTTGTCCATGTCGACGTAATCTCCCCCTTCAGGATATTCGATCACTTCAGATCTCCTGAAGGCGTGGACGGCCACATTCGCTTTGTGCTGGACCCAGGACCGATGAATGCTCGTGCTTGACAAAATATCATCCCACATTCGCTATCCCCCCAAACGCTTAGACAGACTCCGGTAGGGGGCCTGTCGATTGTGTGACACCTCCATACCTATCGATCTGCAACATTCCCGGCTAAACTATCGCGGATTCCTCAGAACCACGTTTGTGAGGCAGCCAGCGTCTGGGCGTGTTTCTCCGGGTATCATCGGTTGCAGCGTCTGGACGATACGAAGCGTGTGAATCGAGAATCCGGTCGCCTGCGAGAACTTCTCTGTGAAGCGACCGACAGAAGCAGATACACACCTCCAAGTTGTCGGCCGCAGTGTCGAGACGGCGACACCGGCAAAGATGGCTACACATTCGTTTTCCGGGAGCGCACCCTCCCACGCTCAGTCGTCGTTACCATCATTGCCCGCACATTTGCAATCAGATACGCATTTGACGGCCCATCTTGCTAGCAGGTATTTCAATCTTGGTTCTGTGGTCATCTTGAACAACGATGCTGATACTTGCGGCACAGGTTCCATGTTTCTCTGCCTACAGCCCGGCTATCGTCACAAGCTCTAATATGTCTCAACACTTACACATCCTCTGCCAAAGGCCCCGATGGGGGGAAGGAGGGGAGTGCGATGGGTGAAGCAGAGGACCTGGCCAGGCGGGCATGGACCAGGTTAGGTGCGCGTGGAGAGAACCAAGCCATTGTATTCCTGTGAGTCTCAATCGACGAGAATACAAGACACTTCACAAACAGACAAAGCTGACGGTGATCGTGTAGGGGCGAATCAGGCGCTGGAAAGACCACTATCCGGTCGCATTTGCTGTCATCGTTTCTCTCGTTTTCCTCCACGCCGCTGTCGACGAAGCTTTCCCTTGCTGCTTTCGTCTTCGACTCGTTGACGACGACCAAGACGGTCACGACTCCGACCGCGTCGAAAGCCGGTCTTTTTTTCGAACTGCAGTACGATGGTTCGTCGTCGGTGAATCCGACCCTGATCGGTGGTAAGATTATCGATCACCGGTTGGAACGCAGCCGCATTGCAGCAGTTCCCACGGGAGAGCGCAGCTTCCATGTGTTGTATTATTTGCTAGCTGGTACCAGTGCTGCAGAAAAGGCTCATCTGGGATTTGATAACTCGATCAATATCACCTCTGGTGGTACGGGCAATCTGTCGTCAGGAACAGTGAAGCACAAGAGATGGCGCTATCTGGGTCACCCTACCCAACTCAAAGTTGGAATCAACGACGCAGAAGGCTTCCAGCACTTCAAGACGGCATTGAGAAAGCTCGAATTTCCTCGAAGCGATATTGCGGAAATCTGCCAGATCCTCGCCAGTATCCTTCATCTCGGACAGCTCGAGTTCACGACCGGCCAAGCCACAACGACAGCGGCAGAAGAAAGCGGCGGATACTCCCACGAAGGAGGAGAAACAGTAACTGTCGTGAAAAACAAAAATGCTCTCGAAATCGTGGCGGCATTCTTGGGTCTTAGTATGTACGATCTCGAGACCAGTCTCGGATATAAGACGAAGACGATCCACCGGGAACGCGTCACCATCATGCTAGACCCCCAGGGCGCGCGAGCAAACGCTGACGAACTCGCTCGTACTCTGTACTCTCTTCTTGTCGCCTACGTGATCGAGAACGTCAACCAGAGAATCTGTGCGGCTGAAGACAGCGTTGCTAACACCGTATCCATCGTCGATTTCCCCGGATTCGCCCAGGTATCCTCTACCGGCTCCACCTTGGACCAGCTTCTAAGCAACGCCGCTGCCGAATGTCTCTACAACTACTGTCTTCAGAGTTTCTTTGATCGCAAGGCCGATGCGTTGGAGCGGGAGGAGGTCAGTGTGGCCGCAACAAGCTACTTCGACAACACCGACGCGGTGCGGGGACTCCTTAAATCTGGAAATGGCCTTCTCAGTATCCTGGATGACCAGACACGACGTGGCAGAACCGACGCTCAGTTCCTGGAAAGTCTGCGGAAGCGTTTTGAGAATAAGAACCCCGCCATCGTCGTTGAGTCCGCTACGGCGGTTCTGCCCGGAAGCAACTTTGTCAGTCCCAATGCTGCCGCTGCATTCACGGTGAAGCACTTTGCAGGAGAGGTCGATTACCCTGTGGAAGGCCTAGTAGAGGCTAATGGAGACATCGTCCCCGGTGACCTCATGAACTTGATCAACTCTACCAAGAGTGATTTCGTCCGTTCTCTGTTTGGGCAGGAGGCCTTGCAGACGATCACCCACCCTAAAGAGAAGACCGCCATCATGCAGGCGCAGGTGAGCTCCAAGCCGCAAAGAATGCCTAGTCTGGCGAGGCGCAAAGACAGTCCTCCAAGATTGTCGTCAATGGGCACGAGAATCAGCGAAGAGGCCGAAGATAGCAGCCACGCAGGTAGCATGACCAAGACTGGGGCCGGTAGGAGGAAAGGCACAATGCTTTCTCCCAAGCAGGGTGCAGCAGGCCAATTCCTAGCTTCACTTGATATTATCAACAAGTCCCTCAGCGCACCCAATGTCAATCCCTATTTCGTCTTCTGCTTGAAGCCCAACGATCGCAGGATTGCCAACCAGTTCGACAGCAAATGTGTTCGCGCTCAGGTGCAGACATTCGGAATCGCAGAGATCAGCCAACGGTTGCGCAATGCAGACTTTAGTGTGTTCCTGCCATTTGCTGAATTCTTAGGTCTCGCTGAAGTGGACACTGTTGTTGTAGGAAGTGACAGGGAGAAAGCGGAGGCTGTCTTGTCGGAGAGGAAATGGCCCGGCAACGAAGCAAGGGTAGGCAGCACTGGCGTTTTCTTGAGTGAAAGATGCTGGGCGGACCTTGCCAAAGTGGGTGAGCGTGTCGTGCCCGTCTATTCCGCCGATGGATTGGATGACGGGGATGCCGTATATCCAGGACACGGTCCTTACGGCGACTCTAAGGTCCGGCTGCTCAACCCCGTCGAACACTCTCCAGGTGCTTATATTTACGGGGACGAGACCAAACAAGGCTACTTCGGTAGTCGCGAACTCGATGGCCGCTCGGATGCGGGAGCATCAGCCTTCAACCACGACATGTTCCAGAATCTCGAGACCCGAGAGCAAATGGCCGAGAAGAGTAATGAACGTAACATGGAAGAAGTTGAAGATGTCCACGTCTCCGGCAGCCGTAAGCGATGGCTGGCTATCGTCTACCTTCTGACATTTTGGATCCCAGATTTTATGATCCGGTTTGTGGGTCGAATGAAACGCAAGGATATTCGAACTGCATGGCGTGAAAAACTCGCCATCAACATGATTATCTGGTTTAGTTGTGGCTTGGCGATTTTCATTATCGTCTGGTTCCCTGGCCTGGTCTGTCCAACCCAGCATGTCTACTCGACATCTGAACTGGCTTCACATAACGGAAAGAAAGGCCAGAGCTCTTATGTGGCCATTCGGGGTCTTGTCTTTGACTTGGGAGAGTTCATGCCTTCACATTATCCAAGCATCGTTCCGCAGTCTGCCCTGAAGAAGTACGCGGGTACTGATGCAACCGCGCTTTTCCCGGTCCAGGTCTCTGCTCTTTGCCAGGGCACGACTGGTTCGGTCGACCCTACTGTCCTTCTTGACTATTCTCCGACCAATGTCACTGATTCTGGAACTGCCGTCAGTAGTACTGACGCAAATGCGCAATACCACGATTTCCGCTATTTCACTAACGACTCGCGACCTGACTGGTATATTGAGCAGATGATGATGCTACGCGCCAATTACCAGAAAGGTTACATAGGCTACAGTGCTCAGTACATGAAGACCCTTGCCGACAAGTCAACCTACATTGCCAGCATCAATGGCGATGTCTTTGACTTCACCAGTTACGTTGCGGGAGGACGCAGGACACAGGCACCTATTGGAAAGTCAGTGCCCAAAAACGTTAATACTGACTTCATGGAGCCTACCGTTGTCCAGTTGTTCCAGGAACGAGCAGGACAGGATATAACGAAGTACTGGCAGAATCTGGACCTGGATCCCGAGTTGAGAGATCGGATGTGGCGCTGTATGAATAACTTATTCTTTGTCGGGCACGTCGATACTCGAAACTCGCCTAGGTGTCAATTCGCTCAATACTTCCTTCTCGCCATCTCGATCACGCTTTGCTCGGTTATCACATTCAAATTCTTTGCGGCATTGCAGTTTGGTAGGAAGAATACTCCGGAACACCTGGACAAGTTCGTTATCTGTCAGGTACCTGCCTATACTGAGGACGAGGAGTCTCTCCGCCGTGCTATCGACTCTATGGCTAGGATGAAGTACGATGACAAACGAAAGCTGTTGTGTATTATCTGTGACGGTATGATCATTGGTCAGGGCAACGACCGCCCAACCCCGAGGATCGTCCTTGATATTCTGGGTGTTCCGGACAATGTGGACCCTGAGCCTCTAAGCTTCGAGAGTTTGGGTGAAGGCTTGAAACAGCACAACATGGCCAAGGTTTACTCGGGTCTTTATGAAGTGCAGGGTCATATTGTCCCTTTCCTGGTGGTCGTGAAGGTCGGAAAGCCTTCTGAAGTCTCCCGCCCCGGTAATCGCGGTAAACGTGATTCCCAGATGGTGTTGATGCGCTTCTTGAACCGTGTCCACTATAACCTGCCAATGAGTCCCATGGAGCTCGAGATGCACCACCAGATAAGGAATATTATCGGTGTGAATCCCACTTTCTACGAGTTTATCCTACAAGTCGACGCCGATACCGTGGTTGCTCCGGACGCCGCCACGAGATTTGTGTCTTCATTCATCAGCGATACCCGTCTCATCGGTCTCTGTGGTGAAACGGCCCTGAGCAACGCCAAGTCCTCGATTGTGACAATGATCCAAGTCTACGAATACTATATCTCTCACAATTTGACAAAAGCCTTCGAGAGTCTCTTCGGATCAGTCACTTGTCTTCCAGGATGTTTCAGTATGTACCGGATTCGTACTGCGGAAACAGCAAAACCTTTATTCGTTAGCAAGGAGATTGTGCAAGCATACTCGGAAATCCGTGTCGACACGTTGCACATGAAGAATCTGCTGCACTTGGGTGAGGATCGATATCTGACCACGTTATTGATGAAGCATCACCCGACATTCAAGACAAAGTTCATCTCCAGTGCTCAGGCTTGGACTATCGCGCCCGATAGCTGGACGGTCTTCCTATCCCAACGTCGCAGATGGATCAACTCCACTGTCCACAACCTTGTTGAGCTGATTCCTCTTCAACAGCTGTGCGGTTTCTGCTGTTTCAGTATGAGATTCATCGTCTTCGTCGACCTTCTCAGTACGGTGATTATGCCGGTTACTGTTGCTTATATTATTTACCTCATTGTCTGGATTGCCAAGGATCCCAGTAGTATTCCGTTCACTGCCTTCATCCTTCTGGGTGCCATCTATGGTCTGCAAGGTATCATCTTTATCCTGCGACGCAAGTGGGAAATGGTTGGATGGATGATCGTCTACATTTTTGCAATGCCTGTGTTCTCACTGGCCCTTCCCCTGTATGCCTTCTGGCATATGGACGACTTCTCTTGGGGTAACACTCGTGTCGTCACGGGAGAGAAGGGCCGCAAGGTTGTCCTCTCCGACGAGGGCAAGTTCGATCCTGCTTCTATTCCAAAGAAGAAATGGGAGGAATACCAGGCGGAACTATGGGAGGCCCAGACGTCTCGGGACGACCGCTCAGAGGTCTCCGGCTTCTCCTATGGTACCAAGTCATACCACCCCGCGCAATCCGAATACGGATTCCCTGGATCTCGGCCCATGTCTCAAATGGATCTCCCGCGCTTCGGTTCCCGCATGTCCTTGGCTGCTTCTGAGATGATGGGCCGCAGGGACATGGAGATGGAGGATCTCGCTGGTCTGCCAAGCGATGATGCCGTCCTCGCCGAGATCCGTGAGATTCTGAGGACGGCAGACCTGATGACCGTTACGAAGAAGAGTATCAAACAGGAGCTAGAGAGGCGCTTCGGTGTCAACCTGGATGCAAAGAGACCGTACATCAATTCTGGTAAGTTGCCTTTTCCCCTTCATTGCGTCACGCTCAATATAAATACTAACCGGGGTCCTCTCCGCAGCTACCGAAGCCATCTTATCCGGCCAGCTCTAAGTCTCTCCCGGGCAGTTCACCACCTGCCAACCTTCAGTATGACCAAGTACTTAATGCCATGAAGCAGAACTCGGAGCATTTATCATGCACTCCTCTTCTGTGGATATCATATAAAGGGAATTTCTGTTCACAACTCATGAAAGCATCACTTCTCATGTGTCGTTCTTATTATCGGGGTTTGGGCAACATATCTCTTGAGCGTTTGTAATTTCTTTTCTTTTCTAATATTTCTTGCGCTTTTTCTTTTCCATACTGTTTGCCGGAAGGGTGGGGTATATGCTATTTTCCTTTTTGATAAATGGAATGCTCCAAGAACGTCGAACTCTCAACTTGGTTTTCATGTACGGGGACTCATCTGTCATATTTTCTTGCAAGCGTGTTTGAAAATCGTTCCTAAATCACATGCCGTATCATAACTATCACGTACGCATAATTAGTATCCATGTCCCCCCTCTCTCTCTGTGATTCAAGGACAATAGTTAGATATGTATGTACAAGTCTATGTGTTAATCTATTTATCAAATAGTCTAATATAATATAATCCTAACTCTTGAAATATAGCATAGCAGTGTAACTAACTCTGAGCTTGATTTGTCGTAGGCAGATCCTTGATCAAAAGTGTTGGAAGTTACTTAACTCGAGATCTTTGCATCTGTGATCAAAAGGGGCTCCATAACCCAACATTATAATCCTTTGTGCATAGAGCAAATCAATCTTACAGACGCAGTGAATGCAGATACATTACTGGAACAGTAGGCGTAACTTGAACTGAAGTAGAGTAGAGTACACGGGAAAATCAGCCAGTTAGTTGTCCTATGCTGTCTGGCAATAATGTATGGAAGTGCAGTAAATCTGGAGGGGAAGGGGCTCTAGCACCGGCATTAAGTATATTTCTAAAGCTCCAAGTCATCGCCCGCTCTGCCACTTTGTTACTAACTAGTTCATCGATATGGCCTGGCACTACGGCTTCAGAAAGGAATAACGAAAGAGAATTCGAACGCAGGATACCTCTATCACTTATATTGCTTCTCCGTTTTTTTCGTCTCATCTAGGGTCTTGTTTTCCTTCGCGTGTCGCTTTTCGTCACCAGATAAAAGAGGCGGCAGTAGACTTCACAGCAGAAAAGACTAGAGCCAATTGAATCAAGCACGGGCAGGAAAACTCAACTCTCTTTATACCCTTCAAATCACCTTCAATCTTTCTCGCTCTCTGGGTACTCGTAAATGTGGGGATATATGGTAAAATATGGCCAGAAAACATAACATCAATGGAGCGGGAACAGATAAAAAAGGCCAATCTGGAACGCCGAGATGTATAATCGGAGACAGAAAGCAAGCAAGCAAGCAAGAGAGGAATACACGTTTTCGAACAGAACAGACCCGAAACTAGACACGCAGAAAAGGGATATCAAACATCATTGCCTTGGTATCATACCCTGCGGATTTCAATGTAAACCAACAATCTTCACCTGACCCCACGCAATCAGCACAACTGATCCTTGTCACACAACCTTGCACACCGTTCTCAGCACAGAGTAGAGGATAAACGTCTCGCATAACAAATCGGGATATAAAACGCCTGATAATCTGCCAGAATTTTGAGAGGAACCGGCCGGAGCGCCAGTCCCCTCTCCTCATTGCGTCTTACGTCGTATCTCTTTTGCTTGCTTCCCGTGGTATCAAAAATGAGAAATAAAAACACGACCGCTGAAAAAGGATCCTTGGGGTATATTGCTGCAAATTGATATTTTTTCGATTTAACGAGGTGGCCCAATAGGAGCCGGGTATCCAGAAGTAGAATTGGAAGTACTAGGACGACCACTATCAAAAGAAGCGCGGGGGTCATGTTTGGGAGTTATGTCCCCCGGCGCGGTACCGAATGGAAATTTGGTATCAAAGCGGGCAGGCCAGCCATTGCTGCCACTGTGGCTGTGGGAGCTCCCTACATGGTGGATATCTTCTTCGGGGAGGTTAACCCCGGAATCGTTCCATGGGTTGCGATAGCCGCTATCGCGAGATTCCATGGAGACGAGAGACGCCTTCGAGGCGTTGCTGGAGGCATGCTTGAAAAAAGACCCAGGAGACCCTGAGTGGTTCTTGCGGCCGATGAACGAGGAGAAAGAAGAGATACTGCCAGGCTTGCGCAGGCGTTCAAAGATCGAGCCGCGTTCGCTGACATCATCCGCGAAGCTGGGTCGAGTGGGAGAGTCAGTCATAAGAGGGGCGGGCGCGTGCTGCAACAGCTTGGAGTCAAAGAAGGGCAGTGATTCCTCGAAAGAGTCAGACTTGGGACGGGGAATGGCTCCCTTGACCGTTGTGGCGTCCAGTCCGTGCGGCACAAGCCGTGAGATCAGGAAGTCGATGGCATCCTTCAGTCCACCAGCATTGTTCCGAGTGTATCCAAGGACCAGGCGATCCTCGGGAACGGATGTCGGAGACACACCCTCCTCGCTGGACGCTGGGAGATCGCCGCTGGTATCGACGGCGACATCCACTTCGTACTGACTCTTGAGCTTACCACGAACATCACTGACGAAGTCGGCGGACTTGAAGAATTGGCGGAGCTCAGCAGAACTCTGGAAGGAAAGCTCATGACTCTCCGGCACCATTCCCAGGAAGGCATCAACCGCCTGGGGAACTTGGTACTCAGGACCAGAGATCGTAACGATGTCACTGGCAAGTTCAGTACTAGGGAAGTCGATCTTGCAGTTCCATTTCTTCTCCAGTTCCTCGATCTCAGACATGCGAGCAAGGAGCTCACGATGATAGAGCCGGTTAATGACGACAGTCTCAGACACATACTCGGCATCCTACAAGGTCAGTTAGCATGGTTCCCGGCAAGTATATAGTGCGAATTATCACTTACAACTTTCTCGACCATGTCCATGATCTCCTGTTTCACGAGATCCAGACTCTGTGCGTTTCTCGCCGGGGTCCGACAGATGACATTGTCGACTTTGATGTCGTCATCTTCTTTACCGACACCGCCACGATCCATAGCATTGGAGAACTTGACGAAGACGGAGTACTTCTTCATGATGCGCTGAATGTGCTGACCGCCGATACCGATAATTCGCTTGTGGTACTGGTCAGGCACATGGAAAGAAATGGACGCTGGCATCTCCTGCTCGACAAGGTCGAGACCATTCTTGGTAGCCTCATACTGGGTACCGCACACGTCGATGTAGAAGTTGTACTCATTGAATCCGTCAAAGATGATTTGCACGTTGCCTATTTAGATTGTCAGTCACTGCCAGCGTCGGTCATAAATATTCGTAGGATGACCTACTCTGTCCCATGATCTTGTTGATCTTGCCGTTCTTCTTTCCGCTGACAAACTCCTTGTGCTCGTTTGCCAACTCGATCTTGACTCGCATCTGATACGGGCTCCGCTTGACGAACGGGATCTGGTGGATTACCATCATAGCCGCCTTGACCGCATCATCGGACCCGTTGATGGTGAAAGTCAGATTGTCGAAGCTGACATCGGCTCCGGAGTTCGTGCAGATATCGGAAAGCATGATCCGGACATCAGCAGGGGACGGAGCACGCATGCCACCGTGAACGGGGTCGGGCATAATGATCCACCAGGACGCGCTGTAGAACTGGCCGGCCTGCATAATACGTTAGTATACGGGGTCTCGACGGTCAGCTATGTTTTCGTCTACATACCAAGGCCATGATCTCCCGAACAGTGCGCTCGACATGCAAGACCTCAGTGCCTTGGATACGGACGAGGCCTCGTTGGCTTCCCAGCTGAGGGAAGAGGACATACGATCCATTCATCTCCATCACTTTGCGAACCTTGTCGAGGCGGTCAAGCAGGATCTGGTCGATCTTGCTCGAGGAGACCATAACGTCTTTGACGTAGATCTTGACGCCCATGATCAATTCTCGCAGCTTCTGCTTGGCTCGTGCAATGTTCTCCTGGCTCTCGCCCGTGATGTAGACTTCGTCTTCACTCCTTCGGTTGGCTCCTGGAGGCGTGTAGCCGAAGATGCGAGGGAATGGCGGCGGGAAGTAGATGGCGGTGTTGGTGGCGGCCTCGATGAGCTTGATATTCTTGCGAGTACGACCACAGACGAGGGTATGCATGGTCAGCTCGAGCTTCATCGCATCCACGTGACGTTTCAGCTAGATAAAAGTTAGCAACACCGCGTTCGAACCTGTTGTCACTGAACAGCACATACAATCTGGTCAATCATGATCAGCAAGCGAGTCTTCGCGTGCTCCGAGCTTTCCATGTCTCCATAGATTGCAACACGGAAACGGTTCTCGAGACCGCTATCCGTCGTGTAACCATACGAGGAGACGATTGCGCTGTCCGCATCCAGCAGTTTTGGACTCAACAGGAAGATATCGGCGCCAGTGTAGGCGGCAAGAGTATCCAAGTGTTCCAGCACGCTCGTCCGGATACCTTTCGTAGAGGCATCCATGATCAGATGCATGTCTACATCAACGGTAGCACATCGCTTTGTTCAATGCATGTCAGTCTCGCAAGATCTTCCAACTTAGGCCGGAGGGGAACCGTCCACGGAGGCAATCATCGCACATACCAACGAGATCGGGGTCTCATTCAAGATCTTGGCCCTCATCTTATATACCGTATCCCTATCGCCGGTGATGCAGACGTTGGTGACCAGGCCGCACGGCCTTCGCTGCAGCGTCGAAACCGTCTTGGGTTCTGAAGAGGTGACCGTGGCCTCGAGGCGGCCTCCACTGCTCTCACTGATCTGTCGACATAGCCTCCGTAATGCATCCACGTTGCTCGCGTGGACAGGCAACTGGTGTATCGGGGTCCCTTCCGGAGTCCCCTCGGGAAACGTCCAGCGCTGCAACGCACCGGGACTGGCGTGTATCACGTCCTCCACATCTGGACCGGCGAGACTGGAGGAGAAGGGCACGTTGAAGGAGAGGTTCACGGTCGGGTCGACTCCCGTGGGAGGCGTCATGGGAGGAGCGCCATGCGGTCGTCGTAGTGACTGGGCAGACATGTCTGTGTGCGGCCTCGACATCCCAAAGGCAGGCGTCATCCGCTCCCAACCATGCCGGGCCTGGCCCGTGAAATTGGAGATTTTGTGCATGATGCGCGAGCGGGAAGATTTTCTCTATTCCCCTTCAGCACAACCAGGGGAAGAGAGACGTTCGGAGGGGGAACGGGGAAGAAAGAGAAAAGAAAAGCAGGAGGAGAAGGAGGGGAGAGAAGGGCAGCCCTCCGGAGGAAGCGTGGTGAGTTGGAGGATCGAATGGTGATCGGTAACAGCCGTTTTCGACAGGGATGGTTTGGAATGGTCAGGACAGGTGCAAATGGCGGGCGTCAGTGGTCGAGTCAGTGGCAGGCGTGGCAGGTCGGGTGCGCTAGAAGTGCCAGCGGTGTCTAGGCGCAGGACCGGGAACCGTCTGGAGGTGAGGGAGAGAATTCGGCCAGCCTCGATGAGGTATCTTTGCTTTGGCTTTGCACGGACAGTAGTTACCAGTGAACAGGCACAGCCCAACGTCGGGTGGGAAAGGTGAGTCGTCGAAGGGAGCAGATTTTGGTCTGCTCTCTGGACAAGGCGTGGAGACCGTGGCCTGGTCTGTTCTGTTCTGATTTCCGCCGTCGTGAAACTTCAGCCAGGGAGGGTTCACGGTTTGGCTGGCGCGAGGATCAAGCGTGGCCGTGTCGTCAGTGCAGCGGGAGGGTGGAGGCAGTTGGTCTGTGTGATCGATTCTGCTCTGGAAGAGTCTGGGAAAGTCTGCTGTTGGACGTCGCGGCTAGGCCTTTTGGCGCAATGATGGAGCCTTTTCCTGGTGGATCGACAGGCGAAGGTTGGTAGGATTGGCCTGATAGAGCGAGCGAGCTAAGTTGCTTAGAAGAATGCGGGACGCATTGTCTGTTCTTCGTCCAGCGCAGCAGAGAGACGAGAATGATGATCAATGCGATGCACGAACGGGAGGAGCAGCTCAGCCCGTGCTATACCATAGAGGAGCAGACAAAACAGAGACGGGGAAAAACTGATGAGAGATGGACAATGGGATGGACAATGGGGAGATGAGATGATGGATCCGATGGATAAGTTAGTCTAGATAGTCTCTCTCTTCCTCTCGTTGTTTCTTCTCTTTTCCTCTCCAGCAAGAGCCGTCATGCGCTAAGCCCGATGCGGCGTAAGAAGCGAGGGTCACGTGGGGCACACATTCTCTCCATCCATCGATCCATCGGACGATCTGCTCGTCGGCGTGATTGATTCGCGTACGGAAGCTTCAGAAACGAGTTAGTCGGGCTCTACGGCGACGCTACGCTCCAACTTGCTGGGCTGAGGCCTCACGAGCCATGACTCTGCTCGTCGGGTCCCGGCCCAGCCGGCTCGCGGCGGGTTGGACGAGACGAGCAGACAACGCTGGTCTGGAATCGCTGCGCCGGGACGCTGACCCCGATGGGCTGGATGGGAGCAAAAGGCTGGACAGTTGAAGATGTCATTACTGGAATCGCTTATCTCGACCCATCCCTCCTGCAGTGGATGAAAAAAGCATTTCCCCAGACGATCACGGTATCACATACCACCCGTCTACGCTCCCATGCAGATACACTCATTCTCCCCAACAAGACGAACAGGGTGTAGGAACGGACCGGAAGGATATTGTGCGGGAAACATATCTCCTATCCACAATGTCTCTGTCCCGACTCCCCACTGCGAGTTTAGTTCAGACCGGCTTGTTCTCTGGGAATACAGGTTTTGCCCTCAGCCCTGGAAGAATAGAAATCAATCCGATTTGGCGTCCGGGACGGCAGACAGACGAGAACGCTTTCGCCCCTCTGACTGGCCAACCCGTTATGTCATGACTGTCGAGGACACATTATTGTCTGTACCTTAATCCGGTTCCCCGCCCCGGTATCTCCAGAGTTCGGACACTAGAGAATGAACCCCAGAAGAACGGCCGCAGGGACTCGGAAGAGCAGAGCCGTCTGCCTGTTTGGCTTGAGTACGTGGCCTGCCGCTGCTGTCCGTCCCAATCAGAGTATTTGTCCGTTCGAATCGCTTCGCTACTCATCCCATATCTTCCAGCCAGATACAGAGACAAGTGGATCCGCCAGGCAGCCTTCCTGGGAACATTATATGGTAGAGCATGGCGTTGCCTTGGATCGGTGATATTTATTATTGTTATTGTCCGTTCTGTGACTACGATCTCCGTTCATCGTCCGATCGTAGTGGGCCAGAAGTTGAAACGGACTCCTGCCGTGAGACCGGGATACTTAGTGAGACTGCACAGCCTCCCTAATCTGATCCAAGACCTGTCAGGCTTGAGTAGCGACATTCTTGATTCGCTCTAGGTTTGCACCCCCTGCTTACCTGATTGCCTTTAGAGTCTCTCTCTTGCTGTGACCTTGAGTGGACTGTGATAACTGAAGACGTTTCCAAAGTATGATAATCATCCGATTAAACTGCCTTCGACACCAGGTTCATTGATTGGTCGTGATGAACCTTGGAAGTTTCAACACCAATAAACATCACGAAGTGTCGACGTCATTAGACCCAGACTTTGGACAGGACTCATGAGCTCCCATTCCTCGGGACTAGCCCTCGACGGTGGGTCAGAGCAGCTGCGCTGGAATTAACCTCCGGATCTCACAATTGCTTGGTACAATGGTTGGGTCTTTGTCGAGCAAGGCAAGACCATACTAGGATGAGCCAGAATCAGATCCCCTGCAGCGCCTCAATTGGGCAATGAAAAGAACAAAATCTCGCTTTGACGGTCGCCAGGGTAATCGAGACGTAGGCATTGGCAAGTCGACATAGTCGAAGGAACGAGAATGCCGTCGTCGATTGCATTTCTACCACAGCCAATGCGGATCCACGCGCATTGTTACAGTTCTCAGGCTACTACTGCAAGTGCAGCAAGTGCTCCCAGAAATGGGGGGAAGTACCTCTATGATGCGAATTCTTCTGCTTACCACAAATGTGAAGGCTTCGAAGATCACGTCGCTCAATTCTTCGATAAATGAACCCTGTTTCTTGAGAAAAGAAAGTGCGCAGACGAGCGAGAACTATCATGTACTAATTATCCTTTTCTTTGAGCTGCATCGCCCCTAGAGTACTTCAAGATCCTGTCATGGAATGGGTGAGGCTTTTCGACTAGAGGACTATTCCACACGCTACCACTTCAAATCTCACATACCTGACCTGACCTTGCTTGATAGCTGGTCACACGGAAAGCTACAAAATGTACCACGATCGATCTATACGCGTCTAGAGGGCTCTGATCCACAAGACGCTCATTTTCCTCGATGGGTGACATTACTGTTCGTATTCGAGGCAAAGTTGTATTCCGGAAATCTAGTGGTCTGTTTCAAGATTTTATCCTACTCGGTCCCTATATCGTTCTAACAGTAGGACGCATGTCTGCTAGTATAGTCGAACAAAAATCGTGAGACTAAGACGAAATAAGACCGCTCCCTCACCGCTGCATTACTCCAGGCAAATATCTCGATTGTACATACATAGACGGGTGATGCACCTAGCATGTATACAGCGTATCTCCTCCGTGTACCTGATTAACAGAGACAATATAGAAAATAAAGAACATGCAATGGCAATAGTCATTCTCAAAACTTATATCCCGTAGATTCTGAATCTAGTATTAAACCAGACCAGAAGAGTAAATAATAACGTACAGAGAGAAGACACTAGAGCCGTCTTTGGCGTCAGAGCAAATAATTTCGAGTGCTTACTATTCACATAGCTGCAGTAGTTTGGGATTAGACGCTGATATCACGAGTAAATTATTCCAATAGTGTAATAATTTCGATATCCAGATAATGGTATCGCGAGAATTTACTTTATATCGTCTTCGTATAATAATATAATAGTACGTGTGTAGGAGTTTACGATGTCTATTATAGGGATTTGTATATCTTCGGCGGGTTTATTTCTCCGATATACATTGCCGATGGCTCGAATTATTGTCTCGGATTTATCACTATAACTCCATTACTTACCTTTTTTTTACTAGTTATTACTCGCGCACTGTCTGCTTAGGAAATACTAGCCATAGCTAACTATTGTATCAGTTTAGCTGGTATCTTATCTCAGCCAGCGGAATGCAGTATGCTAAACGGAGTATAACCCAATATATACAAGAGTAAGGCAACGATAACGAGGAGCTGCACAGTCCATCTGAATAGTGAAATAACACATTGCCCATAACCATATAAACTCCTCAAACACAATCGCATCTATCGAACTACAAAGACACGCAAGAGAACGAACCTATCCTGGGCGTAGTATCACAAGTTTCCAGCTCCCCACCAGCCCGATAGAAAAGAATAGTCCTCGACAAAACTTATTGGCAGGTTATTGAAGTCTCCTCTCCCGGCCAAGAAACTACTGTCAATTAGGAGTTAGGATTAACTGCGCGTTAACCAACAGCTAAGTAAGATCTTAGTTGGGAGAAAATGATCTCATCCTTGGCAAAAGGACCTATGATCGGATATATAGATAGTCGGCTAATGAACAAAAGTATAACAGACGATTAAGAAGGATATCTTAGGGGTTATAGTTTTTCTATCTGGTATATGTCTAGCAGTTCCTTTTATGATAGCATATAGCTGCATAATGGTTCAAATGGTACGCAAAAAGTCCATTTGGTTACTTACTCCCACGTGACCGCAACGCTAGGAATAAGTAACTTGAGCGGAACATATAAATCTCTCAACTTCCTCCGATTTCTTCTGAGAAAAAAACATTTTACCCCCCACCTTTTAACTGTTCATGACCCCAAAATGGTGTTATAAACAAACTCCTATCTCCCGAGACTTATCACCGTGACCAGACAACACGAAAATATGATGCTATTTTCTGCATTATTCGTCGCAAAGGGAATATAAATTTCCACGAGCGCGCGTCATTATGATAGCGATCGAAGAGAATACTTATATGAATTATGCATCAAACGCGGTAATTAATCGCATAGGCATATCACACTTTTTCATTGTGCATATAGCATATCTCTCTTTTCTATGCATCATCACCCTGAATGCTTTGAAAGGCCTTATCTGTCGACATCAGATTGGAGCAGAAAGCGGAACAATCCCATATTCATATCCCTCTCCCCCAAACAGAAAGACAACACCTCGCCAATGACGAACAATCATAAGATTCGGAAGAATACTCCATGACAGAGAAAACTCCTGAATTATTGTAGTGGTATTTCCGAGGCGAGAGGAAATCATACTATACCAGAGCACTACACAATACAGTTATCAGTTTATGTATGTATCATCGAAAGAAATGAGAAGTGGTTTATTTGAGGTAATTGTATTGGTCCCTGGATTGTGTAATAGTACATGGAACTACGGTAGTGGGCGGATAATTCAGAGATTAGAGTGTTTGGGTTCTTATAGAAGGAGATCCTATATTCAAGCCAAGGTATGATAGTCGTAACTCGTTTTTGACATAACAGTATTCTGTCCCGCACATATTCATCAATTATGGAGTATGGAAATGCGCCCTGATGTGCTCAAGCCATTTTCAACAAAGTAAAAGGTACTGTACAAATGATAATCATACATCCCGAGTAAGATAATTAAGTGGCGATGCTTCGCCTCAATAGCGCTCGGGACCTCTATGGTGGATGACATCGCGGGTCCCATCATGAATCATACGGCCCGACTCATCATCGTCGTAGTACCGCTCTTCTCTCATAGGGCGCATGGTAGTGTAGATAGGTGCCTGCGCATATTCCCTGGCCTTCCGGGGTTCTTCGTCTACGTAGACGCTGACATCGCGGCCTACCGGACGGACGCTCTGGACGCGCGGTATACCATCCCGCGGATCCTCGTAACGAGTCGGTGGTGGCCGCACGCTAGACATTCTTACTATTCTCTCACCGGGTATCTCCCGTTCGTTAAGGTAGGCCGTCCTCCGCGGAGGGTAGTCAACGACTTGCACACTGCCGCTGCGGAAGACAGGCTCCCTCTCTTCGAGCTGAGGAGCATACGCCCGACGGTCACCTACCACCTCGCGAGGATAGTCGGCGACCCTGCGATAGGTGGCAGGCGGATGCATCTCCTGAATATATCTCCGATCACCATAGGGATCATCGATAATTGAAGTAGCCCGCACACTCGAACGGCGTGCGGGAACTTGCTCGTTATAGGCATCGGCCCTAGCTATTCTGCCTGGATGAGGTGGGGGCGGCATTTCCTTAACTTTAGGCGCAGGTAAAGTCTCATAGTACTGGTTACCGTATTCGTCTACCACAATCCGCCGCTGGGGAGGCGCTATAATTCGCGGTTCTTCATCAGGGTACACTTCGCGGAATCGTGGAGAAGGCGGTAGTTCATCGGCCGGAATATAGTGCCTGCCGTAGCCTTGGACAGGCTCATCGTAATACCGGACTCTCTCCTGAAGAGGACGCTCAACAACGGCATAAGATGCAGCACGCATCGAACGAGGGTTGGCTGGCTCCACATAGTCGCGAGAGAGCTCGGGTTGGCGGACATGGTGCAAGCTTGCTACTCTTCGCAGATCTTGGTCATCGCGCATTGGTCTTCTAGAACCCAATCTGGAGACGGTACGCGCGATGCTCGGTTCAATGTGGGCATCTTGCTCGTAAGCGCGTCTGTACCGGTCGACTTCGTAGACAGGCTCCCTTGCAGACACCTCTCGTCGATCCAGGGTCGGGGTATATCGGGGAGATGCGAGATCAACATAAACTTGCTCCTGCGGCTGACGAGCTCTGCTATATGCAGGACGTACATCGGCAAAGGGAGGAGGGGATACCGGCTCTTCTTTGATGTATGGCACCGGGGACACATCAGCTGGTCTTCGTGACGCAGCTGACCGCACCTGTTCTCTTGGTTCCTGCACACGCCTACGTTTACGAGGCATCAATTGCTGAGCACCGCCGTCCGGACTAGTACGTGCTGAATCGTGGCCTGTTGGAACGCGCTCCAAATGATCCTGACGAGGCGCCCTCGCCTGCTGAATAGGCATCTTAGCCATGGCCAGAGGAGATACCCGCGATGGTTGTGGAGCTGCGGGCGACATTATATGATTTCTGACGATTCTCACCCCGTTCGTAGGAGATGGCGACTGACGACCATGGTAGCCTCGATTGGACACCTGCCGTCTGGCGTATGGCTCCGGCCTGTAATACTCACGGCTGTCGACCCTCTCTACCAGAGGTACATCGGGACCAGGAGGTGAATACTCGGGTTCTTCGGGAATATCAATCGGTTCTCGAGCGGGATCATACTCGTCGGAGACGGCGCGCAATGGAGCATTATCTGGCTGCCTTTGAGGGGGAAAATGCTTGTCAGCAACGGTGTAAGGATTGGCTTGCGGAATCATCTCCACGTCACGAGGGCTAGTAATCTCAAACCGTCGTGATTCATCTGACCGATTGTCTATCTGAGCGTTAGCAGCCAGCTCTTCCCTGCCGACGCGACGGCTTCGTGGCTCCGATACAGGTGACGGCTGCGACGGCTCGCCATGCTGGGGAGAATCAGGAGCTCTACTAGAGTAGAAGGAATTGTCGTCATAGGAATCGCTTGGTGCGGTCTGGCCATTAGTCCCATGGACATCAGCTGGTGCAGCAACTGGCTTAACAATCTCAAGAGCTTTGCTCAATACGTCTGAGACGTCAAAATCGGGCTTTCCCTCTTGGACAGAAGCCTTCTGTCTTGCCTCGACTCTTCTCTGCTCCAGTTGCTCACGTAGAACCCTTTCCACCCTCTGTCGCTGCAGCTGCATTTCCGCTCTCACCAGATCATCAGACTTGGTCAGAAAGATAGGATCAATTTCAGAAGCAGGCTTTGGAACAATACGTGATGGGGTCGCTGTCGAAGAAGCAGCAGCGGAGCCATTCAACGGTGTCGTGGCCTGTATGTTTGCAGGACGTGAACTGGGTGGAAAGGGGAGCTCTGCTTTGGACTGAGCTGTTGTTGATGGCTCTACCGCGGTTACCTGTGGCTGCGTAACTGGGGGAGTCTGTGGGTTGCGGGGGTTCACTTTGCGAACAAACTGCTGGGGAACCTTTAATCTGGGGTGAGTGCCTGAGAAGATCTCGTCACTTATTCTCAGGATCTTTTCATATTCCTGCACTTCGTTGAGCTGTGGCAACGCGTCTGAGGCGCGCACAGAGACAGAAGGACCAGCATGAGCGGCCATTACTGCAGGATCAGATGCAAGTCAGTGCTTAGCCTAGTAATCTTTCAGTGATCGATGGCTGTCAATCTGTCATAGTGCGACAGATGAAGTGCAAACCAGAGACTGCTCCTTGTATCCTGATCGGAAGAGAATCGGAAACTTTTGGCGTTGAAGTGCCAGCAGTTGTTTCGCTTCGTTCCGCTTCGGCGCTAAACTCAGCCGGGCAATGACGCGATCGGCCCAGTTCATGGGGAGCTTTGCACGCCATTATTTAACTAACGGAGGACGCGGGGTTGGCGATGGATGACTCCAACATACGCTGGCTGTTTCCATGGATATAAATTGTTCAGGCTTTGACCCGGTGCCTTTATCCTTCGGTTACATTGATGAAACCTGTCTCTCTTTTGCGCCTGTGCCCATCTCTGCCGCCAATTGCCAGACGAGCTCCTAGATTCCCAAATACATTTGTCCGCCGCATCGCAATGGCGTCTACAAACAGCGTCGCCGTTGATTCTAGGCCTGTCTTCTTTTTCGACATTGATAATTGTGTATGTGAGGCAATGTACACACTTCCTTGTATTATTTCTGTTGCATGCTCTCGCATACTAACTGCGGCTTCATCCAGCTGTACTCGAGAAGTAATTCGACCCGATAATGACATGCGCTGATATACGCTGACAATGCTATTACAGAATGCAACATCCATGATCTGATGCAGGAACTGATTGGTAAGTTGTGGCATCCAGCCCAATTAAAGGGTCATGCAATACCATCTGACACAGCATTCAATCTCTAGACAAGTTCTTCATTGCACATTTGCCTATCAGCGCACAGGATGCCGTGATGCTCCATCAGAAGTACTACAAAGAATATGGTCTGGCGATAGAAGGCCTTACTAAACACCACAAGATCGACCCTCTCGAATTCAACAAGGAGGTGGATGACGCGCTCCCTCTAGATGACATCCTCAAGCCGGACCCGAAGCTACGGAAACTGCTCGAGGACATGGACAAGTCGAAAGTGAAGATGTGGCTTTTGACAAACGCATATGTCAACCATGCAAAGAGAGTAGTCAAGTTGCTGGGGGTTGAAGACCTCTTTGAGGGAGTCACGTATTGTGATTATGGAAGCCAACCACTGATCTGTAAACCGAATCAGAAGATGTATGAAAAGGCGGAGCAGGATGCGGGTGCTCCTAGTACTGAACAGTGCTACTTTGTTGGTGCGTATTTCGTCAGATCCGTTCTTATCTGCGAGGGAAATGCTAATGGCGACCGGTAGATGACTCCGCTTTGAACTGCGAGCATTCGCAGGCCAGAGGATGGACGACGGTTCACCTCGTCGAGCCGGGTTTCGCTCTGCCGGAGGTTCCGCCGTCGAAGTACACAGTAAGGAGTCTAGAGGAACTTCGGGGCTTGTTTCCTCAGTTTTTCAAATCCAACGACGAGAAATCTACATCGTAACAGAGAGCGGGAGACACTAGAATACCCGGAGATTGGTGCTTTTCTAGAATGCATGTACATAGATATCCCTAGATATAGATGGGACGTAATAGACAACAGCACACGAGGAATGAATAGGAAAGAAAATCAGCAGTGAATTTCGACGATCAAAGCGTATACGAGCTCCATGAAGGGAGCACTGTCGGCCTCCGAGGGAATCTCGTTTCTGCTGTTACTATTTCCAGTAATCTACGGTCCGAGGCTGCCCGGGTAGTTCAAGATCCCCTCTATATATTTAATCCAGTGTCTATACGACGAAACATCGACCAACATAGCCCTATCGAACCCTGCACAAGGGAAGCAGTAGAGACAATATGAGATAACTATCCATTACGATCAGAAGAAGATGGACTTGTCCCGATTACCGAAGTTAACGATTGACTCTAGTGAAGACTCAGGAACACCCGCGCATCACGTGGTCTGGTGCCTGAGCTTTCCACTGTTTACCTTAGATGCCTGAGGCGCTAAGGCAGCTCAACACGAACCGCGTGAGCTGGACTGTCCTGAACGGGAACTCTCCATACAAACGACGAACTACTCGACTCCTGGTTCGACCACAGTCTCGTCCATCGCAATCGCGGTCAGCGTCTGAACCTGGCACTTCTCGATATCCGAATTCGGATGAAGACCAGGAGCCAGTGTCCCGGAAAATGGCCGACCTATCTCCCGGCCAAGTGGTCACCCTGACCGATGGTCGTCAGGCAACCGTTCGTTTCATCGGGTCGACCCATTTTGCGCCTGGTGACTGGATTGGAATTGAGTTGGACGAACCAACTGGAAAGAATGATGGAGCGGTTCAGGGCGAGAGGTACTTTGAATGTGAACATGGGTTTGGGATGTTCATCAGACCGTCCGCCGTTCTCGCGGTGGTCGAACAGCCCAAGCGCGAGAGCAAGCCTCCGCCGAAGGCTGCTGCCCCTGCTACTCGTAGACCTCAGAGTACGATAGTTGCGGGCACTGCAGGTGCTAGAAGGCCCAGCGTCTTGGGCCCAACAGCGAAGAGACAGAGCGTGAGCGGGGCCAGTCCCTCTCCGGCTTCAAGGGTCACTCCAGGACAGCGAACATTGAGAGTATGATGTTCGCAACCGAATATAGAGTTGAACATGCACTAACTATGAATCCCAAGTCTCCTACAAAGTCTCCAACAAAGCAGCTCGGTATCACCCCTGCATCGCGAGCATCATCAACCGCGCGCACCTCCATTGCGGCGACCAAATCTCGACCGAGCGTCGGTGCCAAAACCACCATGGGCCCTCCTCAAACACCCTCAGCAGCTGCGAGGGCTACGCGCCAGCAATTGACCGGGCCAGCTAGCAAGGTGAACAGACCAAGCGTCAGCGGACTCGGTGCGACATCTGCGGGTTTGGCCAAGCGACCATCCATCCGTACCAGTATGATTAAAAAGGCATCCGAGGGCGCAGATAGCGGAGGAAGTGCAACGCCAGACGATGTGCCGGAAGAAAAGTCACCCGAAGAATCCCCTCGTGGCGGTCATCAGGATGAGGTAGGAGCGGCGGAGGCAAGTAATAGGTCTCCAGCAGCGAGTCGAACAGCAAATCTTCGAGCCAGTCTTTCGCCCGGTTCCCAACGGACAGGAAGCCAAAATGCCGCTGTGGCAAGGGAACTTGAGGATCTCAAAACGAAACTGAAGGTCATGGAGAAGAAGCGAGCAGAAGACAGAGAGAAATTGAAGGGTCTGGAGCAACTCCAGTCAGAAAGAGACAAATTTGAAGCCGTTATACAAAAGCTGCAGACTAAGTATCAGCCCCAGCAGCTGGAGATTGGGGAGCTGCGTAAACAATTGAAGGAAGCAGAAAGTCGACTTGAGGAGGCCGAGAGGCTGCAAGCAGAACATGACTCTATACTGGAGATGGCAGCCCTTGATCGAGAGATGGCAGAGGAGATGGCGGACGCCTATAAACACGAACTGGAGGCTTTGAAACTGAGGGTAGAAGAACTTGAGATGGAAGTGGAAGTCCTGCGCGAGGAGAACGAGGAGCTAGGCCAAGTAATGAGTCCAGAGGAGAAATCCAGCCAAGGCTGGCTGCAGATGGAGCGAACAAATGAGAGACTCCGCGAGGCACTCATACGGTTGCGTGATATGACGCAGCAACAGGAAAGTGACCTCAAAGACCAAATCAAAGAGCTCGAAAGTGACTTGGAGGAGTACGCTTCCGTCAAAGCACAATATGAAACTACCAAGGAGAAGTTGTTGGTCTCAGAGACCAATGTGGAGGACCTCAAGCAACAGTTGGAGACGGCACTCGGGGCTGAAGAGATGATTGAGGAACTCGCGGATAAGAATATGCGCTACCAGGAGGAGATCAACGAACTCAAAGCAGCCATCGAAGACCTGGAGAGCTTAAAAGAGATTAACGACGAGCTCGAAATTAATCACATCGAGACGGAGAAGCAACTTCAGGAAGAAATCGACTACAGAGAAAGCATATTCAATGAGCAGTGCCGGAAAGTCGCTCAGCAGGACGAGCTTATCGAAGATCTGGAATACACATTATCTCGCTTCAGGGAGCTCGTGTCCAATCTGCAAAATGACTTGGAGGACATGCGAGCTTCCCAACAGCTTACTGAAACGGAAGCCTCCGAGCTCACCGTGCGTTCGCGAGCTATGATAGACCTTAACATGAAGCTCCAGGCTTCCGTGGCGAAGGCGCAGACAAAAACGATCGATGTGGAGCTTAGCCGCATGGAATCCGAGGAGTCGGCTCAACATCTTGCTATAGTAAAGCTCTACCTTCCAGAATACTATGAAAGCGAGCGGAACTCCATCCTGGCACTTCTTCGCTTCAAACGGGTTTCCTTCAAAGCTTCGTTGATGAGCCAGGTGGTTCGGGAGCGTGTCTCTGACCAATCTGCAATTGGTACCGATCAAGATGAGATCTTCACCGCATACGAAGTGCTGGAGAAGCTCCAATGGATTTCATTACTCTGTGAGAGGTTTGTCAACTTCATTAGCACGTGCTCTGTTGAGGAGTTTAGCACTGTGCCAGGCGCGCTGTATGAGCTGGAACCAGTGGAGCGAACCTTGAACACCTTCATGGACGGTTTGAAGAAGAACGAGTTGAACGAAAAGAAGTGTGCTGTCGAACTGCAAAGGTCTATCGCCCTTTTGTCACACCTGGCAGAGACACTGATACCACCGAGCCTCGAGACATTTGCAGACGAGATCTATATGCGATCGATGCTGACGCAGTGCTATTTGGACCATGCTGGTTCATCAATACTACGCATAAAGTCGGTGCTGCAGGCCAAACTTCCTGAACCTACCGAACAGGACGAAGAGGGCCCTTTCATCTACAATAAGCTGGATAGCCTGGCTACCCAGGCTCGAGGTCTGAAGGTGGTGGTAAGCAAAATCGCACGGTCTCTGGAAGAACTGAAATCTCGATCACTTGCTCTTTCTGGTGAGACAGCGGAGTCCTTTGAGAAGGCAGAGGCTGCTGCCAGGGAGTTGTCCGAGTTGATCAGACAGCTTGGCGAGAATGCTGTGCTCCTGGTCAATGAAGAAGGACGCACTGCGCCATTCACTTATTCTGAAATCATGAGCAATATGTCCCAGACTGCGGCATCCCTTGTACAGCCCTCTGCTGCTAACAGTGACGGTGACGATGCCCTCAACCTCCTTGCTGGCAAAATACGGACTTTGGGAGAGGACTTAGAAGAACTGAGTGGAATTGCCACTGACCTCTCTCTAACCACGGAGTTCGAGAGGCGCCCTTCTCCCTGGATCGCTCGTGCACAGGAGCTGAAGTCCAACAAGACGATCTCTCCTGATGCTGATGAAGAGATCAGGCGACTCAAGAACGAGATCAACGAAGCATCGACAGCTTTGGGGGTCAAGGATAAGACGCTGGAGGAGCAAGCCATTAAAGTCGAACACTTGGAGTCTAGGATGCGTGACGCCAGTAAAAAGGCTGCGATGGTCAAAGAGCTCGAGGCTAAGTTCGAGGAAATGCAGGCCAGAGAGATAGAGCTTTCTAGTATTGTGGAAAACCAGAAGAAAGAGCTAGAGAGTCTGGAGACCGAACGAGATGAACTGAAGAGTCGTCTCGAGAGGGCTAAGAGGATGTCTGGATCTGCCGCCGCTGCTGCTGCTGGAGAAGGAGCCATTGTCGACAATGCAGCATCGTTGGCAGCAATTCGTGAGAACGAGTCCCTCCGCGCTGAAGTGGATAGCCTTCAAGCTGCAGTCCGCTTCCTCCGTGAGGAGAACCGTCGTGCCAACCTTCTGGACCCGTATTCTGTCCAGAGATCGACGAATATGTACTCTTGGCTTGATGTACCGCTCGCTCAGACCAAACATAGTCCCGAGCAAGAGAGGATGCATAAGAACGCTGCCGAGAGCAGGGACGTCCTTACTCATCTGCTCAAGTTGACCAAGGAGTCTCGTGTTCCAGACTTGAAGTCTACTCTGCCGGCTGAAGGATCAAACCGCCTTGCCTGGCGTCCTGCCAAGACTACATACAGGTACCAAGTCCTCCAACAACGGGAGAACTTCGAGCGCTGGGTTGAATGGAAGGATGATGTCGCGGGTCGCGAAAGAGAGCAAGACCGAATCGCAGAGGCAAAGAGACAGCGAGCTCTTCGCGAGAAAGCCCAAAAACAGGCTTCAGGTAGAATGCATTCTGCGAGTCTTAGCTACGGAATGATGGGCCGCGCTTGGGAGATCCTGGGTATCAAGGAAGATCATCGTAAGGACGCCTCCGGCGATGCTGCTCCAGGAGAAGTACAGATCGTTACAGACGCCTAATCTGAATCTACACCGGACGGTGCTGCTTCCACCTTTATATATCCAGCAGCACCCAACAGTAGCTTCTAAACACACCGTCTCTGCCTTTTTATTTGGATACCCTTCTGTTTTCATTGACATTGGCCTTGACCCTAGTTCTTACCAGGCCTATTTCAACCTGTCATTTTGTACATTCTTTCTTTTCTTTACTCTACATACCCATATTTGTGATGCTTACAGTACCCTCGCCTAACAGCTTACTTGAATCAAAAATTTTACCTACAAACACAGACATTTCGAGATGATCTACATAACTAGACACTATTCAATGATCATTATGGATCCCATATATATTTACCTAAGAACAAAAAAAAATAATGCCTATATCAAAAAGGGCTATATATAATTATACCTAAACCAGCTAGCGGTCTTGACTTAAATTTCCTTCAAGCCTCTCTGCCTAACCAGAGGCGAATAAATCCAGAATTATGGTAGAATAGGATCGGATAACAAAAAACACCATCGCTGATTACTTCCTTTGTCCTTTGTGCATGGTGTAGTCCTTTCCTCAATTGAGGCGGTTTGGAAAACGGTATTTCTTTCAGTGAGAAATGTCCCATTCCCATTTAAAGATGATGAGGAAGGTTGATTATCACATACCTTCAGAACACAGAGATGGTAGTGTGATGATGGATTTGCGGCGAAGGTGATGTGATGTGGTGCGGTGAGGGGAAGGACGAAAATGACCAAGCGAGATGCAGAGACTAGAGATGGAGGGACAAAAAGAGGAGGTTAGAAGATAGGTAGATAGACAGATAGGTAGGTAGGATCAGATGCGGGCGTTAGGTCGGGGGTATCATTAAATGGAAAAAACGGAGAGCTTTCTGCGCGTAGGAGGCGAGGACTGCAAGAATGGACAAGTGCATAAGCATAAATACACTCCAGTCACATCACATAACTGTTTATCGTAGGGTTTGCGAACGAGATCGTCGAAATGGGCGGAGACGAATTTTGCGCTCTTTTATAGTCTGAAGATGATGAATATAAACTCAGAATGCAAGACCCACGACAGAATCGCGGAAACGGGTACCATACTCGTGTCCGCCTTCATGGATGGTGGGATAAGGTGATTCGTCAATGCGAGCTGTCGTCACTCCCATCTGTTTTGGGGTAAATGGTGAGGTTAAGATCTCCTTTTCGGTCAGACCGTCTATAGTCGATATTTGCGCTGTTGTTGTCGCAGCTGTGGTGCCACTGGACAAGGAAGCGCTAGTTGCATGTCTAGGTGTGGCTATTGTGGTGGAAGAGATAGTAGAAGCGCTCAATGTACGTGAACGACTGTATTGAGGACTGGGTGCGTACGAGGTTGGCTTGCGCGGGCTTGATGGTGGAGTAGATACCGGTCCATGTGGCTGGGAGAGCCATTCTCTGATACGACCAGAATGACTGGATAGAGATGTAGGCGAAGCTGGAAGAGGGGAGTCGACTAGGGTCTCTGGATCTGCCGGTGTGGGAGGTAATGGTCTGTTTGATAACGGTGCAGGAGCGTTCTTCTTGCGTGGAATTGTGTCGCCGCTGGCCGTTGCCAGTTGCGGCTTCTGGCATGGGCGAAGTTCCTCGGACACGTCGAGTGAAGGCCGAGGAGTACGAAGTGCAAAGTGAGGAATCAATGGGTCTGCTGTGGCACTGGGTCGACGTAGATCGAGCAGCAGGTCCATAGTTGCTACGGATGACCGTCTTGATCCTGAGCCAACTGGTTTCCGGGCGAATTGAAATGAAGAATTCTGGAATTTAGAGAAGCTCCGCTCCATTGTAGGCGTAGGCGTGACGGCCCTTGAGGGCAGTGTGGGCTTCCCATTATCGTCAAGCTGGAACTCGTCGAATTCGGGGAGATCCGACAATCGGCTCCCCGGCATATAGATGCTTAGTTCGAGAGGTCGGAATCCATCGACCCGTGAAGATGGTGGCTGCACTCTCCTGAAGTCCGTCGGTGCGCCGATCGTTAGACGCGTTGTAGATTTCCTCCTGAGCGACATACTCGCGCGATTGGAAGCCCTTGACGCGAGATTGCGGCCTTCAGTGAGCCAGGAAGGCAGAGAAGACGACCGCGGAGGAGGCCCCGGGCTGGGCAAATCATCGTAGACAACCAGCTTCATTGGGGGCACTAGATGTGGCTGACTATGGCATACTGCCATCTCTCGCTCGATTCCTGAGGGACAGTCAGTTTTAAGTTGTTTCTTCTCCCCGTGCGGGGGAGATCCACGGACCTTTGTTGTTCATGGCCCGCTGGTGGGCCGCATGCTCGTCCTCAGGCCACACGCATGAGAGGCAAGATGATATCCAGGCTGTAAACATTCCCGCACGCTCCATCGCGGCCAGCGCTCATGCCAGTTGCTCCATAGTCCACTGGGGAGGAGAGAGGGAAAGAAAGAAGGAAAGAAAGACAGGACGAGAGACGTCACAAAGAACAACAAGAGAATGACCAGGATGGACAGAGACGCAGTCGTCCTAGCTGGAAAAGCGAAGAAGAGTCCTGCTCAGCCTGCTAGCACTTCGTTTTCGACTCTTGGGATTTCAACCCCGCCGGCAGGGCAGAGCGGCTGGCGACCATGATATACAAGCTGCAGGCCAACGGTGAAACGGACTGTTTGCATGCAGCTCTCGCTGCCGTCTAACCCATCGCAGCATCGGGCGATGACCCTCGGAGCTGTTATCATGGTGGATTGAAGCAACCATGGCCAGTCAACGCCCTCCCCAAGCACGAATTGGAGGGCGTGTCGATATGCGCCGTGATCAGGTTCAGGGCGTCATTCGCAGGCCCTGGGTGGAGAGATCACCATCAGTCACTCAGGGCGAGTGTTGCGCAGTGCTCATAGGGCCCGTCCTAGGACGCTTAAGAGGCTCCGTCTGATGCTGGTGCTTGTGGCGTGGTAAGCTGCGAGTGGTGAGTTGGGTCGGCGCTTAGAGACTGGCTCTTGTCGATCCTCCATAGCTGAAGTTTGACAAGGCCGCATCGACCGGAGTAACACCTGAGGCCTTTCAGACGATCACCTCTTCAGGGGATTTGGACGGGAAAAAAAGGGCTTGAGGCTAGTCCCGGTCAACCCTCGAGATTGGACAGGAGAGGCAGATGGACGAAATGAAGGAGGTCGGGTTTGGAGCTCACCTATTCTTAGTATCTAATATTCCTCGGGCACGTTCTGCACGTTCTCAGATCTCCCTGACCACTGACCAGAGACCTCTGGAGCATCGCTATTGGATCCTGTTTCCTTCGAGTACAAGAGCCTGGGCGTTCCTTGTGTTTCATACTTGCTACTGCCCAAATTAAGATCTGGTAATGTTTCATTCAGCACGATTCTAACGCCACTGCTAGGTATGATAGAGATTCGCCCGACAATGCGACAAATGCATGATCGACAATTGCAAGAATAATAGACTCCTGGACTAAATATCAACAAGACGGGACACGCTTCGCGCTCGAAGAATCTATTCGCCCCACACGTTGCGCTCCTCATCAAAATCACCATATGCCAAACGGGACGCCGCGGGTCGCGTGTCCTCCTCCTCGGTGTCTTCTCCTACCGCAAATGTGGGCTGTTCCGAGTTGCCAGGGATTGTGGCTGCCGTCTGCCTCTGATTCTGCTGCGTGATAGAAACGTCTTCAACTGGCTCGCCAGAAGGCCTCCTGATGGGCAATTGGTCAGTCCAGATTCGAACAAATAAATATAGGAACAGCATACTTCAGATAATGTTTGTGCTCGGTCTCATTATTCCATGAAGACCCGAACTCTTTTCGAGTTTGGCTACGCTCTCGTCGCTCTGCTTCCGGGTCCTCAACCACGAGGTCGACCAGTTGGCTACGTCTGGAGTGTGACGAGCCTGAAGCACTCGGCTGGCGGTGCGCAAGAGGACGTTGCTCGGGATGCAATTGACCGTTGCCAGGGCTGTCCGTACGACCATGCACGCTTCGACGTGGTCTCTTCGTGCCGCTAGCACTGCTTTTCCGATGCTTTTGAGCTTTCCGCACCACGCCTGGCTCGACTCGGTTTTGATAACTTTGACGGCTTGCTATCCGTTGGTCTCGCGGCACCTCATTCGCAGTAATGACCGGGTACTTCACACAGTTAGCTCGCTGGACCACTATAGGTACGGGGGCTCCCTGATGCATACATTCCAGTCACCGAACTCCAGAGACCGGGCAAGTGTAAACAAACGTTCATCTTCCCCGTCCAGAGCGGCCTCCTCCATCTCGCCATATGTACGGTATCTGTCGATCACGCTACTTCTTCTCATTCTATCCTCACTGCTGCTACGGCTAGGACCCGGTTCTGATAGCAGTGGTGTCCGGCTGTTGATTTCGCCGGGCTTGGGGATCCAGTACTTTGCCTTTCCTCCTCTCTGATATCTCATTCCATCCATCACCCGCTTCACCCGAGAGTGAGACTCCTCATGCGCAATGACATTGTCACCGGAGTCGAACAATCTGTATTCATAGTTTTCGCCTCTTAGTGTCATCTTGGTGTCCTCGATGAGATCCCGGATTCCAAAGGCATCACGGATGGCGTACTTGACGGGCATCCGGGCAGCTGATATCGTTGGGTCCGCGTAATCGTGCCACGAGAAGGCGTACCAGTGCGTAAGTGCGAAGATAGGCATCTCGAAGCAGATGAGACTGTCCTGGATGGCAGCTGCGAGATTGTCTGGTGTATATCCCGCCACGCCATTGGGAATGGCTCCAAGCCATTGAAGGATAGACAAGAAGAAGCCTTGCCAATAAGATGCAAATATGATGAGCTTGACGCAAAGAAACTTAGGAACCGGACGGAATGGTTTCAAGTCATCGTGCATGCAGACCCAAAACATTGCAAGAGAGTAGAGACTCAGAGTGACACTGATATTATAAATGATACCGGTCCATAGATAGCCGGACGTAACCCCGAGATAGCCTTCCTGATAGGTACCCGTCGCTTTCATAATGATTGAAGCGATCGCCAAGGTCGGTTTTAGCCAGGTATACTGCAGAATCCCTCGCTTGACGGCCAAGAAGGTATGGGGATCGGAGATATCGACTTTGGGAAGGACATGATTGAGCGGCCAAGCGTGGGAGACGGGCGGACGGCCATGGGTCATGATGATGAGAGCCCGTTCACCACCGAGGAAGTTAATGAGTAGTTGGAAGAAGGTGTAGATTGTGAACGCCTGGAAGGTATCCATTAACAGCGGTAGGCCGTCGGATCAGAACAGTAGCGTACCTCATAAACATCGCGAATGGGATCTACCCACATAGAAGCTCTCAGGGACACAATACTGGTCCATGAGGACGCCGCATATATAGGAACCCTGCTATGGTTAGCTGGATGCCGGTATCAATCTCGTGCTTGGAGGACTCACATTAACAATATACGAACGACATATCGCTGCAGAAGCGGCTTCCGGTAATTTTTCCTAGATGGAACCGGTCAGATGCGCCTTTACGAGTGTTCAGGAACCTGCAACGCACGTTTGGAGCCATATCGACCTATGCAGGAGCGCAGAGATTAGCCATAGAACAAGGTGTTCCAATGTCCGCCCAACTCACAGGAACGATAGCAATGACGCTACCAGCGAAGCAACCCCCGCGACAATGACCACTGCTCGCGCAAGACGGGAGCCTGTACCGCCAGAGGCCGCACTGGCTGTTATTGTTGATAGCATTCTTTTTCGATCGCGATGACGCGCTCAGTGTCGGTGTGATGCACGATCACTCCGCCCCTCTCGCGAAGACGGCGATAGCATTATTCCTTCTACGGGAAAGTAACCGTGAAGGAAAAAGAAGTTCGAGAAGTGCGAACGAACGAAAGCTGGAATAAACTTAGTGCGATCGTCGATGTTCAGGGTGTTAACTAGGCAGTAGGATAATAATCTCCCCCCGTCTTGGAGCTCTCCGCAGCTCCGCTCGCCGCGCGTGACGAATGTCGTCGGGCTCGAGCCGCACTGACCATTTGTCTCGAACAGCAGCTCCGCGACAGCTTGGATCGCCGTGTTCGAGTAGCAGCTCCCATTGCTGTCATCGACAGAATGCGCGCGGCCTCTTGAAACTGAATGACGCTCCAGCTTGCAAGTGCTGCTCGCTGAAGAGGGTCGTGATGCGCGCGGGCATCTAAAGCCCTCAACTTTTGGAGATGACCAACCACTTGACGGCGGAGCCCCTAACGTCTGGCCCAACTTTCAACTGGTAGGGTTCTTAGCGGGGTGATACACTTGTTGTTATCGATGCGGCTGACGATATCATAGGTTTTTCCTGGTTGAGCTCATTGTCTCCGGCGTTCTGTAAGTGGGCAGCTGCTGTCTATCCGTCCAACTGCTAATTGCTGTTTCAGCTCCTTGTTCTTCCTGTTCTACTTCAATCGCCTTTTCGCGACCCTCGTCTCCTATGGTATACGAGCGTATACATGGCACTATTATCGCGCCTATATCGATATCCATGCTCTCCAGATCTCTCTGCTCGGAGGGAGGATCTTCTTCAAAGGTATCAGATACCATGGAGTGAACGAAACTGTCCTGGTCCATGGAGGCTATGTGACTTGGAACTACTGGAAACGGAAAGTGAAGCAGTTGGGTCTGTCAAAGGAAGGAATACCCGATTCTCGACTTGGACAAGATGCACGAGGCGATGATAGCGGGAGCCAGAATGCTAGTCGAGAGAAGGGCAGCGTAGAGGGAGATGACAATCTTCCCTGCCGTATTGGAGTGACTCTTTATGGACTGGAATGGTTTCTTTACAACAAAACCCCTGCATACGACAGTATTCTGGAAGGATTCGGCCACCGTCCGGAGCATCAGCCCTCCCCGAGTGAGAGTGATGCTTTGTTTCCATCTGTTTCAGGAGAATCGAGCAGCTATCAGAGTAATACTCAAGGTGCTATGAAAGATGGGTTGGCGGCCAAGCGGACTTACACTAACTCTTCTTCCCCGACGAGTCCTTCCATGGGAGCTGCGTCTCCTAAAGATTCCTTTAGACCTACTAGAAATGATACGGCGTTTTCCACCATCAGAGACGTTACTGATGATCATCAACCAGAAGCTAGCCCATCGATTTTGCTCCAGCTTTTGCCGTTGAGGATAAAATGTACTAAGGGCGCCATCGTTGTGGGCAACGAGAATACGCGGACCGTCTTGACCACGACGTTTGCGAAGGCCAACGGGACGATTGACGCAACAGATGCTGGCCCACTTGACTTGTACAGGCAAATATTTGCTTTTGAGATGGACCATCCCGTGGTGCAAATGCGGCCGAATCCAGATTACAAGCAGTCTCAGCTCTCGGCCGCCAAGGGGATAGGCGCTCTAAAAGAAGAAAGCCCTGGAACTTCGTACAAGCCGACTTTCCACATCAACTATCAGCTTCGCAAGCAGAGACTGTGGCACAGTATTCGTGATCTTGTTCCGTACTTTCAGAAGTCGGTAGAGTCGTTCCATATCGGCCATAGTGCAAAGGCAACAGCAGCGTCAGCAAATCAACCAGGACATCGCGGTGCGACTCGATGGATTGGATTGACGAGGTATCTTGACGATGATTACCAAGATGAGCATGAAGGCTGGAATGAAATCGAATATGGCAGATTCTCGACTATAATGGATTGTCCTCGTGTTTCCGTCAGTTACTATTGGGACATTCCCGGCAAGGTGTCCCCTGAGCATGCCTTGCTACCATCCTTGAAGGCACCGGGAGATATCAACGGAGCCCATCCGCCAAAATGGGGCCTAGATGTGAAGGTCAACGGTGGCATGATAAATTACGGGCCCTGGGCGGACAGAGAACGCGTGGGACTGCAAACTGTATTCTTCCCGAATCCATACAGAAGCTCGGAGCCAGAGAAGCCGTTAAACGCAGGAGAAACAAGACGAAGTACATCTTTCAAGCTTCTCATAGAGATTGATGAAGAGACCACGTTGCGGATTCCGACGAGGGAGCCATCGAAAGACTGGCAATGGAAGGGTCGCGCTGATGCCATAAAGGACGCAGCGAGGCTGAAGAAACAGAAACAGAAGAGAACCACCCGCAACAATGAGGGAGATAAGGGAAATGCTGGACCAGATATACGTCCCTTCGGATGGTTATCACTTCGACTAGCACGCGACTCCACGATCACATACACTATGGATATGGTTGCTTCCCCGACGGGATACCGGAACCACGTCAACTTAGACCTTCGGGATACGAAGTTGTCGACCAGTGTCAACCATGGCTTACTCTGGCAGTGCCCGCGGCAAATAGTGTCCTGTGACCTGTCCAATCCACTCGTCTGGAATAGTCCCCGTAAATGGGATTTCAACGTGGAAAGCAGTGATCTGGAATTGTTCTTGCTTCGTGACCATATATTCTTGATCACGGATCTCGTGACTGACTGGACGACTGGACCACCTGCGGATTACTATACCTTCGTGCCGTTCACCTATAACATCAACCTTACTTTTACTGATTTCAAACTGTTCGTGAACGTTAACGACTCGAATATCATCAGTAACCCTTCTGATCTGGAAGATAACACTTTCGTGGTGATAAAAGGGAAACGATTGGCAGCAGATGTTGGAATTCCTATGACCAAGTTCAGACCTGATCTGAATGCTGTGCTGTTCAACGTCAGTCTGCACAAAGGCGCTATAGATGTGGTGACGCCAGTGTGGAACACATTGCGTACCTTTCTCACCAATAAGTCGGTTGCTGTCCTGGAGAGTCTCGCCATCGACGGAAGCTACACTTATCATCTCTCCACGTCTCCAGCACTGACGGACACTCTTGTGCTCAATGTTGCAGGTTTAGGTCCCAAACTGTACCTGTATGGTTTTCTGATGCGGTACTTCATGAAGATAAAAGACAACTACTTTGGGGAAGAAATGCACTTCAAAACGCTCGAGGAGTTCCAAGAGTCGGCCAATTCGGAAAGTCCCACCGAACACCATGGGCTCAATCCGGGGAGAAAGTCCAATGATCTTGATGTGATCATACATGTCAGCGTCGATAACGCTTGCGCTCTTTTGCCGGCGAACATTTATGACCGCCGAAACAGTATACGATTGACAACCACATCTATCGAGGCAGACATGAGGTTCACAAATTATTATATGGATTTGGAAACTTCTATAAGCCCTCTGGAAGCCGCGCTAGAAACCATCACATCTGAATCCTCTACAGAGATATCTAACGCACAACTATTTATCGACGGTCTCTCAATTTATGGTCATAGGCTTTTTGGCCTACCTCCTGCAGAACCAACCTATGTGTGCAACTGGGACTTCCGCCTCGGAGACGTTGCGGGAGAGTGTTCCGTGGAATTCCTGAGACATATGGTGACAGCCATCCGAAGCTTCGACTTCTCCCTTGACGACAAAGAAAACGCGCTTCCGGAATTGTTACCAGTTGCTTTACACGATGTCACTTTTCTGAGAGCTACAATAGACTCCATACACTTATCGGTTATTGTCGACGTCACGGCTCTTATTTTGAGAACTGGTACGGTGACTCTGCAGTTTAATGACTGGGCAGATTTTATGTTCTCGAAAAGACTCGATGTTGGCGTGCCGAACTTGACTGTTGCTGCTGTCGATCGTAGATCCGCTGCACGATTTCAAGGAAGGCATTACGAGTCCGTGTTAACACATGCCCTGTTTCGGACAGAAATTGCCTTCAAAATGGCTCAACGAAAGCCAAACTTCGATGAGGATCGCCGCTTACAACAGGAACATATTAGAGTACATGACCAAAGAACTAACAGGACACCCTGGTTACTATTTGATATGGAAGCGGCTGACACGGGCTCGTCGCATCCAAACGGCAACAAAGTGGGCCCTCCCGCTATGCCAGTTCCTTTTATGCCAGACCCCGTTGCAAATATGGATAGTATCGTGGATACCTTGTCTTCTCGAGGGCCGTCTATATTCCGGGGGAACTTGGGTCGGAAGAGCTCGTTCTTATCTGATTCTCCTAGCCTGAATACAACCAGGAATGCCACCGGACGATCTGTCCGTGTGGCCTCTGACGGGCAGTCCAGTAGGCTATCGAGCCGTGGCTCCCTTTTTCATGATGACGCCGGCCGGAAGAGCAGGACTCACCAGTCGACCCATATGATGGACGGTACATCAGCTCGATACGGTGACACGAATTGGAAGGACGCCCATTCAGGTATAAATGGAGTTTCCAGTGCGTGGGCGATGCCGCATTTTGCTCTTCATCATGTGGAACCGGACACTAGTAATTTGCCGTCGCTTCCATCCGACGTGCATGGCTGGAATTCAAATGCTGTCGACTACGGGGCCATGGGCGGATCTGCTTCTTTGGAAGATAGCAGTGGCACTCAGTTAAACTTCTTCTGCGAGTTGTCGACAGGTCTGACAGGGTTCTGTGCGCCCGAGTTTCTACATGTTGTATCTTCAGTCGTCGAGGGGATGCAGCCGGATCACCCCGTGGATGTTCTTGATTCACTTCAGATCGATGTTATGTCCGATATTGCCAACCAGGAAAAGTTAATAGACAAGCCGAGAACGACAACGAGTATCTCGATTCGTGTTCCCTTGACGAGACTGAGACTTCTCAATTCAGCGGCATCTTCTGATCCGAGCGGCCAGTGCCGATTCCATGATGAGTACAACGTTGAGATCTCGCGTCTTGCAACGGCATTCAGAACCAAAGTGGAGCGTCGGAAGGATGACCTCCAGGAGGGTATACAGCGGAGCTTGGTCGTGCATGCGTCTACTGATTCCCTGTTATTTGGCGTGGAGGGTAGACGCACTGATTCTGCTCAAGGCAAGGCAGAATTTAACTTCGTCGGAAGAGACATGAACTTCTGGTTGGTGATAGCGCCGGACGTGCGTTCTCATCTTCAAATGCGAACGATCGAAACTGCAACTTCAAGCAAATCTGTGGAACAGCTGGCATTTCTAGTCAAGCGAACGACGACTATGTTCGACTCGGTCGCGTCATCATTCCAGCACGCATCATATGTTGGCGCCAGTCGATCACGATTATTGATCTACTCCCTCTCACAGAAAGCTCCAGGTATACCAGACCCTTTATTTTTGACACGGCCGTCATACGTTTTGCGAGTTGCACGTACGCATCTGAGACTCCATGACTCCTGGAAAATAATTTCGCGTCTTCGCGCTATCTACCAGAGTTTATCAGTAGATCGGCAGCGAGAATTGGAAGGGATATGCGTTGATACGAAAGCTAAGCTCCCAGAGAATGCTAGAGAAACTGTTCTCTCAACTTTCGATGAGTGGCGCACCTGGGATCTGGCCCATGTCGAAAAGAGCCATATAATGAGAAAGGTCTGGGGCCCCTCTGTTGCCGCCAGTGAGGCTGCGACATCACAGCCCCTGACCCTTTCGGTGGACGTGAGAACATTCAGGTTCTCTGTTGATCCAGGCCCGAGGGAGAGTGGGATTACGGTTGAAAACTTGTCCACCGCCTTAGCTATTGAGCCTCGAAAGGGCGAGGATATACCTGCAGCGCAGCGGCCAAGAACCGCTATTGTTCTCCGATCTTACTGCTCTTCAGCAGCGTTGCAATTGCGGTGGGAGATATTGGATCTGGTGGAAGTAGTGACAAAAACCATGTCGAATGTGACTTTGGAATCTACTACTCCTCCCGGCGCCTCAGACAATACCGGACCTGGACCTCTGGAGTTGCAGGTTGTCGTCGGCACGGATCTCGGTACTATCACGATTGAGGGCATTAACCTGCGAATTGCCCTTATTGGACAAGCTCTCAAGGGTTCTTTCGTGGGACAGACAGAGAAGGGCAACATGTCTGATGAACTCAGTGTGCTCCTCGCCGCAGAGGCCACTTCAGCAGAGATCTCAGATCGTTTCAAGTTGCTAATCCTTGCAAGAGTCTGGGACCCTACTGTCTATCTTTCCTACGTATTACAAGACAAGGAATCTCTTTTGGAGCATGACTGGAAGATTGCTGGATCGTGCAAGAGGCTCCGATTTGACACGAAAGAAGACCCTCTAGGTCTAGTCCAAGCGGCAGACAGGGTAGTCGAAGACGAAGTTAGATACGTTCGCGAACTGATGAGGAATATTGACGTGCCAAAGGCCCAACCGGCTCCGCCTGCATCCAACGTGAAACGAAGCCATCATCATTTCCAAGCTGCCACGTTCTTGGACGATTATCGTATCACATTCTCCCTCCTCCCATCGTTGACTTACATGATTGCTGGAGAGGTCGCTCGAATGTCAATCGTCCCTAGAAGGGATACTAAACTGGAGGTGGACTTTGATGTAAAATCCAATTCCCACGTATTCCAGTCTCTTGAAGGAACTACGTGGCACACGGTATCCGCTCTACGGATACCACCGATCAACGGCCGAGTGCTTGTCAAATTGGCTCCGGTCACAACTTTAGAGGCGGATGTCACAATTGAGCTTATACGTCTGCAGGCTAGTGCAGTGCGGAGCCTGCTGAGCGCAGTAAATGGCCCTGAAATATCGCACCTTGTTTCCGATTTGAAAGATAGTGTCGATGCACTTCGCGTGCGCCTTAGCAACGTCCTCGACCTGGAGAAGCCAAAGACGCAGTTGAAGGCACCACCGGACGGAGGCGATCTGCTCTACAAAGTCCGCCTTACGATGGCCGGCATGAGCATTCATGCGCGCGCTCCAGGTCTCAAGAGCAAGCAGTACTCCGCCGATATGGAGTTCAGCTTTGGGATGGTACAGATGCGACTTGATAATGGCTCGGAGCAAGGGAAGCCTCTCGACCTTCCGGAATTCCATGTTAATGTCTCTCAGATAAGCCTTGATATTAGGAAGAGAGACCATTCTACGAGTCACTCTTACGGTAATTTCGTTCTCGACGTCGGAGTTGTGGGCACGTCCAGGATAAACGAGACAGGACAGCTGGTGCGAGCGTACTACTTGACCAGCAAGGGTCTTGAAGTTGAGCTTTGTGCCGTAACTGCGTCACTGGTTGTTGACATTGCAGCTCATCTACAAGAGCGGATTAAGACACTTGACGTATCTCATGAAGTCAAGCGTTTGAAGAAGCTGCGGCATCGGGCTCAGCCCGAGGCCAAGCCCAAGGCTGCTGAAGTGCCTAGCATCGAAGTTCAGGATGAGATAAGTTCGGACAACCTTTTCAACGCCATATATTCTGTGGAACTTTTCAACATGCAAGTGAGCTGGATTATGGCAGGTAGCCAGTCAAGCTCACCTGAACGAGAACCAGAAGACCTGGTTTTCTCAATCAGACATGCTGCCGTATCAACGCAGAAACAAAATGCTGCGAAACTTCGCATCGAGGATATGCAACTACAGATGGTCCCGCAATCCCATGATCGCAAGAACCGAACGTTGAACTCAGCCTTGATGCCGGAGATAGTTTTCAACGTGGCTTATTTGTCAACGAAGAACGACATTCGTCTAGCTTTCCAAGCCGCTGGAAAGTCTTTGGATATTCGAGCAACCTCCGAGTTCATTCTGCCTGCCAGCCTGCTTCAGCATTCTATCGCTTCTGCGAGCGAGGAACTGCGGGAAGCGAACGCTATATGGGCTACGGCGCCTTCCCCAGTGAATGATAAAGAGCGCGGACTCTTTGGGAATAAACGCCTCGCATCCTTCCTTATTGATGTTGACTTCGCTGGTGCTATAGTGACCCTTCAAGGAAAGCGGATGGACCATCAACAGACGATGCTCACCGCCGCGTTGAAAGGCACTCGACCGCCAGAGGGTAGGTTTGGGCAATACGTGCAAGGTGAGCCAGCGACTACAGCGTCGCTGCGTGCTCCAGGTGTTGCCCTGAAAGTTCAATACGAAGACAATGGGACAGACGATCAGACCCTAAATGCGGAACTCAAGGTTGACCCGTCGACGAATGTGCTGTATCCAACAGTTGTGCCTCTGATCAAGCAGATTAGTGCCAGCATAAAAGAAGTTGTGGGAGAGCAAGAACGCGGCGCGCAAGAGTCGACAAGTAAACTCCAAGCCCAGAAGCTCATGCCTGATACATCGCTGAGTGCCAACGATCCTGATACGATTCTCGGGCGATGCAAGCTTAACGTGGGCATGTGGATCTGCAAACAGGAGTTTAGTCTGAGTTGCCAGCCCATTGCACGAGTAGCAGCCACTGCGCAGTTTGAGAGCATCTATATGACGGTCAATACTGTTCAATCGGCCGAACAACGGCGGTTCTTTGCTATCCTGGTGGCTTTCAATTCTCTACAAGCCTCGGTGAAACACGTGTATTCGCATGAATCGACAGCCAGTTTCGAAGTGGAAAAGATGGTCATGTCTCTTATGAATAGTAAACACGTCAGCGCTAACAACGGCATATCCGCCATCCTCAAAGTGAGCCCACTGAAGACATTAGTCAATGTGAAGCAGCTGCAGGACTTCCTTCTTTTCCGAGAGATATGGGTGCCCTCCAGTGATGATCAGTCCGGCCCTGAGAGCCGTGAGCCACCCCGATCACCGTCTTCAGATAGCCAACCTTACATGGTGCAACGGTATCAGCAAGTCGCTTGTACAGGTGCCTTCCCGTGGAATTCCACACTGGCCATTGATGAACTGGAGATTCAACTTGACCTGGGCCAGACTGTAGGAAAGTCTCAGTTCACCATCAAAGACCTGTGGTTGTCCTCGAAAAAGAACTCTGATTGGGAGCAGAACCTCTGTGTCGGCTTCCGGACCATGACAATCGAAAGCAAAGGAAGGATGAGCGGACTGGTGGAGCTAGCTAATTTGAAAGCCCGCACATTCATCAAGTTTTCTGGGGACAGTCCAGTTCTGGGCCAGACGCCATTGATTCAAGCGTCCGTTGCGTTCGACTCTCTGCAGGCTAAGGTCTCCTTCGAGTATCAGCCATTCCTGGTAGCTGATATATCTATGTTTGAATTCCTGATGTACAACGTCCGGAATACGTCAGGGCCGCAACAAGACCGCCTTGTCAGTATTCTGGAAGGAGAAAAGGTTCAAGTCTTCTGCACGACGTTGACTGCATCCCAGTCTGTGGGTCTTCTACAAGCGTGGCAGCGTCTGGCTCAGGATAAACAGGCCGCGTATGAAGCATCGCTCAAAGACATTGAGAGATATCTCCGTCGCAAATCGTCTGTGGCCAGCGAAAAAATCAACCTCCGCCCCGACGATGCGGCCAGACGCAAAGAGGAATCTGAAAAGGCACCGATCTCGTTGCATACTGATGTAGTCGTGAGCATCCGGGCGGTGAATGTGGGGGCCTTCCCTAGCACCTTCATCGACAGTCAACTCTTCAAGATGGAAGCACTGGACACACAGGCTCGTTTCGCCGTTGCACTCGAGGACGGAAGGATTCACAGTGCCTTGGGCCTCACCCTGGGACAGCTACGGGTGGCCCTCTCCAACGTCAATCGGCCTAGTCTGCCTACGTACTCTTCGGACGAGCTGTCCGTCGACGATGTTGCCAACCGTGGCACCGGCTCCCGAGGCGGCACGATCCTGAAGGTGCCCCGTGTCGTTGCCAGCATGGAGACTTGGCAGCGTCCCGGGACAAACGACATCGAGTACATCTTCAAGAGTGCCTTCGAGGGCAAAGTGGACGTCGGATGGAACTATTCACGCATTAGCTTCATCCGGGGCATGTGGATGAACCATTCGCGCGCGCTTGCGAGCCGACTGGGGAAGCCCTTGCCGCCGTCCGCCGTCCGGATTACTGGGGGCCCACGACCTGAGGGCGCGGGCGGCGAGTTCGACGAGCAAGAGAAGATCACGGCGGTGGTGAACATGCCTCAGTCACGATATACTTACCTGGCACTGGAGCCGCCAGTGATCGAGACTCCGCAGCTCCGGGACATGGGCGAAGCCACCCCGCCGCTGGAATGGATCGGTCTACACCGTGACAAGCTACCTAATGTCACCCACCAGATCATCATTGTCACCTTGCTGGAGGTAGCTAAGGAAGTTGAGGATGCATATTCGAAGATTCTGGGATCCTCATGAGGGTGGGGAAGACATGAGCATTACTGAGCATTACGCTGCATTAGTGATACCCGGTTTCTCTCTCTTCTCCCCCTTCCTCCTCTTACAGGAAGGAGTTAGGCGTCAATCATTGTCATCCTCAACGGGATCATGACCTATCACCACCAATGGCGTTGCAAGGAGCGATCACTGTATTATTTGTCTCTTTGTATTATTGTCCAGTTTAGCAGCTATAAAATCCCATAGGAACCATGTGTACAGTAGAGAGAAATTATTATTTGTTTAGAGATAGTAACATGATGTTATCCAAACATACCATGAGCAACATAACATAAAACTCGACCCTAGTCTAGAGCTGATGACGATCAATCCAAAATCCTTCTTATTATTATTATTAGTATTATCCTCCTCTATCCTTATCCTCGCAAGTTCACTCGCGTACATTAGTCAACTACGATCCTCGTCTTAATAATTGAACCCATTAAATCCTAACGCCGAGCAGACCAAGTGGGGAAGCGGTGAGATGAAGAAACCCCTCATTGGACCGCCACCAGGGCTCAGCAACGGTCACGTTGTCAGGCCAGCGAACGAAACTGGAGGGAAAGTTGAGCTGGCACACGCTGTGACGAGAAGATCATCAGATACCTTAGTAGGGTGGGGGATGGAGGAGAAGGATTCTCTGCTCGTAGAATAATAGAAGAAGACATGGGGAAAAGAAAAAGATAAGACGAGGAGTGATGGGGATAATATATGGATAATTTAAAATGATATTGTTATTATTATTGCAGAGTAGAGAGTACTTGGAAGAGAGTATGACCCTCACTGATGACTTCAATGATAATTAATTAACCAAGTTGGGTGGCAAGATCCAAGCTGCACTCTTAACGATCCAAAGAGAATCAAAGAACGAAAAAAAAAAGAATAAAAAGATAAAAAAAAAATTACAAGTAACAAAACTGTCACTAGCAGACTAGACCGTCCGAAATAATAATAAATAATAATAAAAGAGTTGCAACAGGCGAATTAAAAGAATGGTGTTCCCATACGGCGGGCTGGAAACGCACATCGAGATTGGAAATCGGCAAAAACCCTTTTCCCAGTCCCCACTAAATCCCCTCCTCGCAAGCTTTGCGCACTTACTTCACTGCTTCCCCTCTGCCCTTTTCCTCCTTCTTCCCTCTCTTCCCCTCCCGTGAAGCCTTCTTCCTTGTCTCAGGAGCAGAGCGTACACTAGGGTTTCCTCTCCAAAGAGCAAGAAACAACATCAGGTCGAGCTAGCTCTCGATCCTGATCCTTTTGTGTGTCGTTTGTTCCTTTTTGTCCCGCATTCTTATCGCACAACCCCGCCTCTAGGGCTTTGCTCTGAGAAAAAACCGTCAAGATGGTCAAGTAAGTCCCAACTCCCGACTACGTCCAAGATGAGAGGGCAAAAGAAGAGAAAATATTGAGCAGAAAGTTTTGGGATGATGGCTAACATGTCCTTGCGTACAGCTTCACCGTCGAGGAGGTTCGTTTTTTATTTTTTTTCTCTTTTCTTCTCCATCCCGCGCGCCCGCTTGGAGGGGACTTGCCCACCATCGGCGCCTGAGGAATAAAAAAAAAACCTCCCAGAACAATGAACTGACCATGGACAGATCCGGGCCCTTATGGACCGCCCGGCCAACATCCGTAACATCTCCGTTATTGCTCACGGTATGTAAATCGAATCTGTGATATTTTTCTGTCCCGGTTGGGATTTTCTCCGGTCGGGCAGAAAGCGAGGCAGCAGCGAAAAAAGAATGGAAATTTCTGACCTTGATGACTAGTCGATCACGGAAAGTCCACCCTGACCGACTCCCTGGTCCAGCGTGCGGGTATTATCTCCGCTGCTAAGGCTGGTGAGGCTCGTTTCACGGATACGCGTGCAGATGAGCAGGAGCGAGGCATTACCATCAAGTCCACTGCCATCTCCCTGTACGCTCACCTGACGGATGAGGAGGATGTCAAGGACATCCCCCAGAAGGTCGATGGTAACGAGTTCTTGGTCAACCTGATCGACTCCCCCGGACACGTTGACTTCTCCTCCGAGGTCACTGCTGCCCTCCGTGTCACCGATGGTGCCCTGGTCGTCGTCGACTGTATCTCCGGTGTCTGTGTCCAGACCGAGACTGTCCTGCGTCAGGCCCTGGGTGAGCGTATCAAGCCCGTCTGTATCGTCAACAAGGTCGACCGTGCTCTGCTCGAGCTCCAGGTCTCCAAGGAGGACCTCTACCAGTCCTTCGCTCGTACCGTCGAGTCCATCAACGTCATCATCGCCACCTACTTCGACAAGGCTCTCGGTGATGTCCAGGTCTACCCCGACAAGGGTACCATTGCTTTCGGTTCCGGTCTTCACGGCTGGGCCTTCACTGTCCGCCAGTTCGCGGCCAAGTACGCCAAGAAGTTCGGTGTTGACCGTAACAAGATGATGGAGCGTCTGTGGGGTGACAACTTCTTCAACCCCAAGACCAAGAAGTGGACCAAGACCGAGACCTACGAGGGCAAGCCCCTGGAGCGTGCCTTCAACCAGTTCATCCTGGACCCCATCTTCAAGATCTTCAACGCCGTCACCCACTCCAAGAAGGAGGAGATCAACACCCTGATCGAGAAGCTGGATATCAAGCTCGCCAGCGACGAGAAGGAGCTCGAGGGCAAGCAGCTCCTCAAGGTCATCATGCGCAAGTTCCTGCCTGCCGCTGATGCCATGTTGGAGATGATCGTTCTCCACCTGCCCTCTCCCGTCACTGCCCAGAAGTACCGTGCCGAGACTCTGTACGAGGGTCCCACTGACGACGAGGTCTGCATTGGTATCCGGGACTGCAACCCCAAGGCTCCTCTGATGCTCTACGTTTCCAAGATGGTGCCCACCTCCGACAAGGGTCGTTTCTACGCCTTCGGTCGTGTCTTCGCCGGTACCGTCCGCTCCGGTATGAAGGTCCGCATCCAGGGTCCCAACTACACCCCTGGTAAGAAGGAGGACCTGTTCATCAAGGCCATCCAGCGTACCATTCTGATGATGGGTCGTTTCATTGAGCCCATTGAGGATGTCCCCGCCGGTAACATCCTGGGTCTGGTTGGTGTCGACCAGTTCCTGCTCAAGTCTGGTACCATCACCACCTCCGAGACTGCCCACAACCTCAAGGTCATGAAGTTCTCCGTCTCCCCCGTCGTCCAGCGTTCCGTTGAGGTCAAGAACGCCAACGACCTGCCCAAGCTGGTCGAGGGTCTCAAGCGTCTGTCCAAGTCCGACCCCTGTGTCCTGACCATGATCAACGAGGCTGGTGAGCACATCGTTGCCGGTGCCGGTGAGCTGCACCTGGAGATCTGTCTGAAGGATCTCGAGGAGGACCACGCCGGTGTTCCCCTCCGTATCTCTGACCCCGTCGTCTCCTACCGTGAGACCGTCAGCGGCGAGTCTAGCATGACTGCCCTGTCCAAGTCTCCCAACAAGCACAACCGTCTGTACGTTACTGCTCAGCCTCTGGACGAGGAGGTCTCCAAGGCCATCGAGTCCGGCAAGATCTCCCCTCGTGACGATTTCAAGGCTCGTGCCCGTGTCCTTGCCGACGAGTACGGCTGGGATGTCACCGACGCCCGTAAGATCTGGTGTTTCGGTCCCGACACCACCGGTGCCAACTTGCTGGTTGACCAGACCAAGGCTGTCCAGTACCTGAACGAAATCAAGGACTCCTTCGTCTCCGGTTTCCAGTGGGCTTCCCGTGAGGGTCCCATTGCTGAGGAGCCCATGCGCTCCATCCGCTTCAACATCATGGATGTTACCCTGCACGCTGATGCCATTCACCGTGGTGGTGGTCAGATCCTGCCCACCGCTCGTCGTGTGCTGTACGCCGCTACCATGCTGGCTGACCCCGCTCTGCTCGAGCCCATCTTCAACGTCGAGATCCAGGTGCCCGAGCAGGCCATGGGTGGTATCTACGGTGTCCTCACCCGCCGTCGTGGTCACGTCTACACCGAGGAGCAGCGTCCCGGTACTCCTCTGTTCACCGTCAAGGCTTACCTGCCCGTCAACGAGTCCTTCGGCTTCACTGGCGATCTCCGTGCCGGTACCGGTGGTCAGGCCTTCCCCCAGTCCGTCTTCGACCACTGGGCCGTCCTCCCCGGTGGCTCGCCCCTCGACCCCACCACCAAGCCTGGTCAGGTCGTTGCTGAGATGCGTAAGCGCAAGGGTCTCAAGGAGCAGGTTCCCGGCTACGAGAACGTAAGTTGTCTTCTTCCCGAACCCGACTGATAGTGTGATGAAGAAGATTAATTGCTAACGAAATCTGCAGTACTACGACAAGCTGTAAACAACTCAATGCCAGCCGGATAGACTTCCCGACAATGATATCTGGGATCCAGCCATTACGAGTGTGACGACATAAAATAAAAAGCCCAGGTTAGGACAGTACAAAATCGGCGCCGTGGTGTGGAAATATGTTCCAGCGGGCAAGCTTCTGCATGAGGATGTCGGGGTGTGGCTAAGGGCCAATTGGGTTGTTCTTTGTCGAACTTGCTACTGCTTGACCTGCGAAAAATACCCTTGCCATCTCCGTCTTCCTAGTTTGGCTCAATACCTCACGCTCGGGTTTCAAAATGCCTAGAGAGAGAGAAGTAGAATAAAGATGTGCGAGCATAGGAACAGCTTGTCTTTAATTTGGCCTCTTGTTACGTTACGAATGTGGAATTTCCTTTGCTGTTCTCTAGTTTCATAGTTTGCCCCTGAAAATAAATACGGTAGTTCAATAACTGTGATTCGCGTAGCAGTAATAAATAATACAACCACTTCTGTCCATTTGATCTTGGAACTTTCTGAGAAGAAATTGAAATTGATTCTTCTCCGTAGCAGTTTTGACACCATAGCTCCGTCACGTGACGCATAGCACCGCGTCCCGGGCGACATTCGCGTTTCCCCAGCTCTCCAGGTCAATCAAGGTCGAGCCATCCTCGTCGCTGAGCTTTCATCCCCTCCACTATGGCCTGAAGCTGGCTCTGGCCGATAACAACATCGTCGCAACTGATTCAACGAGCTTTCTTTGACCCAACCAATCTCCCCGGTCGACGATCCGCTGTGTGCGTGCGTCTTCGTTCCCTTTGCGGAGTCCGCCACCATATTTTTCTGGAGTCGCATTTTGCCGGTTGTCTCCACCTGAGCTTTTATGTGGATCGCGTGCAGAGCAGGCTCTTGATGAGGTAGTTTTGCTTGGGTGAAATTATCATTGGTATTCCATACATCGAACTACGAAAGAAAAGGGCAAGTCGGGTTAGGTCCGAAAAGTTCAAGATGCAGTTTACAGAGGAAGAAGCTGCGGATGTGAAGAAGTGGGTGGTGAAGAGATTGGAGGATATGTAAGTTTATTTTCCTTCGATTTCTTTATCCTGGGTCGTCGCTTTTTTTTGTCATTTGTCTGTGTTCTTCTTGCGGAGTGTGTTATTCCTTGCTGGGTGTTCAGTGTTCAGCTCTGTTTAAGTGCAAGATAAGCTGACAGATCTTTTTATCTGGTGGATAGCTCCGATGCCGATTCAGATGTCCTTGCGGACTATGTCCTCGCCCTGATCAGATCCGATGCGCCGGACGAGGAGATTAGGAAAGCGTCTGTGGAGAATTTGGAAGATTTTCTGAGAGAACGTGAGTTGGAAGGATGATCCCTACGGTTACGTGTTGTCGTTATGTGGATAGTTGCTGATAAAGCTGGTTGGCAGATACGGTGAAATTCGTGGATGAGATTTTTGAGAAGTTTGGTCCGAAGCAGCAGCAAGCTGCACCGGTGACTGCGCCGAATCAGTTCCCCGTGCAGAGTGTCAGTGTCGCGACCCCATCAGCGCCTTCTATCCAGCAGCAGCAGGATCCGTTTAACGTCCCTCTTGGAGCTCCGAAGGGTCCCTTTGGTGGCCCCATAGGCAGTGTTCCGACGCAACCTGCTGGATTCGACGGTGCGAACTATTCTCGGAAACGGACTTTCAACGAGGGATTCCAGGCCGATCAAGGCCCGGGTGAGCAGCAGTTCCATAGCAGAGTGTACAAGACGCCACGACGAGGGCGCGGTAGAGGTGACCGCATGGGCGGTCCTGGGAGAGATGGAAGGCCTGGGGGTCCTCCAGGTTCTCAGTTTCCTACACCAGGTGGATTTCCAGGTATGCCTGCGGGCTTCCCTCCGTTCGATCCGAATGATCCTATGGGTGCCATGCTAGCGCTGCAAAATATGGGATTCCCGCCAATGCCTGGAATGCCGCCTCTTCCTCAGCAGCAAGGCAACTTGGCTGGCAAGAGCACAGAACGTTGTCCGCTGTATGACACGCAAGGGATCTGCTACTTGGGCGCAACATGTCCGTACCAGCATGGGGACTCTGTCGTGCCGCCTAGAGACGATGGTAAAGGACCTTCTATCTTGATATACTTTTTTTCATGCTAACGACTGTAGAATACGACCCTACGAACGCGAATATAATGATTGATGTTCAGCGAGATGGTGAAGGCGCCGGAAGAGGTTTCGAGAGGGGACGTGGCCGAGGTCGTGGTCGAGGGGACAGGGGTGGTTTTGCAGGACGAGGACGCGGCCGTGCTGAGTTCTCCATGACTGGACCTAACGAGGACAGGTCGGTTACCACAATTGTTGTGGAGCAGATTCCAGAGGACAAGTTCAATGAGGAGTCTATCCGCGAGTTCTTCTCCCAGTTTGGAAACATTGTGGAGGTCACATTGCAGGCCCCTAGACATCTTGCTCTGGTCAAATATGATACCTATGAGTCCGCAAAGGCCGCTTGGTCAAGCCCGAAGGTCATTTTCGACAACCGCTTTGTCAAGGTCTATTGGTACAAGCCACGTGGGAAGCCAGATGCCAATGGTGGCCAGCGACATACGTCGTCCACTCCGATGGATACGGAAGCAGATGCTACGCCCTTCGACAAAGAGGAGTTTGAGAGACAGCAATTAGAGGCCCAGAAGGCGCACGAGGAGCGGATGAAGAAGCTCAAGGAGACTGAAGAGGCTCGACAAGCGCTCGAGAAGCAGCGAGAAGAACTCCTCCGGAAGCAGCAAGAGGAGAAGGCCAGGCTCCTGGAGAGACTCAAAGAGAAGGGCGCTCTTAATGGTGCAGAAGAATTGAATGGTGATAAGGCTGAGTCCCCTGCCGACGAGAACGTCAGTGAGCAGACGAAGCAATTACGAGCACAGCTTGCTGCTCTCGAGGCCGAAGCGAAGAGCCTGGGCATTGATCCCAATAATCCTCAGCCGTCAACTTCTTTCCGTGGGCGCGGAAGAGGAACGCCTTACAGAGGGCGTGGTGGATTCCCCCCTCGTGGTCGTGGATATGACCCGTCGTTCCGGGGAGGCTTTAGAGGCAGAGGCGCCTTCCGTGGCCGTGGGGGTGTTCTTCGACTGGATAATCGACCGAAGAGGGTTGCTGTGTCTGGTGTGGAGTTCGATTCCTCCAAGGACGAAGCTCTTCGACAATACCTCATCGTAAGTTATTTTACCGCTGGAGATACTTGTAGTCTGAAACTAACGACGGCATGCAGGGAATCGGAGAATATCAGTCCGTCGACCCCAACCCGGAGCGTTCAGATTCCCAGATTATCACTTTTAAAGACCGCTACGTAGCTGAGAAGCTGATGTACGGTCCTACGACTATCCCCGGCGTCGGTAATGTCGAGTTGTCGTGGGTTGCCAACCCTGCCCCAACGCCCTCCGCCACCGGCGGACCCGGCCCAGACGGCAAGACCCGAGACGAAGACTCCGTCATGGAAAACACAGGAGATGCTGCTCCAGAGCCTGACAGCACACGACGAGATGGCAATCATGAAGTCGACTACGACGTGGCCGAAGTGGACGATACGTGGGGAATCGAGTAAACCTCGGCTCACATCTGCATCATCTTGTCCCGCCAGAAAATGGAGGAAATGGGAGTTCAAAAGGCTTCATTTCATGTGGGAACTTTTCATCTCTGTCATGTAATAATGTAAATGCAAAGACTAGCTAGCTAGCTATCTATTGAGAGGCAAAAGCTAAGCAATCTCATCATGCCAATACAATCTTGTACAGTATAGTACGTTACAGACAGTGGATTATCCCTTTCCCTTTCCCAAAAAAGAAATGTTACCTAAATTCAGAAACTAGTATCTATCTATTTTCTCTGTCTTTAGATGATGGATGTCATTCTCATTCTCACACTGGCAGTATACATAGTGTTTCAAATCCTCATAGACCACCTACAGGGGTATAAGTTATATTCCCCGTTCCAAACATTAATATATCCTTTTTTCTGGGTATTTCTGTTGTGGGAATGATGCTTAAATCAAATTTTCGACTTCCCTCCTCCCAACATCATCGTCTGAACTTGGAAAATCTTGACTAATTGACGAACTGCAAGGTCGAGAAGCACGTCTTCGGAGCCGCCGGGGATGCGGGTTCCAGGAACTTCGCGGTAGATTTCTGCCCATCTGTCAGTAAGTACTCTGGACTGCATTTCTCCAGAGGGAAAACGGTGATTTCAACGTAATAGACGAATGAAGAACAAAATGAGTAAATGTGGTTTCGGGAAGGAAGGGGGGCTTCTGGGTGGTAACATACTCTCTACAATCTCCCCCCGTCCCGTACGAGTATATCCATTTCCACCAAACAATAACACCGCAACCTGCGCGCACTCATTCAGAACCATACCAGACCTCGCCTTCGCCAGGGCCGTCAGACCACCAAGCTGAATATCCGCCTCATTCCTATCCATCTTCTTGAGCTGGAACAAGAACTGTTCTATCCACGCAGAAAGACTCTCTAGCTCTGCTCCCGCCTTCGCCAACCGATGTCTCACGACCGGCTGATCCATGAGCGTCTTCCCGAACGCCTCGCGCTGCAGACAGTACTCGAATGCAGACGAAAGCGCCACGCGCGCCTGTCGCGTCGCGCCAATAGCGATGGTGAGTCGTTCGTGGTTGAAGTTCGTCATGATGTAGTGCATGCCGTGGCCTTCGAGGCCGATGAGGTTTTCAACGGGGACTTGGACGTCGTCGAGCTCGATGAAGGTCGTTCCGCCCGTGAGTTGGCCGGATACTTTGAGCTTGCGCATCGTTACGCCGGGGTGGTTCTTTAAAGGGACAAGGAGGAGAGAGAGGCCCTTGGCTCCTGGACCGCCGGTTCGGACGGCCATGGTCGTGTAGTCGGACCAGATGCCGTTGGTGATCCTTTGCATGATCATGATGTTAGTATGGATGTATTAATTTGTATTTTGTATATATAGATATATATGGATATATAGGGATGATTGATTGATCGATTGGTTCCATGATATCAACATACCATTTCTTAGTTCCATTAACGATATAATGCTTTCCATCAGGTGTCTTCGTAGCCGTCGTCGTGATATTGGCAACGTCACTACCGGCCTCGGGCTCCGTGATGGCAATACACATTCTCTTTCGACCCGTTAGGAAATCAGGCAGGAAGCGTTCGTGTAGTTCGGGACTCCCGAATTTGAGAACTGGGGGGATGCCGAATGCGAATCCTGCAGACATTGATGCTCCGGGTCCGCCGATGCCGCTTCGTGACATCTACGTATGTATAAAATGTCAATTAATAAGTACTTAATATAATGCTATACATCACATTATCAAAAAAAACCGAGACTCACTCACTCACTCACCTCATCGATATAAATCCCCGTATGAAAATAATCCCACTCCTCAACCTTCACGCCCAGAATATCATGAATACCCAACTTCTTCAACCACTCAACGGGTAGCGGCGAGGGCAGATTCGGAAGCAACATGTTATTCTTTCTGAACGTCTCGTAGACGTGTGCGGGAACTTCCTCTGCGCGCTCCCACTCGAGAGCGTGCTTGTGGAGGTTCTCCCAGATGAATGCGCGACATGCTTTTTGGAATCGATGGTGGGATTCTGTGTAGTAGGGTGATGGGATGCCGCGGAGATAGGGCGGTTCTGAGAAGGGGATGGGATTGGGGGAGTTGGTGGCCATGGTTAGGTAGGTAGGTACTTGGTGGGTAGGATTGGGGAGATTGAATTGATGCTTTGTATTTTTTTTTTGTAATGGACCTTTGGATGGTATGATTGGGTAGATCTCCCTTATTTACCTAGCTGTAGCTATGTAGGTAGGTTGTTGTGCAATGTAAGAGGAGCGAGCGACTGTTGTAATTGAACCCGAGGATAGTTAGGTATGTTATATCATTCAGATGAAGTTGCGACATACGACAAAAGCCTTTACATGTAAATGTGATTATATATAACAACCGGCAGAGTATGATTTCCGGCCATGTGAAACTGGATGTAATACTGCTGAAGCTAGCGGAGTTGTTGACCTCTCGTTTTTGCGGGGAAGAATGTAATTACTTAGCCCGACGTCGACCGAGCCGAGGCTCCTGCTCGGGATATGATCTTCGTCGCCTCGATACGAACATATTTTCTCCATTACACTGTGTGACATCTGCTTTTTCTTGGGGAGTATATTTTCTGGTCAAGTTAGTTATATTTCTGGTCAAGTTAGTCGATGATGGGACGGTTCGAGGTGTCTGTAGATTGTCACAGATATACTGTACGACGTTTCAGATGTCATGTACGCGTAAGACCATTCTATTCCTCGTAATGTACTGGTATTTTTATAAGTAAACATCTCTTCTATGATGATCATTATGTTCGGGGAGAACAACATTAACGAGTGATATTGGGAGGATATATACATATATATCCTAAAAAGGTCATGATCGAAGGAAGGAAGGAAGGAAGAATCCACGCATCCTATTTCCGCAGATAACCTGCATCGTCGGTAATAAGGTACGGTGAAAGAAAAGAGCGTCATTGAGTCTCTCCATGACTAAGTAGGATAGTTTACCACGAGAAGCTCTCCTCGATAAAGTCAATATGCGTCCGAGTCTGCCTTTTACGACAAGCTCGTCGGATGCCGTCACTCAGACTACCCGATCCACACACCATGACACCCATAGCACCCACCTGCTGTTCGATTTCTTCGTCAATGAGTTTCTCAGGGTCAGGACGCCCGATCAATGTCTGCAGGACAATGCGACTGGAAGGGTGTGAGGTTTCGGAAACTAGTCGGTGCATGTCCTCTGTGTTGCCGGGACGGGTTATGAAGAGCTTAACTCGAAGCACTTCCTCGCATCGTTCCATCTCAAGGAGATCCATCAGCCAAGGATAAACCCAGCTGACTTGGTCAGGGCTCTGGATCGCCCATGCCAACGTGACTTTTCGAGCAGCGGCAGTGCCATTGGCATAACCAGACACCAGCTCACGTACAAACGAGAAGGGATGCGTGATACCAACTCCACCGGCGAATAACAAGACGGTCCCATAGGAACTGGCCTCATGGATGCCTCCATAAGGGCCCTCGACGAAACCAGTGAGGTATATTGGCCGTCCAACGCTTTCTGCTGCACGCTTATATAGCTTATCGGTGAACCCACCTTGGCGCTTAATAACTAAAGACATGGTTTTGGAGGGCTCATCAAAGGACGTGAGCATGGACTCTTTATCGAGTGACATACTCCGTGTCTCGCTCCACGCAACGCTGAATGGGTGAGAGGTCCAGAATCCGACTGAAGGTAGGTACAGATAGACATGTTGACCGGGCTTGAACGTCCATGGACGGGCCATGAACAGGGTGACTCTCATTGCGTTTCCAGCGAGAGCTTCCACAGCGACTGTGGTTCCTCCATTGCCGATATTGCGACGGAAAAGGGTAATAAGGCGTACAGTTCGCTAGATTACCAGTTAGCCTTTCCAATGTCCCTATTAATTTGCATAATGCCGACTCACCTCGGCGGCCCAGGCGATGATCGCAGGTAGTAGGAAATATCGCTGTTCGGTGTACTCGTTGAGATGCGTCCAGAGAAACCCGAAGGTGACGAGTACGAGGGCAATGTGTGTATGAAGAAACGTCTCGTAAAAGGCATGTCGTAGAGGAGAGAAAGAATGGACGTTCAGACCCATGAAACCGCAGACAGCCTTTTTGAGTCAGTTAGGATGACCTTTCCTGCACTGGCTGGTAGGAACTTACCACGAGCCCAACCAGACAGAAAGCGTCGGTTTGAAAGAGCTGTCCGATGGCTAGGGTTCCACCTATGTTTATATTAGCAAGGGCTACACCAACAGTTTATGTACCACTAACCTTTCTGGCCTACTGGAACGATAGTGACAAGGGCATGTGCAATTGCCTCCAGCACGATGCATCGTGCAATCCACCGATGAAGGAAGTTAAAAGTATCGAACGAGACATGAAGTATGGCAATCAAAGGATTATTGCGACCAGCGAAAATGACCAAGGGAATAAGATTGGCCACTGCCATGGCGCCCGTCCGACTCCTAAAATCGTCCCATAGCTCCTTTGACGAAAAGTCAAGATCCACAAGAACGAACAGGAAATTGAATCCCACGACGCCGAAGAGAATGAGTGTCTGCAGACGACTGGGGACCGTTCCAAGCGTCAGGCTCTTGCTGAGCTGAAGTTCTCGATTATGTCTCGTTCCAAACAGCGGCGCATAGATTAAATGCTCCTTCAGAGGTCCAAGGAATGTACTGGCGGAAACGAAATAGCGCTGGGTGGGATTGTTCAGACACGAAATCTTTCGAAGATATGCGGACATCCGAGCTGCAGCTTGCCAGGCCAAGGTAATTGCTACTGCTCCAGCGATCACTGCAATATAAACTCCCGCAAGAGCCACATGGATATTGAAGGGTGGCGCTCCTCCTTCTTCCCCTTCCGCCATAACGACTGCGGCCGTGGACAATAATATGAGCCCAAGTGATAGCACACCCATGTTGCTCCGTTCAAAAATGTTATCAAAGAAAGCGGAGAAATGTAAGAACGGTTTGGAGAGTTGCCGTTTCTCGAGAAAGAACAATACTATAGCCCCGGAATACAGTCCTGCTGTAAATCGAGGGAGAATGAAGAATAAGAATAAGAATAAGAACTGAAAGAATCAAATATCAAACCTCCCCGATTAAGAAAGCAGCAAAAAGAACTGAAAAAAAGTAAAGTTGCACGAAAATATAGAAACACAATAAAAGATGACAAGCAGGACATGATTCCACTGTGATATAAACTTCTACTCGATTCACCAAGAGGCCATGAGACACCGCCAAGAAGAGAGTCGTCACCCGAGTTTGATAACAAAGCGAATTGTCATGACGGGAAACCAATGAGATCACACATAATCTCATCAGTGTGGCTAGAGCAACAGATTTAGAGCGCAGCGGGACGTGCGAAGAAACAGATCCCTTGGGAGCAGCAAGGTGTGCCGAGTATTGCTAGCTTCAAAGATGAGATGGACCGGTGGCTGTTCCAAAGGGTTTTATCAGGCTTGGCCATCCAAGGAGATGGTGACATGGTTATTGACAACCAAAGAAATGTATGTCACACAATAATGCATAGGAGAAGTGAATAAAGCTTGTTTGACTGATTGTATTAGCAGAATGCCACGAACAATTTCCTGGCGGACCTACAAAACCAACCTAACTTTCGTCGGACACTCAGACATGCTTGACTCTACATCAACATTTGCAAGCCAAAAAAGGTGCATTGTTTCTCGAAGAAATTAGGCCCACAAGGGACCACTGGGCTGTTTCGATCAACCGTGCCCATCGGATCGGTGAAATGGTGAGTAAGAATAACCGCATAGCTGCGGCAGACCTGCGACATGCACGGTCTCATATGTGTTACCGCGTTTTAGCCTCGACACAGTCAAGATCAGATAAGCATTCCTAAGCAGTGGTCCATGAATCTCTAAGAGAAATGATTCGCTGCGTCAACTTCCAGTGCTTGTTTCTCGCTCTTGCGACTTGTTACCTTCCGTGTCTTTGTCAAGGGATCAACAGGGCCTTGAGCTGTAGACCTTGACAACTATCAATTGCTTGTATCGCACCCAAAGGCCGGATAATGCAACAGTATCAGAAGTCGAGCTGACTAGGAACTGCATTTCTCCTCAAGAAGCATCTGAGGTTTGAGGGACCCCCTCTAGTACTAACTGATGTCACCCTGGAGAGGATAATTGTTGTCACAGCGGTGTTTACTGCTCATCTGATCAGCAGCACTTATTCTTCCGGTGAAGAGATGGAGACTTGAAAAACATAACTGAGTTTAGTCATTTATCGCAATCGTCGTTTAATAAGCGGAAACTTACATGGAGAGGGATGAGTCGGAAGAACTAATAGACAGGAGCGAAACACAGGTCTCAATTCAGACAACCCGAGCCGTCGGAGTCTTAAAGAGATCAGTTAAGCCCTAAGAGAGCCCGTAAGCCATCTGGAAACTAACCCTTACTTGAAACTCGATCTCAGCATCGGGGAATATCTCGCTGAGGTAGCTAGAACCGGTCCATGTGGAACCCAGGTCATGAAACTTGATCCTGAAACGAAGCGCTCTGTGATTATTCAACAACCAGATCTGGCGACAGAATCTGAAAGTCGTCGCACTTACCAGCGTAACCTTCTGACCGGAACGTGAGAAGTTGAGGATCATCAAGTTTGTATGTATATTCGCTATTATTCGATGAACCAATCTGGCTTTCTGACCAGGCGCCTTCCTCAAGTCTCACTCTGGCAGCAGAAACCTCTCCCTTATCTTAGCAGGAACAGGACAGCATGAATGTCATACTAGCTAGAGCGTCGAGGCGACCGTGCGGTCGTGTCTTGAAGATTAACTCTTTGAAGGATGGGAACCTGTAGATATCCGAATGACGGTTGGCCTAGCGAACACGAATTAAGCTCCACCCTAAATTTTCTGGATCGCTTCCCGGGCCAGCTTATGATTCGAAGAATTTGAAACGAAAATAAATCGCTTTTCACAGCACTCTGTCGGTGCTGACTAGACTATGAGATTCGCGACCTAAGTTTGAATTGATACCTTACTGCCTCAGGCCTAAAAATACAACAAGTATCAGCAGTTCACCGCCTTTCCGGAAACGGAAAGTTCCCCCTAGATGAACATCTCGAGTCTCTGTAATCAATTACACCTAACTAACTAACACGTACTCTTCTCCTTTGAGTTGGACAATGAAAACATAATATTCTGTTGCGCAATCCTTTTTGATTGAATTTGGCTATAGCAGGGATGCATTTTTCCAGTGCAGCGAATCAAGACAGCTGGCGACAGGACAGCTTAACATCGTTCGATACATCTCAACGCTCGTCGCACTAGCATACCTAGTACCTGTACCTCTACATAGCTAGCACTTACAAGGTGTTTACGTGATCAAAGTGATCTATTCAGGCCTTTCAGGCACCCTTGAAAATGGAAGATGGTGCCTCATCTGCAAACGCCCGGGCTGCTTCTCGAACACGCGGAGACATCATTCCGCTTCTGAGACCTCGACCGCCGGATTTCAGGGATGGATACAAAAAAGTTACACGTCCTGAACCTCTCACATTCGATCGTGTCAATGAGGGCCACCCGCCGGCATCAGGGGCGATCCTCTTCAAACTTCCGGTGGAGGTGCTCGCAAACATCCTTCTGCATATCCCTGACGAAAGTCTTCCCTCTCTTGCTTTAGTCAACAGCGACTGCCGCCAATTAGCCAGATCTCGTCAGTTCAGTAGTATCTGCTTTGATTACAGTGACTCCTGCTTTCAACTGGGAACGCACCTGGAGAAAGAATTGCAAGAACGCCAGAGCAATGCTGCCCATGCAGTACGGCCATCTTTAGGGGCATGCATCCGGCATCTGACCGTTAATACGGTGTCCTCTCACATGGAATCCAGACATTCTCTGAGGACTAGGGATGTTATGTATCTTTCTCGAGAAAAGTTCCATTCCCGGTTTGACAGGGCCTCGTCTCTATACTTCAACAGATACCTTCCCTCCATAGAGCGTATCTTGCCTTCCTTGCCGCATCTTCGCCGGCTGGAATGGAGGGACAGCATTGAAGTGGACTACGAGTTTTTTGAGGCACTTCTGAAGTCTAATGTCCATAGTTTGAAACTATTGGATATCAAACCATCGCAGCAATGTCAGGCGGAGATGCTAAATAGATTGCCCACCCAACAGTGGCGTCTGCGAACCCTGTATTTGCAATCGCGCGACTTCAGTGGACGAGATGAGGCAGCTCACAGATATCCTCCACTCTCTATCAATATTCTGCAAGCCTGCGCCGAAACACTTGAATCACTGACTTGGGTCGTGGAAGAGCCATATGAACCTCAACACCTGCTAGTATCTATTGACTACGACTCAAAAATTCCACGTTTCCCGAAACTGCGTGATCTGATCTTGATAAAGAATAATTGGCTGCTCTATCCTCCCACTATTCTCCACGCACTGATCCCCCCAAGTGAGGAGTGCCTGCTTCGGTCGCTGTGTATCGATCCAGAAGACATGGTGGTCTCTGAGCTTCTCGACAAACGTGGCAGAATCCCGTCCCTGGAAAGACTCGAACTGTATAATAAATGCCCAAGGCTACCTATGGATTTTATTATTGCCAACGACCAGTTGTCGAAATTGTCTTTCCAGTTTTCTCTTTCTTCGGAGTTCCTCAGGTTCAAGCTTCTACCGGTGCTATCGCGTTCGTTCGCCAACCTAACATCTCTTCACCTTACATGGCATGGCGACTTTATCCCGCGAGAGGATCTTGAAATAATTGGCACAATTAAAGGACTTGAACAGGTCTGGCTAAGTGCGGGAACACAGACTGGACTTTACTACGATTGGCTTATAGACCATCAGGCCATGCGTGAAACGTTCTTGCATTTACCAAGGCTAAGGAGGTTTGCTTTTTCACGAGATTCATACCTCAGTACCAGTGATAGCACAGTTGAAAGATATTACTTTGAACGATACACAGTCGAAGTCATGCGAGCTATGGAAGATGCCGATCAATTTCCCCAGGGTCGCTCCCGTCACAACATAGGGTTTTCGAAACTGTGCCAGATGATCTGGGAGAGCCTACACCGGAAGCGAATGTTGTCGGAAGCACAGAAGTACCTTCAGGAATTACCAAATCACCCGCTCGAGTGGATGTATTTCGGACAGATCCCGATGGATGTGAAATGTGTCTCTGGCCGTAAGGAGGCATATCCCTCATTCCATAAGAGAGATGATTGCTTCACTCATCTCCGGAAGATGTTTAACTGGGATACATACGATTTGCTCGAGAGAAAGTACGAGTTAGGAGAGGATAACCACGACCTAGAGGAGGACGAATAACTCAAATCCATGTCGGCTGGAGTTGCGAAGATATCCCAATGTTGGTTTTATGGAGAAGTTGGCGCTTGATTCCCTGGGTGCAAAAAGACCATTAATAATGTAGTAGTGTTAGTGTACCTGCAGAAATCAACAAATATCTCGACTTCTTGTCATAACCTTTACCCGCGGGATTCAATATGACTACCTATGTACGGGGTGCCAGCCTGTAATAGCCGGCATGTTTAGTCTTTTTAAGCGAGTAATCAATTCCACCTATTTCTCAGCCTCGCTGCTTGGAAATTCCACAACATCGTGGTGTATAGACTCCCATGAAAAGCCCACGTGACGCCTGTCATATTTCCCTTTTGAGGCTACTAACCACCAAAAAGCGATATTAATTAGTGATACTGATTGTGTAAAATCTAGACCTTACATCCCAGCCGTTATGATTGTAGGCAGGATATATTACCCGTACTAGAGCCTGAAAAGAAACATCAAATTGTCAAATTGGTCATACTGCAAACACATACACCCTGTGCTTTATAGTCCATACAAATAGATATCATGCGCATTGTGCAGAATCCCGCGGGAATTTCTGCTCAAAGGAGGAAGAAATAACATGTTCCTGACTCCTCCCAGAAAGTCGATCTACCCCGCTCTCTATCGCGCTATATGAACCTTGCCCTTTCTTCTGCCTTCGGATTCCATGAAACGCTGGCTGATTCACGATGATGATGCTATGCAATGCTCATTTCATCCAGTGATGCCTTCTACTGAGTCCGCACTTCGCCATCCTGCTCGACGTGGACGTGGTCGTTCGTCTGCAAGATTTTGACATGGTCCTCCGGATACTCGACACTGATTGGGGAAGTAGGTGTCAGCTGGCCAACAAGGTATATCCCAGGGAATGGCACAAGCGGGGGGGATGGCTTACGTGAACCCCTTGATCAGACTGTATTCGTGCTTGATGATTCCTCCATCTTGCACGGCCTGGTCCTTAGCCCTGTAGAGATGAATAATAGATCAGCTCAGTCCTCAGGCGGATGACGTGCGCGGGTATGGTTAATCGAGCACGCACTTCTGGAGTTCCTCGGGAGAGGAATCCTTCTTGAGTGTAACCTAGATTCATCCGTGTATGTCAGAGTTAGGTCCGTCGAGTATGGTCCGTTCCGGATTTCAGAGTACGAACGTTGAAGAGAGGCATCCTGGTTATTGGGGTGCTGTGTATTCCACGGGCCTGTGTTCCAGAGCGAGTAAGAGAACGGAACAGCGCGGGGAGTAGTGCCACTGGGCCGTTGATGCTTCCTAGACGTGTATGACGTGGAGCTTCTGATCGAAACAGATGTAGATTGTGCTGATGAAAGCAATGATGGTGCAGTGGTCAAGAGGAATGCAACGGGAAGGGAAGAGGGGAATCGCAAGAGGGGCAGACAGTCCTTATATGGGGCGAGGCGGTGACTGGAAATGAGGGAGCCTTGTGAGATGATAACGGGGTGGGATGATACCAACTAATAGCCAACTAACAACTAACTTGCCCATCCGGTAAAGACGCCTCTCTACTTAACTGGGAGGGTCCCCGGAAATCAGGGCCGGTCGACGTGATGCGATCTGATTGCTCAAACCGCGCTTCGAGAATACATATCCGCGCGATCTTGGTTTAGAGTCGAGCATGGTATTCGGTCCTAATCTACACGGTGGATCTCGACTGATACAGATCCGTCCCCAGGGTCTCCATGGTCTCCATCACTACGTCTACGATCTCTTAGCCGTCCTAAGTAGCCTTGTTCCTATGATAACGCAACATGGCCACAACGCCTCACTGCGACGGCGATGAAGCGTACCATATTGACCTGCACCGCCATCTGCCTACTGGCAGACAGTCTTGGGTGTGACGCAATCGAGCCTTCTTGTCGCGGATCGGGGCGATGACGCATCCGGCGCGGGGTTGTCACGTGTGATAAACATGCCATTTATTCGGCAAGAGACATGGAGAGTTTCATAGTACTACTAGAGACAGCGGACAGGTACTAGTCCCAGGAACTAACTCAAAAAAAAAAAAAGGAAGTAATGATTCCTTAGCAATATTTGGGTTTCAATCAGACGCGCAAACGGAAGACTAAGTATGTTCCTCCATCATGATGACAAGTATGTACGATCGACAATAGTTACCATTAGCCCTACTATGGTCAAGGAATCTCTACTCTAGGTCTGTTATCAAATGAAAAACGTAACATAGAAATCAGGACCAAGCTAGTAGTGGATACAGCATGAAGAATTGAAGGAGGAAGCTGGTTTTGTCCAAGCAAAAGAACGGTATTTACTTATAGCTGACTTCACAATGGAACTTGAGTTTACTGTTAAGGCCAGCAGTGTTCGTAAAGTCTCCCGATTAGACGTATTACGATACACAGTATGGAGAGCTGGTCACACTCCGGAGAAGTTGCAACCCTCTGCATCTTTTCTCTCAGGCATTCTCATGCCATGCATACCGGTATACTTGGGACACTCCGGCTGTTTCCAGCCATTGAGGAGACTCGAATCAGCCAATGTATACACCTCCACACCAAGTGGGCGTGTCGTGGCTGCCATGTCACCACCTGCTTTGTCTTCCCAGCCCCACGCTGAAAGATCGCCTGAAGACGAACAATGTCATTAGTCGAACGCGGAAGCATAAACGCTGTCTAGAAAAAAGAAAAGAAACTCCCTACCTCCAGGACAGGCAGACAGCGCACACAGCACGTCAACCTCGGCGAAGAACTCAAAGTACTCGCCTGGCTTGGCTGGACATGTCTCCATAAAGTACTTTCCTTCCTCGTCCAGACCAGTCACCTGGAAGACATTCAGAACATCATGCACGTCCAATTCGGTCAGACCAAATGGTGTCACCGCTCGCGTCAGGTTGGAATGACAGTGGAAATCGAAGCTCTCTCCGCCCATGAGAAGGTTGACGTATGGATCGCACCGCGTTCCCATCAGATCATGCACGCGGCCTCCCCATTGGGATGTTCCAAATCCAACGCCCTTCTTCCGTTTCCCATCCGCATCTAAGACCTCATGGAGTTGTCCTCCACCTAGAGAGTCCCCTGTGATTGTGACCAGAGGCCGCAGGTAGGGCAAATTAGACCACAGTCGGTCACCCACTGACACATGGGAAGCGTGGATCTGACGAGTTCGTGCTGCCCACAATCTCTCGCGTGGGTTATTTGCGTTCCAGATATTCAGGTCACCAACCTGTGGTCCACGAGGAGTCGTGATGCGGCAGATTTGTCCGGCACGAACAGTCCATGCTTGACCGGAGCAAGGACGAATAGTGAACGAAGTCTCAAGCACGCGGGCAGATGATTCAGATGCCGTGGCAGAGACAGCTCTGTACACAGGAGAAGAAGCGTGGACCGTCGATTCGGGAGGAGCAGTATATGCTGGAGGTGGTCGCCGTGTTGACATGGTAGGGATGTTGCTATATACAATCCTCGTCTCGATTTTAGATTTGGCAACCTCAAGCAAATCGGGGGCTCTACAGAATATTTAACGTAGACAATAAGCAGAACTCCTCTCGCACAGGCGATATCGGAGACAATCCGAGCTCGTTATCATCTTTGTCTATGAGCTGCCCCGCCTTCTCGACCCTCGCCAAGTTGATAGTTATCTACCCGGCTCCGGTAAGAGAGCTGCCAGCCCGGGCAGTAGAGAGGTCTAAGCTAACACCGGGCCGGGTGCCTGTTCCCGGATTAACATTCCCTATCGGTACTAGCAGCAGATATTGATTCCGAGGTCCCGTGAGAAGCGGGTCACCGCCAAGAGCGCTAAACCACGATAAGATTTTCTTTCTCCTCCGCTCGGTCAGTAAGAAAATCCGAGCCGTTGCGGAAATAATAATTTTGGTCCAAGAGAGAGCCAACAGACGAGACAGGTAGCTTGCGTTGCTTCGAAGTCTGTTCTCTACGAAGCAGACCGAGGAGGTGAGCACCTCACATCCATCATGGAGGACCAAACCAATAGGCCCCATCGGGCTCCCAAGGAAAAGAAGAAATATGAAGGTATGTGCGCTGCACGTGAAGATATTGAAGCCCGCAAAAGAGCTACTTGATCATCGCTGGATATAGCATACTGACGGGCGGGACCGTATAGGCCAGAATCCGAAGGCTTTCGCATTCTCAAACCCCGGAAAGGGAAAGAGACAGGCTCAGAGATCACACGAGGTGCGTCCCTCCGCCGGTTGATAATGCAGACATCGAATTCACGAGGCTGACCGGCGTTATCAATGAATTAGGTCAAGGAAAAGAGACTCCATGTCCCTCTTGTGGATCGCCTGCCGGAAGAGGCGCCCCCAATTATCGTTGCAGTTGTTGGACCCCCTGGGGTGAGTTTGATGCGCTGCGTTCTACGAAGAGACAAATGAGAGGGCAAAGCTGACTGAATGTCTTGAATGCAGGTTGGAAAAACGACATTGATCAAGTCGCTCATCCGACGTTACTCGAAACAGACACTGAGTTCACCACAGGGCCCCCTTACGGTGGTTACTTCGAAACGTCGACGACTTACTTTCATGGAGTGTCCTTCGGACTCTTTGGCTAGCATGATCGATATCGCGAAAATTGCGGATATAGTGCTTCTTATGATTGATGGAAACTATGGATTCGAGATGGAGACTATGGAGTTTCTGAATGCGCTCGCCGCTAGTGGTATGCCGGGAAATGTCTTCGGTATCCTCACCCATCTCGACCTCTTCAAGAAGCAGAGCACTCTCCGCGCCGCTAAGAAACGTCTCAAGCACCGTTTCTGGAGTGAGCTCTACCAGGGTGCAAAACTCTTCTATCTTTCTGGTGTGATCAATGGACGCTACCCCGATCGTGAGATCCACAATCTGTCACGTTTTCTTTCTGTGATGAAGAACCCGCGTCCGCTGGTGTGGCGGAATTCGCATCCGTATGCCCTTGCGGACCGCTTTCTCGACATTACACCGCCCACCCAGATCGAAGAGAATCCTAAATGCGACAGGACAGTGGCACTTTACGGTTATCTACGAGGGACAAACTTCCCAGCCTATGGGGCCCGCGTGCATGTTCCAGGTGTTGGAGATCTCACAGTAGCTGCTATAGAGGCCCTGCCTGATCCTTGCCCGACGCCATTTATGGACCAGCAAATCGCGAAGGCGACCGGGAAGGGGGCGCGCAAGAGACTTGGCGAGAAGCAGAAGCTGCTCTTTGCACCTATGTCCGATGTTGGTGGTGTTCTGGTTGACAAGGACGCCGTGTATATCGACGTGAAGTCATCGAACTTCAACAGAGATGACGATACCGACGATGAAGATAGAGGCTTGGGAGAACAGTTAGTCGTAGGGCTCCAAGGTGAAAGAAAGCTTCTCGGTGAAGCCGACGCTGGTGTCCGTCTCTTCCGCGGCGGAGAAGCCATCGAACACCCGGATGAAGACGACAACGGTGTGGGGCGGAAACACAAGCGAAAGGTGCGCTTCGCGGGAGACGATGAGAATGGTCAGGGAGCCTTTGAAGACGAAGATGAAGGCTTTGAAAGTGCAGAGGATGATGAGGATGAGGATGAAGACGACGAAGATGAAAACGATGCAGACATCGCTCCTCCGGCCGACTTCGCGTCGAGTTTTAAAGAAAAGCAGAATGGGACCAATGGTCGCGAAGAAGACGACATTGCTTTCGCCGACAGTGACTCTGACCTAGGATCGATCTCGTCCGTCGAGGACCAGGAACTGGAGAGTGGACCAGAGGATGACGAAGATATAGATGAAGAAGACGAAGAGGATGTTGATGATGAAGATGAGGAGAGCGCTGTTCGCTGGAAGGAGAATATGCTCGCCAACGCCAAGGCTCTTCATGGAAAGCGACGACCATTCCGAGTCACGGACTTGACCCGTATGATGTACGATGAATCCATTACGCCTGCCGACGTAATTCGCAGATGGCGAGGTGATGATTCGGACGAGGCCGACGAGGAAGAAGAGGACGACGAAGATGCATTCTTTAAAAAGACCGACGCGGAAAAGAAGGATGAATTCGATTATCGCATGATTCCCCAGTATGATTATGAGGAGCTTGAGAAGAAATGGTCCGATGGCGATATGATTGAAGAGTTAAGGGCTCGCTTCGCTACTGCAAAGCTTTCCAAGGGAGATGACGACGAGGACGGCTCTGATGAGGATGGCGTGTTTTCTGATGAAGAAGCGGATGATGGCTTCGAAGACTTGGAGGCCGAGGAGGAGGCCGGTGGAAAGGCTGATGACGAAGAGAGCAAGGAAGGCTCCGTTGACCTTGAAGCAGAGCGTGAGCGCAATGCCAAGAAGAAGGAAGAGCTCAAACTGCGCTTTGAGGAAGAAGATCGTGAAGGCTTCGCCAACGCGAGGGACGGATCTCGTCAAGCAGGGGAAGCCCGGGATGAAGAGCAATTCGGTGAGGATGACTGGTACGATGCGCAAAAGGCCCTTCTCCAGAAACAGCTCGATATCAATCGTGCCGAATTTGATTCTCTTGACCCCATGTCGAGAGCTAGAGCAGAGGGCTTCAAAGCGGGTACCTACGCTAGAATCGTGCTGGAGAATGTGCCATATGAATTCGCTGCCAAGTTCAACCCTCGCTTCCCCGTCATCGTGGGCGGTCTCTCGCCTACGGAGGACCGATTCGGTTACGTACAGGTCCGCATCAAGAGGCACAGATGGCACAAGAAGATCTTGAAGACCAACGATCCTTTGATCTTCTCTCTGGGCTGGCGTCGCTTCCAGACTCTCCCCATCTACAGCATCTCTGACTCGCGAACGCGAAACCGCATGCTGAAGTACACCCCTGAGCACATGCACTGTTTCGGTACCTTCTATGGGCCATTGGTGGCACCCAACACAGGTTTCTGTTGTGTGCAATCGTTCTCCAACAAGAACCCAGGTTTCCGAATTTCCGCCACCGGTGTGGTTCTCAACGTGGACGAGACCACAGAGATCGTGAAGAAGCTCAAGCTCACTGGTCACCCGTACAAGATCTTCCGCAACACTGCCTTCATCAAGGATATGTTCAATTCCTCCCTGGAGATTGCCAAGTTCGAAGGAGCTGGCATCCGAACCGTGTCCGGCATCCGTGGTCAGATCAAGCGAGCTCTTAGCAAGCCAGAAGGTCATTTCCGTGCTACTTTTGAGGACAAGATCCTGATGAGTGACATTGTCTTCCTTCGTGCCTGGTATCCTATCAAGCCGCACCGTTTCTACAACCCTGTTACCAACCTTCTGGATCTCGACGAAAACGGAGAGGGCTGGCAGGGCATGCGTCTCACTGGCGAAGTCCGCCGCGAGAAGGGAATCCCTACGCCGCTCAAGAACGACTCGAAATACCGTCCCGTTGAGCGTCCCACCCGCCACTTCAACCCACTTCGTGTGCCGCGCCAACTGGCGGCCGAGCTTCCCTTCAAGTCGCAGATCACCCAGATGCGGCCCCGCAAGGAGCAGACATACATGCAGAAGCGCGCGGTTGTTCTTGGTGGAGAGGAAAAGAAGGCCCGTGATCTCATGCAGAAGCTGACCACGCTACGCAACGAGAAAGCCGCCAAGCGGGCGGCTGCCCAGGAGGAGCGGAGAAAGGTTTACCGTGCCAAGGTGGCGGAGAACGCTGAGAAGAAGGCAGAACGAGAGAAGCGCGAGCGAGACGAGTACTGGCAGCGCGAAGGGAAAAAGAGAAAGAACACGGACTCCGAGGGCGGAGGCGGAAAGAAGAGGAGGTGAACAAAATATTGCTTCTCCTTTACGTACAATTGGTGTACATATACTGCATTATGACGGCGTTTGTTCCCTGAAGTATAGATTTGCAATATACCATGGAAAAGTTTTTTTGGTTTTATTTATCTATTTCTTTATCTCTCCTTGATGATTGCCATGTAATCATTGTAATTGATAGTTAGTCATTCCGGATCTATAAAATGACTGCCTGAGGACGCGCGCCGCGAATTCACCACGTGACCGCGCCTCGGACGCGTCGTCCCGGCTGCAAGCGAAGGCGAGCGAGATGGGAGTTCATCATCCTCACATTCTCGACAATCAGCCAGTACATGAACCTATTTCCGATTGCTAATCCGATGCAGGACATCTACTTCGTCTTCACACTAATATATTTGTAGCCTCCTGTTCTTTCGACAGTCTGTGTCGTGCGTGGCCCTCCAAGGACGCCTAGCCAATATCGAAACTCCACCGGCTGCTGGACCACGCCGGTTCGTCCGCTCTTCAGTCTGTGGAGACTCATCTACTCTACTTACGGAGTAGACTTGACGGCTGTCAGAGCTTGGCCCGGTTGACCGTTGACGAGACCGTCTCCTGTCGCACGGGGCAGACGTTCGAAATCAGGAAGATCAGAGCAGGCATAAGGGCTGCTCGATAATCAGGAACCTTGCGCGCTCTGGGATCTTCATCGCGCCCGCGTTTCTTCTCGGGTCGAGCTCTTATTAACTTACCCGACGCTCCCTTTGCGGTGATGCCCTTCTTCCGACAGATCCTGGCCTTCTCTCAATGAACGACCGCATCGGTCTCTCCAGCCTGGGCGATCGAACTATGCAGCATATTGGGCCTGTCCAGCAGGCCGTGTACACGCAGCTGCCAGTTGCGCAATCGCCTGCTGGGTCATCCGCGTCCGCTCTGCACAGGCCCTCGTGCGGGAACGGGCCCCAACCGCGTCCTAACGCCCCATCATCCGCGCAGATTGACAGTTCACGCGACGTTTTGATGGTCGACAGCAGTGACAGCGCGACGGAGAAGGGTCGCTTCGAGGACCAGAGAGATCTGGTCGGCCGGACTATGGATGTCCGAGCGTTGTCGCCCAAGCGCGGGCCGATAACACAGTCAAGCGCGATCGCGGGCGGACTTCAGCAGTCGTCAAGCGATCTTTCTCAGACCACGAGCGAGATGGCTGATGCGAATCTTACGCCTTTGACTTCAGTTTCTTCCAGTGGCTTTTCTACTCAGTCTGAGTCCCAGTCATCTTCGCAAGCGGCAACCGACAGAGCCAGAGTCCTGAAGACGGAGAACGCGGAGATGACATTGGCGTATGAAACACCAAGCAATGGCACGTTTTTGAAGCCGCATCCTCTGAGTCCTACGAGATCGACACTGGCATCCCGTCCTGAGCCAGTTCATGGTCAGAAGAGAAATGCAGCCGGCGAGGTGAAGCTTCCATCAGACGGAAAGATGCAGCGGACCCCGGATATCGGTCGATTCTTGAGAGGTCATAGTAGAACGATGAGTGCGGGTTCCAATGGGAGTATGATAGCGGAGGTAAAAGTCTCTGGATAGAGATACAGGAGTTTCGGGCTAATTGATTCTGTTTCCAGCTATCTGCACAGCTTCGTGCTCGTCTCTCATACGCCGCTGCGAAGGTGGAAAAAGGCTGGCAGTTGCGAGATGGTGACATCCAGCGTTCGCGTCTGAGCGGTTCCCCTTCGTTAACTCCCACCTTGAATGGATCAAGAGAGCGTGTCCCTTCTGACAGCGGGAAACTCTTACGTCGTGGCTCTTCGGACGGCACAATAACGTCTCCGCGTCTTTCAACTGGGACTTATCTCTCGCGGCTGCCGAACGGTGCTGCAGATATATCTCGGCCTTCCACCGCAGATATTGGATCGTCGTCATATCCAAGATCGCCGCCCAGCATTCGACCTCAAACCTCCCCCGTGAAACTGCAACAACCCCCTAAACTTGCGCCGCCTGTAGACATTGTATCCGGCAGTGGAAATAACGCTCGTCGGCGTCCGAACCCGAACTCAACCTCTATTACTTCGAACTACAACCCATATCCTCGTCACCGCCGCCATCATTCAGAGCAGCAGTTCAGGATATCTAACTCATCTTATCCCACGAACGATGTTCGAGTTCCGGGAACACCTCCTCTTCGGCCATCTCAATTCGCATCTCGTCTTCAAGTTTCTACTCCTTCGACTTCAAGCAGTATGTTCCCAAAACAAAGGACGCCATCCCAAAATGCCTTGATGGAACAAGATGCCATTGAGACACTTCTGTTCATGTCCAGTCCTGAAAACTCTGGATATCACAAGAATTCACAACAACGGCAGACGCATCTCAGCACCAGTATCGAAGCACAAATGGAATCTGGCCTGGATCCCAGCACCCAGGCATCTCAACCTTCAGATGTTAGTGGAAACCACAGGACACGGAAAGTCATGTTCAGGGAGGGAAGCGTGAGCGGTATCTCTGGGCGATCAAATTCAGCCGTAGGCCTCGAAGCGCAAGCGGGAGATGAGATCGATCGGTTATTGGACCAGATGGACGACAGCGATAGTGAGAGTGAAAGACCATCTTCCCAATTCAACCATGGGGTGAGAGAGACTCCTGCTGATGGCTCTGCGAGGCGAGACCCACCTGAGTACTGGAGGCAGCGTTCATCCTGATCCTTCAGAGGCGAATTTCTGCAGATCGGGATCTCAAATGAGAAAACTTGTCACGAATTCACGAAAGCATTATCATTTTGATCTTGACCTATTACTTGTTTTGGGCCACCACATGTTGCATTTATTTCAGCCACAACCAATTCTTGGCGTTTCTCTGGAATTACCTGGACTGTCAGGCGTCCCGCGGGGTTTTATTTCAGCTATGATGGCACTGTATCGCACGATGCATATGAACAGACGGCGGTTCCGGATTTTGCATGTATAGTACAGTATGAAGCGATGCCCAGCGATCACTGGCCGCCATGTTCTGAAATACAAAATCATGTCACATCTTCCAGGCTTTTTTTTGGCGGATTTTATTGCATTACGGGCCATCACGCTAGCAAGGAGCAACCAGGACAGCATAACAGCATAATGGTGACAGCGGTAAACATACCCTGGAAATGAGATATACGCGATACAACTTCAACCTCGCAGTAGGAGACCCAGATGGAGAAAGGCCGTGTCGAAAGAATTAAGTTTTGTTTTGTTTTCATCAACTTGCACGCTTCCAGGTTTATTCGTGGACAGTGGGTCTGACATGCGTCAAAGGGCTGACGATCGTTTACGACGGACGATTTCGGCCGTTTCTGTCCAGATTGTTGATCGGAATACCGACTGATATCTCCTTTCTCCTAGATTCGACCCGCACGGTTGATGTTGACTAGACTCAGTGCATTAATTATCATCGGAGGATCGGTCGGTGAATCGCCGACTGCCCGGCGCTACAGACGAGAGCACATCATCTCATTGGCCGATCTGGGTTTGCGATGGCCGAATCGGGACATGGATCCACGTTTCCGGTATACGAAGAAATAATGTTTGGATCTACATCCAGGAGATCGGGAGGTGTCTGGGCCGATGAAATTATGAAAATAGGCCCCATCCTTGAACATATAATCACTGACTGAATCGCAGATTTGTGGCTGATGGTATAGGCCTGCATGTTCTGTGACTCCCGTTTTGACGCAGACGCCTACATCTCGTCTCTCGTTTATCCCTCCCATGCCGTGATTGTCTCAGTTCTGTTCTCTACCCGGAGGCAATTATGAGCGAGAAAGACATGAACCTGAGTTCATCGGACTCTGATGGCTCGACAGCTGTACCCTGGCAACAAGAGATGGATGCCATCGGCCAGGTTGCATCGAGAATCCATGATCGAATGGGTTCTGTCTCGGTAGCTGGAGATGGATCTGCAGATCCACGATTGGATCCTACCAACCCCGAATTCGATCATTATCTATGGGCGCACACAGCATTGAAGTCTCTCCATGAAGCTGGAATCAAATCGATGGGCCAAGGTGTTGCCTTTTCGAATCTCTGTGTCTCCGGCTCCGGCGCCATCCTGCAATTTCAGGACACCGTGGTTTCAGCTTTGACGAAGCCTTTGTATTTATTAACTCGTGTCCTCAGTGGGAAAAGGTCTCATACTCGACGTCGCATCCTCCATGGATTCGATGGGTTGCTCGAAAGCGGAGAGCTCCTCCTTGTTCTGGGTCGTCCCGGCAGCGGATGTTCAACATTGCTCAGAACCATCTGCGGCCACGTCGAGAACCTCGTCCTTGAGCCAGAAAGTTCCATCCAGTACCAAGGAATCGATTACAAGACCATGATCAAGCATCATCGCGGGAATATCGCCTATAATCAGGAGGTAGACAAGCACTTTCCGCATCTTACTGTGGGGGAGACGCTGTCGTTCGCCGCCCATGCTCGCACTCCGCAGACGAGAGTCCAAAATATGAGTCGTGAGAGCTACGTCGATACTATAGTTCAGGTTACCATGGCTGCTTTCGGACTTTCTCATACCTATAATACCAAAGTGGGCGATGACTTCGTGAGGGGCGTGAGTGGTGGAGAACGCAAGCGCGTCAGCATTGCAGAGATGTTTCTCTCGCGATCTCGTATCGCAGCATGGGACAATAGTACTCGTGGTCTTGATGCGGCATCTGCATTGCGCTTTGTCAAGGCCTTGAGGCTCTCTGCAGACTTGGGTCGATCATGTCACGCCGTTGCCGCCTATCAAGCTTCCCAGGCAATGTATGACTTGTTTGACAAAGTAGTGGTCTTGTACGAGGGCCGAGAGATTTATTTCGGTCCCGCTGACCGTGCAGTCGACTATTTTGAAGAGATGGGCTGGGAAAAGCCTCTGCGACAGGTGAGCGGTGACTTTCTCACAGCCATCACCAATCCACGGGAACGACGCGCTCGTCAGGGGATGGAGGAAAAAGTACCGAGGACTCCTACTGAGTTCGCTGAATATTGGGAACGGAGTACTGAGCGTCAGCAATTGCTGAAGGAAGTCAACGAGTGGAAGGCCGCCCATCCCCCGAACAATGAAGAGATGCACGAGTTCCAAGCCGTGCATGAGTCTCAACAATCCAGGCATACGAGGTCTGCTAGTCCATATCTCATTTCGGTGCCCATGCAGATACGACTTTGTATGAAAAGGGCCTACCAGCGACTACGGAATGACCTACCGACCACCCTGTCAACAGTGATAGTTCAGTTTGTCCTCTCTCTAATCATCGGTTCCATCTTTTACAATTCCCCGAATTCGAGTTCCGCATTCTTTCAGAAAGGCGCGGTTATATTCTTCGCTGTGCTTATGAACGCGTTGATAACGATCAATGAAATCCTGGTCCTTTACAGCCAACGACCCATCGTCGAGAAGCAAGCCGCCTATGCCTTCGTGCACCCTTTCACGGAAGCTCTTGCGAGCATCATTGTTGATCTACCGGTGAAGGTCTTCCGTTGCTCCATATTCACCGTGGTTCTATACTTTATGGCAAATCTCCGTCGCGAACCCTCGCAGTTTTTCATATTCTATCTCTTCTTGATCACTGCCATCATTACCATGTCGGGCATCTTCCGCAGTTTGGGCGCCATAACAAAGGCTATCGGACAAGCAATGACACTAGCCGGGATACTTGTCATCTGTATCGTTGTGTATACAGGGTTTACACTCCCACAGACCTACATGCATCCGTGGTTCTCGTGGATTAGGTGGATCAATCCCATCTTCTATACGTTTGAAGCTTTGGTGAGCAATGAGTTTCATGGGCGACAGTTCGAATGCGGGGCTTTCGTCCCTTCATATGGGACAGGCAATTCATTCATCTGCTCGTCGGTCGGCGCGGTCGTCGGAGAACGATTTGTGTCTGGTGACAGCTTCATCGAGCATAATTACGGATATTCATATTCCCATGTCTGGCGAAACTACGGAATCCTCATTGGATTTCTCATCTTTTTCAATTCGTTTTACCTTCTGGTGACCGAGTATAATACTGGCTCCGGATCTAAGGGAGAAACATTAGTATTTCGTCCTGGACATGCACCCCGACAGCTTGAAAGCCAGGACGTTGAGAATCCTGGGAGGATCAATGCGCCCGAGCCAGACCAAACTGCAAGCCATGACGGTATTCATCTTTCTGAACAGAAGGATATCTTTTCATGGCGTGGTGTCAAGTATGAAATACCTACGAAAGATGGCACGCGGAGGCTACTAGATGAAGTAGACGGTTGGGTGAAGCCTGGAACCTTGACCGCATTGATGGGCGTCTCTGGGGCCGGAAAGACTACACTGCTCGACGTCCTTGCGCAGAGAGTTTCGTTTGGTGTGATCACAGGCAAGATGCTTGTGAATGGAAGAGAACTGAGTGCTAATTTCCCACGAAGAACTGGGTACGTCCAACAGCAAGACCTGCACCTGGAAACGGCAACAGTACGTGAAGCACTCCGGTTTAGCGCAGTGCTTCGTCAGCCCAAGTCGGTCTCCACCAAGGATAAATATCAATATGTTGAGCAAGTCATTGACATGCTGGGGATGGCTGATTTCGCTGAAGCTGTTGTGGGCATTGTTGGCGAGGGTCTCAACGTGGAGCAAAGGAAGCTCTTGAGCATAGGAGTGGAGCTTGCAGCAAAGCCCAGTCTACTCATCTTCCTGGATGAGCCTACCAGTGGTCTTGATTCACAGAGCTCATGGACTATTTGTGCACTTCTGCGAAAACTAGCAGACAATGGACAAGCTGTCCTTGCGACCATCCACCAGCCTAGTGCTTTGCTGTTTCAACAATTCGACCGATTACTTCTCTTAGCCAAGGGTGGAAAAACGGTTTACTTCGGTGATCTTGGAGATCAGTCAAATCTTCTCTTGGAATACTTCTCTCGCAATGGTGCAAGGCCGTGTGAAGACCTTGAGAATCCAGCCGAGTATATGCTTCAAGTCCTTGCTGATGAGACAAAGGATTGGTCCCAGGTCTGGAAGAACAGTTCAGAATACAGAGAGGTGCTTGCCGAACTTGACCGCCTGGAGCACTCCCCGGTTGAGCATTCCGCTACTGAAGCCGTTTCTGGCGACAATGAAAACGATGAGTTCGCGATGCCCCTTGCTCACCAGTTCTACCATGTCTTGCGCCGTGTGTTCCAGCAATATTTCCGACAGCCGCAATATATACTTTCGCGGTGTGGACTAGGAATCATTGTCGGCATTTTTATCGGCTTCTCGTTCTGGAAGGCCGATAACTCGGTCCAAGGCTTCCAGAATTCACTTTTCAGTATATTCTTGCTCTGCACGATATTCTCAACGCTTGTGAACCAGATCATGCCAAAGTTTGTATCGCAACGTGCTCTATATGAGGTACGCGAGCGGCCATCCCGGGTCTACTCCTGGAAGGTCTTCATCCTCTCGCAGATTATGGCCGAGCTGCCATGGCAGATCCTCGTGGGAATCTGTTCCTGGGCGGCTTTCTACTTCCCAGTGTTCGGAGCCGATCAAAGCTCCCAGCGCCAAGGTCTGATCCTCCTCTTCGTTGTCCAGTTCTGGATCTATGCTGCCAGCATGGCTATATTCATTGTGGCAGCCATCCCTGAGCCCGCCGTCGCCTCTATGCTTGCAATCCTGATGTTTGGTCTCTCTTTCATCTTCAACGGTGTCATGCAGCCGCCAACTGCGCTGCCAGGGTTCTGGATTTTCATGTACCGCGTGTCACCATTTACATACTACATCAGTGGAATGAGCAGTACCGCTCTACACGCTCGACCGGTTCAATGCTCTGACAGAGAACTGAGCGTCCTTGACCCCCCTCCCAATCAGACCTGTGGGCAGTATCTGGAAACATACGTCAAAGCCGCTGGGGGTCAGCTCTATAACCCCGATTCGACCTCTGGTTGCCAGTATTGTGCCCTGACGTCGGCTGATCAGTACTTGGCTGCGCGTGAGATCTACTGGGGAGACCGTTGGCGCAATTATGGTATTTTCTGGGCTTACTTTGTGTTTAATATCTGCGGGGCAGTCATTCTGTATTATATCTTCCGGGTGAGAACGTGGAAGAAGAAATAGACTAGACCTTGAAGGGGAAATAGAGAGGTGTGCGTTGGTGTTGGCGCCTCCCTGGATTATTATATATGTGAATAGACTAAGTTAATAGAACATACTATATAATGCACTTCATACTTATACCTAGGACATCTAATGGCAAGAGCATTGTGTATATATGGAGTCACCGTCTATAATAAGTCTCGTCTCTCTATCAGTCTATCTGAGTTAAGCATTCGCAGGTCTATTCCGCCGTCCATTAGTTGTTCAACATTAGACTCCTTATCGGATATATTCGTTTAGGATTAGTTGAATCGTCCTAGGATGTCTCCATTTGCTGCTATCGAGGTTGTCCAGCGAGATCGGTCCCGCCAGTATAGTATAATTGATACACTATTTTGCAGAAGCTTCCCACAGCACTGATACATATTCTGCTGCCTAGTTAATACCAGGGTGGAGATCTTCTGTCTTCTCTAAGATCGCTTTATCTCTCCGAACGCAATAACAGTCATTAGACGTTTCGACACGAGATGCATAGTAGTTTTTTTTTGGGCCCCGGGAGGAGGCTACTATACTTACTGTGAGGAGTGATGACTCGCAGGTACTACATACTACAATAATAAACTAAAAGAATCAGGCTGACTTGTGCTACTCCTCGATAAGCAGAAACAACTGTGAGCTAGATAATCGCTCACTTTACCCCACTCTCCAGGAAAATTCAGACTGGCGTGACAAGGGCCAATGCAAGTCTAATGCAAGGCGATATGGATGATAGAATCTAGTAGTGAAAAACACAGGGAACGTAGACTTACAATAGCAGACTACTTAACCATCGCCTATCTGGGTTGGATTCTGTCTTATCATCTAAAGCTATGAAAATATTTATTTCGACCTCTACTCCCTTCTGCTTCTGTCTTGCCTCTAGGAACCTCGGGATTATATCTAGCCAACTCCGAAGCTTCCAGGTTCGTAATAATCAGCCTATTTGAGTGACAACTCTTTCCTCACACAGGAGACAGAACTGATTGAACCATATAATGTGCGAAAACCTCGTGCGAACCACCTATAGTGGGGAGCCTTGTCGCTCCCAACAACACACTCATATTTACGCTATCCAAAGATGCACCACTTCGGAGCGTCGTCCTGATCAGGCCTATTGTGTAGGCACGGATGGAACAACACGCTCACTCCAGCTTCGTATCGACATGCAGGATAGAAACTGGCCTGGGAAATGCCCGAAATGTCAGCTTCCATCTCCACCGAGCTCCGTTGGTTCTGATGATGTTATCGTCTAAGTTGCTGGATATTTGATGGCGAAGGGCGGGGGTGGTCGATGGCCGATTTCCGATACCATTTTGTAATTAGTACCTACTATGTATTACAACAAATACCTCCCGTTCTTCGATATTATGATTAGACGTATCGGGGTAACGGTAGATAGGTAGTGCCTGTGCTTCCGCTAGTCCCCATTATCTAAAGATTCTTGGCATATAAGTAGGGCGGTGAAATAGCCAGAGCGGTCAATCCTGCAGCGTATTTAATAATAAACTGAGGATAGTCCCCGGGGCAGATTTCGCCCAAACTCAAGCTTGAGAATGGATGCACCAAAGCGCGTTGTCTTAAGGCTCCGGTCAAACGAGTTTGACAACGGTTCTCCACAGGAAATAGTCAAGATTTCCCAAAAATTCCTCGAGTCATCTGGTTACAATAAAACCGGTCGCGACAACCATTTCGTTCACGCAGAGCCACCCCAGCCTGAACCTCGCCGGCACTTCCATATTACTCTTGATATTAACTATCGGAACAATACACCTGATATGCAGACATTGCCTTTTGAATTCTTCAGAGTTAATAAAAACCTGTAAGAATTCCGTCTGGCGTCTCCCGTCTGAAATCTACCTAACTAGGCGCAGTGAATTCAAACCTCTAGAGCTGGGACCTCTAGAGACACAATATCGCCAGCTCCTAAACGGGTTCTACCCATGGGGCAGAGATGGACATTGAGATTAGGCTGAGGTTAATGGGTTAATATTGTCATATTGGTATTGATAAAACTGTTGCGGAGATAAAAATCGAGAGCCCTTAGCTTCTCTATTTCGAGAATAAGAGTACTACTTACTTAATCCCGATACGATCCCTATGGAAGATCCGCCCGAGTCCTACATCTTTATTAGTCCGCAGGACTTTAAGGGCCCCAGTGGTGATATTATTATGAGTGTGAAAAACAATGATCTTCCTCGGAATAGTTAGAAATATATATGTATATACATTCGATACAGATAAGCCTTTACCGTGGTGAGATCTAGAGGAGAGAGAACCCGGATACCCTAAATAGGACTTGATATTTACACTTATTTGAACTGCGATTCAATTCCTACACCCAATCAGCGTGGCTCCACATAATAGGCCAAATTTATAACGATCAAAATTTGGAATGTGAGTCTTGACGCCTAAGGCATAAATTAAGAATTCCGAGAGCAATCCGCATGATCATTTCCTTCAGTTACCTCCATGTAGCGAAGTCCAACTTACTTCGCCCTACATCTCTTTCCGATATTCAGTTACGCATCAGATTCCAAATATGGCAGATGAGCTCTCCGATGTCAAACCCGGTGATGTGACATTCCTCCAGAAACTGAAAGAATCTGAGAATTCTGTTGTCTTCAAGGTTGCTGTCCATGGAAAAATATGTGTTATGAAAGTGGTAAGTAAGTGGACTATACCATTGCTTGAAACGTCACTGAAGGTTATAAGTATCATACTAGATGCCGTACAGATTGCGACCCTACTGATTACGAAATTGATCTCTTCATCTGTGAATCTACTGCTTATCGACGGCTGAAAGCAAAGGGGCTGTGTAAGCGAGGGGTTATTCCTGACTTCTACGGAACAATCACAAATATACAACCGAATTCCTGGCCAGACTTGCATATGTTTGTTGGCGATAAGCTACCTCCTAATGCCGTCCTGATCGAATATGTCGCAAACATGCAACAAATTAGTTTGGACAATTTTTCAGAACTTCGCCTGGAGAAACTGCGTCGTATCCTTGATGAGATTCATCAGGCTAAGGTTCTCCATGGCGACCCGAAGCCAAGGAATATGATGGTAGTATCGGGAGAGCAAGAGCAAGATCGAGTTCTTTGGGTTGATTTTGACTCTGCTCAAACATTTCCAGAAGAAGAGCCTCTTTCCCCAAAACAGGAACTGTGGTTCAGGGAGGAAGTTGAGATGATAGAATATTTTAACGAAGCTCTAGTGAGTCTCCCTGTTTACTAAACTTAGTCGCAATTTTGACTAACTGCTCTGCAGGCTCAAGATTTCAAGGAGGGTAAACTTGATCGCGCATATTCTTATTATTATGAGTGGTACGTTAAATAGGCTTACTCGAGCACTCTAGCTAGAAGACTTAATCGAGCATTTTAGAGACTCGAGAATATGTATATATTTTCGATACAGACGAGGCTTTTACTGTAGTGAGTTCCACAATATAATCAGAGACAGCGTGGCTGATATATGGGCGTCATTGGTGCAGTTCTGCCTCATAGTATAAATCAAGTGGAGGTTATCATCTTTCGTATAACCTCAAGAATTAACATAATTCTCTACCGACCTGTTTTTGGTCCCCCGACCTGATGAGTGCCGTATTACTTACAAATGGTCCGTTCTTGAGCATGGATTCTCAACGAGAAGGCAATTTCAAGGCCTTTACTTTGTAGATATTTAAAATATAGATCATTAGAAATATTCAAGCTAAATTTCGAATATCTGAATTCTGTTTTTCTGTAGATATTCAAGATGTAAATAATTACTAACATTACTGTCACGACCTAACTCCTAGGGGAGCATTCTAGGAGCTAAACGGCTGCGCCAGGAGCGAAAGACTAGGATTCTTGGGCAACGCCCGAGAACTGCTCTCGCTATATAAGGACATAGACGTTACAATTACACTATAAATTAAATATTATACGTGTTGCATAATTGGTCGTTAAGATATATATTCTGGAAAACTGGCAATTTTGTATATAATACAACACTAATTAGGTCGGTAGGGAATTCTGTTAATTGTTGGTTTCCGGTGATAAAATAAATATGCTCTACTATATGGGAGAGGAGCTAGAGACGCTTCAGGAGATATTTACATATTCACACAAGATAAGCAAAATAAGATCTCTTACAGTCTGTCATGGTATTATACCGGTCTCGCTTCCAGGCGGACGATGGGGAAATATATTGCACTTCCCCGCGTTTCTCGTGGGGCTAAGTACGTATCGGGGGGATGTGCATGATAGTCCGGGGAATCGGGGATACCCCGCGAGCTCCAAGTTTGTGCGGGATATGTTGTGTTCTATTGTATCCCTACGCGATTGATTGAAGACTAACATTCTGTCCTTCTAGACAATTTCTGACAATCGTTTTAACTCCCTTCCTTCCTGAGTGTGATAACTAAGAGTAAGATAAGCTATAACTACATATTAGTATGGGCTATTATCTCTCTCTCCATGGGACACTGAGATAATCTTGTGATGGGTTTACTGTCTCTAATTCAGACCTATGAACAAGCCTGCGGAGGGATATCACTCTAGATCAGATGGCATTTTCCGGGCCTAAATTGACTTGTACTGGGTTTCCCCGCTCGGTCTTATCCGGTTCCAAAGCTTATGCTAATGTGATTTTTCTATACAGAACGGGGAATATAAAGAAAAATTTGAGTCTGTAGTTTTGTTAATCTCTCGTAGTATCCTTCTGCTTGGCGCTTTCGCAACCGTTCATTACCAGGGCCATATCTAGCTATATATCCCGCCTTGGTATCTATATCCTCCTCACTACCTTCAATTCCTACTCGAAATACATACTCATACTCAGAATACCCACTGCTGCCAACCACTATGTCGAACACATACCCATCTCCCTTCGAACCAGGCGCCTTCCTACCCGGCGGTCATAATAACGACCCCCCAGTTTCCCTATCTTCTCCTACAGCAGGTTACAAGCTGAACCACTTCATGCTCCGCATCCGCGACCCCCGACGCACACTCCACTTCTACATGGATCTAATGGGCATGCGAACCATATTCACCATGGATTTTGGCCCTTGCACGATCTACTACCTGGGCTATCCACCACCCGACACTCCTTCCCTGCCTGAATGGGCAGCAAATACCGCCACGGCTCACAACTTGACTCGCACCTTGGGTTTATTGGAATTATACCACGTCCATGGGACGGAGAAGCCAGAAGAAGAAGGTGGATTTCCCATATCGACGGGTAACGAGCCGCCGGCGCTGGGTTTTGGACATTTGGGATTCACGGTTCCGGATGTTAAGGAGGCGTTGGATAGGTTGAAGGGGGAAGGGGTGAGGGTCATTAAGGATCTGGGGGAGGCGGAGAGGAAGGATGTTCCGTTGAGTGAGTGGGAGGAGAAGAGGGGGGTGGGGGGTGGTGAGGTTCATGAGAATTATAAGAGGATTTTCGAACAGATTGCTTTTGTGGCTGATCCGGTGAGTTTTGAGTTTGTGTTGGGTTTGGTATTGATGCTGATGCTGATGGTTGTAGGACGGGTATATCGTTGAGCTGGTTCCTCAGAATAGGAAGTGAGAATAATGGGAAGATATTGCAGAATCGAATTGAAGGGTGTGGATGGTTAGGTATGTATGTAGAGTACATGTGGACTATGAAACAGGGGTCATCGAAGCTAGAGTTGAATATGAAATCTCTTAATTGACTATGAGAGAAACACTGTGTTGTTAGTAGATGATAATAAGCAATAATATGGGGTCGGGGAAAGCTCGCGCGGGCCCGGGGCCGAACCCCACGATGTGGTGTCATCCGGAGAAGATCTGCAAGTTATCTTCGTCTCCAACTCTCCAACTCTCCACTTGAGTATTTAATTTAAATCTCCAGTTTCCATCCTTTCGTGACGGTCGCGAAGACAACGCGAAGCCTGAGCCCGCAGCATGGCCAGTCATTGATATGGCATCCAGAAACCCATTTCACGTTTCTAACCGGAAATGTAGAGTCATTTTGCATGCTCGTTTGCGCTGCTCCTACACATCACCGTCCACGCGACGGTACTGGACTCAGACCTCGCCGCGCACCCATGTCGCCGACGACGAGATTACACGGTTGGCATCCAGCCGTCGTCCGCCGTTGACGCTTGGAGACCTCCTCAGGTACAGTCTCGTGGATGCTCAGAACAACATGGGTCCATGCTGACCGAACCCACTCTCCAGACATGGCCGTCCTCCGCTGGATAAAGAGGCTCTGTTAGCCTCTGCGAACTTCACATTATCTCTCCTACCTGCGAGACTTGCGTCCAGAATTCAAGCCCTGCGGAATCTTCCGTTTATCGTCGTGTCCAATCCTCACGTGTCGAGGATCTATCATAACTACTTACATTCCTTATCGACGCTCCTACCCTACCAGCAGCGGCAGATCACCAATCTGGAAGAAGAAAAGCAATTCGCCGAGGTAATGGCAGACCTAGTCCAGACACATACGAACACAATCCCCGTCCTCGCGCGAGGATTTCTAGAGTGCAGGAAATACATCAGTCCCGCGGAAGTGACACGGTTTCTAGACTCGCATCTGCGCGCGAGAATCGGAACGAGATTAATAGCCGAACAGCACCTGGCTCTGCATTTCGCGTCTCAACCCATCAGTGATGAAGACCCCAACCCGCCGCCTGAGAGGAGGGAGTCGGTGCCTTCTAACTATATTGGTGTCATCGACACTGCTCTTCGTCCCGAACGGATCATCAGATCTTGCGAGGACTTCGTAGGAGAGATCTGCGAACTGAGATACGGTGTCCGACCGAAACTTGTCATCGACGGACAACCAGAAGCCAGCTTTGCGCATGTTCCCGTGCATATCGAATACATCATCACGGAACTGTTGAAAAACGCTTTCCGTGCTACGATCGAATCAGGTAATGACCGGGAACCTATCGAGGTAACCATTGCCGCGGCACCAGATGTACCAGGAGCGCATGTTCGGGAGATGTCCGAAACCGGCAAAGATAGCAGCAGTGAGGCGGGTTTGAGATTCAGTAAATCTGACGGTGCGGATGATCCCATCGCTCACGAAGCGATTAAGCTTTCTCGTCCCTCGTCCCAGAGCATTACTATTAGACTCCGGGATCGCGGTGGTGGAATCCCCCCGGAAGTCCTGCCGCATATATGGTCATATAGCTTCACGACTTTTTCGGAGGATGACCTCCCGGGTTCGGAGAATGGTAATCTCGACGCGCTGAACACCATCTCTGGCGCTGGTGGTAATGGTAGCAGCATTGCTGGACTCGGATATGGATTGCCGTTGAGCAGAGCGTATGCGGAGTACTTTGGTGGAGGCATCGCTGTGCAGAGTCTATGGGGCTGGGGCACAGATGTCTACCTTACCTTACAGGGTGTTGGGAAGATCTAATCAGCGATATTCCTATAATGCTTATAATCTCTAGGAACATATGAGTTACCTAGGCGGGCCCTTTTTCCCGATAGGGGGGAGAAGATAAAAAGTCTCCGGCACCCTCCTAGTATAATCATGCCAAAGAAATGAATCATACATCCATTACGGTCGTCATTCATAATACAGTAAAGAACCTAATAGTTATACATACATGATAACATCACAATCATGAGTCATACAGAACCTTTCATCCCCATAACTAGAGAGAAGATCAAAATCACCAGCACACCCCCCCCTCAATTTGATATTGATATACCTGCAACATTTCAAAACCCCCCTGCACCCTGCACCCTCTTAATCGCACCAATGACACCCTTAGCCCAACTAAACCGTCCTGGATCCCTCCCGATTGAATTCGTCGCAAGTTCCCCCGTGACGGGATCATGCCAGCATCCATCTTCTGGACTGGCGAGGCCGTACGTTGCGGTGTTTTGGTTCCGATTAATCTGATCGAGCCAGTCGCGGCAGATTAAGGGTGAATCGAGCAGCAGGTTGACTTCTTGACTATGGTAGAAGGATTGGGTGTCGAGGTTGCCGTTTCCTAGGATGGGTTCGTTAGTGATTATTGTTTGCTTGGTTTGGTCTGGTTTGGATTCGGGGTATAGTAGGTAGGTAAAATTCTGGCGGTAGTAATGGGAAGAATAACATACCTTGAATAGCAACTTTCTCGTCAATAATCATGAGTTTAACATGACAACTCCTGCTCTTGAAGCTATTATGGATTGGTTTTGTCTGGTCTTTTCCGACGTAGTAGTGGATTCGAAGACGGGAGCGCTCTTCGTCCGTTTTGAGAGATCTGTAAAGTCGATCCGCGATCATTTCGTTCGTTCCGTTCTGGAAGGGAAGGAGTTCGCCGGCGTCATTGTATCCTAGACATAGGTAGACGGTGACGATGACACCACGCCGGACTGCATCGACAAGCGGGTTGAGGATCGGCTCGGCGTTCATGTTGGGTGTTTGGATGAAAATGGAGCGGCGCGCGTTGGTGATGGCGGAGAGGAAGGCGGCGTTTTGGGGGGTGTGGACGCTGGAGTGGTTGGGTGCTGTGGACTGAATGTTAGGTTGTTCTGTTCTGTGCTTGGGAGGGCAGACGAAGGGAAATTGGAACTTACCACCCCAAGGTTCGCGGTTGACCATGGCCATGGGGAAGGGGTCGTGGGATTTGTGCTGGACGTAGATTCTCATGGGGACTTCTTGGTCGGAATCAGGAGCATCGCCCTTGGCGTTTGGTTGGATGGTGGTGTCTGGGTTAAGTTAGTATGTATTGAGCAGTGTCAGAAAGAAATGAAAAAATGTGTACATACTTAAGTGACGAGTGACGGCTTGCGTTCTCGTTTCGCCCGGTCTAGGCTCGACTGTGCCGTTGACTCTCTTTGCTTCAGAACTGATATCAGGGTCGTAATGAGGATCTTTCGTGGTATGCTCGGGCAAAGGCCCTGTCTGTTCTGTTTCTGACCCCGTGTACGTCTGCTGTCCAAAGCTGGGAATTTTGGCATCTGATGCTGGGAAACCAAACATCGGAAGGGGAGGGTTGAGGGTTTTGTGCCAGGAGATGAGAGCCATATCGTAGAATGAGTCCACAATGGGCCCTTCGACACGGATCATCATCTCCAGATTGTCGTTGTCCTGAATATTGCTGCTTTGCAGAAGTGCCACTCTGCGATCGATGATGACGAACTTGCAATGGAACGTACCAAGCATAGGACGATGGTAATTGATGAGTTCAAGGTCGATGTTTGGTATCTCTTCTGGCGGAGGAAGCTTTACTTTGGCGCTGGTGTATTCCTCTGCGGACACGCGTTGGTGATTGTCGTATACCTTTTATGCTGTCAGCTCGCGACATCCTGTACTGACAGTTGTCTTCAAGAATTACCTGTTTGAGGTTACCTCGATCGTAGAGCATCTTGACAACGACCCTGGTTCCTCGCTGGCCTGCTCTTCTTGACAATTCTCGAAAGGCGTCGGTCACAAGTGTCGAAGCGTCTGAGTAGATCCAGAAGTTTGTCCCCAGGAATATCTCCTTCTCAGCACGGACAATGCAGTTCGAAATATGGCGACAGAGATCGGGCAACGGTCCGATAATGGTTAAGGGAACAACCCCTCTGCTCCCCATCAGCGATGGAGAAACTACCCCGGCTAAAGGGTTCTTTTCCAGGGTACATAATGCGTCGTGGTATATCTGCGACAGTTAATAAATGGTGCTCATTGCAAATGTTCTCTTGATCGCAGCTGACCTTCAGGAAGAGATCACTTGGCCGCGAGGGACCCCATATGCCACACTCATAGGCTCTTTCCAAGGCATTGTCTTTATCTGCGACGTCCTTGATGGGACCCGCGATATCTTCTTTGACAGCTTCATCGTGGTGGAAAAGCCTGTGTGCGATGCGCCCAGGAGACTCGTCGGGATGGTCCTCCAGTTCGGACGTGACGTTTTTATTGCTGTGGCATAAATCATAGACGCGAGGCGGAATATTATCGCATCGAGTATGGTTGACGCTCTTCGGTTGACGAGCTATGCAAACCATGATGGCTCCCACGATGGCAGAAGAGAGCAAGGCTGAAACTTTCAGGACAGAACTGGGTATGCCGTCGTCTGCGACGTGCAAGTCAAGTAACTTGTCCATCACTTAAGTGTCAAAGAGGGTTATCAAGACAGTGAATAATAAACTCACGGCAAGCAAGACGACATCAGGTCCATGGATGGGTTTCTTGTGGATTCCAGGGCGATGACGCCAGCATCTACTTAGCTCACACGGAACTCGATCATGATCTCCGGTTAATAATGGTAATAATGTTGGAGCTCGAAGATAATAATGATAATCGGCTGCTTTGGTTACGTTTTAGCCACTGCACCAACGTCATAGTCCCGGATCGCCAGCCAAGCTTTGGACTAAAAGTTGTTATTTACTGTATTGGTTAATTACCCGCAAATCCTGGGGTTCAGCTTACCACGAATAAATATTGAGGGAAAAAGACTTACGTATGTCACTTCCAGGTCGCTATAACTATATATAGATAAATGCACAGAAGGAAAAAGAAAAAAAAAGAACCATCGCCATGCTTTCTTTGTTTCTCAGGATTTCCGTTAAGAGACAAATATTATGAGTTTAACCACCAGGCTCTAGAGTCAAGCAAGCAGCTAGCTGTATGCTATATGACCTAAGTTTTCCCTCTGAAGGAAACGAATCGATTTGGGTTGACTGATGCTGCGTTGTGGATAGAGAGACTACAATTTTAGCTTCAGGCATAGAATAGTCTAGGCGTGGTCAGTATGCTAAGTCACGCCGGGCGCACCACCAGTCAACTAACTATCTTCCAAGGCCTCAAACTGTCAAGTATGAAAGTACAGACCTCGTCGTTCTTGTCTAGTGTAGGGAGAAATACTTCATCCCCCGCGTCCCCGGCCGTAGATACCCATCAATGGCGGAGAAACAACGACGCAGGTATTCGATTGTAAATACTACTGAGTATCAGGAGATCCTAGAGTATGCATAATATCGGAAGTCTAGACGACTCGACCAAAAAGGAGAACTCCTTAGAGGTCTGGTCCTAGCTGGATCTAACACATAGTTAACTACTACTTCGTATGTGTCTCTCGGCAGTGTGGGACCGACCTCTACCGGTGGTTTGGGGTTATCGCGATCGTGCTCTAGATATTATCACGCAATCCTCGTGTCATTTAATACATAGGCACCTTATACCTTAACTCGACTTGATGTGATGTTTTATTTGACAGAAATGTTGGCTTTATCATTATTTTGTATACAGAATCAATTATATCTTATTGTTGACTTGAATAATATTTTCCAGAAGTCTCAAGTCCCAGACAAGTATCTGTGAGGAGAACAGGGCATAACAGTTGCGAGCCCTGTAAGTCGGCGCATCTTGATCTAGACAATCCGTAGAAGAAGTATCCTCATACGGTAACAGTCCTCGCCACAACATACCTCGAAATAATCAACTCTCATATATATATTAGACAAACTATGCCCTGGATTATGAATTTCTGGTTATATTTCTGTATACCTCAGCAAATAAGAAGTGACAGCTTATTGCATTCCCGATACACAAGCCGACACCCCGCAGTTGCGTGTGAATTCCCCGCGATAACAATCACCCGAGGGGACCCGGACACACGCCGATGTCTTTGTTGATGAGCTGCTCCGGGGAGTTGTCCGAGCTCTTTAAACCCTCGATCTCTCCTTGACGGCCCCAACTTCTCGTTGTCAATTTCCCACCTTTATTGATCTCTTCAATAGACTCCAAAGGAGCGCAAATTATACCCATTCGACTTAGAATCCAACTCGTGACGGATTGCGGTCACAGACCAATCCAAGATGTATGCATAGATCTACTACTTGAAACTCGCGACGGTTCGTCTGCGCTCTTTGCTAACGCTGAACAACTATATAGGGTCTATACAGCTTCGTTCGCCTTCTTTGAGGCGCTCTGGGAGGTACAGTACATACATATGTGAATCCAACTGTCGAGTCTACCCATACTGACAAGAACAGGCCGGCATAACGCATGTCTTCGCAAACCTGGGATCTGACCACCCATCGATCCTCGAGGCGATGGTGAAGGGCCAGAATGAGCGCAAGGACCAGTTCCCTAAAATCATCACTTGTCCAAATGAGGTGAGCATAAGCTCGCGGGTAGCGTCGGCGTCCATGATCCATCCAAGCTAACCCGCATTTTTACCCCGTCTCGGTAGATGGTCGCTCTCTCCATGGCCGATGGCTACGCCCGTCTTACGGGAAAACCCCAGTGCGTGATCGTCCATGTCGATGTAGGAACACAGGGTCTCGCTGCCGCAGTTCACAATGCCTCGATGGGCCGCGCACCAGTCTTGATCTTTGCCGGCTTGTCCCCGTTCACTATTGAAGGGGAAATGCGGGGCTCCCGCACGGAATACATCCACTGGATCCAAGATGTCCGCGATCAGAAACAGATTGTGGCGCAATACTGTCGCTATACGGGAGAGATCAAGACGGGCAAGAATGTCAAGCAGATGGTCAATCGTGCCTTGCAGTTTGCGACGAGTGACCCCCAGGGGCCCGTATACTTGGTGGGCGCCCGAGAGGTAATGGAGGAGGATATTGAGCCTTACACGATTGACCGGACTGTATGGGGACCTGTTGGTCCGTCTGCACTTCCACCTCAGGGGGTCGAGCAGATTGCACGTGAACTCGTTGCCGCGAAGGAACCGTTGGCCATCGTCGGTTATACGGGTCGATCCAGCAGCGCTGTGAAGGAGTTGGTCACCCTCACTAACACAGTCAGGGGCCTTCGTGTCCTCGACACCGGTGGAAGCGACATGTGCTTCCCAGCAGATCACCCTGCATCTCTGGGGTTGCGCTATGGTATCCACGATGCCATCAAGACTGCCGACTTCATTCTTGTTGTCGACTGTGATGTGCCATGGATCCCAACCCTGTGCAAGCCAAAGGACAGCGCCAAGATAATTCACATTGATGTGGATCCTTTGAAGCAGATGATGCCCGTCTTTTATATTCCCGCCATAGCCACCTTCAAGGCGGACTCGACGGTAGCGTTTAAGCAGCTCCACGAGTATATTTCTTCCCATCCGACTTTGTCACAGGCGGTCAGTAGCGCCGAATTTGCCTCGCGCGGACAACGTCTGGAGGAAGAGCACCGACAACGGCAGCAAGAGATTGCTGCGTTGGCTGCTGTGCCGTCGGGCGGCGACTACGCATCTATAAATGTGTCATATGTGACCTCGCAGCTCCGCCAGGCGTGTCCTGCGGATACTATCTGGGCCATCGAAGCTGTAACCCTAACCGCATTTGTCTCTGACCAGATTGGTGCTACCATCCCTAATTCCTTCATCAACTGCGGAGGTGGTGGTCTTGGTTGGTCCGGCGGTGGTGCACTGGGCATCAAGCTGGCCACTGATGAACAGCATGGCGGTAACAACAAGGGGAAGTTTGTGTGCCAGATTGTTGGAGACGGCACCTACCTCTTCTCTGTGCCCGGATCTGTCTACTGGATTTCCAGACGCTATAACATTCCCATCCTGACCATCGTGCTGAACAACAAGGGCTGGAACGCTCCCCGGAAGAGTATGCTGCTCGTCCACCCCGACGGCGATGCGTCGCGGGCCACCAACGAGGAGCTCAACATCTCCTTCGCCCCGACGCCAGACTATGCCGGTATTGCCAAGGCGGCGGCTGGTGGAGAGATCTGGGCCGGCCGGGCGAGTACGGTCAAGACTCTGGCGGAACTGCTGCCCCAGGCCATTGAGAGCGTCCGCCAGGGGACGAGTGCTGTGTTGGAAGCGCAGCTCGATGGTACAGATGGTAAATACGTTGAGAAGCTCCCTAAGCGGCCCCGTAGCCCATAGAGATGCAGATGATGACTTGTCATGCTCCGCAGACTTGTCAACTATAGGTACATATATATATAACTTCCATTATATACGTCGACGGTGTAATCCCATAGTGTAACTAACCATGTCACCCAATGGAACAATGGAACAATGGAACACGGAGAATGATCATTACATGCCAATGCAACAATGATCACTTGTGACCCTCTATTAATATTACCCTACTCCCTCCTCGTATCTCTCATTGATCAACTGCGCCGAATCGATTTGTAAGAAGAACGCGGGATGGCGGCACCCCAGCCCTTATCGATAAGGGCACGGCCATTAAGTACCCCCGGCGATAGCCATTTCTATGCGCGCAGTGTGATTGAGAGCTGCCGCTTCGTGGACGATTGAATAATAATAATAATAATAATATCGCCAATAACCCTCTGCAGCTTCTGTTAGTTACATCATGTTTCTATATTTTATCACCATATATTACCATATAGTTATACATCGAAAGGCTGCCAAGCTGGATAGCATCGGCGCGATTGACCCCGCGCGCGCCATGTAATCAGAATACTGGGCAAGTGACTCAAGAATGGCAAAAATGCTGTCTCTACTCTGAACCTCGCCCCCTCCCATCCATTCATTCATTTATTCATTCATTGCGCCCAGATCCAGACCAGGCCCTTATTGTTGCGACTTGATCAACTGCGGATACCTATTCTTGCTTCTAATTCCTTTTTCTTTTTTCCCTTTTACTTATATTTCTCCGCCCTTGCCTTCACGATGAGTCCTCCCGCTCCGCTCGACATTGATGTGAAGGCCGACTCTGATACGACCACCGTGGTCGTGCCCGATCCGCTCACCGTCACGGGCGTCGCGGCATGGAGATTGCAGGCCGCCAAGGTGCCTACAGGGACGGCCGCTGCGGCCAGCAGTGATATGTTCAAGAGTCCTGTAAGGCGTCTTGTCTCCATGGCGCTTGAGCGCTATAGCAGTCAATTAGCTTGCGTCGCGCTGCATTGTCGCCTCGCCGTATCGACAGACTGACGGAAATGGTTGTGTGTTTTAGGGTTGCTACAAGAAGCCAAAGGCGAAGAAATGGGATCGTGAGTCTTTCGTCCCTCTGTTTTCGAAATTTGATCGCAATTGCGATAGCTAATGTGTATTGGCTTTTTGCTGTAGACTTGCTTTCCGAGGAGGCCAAGCTGAAGCAGGTCAGTTAAGTTGTCTATGATGGCGGGAATATAAATTAGATGGAGTCACGTTCAGAGTTGACGCTTTGTATAACCAGCCTTCGACTCTCAAAGGCGCTGCGAAGTACCTTAAGAAGCCGGGAATGATCTCTCTGGGAGGAGGTCTTCCTTCGGCTGAACATTTCCCGATAGAACATATCGAGATCAAAGTTCCGACGCCGCCGCACTTTTCGGAGGAGGAGACTCGGACGACTGGATCGATTGCCCATGCTGGAAAGCACGATGTTCGGGAGGGAAAGAGTGTATATGGTGAGAATGGCTGGATAATTGTTCATTTTGGGCGGTTGATTCTGACTCGGGGATGCTAGATCTGGAGGTCGCTCTCAACTATGGTCAGGCCATCGGGTCCGGTCCGATGCTGCGTTTTGTGACGGAGCACACTGAGGTACGCACTACGATCTAACAGAGTATGGACATGGAGAACTAAGTTGAAGATCAGATCGTGCACAACCCACCATATGCCGACTGGCAATGCTGTATGACGCCGGGAAGCACGGCTTCCTGGGATGCGGCGTTGAGGATTTTATGTGAGAAAGGTGACTACATTCTCATGGAGGAATACACCTTTTCAAGCGCTCTCGAGACGGCTCTACCGCATGGCATCAAAGCAGTGGGTGTCAAGATGGACGAGGAAGGTCTTCTTCCGGAATCTCTGGACGAGATATTGACGAACTGGGACGAGAAGGCCAGAGGCGCTCGCAGACCGCATCTCCTCTATACCGTGCCATCGGGACAGAACCCAACTGGCGCTACTCAGTCTCTCGAGCGGCGCAAGGCTGTGTACAAGGTTGCGCAGAAGCACGATGTTTACATCGTCGAGGATGAGCCTTACTACTTCCTCCAGATGCAGCCGTACACGGGAGCAGACGGACCTGAGGTGCCTCCGCCAGCTACCCACGAGGACTTCCTCAAGGCTCTGATTCCGTCGTTCCTGAGCCTGGACGTCGACGGACGTGTCCTGCGTTTCGAATCCTTCTCGAAGGTCATCGCTCCTGGTTCCAGAGTTGGCTGGATTGTTGCCTCTGAGCAGGTCGTGGAGAGATTCGTGAGACACTTTGAGACCTCTACCCAGAATCCCAGCGGTATTTCCCAAATCGTCCTGTTCAAGCTGCTGGAGGAGCAATGGGGACACGGCGGCTACCTCGACTGGCTGATCGACCTTCGCATGCAATATACCAAGCGCAGAAACGCCATGTTGCACGCTTGTGAGCAATATCTCCCCAAAGAAATTGCTAGCTGGATCGCCCCGGCGGCAGGCATGTTTGTAAGTCTCTGCAACCATACATAATTGTGTGACCCGATCTGTATCTAACATTCGCAGCACTGGGTCGAGGTAGACTGGCGCAAGCACCCTGGACTCACAACGGAAGCATCGCACTCTGATATCGAGGAGTCCATCTTCCAGGCCGCCATTGACAGGGGTGTCCTCGTCTCTCGCGGCAGCTGGTTCAAGGCCGACCGCAGCGCCGCCGAGGAGAGGATGTTTTTCCGCTCCACCTTCGCAGCTGCGCCTGCGGATAAGATCACCGAAGCGATCAAGCGATTCGGTGATGCGCTTAGAGCTGAATTCGGACTGTAGATGGCGGTTTCGTGTACATACTCACATTCATAATCGTCTAGTTATTGCTGCATGGCATAAAAGCGACATGTGGTTTGAACTTTGCATTAAGGAATACGATAGAGGCTTCATTATTAATGCTACACGAGGTTTCTAGTTCTAAGCAGGTAGTTCTCTCAAATAGAATAATAGTTACGACAACGAATCAAATCGTTCTCTGTATATATCAGTCATTCCTTGCCCCTCGAGATCGCATCATCCATCTCGGAAGGCGATGTTTCTCCGAACTCCGAAACAGCCGTCACTTATCGTGCTTTAAATAGAGACGCGAACTCGGAGATTATGAAGTAACGTGACCTCGCGTCGGAAGTCTAATCGGACGTGGCTCGAATCATCATTATTCCCTAGTTCCCTAGCTAGGTACTCGTCAAGATTCAACAGAGGAGAGAAACGGATTGGAGCGATTAAGTGTGGATTGTATTTGACCAAGGGAGAGGCACTGATCTTTCAGATCGAAGGAGTTCGGTCCGCTGCTTGTTCTTCTTCTTCTTCTTCTTCTTTTGCCGGAGGGTGTTTTAATTGTTTGTTCTTTCTGTCCGTTTCTCTGGGCTGGACTTGGCGGGACGTTATTCCTGCTCTGTCTGTCTGGCTGTCGTCACTTATCTTCTCTTCGTCAGGAGGATTCGTGGCTTCGTTGCTAAAAAAAAGTAGAGTGTCGAGGTAGGTTCGATGTTTCGTATTCTGATGGCTGTCGGTGGTTTCTTTCTCTAGCTTGGTTGCAGGGACTTTGTGACTGCGTCTGTTTTGTACCTTATTAGGCGCGTTTATCCCGTATGTCCTTGGGGGTGGAGTCCTGGAATTTCGCGGACTCTGTTGTCTCTTATAGGGAGAGAGTCATCGCGACAGCTTTTGCTTTTGTTATTGAACATCTTTCTCATGCTAGTTCCTGTCACATGGTCAGCGCTAACTTCAAGTACAGGTTGTCAGTGCAAAGAAGCTGCGCAAACTTAGTATCTTGGTGTTCTGCCTCGTTTCTTCAGAACTTGATCTTTATCACCCAGGAAGATCAAGCTACGTTGGTCATTGTGATCTTGACAGAAGGAGGCTGCAGAACTATTTGCCTCTGTTATCCAATAGGAGTCTCCTCGCTAGCTGAGCAGCACAACTGCGCAACAACCAGCTCGTGGAGTACCATCCCTTTGTTCTTACTTTCACGCCCAATCAGCGCATCAAACTTCTCGCTTAACGGTGGCGCTAAAGTAGCGTGCCGGGACTTAACCGGCTCACTCCATCTAACCACGTTATCACAGAAAGCGTCATTATCACGCCTAGGTCTATACAATAGATAGATCTATTCTCCTTGATCAGGGACGCAGAGACTGCTCGATCGTATCGAAAAAGGAGGAGGATATAGAGCTGGGCTTTCCGAATCCGCCGATATACATAACCCCTATCCGAACTGCTGGGCATAAGACGATATTGTCGAGTCTTCAGATATCGAATCCATTTTGATAGAGCTTCGATCTGAGGCAAACGACCGACTGTGCCAGCCCCTGCCACCGAATTACGACGTCTCGCGTTGTTTATGTTCTTCGTAGGTGTTCCTGCTTCTCTTTTGCTCCTCCCTCTTCTCCTTCTCCTCCTCATGTCAAATCCTTTACTTCTCCTGTCATCGTCCATCCCCTTGGCATGTTCTCTTGCATCTCCAAAGCACTTGGTTTCGTGTCTTCTTGGTCTTGTTCCATTAAGGAGGCGTTTTTTTGAAAATGGATGACCATTCTTCTATGCCCCGTCGGCGCCGTCAAGGCATTTATGGGTTCGACAGTCGTTTCGTTGTTGGGTACGCGTGTTTACTGACTTGATAACAGGACCGACTTTCCTCCTTTACTTACTCGAGGGCTTTCTGTTGACAGTAACGACGAAGAGAGCAGTGATACCGGTTACTTGCCTCGTCGAAACCAGCAGAACCTCGAACAGCAGCGTCTCAGTTGTGCTAGTCCCAGCAGCCCTGAGGGTGCTTTAGTATCTTCTGATTTCGGACCTGGACCGACTCTTGGCCCAGCGGAGCGTGGTCGAGTGCCATTCCAGGAAGTACCTTCTGCTACTGGTCACCATATTCCTGTGGAATCAGAAGCATCTTCTCTTTCTGATTTTGAGCCTGGACCGACACTTCTCCCGCAGGACAATCCTGAAGAGGACACACACGAGGACGAAACCCCTGTCGTACGCCTGATAGATCTTATCCCAAGGCTTCGTCAAGCTCTTTCTAGCGGTTCTGAGCGATCGAGTCTCTCTCTTCCTCAAGAACCCACACCTCGACGTTCTCGTGCATACACTGAGTTTATCGGTAAGGTCTCTGACAGTGAGACGTCTTCCGTATACAGCGTTCAGGGAGTATCTGGCCCGAGTGCAGAGAATCGGGTCTCTCCATGGAGGTAGGCGCTTTTCCCTTTGTCCTTAGATGTGGCGTGCCTTAAGCTCACACTTGGAAACCAGCTGTGAGGACCGACCGGAAACTCCTGACCTTGAGCCCTTTCCGGTCTATGAAGACCCTTCCCCTGAAGCGTCTCGGAGCAACCTTCAAGAGAACCAGGACATCGATCGGTCTCTCATTCCACTTCCTCTCAAATCTCGTCTTAAATCGACCACGTCTTGTGAACTTTCTGAGAAGCGGTTATCACAAGCATACGTCGACGCCCCTGTCCCGAAGCGAGCCTTGAAGCTACCTCCCGGTCATCGACCCCTGCGGCTAACCGTCGAAGAACAAAAATTCTCTCGAGAACCCCTGAGAACCTTTGTCCGACAGCACCAGCGAATCGCTAGAGAATTTGCCCGTGATCGAGCCCGTGAGCGAGCCGATACCACCGTCGACTCTGCCTATCCGCCCTTTTCTCCGGCAAGACGTTTTGACCCTTCGCGAGCTCCAAGCGCCGCCTTTAGAGAACCCAGTAGGAACCCTTCTCATACAGAGTTACCCGGACTTCTTGCTTCTCCAAGCTCTTTACCCCAGTCTTCTGACAGACGCAACAGGAACCCGAACGTTGCAGACCAGGCTTCTTATTCTCCTCCGGACGTTACTCCTTCTTCCCGTCGTCCACCGCAACCGAGTCGTGCTCCGCGTCGTACCCCAACCACACAAGCGTCGTCCGTTGGTAATAGGCAACGAACTCGGCGAGCTACAGACCCACGTCGACCTACTGTCGCTCTACCTGTCACTCCTATCTACCCGCCTCACTTTTTCGAGACCCGAAGTGACAAACGGCGCTTCGACCCACTTAACTTCTGTCCGGTTCCAGCTGACGCAAACGTTGACAGCTACGTCTCGCCAACTCCAGCTCGTGTAGCTAGAAGACCTCTTGGCCGACCCCGCGAAGTATCTGCTCCTGTTTTTACACCTTCTCTTCCGACAGACCTTTCGCAACGTTCTGGCAACAAGGTCGACTCCAACAAGTCAAAGAGACGAAGTAGTGATAAGAATAGACTCTCTTCAGGTCTTGCTTCGACTCTTCGCAGACTCTTCCGGTCCAGCTCGAAGCGAAGCAGTGAAGAAGTAGAAGAAGTCGGAACGTCTCTGGCAGACATCGATTCTTTTCTTTCTCCTCACGGATCTACTCCACAGCAGACTCTCTCTCCAAACTTCTCGCAGCATCCAGCTGCAGTTCATGAAGACAGGGCACAGAGATCTGCCTTGCCCGACTTCAACTTTCCTTACCACTCTCCCGGAACTGACATACATTTTGCCGCTGCTGGAACTCCGCTCCGTCACCCACAGCCATCTGTCTTAGCGAATATCTCTGCCTTGACACGCGCAATTCCTGAATCACCTACTCCGCTGTCACGAAATCATCCTGCCATTCCCAGTCCTGCTCCTTTTTGGTCTTCCAACATGGATTCCTCACGTTCGTCGGCGCGTATTTCGCGTACTTCACGTCTTCTCGACCCTGCCATGATGGCAATCACCAAGCAAAAAGCTGAAGCCATGAGGCTAGCAAAAGAGCAAGCTGCTGCTGTGCAGGAAATGTGCCGTCGAGCCAAGACGGATGTCCCTAACTACGAATTCGAAGAGCTCATTGGAAAGGGTGCCTATGGTCGGGTTTACAAAGGCCGTCAATTGCCGTCTCGTCAACTAGTAGCAATCAAAGTCATGGATATTGACACGCTTGACTACAAGTCGATTCGAGACATGAAGGACGAGTCAATCAAGGACTTCATCCACGAGACCAAGGTCATGCAGCAAGTCAAGGACGCAGGAGCAAAGAACATCAATATGCTTATTGAAGCGATTTCTATCCACTCTCAACTGTGGTTGGTCTGCGAATACTGCCCAGGTGGAAGCGTCAAGACCCTGGTAAGTTCCGTCCCATTCCGCCCAGTGAAGGGTGACGCATTCACGTGTTTCTGGTGTTCCTCTGCTTCTTTCATTTTCCGCTGTCGCGTCTATCTCTCCTTCATCCGCTACCACACAGTGAATCTCCCCCCCCCTCCCTATATAAACGCTTCACGTGCCTCCCACTTTCTCCTTTCTTTCCTCACCGAACGCATCGGTCATATATATATCCGATATACTCTTTTCACCTTTCTCGTGACTTGGTCACGTATATACATACACACCTCGCCCTTTTCAGTTTATATTCTTTATTCTTTATTCTTGTTTCTTTATCATATAAATCATTCGGGCGAATATTCTACTGATCACTATATACTGTGGCTCTAGATGCGAGCCACGGGTGATAAACTCGAGGAGAGATTTATCATCTCGATCGCCCGTGAGCTTGCAGAGGGGTTGCGAGCTATCCACGACGCGGGAATCATCCATCGGGATGTAAAGGGTGAGGACCCAATCTTGTCGAACGGCTGCGGTTGAAGAACACTGCTAACAGAGACACAGCCGCAAATATCCTCATCCATGAGGAGGGGAGATTACAGATCTGCGACTTCGGTGTCGCGGGGGTTTTGCAATCCAAGCTGGACAAGCGGTCCACTTGGATTGGCACCCCCCACTGGATGCCGCCAGAGATGTTTTCGACCCGTGGTGGGGGCGCGCACCAGTACGGGAGCGAGGTGAGAATGCTTTGGATTCGATACATATGGGATTTGGCTAATGGATCTTAGATCGACGTCTGGGCGTACGGCTGCACGCTCTACGAGATCGCAAGGGGGAATCCCCCCAATGCGGGTCTACGAGAGCCGATGCAGATCGGACGCCAGCTGACGAGAATCGCTCCCAAGCTGGAGGGTGACGGGTTCAGCAGCCAATTGAAGGACCTTGTGTCCTTCGCCCTGAACTCCGATCCCATGACGCGCCCCACGATGGCGGATATCCTGGAGCACGAGTACATCGCCAATTCGGCCGAGGCGTATCCCACCTCGTCGCTGAGTGAGCTGGTACGTATTTACTACCAGTGGGCTCAACGAGGTGGGCAGCGCATCTCCCTGTTCAACCCAGGGGGTGCCATGGCTGCTGAGTTCCCCGGTGACAATGAGTCCTTCGAGGACTGGAACTTCAGCACCACGGACGGTTTCGAAAAGCGGTACTCAATCATCGATCTCGACGAGCTTTCCGCCTCCCTGGCCGAACTTGAAGGGGAGATGACCCCCATGGCTCAGCAGCCCGAGCGGAGCCTGTTCGACGACCCTCCCAGTACCGAAATGTCTGCGGAGGAGAAGCTCAACTTCGACGAACGGGTGAAGCGAGGTGCTGCGGCCATGGAAGGTCTTTTCAACGAGGAAATGCCGACGTACAAGTACGAGACGAAGAATGATTTCGTGCCCGTGGAAGCCCAGCAAAGATACTCCGACCTCCCGCTCCGAACAGACACAGACCGTTCGTCCGTCATGTCTACTTTCATTGACATGGACCTTGGCTCGTTCGATTCTGCCCACTACGCCGCTGGTTCTGCTGCCAACCACCCGTTCCAGCTGGCTGACGCAGATACCATTCGTGCCAACAGATCGAGCCTTCGTCGTAACGAGGATCAGTCACGTTCGCGGTTGAGCAACATGGAGAGCGGCGACCACCAGGAGACCCCATCGTACCAGCCACAGACAGGCCCCCGCCCGCCAACAATGGAGTGGACGTTTCCAGCATGTACGCAACCGTCCACTGAAGACAACACCGCAGAGCAGCAGACGACCGTCGCTGCCACAGACCCCCAGACAGAAAAACGAGCCACCATGGAGTGGTCGTTTCCCGTCATGACACCAGCTGATAACAGTCAGGACGTCGTCGCTGGTCGTCAAGAAGACACCCTCAGAGCGCCAGTGAATCAGCCACTGACCAGTCGCCTACGTGGACAAGGTGACAGCACGGATGACTCTCGTCCTTCTACCGCGCAATCCGGTGCTTCCATTACTTCCGAGACCGACTATGATCCTTTCCGTTTTGACCGTGGTTCTACACCTCCACGGAATGGTCCTCCAGGGAGACACAGAACGCCCATTTCGGGTAACGCTTCAGATGACGACATTGGATCTCCAGGAGATGTCCTCGAACAATCCGTTATTCTTGATGGACCTGGTCCAGATGAGGAAGAAAACGACGTGGTTCACTCCCCATACTGGTCTGAGCAATACCATCCTAATCTTCCTACCGCTCGTCCAGATGGTCCTTCGCAAGCTGCAGGGTTTGGGCCGTCTCGCCGTTCAGAACAGACATCGCTTTCTGGAACGACGGTCACGAGCAACCTGCCACACATCACCTTCCCCGAGATCCGTCCTCCAAGCGCTGAGAGCTTGACTGAAGGTGCCGATGAATCGGTTGTTTCAACAGAGCTTGACAGATTGCTAGGTGATTTCCTTAGTGCTCTATCTGCGACAGGAGAAGCGCTAGCTACGGTCAGCACTGAGCCAACCCGCTATCGAAACGCGAGTGCCAACCGCAACGGAACTGAGCAGTGAGAATACTCACTTGTATCCGAGCTAATAGCCCCTAACAACCACACATGCGGTCAACGAAACATCATAACATGATTTCTTCTTTTACCTGTTTTCACGAATCTCGAAGTTACCGAGAACATTGCATGCATGAGCCACGAATGAAAAGTTTCTTTTCGATGAAGACCGCATTTAGGTCCTTCTTGGGTGGTTACGATTGAATTCGATTCATCTTTGGTGATGGCGTTGAGGACACGAGTGATTGGCCGATGGCCAGATGGGATCATGGCGTTGGTGGTGGGATTGATTGTTGTTTTTGAAATTTGTAATTCCTGAATATGTATTACGAGGATCATCCATGAGATCGTTAATTAAGTGTTTGCTGATGAGATCTACAACTCTATGAGCTCCAGTATGATATCCAAACGAGGAAATGTAGAAGTACAATTTTCTACAGGTGATTTCTCCCTGCTAACTACCAGCAACCGCCTTCTTCAGAATCGTAAACTCCCCCAACAATCCCAAATGATCCGTTACCCATACATCCAGATCCACAGACTCGCTATCGTCGCTATCGGGCTCAAACAAATCTCCCAGGTGCGCCTTAACCCCTTCCCCGATCCTCTCCAACGTCTCAGCTTTCACCCCGCCACAAAACAGAATCTTATCCATCCGACTACATCCGAATTTCCGCCGCAATTCCTCAGGAGCCTGCTGGCCCCATGTATACCCTTCCTCAGTACCGTCCGTTCCACCTAGGGCAAGGAACGCGTCTTGTAAACCGCATTCAACTGGCGCAGTGAGGTCTTCGGGTGCGAAGGCGTTCAGATCTCCTGCTAAAAGGGCCGCGTGCGGGATAGGTACTGAAATAGGCATGGATGAAGCGGATTCTTGATCCAACGGGCCCGAACCGTGCATATATGTAGATGCTATGCGAAGTTGAATGGGCCGACGAGGTGGGTTCTGAGTGAGGCTTTCGAGATGGGTGTTGCAGACGCGGAGGGTTGTAGATTTATCTTCATCTTCTGTTGGGTTGGGGTCATCTCTCAGTATAAATTCCATGCCTGCATCTTTCTTTCTGGGCATATATATCCGTATAAAATCGAATAGAATATAACAGAGAAAGAGGCGTGGAAAGGGGAGAAAAAAAAAACATACCATCCACAGCCCGAACATTCACATCAACAAATAACCCATCTCTCTGCATCCTCGTCGCTTTATAATGGACTCGAAACACCCTCTGAATATCCACCTTCTTCTCAACCAGCGTCGTCGTACCGTAATATCCACCCTCCCAGAACTCATCGCTTAGATCCGTCACGTAGAAGTTCTCACGGATCCAATCCGTCTCTTGGATTTGCCGGAGGTCTGAATCGAGCATTTCTTGGAAGAAGATTATTAATGGAGAAGAGGTGGGTTTTTGTTGGATGTCATGATATAGGTTCTTGAGATATTCCAATGCGGATGCCATTCGTTGTTTGGCGTAGGGGACTAAGGCGTCGATGTTCCATGTTAGGAGGTGGATTTGGGAGGGAGGGGTTGTTTCGTTGTGTGGATGTGCGTTGCTTGTTTGTGAGGCTTGAAGTTCAGAAGTTGAGGATGCTGCTGTCCAGGCTTGGTTTGAGGGGTTGAAGTAGTAGAATGGTTGGGGGTATGGTATGTCGCGTTGCCAGAGAGTGGGTGGTTTGCGGGTAAATAATCCTTCGGGGAGAAGAGGTGCAGTTGACATTTTGCTTGGTGGGTGAGTAAGTGGTATGTTCTTTGTATTTTTCTTCTTGAGATAGAGAGAGTGGTGAGTTGGATATAGGAGGATGAGAAGTAGAGTAGGGTATTCTAGGCAACTCTGCTGGATAATAAAGTATTTCCCTAGGCAGAAGGGAGATCAACGAGGATCTGAGCTTATCTTTTTCATGGTATGACGACTTCCCCGCGTTTGCGCTTATCGCTGCTAACTAACTTTAAATAACTAACCAGTTCTCTGCAATTGCTGGTCAAATTCCAACAATTTATGGCAAAGCCACACTTTTTTCGTTTTATGTAAGAAGTAGCGGGATTCAATAATGATAATGTGATGATGGAAATCCGTGGTCTACTAATGGAAGTTCCTTAGGATACATGGGACTTTATAGGACCGACTAGTTGAGAATACATTTTCCTTGATGCTGTGGGACTACTTATAGATGAACAGGCAGGTCCTGACTGAATATCATGGTAGTATTAGGGATCCATGGTACTCTAGCTACAGTTTGCGATGCATATGCACTGAGTATATGGAAGGTTCGGTGCTCGGTCCCTATAGCCAATATCGCGGTTATGGAATGATCTGGGATTGTCGTGAGTAGGTTTAGATTAATATGACCTTTGGAAGATAAATCCACCAGGAAAATAGTGTTCTTGATGGAAAGTTTGCTGCTTCTACAATACATTATAATAGTCTATTCATGATTCGTCCGCATTTGGTCTGTATCGAGTCAAATGCTTAATCATCTTCTGCCTTGATGGGGGAGAAACGGTTCAAGATGTTACTGCTATTCTCATACCGTGACCGAACTCTCGATTATCCCAACTAGAACTTAAGCGGCCTGTTATATCTGTACATCTCGATATTAAGTGGTGTGTTATGTAAAAGATCGAATAGAAGGGAATCTCCATGTGGAACGGCGAGATGGTAACTGGCCTATTGTTGGGGAATATTCAGATCTAGTAATCTATTGACCTATTCATTGAAACGTAGTGAATAGAATGTTTACATAGCCTTCACTTCGAAGCTTCTGGTGCTGGTGCCTTCCCATGTAGCGTGGTCTGTTTACTTCGCGTTATGGCCCACTTTCAGATGCGCTGCGCGCCTCCATGAAAACACCATTCGTTCTTCCAAACCTCATATTTCTTCTCCTTCGTGTCATTCGTTTGTCATTTTGTTCCTATACACTAGTCGTTCCTTTTTGGCAGATATCTGCTTTCCACTCCTGTAGTTCTACTTGCTGTACCAGTCAGATATCAACCGCGTTCATTTTCACATCTTCAATTTCATCATGGCTATTTCCGTCACACGCAAACTTCAGCCGGATCTTACAGCAGAGGAAGACTTTCCCTTGCCCAGGTCTCCAGAAGATTGGAAGCTTGTACTCGAGAAAGTCAAGATTCTATATCTGAGACGTCAATACAAGCAATGTGCTGCGCGTTCGAACGAGCTTCTCGAGAAATCTAGAGGAACGGTAAATATTCATCCTAAAACCAACATTTCCTGGATAATATTGACTCTTTTCTAGATTCATGCAGTCTACAAGACATACATTCATTTCTACATTGCCATCTGCTACGAGGAACTCGGCCGCGCCGCGCACAACTACTCTAGGAACAAGCTGCAATTCCTTAATCTCGCGTTGGATAACCTGACGGCTTGCAGCTTGTCTTTGCCCAACGTCATTACCGTGCCAGATATGGAAGACTCGAGTCCTTTTGCTGTTGAAGATTATGGCACGTCTCCATCTGATATCTCAACCATCGAGAGTATCTGGAGCAGCAGCATGCAGTATGATCGAGAAGAAACACCAATCGAGTCATCGATTCTTTCAGAAGATGATCCATTCATATCTCCTGACAGCAATCTCATGAAGGGACTCAGACCGTTGAAGTTCAAGTTGTCTCCTAGAGATATGGAAATGGCCGACCTGATGCCTGCACCACTTCGGATCAGAAAGCGCTCTCCTCAGATATCCTCTGCTGGCGATACCACATATGACGTGGAGCCTCTCAAGGGGCTTTCTCTTCCCGAGACTCCAACTAAAGGCCGCCCTCTGCCACCTCTTCCTTTGAAAATAGAACCGGCCAGACGTGTCTTCCCAATCTCCCTCAAAAAGAGCCTGGACACGTTTTCTAGTGAACAACCTTCCCCTATTAGTCCACCCCGTGCGGAAGCCATAAGCCGCTACAATGACCATATCCGCTCCTTCAGCGCGCAACTGAATGGTACAATTGCGGATATCTCGCGTCTTATTGCATCCGTCACCGAAGTGCAACGACTTCATCAAGCCTCTAAAATCAAACGCAGCTCATCCTTCTGGAGTTTCACGCCTGTTGGCTCACCATCCCTTTCTCCTCGTCAAGCTCGCGGTCTAGAGGAGACGAAACAGCAACGAATTGCCCGTTTGCGCTCTGAAGGGTGGACTACAGTCGGCTTGAAATCTGAAAATTGCGGGTGGAAGGGACGAGACTATTATCGTGACCTCTGCTCGGAAGTTTTGGATGAGCTTTATGAGCTCAAGTAGGCGGATATGATCCTCATGATATGATAAAGTGTGGCGTTCTCTACTCTGATTGTCGATTTCCTTTCAATTCGTTTCGATCCAGCATCCCCCCGTCTCTCTCCCTGTTTTTCTGAATGTTTCAGCTTGTTATTTTCTCCATTATCTGTTTGCTTGGTTGCCTTGCTACTTTCTATCACTTATTTCCAGGATATGCCAGACGAAGAGCATGGAATGTCATTCGATGGGTTAGAGTCATGTTATCCCAGCTGGGAACTTTCTTAATGTATAATGTGCCTTCATGAGTGTATTAGTACGGACTGCTAAATGCAAGTTATTATTATTCTATTCCGCATACCTTAATCACCAGCAGTGCAAAACGCTGTGTAGCTAAGCCAAGCTCACATAGACCTTGGATATAGAAATTTCTCCGGCTGAAGCAATCCCGAGATAAACGCCCAAACAAACCAGTACCTGATTCTCAATCCGGGGAGTCCCAATAAGACCTTTCGCCGTTCCTCATGAGATCAATATCTGTGTCCCGAGCCAATCGCCCTGATCTCATAAATCCTTACTCAACCCACCTCCAGCTCCGCCCTTGCCAAAGACACCCTTGATCTCTTCGCCAAGACGGTCCTGAATCTTATTCAGGTTCTCGTCTTCGATCAGTTGCTTTCCCACGAGGGATTCTATCGATATCAGAGACAATAAGCATCAGTAACCATGTTTACTACCCAATCTATGGACATATATTTATGTCCATAATAGCATGATTTCAAGAGAAAGATAGATATATATATAGAGCAAACGAAAAGGAGAAGGGCTACTTACTTTTCAACGGATGCGGGACCTTCGTCTCGCCCATCCTATCGAGAACGATTTCCTGCATACGCTTCTGATACGGGTCTAAAGCACCAGATATCCAAGCGCCAAGGATCGCGAAAAAGGTGAGAGTGTAAATGATGAGGAGGAGCATGTTTATCCTCGTGTTTGTTGGCTTTTCTTTCCGTTTTTTTCTTGGTGATTTGGACTTTTTGAGTTCAGGTTCATTAGGGTGGTAGACTGTTAACAGATATGGTTACCTATTGAATTGAGGTGTGTGCCCGGCTGGGTGGCTTCCTGATGAGGGCACATGATCGGGTTATTATTAACTGTGTAGTTGGGTGTAACAGTCTCGAGACGCGGGTTCATGGGGTCTGAAAGTACGCGAGCTAGTGACTTGGTGATACTTACCTCAATGTCTAAGGTAGGATATCTATGTAGGGGATTGTCAGTTAACTTAATAGCAAGTAAGTACGTAAGTTATCACTGTGGTGTACTCCTAGTAGGTGGAATATAGGATAAAAGCCCGGTGGTGAGGGACAGATTGTAGTCTATTGCAAAGTTGACTGGGTTTTTTGAACAGCGAATATATTCCTGTGACATCTATGGACTTTTTTCCTTGGTCACAGCCAACACTGCGCATCCCTCTCTTTTCCTTCTATCCCATCGCATCAGACCACATCATGAGATCTCTCCTGGTGCATTTGTCGACGCTGCGAAATTAGCTTATCTGCGTGTCGCTGGTTCATCCAAGTGATGGCCCATGATTAGATTTAAGAGTATCACTTTTTTTTTCCCGGAATCTTTTGCGATAACTCTTTTCAGAAGTAATGAGAATACGAACGCGTCCAACTTTGAGGCTGGAGACTGTGGCGGATGCGACGAACGGTTGATCGCTGATAACTAGTTACTGTAGTTGCAGAGGCTCCACCGTGCTCCAGCTGGGCGTTTTTTTTTTCGTGACGGCTGAGTCCTGACGCTGCAGCCCCTGCCCCGCTATCCACGACTTTCCTGGGGCTGTGCCGTGTCGATTTATGGTACTCGCTTCTGCGACTGACGATTATTATTTGTTCCCCTTTTTTTTGTCGCAGGAGTTGAGTTAGTCTGGTTCGTTAGTTAGGCCAGATAACTTATTAGTCTACCGTACATAAATAGTTACTGGATTCGAGGGCCGAGTAACTACTTGGAGTTGTCGCAGTCAATAATTATTTAACTAACTAATTGATCTTCGCCAATAAGTTAATCTTTCACGGAAAACGACTTGTCTGCCTCGTGCGCACTCACTACTGGCGTGGTGGATTATTATTATTATTAGGTAGGTACTGTACTTGGCCAGACACAGCGAACTACTACCAAGACAAAACCCAAGCCCCTCGAAAACTAATGAAGTATTATTAGTTAGTTAGCTAGTTTCCCCCTCTCGAACATAAAACATTGTTAGGCGCCACGAAGCCGCGCCCGATAGCGATCGAGCATCCCAGCTCCCTCCCTCCCCCGCCGACGATCACAGTCCTTCCTCCTCCCTTCACCGTTTTCCTATCCTACAATTCTCCTTCCCTCTCCCACGGTACGAGAAGGACGAACTGATTCCCTTCGACGCATCGTCCGTGAAGTCTTCGTCGTCGTCGAACTTTTATCGGCGCCCACGTCGCGGTCACAAGTGCGGGGAAAGAGCCCACTGCTTTCTCGCTAGCAAACCAACCAACAAAAACAGACAGACAAATCGGAGTCAGGAGGCAGTTGCCTGATTCCCACTCTGCAAACATGAGCTGTGAGTACAAAACGATCCGATCCGATCGGTTTTTCCTTTGCTGCAGGATCTGCGTTATGTATGGCCTCGTGCGTGTCAATTGAGACGCTCTTGAAGAAATGGGGAGTGCGGGTGATCGCGAGGCTGCGATAGCTCGCCAGGATACTGTCAAATCGCTGGTAGAGCTAGCCTTGGCCTTGCTGGGGGATGGTGCCTCCCTTTTCAACATCGTTGCGCTGTTACTGTATCATGGTCTGCAAGTTTCAGTCCTTGTTCGCGTCTCTTTTTATCTCCTACAGTTTAGATCTTGGGCTCGGCAATGACTGACACCCTGACTCTTCTACAGTCACGACTATGCTCCATAAGTTCCAGGGGCAGCCTGAGAGTTACGAGAAGAAGTACGGCTTATCCTCCCTCATCGTCTCATACGGTCCGCATACTTATCCCTATACAGAGCACTCTACCGCTTCGGGAGGACACTGGGCGCGGGTACATATGGCATTGTCCGTGAAGCAGACAGCAGTTCGGGAAAGGTGGCCATCAAGATCATCCTCAAGAAGAATGTGAAGGGCAATGAGCAAATGGTCTACGACGAACTGGAGATGTTGCAGGCGCTGGACCACCCACACATTGTCCACTTCGTCGACTGGTTCGAGTCGAGGGTGCGTCTCTCTCTACGTGGCGATGGATGTGAGAACAGAGCGATCACGACTGACCCTCAACAGGACAAATATTATATCGTCACCCAGCTGGCAACCGGAGGTGAACTGTTCGACAGAATCTGCGAATACGGTAAATTCACGGAGAAGGATGCTTCACAAACCATCAGACAGGTGCTAGACGCCGTCAACTATCTGCACGAGCGGAATATTGTCCACCGAGGTCCGTTCCCTACTCCGAAAAGCTATTGCACTACTTGCTAATGGTGAACACGGCAGACTTGAAACCGGAGAATCTCCTTTACCTCACATCAGCACCTGATTCCCCATTGGTGTTGGCTGACTTTGGTATCGCTAAGATGTTGGATAGCCCGGAGGAGGTGCTGACCAGCATGGCTGGATCATTCGGCTATGCTGCACCGGAGGTTATGATGAAGCAGGGCCACGGAAAGGCAGTGGACATGTGGTCCCTGGGCGTCATCACCTATACTCTGCTCTGCGGTTACTCGCCCTTCCGGTCAGAGAACCTGACGGACTTGATCGAAGAGTGTCGGAGTGGACGCATTATTTTCCATGATCGCTATTGGCGCGACGTCTCTCAGGATGCCAAGGACTTTATTCTGACTCTGTTGCAGCCTGATCAGACCAAGCGTCCCACGTCCGAGGAGGCTCTTCGACACCCCTGGCTCAAGGGAGAGACCGCCAGTGACCACAACCTGTTGCCTGAGATCAAGGCCTACATGGCTAAGGCCCGACTGAGGCGCGGTATTGAGATCATCAAGCTTGCAAACCGTATCGAGGCCCTCAAGATGCAGGAAGACGATGAGGACATCCCTAACCCCGGCGAAGTGTCAGGCGAGAAGGGCCACTCCCGCAAGGCCTCCGGAACCACCGCCTTCCCGCGCTTGCCGGGCTCTGAGAAAGAGCTAACCGTCGCGGAGACGGAGACGTCGGAAGGGACCACGAAGAAGCGAAGTTTGAGCCATATCGCTCGTGGTGCGATCTTCCGGGAGGTGGTTCTTGCGAAGGTCCGCGAGATGAAGGACCAGGAAGAGCGCGAGAAGGTGGAACGGGAGGCCCTGGAGAAGGCCAGCCATCAGACATAATCCCCTCGGATGCCTTCTTCCATCATCTCCGTCTCGACCTCAGCCCTCCCGAGCGTTGTCCCGATCCGCGTCGTTCGCAACTGCGACTTTCGGTTTCTTCAATTGCTTCATCCATGATTCCCCCTCTTCGCGTCCAAATGGGCGGTTCTTTCGATGCTCGTGGTATCTTTGTTCTCTGTGACCACTTTGGATTCTCTTTCTCCCTGCGAATGCGTGGGACATTTGTTGATATGCACTGGATCAGGTCTTGCTGTTGGATTATGCAGGCGCAGAAACGCGCTGCTGTGGTTTTGTTGTCATTGGATGCTGAGTAGTATAGAGTATATCATTTGCGACTCGCGCATGGCCTAAATTTACAACCCCATAACGTGCCTAAAAATAATAATAATCCTGAGCGGAGACTGCTCTGCTAAGTTAGTGCGTAGAAAGAAGCCTAGATAGTAGAAAATAGCTCTTTTCGAGTATAGACTCGATATTGGTGGCGATCGGGCCCAACGTGGGGGACCCGTCACGCTAGGCCGCCGGTTGATCGCGGCAGGTGACAAGAGCGCGATGACTGTCAGGGCCAGCAACCACCATCACTCGCTCTCTCGTGAGCCTCTCGGCGTAAATATATTTCTACTACCTTCTGCTCCATTATTCGGATCTGACTGCTACACTCTTTACCCCCTCTTTGCCCGCCCTGATACCCTCTCCGTATTTTTCGATCCGCGACCCCGCCTATCGGGACACAACGTCATAGATCTCGTTCCATAGCCGCTCAAGAAACCCACCGTGTTGTACTCTTGTCATAGCTCGAGGACGAAGCAGTTAGGCTTAGGCTCCTATATTCTCTGCTGCGTGAACCTAGTTCTCTAGAAGTGCTTTCCCGCCGGCACAATGTTTGCCAGTAAACGTCTGAGCAAGGCAAGCCACAACACCCGCTTTCCCCGCACGGTCAGTTGATTCTCTCTTTGCTAACGCAGAATACACAGGAGCTGGCTAAGGTACGTACCTAGACTTCTACTCTTCCTTATATCTCTATCGCCAGTTGCCTCGTATCATCTTTCCGTCTTACCTACATTCCGGAGACCAATGCGTATTCTGAAACGGCAAAGGGACCGTTGCTAAATCGATGAGCAGATGCACGGCCACCTACCGCCGGGGATCGAGATTGCCAAAGCAGAGAACCTCGAAGAATGGCAGATGGATATCAAAGTTCTGGATGACAACCCTCTCTACAAGGATCAGACCTACCGGTTGAAGTTTACCTTCAGTTCCAAGTACCCCATAGGTACGTGGAAATCTGGGCATTCCCCATCCTGCCCAGTTTTCTATTACTTCTATACATTAGCTATCTCATGACGTGCTACCGTTACTAACAATACTGTAGAGCCACCGGAAGTCCAATTTATCGAACTCCAACCCAGTTCCGGAACGCCGCGGCCTATTCCCATCCATCCGCATATCTACAGCAACGGAATCATCTGTCTCGATCTGCTGAGTTCTGTGGGCTGGTCTCCAGTGCAGACAGTAGAGAGTGTCTGCATGAGCATACAGAGCATGTTGACCGCAAACACACGGAACGAGCGACCACCGGACAACAATGACTTCGTGTCCTACAATCGCCGAAGGCCTCGCGATATAAATTTCTACTATCATGACGACAATGTTTGATGTCCTGTTATGCTTTGATGCGTCTTTCATATTTATACATTCAATGACGAGTACGATGGGTTTTGGATGATCTTCTCTCATGCACCTGCGGCAGAATTCGTTTCGGTCGTTCCGTGCCCACTACATTTGCATCGGCGCTAGACTGGGTTCGTTCGATTGGCTCTGGTGGACAGCCTTTGCTGATTTCTATATCTGCACTTTCGGACTGTTTGCATGTTCCTGTTTCCCAGACTGTTTTCCCTAGCATGGCCTTTTTCCTCATTCCCAAGAGATGATATGAATTATATGAATTCACATATTCCCGATATGGATGGCAAAGTCCGCTCGATCCCCGTAATCATTCATGCTCTAGCCGACTACAAGTCCACGATGAATGGGCGGCCCTAGATGAATACATCTCCCCCGCTTCTGACAGTATTTAAGACACTAGAGAAGAGCCCCCGATCCCAAGACTTTCCTTTCCAATACTCTCCTCAATATATCTGGATCTCAACCCTGCATCATGTTACCCGCCCATATATATAGACATTATAATGTTCTACATTCCTCCATACACTTTGATTGGACTCGAGCTTCTACCTCCTTAAACTGAGGAACTCGGGCGTTTTCCCCATTACTCGTTCAACTACCATTCGTTACCGAAAACCGGATCATCTGCCGGAGCTTCTCGAGAGAGCAGATAACGTATTTTTGCTAGATTCTCAAATTGTTTTTATGTATCACGGAGTAGACTATTGTCATTCACCACAACCCAAAAGCAACTTATTATATCTAGATGCAGGACGGGGGGGGAAATCACGAGTTTGTGTTCATGGAAAGACAAGCATTGATGTTTTTCATAAAATTGCCCTCGGATGCTTATCTTTTATGTTTGCCCTGCGTTACCAGCTGATCTACCATGAAGGTAAAGACTCACTGGACAACAAATGTTTCTGAAAATGTGGACACGCTTGATATCCTAGATTGCTGCTATACTGGGCAGGTGACCCACGGTACTTAATGGTGCGTGGCAGGCATCGCAAATCCTCGTTGCATGCGACGCCAATCAGAACTACTCGTGCGCGCACAGGAAGTCTCCGAATTGCCCCGTGCTAATTGTTATTCTAAGCGGTGGTATAGAAACCACTTGGTGCATGCAGTGGGGTTTGTATATCGGTGGTTGTTATCCGCGAATGGGTATGAAAGTGATTATAGTATGCGTCTTGTTCAATAAGATCCTCACTCATGGAGCGGATGTTTGAGCTGAGAGAACTATGTAAGTATGTATATCCCGCGATGTGGTTAGGAGGGTGAATAAGTGCTCGTGCTGATTCGTTTGTTTGAACAGAAAGATTCTGCGGAGCGTAAAGAGCGCTTCACCAACCAAGAGAAATTTCGGAAATGGACGCATCTCATTGTTTGTCTCTCGAGTACGTGGCGCGATGAAAAGCTTCTCAACGTACAGAAACATGGATGAAACGGATTCATGCCTATGTCCGCACTGCCTAGGTATGCCAGAGCAGAACTCTAACGAGTTGAGAGAGGTTTTTAATAACCTTGAAGGCTCGAGAATGGAGGAGATTGTCCGCCAGCGGTTTATATACTGAATGCGATACGCTCGGGGAATTAATGGTCGAACAATCTATGGAGCGTTTCCACAATCACCTTAAGGGACATAGATCCCACCGCTCCTGTGAAAACCTCCTGCTGCGGCTACACCCCTTGGAGTCGCCAGAGAGTAAGTGCTGTTTGTCACCTTTTGTTTTGTCAAACTTGATCCTTCACTTCTCAAGTACTTACTGGTACTAATTGATCATTTCTAGGGCCAACTGGCCGCCAAGTGCCTTCGGGGGAAAAAAAATTGCTGCATCTAGTCTCATCTCGTTCCTAACGTCAGAGACCTGGATGTCGTTCGATGCCCCCGGTTGATATCATTCTCCATCTTTGACTGCTGTTATAGTTTTCTGGCTACCAGAACCCCTGAACTCGAAAGCAGAAATCTCGCATATAAACATGGCCAAGTGCCTATGGATGCAATCTTTGGGAACAATCCTCCCCTGGACTCTTTTCAGAGAAGAACGGCTTAATAATTAGCACTGTCATCGAGAAAGTGTTTGATTTGACACAGGCGTCTTGGTCATTGTTCCAGATTTGCCAGAGAGGTCAATGTAGAACGTGTTGATGCACTGGCTGAATGAGGACATCAGCGATTTCAAGATCCGAATCATTGATGGAGAATGGTCCAAACTAGACCACGGCGTTGAGAAAGACAGCGAAATTCTGACTGCTGGCGAGATAGAGATCCCACTCCTCAGAAGTACATACTTCCCAGCGTCCAACTCTGCCGAAACCACCCCGCTCCTTTCTCCCTCACTATCCAATACAATGTCAGTCAGAGCGCCTCTGGTCCAGGGTGGCCATATTCGCGATCCGTTGCGCGTCCCGGAGGCTTTCATCTCCAGAACCCTCCCTGAGGTTTACAACAATACTATCGTGGTCGCTGCTACCCATCCCGCCCTCAACAGCACGCATGCCACATCTGACGGTTGGTTCCTCTCGGATTTTTATGCCTTCAACTACCTTCTGAAAGGCATGGGCCATCCTGGAGACAAGGATCAGAATGTGTCAGGCCAGGTTTTGCATGCATACCAGATTCCTTCATCTGGATATGGATAGCGACCACCACTCCGCGTGGTAATCTTGCTTCCTATCTAATTGTACTCGACGAGTCCTGCCCCCCCCCCCCCCCCCCCCCCCCCCCCGGGTTGTCAGCTCTTGTCGCCGGATTTTGACAAATTCGAATGCGGATTTCCAAGCATACCTACAGAGGATTTCCGGCAGGCCACAGGCCACGATCCTCAGGCAATGGCGCCAAGACACTTTGTTCAAGGTGCCATTGGAATTGTTCCAACATCTGACACTGTCGCTGAGTGAGAGCGTCAGCAATCATGGTTTGACAATCTGGCCTAAGTATCACCGGGAGGATGTGCCAGCTGCTTGTGCGGTACTGCAAATTGCTAACCCCGACGTTCCCAAGCTTTCTGGACTGCGAGTGAGCATTCGACTGCATTTTCGGATAAGTTATTTACAGATTCGCTGGCACCGTTCCTTTCTCTTTTTAGCCGCAGAGTGGGATTCTCTCCGTATCCACTGAACTGGTCTCGCTTCGTCATTACCAGATTTGGAAGGATGGTACTTGGATTTCGTTCAGACTGCTGCAGCCGATTCATTAGCAACAATGCTGGGCTAAGTAGGTTAGTGTAGTAGTTGAGTTCTGTCTACTAGCTGGGCTAACTGTTTTTATAACAGCCATCGACTTTTTCTATCCGGTATACGCAGGCTCTAGCAAGGAGCCCGATTCCATGATATAACCTGATTACAAGGTATTACAGATTTCATCCCACTGCAGGTACTGTGCAGGTCCCGCGCACACAGAGAAGAAATATATGGATATCAGCAAGCTACCTTCCAGTGGAAAGAACCGAGTAGGTTATACACCTGAGCTTCAGGAGAAGAATCAGCTAGTATTATGTGAGCGCTATCATCGTTCTGACGAAGCATCAATGAGATACGATCTTTCGCAGTTGGAGTGGCTGCGTATCTAAGAACATAGAAAACTCCGGCAACAAACTTGTGCTTCTCGAGAAGGACACAAGTGGAAACGATATCTGATCGACTTCTGCAGATAACTGCTGCGGTGCTCTGTTTACTTTTACAGAAACTGCATAATCCGGGACTGGGAATGCTTCCTTCGAACTTGGGAGGGCCGGTATCAATGTTACTCGGGCCTTACATACCCTGGGTTCATCTTCTGCCTTCTCCTTCTCCTCGTCGTGTTCCTATACTTCTCTTTACTCCTTTTAGGAATACACAACTTCGGGGGCTTGTTCCTATACTGCTCTCTTCTATTGGCTATTCTTGTTAGCCCGTCTCACCAGAACGAGTTTTCACCTGCCAGTTTCTCTCCCCGTCTGACAATCTGAATACGCGATATGGCTTCCGTTACGTCCGGTATACCGCTAACCATATCTTCTTAATTTTTATTGAATTAAAAACTGGAATAAAAAGTGCTTTCAAAAGGATACTCTCAGGGACTGGTACCTTGTCGCTTCTGACTTTTTATATAATTATCTTATTAGCTTATTCGATATCCGAGCAGATGATGTCGACGCCGAAGTCAGCGGAGCAGCTGACGGTCTCGAAACAAGAGACAAGAAAGAGCATTTCGAGCTCTGAGAGCTCTGGTCCCCCCTCTTCCAATGATGGTTCTCCTCAGAATCCTATCGTCGAGTACTTCCGCCACACCAAGGAGAGTACCCAAGACCGAGTCTACCAGGCGCGCCGAGTCCGTACCATCGGCCGCAACTGGCTAAAGACCGTACCTATGTATCGAAGCATATATATTAATACTGTTAATAGGGTCCCGTTATAAACCAGGCAAGCTCTCGTCTCGCAGGACGGCGCCGAAATATACTTGTCTATTTTCAAGTACGGCTGGGCATAAGAAAGGTATATCAATGGAAGTCCGAGACTGAGGGCTGGCCATGCCAAGATGAACAGATTTGGTCCTTACAGACTTGGCGATTGTGCCGCGATGATTGAATTTGTAAAGATCATCATCGCTATAATGCTGTACGTCCTGCCGAAAAGAGGGAGGGAGGAGGGGTCCTCCGCCTGGGGCTGGTGGTAGTGGGATCGCGGTAGGAAACGTTCTTCCTCGGCCACCTCCTCTTTGACTTCGTGCCCTGGTATCTGGTAAGTGCCCCCTCCCTTCCATGACGTGCCATGGCCCTTGGCCAACAAGTGTGTAGCCTCTGCTTGTGGTCCCGTGCCTCTAAAACAAAAATACAACGACACCAACTCCTCCTGCGTGATGCCTCCAAAACATGTGATGAGCGGAGCTGGTAAGTCCCCTTCCTATCCGAGTCGAGGAGGTTCTAGCTAACGCTCAGAAGTGGCTCCTCCATCAACCCCGGCCGCACGCATCCGTCCCCCCCCCCCCCTGCGGGCAGTCCAGAAGGTAAGTGATCCTTTCCCGTCGAGTTGTCCATTACTGATATGGTGAATGTAGCTCCGATTATCGTGCCCAGTGAGACGGGTTCTGACTCCTCCGACGTCTCCGAACTGCTTCGGCAGTTGCGCGGGCTCCTGTTGGAGTTCCGGTTCGGTTCAGACTTGAGCCGGTTCACGCTCTATCGGACAATTGCTCTTCTTCGTGGATAGGCTTCGACTGGGTCCTTGATGACAATTAGGCTGTAAGCCGAACGCTTCAAGGTGTCCCAGAAGGGCTAAACTGCAACTATCAATTGGCAACACGCGTTCCGAGTGTCGTTGCGAAACATGATACTCCGAGTCGTACCCAGACGACGGCGGGGTCTACTTTCCTCTCGCTGATGGGCTGGGTTAAGATATATAGGTCTCTCACGTGGCTCCTAAATCCTTGACTGGAGAAATACATCGTTGGCCCGATGTCAACCTTCCAGAGGTCAGCAAGGGAGTGAGCCTACTTCTTGTCAATCGACGAGAAATATCTCTCCTGGACCAAGGGCATTGCCGAATAGGCTCCCATATGCAGGAACTCTGCAAAATGTCTACGTGCACATGTCCGCCTAGGCTACTCAAATGAGTTATTCAGATCGCCGTTCGGCCAGTGGGCGAATTCGGAACTCTCTATGTTTGGCCAGGGATCTGTGCGAACACTTGGGTTGATGAGAGACGATGATGAAAATCGAACACTGCAGAAACAGAAAGCCTACATCTATCAGAGATGCAATAATCCTAACACTCTTACAACCGTTTGGTCTATCCCAGAACTTTTCACAGATTCACCAATTGTTCGCCTTTTGCGGGAAGTTCTGTACCGCGACTACTTGTATATCTCCTTTTCGAATGCTCCAGTCCGTGCTCGCCGATTGCTTTGGGGCATCTCTGATCGGATGACATTCGGATTTAAATATTGGTTGGCTTTTTCTGTTTATTTTCAATATTACCTTATATGTCTTACCAATATGTTACCTCCAAGGTGCCCGGAGGGATGACGGCCCCTGAGTTAAACTGGGCGAGCATAGTAAACGCTACCGTTGAGATGCTACAGACCCCAGGAAGAATTATGATTAGTTTCTTGATCAGTCGTTGAACTCCTGCCAGTCATCTTTCAACCTATATAAGCTCGTTCTCAGTGACTGAACTGAGATGAACACTAACATTATCAAGGTGCATTACAACCCCAATAACAAGACCGGACAACCTAAATCAGCAGAGCATGGAAAGCCATATGGCTACTGGGTTTGGACTCCGTTGGTGATGCTCAAGCCATGCTCGGACGGTCTCTTGTGGTTAACCGCAAATATAGAAAGCTCGGTCTCCTTATCGAGGGTCTTTTCCACAGACTCTACGGGTCCTTATTGACTCTAGAAAAGAGCCAGTTTTGTTAGTTCCGCATATAATCGACCGGTGCAGTCTCTCGTCGTAGAGAGTGGATGGAGTGAATCTTTGTCCCGACCCAGGGAGGACATGAATCTCTGGCTGATCCGTGGCCAGTGACAACTTAAAGCGACAATTATACTCAACTGGCAGCTAGCCACAAATTCCAACACAGTTTGAGGTGTCGAGCTGTACACCTTTGATAGCAATAGAATGCCTCATTTACGACAAAACGTCATCATCTTCCCAGTGGTAAACATGAGAGTGCGCGGGGACTTAAGAGAAGTTCACGAAGAATCTAGGGTCAAACACCTAGGCGAAGGTCTTCGATAGACCTAAGGGGAACCGACGATGAAACTGAAGAAGAGTGCAGCTATTACTATATAATCTCATCAGCCATTATCAATGATATAGAAGGAACATCAATAACCCATGCAATGGCATTTCCTTGCGGGACAATTTACAGCCATGGAGGATTTATGTAGTGGTACCTCAAGGGGCTATGGATTGATGATCAGAACCGCGTTGAAAGAGCAGCCACGAACGCTGTAAAGCCAACCGGGCTATCTTGACCGATGTACGTGTTGGAGCTCCGTCCCCTCTCCCTTCAAATCTAAACAAGCTAACAGTATCAAGCTTCGGGCTTTTCAATCATTACCAGCCAGTACGGTTACACGCGCTACGACCAGCGCCTCCGACAATACTCTCCGGTTTGATCTGCAAGCCGTACTCGATGCTGAGGCGCAGGCTCGCCAGGAAGTAGCGACAGTTTGGAACTAGCAGAGATTGATTTGAGCCACCTCCTGGGGGCTCCCATCTCGTAAAGACTACTATAGTATGCGAGAATGGATTTGGCATCAAATTTTCTACTCTGCTAGATTCTGGAGCAAACGGACTCTGTTTTATCAACCGCTCCCTGGTCCCTTCAATCACACGGTTCCTAGGTACGTCCCTAGAACCTATGAAACACCCCATGTTTATCAACGGTTACGACAACGGAACTCGGGAAGAGATCACCCATATACTGGTAGCCCACCTCAAGATCGATGGACGACGCTGTCAGGACCTCCCCACTATCGTCGCCAACCTAGGGCACTACGATTTAATGCTCGGAAGGAAGTGGTTGGGGTGAAGGCGAGCCGCTACATTGGTCTCTCTTTGTCGCTCATGAAGGTCAACCTGGTTCGGTGTACCAGGTTAAGGGAGACGCGGAATGCATGATATACTATCCTGCAACCCGTTTGATAGATATGCTCAGCTACACCTCACCTGCAAGCTCTCTTTGCATTATTTGAGTCCTTGTATCTGTTGGGTTTACAATCTTCACAGTGGAATCTCCCAGCTCATTATTACTAGGTCCTTTGTTCAATTGGAGGGTCAATATGGGAGTAGCACCTTTAAATCCTGCGTTAAAGCACAGATATAGCTATTTTCCTAGGCACCTCAACATAACTTCCACTCGTACCCTCCTATTTTGATGTCACTGGGTGAGAGAGCTTATATATATATATATATTTTGTTTTTCCTTTTTATTCTGACCCTCTTATACTTTCACCATTGAGGCAGACAGATCAATTATTTTGTCACATACAGGCAGCAGACGGAGCCGCGGCGCAAGACGAAGGAACCGTGGTAGGGGCAGTGACCATGCCCCATCATTTTTGTCTTTTAGCAAGCTAAAGTCTCCAGCACGAGAGAGCTACCTCCAGATAGTCACAGCAGACATGGCGGAATCCACGAGACAAGACGACCTCAAGGAAAAGAACAGGGCCCTTCAGAAGGACTTCGCCAACCGGACCAGAGAGCCGAGACGTACGCCAGTTCCGATACCACACGATCTCTCATGGCTGTTAGCAGCAATATCTAAACTCGAGAAGAAAGACGGCCTACAGGTGCAAGCTCCCCTGTCTACCCAGAATGAACATCGAATCCCTGGGTTCTCGCCAACAGCGCACCCTCGTCGGCTGACCGAAGTTCTCGACTCGCTAGCAACCCTTTTGGTGTCACAACCGAAGCATGAGGTTTTTGCCATCGGTTTACGACCCAGAGGAAGTGACCAGAAGCTTGAGTTATTCCTGTCTGGTAATACGCAAATACAGAGCACCACACGCAAGCATCTGAGAGACATCTGGGATTTCATGAAGAGATTATCGGACTGCTATTATGCTGTTTATAGAGGCGATCCGACTGATTGCTCACCTAGAAATCCTACTAATGATCCTGTGTTTCGCGAAACAGAAGCTCTGTTCGCTCGCCATTGCTTACGATTCACTTGGCGGCGGCTCCAACACATATTCAATTTGAAGTTCAACGACCTCAGGGGGATTTCTCCCGCCACGGTACCACCGGGACACCCTTTTCATTCTGTCCGACGTGCGATTATTCGTGTCGTGGGTGTCTTCTTGCGGGAACAGAATCCCGCATACGGAATGCCAGCAGATGACGACAGGGACGGTTGGCGTATGCTTCGCATATGTCTGCTTGATGCTCGTAATGCAATCCGGAAATTCCTCGATGAAAGTGGTTTCCAGGGACTTCATATAAACATCGCTCTTCCCTTCGCGAAGCTGGAAGACTACCTTCGCAAAATCGCCTCTCACTATAATAGTTACGAGATCTTGGTCAAGGCCGCTGTTTCGCTAAGTTGTCGGCCTCTCTTCACGTTCACAACATCAGTCATGGACCTTCCTGAATCGTCTGCTAGCTTACCTCAGCGCCCCCAGAAACCTGAAGACTGGGAGGCCGTGTTGGAAGATGCCCTGGGATGGTACAATGAAGAGAATAAGCGCAACAATACTTTGACCCGAGTCATGAACATTGAGGTCATAGCCAAAGACACCGCTTTTATGGCCAAACAGGATATGTCGAGGACAGCTGTCGTCCATTGCGAAGTCAAGCTATTGGCCGCCATCGAAAGCGAGCAGAGAGAGAATCCTGGACTGCCTAAGGCATACACGTACATCGGGATGTCAAAACTGTCCTGTACCGGCTGCGATAGCTTCTTCCGTGCATTTAATACCGTTCATAATACGACTTGGACAACAAGAGGAAGCCATGGAAAGTCATATTACCCATGGATGTTCCCAGAAACGGTGCCGAAACGAGAGGATGTCCTCAAAGCCACGTACTACAACGTCGTCTCTCGGTGGGTCACATCATACAAGGGTTATGTTCCTCAGTTTGTGCCGAGGGCGCAATCAGCCCGCAGTACGGGGGTTCTCGGTGATCTGGATGATGAAATTGATGATGTTGTTAGTTATTTGAAGAACAGGTTGAAACCAGAAGATCTACGATAGATCGGCCTGTACCAGTGCATTTCCGGATGCTTTTCCTTTTCTGTCTTTTCTTTCCTTCTTTCCTCGTTTCCATCTCTTGCAATGGTTTACGCAACGCTATTCAGATTGTGGGAATTGGAAATCCTTAATCATAATATTTCTCAGAAGAGGTTTCGGTGGTTATCACATTAGAAAGTCTCCGCAGTTAATAGATTTTACTTCTTGCTACAAGCTTCCAATGTTGTAAAGAGAAAACCCGGGCAACATGGCCTTCATTTATCACTGTAAATTCATTCTTATTGACCCGGCTAAGGTACCAAAATTATCATATAAACTAGCCCTCATAGGGAATATCAAGATGACACTCCAATGTCGTGAGAGAGTGCTAAGACAACCTTAGATATTAGACTTTGGAGTGAAGAAATCATAGAAGTGCTGCCTATCGGGAACCGGATTCACCCCTGCCAGTCATGATGTAGTTAGTTCTCAAGTCTTGCCGTCATAACAAGCAAGGCCGCACTGTCTCTGTTGTGCTAAAAAACAGAAAGAAAGAAAAGAAAAGAAACACAGCAACTCCATGCGGACCAAAGACACAGTCAACAGCTATGGGGAGCAACATTAGAGAAGCAGAACTCAAAATCTCACCAACTGCTGAACGCATCACGGAGCTCCTCGCAGCGATTTCCAAGTTGCAGAATCATTACCATGAATTTTACCAAGGCCAGCTGGGTGTCCCCTCGTCTCTTCCAGGCGACTATCCTCACGCTACATCGACGATCCTCGATGCCCTTGCAGATCTGTCAGTATCACAGGGACGGCCCGATTCAATCGCGCTCGCACTCAGAATAAATCGAAACACGCAGTCCGTCGACATTATTGCCTCCAAAAACCAAGATGTACCACCAGATGCGGTCGTGCATTTACATCAGATATGGTATTTCCTGAGACGGCTTTCGAATCGCTACTGGACAATCCACCCGCATGGTACGGGAGAGACCATAGGTGATCGGGAATTTCGAGATGTCTCCCTTCAATTTGCCGATAACTGCGTCAAGTTCTCTTCTAAAAGGTTGAAAGAGATCATCAATTCGAGGTTCTTGGACGTAATCGACGTCTCAGCAGATATTCTGGACCCCGATCACGCCTTCTATGGCTTCCGAGACAGTATCCGCGCAGTTCAACACATGTTATCTCGGGACGAAAATACATTTCATGATGAAGATTGGAGATTGCTTTTCTTCTGTCTTCGAGAAGTTGAAAAAGCAACAGACCGGCTGTACAAGTCAGATGGGCTGCTACAAAACCACCGTAAGCTACGGTCATTAGTGTATACGGGATGGCTGAGCAGGGTCACTTCTGTATGGACAAGCTACGATAACCTGATGAAAGCCACTGTCTCGCCTGTGTTTCATGATTTATTCAGTCTCGAGCTGAACATCCACGCACTATTACCAGAGACAGGGAAGCTGTCGAGTGTTGCTCAAAGCGCGAAGCAATGGGAAGATGTTCTGGAAGCGGCTTTGGCGTATAACAATGAGTACGGCGATCCCAGATATACTCCGAGTGGCGTCCTAGATCTGAATAGGATAGAAGCGGATACTATATACATGGCCCAAGAAGGAGTTCCACGAGAGATCGTGGTCCACGCTGAGACAAAGCTGTTAGCAGCGATAGAGAAGACCCAACAGGAGCAACCAGAATTACCCAAAGCATTCGCCTATATTAGTACCACAGAGTTTCCTTGTCATGGATGTGATTGTTTTTCGAGGGCCTTCAATATAACCCACGGGACGTCCTGGAAGACCAAGCGAGGTTATGGCGCTGCATGTCCGTCATGGATGTTTCCTTCCGTGCTGTCAACGAGAGATGATGTTCTCAAGGCCACATACAATATGATCGCTACTGATTGGGCTGCATATTACAGAGGATATCTTCCCAGGCCCGCGTCATCATATTCCGACTCTCCGCCACAGCCACCACGTGGAGGGGATGTTCTTGACTTCTATGAGGAGGAGGCTGCAGATATTATGGCGAAGATGACAGAACTGAGAAGGGACATGGAAAATTAGGTAAATCTTCACCATGTACTAAGCGGCAATGTCTCCGGGGGTGCAGGTTTTTAATATTGAGGACTTTCTGTTAAGGGTTTTTAAGGGTTTTCAAAGGTTACACAGGTGTGGTAGTTGATATGTCAGCTAGGGGTGGGTTATCGCAGAGCAGAAACCAATTTCCTTTCTTTTTCCAGAAAACTTACGCCAAAATAAAATCTTGTCGCATAAAAGCTCGTACCGTACATTGTTAAGGTACCTCATTTTTGACTTTCGGAGTATATCCGAATCACCACTTCCACCCCGCAGAAACACTAAGTAACTAGTTCCCCCAGCATACGACTGACTCAGCGCTGGCTTCTGTTTGAATTGTGAGAGGGTTCTATGCGAGAGAAATCAAAATATCCACTATTATCACTTCAAAGGACCCCTTTATATAAGCATCGATGGAATCGCAAACTGACAATAAACTATACGTTAGCGCACCAGATGCTACGGAATTCGTGCGCTCAGTCCTCATTGGCAACGGTGTCCCTCCTAGAAATGCAAGTATTGTAGCCGATTGTCTGGTTCAAGCGGATCTTCGTGGCGTCGATACCCATGGCATCAATCGCATCCCCTCATACATGGCACGGATTCGAGAAGGAGTCTTGGATGCCAAAGCAGATCCCTCACTGCACCAGATCACTCCTGTTGTGGCACAAGTGGATGGGAAGAATGGCTTCGGTTTTGTCGCAGCACATATGGGTATGGCGCGCGCGATCGAGATGGCAAAGGACTTCGGAATCGGCATGGTTTCGGTGAAACACTCGAATCATTTCGGGATGTCTGCGTGGGTTGTGCAACAGGCACTAGATGCGGGGATGATGAGTCTTGTCTTTACAAATTCTTCGCCGGCACTACCTGTCTGGGGTGGACGGTCGAAGCTAATGGGAGTATCGCCTATCGCGTGCGGTGCACCAGCAGGGAAGGAGAAGCCGTTTATTCTGGACATGGCACCTTCTGTCGCAGCGAGGGGCAAGATATACAAGGCAGCTCGTCGCGGGGAGAAGATCCCAACCGACTGGGCATTGGACGGCGAAGGAAAGCAAACGGATGATCCGAATAAAGCTCTTGAGGGGGTCATGCTTCCAATGGGTGGGCCGAAGGGCTCTGCGCTTGCGATCATGATGGATGTTTTCTCTGGCGTGTTGTCTGGCTCGGCGTTTGCAGGACATGTCACTAATCCATATGATCCATCAAAACCAGCAGATGTAGGCCATTTTATGGTCGCAATCAAACCAGATCTATTCATGAGCCTGGAAGACTTCAAGGAGAGAATGGATTATCTGTACAGAAGGGTTGTGGAATCGGACAAAATGGCTGGGGTTGATCGGATATATTACCCGGGTGAGATTGAGCAGCTAACGAGGGATCAGAGACTGGAAACGGGGATTCCGTATGTGCAGGCGGAAATTGATGCATTGAATAGAGAAGCAGAACGAGTTGGTGCGGAGAATATTAACATTTTGAAAAAGTGAGGTTGCTTTTTAGTGCTGTGTATGTCGTTTCTGTATGCTCGGTGATTCCTTTTATAGGTGGACAATCTCGTGGATAGACGATGTTTCTAATTTCATGCGTGGAATCCTTCTCGGCGATACTTGGGTCCAAATAGATGTCATACAATAAAATCATGAAGTATCCTGCTAAATCTCTTTCTAGCATATTCCACCTTAACCCTCCTTGTAAACTCTCAATACTAATAAATCAGCTCCACAACCAAAGGTATACCGCCATGGCGGAGACTAGACCGTAACCTGAGTCCTCAACCATAAAACCAATATTGCGCGGCATACTGGACCTCGATGCCTGATGCTTGTCCCTCACAAGTAGCGGGAGACGAGCCCCCGGCAGTGACAACGCGGTAAACTTCCTATTAGAAAGCATAATCAGCATTGCATCTTCATACGCCATCGCATGGGCACTTACTTTGATTCCTACGCCGTCCTTTGCTATAAGTTGCAGCCAGGCCACATCCGGAGTGGAAACATCATTCACAGCAGCAGGAGACGGAGCCGGTGCATTAACACTAGCGTTCTTTTGTGCCGCTGCCCAGTCCTTCAGTCCACTGATCCTAAAGTCAAAGAAGGGTGTCGTTGGATCTGTGAAGTAATGCTTTCCAATCGCAAGATTTCCACCGTGGCCATGTGCTGCCGGAGGCGTCCTCAGTGCCCCAACAGCTGAGGTTAAATTATCAAGATGTATCTGTTCGAGAAGAGGTGGAACCTGGTCGAGTAGTTTCGGAAATGAAGAAGTGATCCATGATGCGTCGAATAATGTGGCGACTGCTCCGACGGCTACTGGTACAGTAGAAGCGTCAGAGGATGCGCATGTATAGTTCTGGGTGCCGCGGCCCAGAGTAACGTATTTCAGCCTCAAGTCTGCAGATGGAGGAGGTAATTGAGGTTTTGTCTCGTCGAGTGACGGAGACGCGGTGGTTGTTCTAATCGTGCATTCGGCGAATGGGTTACTACCAGTCGAGGAGGTATCAGAGTCCCAGATGGCTGCGGTCAACGGGACGGCGCCAACCGCTGCGAGTAACAATTGGAGAGATAGGAATAATCCTGCGAATGAGTACATCACGGGCTCTAGCTGATTGGGACGGGTTGTTCGATATTGTCACAATATAGAAGACACGAATAAAAGATAACAGCGGTATATATATATGCTGTTTGACGATGCCTGAGTATGATGGGACAATGCTTAGAGCAAAAACGACGATAGGAAGGAGGCCCTATTTATCTTCAATACCTTGAAAATGGCCCCCATGATTGCAAGTTTAAGGCTGGATTCAATGCTATGTTTGGTATATCATACCAACATCAGAATCTCGCATCATAGAGTGTCCATGTCCAATTGCGCCTCTTTCCAACGCATACCGGAGAGAAGCTCATGTTGGATTATTGCGGCGCTGACCACAATACATGACCAAAAACAGGCCGCAGAGTCACAAACACAGCCTTATGTTGGGTCTAGTTCCGTAGGTCGCCCTTCCTATGGGTTTCCGCGAGCATGTCTTGGACTTAGCCTATAAGAGCATCATCTGTGAATAACTCTGTTGAGGGACCAGCAATTGAGCTGCACCCTAGGACTGAATAGTTGAGTGAGGAGAAACAAAAATAGCAGTAATGCTGGAGAGCTAAAGCTGGTAGCAGTCCGTCGGCCAACCGGGGCCTGCCGAGCAAAGCTTCTCCCGGCGCTTAGAAGAAGATTATGTATGGCCAGTTTATAATTCTGGGGTGGCTTGTCTGCCGTGACTGGGAGAAAACAAAGAATTAGCGTAGAATTGCAGTTGGTCATCGCATACGCGCTTGTTCGTCGAATATGTACGGCGTAGTACTTCTGACGCTGCACTGCCACATGGTGACGGGTTGAAACGAGCAAAAAAAAAAAAAAATAAAAAAATAAAAAAATAAAAAAAAAAATCCATACGTCTCGGATATGCACGCTTTCTAACATTTCCAGATTAGATGAATGGCCTCAATGTCCGCACACAGTAGCATAGAGATTAGGAAGAGCACTTCAATAGATAACGTTAGCATCGTCATGACCAACCAGTCGCGAAGGCGCCGCATGGGATGTCAACGTTGATCGCGTTGGTTAAACATCCAATTCTGTAACTCCAAATCACTTCTTAGATTTATGACCGGAAATGACTCCCCGAATAATCGAGAAGAGGAAATAATAATAGATGAGGAAGATGAGGGTGCATATCACGCGACTTTCTGCCTGGGGCATCAATACTGCCGTGTGGTTCAATATCACGTGATGAACTCGTGCTTAGTCATCATGAGGCTGAAGCTGATTTGCCTCTCCGTTTGCGACGACGACTTTTCGCCATCAACCGTGAGATCAACCTCGACTCAAAGCCATCGCCGCATCGTACTCGCTGCGGTTTGCGATCCGAATGTAGCTATATCAACAGCTTCCATCAGATTCTGCGCGCTTCACTTCGTGTTTGTCTTTATCGCTGTCCTTCCCTCCCCCTCATCACAATGTCTGACGGTAAGTCAGCGCCATCTTCCCCTCACGCGCAGTCGCTGATGACTATCGCAGCCGACATTGAAGCAGTCAGACGGCTGCAAGCGGAGCGTAATGCTGCCGCAGCTGCTAAGAAAGGTTCTAAGACCTTTGATCCGTCCAGTCAGCGAACTGACGTCTCGACCAAGGCCTCCCTGACTGAATCGTTTGATACAACCCTCTACGACCGTGATGGTCCCGATAAGTATGCAGGCTATAACACATCAATCCCTGTCGATGGGGAGGATGAAGATATGCCCGATGCTGACCAAGGGCATCGCTTGGTTGGGCAGTATACCGCGACGAGGGACCAGATAGATGAAATGGCGCACGGAAATGGTGTTGAGGAAGATGACATACTTCTGGGGCGTGAGAAATCTGCCCGGATTGCAGACCGTGAGACTGATTACCAGAAGCGGCGCTTCAATCGGGGCCCTCTCACGCCGACCAGAGCCGATCCTTTCGCTGCGAACACCCATGCGAACGTCGAGACTGACGGCCAGACCTATAGAGAGGTTATGGCTCTCCGTGAGCTGGAAAAGGAGGAGGAACGCGTTCAAAAGCTCATCGCTGAAAGACGGGCGAACGGTGAAAATGTGGTTGAGGAACACCAGGCCACTCTGAAGATCGAAGAGAGTGATAAGGAGAACCGCGATGCTGGCTCTACAGTCTCTGTTGCAACCACTCGGAAGAGGAAGCAAAGGTGGGATGTATCCTCTGAGCCTACTGCTGCCCCAGAAACAGCCCAGCCTGCTGAAACAAAGCCCAAGAAGTCTCGCTGGGACCAGACCCCGGCTCCAGGAGCTCCCGAGGAACAACCCAAGCGGCGATCAAGATGGGACCAAGCTCCAGCAGCGCCGGCTCTAGGAGGCGCGACGCCTGTAGGAGCCGCTGGATTGGCAACTCCCATGCATCCTTCGCAGCCGGCACCCATGGCCTTCGGAACCGATATCTCCTCCCGCTACGCGCCTTTGTCAGATGAGGAACTTGACATGATGCTGCCCTCCGAGGGCTACAAGATCCTTGAGCCTCCCCCCGGATACGCACCCATCCGGACGCCCGCAAGGAAGCTCATGGCCACGCCCGCACCTATGCCCAGCGCCGCTGGATATGGTGGTTTTATGATGCAGGAGCCTGAAAGTGCTCGTGCTCTGGGGAAGCAGCTGCCCACCGATATCCCTGGTGTTGGTGATTTGCAGTTTTTCAAACCCGAAGACATGGCATATTTCGGCAAATTAGTCGACGGAGCCGACGAAAACACGATGTCCGTTGACGAACTGAAGGAGAGGAAGATCATGAGATTGCTATTGAAGGTGAAGAACGGTACTCCTCCGATGCGAAAGACCGCCTTGCGTCAGCTTACGGACAATGCACGACAATTCGGCGCTGGGCCGTTATTTAATCAAATTCTCCCTCTCCTCATGGAGAAGAGTTTGGAAGATCAAGAACGACATTTGCTCGTAAAGGTCATTGACCGTGTGCTCTACAAGCTCGATGATCTGGTTCGGCCTTATGTGCATAAGATTCTTGTCGTCATTGAGCCTCTGCTCATTGACCAAGACTATTATGCTAGAGTGGAAGGTCGCGAGATTATCTCTAATCTCAGTAAGGCTGCTGGTCTAGCTCACATGATCAGTACCATGCGCCCTGATATCGACCATGTTGACGAGTATGTGCGGAATACCACTGCTCGTGCCTTCGCGGTTGTTGCCTCTGCTCTTGGTATCCCAGCTCTTCTTCCATTTCTTCGGGCAGTGTGCCGCAGCAAGAAATCATGGCAAGCCCGTCATACAGGTGTCAAGATCGTGCAGCAGATTCCTATCCTGATGGGATGTGCTATTCTGCCCCATCTCAAGGGCCTGGTAGACTGTATCGCAGATAATCTCAGTGACGAGCAAGCGAAGGTGCGGACGGTGACTGCTCTGGCTATTGCCGCGTTGGCCGAAGCCGCCAATCCATACGGTATCGAAAGTTTCGATGAGATCCTGAACCCTCTTTGGACTGGCGCCAGGAAGCAGCGTGGTAAAGGTCTCGCTGCGTTCCTCAAGGCGGTTGGCTATATCATCCCTCTGATGGACGAGGAGTATGCCAACTATTATACCAGCCAGATCATGGAGATTCTCTTGCGGGAATTCTCTTCGCCTGATGAGGAAATGAAGAAGGTTGTTTTGAAAGTCGTCTCTCAGTGTGCCTCTACAGACGGTGTCACTGCAAGCTACTTGAAGGAGCATGTGCTCAATGACTTCTTCAAGAGCTTCTGGGTCAGACGTATGGCTTTGGATAAGAGAAACTACCGTCAGGTGGTCGAAACAACAGTTGATCTTGGACAGAAGGTCGGCGCCGGTGAGATCGTTGAGCGGATAGTCAACAACCTCAAAGATGAGAGCGAAGCCTACAGAAAGATGACCGTGGAGACCGTCGAGAAGGTTATTGCCTCTCTTGGGGCTGCGGACATCTCCGAACGACTGGAGGAAAGGCTGATCGACGGTGTTTTGTACGCTTTCCAAGAACAGAGCATTGAAGATATTGTTATCCTCAACGGTTTTGGCACAGTCGTCAATGCTCTGGGCACGCGGTGCAAACCTTACCTACCACAGATTGTGAGTACGATCCTGTGGAGACTGAACAACAAATCTGCGACTGTCAGACAACAGGCAGCAGATCTCATCTCTCGCATTGCCATGGTGATGAAGCAGTGCGGCGAAGATGCCCTTATGGGCAAGCTCGGTGTCGTGTTGTACGAGTATCTCGGTGAAGAGTACCCTGAAGTGCTGGGTTCCATTTTGGGTGCACTCCGCTCAATCGTCACGGTGGTCGGTATCAACCAGATGCAACCTCCTATTCGAGATCTGCTTCCTCGCCTTACGCCTATACTGCGTAACCGACACGAAAAAGTGCAGGAGAACACGATTGATCTCGTCGGACGTATTGCGGACCGCGGGCCGGAATCTGTCAATGCGCGAGAGTGGATGCGTATTTGCTTCGAACTTCTAGACATGTTGAAAGCTCACAAGAAGGGTATCCGTCGTGCTGCGAACAACACCTTTGGTTTCATCGCCAAGGCTATTGGTCCTCAGGATGTGCTCGCCACGCTGCTAAACAATCTTCGTGTGCAAGAACGTCAGTCCCGTGTCTGTACCGCTGTCGCTATCGGTATTGTGGCAGAAACTTGTGCCCCGTTCACAGTGCTGCCAGCTCTCATGAACGAGTACCGCGTCCCGGAGCTCAATGTCCAGAACGGTGTCCTGAAAGCCATGTCCTTCTTGTTCGAGTACATTGGAGAAATGGCTAAGGATTACGTTTACGCCGTTACTCCTCTCTTGGAGGATGCACTTATCGACCGAGACCAGGTTCACCGGCAAACTGCTGCCAGTGTTGTTAAGCACATTGCTCTTGGCGTTGTTGGTCTCGGCTGTGAAGACGCTATGGTCCATCTCCTGAACCTCCTATACCCTAATCTCTTTGAAACCAGTCCGCACGTCATCGACCGGATCATCGAGGCCATCGATGCTATACGAATGGCCGTTGGAACCGGTGTTGTCATGAACTATGTGTGGGCCGGACTATTCCATCCTGCTCGCAAGGTCCGCAACCCGTACTGGAGACTGTACAATGATGCATATGTCCAAGGCGCCGATGCAATGGTCCCATATTATCCGAACTTGGAGGAAGATGGCTTGGCCCGACCTGAATTGGCGATCGTACTCTGATGAAAGAATCACTTGCTGCTTGATGAACACTGCCTTGTTTTCCTTAAAATGCCATTATATTACCATGGGGCTTCCTTTCGATCGTGTCTTCTGAGGTTGTATTTCCTAATATTGAAGCGGGTTTTTCTCTTTCCAACGGGACGGATGCACTGGGCATGTTATTTAGGTACTTTGATACTTTGCAAGCAAAATAAGAGCGGATTAGCTTTGCTCTGAATGATATATCTTCGCAACCTTGCGAATCTGATTCTCTCTCTCCTTAGTAAGAATAGTTTCATTTGTATTAAACACTGATAGTGAGATGCAAGACTGAACCGAGCCATTTCGATGAGAATCCCCACATACATGCATTAGAAATAGCAATCAAGCATATGCCATGATAAAGCTGAACCAGGAATAACATCGCAACATCGCAGTAACCGCTGGCGAATGTGCATAAAAGCTATGTATATCTGAGACTCGTTAGAGATAAGCGGGAGTTCAATTTGTGTGAAATTCTACTGACTGGAATCAATATTGGAAGAAGGCAAAGCGTTCTGTCCTCTGAAATATTTGTTTCCGAACGCTCGGCACTTGAAATCTAAACCTTAACTACCTAGGTATTTTATTATTGTCGCGGTTATCTGAGCAGCCAAGCACGTGAATAGCCTTGTGAACCGAAGGAGTTACTCGACTTCTGAGTTGTCTATGAGCACTGTGAGAGGAAGAATCTTTAAGAATCCTCGCAAAGCGTTACGGATAGGCCAAGATGTTACTGAGCATTAAGATGTCATGCAGTTCAAGTATTCGATCATGGGCTGCTGCGATTTCCTTATGCTTATGTGTGATTAAGCGATACCAGAATGTCGACAGGCTTCACATGATCTGTTGGCAGTGTCGAACATGTTAAACATGGCTAGCTCTCCAATACCTAGCCACAATATCTTAGGATTTTCCTAAATTTCGGTGTCTTTCGCCCTTTGTCCGAATTTCGCGGATATGCTAAGCATATATTAGGCGTAGATAATAATCAAGTCTGCAGACCCAATCTAATAATTATGGCAAGGGACGGACAAACAGTTGAATTGGCAAATAGTTTCTCAGCTCCTTTAGTGACCCCGTTCTACCCCGCCCTTCGGTACCTAGGTAGACGATAGGGACCACTAGTGCAGTCCAAGGCTACCCGCACCAAGGCTACCTACCTATGGGCCCGGGGCCTGGACAGCGCTTCAATTATTAAGGTAGGACCGTAGGTAGATAGTCCGCAATGCGCTAGCCGACTGGCTTAACGCTGGAAACGTGCTGAGAGCTTCCGTCAGGGCCGACTATAAAGATAGGCCAAGATGTTACTGAGCATCAAGAAGTTATGGGCAATTCTGTATTCGATCAATCCTTCTAGTGTTAGTTATCTTCTTCTTGAATTCCTCCGGCTTACGTTATCTTTCTCATATTACTTGAGGACTCGTACTTAGTCCACCCAAGATAAAAGGGAATGGGCCTCTCTGCTGGGACCGCTATAAGCCTAATCAGCCTTATAGTGATGTGTGTTCCTGGACTGTGGTTTTTGATAAGAAACAGGCATGCCTTCCTCAGGACATGGAATCCACAATGTCAGAGGTTTCATTTTATTTTCTCTCGATTTTCCTGTGCCTGTTTACTTTCCTTCCTTCCGTGCTTGCATCGTTCTACCTCCCTGCAAGTTCGCACGGTCTTACTTATTTCTACCAGTACTACAACCGACGCTAATCTTTTCTCTCATACCACAGATGCCTATCAACGAGAAGACGAAGAACACAACGACTACGATGCTCCACGAAGCCACTTCCGTGATATCGAAAATAGAAACATCGTCCCGCGCATTCGTCCGGCTATTGGCGGACTAGCTGAACAGCGCCAACGAATCCTGCTCTCACTCGAATTACAATTCCAGAGTCTGACCACAGACTCTTCTCAGTTTCCTCACACCCACAACGTCTCTAGCAGAAGAACACCTCCTGAGATGATTGAAAACTCTTCTTCCGTTTGTGTAAGCGCATGATCGAAGCCATGTGCTACGAATAATTTGGTGGGTTTCATTACAGACGTGGAGCCTCCACCATGCTTTGGAAGGTACATATAAAAGGGGAGGAGCACAGCGATATGGTCACGATTCGTGAAAACACCAATGGCGCTCGTGGTGACTACATGTTTCGCGACAACTGTCCTCCTTCTCATCATCATCATCAGTTTGATCATAAACTGGGTTTTATGTTCGCATATACACGGCATCACAGCAGGATGTTCTCCAGTTGGAATACTTGGCTCATTCGTGGTTCTATAGAGCTTGAGGGCACGCACTGGCGAAGAGACATCTTTGGGGTACTGTATTCGATTCGAGACGCGTGTCGTCTATAATTCTTGTATCACATTATCCGAAATAGATCTTCTTTATTGTTGTCTAAATAGAGCGAAAGTTTTGGCCTAAGAACAAGGGTAAAAAATAAAATATCAATAGAAGTAATAGATCTTTCAACTCGATAAGCAAGAAAGACGAAATAATTCATGGCGACGGCTCGCGAATAGGAAAATAATATAGCCAGTCGACACGTTTCTACTGGCTTGAACCAGAGTTTGAGATAGCTTCGAGGCAGCCGGCTCCGACATGACATAGGTCTTGATTGCGTATTGGTCTGCTATCTTAAGCCCGCTTTGGACGAGCATGCTGTCAATGCCTCGCCGCCAGAATGTCGCGTCTGGCGTCAAGTAATCTAAGTCTAAAATGTAACTCAGTTAACCTACAAGAAACCAAGCGTCCAGTCAGTCGAGCATATTACTCAGAAACAGACCATCTCGCATGATTCGCGCATCAACCGCTCCTACGGGCGAGCTGTGATAACTCACCGTCGATCCGCCTTTGAGATCGATCGGACGGTCACTGTAGAAAGTTGAAACTGTTGATCGGATTAACCCCGTGGGGGATAGACAGATACACTTTACGTACCCCGCCTTCAAAACAAACGGAACATCTTCCGAGATCATCACAAACATAACTGGCCTTGAAAAGAATCATTATAAGGGCATCTAACATGCCTTCTTGAAGGACTCCTCCCTGTCCCATCTCCTCTTACTTTTATCTCCCACAACCATGTCCCTCCCCTCAGAGTGCACCATCCTCGTTATCGGCGGCGGTAACGCCGGTTTCTCAGCTGCATTGCGAGCAGCCGAATCAGGCGCCAAAGACGTCCTCATCATCGACAAATGTCCCGAAGAATGGGCTGGTGGAAACTCCTATTTCACAGCGGGTGCATACCGGACTGTTCACGATGGACTGGAGGATCTCCTTCCTATCGTGAACAATGTCGATCCAGCTACTGCGGAGAAGATCGACATGAGTCCCTATACTGCTGATGACTTTATGCATGATTTGATCCGAATCACGAGTGGGAGGTCGCATCCTGATCTGGCGAGGATTCTGGTTCGGGATTCGAATGAGACGATTAAGTGGTTGGCGACACAAGGGGTGCGGTTTCAGTTATCTTTCAATCGACAGGCTTATGAAGTTGATGGGAGGATTAAGTTCTGGGGAGGCATGTCGTTGAAGACGGAAGATGGAGGGAAGGGTCTTATTCAAGATTATCGCAGAGCTGCTGAGAAGTTGGGCGTTTCTGTTCACTTCTCGACGGCTGCGAAGAGCCTGGTCATGGATCCAGAGACTGGGCGCATTACCTCCGTTATTGTCGTTCATGAAGGTCGTGAGAGAGAGATTAAAGCGAAGGCTGTGATCCTCGCTGCGGGTGGATTTGAAGCTAATCCTCGTATGCGCGCGCAGTATTTGGGTCCCAATTGGGACATGGCCATGGTTCGCGGCACGCCATACAATACCGGTGAATGTCTCGAGATGGCCATCCGCGATGTATCTGCCAAACAAGCGGGGAATTGGTCTGGCTGCCACTCTGTCGCCTGGGACGCTAATGCTCCACCCAACTCGGGAGATCGTGAGGTTTCTAACCAATTCACTAAATCCGGCTATCCCCTCGGTATCATGGTCAATCGGGAGGGTGAACGATTCGTCGACGAAGGAGCCGATATGCGTAACTTCACATACGCCATCTTTGGCAAGGCCATCCTTCATCAACCTGGCCATATCGCATTTCAAATCTGGGACTCCCGGATGACTCCCTGGCTACGACAAGAAGAGTATCGCGACGAAGTCGTCCGGCGGATCACGGCTCAGACGGTCCCTGATTTGGCCCATTCGTGCGCAGAGCATGGTTTGCAGAATAAGCTGAAGTTCGAAGATACTCTTAAAGAATATAATCGCGCCGTATATGAATGGCGCAGGGAGAATCAAAGTGCGAAATGGGATCCAGCCATTAAGGATGGCATGTCGACACAGTCGAGCAGTGGTGGAATCAATCCGCCAAAATCTAACTGGGCTCAGCCAATCGATCTGCCGCCATACCTTGCTGTCAAGGTCAGCTGTGGCATAACTTTCACTTTTGGTGGGTTGGCAGTCGATCCCGAGACTGCTGCGGTAATATCATCTGTCACGAATGCTCCTATTCCCGGGTTATATTGTGCTGGAGAGATGCTGGGCGGCCTGTTCTACGATAACTACCCTGGAGGTAGCGGATTGACGGCTGGTGCTGTCTTTGGACGCAGAGCTGGTCACTCTGCAGCTGCAGCTGCAGCTGCTATGGCATAGTCGTGAAGCTTTGGTGATCGCGTAGATTGGTATGGAACATACCGTTGACGTTATAAAACTCCCATATTTCGTGGATACTAACTGCAATGAGTGGATCTATAAGCTGACATACCTACGGCCGGTTCGATGTCCTGACAGTGTAAAACTCGAAGTGCAAATCACATTCACTATACATAAGAGGATAGGTAGACAGAGACGGAAATTGTATGCAAGATAGACATGAAACAACGCCACTGCTCAAGGAAATACTACAGCTACAGACGGCTGCTCAGGCTGCACCGGGACGGCTTAGGCTGGTCGCCACCAAGCAACCTCCACTCATCATCTCTCCGACGCCAAGGGCCCCAGCCTCTTGTCATCGGTTACGGGCTTCTAATTTTTTCAGTAACAACCAATGTTTATCGGTCGACCTCTCCGAACACCAGATCCATGGTACCTAGGTAATGATCAGCCTACGCTCAGAAGAAAAGAAGAAGTAGGGGAATACAGTAGGCATTTGAGGGCTCAATCGGGACTTACCAATGATAGCGACGGCGTCGGCAAGCAAGTGGCCCCTGGCAACCTGGTCAAATCCTCCCAGGTGAGCAAATCCGGGAGCACGGATCTTGCAGCGGTAGGGTCTCTCGCTGCCATCACTGACAACGAAAACACCCATCTCACCCTTGGGAGCCTCAATGGCCGAGTAGGTCTCACCAGGGGGAACGGCATAACCCTTGGTGAAGAGAAGGAAGTGGTGAATGAGAGCCTCCATGTTCTCCTTCATGGCTGCACGGGGAGGAGGGGAGATCTTGTAATCCTCAACCTTGACGGGACCAGGGGGCATCTTGTTCAGGCACTGGTGGATGATGCGAAGGGACTGACGGAACTCCTCCATACGGCACAGATAACGGTCGTAGCAGTCACCGTTGACACCAACAGGGACATCGAACTCAACCTGATCGTAGGCGTCATACGGTTGAGACTTGCGGATATCCCAGGGAACACCAGAACCACGGAGCATGACACCAGTGAAACTCATGTTAAGAGCATCAGCAGCGCTGACAACACCGACACCCTGGGTTCTGGCCTTCCAGATCCGGTTATCCGTGAGCAGCTCCTCGGTCTCATCGATACGGTCACTGAACTGCGTAGCCCACTGGTAGATGTCGTCCAGGAGACCGAGAGGAAGGTCCTGAGAGACACCACCGGGACGGACGTAGGCAGCGTGGAGACGGGCACCGGAAACACGCTCGTAGAATTCCTGTCCATGACAAAAACGGTACGTTAGCCGCCATCCCATATCCCATCGAATATACCTCCAACAAAGGATTAAAATCAACATACCATCAGCTTCTCACGCTCCTCGAAACCCCACAGGAAAGGCGTCAACGCACCAACATCCATTGCGTGGGAGAGGACGGACATGAGGTGGTTGAGGATTCTCGTGATCTCTCCAAACAGGGTACGGATCCATTTGGCTCTCTCGGGGATCTCGATATTCAGCAGTTTCTCAACCGCCAGAGAGAAGCATTGCTCGTTGGTCATCATCGAGACGTAGTCCAATCGGTCGAAGTAAGGAAGCGCCTGCATGTACGTCTTGTACTCGATCAACTTCTCGGTACCACGGTGGAGCAGACCGACGTGAGGATCCGCGCGGACGATTTCTTCTCCGTTCAGCTCCAGAATCAGACGCAACACACCGTGCGCAGCGGGATGCTGAGGTCCAAAGTTGACAGTGTAATGGCGAATCTTGCGGTTGTGGCCTGCTTCCGACTCCATGGCCGCAGCCTCCTCGGGAATATCACTGGTCTTGTTGGCGAAGTGCGCAAACGACGGGTCGGTAGGGACGAGTCTAGTCGCCTGATAGCTGGTCGGCTCAGCATATCTTCGAGGCAGAGTGGTCGCTATCGACCTAGATCTGACAACCGGCGAGGATCTTGTTGACAGAGAGGGGCGGAGGCAAAGCCTCTTGGGCGCATTGCCCGCCAGGCGAGCGAAGGACGAAGCCATTGGAGAGGGAGGACGGAAGAGACGGGAGAAGAGAGCAGGTGGTCCTCAACCTGACCACATTCAATCGAGGTTGGCGATGGAGTAGAGGCCCGTGTCGTTGTCGACCATCGACGTCGGACTGAGGATGCTCCCGCGCATTTTGGCATGTCACGTGATGGCAGCTTACAGCTCTCGGCCTCCTTTCTGTGGCTCCTGGTTGGCCCGCTGGCCCTTTATACTGCAGACATCACCTGATGACGCTAACCCATCTCTGGCACGTGCCAGCCGGGCGGGTGGCCATTTCCTGGGAATTTCACCCACAATTCTCTCTTAGCCGCTCACAGAATAAAGGGGTCCCTTTCCGCCCCAGGCCCGCAAAAAATACTGTCGGCGGCGATGGAATTTATTGAAGATTTGAAGCTTCATATCGCACCCCGCGACAATTAAAATCGTCTAGCACAGAAAAGATGGCTCCCCTCGTCGCATCAGCCGAGGAGCTGGAGCGCAGAAGAGTATGCGCCTTACTGACACTTCATCAAACCTCTTGGATCGCAAACTAATAAGTTATCAAGATTGTGAATATCAATGCCGAGACCGTCACCAACATCTCTTCAACAGATTTCCCGGGTCATTATCCTGGAGAGAACCACGCATGGGCTCTAGAAAAGTTCAGACAGGTATGATTTGAACCTTTGATGGCGGGCTCGCCATTTGAAATGTCGTGAGTTTTTGCAGACACTAAATGACAAATTTTCCAGGGCTTCCGGGTCGAGTTTCACCGCAACGAGCAATTCGAGGCCTCATTTTCCCTCATCGGACTCGATGCAGCCGTCGCAAACGCTTTCCGCCGTATTCTCATCGCTGAGGTCCCTACCCTTGCGATCGAGTACGTCTTCATCCATCAGAACACCTCCGTGATCCAAGATGAGGTTCTTGCCTCGCGCCTTGGTCTCATTCCCTTGAAGGGTTCGGTAGAGGGTCTCAATTGGATGAGCTGGTTCAAAAAGCCTACGGATGAGGATGACCCCAGCACCGGTAGCACGCCTAGCGATTACAACACTGTCGTGCTGCGTCTCGATATCGAATGCACGAAGAATCCGAATGCTGCCCCGGGAGAGGAGGATCCTCGCAAACTCTACAACAACGCCCATGTCTATGCCAAGGATATTACATTCCACCCCGTTGGACGACAGGAGAACTATTTCAAGGATGACGATGCCATTCAGCCTGTCAACCCCGATATCCTCATCGCCAAGTTGCGCCCCGGCCAGAGGATCGAGATGGAAATGCACTGTATCAAGGGAATCGGAGCCGATCACGCCAAGTTCTCCCCTGTAGCAACGGCTACCTACCGTCTACTTCCCGACATTAAGATCACAAAGCCTATCATCGGTGAGGATGCGAAAAAGTTCGCCAAGTGCTTCCCCCGCGGCGTCATTGGTCTCGAGACCATCACCGCAGAGGAGGCATCGAAGAGGGGTAGCGGGTACGAAGGACATGAAGGAGAGCAGAAGGCTGTCGTGGTCGATCCATTCAAAGACACTGTCAGTCGCGAATGTCTTCGACATGACGAGTTCAAAGATAAGGTCAAGCTGGGCCGGGTTCGTGACCACTTTATCTTCAATGTGGAGAGCACTGGCCAGTTTGACAGCGATGTTCTCTTCCTCGAAAGTGTGAAGGTGCTCAAGCTGAAATGTGCTCGATGGAAGAGAGGATTGACCGATCTCATGCATTAGGCTGGGTCGGTTGACATGTCCGTTTTGATATTCCCGTTTGATGCATCGCTTGGCGTTTCCCTGTTTGATTATTTTAAGGCAGTCACGGAAGGGCAATCTAGATAATGTTGTCAATTTTGTTCTTTTCCTGGAGTTGGGACGGAAACAAAAAAGCTTATAAAGATATTATCAGTCAATGCAGATATGAATTCTACCCGATGGCTTTCCCAAGCAGGTTTTAATCTTGTCTTGTCATTGTGCATCTCAGTTCCATTTGAGCTATCATAGTTAAACTCTATTTGTAAACCAGCTTGAAGCGGAAGTCGATGGTGAAAGCAGGGTCGCTGACAGCGATCTCCTGGCCATCTGCCACCAAGTCCCGGAGCTTCTTTTTGAGATTGGGTCTCGTCTGCTCCTCCAGCTGCGGTGGGAAGCGCTGGTATAGCGTCTTCTCCTCAGTCCGCATACTTGGTTTCTTCAGCTGTGCCTCTGCCCGCTCTCCTAGACTCTCGATGAAAGCTTCGAGGGTGTCCTCCGGATCCACCATAACGGTCTTCGCAAGGTTGCCACACACCGGGCAGTCTGGCTTCTGTTCCGCGGCAAAGGTGTAAGTGTACACTCCCTCCTCACCTGCGTACATCATGTAGTTATCCAGATAAGGGTTGCAGCCTGTCACAATCTTAAGGGCCTCCGACGTCGTGGAGGCTGCAATCACGGCATTGGTGGAGGCGATAGCAGGGATGATGTTTTTGACGACACCCTGGGTCATTTGAAACGTGACTCCTGGGATGTTGAACTGCTGCGCCCGCTGGAGGGCCGAGTTATAGATCCATGCGATGTGGTCAAGGTTGTCACTATCGAATGGCTCGTCCTTGCGTTTTTCCTGCCAAGCGATCTGGTGAGCCCATTCGATACAGTGCTGAGGTTGACGAGGGATAGTTGCAATGGTGCAGAGGGGCACTGCAGCGCGAGGAGCGTGCATGTCAAGTTGGCATTCGATACAGGATGTCAGAGTAGGCAAAATGACACGCGCCTGACCCTTGAAACCTGTGTCGTATTTTTGAGCCTGGAAGTCGATCTAGTGGGTGCAAGAGCAACATACCTTCCGTTCCGCCATCAATCAATGGCTTCAGGCTCTCTGGGTCTTCTGGATCGACCATTCCAACCAATGTCGAGTTGATCCATCGGCGAGCTTCAATACTGTCAAGCCCACACACAATCACTTTGAACTGCATGTAATAATCCTCATCCTTGTCTTGGATCTTTCCCACGTAAGGCGTAATTTTAACACCTTTGACGCGCTTCTCGACGAAGGCTGCGGCGACTTCGGCCTTTGGCTTGCCTACGTCAGACTGGCGGAACAAGAATTGACGGTTCAAGTTGGAGATATCGATGGTATCTGTACTAAGTCAGACACGACCGCTAAACCATCAGGGCAGAGTGTACACACCCATGTCGATGACATGAATATCCTTGAAGCCCGACAGGGCGAGGTTCTTTAAAATCTCACATCCCAGACCTCCGGCTCCTCTGTCTCATGTTAGTACGGCTTTTTACTTCCCCGACTGGGACCCTGGGGACGGACATAACCCTGGAATCTATATTAGTAACGGTGTTTAAGAGCCAGGAGAACGTCTTACAAGATCTTCGAGGTTTCCAGAGCCTGGATTGTCTCTTCACCAGGGACCCATTCTTCATCAGTGAACGGACCTCTCTTGCTCAGAACACTATACAGATGCTTCCTATTACGTGATAACGTCAGCGGGGCCAGCAAAAATCTAAGGCTGTGGGATACTTACCATCTGGCAGCAGGGCTGTCCGAATCAGTCCTAATAGAAGGCATCTGTGCAAGTAAAAAGAAATATTATACAATAAGGAGAAAGGATAATGTCGTGAAGATCTGCCTTCTCGTGTACAGACCACGAGGCGCAGCCGTCGCAGACTGGACAGACGCGGGGTTAAAATTACGTGAAATTTAGGCAGCTCGATGTCAGAAGAAGAGTGGGATCTCGAGCTCACTCTGTAAATCACCAACAACAGTTACGGGCAGCAATAGAAGACGGACGGTTCCTTTGTCTATTAATCGTGCAGACTGATGTTTCAGTGTTGTAGTTGACTGATACGCTCGGAAGGGCGTCCATCCACGTGACACGTAGGTATCTCAGGAAATACTTCCGCGCCGAATAATTCCTCTGTCCTCCGAGACCACAAATGATGATCATCAAATGAGATGGATGGACTTCTCACTGCTGTCAAAACAGTCAAGCATGACGAGCAAGACTTACTGACAGAAAATGATGCAAGGCATCATGCAAAATCGAGTGATGTGGGGCTGAGTCATCAAGGTGATGGTGATCCTTCATCTGCAGACTATATTTTAGAAGTTCTGAAGTCAAAGCCGGACCATGATCAACTCTTTGACGTCTTGACAAATATTGACCCTTCAAATAAGTCTAGAACTGCCAACGTCGACATCAGAGTCCCTGGTCCAGCCACGGCACTGATTCTGCAACAGCTAGTCAGCACGACTGTTCCAGACCATTGGAGCAGTCTACAAGATAGCCATGCTGAAACAGGGCGCAGGACAAAAGGCCACAGACTAAGGGCAGCTCTACTGAGATGCCTCTGCAGCGTACCTGGTATCAGTGCGATAGTGGCCCAGTTGCGCAATCTACTATCGGTCCAGGTCACCCAGGGCGAAAAGAACTCTGGAAAAAGTCTGGTCATTCGAGACACTATATCTGTCCTGTCAGCCCTCTTAAAACCCAAGGATGCATTGTTTCGCATTTACGCGGATATCACTGCTACGTATGATAAGGCAGTCCAACGACAAATTGCTTGCAAAGAGCTTATTTCTCTTATTGCGGCCGGAAGAGTTCTGTCAACAGCTGCAGAAGGTCTTGCTTCCGTTAGCGACCTAGATAGTTCAGAGGGTATTTCTTGGGTGGGCGAAGGCAGCTCTTACGCGTCGTGGCTGGGGCAAAGCATCAGCACCTTTATTTCAAAAATTAATTCCGAGGATCACGATAGTTGGAAGTCAGTTGGTCTTATGGTCGGTCGAGCACTGAGTCTTGGTTATACCGGTAATGCTGTCCTGCTGAAAAGTATTATGTGTTCTTCTCTAATGTTCTTGCAGACCAGTTAATTAGGGAAATCTATTCTGGGGTGCTACGCGAGCAGGAATCTTCAGTGCAGTTCAGGAGGCTTCTTGAGAACGTCCGCGTCCCAGAACAGACGGCAATATTCGAGGCTGTTCTCCGTGATGTCGAGAAGAAGTATTTTGAAGGAGAACTCCCGAGTGACAGGCCGGAAATCCAGCCGGATAATGAGATTATCGGGGGAGTTGCAGCATTATGTGCAAGTATAATCAAGAATAGCCAGTCCCTTCGCAACCAGACAGCATCCTGGCTCGCGAGTGGACAGTCCAGTTGCATCCAAGGGATCCGACTGCGCCGTGCTTTGCTAGCAGTGATTTCAGACGACAAAGGCAAGCCAAGCGTAACAACAAGACTACATGTCACGACTCCAGCTAACCTATTGCAGACGCTGTAATTGAGTTGTTTACAACTAGTCTCGGGAATTTCGGTGATAAGTTCTACATTAAGCACACACCAACGCAGATTCAGGAAGGTGGGCTGAAAACTTCTTGACATCTATGTTTCCTTAGCTAACGTTCCAAAGCGAACGCGCAAATCGTCCTTCTCTCGGCTGGATATGTTAGTCGGATATCTCCGCCTACTATCCGTGAGATCGGCCATTCCAGTCTATATCTCAATGCAGTTTCCAATCGCCTTGCAGCATCCTCGGCCAGAAGCCGATTCCTGGGCATGGTAGTCGGTATGGCCATTTCTCAGTTGATAGAACCGCCGGGCAAGGGGATGAGATTCGACCTGGAAGAGATGGAAAGCGAAGAGGCTCGATGGTATTTGGATCTCGTCAACGTCCGAGATACGGTCGACACTCTGCAGACTTTGATTATCAAAAGCCAGACGGTTTCTCAGCATAAAACGAAGAAAATCACGAAGGAATCGGTGAAGCCTTCGGTTCCTAAACGCCCACAGACTATTGGTCATACATCGAAGATTGTCTCGATTGAGGAGATAGACGACTCTGAAGAGAGCGAAGACGAGGAGTTCATCCCGTATGAAAAGCCAGACTCTGACCCTGAAGACTCAGACGACGATCCCACTCTGATCAATCGATCGAAGCCAACTGCGCCAGTGTAAGAAAGACCCTCATTCGATGATGACAGCGCTAACAGTTGCCAGGTATATTCGGGATCTAGTAGCAGCTCTCCGGGATACGGAAAATGCAGACAGGTATAATCTCGGCGTTACAACGGCGCCTGCTCTAATCCGTCGAAAGGCCGGCTTCGGCACAGAGATAGCGGAGCATGCAGAGCAACTGGCACTTGTTCTGATCAGTCTCCAAGACAAGTACAAGTTACCGAAATTCCACGAGTACAAGCTCCAGAGCATGATTGCCCTGCTAGTTGCTCAACCGCTCCGGATGGGGCGCTGGTTTTCTTTAACCTTCTTCGATGCAGACATATCCCAAGCGGAACGATCCGCGATGCTCACAGCCCTGGGACTAGCTGCGCGCGAGTTAGCCGGCTATGGTGAAGAGGATGCGCGGTCAATGGGCCTGCCCGCAGTATCAGATACATCTTTCCCGACGAAGAAGCTTCCCACGGGTCTGCAGGAGATGTATCTCACAGACGAGTCTCCTGTATCTGCTCTCACAAAGAAACTCTCACAGGCATCACTACAGCCTCTGGCGCTAGATGCAGCAGACGCCCTATCAGGTCCAAATGCTCTCAAAGTCCGGACATTCTCCTCGCGCATGGAAGTCGAGAAGCGACGCCAGCAGCGCGAGGAGCAGCGAAAGAAGTCTGTGCTCAAGGATCTCCATCGGACTCTTACAGAGGGATTCTTCTACCCTTTGACAAGCAGATTCACGACAATGATGATGCAATATCATAGGTAAGCACAGACTCAATCACGTATAAAACTGTCTATATGACAGACTAACATATAATCAATAGATCAGCATCCGCAACATACAATCCCTTCCTAACGCCTCATTTGCTCCGCCTCTTCCTTCAAACACTTACCCTCATCCTGTCAACTCTGGGCCCATACACTCCCTCTCTCCCCTCTCTTACCCAGGAGACTCTTGCCCTCCTTATATCCTTACACTCCAACGCGGTTGCCACCGAGACGGCCGTGCTCCCGGCCCTGCTCTCCCTCTTCCTCGCGACGATTGATGTCAGCGTCGCATCGGGCACGTCGGGGGAAGAAAGGCTAGTCACCGAGTTCGCTACGCAGGTGATGGAGCTCCGCGAGTGGGTTGGGGAAGTATTTGATCGCGTTCCTGCTACGAAGGGCGGGGAGGAAGAGCAGGTGAGGATGGTTGCCGCGGGAGTGATGGTCAAGCTTGGAGAAGTGCTAGAGAGGTATCAGGGAAGGTTGATGGGTGTGAATGTTGGGTTTGAGTATTAGCCAGCACTGTATGCACATAGCCACATATAATGCTCGTGTAAACAAGCAATGAATGCTGCTGAAATAAAACGGAATTGTTGCTATTCCTTTTTATTTCCGAGATAGATTCTTCATAAAATCTATCTAGAAGAATAGATCAAAAATACCTTTTAACGCTGGTCTTGTAGCCTTCCTCCTAATAAGGGGCCAAGACGCCTCACCTGATTTTATCTTTCCCAGCTTGAAGATCAATGATCATATAACCGATGGTGACTGCCAGATCCAATCGTGATTATTTATCACCACTTCACCTGCGCGATTTCTCGTCATATTATAACACAGAAGACTACTAGGGCGAGATAATCTCAGTTCTAATCTTTCCACCGTACTGGCTCGAACTAAAAGAAACCCGACCTACTTATTCAAATGAAAACCACGCAGTGACATGCATTCCTCGACAGTGCCACATGTACCTATACGCTCCAGGTATGGAAAGCAAGTCCACACACACGATTTCTCCTCTACTCTAAGGTGGTAAGTACCTAATGCTACTTACGCTCTGCTATTTTGCAGTCAGCCAGCCACTTCCCTCCTTTCTTTCCGTCACTGCAACGCAAGAATAATACGAAACGGCATGGAGATACCCCAGAAGGTTGGGGCGGGGATGACTCGCAAATTCTTCACTTCTTGGCAAACGTCACGAGCTTCGCAATAGGCGTCTTATGGTGTGAAGCAGTTAACGAAACCAGGCGGGGGTACGGTTTCTTCTGCGATGCCCAACCCTGTTCTCAGACCGATAAGTAGGTACTCAAAACCTGGTCCAGCAGTACCAGTACCAGTACTACTCCGTATACAGTGACTACTTACCATAAGTAGACTTATCTACCGATGGACTAACTCCTTGCTGAACCTGGGGATCGAAATAAGCTTCCGTCGCATCGGTTGGAGAAATAGCCGGTTCTGTCTGGTGCTTGACTTGCCATTTGCTAGGTTTCTTGATCTTCGCTCCCGTGTGGAGTTTTAGCGGGCGATCATATCATGCTTGTCGCAACTTAAGTCTGGGATTCTGGGAAGTAAGTTATAGGATCCTGGTCATTGCGTTTTTTTCTTGGTCGGGATTCCCGAGGTATGTTACTGGGTGGGTTTCAGATTGTGTATGTATGTACATACATAGTAGTACTTCGTAAGTAATACTATGTGGTCATGAAGATAACTACGCACGAAGATAACTAACTATGGTACTTATGACGGGGATCGATTAATTAATCACCTGGAGCTTGGCTGTATTAACTACTGTATATTTTGAGTACAATTAATCCCAGATCAAATATAACCACTTGATCTAGAGTAAGTATAGCAGGATAGCAGCGCACTCCCATCTATTCTAGTAACAACTACCATCTAACTAACATTTGGTATATTAACAACAGCATACTAATAGTTCATAGCAACAACACACCATCGAAGAAAAAGAAGAAGCAACCACCACAACAGTCGGAACTATTGACCACCCTAAAACCCAACCCAACCCCATTCCCAACTCAATCCAATCCAATCCAATCTAACTTAAACCCTTACTCTAAGTACCATACATACCTAACCGCCAAGACTTTCTTTCTTCCTTTTATCCTTTTTACGCGACGCAGCGATAATCGCCCGTTTCTTTCTTATTTTCTTTTTTTTTTCGAATCTAACTTCCTTCATCTATCAACTAAACACCCCTTGCAGACGTCAATTACCTGACTATGTATGCGTACGTATGTACCTGCCAGCCACCAGCTAGTTTAGTTATTATATAACTGGTAACTGGTAGTCTACTGTCGGTATACATATAGGTTAGTTAGGTAAGTAGCTTCATCCCTTGCTTCCCCCGTTACTTATTCCGCGTCCCGTCCCGCGGGCGAGCGTTTTTTTTTTTTTTTTTTGGTTTGAAGTGAAAATAAAATTAACAGTAGATAGATAGATAGATAGATAGATAGAATACTAACTAACTAACTAACAGAAAGAAAGAAATCAAAAGAAAAGATACTTTCTTCTCTCTCCCTATTCTATTCTCCTTCTCTTTTGTCCAGTTGCAGATATTCTGTTATGTTATGTTATGTCCTGTTCTGTTCTGTCTGGTAACTACTAATCCATTAATTAGTTTTAGTTAGTTAGTTAATTAGTTAGTTAGTTAATTACTCTTTCTCCATCGTCCCTCGAGCTTGTGCTTGAGCTTGAGAGCTCGATCTTGACCGTCTAAACGCACGCGTGGAGAGAGAGATATCTAGTGTCATAGCATAATAACTATGACATGCCAGAAGAGTTTGACGTACCGGAATAATCAAAATCGGACTTGAAGAGATTATACTCTCCATATAATAGGATATTTACTTTATCCTGTCTTTCTTCCTATCTTTTTTTTGCTTTTTACTCGTGAAGTATGATACACCACTTCCCTTCCCTTCCCTTCCCTTCCCTTTTCTTCCCTTCCCGTGGCTGGCTGGCTGGCTGGGTTACAGTGGCGGCTCCTCTAACTAGTTGCAGATGTTAGTTATGTTATGTTATCCCCTCACTCTCTCTCTGCCGCGTGACATTCCAGGGTCCTGAGGGGAAGGGAAGGAAGGACGCAGAGACGCACATGCAATGTATGTATGTATGTATCTAGTAATTCCGTAACCTATATACTGTATGTAGTACACAGTTGGGTTGTTTGTCGCAGTATGCATGTATTACCATATGTATAATGTGATGTATTATCTATGTACATGTACAGTCATGTCGAATCAAGCAAGTATCGCGGCCTCGAGCTCAAGTTCGAGTCATGGGACTTGCCAGGGCGTTGGCACTAGCAAACTTGGACCCCCCCGACATGGGCTAAATCGAGTCGAGTGCAGAATTAGAGCTGCTTTCAGTGTACGCCGTGGCAGCATCGTCTATATTTCCTCGTCCATATTTACTCGTAGGAATAAACCAAGATGAACACATTTCTGCTCTGCATTAGACAATAATTTGAAGCGACTGTGGTTGCGCAGACGTATACACAGCGATCGTAATCAGTCCCATCATCCCCGATAGCGCCAAATCGAATGTGACTGTAATGAAATCTGCGCACATGTGCCCGGTCCCCATGTTGAAGTTTGTCGGAACCAAACGCCAAAGAAAAAGAAGAAAAAAAGCAATAGAAAACGCGTGTTGCTGGGGGAATTAGAAACAGAAAACCTCGTGGGTTCCGGGCAAACGGCGCGAGAGCCATGAATGACCGAGGGTGGGCGATCGCGAGAAATCCAGCGTGAAAGCCACTGCAGTCAAGAATCCATACGTCAACAAGCTGATAAATCATCCCCTGCTATCCGAAAGCCTCAACAACGGTAAGACGGGTGCGGGACACAGCTCAACCAGCAGACGCGACATCCAACGAAAATGAATCCCCGGTCTAGCGAGGGAATAAGAAAGTAAGGCCAAGATCATGCGCGAGAAGAAACAAACTCCGTCGGAGAACAAAAACAAACGACGCCTCTATGGTCATAACCTGCGCAAAGGCACAAAAACAAGTCGCCGGATCGAGAACCCCCTTTTGGTCCTGTGCCGTCTCCTAACCATCATCAATAATGCGGCGGGGTATCAATCCTCCCTGGGTCCAGTCTCTGACCGAACCATGCAGGGAATGAGTAGAATGAGATATAAGGAAAAAAAAAGAAGTTCAGCGAACAAAAGAAAAGAAAAGAAAAACCGGGAAACTGTTGTACAGGATGCGTAACCAAAACATCAAATCAGAACCGAACCAGCTGTAGGCGGGATATCATGATGCGCACGAATCAGCCATAAATGACGCCGGGAGGTCGCTCAATATAAGTCGCGGATGACGAAGGATATATCGGTGCTCGAGATTGGATCGTAAAATAGGAAGATTGGTCGATGCAGAAGCGTTTGGTTCACTCCTCTTCCTCGCCAGAAGCCGTCTCTTTCTCGCCCTTGTGGACCTTCTTGTGTCGACGCAAGTTCGACACGACCGAAAAGTGCCTTCCACAGCCTTCAACGTCGCAGGCGTAAGCTGGAAAATACGGAATTAGCATGCAGCAAAATACAACAGCCGCGTCAGAATAAAACTTACGCTTCTCTCCCGTGTGAGAGTACATGTGGGTCTGAAGCGAGGAGGGACGCGTAAAGCGCTTGTCGCAGACCTTGCACTTGTGCTTCTTCTGGGTGTTCGAAGGCATCTTCGAACTGAACTGGCTCATCATGGACTGAGGGCCGGGAGGCGCACTTCCAGTCAGGAGGCCGGACGGACGGGGCAGGGTCCGCGAAGGGAGGTTGTCAAAGGATTCTGAAGTGGTGGAGCTATAGTCGGTGACAGAAGAGTCCACGGAGGCAACTGACGCACTGTAATATGGATAATTCCCGGCCGACGAAATCGACGAGGCTGAGGAATGCGTGGAAGGAAATCCGTACGAATCCGCGGATCCTCGCGAACTCCGCGGGCCATAGATGTTCCTAGGAGTCAAATCCTGGCTCAAAGCCACCATCCCTCGACTGGCATCCAAAGCATCTCCAAAAGATGCTGCCGTTGGCGTCTGCGAGTGGGCGACAGAAGCGTCGTTTCTGGTCAAAACAAGTCAGCCAAATGCATTTTCTTCAAAGCTGCCCTCAAGAAGCATCCAACGCGCTCAAGGGAGTAAATAATCAGGGAAGAAAGGGGTTACTCACGCATGAGAGATTCTGCGCGCATCCTGCTGTTGCTGTTGCTGCTGCTGGTGCAGAGTCTGTCCATAGTTCATAGGGGCGTAGTTGGCTGGCGTAAAGGCGGTGGTGTATGTTGGGGCCTGTTCGAAAGTCGTCCGGGGCATCTCATGCTGCATTCCCAGCATCTGAGAGCTGCCATAACCGGCCGCATTGTGGTAGGTGGTCCCGGCCACCAGCGACGGAGCTGACACGGGGATGCTCGAATACGGCATCGAAATGGCGGTTGGTCTGGTCACATCCTCCTGCTTGACGTGGTTCATACCCAGGTGGTTGGCCCCCATGGACGTCGCATACATGGATGGGTTCGGGTGCGAGGAGGTATGGGTAGCGGACCACGGATCCGAGAACTGTGGATTGCTGTGCTGCATATTGCCGTGGTAGACGTTGTCAAAGCCCATCCCGCCATACTGGCGGTTCTGGTTCTCAATGACCATCGTCATGGAGAATAGTGATGCGCCTGGTGATTCCCGCGCGGATATACAGTGAAGGAGGGAGACAAGTTTCAGGAGGGAGCGTCCGTTCGAGTCGAGCACCAGCAGAGAGAGATAGATGATCAAAGAAACCTGAGACAGGCACGCGAGAGAAACAGAGATAGACACGAGAGACGACGTCTTTGGGTGAGGTTAACTTGATAATTGGTGGAGCACAGAGACGAGCAACAGGGAGGGTTGATCAATTGATCTCCGGGCGAGGAGCAGAAGTGTCTTCGAGGTACAATACAATAGCGGACGTAGTGTTCGGTGGAAGGTTCAGAACCCTGCGGGAGGAAGAGAAGATGCGACTGTCTGGGGAAGGGGATCGGCGTAGCTTATGAAAAGAAAAAAAAAAGTACGGGATCTCTCAAGCCAGCGGCCGAGCAGGGACAAAAGGAAGCCCTGGCGTTGCCCTGTTGGAGATGGCCTGTGCCACTGACGACGTTCCGTCGGGGAAGGCTGCAGATCGTTACTTGGGGGGCCCGCTCAGGGTTCCAAACGGCGCCAGAGAGTCAGAACGAGGGTGGATGCGAACTTGTTAGTTAGTTCGTTCGATAGGCTTTTAGCTTGGAGCTTTTTAGAGTCGAAGTAGGCCCCGTCCCAGGGTCCATGAGGATAGTTCAGTAGTCGCCCGAGTCAAGAACCGTTCTGGTGGATATTAATTATTATTATTATTGCCAGAGAGAACGTCTCTGAAAGGGAGGAGAGAGAGTAGGATAGGATAGGATAGGAGAGGAGAGGAGAAGAGAAGAGAGGTACAGTACTGTACTTGGGGGAATGGGATCGAATAGGGATAGATTGAGATAGGGTCACAGGACCTGGAAAATCACTGCACAAAGATATCACAATGGAATAGGAGACAAAGACAGTCGTGTCTCTTTTTCTTTCTTTCTTTCTTTCTTTTGTTTTTTTCTTTCTTGGGTCGTTTTCTTTCTCTTCACACTTTTCTTTACTGAATTTTATTTTTATTTTTATTTTTTTCTCTCTCCTCGAAGAACTTCTAATTGCTAGCTAGGTACAAGTGATGGCATTATTTATTTTGGCCTATTCTCGTATAGACGATACCCTCCTTTTGCTCTACTCCAATAAATCATCATCATAATAATAAGAATAACTGGCTCCCACTGGCTGTCATCCCGGCCAAAAAAGCCACTGCCCGAAAGGAGGCACCTCCTGCGGTATGCACCGGCCGCGCGGTCTCTGCACGCACAATACGATGACACGGGAAGGAAAAGGGGGGGGGGGGAGGGGGATCCAGTCGGAAGGGGGGGCGGTCAAAGGCAGGTGGGGGATGGCAGGGGAATCGTTGAAGGGGGCGAACTCGACGAAAAAAGAGCGTGCGCGCAACAGAAGAGACAGAGAAAGACAGAAAGAGGAGCAACAAGGTTGCCACGAGCGTTGACCTTGGGATGTTTCAGGGTAGCGGGGAACCGCCATCGATTGCTCTTCCGTGGGGAGACGCCCGCTAGTGACTTTAGTGGAAGTGCCGAAAGAGAGAGAGAGAGAGAGAGAGAGTTGTTGTTATTGTTGCGGCTGCTCCACCAGCGGCAGACCTGCTTGTCCCGGCATTCGATTTGAGCGCAGAGTTAGTTGGTTGGTTGGCTTGACACTGGATCCGATCGTAGACGGCAGGGAAGAATGCCATCTGGCTAGAAACAGGAACAGGAACAGAGACAAGAGAACAACAACAAAATAACAGCAGCAATAATAGTAATAGTAATAGCAATGGCAATACCATAGCAGTAGCAGTAGCAACAGAAATAACAACAGAAATAACAACAAATTGCGCGATGATGACAATGGATGCCATCCCAGCAAGACCGATCGTTGGTTTCACTGGCTGCTCCGGAATGGGGATGGGGGATGTGCGCTCTAATCGCGTGCTGGTGGATTCACCGTAGTGGCCTGCATCGCAGGGAGGCTAATTGAGAACTATACTACAGTATGTGTACTCGATTTTCGACCACACAGAATCACTGAGATACCATACATGATTTACGATGCAGGACCAACTCCGGGGTGCTGGAATGGATGCTGGCGTAAATGATGACGGAAGGGGGCGTCCGCCAACACGGCATGAGGCATGAAAAGCATCAAAGCATGGAAAAGCATGAAAAAGCAAAATAAACGGATGACGACCTGCCCAGCAACTCGGATAAGATGACAGTAGTCAAGTCAAGTCAAGTCAAGTCAAGTCAACGTCAACTCTCTCTCTCTCCAACGTCCCAAAACATGCCAGTGGAACGCTTAGCTGCATCCTTCTTCTTCTTCTCCTTCTCCTCTTCCCGTCTTTCTCTGTCGGGGTGGTCGATGCGTTGTCTCTTCTCGTCTGCCCGGTATTACCTCATTCAACCCTCGCCGCTCGGGTATGCTTCTCTTCCTAGAACATCCGCAGTAGTACGTACGCCCGTCAATAATAATAATAATAATAGTAGTAGTAAAATAAAATCGGGTTTGAAATTATCTGATGCCGGGCCACCACCAGACTAAAAAAACTGCCATGTGGGCTGAAGAGCTTCCCACTGCACCAAACTCGAACCAACTTCCCCAGTGTGATGACGGGCCTTGGCAAATAATAATAATAATGCCGGGGAGGCTGCTTTTACCCGGGGCCTGTTCCCGCCCGAGCGACACTCCCCGACCAAAGAACCGCGCCCAGGATCTGCGCCAGACAAGGGTTATGCTAGATAGTCTATAGCAGTTCTTTAAAAGTTCTCTGTTATGATTATTATTGTCCGCTTGCCAGAGGCAGTTAATACTCGCAAGAGATGAAAGGAGCGAACGATGACGGAATGCAGCCCAACACCCGAGGATACTCTCTCTCTCTCTCTAGGTACTCGATCATCCGATGGTACTACTTGATTACTCTAGATACGACTGACGACTCCGGTCTCGCAGTGGATCCGCCTTCTATTGAGTGTTTTCTGTCCTGTTGCTTGCTTCTGGAGGTACGTACTACATACTACACTAGGATACTAGGAACCAACGGTTGCGCTCGCCCCATCGCGCGTTCTTTGGCGACCACGGACCATGAGAAATCCATCTGCTTTTCGACTAGCCCTGAGTATCTCCCGCACAATCCCGGCAGCGCAATGGGGGACTTGGTCGCTTTGGACTGCAAGCCGACGTCAGAGTGGACAGCGTCAAAGGAGTCAAAAGCCAGCCACCAGAAAGCCACCCAGCGTTAGCGGATGCCAGGGGGGGCAACTATATGGCCAGGACTCCGCAAGCTTATTACTACAATTCTATTGCTCTTGTTCTTGTGTCTTCCTGCCTCGTGACACACCCAGCAGCAGCAGCAGCAGCAGCAGCTCCTCACAGCCGAACAGAAGGAATTGCCGGTCGTCGAACCGATTGTCGACTCGTCGACCTAGTATCTACCACTGCGGCGACCATCATCAAAATCAAGAAAAAGAAATCAAGAAAGAAAAGATATCCAATGTTGTTTGACCAACGCGGTTCTTGCGCTGCCTAGTGTAGTGTCGACGGGTTTGGGCCTGTCATAATAGTCTTCCAGCCTGGCGCTCCTTTAAGGTCCGCCACCATGCGGCCCATAGTCAGCCAGGTATGACACTGCTTCCCAGGCACATGGACAGAACATAATTACACTCCATTCCAATAATATGCAACATCGCCTTGCATTGCACGGAGTACTTCGGTGACAACAGAAGCACGACCAATGCCGTGTGGCGGTCGCATCGGAGATCAGTCAGATGGAATCTTGCCCCATCTGCTGTCCCAGTAAAAAAGGAAAAATAGAAAACAGAAAACAACATCTACCATACTACTACAACTGCTGTGGATATTATTATTATTCTTGACTTGGTTGTTACTACTACGGAACAGTATTTGACTCTACTGTGCAAGGTACCCGAGTGGGGGATCTCAAGAAACTCGGACCCCAATGATGGCAAAAGCGGCCACCCGTCGTCCTTGAAGGCCCAGCGCTTCAGGCGGCTGGCAGGGGAAGACAACATTACTGAGCTGACATGCATTAATAATAATAATAATGATGGCAAATTTCCAAAGGACTCTGGCCTGCTTGTTGTTATAGGCGAAGGGTTCCTGAAAAGATGTCAACCCGACAAGCTTCCTGGTGGGCCACAACAAGCAGAAAAGAAGCTCCTGCACTAAACAGATCACAACCCGCTAAGAGGGGCGACCAGGATGGAGCATTGAGCAATGAGCAATGAGCAATGTGCGAGTGGAGGCGGTTCAACTTGGGATATGTAGACTTGGTAGTAGTCTACATATGAATTTATCTCCTATCGGTCGGTGGCTGCGGCATCGTCACAGGCCCTAAATTAAAATCTGACCCGACGCAGTGTGTCACTGGAGAGCACGTAATGCCTAAACGAGAAGGTCCTTGGGTCGACCTCCGGTTTGGGAACAGTGAGGGGGGGGGAATCCAGCGGTTGGTGGATATTGAAGTTCTGGTAAAAGAACGAGGCGGGCTGGGAGAGTGAAGATTAAGTGGTTGTCAGAGTCTACCATACTCGATTTGTTCCCTCAACTTCTGTTTAGCGGGGAGCCTCGCTCGTTTGGGTATAGGAAGCTTACGCAGCGCCAAGGCCCCAAAAGCTTTGAGGGATTCATTTGATTCATTTTGAAGGCACAGAGAGTCACTTAAACAGTTAAACTCCCATTCCCGCCTCCCCGCCCTGGCGTTCCCTCGGCTTGGAGTACCGTTGACTTGCTACTACTGCTGACACTCTCCCGCAGCCAGGCATGGTCTCTTCCCCCTGCAATCATAATAATCATCACGGAGACCGCTCAGACCTGGAATATCTAGGTACTAGATACTGATCTTGTCGCGATTGGGTGTGACAATAATTCTGTCGGAGGCGTCAGACCATTCACGCTCTCTGCAGCTGTGGTTGGAATGTGAGCTGGGAACACGATGCATCAGCCAGAAGGAATCGCTCCGCTTGGCTTGGCAGAAGGCAGGAAATCAGCCAGGGCGCACAGGTTAGTTATCTAGCCCAAAGTTCGGACCAAACCAAACTGTGGCGGTTAACTACCGTCGAGCAATAATACATAATAATAATAATAATTATAAGGCACTCCTCTCATGTGGACTAAATCACAACACCGGAGGAACGTCGCTGGCGGTCCGTGAGCTGGATGCGATGCAGTGACGGCTGGTTTGGCTCATACTCCCCCCACATGTCTTATCTACCCCAAGTTATTCGATCTCACTCAGGACAGATTGTGTCATGGTAGGAAAGAAACATACGAGTACTAAACACACAGATGTATACTCGAGGATGTACAGTACTGTAGTACTAAATATCCACCACGGTTATCATGACGGTCGATCACCGCGTGAGTTCGATGGGGGGAACTGCTATTTACCCGTTGCACTGGGACAGGATGGAGATTTGAGTTGCGTCTTGACCAGATCCTCTGCTCCGGTTGACCCAGTTATCAGTTGCGCTATTGTTCCACAGACCATATGGCACATATAACAATTCTCCGCGGCGCGACACTACCATAGACTATGAATCGCAGGGCTGGGGTGTGATGAAGATGGCTTGACTCGTTGGCAGCTGTGAATGGTGACTGTTCGGAAAGCCCCACACGAACGTGTTATTACAGATGGCAGAAGATCGAGAGACTGCTCGATATCCCAACTGTAGTAGATACGGAGCAGATAGAGGTCATATCGGAGTAGCCGCCATTATGGTATCTACTCTGCTTCGACTGAACCTCCATGTGGCGACCTCAAGGAAAACAAGCGAAAAAAAGAAAAAAGAAAAAAAAAGCTCTCAACTCGTGTCTGACGATGATTGCACAACATAATTAGAGTTCAGACGCTGTAGCTTTATCCTCACCGCATTTCTTCTTGACGGCCAGTAGTGGCCCTAAAAACCGCCTCTGGGCAAGATCTAGTTAACTATGGTACCTAGGTAGTTATATCGACCAATAACCAACCACGATCGAAGACCTCGAGATTTGAGCCTCCGGGATAAACTAACTAGTTCGTCGCACAAACCCCCCTTTCTGGAAGGAAATCTTTTTTTTTTCTTTTGGGGTGGTGATTTCCGAGTGGATAAAGACACGGCACGATGCCCCGGGTCTTATCCTGCACGGGCGATCCGTTGATGGCCGATTTGGGGAACAGCAGGAGACTGATGCTTGACTGGATCGGTCATATCGGTCACCGGCGGGCGCTCTCTCGTCCTAAGCGCAATCGCGGGTTTTCCCAGATTGAGGATGAGGCAGTGCAGCGACAGCAGCCCCCCCCCCCCTGTTCCGAAATTGTAATTGCGACAGGTTCCTCTCTCCTCTTTGGCCGATTTCGCATGCATTAGTTATTGACTCCTTCAGCATGTTAGTTATCTATTATTATGATTGCGTAGGTATTGCGTCCTTCTCCTTTTCTAGACGCAGTCAAATATATACATAGTTACTGGTACTCCGTGTTTGGATCTTCTTATCGGAGACTTTGACGAGCGTATCATAAGCAGTCGCATGGCATAGTATGGCATGGCATGGATGATCGATTATGGTTTCTAGATAACCGCGTGCAAATTATTATTACCGGTCGGATCGGATCTGCTTGGAGTCTTGGACGTTCCTGATGGTGCCAAGTGTACGGACTCCGGAGTATTCTTACTGGTTTGGCGACTTCGGTTAATTAAATTCTGTAGTGAGTTGTGTGACTTCTGGGTCTGAATGAGGTTGGTATATGTATATATACTATATTTTATCTTATAATTCTTCATTGGGACGGTTCTATTATTATTATTATTGTCGTTATTATTGTTGTTATAATCGCTCTAAGTATGGAGTAGTTACAATATTGCCGCTGACTAAACCTATCGTGAGACCTTTTCCGGGTAAAAGAAGATGTTGAAGTCAAATGTCGGATAACAGAGTAGATACTCTACTAAAGAAGTCTGATTTATCCTTTACATATCTTCATCTGCTTCGAACGATCCGGACGTTGTACTCTGTTGAGTTAGTTAGTTACTGCCCTCCGGCAAATAAATAATAATATTAAATCTGCACGAGGCAGATCCTCCTTCGGCAGATCGTCAGCAGACACTTTAGCTTGTTTAAAGCTTGACGAAAGACACGTTGTTGCCGGTCGATCGAATCAGGAACTCGACCGGGTAAAGACTAACCTATCATTGCTTTGCTAAACTGAGGATCGATCCACATCCGGTAACTTAAGCTTTCGAACGAACAGCTGTGGTCGCGCTAACTGCATTCCGAATAGTCGATGCAATCCCGGTCGATCGTGGATCTTCGGGGGGTTGCCCAGAATGATGACCAGGTTTAGATATGGTAGATAGATAGATAGATAGATACCTTATCATATCGAATATCAATGTGTGACACAAGTTGACTCTGATCATGCTGTAGAGTAACCGTAACCGTAACCAACTGAGTCTTCGAGTAAGGCACTAGCAGTAACTACATAGGTAGACTTCCTCTCTCTCAGTCTCTCTCTTCTTTCTCCCGTCCGTGCATCTTCCTAGATCCCGTGTGGCCAGCAATAATTAATAGCAATTAATCTCAACAACCTCGACTGACACCAAAAAGAGGACCGCATCCGAATACGGTCAACCCACAGACACGCTCTATACCAAATGCGGCAGACGCAGGACGGCTGATTCGTCGAGCGCGGAACCTGCCAAGCAAGTGGATTTCCCCCCGTGGACGAACCAGAGAACAGCCCCGACCGGAGCTGACGCGTGTCACCGCCCAAAAGCTCTCTCCTCTTTCTTCCCCCCCTTGAGCGAATAATTTGCACCCACCGGCAACTCCAGGCGTCGGGCACCTTCTCCTTCTCCCAATAATGGACCCCGCAAGCACACCATTCTCGCTGAAAAAAAGGGACTAAACCCAACTCAACTCAGTCTCCAAGTCTCCACCCGCTGTTCAGGGTCCCGACGAGTCGATTTCTGAAACGCCCGGCGTTGGTGCTGGTGCCCGCTCTATCGTCTCCAGATCGGGAATCAGACACGGGTCGGATAGAAGAGTGAGTTAGTTAGTTAGTTAGTTAGGTAGTTTTATTCTTTACATCCTAAGCCAATTTTACTTTTTGAGTCTTTAACTGACTGATTTACTGACTACTAGATATGGTAGATGCTATCTACTATTTCCCCTTTTTTTTCTCTTTCTCTTTAGACCGCACGCTCCACTCACACGAAGCAGTCGCAGGAATAAGCTTCAAACGCGTGGTTCGAGAAAATGATAATAATAACAAAACGCATAATATAATAATAAAACAATAATAACTAACACTATTATTGCTATTATCAAGAACGAACTACGGAGTAGACTACTAGTAGAATACCATATTCCCTGGGCAATTCAAGCTCACTATCTATGGTATCGTAATCTTAAGTTCCTGCACTACCGAAAGCCGCATGGGGCGCGCGGATCCCGCTGGCTGCCCAAGTGAGCCACTAAGCGGTCGAATTCTGACTCTGGTCGCTGGTAAACTCCAATGGAGATGCGGAGGAGAGGGCTTGGCATGATGTCAGAGGCGGTCGTCGTGGTATGCTGGAGAGAGGAGAGTATGCGATGGATGATTTACTTGCTTCTGTTTTGATATGATGGGAGTGTAAACTGAGGGGAGGTATTCTGTAGTTAGACTGTATAATTCTAGTTTTATAATACTGGGGTACTTATGGTACAGCTATCGTTTAAACAGACACCAGTATACATACATTTTATAAAGGCGAACTGCGAACTTGTAACTAATACTGAATAAAATACATCGAGGACCTTGGGGAACGCCATCGGGATCCATTAATTGATTACGGAGTACAATATACATAACTAGTTAACTACTTCCCCTACCGCCGGATTATTATTACGAAGTAGGTCGGGTAACTTGCTGCTGTTTCCCAGTATTATTATTGACAGTTATTCCAGTGGTCTAAAACTAATTAATAATGCTAGTCGCATATCTTGGGTTATCGCAATTGCAAGGGCTAACTGGTTTTTGTGGCCTCGTGTATAGCTCTCCGCAATCTAGAGTATTATTGCAGGAACTTAGAGGGAATCTTCGATCGTCGTGGAGACAAGATAGACTGTTTAGTATTTACTGTCCTAGATGGAGATCTCTGCATAGACACAGACACGGACATTGTTGATTAACGTCTGACCCACGGGAAGAGAGGATTACTCTATAAGTATAGATAGATACGCAGTACTTGTTGCATACTGTGATATATATAAATATAGATATAGATACTTTCGCGGCTTAATCGAGATTAACTTCTTCTTCTTCTTTTTTCTTCTTCTTCTTCTTCTTCTTCCTATTCCATTCTGGTATCATTATTCCATTTACTAGTCCTTTTTCCCCTCAACCTTCAGATTCCGTTCTCGTCCCAGGAACAAAACGGAGTTACTTGGTTAAATGTTAATCGACCACATGAGTTATACTAAGTAATGCGCTAATTTGATATCCGCTATATTAATCTCGAGTAATATGCTTTGCAGCAAGCGTTTTAGACTTACTTAATTCTTACACGGGTCTAATATTCGGTGTGTATAGACTATGTGGATATAAATTAGATGTAGTTATAGGGATTATAGATCACGGACTAGTCAGCATAGCACAGCATGGCATGGCATAGCATAGCATAATACAGGAGATTCATCCTAAATTGAACTGACTGAACTAGCAAATACGCCCTGTTAATGCTAATTACTGTCCTATCCTTTTTTTTATCTAGTCACGGAGCGAGAGAAGATAAAGAGCAATTACCACCGGTTTTGCAATAATTAGCCATTTTATATATGTTCTAGTTAGTGAGCGATTTTCATCTAATCTGCTAATAGCATGGGATAAATCATGTTAATATAGATGCACTACCTGCTCTTGCAGTGCGGAGGTAAGTAGCAACTGGCTGCGAGAGAAAGAGAAATAACGCAGTGTATAATCAATCGCGGTAACTTATTAAATATCTCCAATCGGTAAAGTGCGGTCTTAACTCCCAGGGAATATTCATTATCCAGAGTATATACAAGTAATTTGTTAGCACTCGCAGCTTCTGTAGAGACAAGCTGCAAACCTGCTATAAGATACTGCTTTTATCCTATACAAATTCGGTAGTAGCTGCAACGGGAAGCTATCTAGATCCACCTCTATAGATTAAAAGCAGACGGAACTGGGACCATAGAATGGTTAAAACAGTGTTCGGTTCAATATTTAGTTAAGCTCCAGGCAGCTGCAATGTCAGGATTAGAGTCAGGGAGTATTAATAGCTAATAGATTTCATTCACCTTTACTTCTCCAAACAATTAAGATTTTATTCCAGTTCTGAATGCTCCCTTCGGAATCTTTGCTTCTGTGATTCTAGATCTTAACAATATCCGATCTTTGGAGTGCGTATGTGTAGTTGAACTGGGTTCTTGCCGCTGGGAGACTATATTGCGAGTGGTTATAATATACTAGTAGCTATAACTAGTCTGGCTTTCAATTCAGAGATATGTTTGATATCTAATATCGAAAATACCGTATATAGAAATGTTTGTTTACTCGTTAGTTATTCTTTATTTATACAGTCTTAACTAACTAGTTGCGAAGTTAATCTAAACCATAATAGAACGTGTAAGCTAACTCAGAAGGTCCGTTTCCTTGTTCTAGATAATTGGTTTTCCACCGGTTTGGTTACTTAGCTCTCTTCTTTTGCATCTAGAAGGCACAAGAAGAAGAAGAAGAAGAAGAAGAAGAAGAAGAAGAAGAAGATTCTGTTATATACATATGTCTATGTACCTACCTGAACTTCGGAGAAGAGTCGTATGGATAAAAAAATACAATATGGTTATTTCTATTTCACTTGTAGAATTTTAGGAGATACTATATCTTATCGGAATAGATCTACCATGTGAGATAACTAGATACAAGTCCAATGAGCCTTTCTTGGGAGTTCATTTTGACTTTGGGTAAGATTTACAAAGATCTCGCTCGAGGTCGGCGTCTGCAGACAGTCAAGCATAATATATTTGTCGGCGCTCACAGCTTATTTGGAGGCGAGCTGCAAACGGCTTGTACGACTCTGCTGAAAGAGAGGTAGGATAAGCAACATGAAGCCACCTAAAGCCACCAATATAGGATCGAAGGAGACACGCCGGAATAAGCAATTGCTTATGATCAGTCGCGGAGGCAGTGCTTTAGCCAGCGGGTAATTAAGATGAAGTCTATAGGCATAAATAGCTGACAGATTCTGGTATCCTTTAGTTCTCTAAGCAATCTAATATCCATTCCCGGGATATATGCCTTTTCCAAGTCTTTGCTTCCGTGATCCTAGATCTCTACAATATTCTAGATCGGTAGCTCTGAACGGACTTATCACCGTATTCCTAATATGGAATCGAGTCTTCTACCGCGTGTCTCAACAAGATGCTCAGTCGGATGAATTATTCCAATAACAGTTCATCTCACTATACAATATACGCTGACTACCACTACCTCCTACCTCAATCCCGCCGGGTAGACATCGTAAACGTATGTGTCTCGATCACGTAGGAAAATCGCTAAGTCAAGTGTTTGCGGGCCTGGTCAGATGGTAATCCTTCCAGTTACTTTACTGACCAGTAACTAGTAATTAGACAAGAAGTGAATTGAGTATGAAGAACTAAATACATCTACTGGGTGGAACGGACATCCGTATATATATCTAGGTTCTCTGGTATATTCCTTGCTCTAGTATATCGTATACATTAGGTACCCTCCTGTCGATCTCACACCTGGTATACGCGCGTGTCCTCGTGTCATAACGGGTGTGGTCACTTGCCAATAAAAACCTCATCTCATGCATGCGCTCTCCAAGATATATACAGACCATTTCCTCTTAGATACATTATAAAATTTAGCCACACGTTGATATACCTTGACTAGACTACTTCCGAAATGGAGCTACGTCGAGAATTACTATAAACGTCGCAACGAACTTGGACGTTACTGCGAAAAACGACATCAGGATGAATGCACCGACTAGATGTATGATGGTATCGAGGTTTGAGCCTCATCCTGTCATTCCTTCCACTCAACCTGGCTGCTCACTCAACCTGGCGCTCACTCAACCTGGCGCCCGCGTGGTAGTAAATTACCAAGGCTACTGCAGCTGCACAGTCGTATCCTATTAAAATACAGTGAAATAGAACGCCAACAACGCCGCGGTGAAGGGTGTATGAGCATGTCGTATGGGCATGCGTTGACCCCTGAATGTGGTATCATATGTACGATAGTGACATCTAGCGGATCCGATCCAGTCTGGAGCGGTTCATGGCGATTTGATCGTCGACGTAATCGCTCTGAAAAGTAATTAGCATGTGTACGCCATAAGATGCTGTCCTGTAAGCTTACCTTGCCCGTAATACGGTCCAAGTGGTTGTTCTGCTCCTCCAGTTCCCGACCAGTGGCACGGGCGAGTCCGTTCAAGCGGCCAGCAGCCCCCGCAAGGAGGTCCAAGTTCTGGTCAATCTCATCTTCCATTGCCTCGTCCTCGCTGTCGGCCTCGAACTGGTATTTGGCCCGCTCGGTCATGTTCTTTTTGCCCCCGACTGATGGCTTGACGGCCTCTCGCTCAATCTCTCGGAATGTGCGCTCCATACGCTGGTTCGTGCGGAAAGCCTCTTGTCGAGTGCCCTCGCGCGTTGCACGTTCCGCTCGGTGTGTGCTCAGAATCTTCTCGTCCCGCTCGCGGCGCCGGGCGTTCTTGGTGAACGGATTCGAGACGTGGACGGCGAACATGCTCCCGTTGAGCGTCTTCAGCTCTCGAGCCTTCTCCTCTGCAATACGGTTCTGACTGGCCGCAACATCCAAGTTCTTCTCCGTGTCGTGGATCCGTTCACCTTGAGCACCCAAACGAGCCAGAGTGGCCCGTCCAGTCTCCTCGGCCATGGCGGCAACGCGGAGGGCGTTTCGTGTCGAAGCCACATCACCCTGCTTGACGAAGCGCATCTCCTGCTTGATAGTCTGAATCTCCTCCTCTTCTTCCTCCTCCGCCGTCAGATGTCGCTCCTGATAGGTGCTGGTGTCGTAATCTCCGCCGCCAACACCGCCAGCACCGCCAACACCGCCATTCCCGGCCTGACTATATGGCGGAGGCGCACCGCTTGGCAGTCTCTGCGCTCTCGCTGACGCATCTCCAAAGAGCGCATCTCTGTTTCCATCGCTAGGATCATTCGGATCGCCTCCTAGTCCTCCGTAACCACCAGGGCCGTATCGGGAGCCGGAACCACCACCACCACCACCGCCGCCGAATCGATCGCCTCCATATCCGCTCTGGGCACCAAAGCGATTGGGTGCATATCCACCTTGCTGGTTTGGTACGGGGCCTGCCTTCTCGTTCACCGGGCCACCAGGGCCACCAGGGGGAGGAGGACCGTTGAAGTTCTCGGGCACAGGAGCCGCTCCAGCCAAGACCTTGGCCTTTGTGTAGGCGTCGATAGGAATCGGCTGAGCGTAGGGGTTGGCAGGAGGCTGCGGACTCTTGTTCTTCGATCTCGAGCCAAAGAGGGCCCGTCTGTTGCCATCGTCATCTCCGTCGGATTTCTTGAGGCCGAATCTCCCCATTGTGACAGCAAGCGGCGAACGCGAACAGGACGGAGGGAGACAGAGAGGAAACAAGGTCACAAGAGGAGAATACAGAGGAGAATAGTGAATAAATGGACAGAAGAGAGACGAAAGAGAAGAGCACGATTAGGGGGTCGGTAGATGTCTTAAGATAGATATCGCAGCTCCTTACTAGTAAGACATGGCGGAGTCCAAGAGTCGAGGCCGGGCTGTAAGTCTGATACGCGGCCAAAACGCAAGCACATTGCGGTGCAACACCGCGCGGCGTCACGACGAGACGGTATCGATACACAGATACCGCGGCGCAGGGTGGCAGTGTTTCAGCTAGGCCGGATGCGGCTAGGGCCACGTGCCCCGTCCGATCGCACAGCAAAACGGCCAACCAACTCCAACCAACTCGAGTCTCACTCCAAACACCGAGACATCTGCTGCCTGACCAGAGCTGAAAGATGCTCCATGGCAGCCATGGCCCCTCGTCCTGGGTCTGATGCTGATTATATCCGAGACAAGGCCCGGAGGGACCTTCTCGACCTCCTCGAAGGCGTGAGTAAGGCTGCTGCTCCCGTTCCTGCGATCGACCAACCATCCCGTGCCCATGCTAACCGCTATACAGGTCCGGGGTAAGAAGAATCTAGTTATAAGCAAAGACCTGGCTGGTCCGGTCGGCCTGTTTGTCAAGTTCTCCGTTCTTCAGGAATATGGCGTAGACCGCGTGTTTTTGCTCGAGAATGCCAATGTCGACTCCTCCCAACGCAATGTGGTCTTTTTAATACACGCAGAGAAGGCGCATCAGGTGCAGAAGACAGCCGGTATGCCCAATTGTTCCTATCGCAGACTCTGTCCTGCCTCGTAGTCCACTCATCCTCTCCATCTTCAATGGGACTTTAAGTAGATTACGCAGATGCTTTCCTACTCTACGTAGTCAGTCAAGTTCCCTAGATCAATTCTAAGAATTGAATCACAGCACATCCCTATGGCTTTCTTCCTATATTCCTCTCAGGCTGAGAGCCATCAGTATGGGCTGACATTCATCTAGAGCAGGTCAAAAAGCTGCAGCGCAATGGCACCGTCGAGCACGAGTTCTCCATTTTCTGGGTACCGCGAAGAACCCTCGTCAGTAACAAGATCCTTGAGGAGGAAGGTATAATCGGCGATGTGAATATCGCTGAATTCCCCTTGTACTTTCTGCCTCTGGAGCAGGATGTGCTCTCGCTGGAGCTGGAAGACTCTTTCAGCGATCTGTATCTGGTTGGTGCCTCTCCTTCCACAATACTCTACCCATCGATCATTAGCTAAGTGGATATCCAGCACAAGGATCCAGGCTGTGTATTCTTAGCGGCGAAAGCTCTTATGCAGATCCAGCAGAGACATGGCTTCTTCCCGCGCATTGTAGGCAAGGGCGATAATGCCAGACGCCTAGCAGATCTCTTGCTCCGTATGAGACGTGAGCTAGATGCCGAAGAGTCTTCTGGTCTTAACGATCCCTCTGCAAGGGGACTTCTGCCCAGTGCCACGATCGATAACCTGATCATTATCGATCGAGAAGTGGACTTTGGCTCCGTTCTACTGACACAGCTCACGTATGAAGGATTAATAGACGAGTTCGTCGGCATTAAGAATAATCAGGCTGATATTGACTCCGCCATAGTCGGTGCTGCACCGCTTCAATCAGCGCAGGCTTCAAGCTCGGCTGCTCCTCAGCCAGCACCAAAGCCAGGCACCAAACGAAAAATCCAGCTGGACTCCACAGACCAACTGTTCAACCAGCTGAGAGACGCCAATTTCGCGATAGTGGGCGATATACTCAACAGGGTAGCACGCCGTCTGGAAAGCGACTACGAAAGTCGTCATGCAGCGAAAACAACTCACGAGCTTCGCGACTTTGTGAATAAGTTGCCGGCGTATCAGCAAGAACACCAAAGCCTCAAGATTCATACTAATCTTGCCGAAGACATTATGCGGCAGACGCGCTCAGATATCTTTAGAAAAATACTTGAGGTGCAGCAGAACAATGCTGCCGGCTCGGATCCTACATATTATCATGAGACTATCGAGGAGCTTATCGCGAGAGACGTCCCGCTAAAGACTATTCTGCGACTGCTGTGTCTAGAGTCCTGTATGTCTGGCGGTCTCCGATCAAAAGACCTTGAGAACTTCAAGAGGGAGATCCTACAAGCTTATGGCTACCAACATCTGCTAACGTTCCGTGCCCTGGAGAAGATGGAGCTTCTTCAGCCACGCTCTTCCGCAACTGCCATGCTAATCCCGACAGGTGGCGCGCAAACTGGTTCCAAAACGAACTACAGCTACCTCCGAAAGAACCTGCGTCTTGTAGTCGAAGAAGTAAGCGAGCAGAATCCCGAAGATATATCCTATGTATACAGCGGCTTTGCGCCTCTCAGTATCCGACTGGTCCAATGCGTGCTGCAGAAGCCATATATTGCTTCGCTTATTAAGGGGGGCCCAACGCCGGCTGCTGTGAATACTGCCAGCACTGCTTCACCCGGCTGGCTCGGATTTGAGGATGTGGTGAAAAGTGCCCGCGGCTCCACCTTCAGCATAGTCCAAAAGGGCGACGACAAAGCCGTTCGTGCGCGACAGACTCTCAGTGGCAACGACGCGGTGAAGACCGTGTACGTCTTCTTCCTGGGTGGCATCACTTTTACAGAAATTGCTGCCCTGCGATTCATTGCTCGCCAGGAAGCGCAGAGAAGAAAGATCATCATCTGCACCACGAGCATCATCAGCGGAGACAGAATGATGGAGGCGGCAATTGAGACGCGGGACTTTGCGAAAACAGCATAGCGTAATCCTGCTGTTTGTGATGACTATACATGTTTGGAGCTTATCGTTTGTGATGAATGCCGTCGTTCTAGCGAATTGACTATCAACGAAGGTTTCATGATTCAATATCTCAATAAATACTAGAAGCAGAGCCACACATCATTTTGCCGTACCTTGATCGGTAAAGAACCGGGAGTATATTGTCTTGTCTGCCTTTCCTAGCAGTGTTGTAGGGGAGGCCCTAGAAGACGTATTATCTGGGCAAGGTGCGCCTCACGGAGTACTCGTTGTATTCCAGGTCTCTGCCATTGAGGGTCTTCTCCGCGAGAAGGTGTCATAGTTGCGAGAGAAGGATCTATTAGTGTCTGATAATATAGCAGTATATTGACAGCGTTAGCACATCCCGGAGATTCCATATATCAGCACTATAACTCGATATCTCCTTGGAAAGAACCTCAAGAGCGCCACATGCCACATGCCAGAGGTTGGATATTGTGGTTACGTGGTATAGAATCGTCATCAAAAACTGGCGGACTAAAATCGCTAATTCTCAGCCACCCTACACCAGCATTCACAGGTCCACAGTCAGGGTTGTAGCTAGTTTCGACTATTGTGTCCTTGTCCGGATATGTTTGTCTGCAAGAGTTTTGTTCAGAAAAGAAGTTCTTGTCGTCCAATGGGAAAATTGTCCAGTCTAGTTGAGATAGTTCAACGTCGCAGTGGATGCATTATTCTCTGACAACGTACTCTGTGATCTCACATGTCAGATATCCCATTCACAGTCATATTATGTCATATAGGATGAAAATTATATACAATATTGAGGCGACCGTATAATGGGATGGCTCGTGAGTCTCGGGGGTATGCCCCGACCCCAAATTGTGAATGGACAAATGAAGCCAATAATAACATTGAAGACGTAAAGTCTTCACCTAATGGCGACTCTATTGACTGATCGCGTCCCGACAGCGGTCTATACCAAGCTGGTTGACCAAGAACTCGTTGACGAACTGACAGTTGGGGTCCTGCTGTTCCTGGAACTTCAAAAACTCGGGCAGCTTCGGGAAGGCGAACAAGGTATGTTTGGGGTCATTTGGCGACATCTTGTTCCAGTGGGCACGAGCATTGAGTTCGTAGCCGAATTTATCCATGAACTCAAGAGCGAATCCCTGGTTGTTCCACAGCGTAGTGAAGTTGTTGACGGACTGAATCCAGTCAATCTCCAGAACACCAAATACGCCGCTGTTTTGAGGGCCCAAGTTGTATGTGTTAACGGGAGACATGTATGCGTCGTCGCCCTTCAAGATACGATACTGGAAAATCATCTCCTGGTTGTCAAAGCCCTTCATCCTCGGAGTCTGGGATTGCTGGAACTTGGTATAGTTGACTGCGACGTCCATGAAGTTCTCAAATGGCCAGAAATGCTCGATCTCAGCGTAGAATTCACGGCTGCACACACCCTGTGGAGGAGCAGAGGTGGCGTCACTGACCTCATCGTAGCAGATGTAATCTTTGATACATTCACCACAGCCGTTGGCACAGTAGTTCAGCGTACAGTTGCGGACTCCAGTGTAATTTGTTGGCTCCCACCAGCTGGCAAAGAAAGTAGGTTCGATGACCCAGTCTTGAGCTTCACTATCCCAGTCGAAGTGGGGACCCCAGACAGTCATACGGTCGTGCTTCTTGTACAGGTCGGCGATTTCGGTATACAACTGGGTGTAGTTGGTCGTGGCGTTCAGCACAGTGGTCGTTTTCTTTAGGAGATATGTCGGTTGGACCTTGAATGTCAACTCGGTAATCAGACCGAGAGCACCAATGGAGACCCGGAATGCTTTCAGCTCCTCAGGGTTGTTCCATTCATTGATCACTTTGATATTACCCCTCGCATCGACGATGCGGAGACCGACCACCTGGCTAGCCATGTTGTCGACATACCGTCCGGTACCGTGAGTGCCAGTGCTGACAGCCCCAACGAAGTTCTGGACCCGTTCAGCACCGAGGTGGTTGAAGGACAAGCCATGCTCCTTGAGCACGTTGATAATATCGTAGACGTCCCAACCGGCACCGATAGTGACTGTCATATTCTTCTTGTTGATCTCAAGAGACTTCAAGTTCGCAAGGTTCACAATGTACGAAGTCTTGTTCGTGAGAGATTGGTCAACGCATGTAGTAAGGTTGCCAAATCCATGACCGTTTCCAACAACTTTGATATGAGATTGTTTAGGGAACTCATTCTTCAGGAATTCCACAACACCAGCCTCATCCGCGGGAGTGATGAGCTTTTCAGCTTCACAAGTCACTTCATATTGCCAGTTGTACCAACGGTATGCCGAACCGAATACTGCGTGCAGCAATACCAGTAGGAGGGGCAACCGCATACCGACGAGGGAAACCATTTTCTCGATGACGTCTGTAAGACATTTCAGTTAGCTGGATCTTAAAATATCTTGACTAGGATCTGTTAACCTTTGCCCCGGGACTTTATCTGATTAGGTGCTTCGACCTCGGGATGGTAAGATGCCTAGAGAGATCTTATCAAAGAGAGAAGGACGCAATATATAAACATTGTACTCAATGGTTTCCGGATGCCGTCCGATAACATTTCGTCTGAGCACACAGAAGGTATCTGCAGGAAATATCCCACCACCCCCCACTGAGAGACTATTTTCACGTTGTCCACGGGAAAGAAATGGCTCGTGGCTGCGTCTTTCGGACCCATTCCTGCCGGTCTCGGCTCACCGAGTGGGATGTGTCTTCGTTTATTGCTCCAAAAGAAGTGCGTACCGGGCCGATCAGGAAGTCAATGGAGGAACCCGACTTGGTACTGGGTTCGGAGGCTACGTTGTTGAGTTGGCCTGTGTACACGATCTGATAAGATCTACACAGGCCGTTGATCGACACGGCACGACTAAGTATGGAGTACAAGCTTTTCCGGCGGCCTCCACTCGCAATGCAGTGGCCCGAGATTAGATTGACACGGAAGATCAAAAGAAAAAGAAAAAAGTCTAACTGAACCCGTATCTTTAAATGGGATCAGCGCGATTTATACCAGTAAACGTATGGGTGTTAGCTTAAATCGGTGGCTTTATGTTTCCTTTTGTCACTGGTTCCGCTTGTGGAGTTTGTGCCTTTTCTATCGATTTCACATGGAGTCGGTAACGGCGGTAATGTAAGTATATTGCGATCTCCAAGTTAACTTAGTGGGGAAAGGTATGAAAATATACGAACAAGAAACTCCCAACGGTGCCCGGATTCTTCCGGTGAGTGCCGTTTTTGAGAGATAGGTGCATAAGATACAAACTACTTATGATGCCTAGTCAAACTACTCTAACCCTCGACAGGACACCAAGTACGGAGAAAACCTCCAGCTATCAGTATTTATGATTGTTCGACCGGAGGAAAGTTGCCTAATCTGAATAGCCAGGGAAAAGAAAGACAAAAAAAGCCAAACACAGAACAAGACCTTAATGGGAGTTATAATCCGCCAGAATATGATCGCTGATCTTCAAAGCCATAGCGTAGAAGACAGTCATGACATGGGAGGATACCTGGGTTGGAGGAATGGAACCATCAATTACACGAAGACCCTGGACACCATAAACACGAGCGGCAGAATCGACCACGCCACCAAGTTCTTGCGCCATCATCGAACATGTACCCACGGCGTGCCAGTTCGCGCGGAAATTTTGTTTGACGTATTCCGCCCACTGATTTAGTGTCGCGTTGTATGCCAAAGCATATCCAGGGACAGTCTCCCCTGCAAAATATGTCTGCATCTCTCCACTGCTGGAAACCTCGCGCGCAAGTTTGGACGCGGCGGCTTGGCCCAGTACATCAAGCTCGTTGAGGAGGTACTTTGGATCGTTCGAGAACTGGCGGAGGTAAGGATCGTTGGAGAGAATGTGTATGCTTCCGCGAGTGAAGGGAATAAGATCCCACACGCTGAAGCTTATTTTGCCCTCCGTGTCAAGGAATAGTTCTGTATAGGCAACGTCCTCCTGGAGTAGCCATTGGCGGTAGTTCTCGTATTGAATCTTGAGGGCAGTATGGTTGTGGAACCCGCCCCGATTCACCGTCTCTTCTGCCCATTCTTCGAGCTTGGTATTGAGTAGTTCAATAGCCTGAGGGGCGTAGTCACCAAATGTCTCGTTAAAAGAGGCATAGTAGATGGCTTGACCCTGGCCGTACCCAGCTGCAGTAGCCCGAGATGTGACCGTAGTGGTGGTTTGATCCTGCATGTTGAGTCCAACAGGAAGATCCACCACTTGCTCAACACCAGCGGCGTCGAGGACATCTTTCAGACCGATGCCGGACTGTTCCAGAATCAAGGGAGAGACGAGAGACCCAGCTGCTAGCAGAACCTCATGTCTCGCATACACATTGAAATTGACATGCTTGTTCGTCCCGAAGTTCACCCCGACTGCCTTTGGGCCTGATGATGTTTCATTCATCAGAACTCTTCCGACATATTGACCGGTCAGAATCTTCAGATTAGGGCGCTTATAATTGGGGAGGAGCCACTCTCGCGCAGCGTCTGACCGAGTCTGGTCCTCGTGCAGAGTGTTAGGGAGCATGGAGACTCCCCGAGGATGACCACAGTGTAAATCTTTCCGGATGGGAACCCCTCGCTCTGTACTAGTATTCATAAGAGCCCTGATGATCGGAGAGTATTGCTCTCCATTGTCACGGACCCCGGTATGAACAGTACCATTCGTTCCATGACAAGCAGGTTCGTAGTAATGCCCAGCCGCAATCTGAGCTTCATTCGGAGGCCGCGATACTTCAGCTTTCTTGATGTACTGGAACAGATTTGCCCAATTCCAGCCCTTATTCCCGAGAACTTTCTCCCAAGAATCGATTTGAACCTTGTCCGGACTGGTCCATGAACCACCGTTGATCAAAGTCGAACCTCCAAGACCATTGCCAGCCCTGATGTTCTGAGAACGATTGTTGATTCCCAGAGGCACAGTTTCGTAAGCCTGGTCGACGCTGCTGCCAAATATGGTACCGTAGTCATTGAGGTTCTCAATAATAGCTCCTTCGTTAGACTCATAGAAGCCCTTTTCAATAACAAGAACATTGATTTCTGGGTTCTTGCTCAGTGTGGCCGCAACAGTTAGCCCAGTCAACCCCCCTCCAGCAATAATGTAATCGAATGTTCGTCCGGCGGCCGCTTTGGGATCAGAAAGGAGGCTTGACTGAACATTGACCTGTTCAAGAGGCGAATAAGATTGGGCCGCAGCCACAGATAGCAGAAAGAAGCAATGGATTAGAGTCTTCATATTTATTGCAGTGTGGTGTTTGAATAATCAATCCTAGGACATGGAAGAATAATTCAAGATAGCATTACAAGTCCTGATAAGTGTCATATTTATATACCGCTCAAGTTGATCTCCTGTTGATTTTCAGTATGTTTTGATGGAACGGTACTAGTACTGAAGTGTTACCTCTCTACATGTCAGTGCAGTTTAACTTTCGCCATCTCTAAGGGAACTTTGATGGTGGGCTAAAGTTTCTCGCATTGTCGTATACGAAAAAGGAATTTGGACTATCCACATACGAGACTTTTTCGAAAGACCCAAGGACATGAAAGAATGCCATTGGTTGATAGTTTTAACAGTGGAAGCAGATGGTCAAGTCAAAGACAGGAACAATAAAACGACGTAAGTCCACATCCCGCAATTACGCACGGTTCAGTATACTCCGGTAATGGATTCGAACTCAAATTTTCTGACAGTCGAAAGCCATGTGCTGTAGATCACTGGGGCATTAACTCACCGAAAACACGGCAAGCAAGTGGAGTTGTCCTCTGCAGCGGGATCTTTCGCTGCATCTTCCTTAATAGAGTATATCTTATCTGATCGGCCACATCAGTTCTATGGAATGGAATTCTTAGTCTCTTCCTCATCTAGAAGACGAAACGTCATGTCACAGCCCCATAAAAATTTAGCTTCTTTTTAATTTTGTATCCCCTTGACAGACATAGTAATAGCCCCGTTTAACCAATGTGGAACATACAGAACGCGAACATGTTGTAGGCGTAAAAACCTAAGGCCTATTGCCTAGTTAGAAGGGCACATGGGTCATATCAAGGGTCTCCTCCGTTTTCGGACCAGTATTCTAATCAGCATACTGAAGACTGAGTAGAATGCAAAAGACGAATCCTAGGAGATATAACTTCAAATATTCACCGGAAGAGAACTTGTCCCCTTTATAGAATTTCAACCTGTTTTCTTGTATGACTTATAGAGTGTCACTTTCGTTTAAATGGCCGTCAATAATATGTGGTTAACATAATGTCACCTGGAAATTCTGATCTGTAAATCGACTTCGTGTACGCATGTCAACGCTGCATGCAACGAGCGACCTGGACTGAGCTTGCATACTTAGTGAAGACTAGCTCGAAGCTAATTCTTACCTTGCACCTGCATGATAAATGAAGCCGTCATCAATGTGCGGTTCTCATTATACATAGCTCCGAATGATCTATTCCCAAAGGACAGACCGAGAATGTCTAACCTGATCATAGTTCGGAAGTACCCGGAGTATAATAGACGTCTTGTATGGTTCAGTGAATATCGTACTAAATTCTGACATTTTAGCTCAGAACATTTCTATGAGGAGCTGTACGTAACAGAAACTTGTCGAGTTCACGTTCCTGTCCTCGAGTTTGAGGTCGGTGCGTATCAGAATAACGATAACTAGATATACTTAAAAAGAATTCTGAATGAAGGATGGTCCTCCGTACGAGGAACAGGCTTGCTGAGGAAATGGGAGAGAAGCTCCTCCGGAATTTCTCGTAGCAAAGAAATCACTCAGAAGCCTCAAAGCCGTATGTGGATCTGATGAGCGTCATTAAGACAGCCAGAAAACAGTTATCTAACAACCTTGCCTTTAACTTAAATATGCTCCATCTTATGTATTGAGGTCGATGAATGGCACTTTTGTCGAGGCTTTCTTGTGTCCATTCTTGCGGCCGTACGCGCATAAACACCAAGCCTCGATGTTTTACACCGGACCACTTGTTTAGGCAGACTATTGAAATCCCCATCAATACGTGTTTCTGTATGCCTCTATCGAAGTCCAGTTATAGCGCTTCAAACCATCCTTTGTTGCTTGCAGTCCTAACGGAGATTTGAGTCGACACATAGATGGTTACAGTAACAGTCCAAATAAGAGCTGGTAAGCCACTGAAGACGAAAGCTATTCACCAAAAGAGAGATGGAACAACAGTCCGAGATCTGCTTTAACCATACTAAACGCCAAACGAGGTTTCACTATTTAGTTTCATCCCCTTCAGCTGTGTCACTTTCTATTCTTGGCAGTACTCGGCCGTTTTGTATTTCTGAATTAGGCTAGTGGTTTCTTGTTATGGAAACATATCGCATATGAAGCGGTTTCTATTAAATAACGAGATGATGCTCCCAGTGATGCATTGAACATCAGCTTTCGCTCAAATATTTTCTCTTTTCTTTCTTGCTCGAGTTAATACAGAAGGCCTGGTGCCTGGCATTCCTTCATTTTACCTTTCCATTCTGCCGACAACAAAAAATCTGCATTGCATCAGCATAATATACAAAATAAATATGCATAAATTCGGTATTCTTGCTGCTTTGTTCGTGGGATTCGCATCAGCCCTCCCAGCCCCAGCACCAGCGAGCACAGAAGTCGACCCTAATGCCGTCACCGACACCGTTTGCACAGACCCAGGCGTGTAAGTTATGTCCATATCTAATTTGGTGGTGTAGCGGCTGAACTCCTATCAGAACATTAGATAGCCACAATATCAATGTCGCGCTTCTCGGGATCTGTGGTGGCATCGCCGGCTCGATCGAACAATGTCAAGGCGAACCTACCGCTACCAGCGGCGAATCCGGTGATGCTCGATTCGACCTCCAGGCAGAAACGGCTGGAACAACAATTATAATCACCAAAGGCCGTTGGGAGCATTGTGTTGCAGCTGCTAGGGCGACATGCGGTGATAGTCCATTCAACAGTACTTGCATCGGAGGGGCGAATGACAACAAAAATAATGTCTTGTTCCAGCTGAGCCAGAACAATTAGATAAAGGGGACATTGCAGATAAACTGAATATTATCTCAACATCATCATCTTCTTCTTTTTTCCTGCTCATAGATGTAGAAATCAATATGCATAACGATACCCACTTGGACACAAGATACTGGGAGCTCTTGAGCATTCAGGTTTCATGTCTTCGAGGAAGCTTGCTGCGAGTATCTCCATTGAACGTGGATGAGACACATTGTGGGAGTGGCAGACCGGCCGCAGTCTCAGATGAGACACAAGACCCAGGGCCCATTAGAAGCGCATGAGAAGACAACCAGAAAATAGCCAGCTTCGAATTTAGATCACCGCCTGACTTCAATATTATAGATTGGTTAGTCCGCCATTCAGCTTTCTATGGCCCCTTTCGGAAATCAGGGTGTGCAACTTGGTGTATCACTGGAGGCTGCTGATTCCTCACTGAAATTCATATGGAACCTTGCGCCGTCTATATACGTACAAACTTTTCCATTCAAATATTGACATTTATGATAGCAGAAATTTGCCTCTATGCGGCACATAAACGAGTGAGATACTAGGGACCTGTGTAGGTAGGTACCCTCCGATCTATGATCAGATGCTCTATGATAGTTAGAAGCTGTGATGATTAGCACTGTACAGACATACGTCAGTAGACTGAAGAATTACAAGAACTAGCATTGCCATCCACTCAGAACAACTTATTTACATTAACATTGAAATATCTTCCAGGTCTTAATTACAACGCCATCCTCCGACGAATCACATGACTGGAAGTACAGATTTGACCGTGGCGCAGTGCATGCATGCTCGCCACAGAGCCACGTCAGAAGTATTCAAAGTACTCTACAATAACTGACAGGCAACAACTTTACTCATTTATATTATCATAATTGAAAACACGAGAATATAATGAGGCTACGTGCCCCAACGGCTCTTCGGGCGAGATATGTGTTGACGACGCCAGCTGCGCCACATCCCAACGGAGACGATGTGTCTCTGCTATAGGAGCTTGTAGCGCAAGGATACGCTTCATTTTGAGTATTGGTGGAAGAACGATCGGTGTAAGAATCAGTTCCTTGTGATTGGACGCCTCTCGCTTGAAGTATTCAAGCATGGTGGTAGAAGCGGCGTTGGCAACGTGGAAAATGCATCGGATTTCTTATTCGCGGAATATTATCGTTTTTATTCCGAGGCGGCACTGACATTGCTGCGGTTGAAATGCAGAGAAGTTTCAGCTGAACACTACCGTAGTGAAGCATGCGTATTATCCGATGTTTCTCGAACTCAAGCCGTGACTTGAATAATGATTCCCATTATCCGGCTGTAAGTTAACAAACAAGTATATAGTGGCCAATCAAATAAGAGACCAAGGGTTTAGTCCTACCAGACATGGTTAGTTACTTTTTACTAACAGCATCAGATAGGGTATTTATCCGTGTTCACCGTGTAATTGCTTGTCAGTTAACATTGATTCGGCTAACTGTTATAATAGCAGCATAAACTAAACTAATCAACTGTAATTTGACTATCTAATCGAATAACATTTATTGTTGTCCTATACTGAGCAATAATGATAATTAATAACTACCTACAAGCTCTTAGGCCACGCTACGCGTGTCCCGGACTTGCTTACAGATTTTACAGCCAGCCAGTTAATACAGACCTAAAGCTATTACTTATCTTTAATTTAAGATTTAAATTAGTATATAAGAGCTTTATACATAGTTTTAAGTAGAGAATTTAAAAATATTAGATATAAAACAATTCAGGTTTAAGGCCCCTAAGGGCCCTAAACTTAAATCCTATAAGTAAATTAAGTAGTTATATAATTAAAAGAATCCCTTTATTCTATACTTTAAAGCAATTAGCCTTAAGACCTATATAATACCTATATCTATAATTTTATAGTAAAATATCTTAGCATTTACCTTAAGCTTTAGAATTTTAATATTTATATTTATAGTTAGTATATATAACTATATTAGCTTAGCATATATATTTAGCTAATAAGAGGGCCTAAAAGTTAGCGGGTCTAAAAAGTTTTAATATTTTTATAGATAGTTATTCTGCGCAATTATATTAACTTAGTATTTACCTTAAGCTAATAAAAGGACCTAAAAGTTAATAGGTCTAAAAACTTTTAATATTCTTATAGATATTAAGGTATAAGCTTAAGAAGTAGGTTAGAATAAGTAGAATAAGGAAGTTAATACTAGGACTAGCTATAAGATCTCTATCTAGCTAATTTAGACTAAAATAAGCTATTATAGGCAGGCTTAGTAAATAAGATATAGCTTAAAAAGTTTAAATTTAGATTAAGCTATATACTGAAGATATCTTTATAAGATTATATAATACTTTATATAAGTATTAGCTAATAGATCTCTATCTCTTATATTGGTATTATAATAATATTTCTCTCTTTAAAGTTAAGCTTTATTAAGATTATCCCTTAGCTTTAACTTATTTAAATAGTAATTATAGAAGTTTATAATAATTTTTTAAATATATTGTAGATAGTATATAGGCTCTTTAATTAAATTATTATAGCCTAATTACTTAATAATATATTATAGTTAAGGGCCTTTTTATCTATAATATTTTTATTAGGAGTTTAGAATATCTTTAATAATTTATTTTTTAAGGCTATTAATTTTAATAGGCAGTAATAAAGATTATCTTTATTTAAATATAGGGTTTTTAGTAATAAGACAGAATAGGCTAATATTAAATATAGGATAAATATATATTAAGACAGGCAGATTAAGCTAATAAATATATAGGCTAATAATCTTAGTAATATAGAATAGGCTAAGATTCTTTTAATTAAGTTTTTTCTAAAGGCGTTAAATATAAATATTCTAGGTATTTAATTAAATAGACTATCTTATATAATAGTAATAGGCTAAGATTTAGCAATAATTAATCTACTCTTTATAATAGGCTTAGGCAATATAGATCTAAGTATAGATATAATCTATAATATCTTATATCTTTTTAATAAAGGCTTTAATATCTCTAATAATAGGCTAGTTTATAGATTAAATAGGCTTAAATCTTATATATAGATAGAACCTATAGTTAGTAAAAAAGAATAATATTTTAATAGTTTTAGAATAGTAGGAGTTTAATATAAATTTAGCTAAAGATAATTAGTTAACCTAATTATCTTATAGATAGCTAATATAAATATACAGGTATTATTTTAGGATAGTATTTATTCTTTTAATCTAATTATTAGTCTTAAAGTAATAAATAGTAAATAATAGGTTTATAATATCTAAATATTAAGTTAGGTATTTTTAGAAAGTAGTAATAAATTAGGGGCCTTAATTAAATATTATAGTCTTTAATAGCCTATAAAGCTTTTATATATAATAAATATATAATTATACTACTCCTTTAATATTATAAATAGTCTAATAAAGAATAAAATATCTTATCTTTATAAGTTAATTTATAATAATTAATATAGTATTATAATTTTAGCATAATATAAGTCTAGTAATAAAATTTATTAAGATATCTTATTAAAAGTATTTAAGGATAAAAAGCTAGTATAAGACTCTTTAATAGCCTTTATTTAAGAATATAATATAATAGCAGATATAATAATTCTGGGTCTAGCAATTTATATATTAGTATATATTTAGCTAATAGTACTTTTATAAGATTAAGTTATAAAGCTTATATTTTTTAAGGTATTTAGGTATATACTTATTATAATATTCTTATAATAAATAGGTTTTTAGCTTATTATAATTAAGAATATATAGATAGTTTTTATAATATAGGTATCTTCCTCTTTACTAGCAGTTAGCTAATATAATTTTAGGGTAATAATTAGCTTTATAATCTAAGGCTTATAAAATAGACTATATTAAATTATTAGATAGATAAGCTATATTTAGCAGATTTTTAATATTAGATAAGTATTTTAGTTTATTAGGCATAGTAAGGGAATTTAACTAATTTTATTTAATAGGCTAGGCTATTTCTTTAATAGGCTAAATAATTTTTTTAGTGGACTAAATTATTTCTTTAGCAGATTAAATAATTTTAATAGACTAGTTAGGCGGTAGAGTAAACTAAATAAATTCTCTAAGCTAAATAGATTAATATCTTAGAGCAGATTAAGTAAGTATTTCTATAAGTTTAATAGAATTTCTAACTTCTTAAGCTATTAGATTAATAAAATAAATATATTTTATTATTTAACTTTTAGTAATAGCTTCTAATTTTAGAGATCTCTAAATCTATAGATTAAGATTTTCCTTCTTTAAGACTATCTAGCTCTAATATTATAGCTATTTATCTCTCTCCTTAAGGAGATTCTCTAACCTCCTAGTTAGGGCATTAGGCTTTATTCTTTACTTTCTAAGTTAATATATAATTTAGAAATTAAACTAAGATAAAAATTTAGATTAATAGGCCTATTACTAGTTTAATAGCTTAATTAATATAAAGTATTCTAGATTATAATAGTCTATAATAATTTTAATTAATAATAGTATATTTTTAAGCTTAAGGCGCTATTCCTTAAAGTAGTAAATAATTACTAATAGTTCTTTATTATAAATCTTATAATTATACTCTATAGTAAAGAGCTTCTTTAAGAAAAATATAATAGGATATAAGATTCCTTTATTATTATACTAGGATATAACTTTAGCTAATATATAGTTAGATAAATTAGTTTTAATTATAACCTTATAGGTCTAATTAAATAGCTTTAAGATTAGGGCTTAAATAAATGCTTCTTTTAAGGTTTTAAAACTAGACTAATAGGCGGGTATTTAATTAAAGGGAACTCCCTTCTAAGTTAAGCTTATAAGTAGTATAATTATCTTAAAAAAGTTATAAATAAACTAATAATAAAAGTTACTAAACCTAATAAAGGCTTATATATTAATTATATAGGTTAGGGTCTTCTATTTAATAATTGTTTTTACCTTATCTAAGTCTATTTTAATATAGTTTTAGCTAATAATAATATTTAAGAACTTAGTCTTAGAGAT